CCATCGTTTAGGGTGGTATCCCACTGCTAGGCATTGGTGTATTAGGAGGAGTATATCCTCACTCCCAACATCCCATGCCCATTTTATTGCTAGGTAGCTCATCTGGCTGAATCCAGGTGCCGTTTTCATGCTGGCTCCTCTGATGGCTTCATCAACTTCTGTCCAAGTGACGTGTTCGAATGGCAAGTCGTCTGGTGTTGGGTCTGTTAGGTTTGGTCTCTCGTTGTCCCAAATACAGACTGACGGTTACAAGAGCTCCCAGCAGAGCACGAATACCTCGACGGAAACAGGAACTGAGGGAATGGAGCCAGCACCAAAAAAGAAGACAAAGATACGAAAGACACGAACAACGCTGGACCAGGTGCTCAAAACACAAATGGCGCTGAAATACACGCCTGCAAACCCACAGACTCCAAAGGCTCCTGGCTACAAGCCTACAACACGCACGAAGAAGCATAGAGCGATGGAGACACCTCTTGGCAAGCACCGATCCCAGAGCCCCCGGGACACCGAACACAAGACTGGTGAAGCACAGACCCGGCACACAGAAGCTGCCACTCCAACCAATAAAGGGGACCACCAGGGTAAGAACGAAAGCAGAAACGGTCTCCAAGGAAGCGCCGCCTCCAACACCGCGCCCAATACGGACAATATCAAAGAGCAAACAAGCACAAATTCCTCCATAAACGGCATGCAGAAACTATCAGCAATGAACTACAAAAGGTCAGACCACTAACCAAAATAGACCAACCAGACAAACAGCAATGAATACGGGAAAGATACAGAGGAAGGAAAACATACGAAAACAAGAAGAACAACCACAACCACCCCCGACTCTACAACCAAAACCACAGCAAAAAGCGCACACCCATAAAACTGCATCCAAAAGACCCCACACTCGGGGACCACCACCACACCCCTCCACTCCAAATCACACCATCGAAGAGCCAGGACGAAAGCATTAACACGGGACACAAACGGCGGCATAAACGTGACCATACCCTTACCGGAGGGTAACCCATACCCCTTTGCGGCGAGCCAGGAGACCATCACGCCGCCAAAAAGGCCACAAGAACGTATGGAAACGGGGGCACAAACGAAAAAGGAAAAGGCACAGCCCCCCGACAAAGCAACAAAAACACAACGGCTAAGCGCGCGTCAGGGATAGATTCTGGAATCCGACGAGACGAGCTCACTTACCTCTGCGACCCTAATAATACCTAGCATCTGTCAGAATAAAAACCTTTACCAATGTCTACGTTGAAAAGAAAAAGCTGATATGCCCTAGTACAGTGGCTTGAACGTAAGACGATTCGGATGAACGGACCGGATGCCGTATTTTTTTTTCAACAGCCATCATCTAAGTCGAATGGAAACAATAACGAAGAGGCTGCACATCTCTGGTCTGACCCCGTCTTTGTCTCCAGCTGACTTGTCGAAGAGGCTGTCGACTTTTGGGACCGTAAAGGCTCTGGATGGCTTTGGGCTCTTAGATGGAGTGGGCCAACCAAGGAAATTTGGCTACGCGACATTGGAAGCTACTCCGGCGCAATTAGCGAAATGTTTGCTATATCTATCTCTCAGGAAAGATACCCTGCTGATATGCGAGGCTCTAGGCCTCAATGTTCTCAGTGGGTCCACTTGGAAGGGTGCTAAACTTCGGATTGGTGATGCAAAACCCGATTATGCTCAAAGGTGAGCTTCCTTTCCCTACCCTTCTCATCCACTTCAAGGATATCTTTAGGATAGAAAAGGAACGAGCTGAAGCCCAGGATGCGCCACCTCCCAAGAAGAAACGGCGATGCTCCAAGTACACCGCTGTCGAAGCGGAGGATATGTCGTTAGTGACGCCGCAGAATGCCCACTTGCGTGCTGGATGGACCGTGACGACCCTCGGAAGGATCATGCGACCTATGCGTATGAGGCCCGAAAGACCTCTAATGCCACTTCCCAAACCACCCGCCGACGGAAAGGCATCTAAGAAACGAAAAATCCCACTTGTTCGTGCTCGAAGGAGAACTATCGATATGAGGCGATGGGAGGGAGCGCATCTGACGGGCGTCTTTTTGGGAGGCGGGGTTCCTTTGCAAGAAGGAGATGACGCTGAGGATAAAGATGAATACCTGGAAGAACAGCGTAGTGACATATCTGTTGAAGAAGATTCCGGGATTCTTTTGGCTAGTTCAATGGACGTACCCTCCTCTTCAGCTCTACAGAAGATAACGCCGGCAGTATCGTCTCAAACTGACATGGCCTTTGATTTGACTGCAGAAAAACGTGAAACGCTTGGTTTGTTGCAATCACTCTTCGGTGGCGGCGACAATACGAAAGAATGGGGCGGCGCAGAGAGCATTGCCTCCGATATTGACGTAGATGAACAGCACTTGCTAGAAGGCGACGGTGAGGCCGACTATGAGGTGGTCCCGTTAGACACCTCACAGGAGAAACCAATGAATCCTTCTCCAGCAGGAGAATCTTCGACAGAAGTCGAGACGACTACGAATACCACCAAGACAAAACTAAAAGATTTGTTTGCGCCTCGTGCTGATGAAGGTTATTTCTTTCTATTCCTAATACCCACAGAGCTGACAACTTTGGTCAGGCGGTTTTTCGCTCATGGGGCACCTTAATCTTGACTTTGAAATGGACGAGGAAGTTACATTCCCAACAGCAGTGGCGGAAATACCGGTACCGGAGGCGCTCCCAACTGTCGAAGTAGTTCCTACTCCCATACCAGCATTGTCTCACCTGGTCCTCGACCCCAAAAAACCACTCTTCTTCCCACTGTCATCTTCCTTCCCTACGTCGGAGCCCTCTGCCTCTAGACCAAGGGTGAAAAATATCTTCGATGTCGCCCGAGAGAAACATTGGACGACCTCTCTATCTTCTACTGGCGGGTTCCATAGAATGGCGACGGAAGAAGATATCAGGAAAAGGTGGGAAGAGAGCAAAGGAGAACTGACTCGGGGATGGAAGAAAAGAGTCAAGGATGCTGGGAAAATGAAAAGAAGGAGGGGTACGGTTGCAGACGAAGGGGTCTAGTCACCAAGTAACGGAGGCACTACGGCCAACCGTAGGGAATGATCCCGAATTTTCTAGCCTTAGAATATGCAGATTCAAGTGTTTACAACTCGTCTACTCTTTATACAACAAGAAAGCTTTGTTGCACGCGAAATATGACCTCTCAATACAATACTTTTTTGTTTTTTTGGTAATGATCCACCGAATATACGCCGGCAGATGTTATTTAATCGGTTAAGATGCCTGCGTATTCATCGTAACCGAGTGCTATGTTCAAATTCTACAGAACATGTTAACAAATAACGACGATGTTGGTGCTCTGTTACGAAGATACGAACCTGCAAGCACTGTGTTGCCGCACCCTTGAGAAGGTTATCCAAACCACCCTAACAAAATGTTCACACAATGACGACGACGAAAAACGCTATGACTTACGACTACGACAGCTCTATCTCCTTCACTGTGCACTTGGAACCCTCCAACAGTCCAAGAGTGCTTGCCCTCAATGTCTGGGAGAGTAGGAACTTGCGATTGGATCTTCACCAGACTCTCATCATCATACTTTTTGTGATACAGATCTGCAACCTCCTTAGCCGTCAAGTTCTCTTTGAGAGGAATCGAAAGCGTCGAAATGATGCCGCTGAACCACGGCGCCACGGTGGGAATGAAAGCCACTTTAATAGGAGACGACGCCAAGCTGGACAGATGTCGTCCTGCTTCACGTTCATGGATGTGATCTGTCAACGAGTACGGACGTACGCCACCCCCAAGAGAGGAGGGATCGACTTTGGGTATACTGATTGGTCGACCATCAGAGTCCGTCGCAGCAACGGTCCCTGCCCCGCTATAGCCAGAAATACCAAATACAGTCGGCCACACACCAGGCTTGATGTAATTAACCAAGGGCGCAACGAGCATCTGCACAGATGTAGCATAACATCCTGGGTTTGATATCCGCTTGGAGGACCGGATCGCATTGCGGCCATATAGTTCTAAAGCCGCAATCCAATACGTTGAAAGAAAGGGATATTTCATTATTCATTCGAATGATCATACACTAGTAGAAGAACCCTCACCAGGAAGTCCATAAACCCACCCTTCCTCAAACCTGTAATCGGCGCTCAAATCCACGATAACACTTTCTGAACCAACCTTTCTCTCCTTGGACCCACGGTCGACAGCATCCACGAATGGTTTGCAAATACCGTTTGGCAGTGCCATGACCCAAGCATCCACCTCACCATCCTTTTCCATTTTTTCTACATCATCAGCTGACAGATCAGTGTAGGTAACGGGGGCCTTGGTATAGTTGTCCAAGGGATGGCCGGCCAATTGACGCGAAGAGACATGTGTGAGGTTCAAATAAGGATGATGCGACAGCAGGCTGGTCAGTGCTTGCCCAGTGAAGCCGCGAGCACCGATCAATCCTAGACGCTTGATCTCAGTTGTGACTGGAGCAGAAGGGACAGCAGTCGCGTATCCACGAACTGATCCGGGCACAAGTATACGTCTAGCGGAGGTGGAGAATGAACGAGTACCAGCAGGAGATACGCCTGCGCTGACTCGAGAAGCCTGAGAAGGACCAACAGGGAGGTAGGACCTCTGGATCCTACCCTTCGCTTCGAAATCCTTCACAATCTTCTCCACTTCGTGGACGTCCTGAACACCATACCAGAAGAGACTCTTGCCTGCTCGCGTAAAGCTTCCGTCCGCACGTTCGAAATGCCATGCCCGATTTTCATCGTCAGCTTGAGCAGTCCAGAAGAGTCTTCGGTGATCCTTTTTGATGGCGCTGAAAACGTTGTCTACGACGTTATTCAGTATTCCATTTCGGGAAGCAAGAAGCTTGGTCATGACGGGGGTTTCGCCTTCAGGGTGGGAGACAACTGCAACGACATCGAGAGGTTCATCGCCATAGATGGAGTGTGGAGTTTCCTTTAGCTCGCTAAGAACCCCGGTGACGCTTTGATCCCCTGAAAGAACCTCGGGGTCACGGTCGTGAATCACTTGACGGAACCTGTCAGCGCCAATACCATCTATGGAGGAATGTCTGAAAAGTTTGTAACCACGACGGATGAGAGTTCCAGCACCATCATCGGTGAAGAGCTCCCTTTGAAGAGAAGATGCTGATATGACAGCCACGGATGTTGAGCGCGGAAGATGATCAAGGAGTTCCTTGAATTCACGAAGCTTGAGCTTGATTCCGTACTTAACCCAAGGCTCCTTCATCAAGGTCTCATATTCCTAATACAGGATTAATTATAGATTAATTATATATTCTAGGGAAACGGAGAAATTACAGACCTCGTCCAAGTTGATCACTGAGAGCTTCTCGCCAGTAACACCATGGAACAGACCACCCTTGTCGTTCAGAAAGACAATTTTCATAGGCTCGACTTCCTTTGCCAGTTCGCCCGCAGCTATATCCGCATTCACATTGAGGATCTGGCCGTCCGCCGATTCAGCGAGACTGGTAAGGATGGGCAGCGCCCCCGCCCTGATAGAAGCCTCTATCGGCCTCTTGTCGACTTTCGTGATTTTTCCTACGAGCCCATATTTCTCCTTGTCAAGGAAGTCGGCCGTGAAGACACCGGAGGTGATAGGACGTGCACGAGTGCCTAGGGCTTCAAGAGCCGAGACCAGTTTGAGATTCTCCTCGAGGAAGACACGACGAGCAACTTGAAGTACTTTTGCATCTGTACATAGTGTGAGATGGAATAAATGTTGAAAGCCGGCACTCACCCGTGACTCGGATTCCATCAATGTATTCAGGCGTAACCCCGGAACGCTCGATGATCTCGTTGAGCTGCGGTCCACCTCCGTGAATAACGACAGGATATAACCCAACACGGTACAGAAAGCTCAGGCTCAAAGCCAACTCATCCAGCTGATCAAGTACAGCACCCCCAACCTTGATGACAGCGAACTTGGCAGGCTGTGAAGGGTGCGATGACGATGAAAAGATGCGCAGATGGCGCTCGACCTCGCGCTTGCTGCCGAGGGAATAGAGAAGTCGAGTAATGGTTTCCTGCGTGGGGATTAGGTGTATTCTGAAGAATGTAATGTTTGTCGCACCCTATCCGTCTGAGCAACAGACTGTATGCCACGAGCAGACGTCCTGCGCACGGCCTGGATACTTCCTTGGCGCTGTCCACCAACAACAATAGCACGTCTCGCTACTCTAGAAGACAATTTGAGGGTCGACGCCGTCGCCAACATTGTTGAAATGGGTGTAAGTGACAAATGCAGAAAACTGGGCACCTATCAACCGCATGAGTACCCATACTTTGCTGTATATAAGCAATGAATTACCTTTCTGCGCTGTTTTCGCTGTTGAGTGCTATGTATATGCTATAAAAGAATTCGACAGAACGTGGTAGGAGTCAGAGAAATGAACAGCCGTGCCAGTTGCATAATTTTCTCATCTTATCTGATAAACAAAGATAATCCCGATTTGGATAGTCGGACGGGCCAGATTGTGGCACAAGCAAATTCGTTCGTTGTGTGCGTCAGGTTCCCTCGGCGCGTTATACTCCCTATTTACTTGCTAAAGAGTAGTACTACAGCAGCTAAGAAACTAATCGCTCTTTGGCTCGCTCCTTGGCGCGTTTTGAAGGGCCTGGAATACAAGAAATGAGCGCCAAAACTCACTGCCACATCCAACAGCGATGCCAGTCTAGGTGTTGATTTCATGGAACTTACGATATACAACACCACCATGAGCGCTGCAAATTAGAATGGCTTTTTCCAGGAAATATGGTGGTATATGCAAGAGTCCCGTAGATGTACAGATTATTGATACAAATCGTTCATATAGGCTCAGCTTGCGGGATCGTGTAGGACAGCCAGAAGATATCTGTCATCTAAAGGGCATTCAGCAAAGTCTGTTAGGAAACGGAGGTAAGGCTGACCTGGCGAGATCATAATTTCATGTCGTTTGGTTCGAAGTCTCAAGAACCGCACCTCATCCTGAAGGGAAAAGTTTAAGTTTCATTTCACAGCAGAGTGGGAAGTACTCACAACATCAGAATCCCCACCGCTAATTTCCTCCAGTCCTACCTGCGCCGTCTCCACTATTCTGCTGATGACACTAGCGTATTTTCTCCCCTGATCGCCATCGAATACCACGCCTGAGTGTCGTATGATGCTTGTGGGATGACCTCGAGATAACAACATATATCCAAGTACAGATCTATGCGATGAGAGCAAGGCGAGAGTTTGTTCCAGCTCGGGCGACATGGCACTTGCTGGTGGCAGGGCCGCCGCGCTATTCGACGGTGACGATTCGACGCCATTGGGCTGAGATATGAAGGTTGTTCGTGCTGGAGCTGTCTGTGTCGCCTAGATAATAGCTGTATGTCTGTTGACTTTTGGAGGAATACAATGGGACTGACCATGATGCATCCAAGATGATCGTCTCAATTTGGCAATTCCCGCCTGAAAGCTAACACTTGCTCATGGTCATGCGCTGGTTTGTATTTGCTAGACGCTGATTGGGTGCTAGGTGGACGCGTACGGAACAAGGGTGCAAGGACCAGGACTATAGGTTTCCTAACCACAATACCGATATCTTTTATCCCTCCTCCCATCCTTCCATTGCTTCTCCTCCAAATCTTGCTCCCGATGAGAATTTAACGCGGCTTTCGCTGCCATCTGATCAAGATCATCGTGAAGGCTGAGCCAGCAATTGTTGGTTTTGCTATCGAGGGGAAGTAAGAGCCAAAAGCACCACATACCTGATATGAAACGGGTTCTCATAATAGCAGGCGGTCGGGCATTCTATAGGCTATGGGAATGGGCTCGTTGCTCTCGATCGTGATGTGATTATGAAACAGCGAAGAGACGAGAGCAAGTCCCTAGCAAGTAACGGAGGCGTCAGATAGATAAATATTGCCCGAAACAATGAGACAGTTACATGGAAGAGTACTTGCTCCCTTGGAACGACAGATATGGGGCTTTTCGTTATTTCAGGCCAATACGACGGCTCCATGTATTTCCATCCAGTTTTATATGTTTCTGCATGAAACGATGGTGGAAGATACAACTGCGGTGGGCTGAAGTCGGTGAGATCATAGATAAGTTAATTTGGGTTGTCATAGTTCTGAGGCATTTTGAGACTATGGGTTACCTCAGCCCACCTATCTTCATCGCTGCTTTCAGGATGGTTCTCATTGCGGTAAATTTCCACAGCTCGTAGAAGGTTTACGGCCTTGGGGTGGTCGACCAGTTGCCAGAGTGTCTTTAGCCCCTTTTTAGGTCGGAAAGTTCATCTTCCAACTGGGTACGGGTACAGAGATGTCTGGGAAAACGAGAACGAACAAAGAGGGGCTGCAGCTGCATTATTGAGATATTCAAGCGAGGCAGAGCGCAGCCTTATGATGGATATAGGTTGTGAGGAATTCAAGACATTACACTTAGTTGGTGGGAATTCCCACTACCCTGGTAGTGGGTCTCTGCAGAATGCTACTAACAACGTCAATTAAATACGCTCGCCATTGTTGGAAATCCTGGGTGTTGCACAGGGTAGACTCCAGGCTGGTAAGGCCAGAAAGAATGAACTTCTTATTCTACAGCTCCTACAGAGCTTGTATTTATACTCTCCAGGCTTATATCTAGAATTTACTACAGCTTTCTCTTTCTCTCAGGCTTATTCGTCAACTCTCGGCATGATGCTGGATTGCCCTTTCTAGAACTTTCCAGCAAAATCCCAACAGCCATAAATGATTCTCACCACACTATTATGGCAAATATGGGCCACTATACCAGGACCTTGGATGATTTTGACTACCACAATAACACGTCAGTCGTGCTACTACGCCATCTTCCATACCTCGAAACTCTTCATTCACAAGCCAATCCAAAGTTTCTTCCCCATTTAGTTGAGATCACATTCTTGTGCTGGGATCTACAGAAAGAGGCAGATATTACATACATATGCCATATGCTGAAATGCCATCGTCATGCTGTCGAATGTGCAACAATTGCCAGGCTGATGTTACACCGCTCCGATCCCTTGAAGATTCATATTCCTGTAACCCCCAGCTGGGAATCTCTATTAAAGACTGGGCTGACTGTGTCCTTTATATAGCGTATATGTGAGTATATTCTTTACTCTATGCAGACTGCATTTACCATCCAATCCATAGGTATTTGATAAGATCTATATACTTTGTCTGGCTCGCAGTGTCCAAACACATATAAATCTACTCTGAAGATATTTCAACTGATGTTGATAGGCTGAAGTATGTCAAGTCTTCGGTCCATGGTGGCATCGACACAACTGACTTTTGCTTTTCAGAAATGCCAGACAAAGTGCAATCATTGAGGCATACCATCTAAGATGAATATATTCTCAAAAATGTTCTCGACGTTACTGGGCAATGTTTTATGTCTCCGGAGAGACTTCTTCAACTAATTCGCCAGATCTTTCCTGTGGTTCCTGAAGGATTAGTAGGCAAGGATAGTCATAGTGCCACTTTTTGGGGGCCACTCTCCGTGTTTCCTGTGTGCGCTGAGTTGGAAGCACGCCGAACTTTTCTGTTGCATTCACAACACCAACCTGTCCATTTGCTACAGTCCCTGCTGGCTCTTCATGCTCACATCTCTGATATGCTCGCCCTCTAAAATGAAGTTCTTTAATCATCTAGGGTCAATTCATCCCAATTTTCAAAGAGTTGCGGCGCTTCATTTCATGCGTATCATATCGCCCTTGGTGAACTCAAGTAGAGTATACAGGTTCCCAAATCATCTCTGGCGACAGCACACATCCTTTTACAGTCAAGCCTATAGCACCGTCAGATCCACAAAGACGAAGCCTGAACTCGAAGATAAAGACAAGCTCCCATCCTTTTTCCCCACTTGAATACGAAGACTTCTGCCACTTACGGTGTGACATCACTTTTCCCAAGAAAGCAAAGACTATTAGGCTTATTCGTCCGTCTCAGATGTTCTACCGAAAGATGTTCGAACGAGTCCAGGAGGCAACATTCCATTTTGGACATATCGGCAAAGAGATCAATGCCTTGCACTACACTCTTCAGCGGAAGACTAGTGTGCAAGCCGAAGACACCGATAAAAGGATCAACTGGGCTCCGCTCAGGAGACGCGGTTGAAGTAAATGTATGTAATGTATGTACTTTTCATTCACCCTTCAACCGAACTAATTTTCCAAAGGCCATGATTATGGATACGCGCATTTTTGGCGGAATATAAAACGAGCCTTTACGATGTAAGAGGTGAAGGTAAACTAAAGTCAAAATACTCGTCCCAATTGTCCAGGGGACTTGTCGGTAAGAAGCTCATTATTTTATTGCTGTTTTCCTGACTGATTTGCATCATAACAGCGCTTGCCGAGGCGAACGAGGATGCCGGTCTACCCCATACCATAGTTTTTGGCGTTCTTCAAGAAGGCCAATGTTTATAGTTATTGATCCGGCGAAGAAAGAAATGCTTTTTTGTGGATCCTTCATCAAGAAGGATGATAAGGATTTTCCGAGACGGATCATCGCCTGGCGTACGTCTCCACCCTTCATTTTTCTCTATTTTCGTACCAGATAGTATGATTTCTAACTTTTGTTCTGCATAGTCACAGTTTATATTATGTCCGTACTGATGCATCAGTATGTGTGCATCTTAAAGGCACGAGCCAATGCCTGTACAGGTATAGAACTAGTCAGTTTTCATGTCAGGCAGGAGATTATCTATATGTTGATGATGTTTGATAACGAGCGAAGTGGAAAAAGATAGCGGAACTGGCACGTCGTGCATACACGCTGTTAGCGAAGAAATCACCTGATGACCCTGCTGAGGGTGAGCAGCAGTTCAATGACGGAATCACCCTCCTCCAGGAAAGGTACGTCTTCCCATTCACAATCGGAGCTTCTTTGTTAATGTCACATAGCACGGCGAATTGGCCAGGGGACCCAGAGCCATTCATGGAAGCGATCAATAAAATCAGGGTCAAAAACGAAGAATATGTAACCAAGTTGACAAGTCGATGCCGAGTCCTTGATATGTGCAGGGAGCTATAACCGAGAGTTGGATGGGCAGAAGAATCAATTACATAGATTCTGTACCCAATGAATAATAAAGATCTAATTATATTCGGAAGCAGACTAGAAACAGAGCAATGCGAACTAAAGATGAACTCCATGCAATAAGCATAATGAGTCAGACTTTGGTATGTACCTACTAACATATTGTATAGTCAGACGATAGACAAGACGCACGAGGGTAAGGAAGGTGAAATTGCCGATTCAGTTCTGTGACGCGCGTATGATGGAGATTCTCCAGGTCCAGTCGAAGACTTCGTCTGGCACCGGATTCTTCTTCCAGAACATCATGAATGGCGCAGCTCGACACCAAAGGCTGCTACGTCAGCTCCGTCATAGTACATGTTAGATTTTCTGTACGCGTGCCGAGGTTCGCAATGTCCCATTCGTCTGACCATAGATCACTAGTGATTACTTCGACTTCGTGGACGAAGGAAGATCCATGTGTTCTTCGCTGGCTTGCTCTTGTTTAAATATCCTTGAACAGTATCCTAATGGATATCACAGATAAGGTACAAATGTATCCCCGGGACACTGGGATTGGGAACAAAACAAAAGAGTTTGACACCCATGTGGCGTCCCCAGACAACCTTAAAATTCGAAGGAAAGGAGGACTACTTCTGTTTCAGCGATATCCAATCCGGATGCGAGCTCAATGGTTTCAATCTCCAGTTTCCCTTGTACTCGTGCATCGCTTGTCTCATATGTTTGACCTCCCCAAGTTAGCCCCGAATCGTCGTCGGCATAACTAAATCATTGGTCAGAAAATGATGAATCAGTTCCAGGCTAGTACCGTTAACTCACCCAATAGCTAGCCTCTTGACCAGTGTAGTCGTCGGGAGCTGCCCATTACCCGAAAAACCGAGGTCGAGATGAATACTCGAACGAGGGGTAGTTTGCGCTTTCAGGTATGCTTGAGAATTTATGAGGACGGCACGAACCAGAATACCGTCTTCGTAAAAAGCATAACCGGAGATACGAGAATTGTCTATTGACAACTCCACTGCCTGAGTCTGGCCAGAGTTACCTATGGCCTCTCCGATTATGATTGCGGCATAATACTGAGGCTGAACATGAGGAGCTGCAGGCTCTGCGAGCGCAGATCCGTTGAGGATGGATCTGGTCAATTCAGCAGGCTGAATCTAACAGAGAGATGTAAGTATCTATCAACAGGTCAAAATAGTCCTTAATACCAAGTTGTATTTGTACCCTACGCCTTCATGGAAAAAGACATGGGATATTCCCAACTGCGGCCTACGGACAAACCTGATCGCTCAAGTATCTTAGACAGACAGGATACACTTACGCATATAAAGCATAATCCAATGTCCATAGCGCAGCCCCAGCAGTGTTGCTAACGCCCGGTGCGCCCTTTGTTACCACAATAAAATCAATAGGCATACGGGTGAAGACAGAAGTGCCCAAACGTACATGACAAGAATAGCTGTTGGTTTCCCCAAGAACATAATCCAGGCCTTGGTTGTGTGTCGCTGCAATGTCTGGGGTGAAGATCGAAAGATTGCCACGGATGGTAGCCTTCGTCATCAGGTCCTGTAGAAGACCGCCACTACCTTCGCAGAAGGAACCTGAATATCGATGCTCCGAAAAGCTTGATATCATATGTAACGCGACGATTAGTTTCAAGGGGATAAAACCCTACCTCGTAATAAAGGCGCCCGGTTCAGAGTCGAGTATCCCAGCGGCATAGATAGCCTGGGGTGAAAAGCCGGTGGTTGAGTGAGACGAACCAGCAAAACCACCAACGAGAAATTTTGTGTGGGATGTCGACGAAATTCCTACAGCCTTAGAAACATTACTAGCGAACACAATCCACCTATGGCAAGCGATTGTTATGAAAGTAAAAAAGCATGCGAAACATAAGAGACGTTTACTCTTGCGTATAATTAACGGGTGTCCAGTTAGACGGACGTGCACCATTGTTGACATACAAGTCGGCCTCATTACCAATCTCCACAAAGTCAAGAGTAACTCCAGCATCTTTCATAGCGGAGGACGAAAACGCTTTCGCGATGGAATGGGCCTCGAGAAATGCGGCAGTAAGGTTCTTCTGTCCGAAATTGACACCCCACGTTACATGTGTTCCTAAGTGAATATATGATCAACACGGTCTAGCATATGGGCAAGTCTGAAGCCGCACCAGACGGAAGAAAGCTGGCGGCTTGATAGAAACCATCACCGACGGTGATATCTGTGGCTTCAGGATAAGGAACTGTCGTAGAGATGGCGGGAAATATCGTTTCTGAAAACTGGCAGTCTTAGGGCATAAGGATAAATTCACAAAATGTCTAGTGGAAAATTTCACCTCAACGTTAGGATTGAAATTAGTATGATCTTCGCTGTCAGCTCCAATTCGGATGTTAGGTGGTGCCCCAGTAAGAGTTTTCAGATTATCCAAGGCGTTGTAAAGAAACTGATTCCTTGAAGTCGTGCCAGACCAGTCCGTCCATCGATCCTGTTCGATAGAAAATGACAGAAGATTAGGAGAGAGTGTCGAAGCGTTTGACGGTGCTGCGAGAGGTAAGGACACCTCTACGGCTGCGGACGCTGCAGAGACCAGCAGGGAAGAAAAGCAGAGAAACAAAGGTTGATGAAAGAAATAAGGCATGCTCTGGTGGTTATGCCAGTCCCTCAGGTAGGAGATATATACAAGGATACATAGTCCTGTGATCCCATAGAGAAAGCCATAATGGTATAGCTTGGATAAAGAAGAGCGCATAGTCGGGACCTCGCGAAGATCACGTCAGTAAAGGGGGTGCTAGAATCGAAGGAATTGGCGCAAGGAGCGGCGGCGAGCTTCCATAAAGGACGAGATTCGCTGCAGTGCGGTCAAGGATTGCATGGCAGTGCAAGTCAGCTGAGCGCGGCGTACACAAACCGGGCCGGGACGTTGGGCTCAACGCATCCAAGCCTTTTGAAAGCTAAGAATCTTAGCGAGGTAAATAATTCCTACGAAACTCGGATTCACACCTTTGACTAGAATCCACATTTGCTTGAGGCCCTCACGTTGCAATGTTTCCTGTCTACCCCGGAATAGATTTTGTGCCGATCCACGAGGAAGAAATGGGGGACGAAATGAAGAGTCGTTATTGAATTCTGTTATGTGTGGAGTGACAAGCTACACGTCAGTAAATTCTTCTGGTGTTGCAGCAGATGCGTGCTCGTCAGCCGGCCGTTTTCTGCAAGGATAGAAGGTTGATTTACGGTCCAATAGACACATTTTTTCCAGTCACTCTAGTCGGGTCGTCGGTCTTAAAAAGGAACAGTGCCATTTTGGGACAGTCAGGCTCCTCCTCGTTCAGTACCATGGCAGACGTTCGGGCGCTGTTGAAGGCCAAGCGTCAGGAAGTGCATATCTCTCATCCTCTAGCGTCGTACTCTTCTTCTGGGCAGCTCCGATGCTCTGCCTGTGGCACTATTGTTAAGCATGCTACCGCTTGGGAAGGTCATTTGGGTAGCAAATCTCACCGAACAACTGTAGCTCGGCTAAAGGAGGAGGAGAGGAAGAAGGAGGAGGAGGAGGAGTTGAGATTGAAGGAAGAGGAGGAGAAGAACAAGCTTTCTTTGGGCAAGCGCAAGTCTGCCGATGAGGACATGGATGTGGCAGACGAGCCAGCCGCCAAGAAGTCGAAGCCCAGTACTGCACCGCAAGGATTTCCTGCTGATTTCTTTTCGGATCCCTCCCTTGCGCCTGCACCTACAGCGTACGAAGACGCTTCTGATGACGGGGATCAGCCAGAGAAACCGCCAGCTGCAGCACCTCAGAACCCTCCATCAGGTCTTGACGAGGAATGGGAACGGTTCCAGCGCGATGTCATCAACGCGCCCGAGTACCGCGAGACCTACGAGAATGCTACTGTGTTCGCGGAGCCAGTCATGGTGTCGGAGACCCCCGAAGGCTTCCCGGCAAAGGAGACAGAGGCCGAGGTAGCTGACCCTACACCTATGGATGAAGAACAGCGTCGCAAACAGAAAGAGCAGGACGAACGCGAGTTAATCATGGATAGACTGCTGGATGAAGAACAGGCGCAGGAAGAAGCCGACATGAAGGTAATTTTGATGAAGAGCAGACTTGACGCACTGAAAAAAGAACGAGCGGCAGCTAGGGCATCCAAAATCAAAGCACATTCATGACTGCTGTACGTCTCAAATACAGATAATGTTACATTCTTCATCACCTTGCATTGACAGTGTTCAGCGACAATTTTGTATCTACTTCCTCTTCCTTTTTCTCGCGCACACCTATCCACTGCAACCAATCTACACCTCGCTTGTGTATCATCATCAGACCCAATATCAGCGGCAAGTACCACAGACTGTGTCGGAAAACAATTCTTGCTTGCTTCTCTCCACCCTGTTTTTCCCACCACTTCCATGCAGCTTGTACACATACGAGGTTTAGGGGCAGCGACGTCAACGTAAAGGTCCATGTTGTAAGACCGGAGAGAGGAACGGCGATTGAGCATATAAGGGTTAGAAGTATGGCGTGGCGCAAGGCAACGAGAGCATTCTTTTGAGGGTCGAGTACAGATAGCATTCGGTAGCATGCCTGTGCGTATGAACCTCGGACAAAATATGACAGCGAATTGAAATGCGGAAATTGCCAACTGAAGAGAAGCATTGGGAGGACGAAGGGAGCAAGTGGACTGTCGAGTACTGATATATCCACCGGACTGGAGGATAGAAATTCGGGAAGAAAGATGGGAAAGGAAGAGGATATCGGAGGGAACAGCTGTCCACCACAAGCTGTCCAGCCCATAGCGGGTGGTATTGCCCCAACGATGGCACCAACCCACGTATTCCAGACACTCTTCCGTTTCATCCAGGTGTAGATGCCGGCGTACAACACTATATTGCTCAGACCCAAGATGGCTGTCGTTGGATTCACCATCGTCCACAACAGTGCCGGACCAGCTACACCTGTAGCTACTGCGAACATAGTCGCGTGAAGAGGGCTGATCGCCTTTCGCACTAAGGGGCGTGACCGCGTCCGGGCCATCTGCGCATCAAAAGGGACCTCCTGCAACATATTGAATGCATTAGCCGACGAGGCGCACAATGCAGTCCCAACCGCCGTTGATAGCAATGTCGGGATCGTTGTAGGAAGTGGAGAAAGCGCGACGCCGCCCATCGCGGTCAAACATACGAGTATGCTGAGATGCGGCTTCGACAGCTGCGTATATATCCCAAGTAATTGGGACAGAGAGGATATTTCAACCTTTTTGAACGCTGAAGTCGGCACTCGCGGTGGCAATGGTTGATTGAGCCTCAGTAGCGGCGGATGGCTAAGCGGCGTAGATTTGGATGCAAGCCATTGGCCATTGTGAAAGAAATACGAAGAAAAGGCGGCATTTGCGACGGTGGAGGCGTGTCTAGTACCAGTACAAACTGCAAGCCACATTGTGGGAAAATCCAGAAATTTCCTGCCTAAAGCAGAATATTACCTAATATTTTGGGGCGGAGATTGAAACGGCCAGGGTTCGCACTCATCGTCGACGTTGCCGGCCTGCTATCCACCAAAATGCCTGGTACGCATCTACTTCCACCAAATCTACTAAAGTTATTCGCCCCTCGACCGCCGCTACCATATGCAAGACCCCTCGACAAGGACATTAACCGTGTCAAAAGCAAGAATGTCTCCGGTGTCGCTGCAATCCTTGAACAACTGAAGGAGACGAACACGGAGAAGCTGATAGCGGGGACTAAGGATGAGGAAACGATGGAGGAGGGAGAGGAGCCTGTGTTCACGTATGCAGAAGAAATTAAGCGGCAAATAAGACGGGAAGAACGGAGAAACCGGAAAACGGAGGAGTTCAAAATCGCCAAGGATGTTTGTAAGTATTCTGCGCTTCCTTTTATCTGACAGTGCTCACTTGATACCCTTTCCATGCAGATAAGCCATCTGATGATCCGGAAGCAGTTGGTGACCCATACAAAACGTTATTTATTTCCCGTCTAGTAAGTTTTTATTACCAGTGCAATTCGCAAACAGCTTCTGATTTTTTTCCAGCACAAGAGCGCTAACGAAAACGACTTGCGCAGAGAATTCGAAGGCTACGGTACCATCGAAAGGGTACGTATTGTTCGGGACAAAAAAGGCCGGAGTCGAGGCTATGCTTTCGTTGTATACGAGCGAGAACGAGATATGAAAGGTATGCATCCATAAAATATATGGCCTGAAAGTTGCCAATATTTGTTACCAGCTGCCTATAAAGAGTCCGATGGTCTCCATATCATGGGCAAGCGAATCCTTGTTGATGTGGAGCGTGGTCGAACTGTTCGTGGTTGGAAACCTCGCCGGTTGGGAGGTGGTCTCGGTGGCCGACCTAAACGTGTGGAAGCACCAGTTGCTCCACCTCCTTCACGCGGTGGTTTCCGCGGAGGCTTTGGTGGTGGGGGTCGAGGCTTTGGTGATCGTGGTGGAGGTTTCCGTGGTCGTGGCGGCTTCGGTGGTGGACGTCCCGGAGGCTATGGTGGGGACCGTGGAGGGGGTTTTGGTGGTGATCGTGGAGGAGGCTTCGGCGGTGACCGTGGAGGAGGCTTTGGCGGTGATCGTGGCGGCTTTCGTGGCGGCGATGGAGGGTTCCGAGGCGGTGGCGACGGCCAAAGAGGTCGGGATTTCGGTGCTGGCGGAGGCGGGTTCAGGTAACTTTCTTTCATTTTTTAGTCCTATGTTTTGACACTCACCTTTTCCAGGGGCGGCCGAGGGGCTGGTCTTGGTTACCAAGGTGGGGGGGGCTTCAATGACCAGTCGAATGGGTATGGACCTCCTTCCGGCGGTGGGTATGGCGGCCCTCCCGGCGGTGGGTATGGACCCCCAGGTGGTGGGTATGGAGGTGGCGGTGGGTATCGCAACGACCTCAAGCGTGGCGATGGACCGGGTGGTTACGACGATAGGGATTCCAAAAGACCACGGTACTAATCTATGGTCATCTGTCGAGGTATCTCTGGTTATCCCGTTCGGCATCTTTTCTGTCAAGGTAACCGTCTACCCTTGGGTAGGATTTTGCGGTTGGTGTTGTTCATTTTTATCTCTTTTTTTTCTATTTTATTCTGCGTAAGTATCTACACGTCGCGGCGGGCATGTATATGAGTGTCAGGCAAGTATGCATATGGTAACGAATTTGATTGTGCATGTCCCTTTGTGCCGAAAATCTGGTGACTCTAACCAAGTTTCAAGCACAAGACGTCGTCGCGACATATTGACAATGGCATAGCCGCGTTCGGGCTTTTGCGAGGATGACGCTTATTATCAATGGGCCAATTGTAAACCGGATATTTCCGCAACCGATTAATGACCGTATATTCAGAAAATATAGCTTCGCGGGAGGCGATTTCAAAATCTGGACCTGGTTACTTTTCGACAGTCTTGATTTACAACTCGACGTCAGACTTTTTCCTTGCTGTCGGAGCCGATGCGACATACATAGTCTACGGAGACCCGATTGTCCTGGCACTTTAGGGGAATGTCGAATGATTTGAATTTCGGCTGTCTGCGCGTTTATCAATGCTCTCAAATGAAAACCGACTCGGCCTCATCTATTTCTTCGGCCATGCTTTCTTTGTCTGTTTCATTCGCAAAGAAATTTGAGGGACCGTGGTCATGATGTTGTCGGTGCCGCCATCATCAAGGTTAGCATCGTCCCCAATGTGACTGCGCGAGAATCGTACGTTCGGTGTACGTCTTGTTCACCGTTTCCCACGGAGATTTATAAAAGTTTTTGCGGTAGATCTGCTGGCTTCCAAATCTTATTTTTTTGGTCGGTCGTCTCGCCTGCCATTTCTCGGGCTCGCACGCAGTTACGATGATCCATCTGATTTGATTTCACGTGGTCATGCGTAGGCGCCTACATTACGGTTTCTCGCCTTTTGCCGCTATCAGGGTGAGTGCACAACTGCCCTGTGCAGGATGGACAGCCAGGCTCGGTGGCATTTCATGACGGATTTCGTCTTGTGTAGAGAACGCTCTCAGGGATCTGTCGGTAAACGTTCTAATCAAACCTACTTGATAACAAATTGTGAACATGCATTTGTACTTGACTCAGATATGTCAGCGCAAGGCAGCAGGCAAGGACCAGCAATGGGGACTGAACAAGACGTTACCCAGCCGATCAAGATTCGAAGGACCCAAACAGGTAACTTGCTACATTCAGGGATGATTCTGATGCGATTTTTCTTAGCAACGTCCGTTCATCCGCCCGCCCAAGGCCGCCTCGACCCGTTGAAGCCCCTGCAGACCAGCATTTGCTCGACCATTCGGCTTCCTAGTTGACATCCTTGTGCGTAGTGTCTCCGAAATTTTTATTGAGCGTGCACCGGTCTATTCGTGACCTGAGAACATGTCTCAAACGTATACAAGATTCAAGTTCGTGTTCCTGAAGTTCAGCTCCAAGTCAGGTGGGAACTGAGATAAGCACCGCATCTAGATCCATCGGATTCGGTCTACCCTGAACACTGAGGTCTGAGCACGTTCCGCGTGCGATGGTCCACGGATCAGATCCCACTTTCCTGCTAGATATGATCTTTTTCATGATCTTTTAGCGCCGTTAACTTATACGGTCTCTTTTTGTCCATTTCTTGGCAAAAACATTAAGCCAGTCCAGACGAAATTTACGGAAACTCGCACACCGCCACCACACCGACGGTTTCTACTTTGCACAAACTAGACCCCCCCCCCAACCCTTTTGATCCCTATGTCACCAAGTTCCTAGATCTGATCGACCTTCTTCTCCACGGAATTCAAGTAGGCTCTTTTTTTTGTGTGTACATAAATCTCCTGACATCCTATCTTTCCTTCACCTGCCATCTCCCCAAGTCAGTCTGGGCCGCTACTTTCTCTTTATCGTCGTTATAAACGCGCTGTTTGGCCGTCTGTATCGCGTGGGCCAGAAACTACGCTATTTCCAGAGGTGTGGTGTCATTATTTCGCTAAAATTCTTAAACATCGTTAATATAAGGGTGATCAACAGCCGGAGACATGGCCAGTCGTCGAACGCCTCTGACTCGGTCGACACGTTCCTCACTTCGAATCGACCCATCATTCCATGAGTCTGATGCCTCTGGCTCGCCTTCTCCGGGAGTGGCTGCCGCCTCTCATTCTCCGTACACGCCAATAAATTCGAATCGACCTTCCCCAAGTGGTTCGGATTCAATTGACGACGAGAAAGACAAGGAACCGGCGTCTGGTCCCAAACGGTCCAATTCTTCAACTTCGACAAGTAGCAAGGGCGAAAAGGAACGGAGAAAACGCTCGCGGGTAACGGCAGAACAACTCGTTCATCTTGAGCAGTTCTTCGCTGTTGAACGAAGTCCAACTGCTGCGCGTCGGAGGGAAATCAGCGAATTGCTTGGCATGGAGGAGCGCCAGACACAAGTTTGGTTCCAAAATCGGTTAGCTCACTGAACGTTTGACATTTACATTTGTTGACGCTTCTCTTACTAGCCGCGCAAAGGCGAAGATGCTGCAGGCCAAGAACAAGGACACCGTTCAAACTGGCTCTCATCCGGTGCCGCAGCGACAAGCAGACATCATTGTGCCTGAATCACCACCTAAGCTGCTTACTGGTTTTCAGGCCGACTTGCAGCAGCTCATTCACGAGAGTGAACGTACGTCGTAGTAACACCTCAAGAACCCAACTCACGGCATTCCACCACAGCAATAACTATTATTCCATGTACAAACCTGTCGATCGGCACTTGGCGCCGCATAGCATCGAGTGTCAGCAAGTACGACCTTGTCGCTTATGTTTGCGAAAGCAAACAGACTTTAGCCTGGTTCATTTCGTCAAACGGTTGCGGGTTTAAAATGGAGATGCCTTTCGACAATATCGTCGAGAGTAGATTTATTAATGCGGGACCCGGTTTGGGTCTTGCCTCTTTCACTCTGTCGCGTCCTCCGACCTTTTTCTTGGAACGCATAGAATCCGCCTTCAATGAGGAGCCCCGCCACCGTCGCGCTTGGTCTCAAAGTGCTGACTGGACAGAAGCATATCAGGCTACAAATGTGCTACGCCACGAGCTTATTGGCTCTGCATTGCAGCTCTCGCATCTCGTTCGAGCCCTTCAAAACAGAACGCAGACCTCTGTTATATATCTCCATACTCCTGCGTATAGCGGGGCCTCTCCAGTTGAGATACCACGTCCCCCGATGGGAAGCTTAACGGATTCTCAAACTGAGTATTCCTATGCGGCTAGCGGGCGGCAAGGTGCTGATTATCAGGCACCCACATTCACTGGTGCTTCGGGCATACCTCCTACCTCGATTGGTTATGCTCCCAAGTCCGTTAACACCGTCGTACCCGCTATGGCCTTTACGCCGTCTTCATTCTCCACCCTGTCCACTGCATGTGCGATCCCAGACCCTTCTAGCTTTGGATCATCGTATAATGAGTATCAATATACTGGCGGACATCAGATGGTGACGGACAGTGCTGGTGACTATGGTCAAAATATGTCCTCGGGTGCTCCTCCGACTCATGGCGGACCCTACCTGGCTCAGCCCGTCCCTCGTGCCCTTTATCGGGAACGTACCCAGTTCGAGCCCAATTACCAGGCTGATGGGATACTCTCAGAGTATCAGATGAACGCTCCGGTGGATCAATACGACCCGGCTTCCCCTCCACTTTTGACAACCCCATTCTATCCGCCGACAAACATGACTGAGACCTACTCTGACGGTCAAGGTACCATAACGCCAGGTGTGCCCGCCATCAAGTACGAGGTTGATGACGGTTCCGTTCTTAACTAGATTCACGCCGAATGGCACCCAGCATCTCGGTCATTCATTATACTACTGCATTCGCATTTTCACATTGTAACTATAACATACATTCCTCTCCTGGTCTTTCATTTATCACTCGTCGTTCGCCGCTTTCGTTGTCACCGCCGCCCCAGGGGGTCTCGTTATGGACTGAGTATCATCCCTTTATAATTTCGTTACTGATTCATTATTTCATTTTGTAGCCCACATATATCGCATACTTGATTCACCTGCTTTGTTATTACGTGCAGATATGTACCTTATACTCATTTCGTTCTTGCAGGTTGTGCAACTGTTGTTGATGCTATTAATAATAGTCTTTCCAGTACACGAATAAGTCATGGAGAACATTCCTACGGAAGTTTCTCAAAGTCCGATGTGATCGAATCCAGCCTTTCCCTGCTGAGCCTAGCGGTATAAGTTCGGCTAACAATGTTGACTATCAGATTGAAATTTGTCAGATTTCTCAACGGCAGATCAGACTGGACATCCATACAAGTGTCCATGAAACGCTCCATGCATCTTGTCAGGCATGTCTGCTTCGGAATCAATTGTCTATTACAAAACGAAAAAAAAAAAAAAATTCCCTCACTTCTTCAGAACTATTGAGGGAGGCCCCAGGCCTGGTAACGCATGCCTTGAAACATCGCTCGTTCATGTTCTAAATCCGAATCATTTAGTCATTATTGGGAAGGAAGGGGGGAAACAAGTGGACACTCGCGTTCATGAGCATTTGAGCATTTGCCTGCGCAATTTCCGTGCGTACGATATTCATGAGTTGTTCCTTCTTCTCACCGTCTAGTGGTAAATCTGTAAGCAATGTTCTGGCAAATCTGGTGGATGTCGCACCGCTAGGAGACGATGAAGAGGACGACGACTTGGATACAAACGGCGATTTGAAAAAGTCCGACATGATTTCTCAGATATTCTGGCGTCTAACGGTGGTGGTTGTAGTGGAGTCAGTAGCCAACCTCGCGGGGGACGAAAATATTTGATCGAGGCTAAAATAGGCAATCAATTCGTCATCGACGGCGACGACGTCTCCTTTCGCCTTTCTCTTCTCGTCCACCAGCATATACCATGGGTGCAGGAGAGTCGACTGCACGTAACGATCAAGCCGATGAAGTCGTGGACTACTATCAGCTGCTAGAGGTCGACGAGAATGCTACGGCCGACGAACTGAAGGTGCGCCAGTTAGGATTCTTTTGCGTCTTTACCCATTCTTACGGTCTCTAAGCGCGCCTTCAGAAGACTTGCTCTGGTGCACCACCCGGACAAGAATCCTAACGATGTTGAGGGAGCCACGAAGCGATTTGCAGCGATGCAACAGGCATACGAGGTCGGATCCCTGGGAAATTTCTTTGAAATATACTCATCTATGCTCAGGTTCTCAGTGATGAACAAGTGAGCTACAGAAAATCACCGGCTGTTGGCAAATGACCGAGCCACACCAAGTAGGAACGCGCGTGGTACGATTCACACAAGGTGTCATTACAACCTGAGCCCGATGCAGAAACGGTGTTTGAGGATATCCGTAAGGGTGCCCCACCACCCCGTGCACGAGACAGAGGCCTCACAGTAAGGCACCTCGCCCGTTTTTTTGATGCAACCATCTGGTCTGGATTCGCCGATGATGATAACGTATGTTTTATCGAAAATGATCTACTAGCGCTTTACTGATTTTCACGCTATCTCATGATTTTTCAGGGATTTTTCTCGGTATACCGAAACCTGTTTAACCGGCTCATGGCGGAGGAGACCATGATTTCAGATATTGACCTACCTTCTTTCGGATATTCTACTTGGACTTGGACACCCGTTCACAAGGGCGAAGAGTCGACCGCAGCACGGACGTTCTACAATGCATGGATAAATTTCGTCACAAACAAAGATTTTAGCTGGTGCGATCAATGGAATGTTGCTGAAGCGCCTGATCGGCGGGTTAGAAGGTAACTGTATGTTTTACGTGTATGCTTTTAGAGTCTGAGTATTTTTTTTTTCTAGATTGATGGAAAAAGATAACAAGAAGGCTCGGGACGATGCGCGGAGAGACTACAATGACACCGTCCGAGTGAGTAAAAATGTCTTCCTGTTGTATCTGCATAACATGACATGACATTATGCAGTCTCTGGCCAAATTCTTGCGTAAACGCGACCCGCGCTACAAAGCCCATCTTGCTTATCAATCGGAAGAAATAAAGAGTCGCGTCGGATCGGGAACTTCAACGCCCCATGCGGGTTCTTCCCGGAGAGGTGTTCAATCAACAATAGATTCTTATGTGGAACAGGACTGGCAGAAGATCGACACGAAAGGATCACACGATGATGATCTGGAGTGGGCCATCGGCGAGGGCGAAGATTCCGAAGAGTGGGAATGCGTCGTGTGTGGCAAATCATTTCGAAGCGAAGCAGCGTGGGACAGTCACGAAAGAAGCAAAAAGCACCTCAAGGAAGTTGAACGCATACGCAAGGAGATGCAGGAGGAAGATGCTGAACTCGGCCTCAATGATCCAGAGCTAGAGACTCCGGATCTGCCACGGTCGCAAAGTTTAACGCCTGACGTGCCAACGATAGACGGAGACGTTACTGCCGTTGCTAACGCTTCTGATGGTGAGGACCAGCAGGCCAACATTGGCAAACGAAAGAAGCAGAAAAACAAAAATAAAATCAAGAAACCACCTTCGGAGCCGTTGATGAAAACTCAAGAAATAGCGCGGAACGTTCTCGACACGTCCATTCCTGAGGTGCAAAGTCAACCTCGAGACCAGGCGCAGACCGTTTCCCTAGACGACACGCGACCCTCGAGCGTGGCAGTGGAAATGACGAAAAGGGAAAAGAGACGTGCTAAACAGTCGAAAAAAGCTGAAGCTGAGAAGGAGGCCGAATCGCAGGTATGATAAGATTTTCCACCGTGCTGTCTTGAAACATCTATCTTACGAATACATGTGTCTCGTTTTAGTTCAAATGTAACGTTTGTTCAAACGTTTTCACAAGCAAGACGCAACTATTTAACCATATACGGGACATGGACCATGCCCTTGCTGACGACACTCCGAGTCGGGGAAAAAAAGGGAAGGCAGGGAAGCGGTGACCTTTCCGGCGGTATAAACGGCTACATTTTGTTTTGAATACAATAATATAAGGTGGTAGTTGATTAGTAGTAGATCACTCCTAATGCAGATGCAGCGGTACCGATGAAAAGGTCCAGATGCACTCAAAAAGCAAATGTGGCCCCCCCCCCCCCCGGGTTCGTACAGCGGGGCGTTTTGAAATTGCCGCAGATCGCATTCGGGTGTCCGTTCACCGAACAACAAGGCCGAATGCAACCCTTTGTTGGTGACGTTGATGATGTATCCGGAACAATCCTGAGCACTTTACTGTCCAGATGAGCCCATCTGTTTGCCGGAGGAGCAAATAATAATATGTATCCAACTCATTTTCGGATATGTGTTGTCCCGACGACAAGAACACCATGTAATTCCCCGCAAAATGAAGAATACAAATGACAATCATTCCGTACTAAACCTTATTATTATGCAGGAAAAGCCGCGGAGACTCGGGCAAACTATCCCATCAACTGAGATACGTCCTCAGGCGGGTATTTGGTCTGAGAGAACGTGAGAAGTCTAGATGGCGAGTATTCAATACCCTGAAACAATAAAGACCCACTAGGACGTACCGTTTCAGACTCTGAATATATTTACGACTAACTTCATCGTTCAATACATGCGCAACTTGATCTGATGAGATCTTCTCTCGGGCAGAACGTTCGTGTATACTAGGACCGGAGTAAGCATGATGTCGTAGCATGTGGAGGAGGGAACAGGACATACCCAACCATGGTCACACCGATAGGCCAGGGTGCATTACCGATAGAAAGGCGCAGATATGCGTCGTTTGCGCGTTGATATTGTCGCTTTTGCATGTGGTGAACGATCTCAGCCATGCGCGCCAGGACGTCCGAGGGTAAAGACTAGAGGAACGCATTCAAAATGAACTAATGCCTGGCATCGGATGGAGTGCCGTACTCTGGAACGTAACTGCTTGAAAAGAGGCTTGAGATACTCTGCGGACTGGACTTGGGTCGCAGCAGCCAGTTTTCCTTGGTGTGTTCTCTTGATGTGGTCTGTCGAGCGATTCGATAAGCTCAAGTGAAGGTAAACGTAATGCATACCTGGTCGTTCGTCCATTGCCTCTCCCCACTCCTTCAGCACTCGTTTGAGAGCATAATAAATGATAGGATACAGCTTTTCTGGCTCTGTCTTGACAAGGTCGAGGTCAAGCACAGTGTTGGAAGCAAGCTCAGATTCTTCCTTCTTCTTGCCCTTGTTGAGGATTCCCTTACTGTTCATCTCTCTCTCCACATTTTCAACATCCTCGAGGGCCTTCTTGAAATCATTCTGGCCGCCTTGTCGGTCATGGCCCTTTTCCTCAATCAACTCCAGTGCTCGTAACCGGAGTCGTCGGTCCTTGTCCGATTCGGCAAACAGCCGTATTGGCTGGCCCTTGGCTCTTAGTCGACGTATAGTTTCTTCTACAGAGATATTGAATGACGATTCGGGTTTAGGTGAGTCGGTGTCGCGCGATAGCGAACTGGGATGAGGTGAATTGGACGACCTGGCACTAGCCTGTTCTCCATCAACAAATTAGGATCTAAACCTTGCAGAACATATGCAGCCTTACTCACTTTCGCTGCCCTTGCCGCTACGGCCTTTGCTTCTGCTTCTTCCATGGCCGCTCGTTCTTTTGCCTCCGCCGATTCTCGCTCTTTGCGTTCCTGTTCCTCCTTCATTCGTTCCAGGTCACCACGACGCATATACTTTGTCGGTCGTTCAGAAGAGCCATCCTGCAGTCCTTTTCGTTTTAAGGCAATTTCAGCCTTGAGTGCGTCCATTGTAATAGGTTAGTAGTAGTGGTGGTGGTCGGTGGTCTAGACGACCTAATCTTACGTAATATATACCTCTTTCCGCTGCCACCCGGTTTGTTCACCAACTTGCACCCACCATGTCAGAGGCCTCTGAATTATCCAGGTATTTCTTCTCTTTTTTATTCCTTTTTTTCTGGTATTTATTATGCACACAGCAAATACATTCTCCAGACCGTTGGGTTCGACGGTGAGGTCCTCCCCTGGCAGTCATAAAGGCGACGACTGATAGAGGAATCCCAGCTCGCTTCCCCAACCAGAATCAGACTCGCAACTGGTACTATCGCTTGTGCTGCTCATATATTGCTCTGCCTTATGTTTGCTCTGTCCAGCTTCCAGAACTATGTCGATTACTTCAAGTGTATCAATGCCAAGGGTGAGGACTACGCTCCTTGCCAGCAGTTCAAGAGGGTCTACCGTACTCTCTGCCCCAGTATGTTGTTCCACTTTTTTTTTCCGAGTCTGTTTGCCGATAACATTCCAGATGAATGGGTATGCATCGCTTTTGACGTTCCGAATGATCTATTTCCTGACAGTCTGATGTTCCTTAGGTCGCCAAGTGGGACGACCAGCGCGAGAATGGCAATTTCCCCGCTTCCCTGGAGCCTTGAGGCGTGTTTATGCATAGCACAGACCAGAGGAAGGGAAGGCTTTGTACGTTAGACAAGTCCAGTATATTGTTCCCAGAATTATCCTTCAGGTCACGTGGAATTTAACAAAGTTTCTCTATCTCTTCCTTTACATTTGTGCCATTAGACAGATATCTTTCCCTGCTGTAGGGTTCTCATTGACACCGGGTTCCGGCTTGTTCCACCATCAATTCCACTTAGACACGGCCGGTGGTCGCATGTTCATCTCTAACCACCGCCATGGACTACAGCAGCGAACCAGAACACTCAGAGTTACTCGTGGTGCAAGCACAAGAGCCATTCAATGCGGAACCGCTGTCCGCTGCCCTCGTCGAGTTCCAGCTGACTCCTGAAGAGCTCGTGTATTGCAGAAACCATGGACCAGTCCGCCAGTTCTCTGAAGACGATTGTACGCTCACCATCAGAGGAATGGTGGACAATCAAGTGACCTTTTCGATGAAGGATATCAGAACGATGTTTCCGCAAACACGAGTAGTTGCAGCGCTACAAGTGAGACACTATTCCGTTGACCATGACTTGTACTGATAACGACGTACCTGTAGTGCGCCGGAAACCGACGTAACGAGATGGGTGCTATCAAACGTGTACAGGGCGTAGGTTGGGACGACGGTGTTATTGCCAACTGCAGCTGGGGTGGGGTAAGACTCTGTGATGTATTAACGTATGTCGGCATCCAGCACGGCGATGCACATGTATGCTTCACGTCGTACGCTACACTGTGCCAGGATGACACGTACTATGGTTCTTCTATTCCCGTTGAGAGGGCGATGAAGGTTGAGAATGATGTTCTATTGGCTTTCGAGGTCTGTCGCTGATATGCATCTCCTCATGTCCAAGCTAATGTATAGATAGATGAACCACGAGGCATTGCCAGCGGAACACGGGGGACCTCTACGCCTCGTTGTCCCGGGTGTCTTGGGTGCCAGATGGGTGAAATGGCTTGATACAATCATTGTTTCTCCAGACGAGTCGCCCAATTTCTATCAGCAGCGAGACTACAAGATCCTTCCACCAACCGTATGTCGATTTCATCGTATCTATTAGCATCAAACACTAAATTCATCTATAGATTGAAACCAAAGCTGACGCAGAAGATGCGTGGTCCAAACACCCTGCCATAGAATCCCTTCCACTGAACTCGGTTGTCGCTGTGGCAGTCTACTTTCCCTCGTCGTTGTCTCTCTTTGTGAAAGGATACGCCATCCCGGGGTCTTCGGGAAACGTTGCATCCGTTGACGTATCCATCGACGAGGGCGAGAGCTGGGTTCCGGCAAAGATAACTTATCAGAAGGGACGATGGAGTTGGACACTTTGGGAAGTGCAGGTAGCAGATGTGCCTCAAAGGGGTGTGGTTTGCTCTCGTGCTATTGATGAACATGGAAGGGTACAAAATAAGGAATGTACGTGGAATATGAGAGGCGTAGCGTATAATGCTTGGGGACGAAAGAGTTGGTAGCATTTCTTCTGTAAATAGCACCCTAACCCTAAGGTTGCCATTTTTGGATGCATACAGTATCACGACTCCATGCCGAGGCAATTCGTCTGTGAACGATCGACGTCGACGAGCAGTCGTACTACGAATCTCTCTCAGTAACCACCCAGTAACCAGCACTCCTCGTTCGCAGTGCCCCTACAAAGAAAATCACCTATCGCGTTTGCCATGGCGCTGGGAAGACTCCTTCACTATACGCTCGACGCAGTATTGCTGTCGACGGTGCTAGCAGGCGTACGGAGGTCCAGTGGTTTTACGTGAGTGGCATATTTGGTTCGGTGGCTACTGCTAGCTGATGATATGCAGCCCCAATACCTCAGCGATTACCGAGCCAACACTGCGTTCAGTGGCTGATACGTTCCTCAGCACTGGCGAGACAATATTCGATCTCATTCAGATGAAGTCGATGAATACCGAGTACTTTAAGAAAGACTCGAAGACCGGGTCGAGGAGCGGATAATGATGGTCTAGGATGGATGTATGCGTGATGTGATGTCGACACTGTATCTCTGTACCACGACCCCCATTCCAACGGAACAAATGCTTATATTCGCGAGCAGTGGCAGGATGAAATATTCTTTATCGATATACCAGATATGTTTACCATTGATCTTTGTACAAACAAAGTGGCACCGACATCCTGTGGGAATTTGTCATTCAGCTAAGATTGTCTTCCTACCACCATGGCCCACGACGTGACCTCGCCGGAGAACACCATTGCCGTCGCCTTCGTCGTCGATGCATCCCTCTCGCTCGCCGCTCAATGGCACCTCGTCATCGGCCAATACGTCGCCCCAATGCTTAAACGTCTCAGCGAGTCCAATCCCGGTTTCAGAGTAGGAGAAAATAGCCATACTGCAGCCCCCCCACCACCTAATTATTCACCACTAGTTCCGCATGGCTTTTGTCTCCTACGGTACTGCTGATACCCGGCCTACACCATTACTATGTAAAAGATTCTTTGCCGACTTTCAGCCTGTGACCAAGCTCATCAAGGAGGAGCCATCGAAGCTGGGTATCGGTCTGTCTTCTTTAGGAACCCACGGAATGTCGGCCTTAGAGGGCTTTGTTGCGGCGGTAGAGGTTAGCAAATGAATTAGTTTCACTTACACGCTACACGCCTTAACGTAAGGTCTAGATGTTTGATACCCTGCAGAGTTGCTATATCCCACCTGATCCAAATCGTCCTCCACTCTACCACATATTCCACATTGCATCTTCTCCGCCGGACGATCTTGAATTTCCTCTGTACAACCAGCTGCCGGAGCTCGACTGCATTACTTGGGATACTCTGCCTTCTGAGCTCCAGAAGGTGCCTGTCTTGTTCCGAACGCGTCAAGACTGCGTTGCTAACAGGTTTTCAGAGAAATATCCACCTAAGCATTATCGCCCTGGACTCATCACTTCCCAAGTTCTCGGAGCTGCAGTCTTCGGTAATATTTCCATTTCCCCTGACCACCATACACTTACATATCCTCTAGGCCGCTGCTGGTCAGAAGGTGCTGCCTTGGTTTCCAGTGCATTCCCAGCATGCACTCTGCCTTTCTGGTTTCCCCGTGTATCAGGCTGCGCTACCCAAAAGTAACGAACTTCTTCGTTCTCTGCTGTTACATGTCTCAATACTTCACATTAGCGACCCCCCAAAAGCGCGCTCATGAAGTCATCTCTGTCGACGACAAGATGGATGTGAAACGCGTGCGACTTTCCCAGCCCAATGAAAAATCGACGCCTACTCCCACTCCCTCTGTTGCGCCAACTCGTCCACTCCCCTCTCAGCCTGTTGCGAATAACCCCATTCATCACCCGCCTCAAAATACACCGCCTCAGATACCGATGCCGAGTCCCCAGCAATTATTTGAACGCTTCCGACAGGAAGACGCCAAAATGCGTGAGCTAAACAAAGCGATGGTAGATGCTCGTGGTCGGGGGGAAATTGCGCGCGCCGAGATCATTCATCAGGAGATAACCAAGAGAATGCCTCAGCACCAGAAACTTCGTCAGGTCGTCTTCGCTGTGATGAGAACTCCCCAAATGGCTGCGATGAGACAGCAACTAATGCAGGGGCAGCTAGCCAATCAGGGAAACTCGGCGAATGCGATCGCAAATCCGGCCACCGAGACCCTAAAAGTTCCACAAGGCTCATCACCCGCGCAAGGGTCCACAGCCGCGTTTCCTCCCAACGACGGAGCAAATCCTCCGACAAACAATTTCGTGCCACCGCAAGGAATGCACATTCGATCTGTCTCGAATCCCGGCGAGATCAGTCAAGCTCTTAACGCAGCTAGAATGCAAATGCCGCCTGGCACAGCTGCACAAATGCGAATGGTCATTGAGCAACAAAATCGGACGGGACAACCTCCATCGCAACATCTGGGAGCGGGTCCGTCGAAGAGTTCTCCCAATATGATGGTGAACGTGCCTTCTGGTTCAATTACTTCGACGCCACCGATGAATATGATGGCGGCGGGGGACCATCCACCGAGTAATGCTACACAACCACCCCAGCCACAACCAAAACAATCTTTCAAAACCCCGGTGTGGCAGGGGACGCTTCGCTGGAGCGGTGTTGATGCAAACGGGAAGCGGGAGATGCAGGTACATGTTGTGGCGTTCGCTCAGAATCCCGCTGACTGGTAATTATCTTCTGTCTCGCCTTCCTTTTTCCGCTTAACTGAGGTTGATTTTAGTCATGCCAATACTTGGCCGGCATCATTTATGCTTACGCCCACGGTCCATTCTTCTGTATCGACGCAGGATTTGCAGGTGTGGGTCAAGAAGACACAACCTGTGTTGTGTACCTTTGCGGCTCAGCCCCGTATTGCGGATCCCAAGACGAACGAGCTTCAGTACAGATCTTTGATTGCGCTTCTTCTAAGTAAGAAAGTGGTACGTGGCATTCCTAAGCTCTTCTCATATAAAATTCACATTGTTGGCAGTATGCTGTCGCTGCGTGGACGCGACCCTCAGGCATCCAAGATACCAATGCCCTGTTGTTCCCCATAAATGCTCAAGGACTTGTAGGCGCCTTTTTCCCTCTCAACGGCATGCCCGAGCTGCCAAAGCCTACGAACCCAGGGCCGCTCAACTTTCCGATGGCACCTCACATGATGGCTACCCTAGCCAAGATGCCTCCGGAGCAGCGGAATGCGGTCATGACCCAATTTGCTATGGCCCAGCGGGTCCGTGCTGCCCAAGCCCAAGCCCAAGCCCAAGCCCAAGCCCAAGCAGCGGCTAGCAATAATGTTGCATCTTCGTCTGGGCCATCTGGGTTTACATCCCAACAGCCTCCACAGACGATTCAGCAGCAGTTCCAGCAACATCAACAACAGCTACAGCAGAAGCAGCAGCAGCAAGCATCGCAACAACAGTCGTTTAGTGGCGGCCAGCCGTATACTGGTGCTGGGGTGGTTCCTCAGGCAAATAACATGATGAACTTTAATGCACAGCAGACACAGATGTCTGCGTCGCTCCCGAGACCTGTGCAGCCCAAGGGGGGGTTCAGTCATGAGATTTTGCAGTCGTTTATGCAACGTAGTGCGGAGGGTGGGGGAGGCACGTAGTTTGCTACTCGGTGGGATCTTGGGAGCACGCATATCTTGGTTGTATCGGTATCACTATTGACATAGATTGTATTTTTATGATGTACTTCATACTTAAATATTATCCACTAGTATTAGTGGGTCACCGGGCCGCAACCGACCATCCTCTTTTGCATGCCACCAGGACCAGCGTATAACTGGCTCTGCGTCCTTTCGTCTGCTGCTGACATTCTTGGCCATGCGGCACGTATAAGAGCCTCGCAAATTGCTGGGCAGCGTTCAGTACTTGTCTCAAGGATGAACAATCGCGACGCGCCGGCACTGGAAGAAAACAAAATCAAAACTGAGGAGAATGTACGGCCAGTTGTGGTAAGTCTGACTATGCTTTCTTATGTTTTCTTTTTTCTGAAATAGTGAAAGACTGAACCATTCGTGTTGACCAGAGTCTCCATTCTTCCTCGAGAATTTTCTGCAGAAGTGAAAAGTGTGGAGGAAGTGCGTCCAATAAATAATTGACTCTTGGTCCCTGCTTGATATTTGCTAGACACAAGAAATACGCGAGGACTCGGTAGTAGACTCCATTCCCTACGAAACCGCACCTCCAACACAGGCAGAAGAAATACAGGCGCCTCTAGTCTTTCCGACGCGTAACCTATCTTCTTCCAAAGTCCCATCCTCGCGTATTGGCCGGCTCTTCCACTACGGAGGTTCGTTTTCCTCAATTTACCCCTCACATCTACTGAACAATTCTACAGGGCTTGCTGCTTCTCTCAGCTACGGTGCTGCCTCAGAATTGCTCCGTCGAACCGGCGACAACCAAGCCTCTGTCATGATGACCGAAGCCAACATAAAGCGGCTCGTCTCCAAGCTCTCGCAGATGCGCGGGGCAGCGCTCAAGCTGGGCCAATTTCTTAGCATACAAGGTCTGCCCTGTCCTTAATGTTGAACGTCGCGTATTTATTTCTGATGATCCAAAACTCAGATACCCACCTCCTTCCCCCCGAAGTAGATAAAATCTTCCGAAGGGTGCAGGATAGCGCGCATTACATGCCGGATTGGCAAATGGAGGTGCGGCCCCGTATCGCTTTTGCGGTGTCGCATCCTGATCACGACATGATAGAAAGTCTTGCAAAATTCTCTGGGGACAGACTGGAGTTCACATTTTGACTCTTTTGACCGTATTCCTTTTGCTGCAGCGTCGATAGGTCAAGTACACAGTGCCGTTCTCAAAGCGTCTGCTTCGCCCACGGGCGAACCGTACCGAGTAGCAGTCAAAATCCAGTTCCCCAATATCGCCAACTCGATAGACAGTGACCTGGGTTATATCAAGCTCTTGTTGACCGCCGGCAAGTTTCTTCCAAAGGGTCTTTTTCTGGACAAGACCGTCTCGGTGAATAGTTTCTTTAATTCTTCCTCGGAAGTTCCTGCGCTGATTTGGGTTACGTGAAGGTTATGAAGCGGGAGCTAGCAGATGAGTGTGACTACTCTCGGGAGGCCTCGTTCTTGCGTACTTTTGGATCACCAGAGTACCTTGGAAACGATCCGCGTTTCAAGATTCCTTGGGTGTGGAAAGGAAGCACTGACCGCGTTCTCGTCATGGAACGCATCGACGGGATCAGCGTCGGGGAGGCGGACGTCAAGGCCTTGTCCCAACCAGATCGCGACACCGTGCGTCCTGCTATCGTTACGTTTCTCCTATTTACTCTTCAAGCAGATCGCTGCGTGTGTTATTGAACTCTGTTTGAAAGAGCTCTTCGAGTTCCGGATGATGCAGACGGATCCCAACTGGACAAATTTTCTCTGGGATGCGCGTACAAGGCAGATTGGGCTAGTGGATTTTGGTGCTACACGACTGTATTCCAAAGAGTTCATGGATGGTTGGTTGAAGTTACTCCAGGCAGCTGCTTCTGATGACTGGGACGCTTGCGTTGAGTGGAGTTTGAAGGTGGGCTACCTCACCGGCCAGGAGAACCAGGTTCGTTAGCTCCCGCTGCAACGTTACCCTAGCTGATAAGTACGTGTTATAGATAATGCTGGATGCCCATGTAAAATCCATGACACTCCTTGCCGCGCCATTCAAAGCGTCGACTCCCCAGCCGTATACTTTCGGCCGCGACTCGAGCTGGGCAGATATCACAGCTCAGATACGGAATAATATTCCGGTGATGTTGGAGCACAGGCTTACACCTCCACCGCAGGAGACGTACAGCTTGAATAGAAAGCTCAGCGGTGCGTTCCTCCTCGCGTCAAGGCTCGAAGCCACCGTCGATACGAAAGACATCTGGGACCGGCTCGTGGGACAATATACGTTTAGTTCGTAGCTAGAGAGTTAGTAGCAGAATGGAAATGCACTCAATTTTTTCTCCATATGGCACGGCCGATCTGTCTGTTTACCTTCTTCACCTTCACTTGAAAATCGACATGGACGTCTTTCATTCATTAGTCGACATCTCCAAGCCTTCATTGCTCCTTTCCCTGGCAGCGATAACCTTCAACCCAACCGCATGGAATGTCGTCGCGAGAAACGGTACGCTCCATTTTTTTCGCCCCTCGCCGCTCTCACTATCTCTCCAGAGTACCGAAACAAGACCATCACGCGCATTTTCGGCAGCCCAAAGGCAGGATGCTACTTTCTCGCTCTGATGATTTTTTTATTCGGCATGGTGAGGGATTATTTGTACGTGGACCTTCGCCCCCGGCGTACTCTCGTCTGACTGTCACGCTACGGGTAGGTTCCACGCTGCGCTGGCAGAGCAGCCGAGGGTGGAACTGCTACCAGAGCCGTATAACAAGGCGCTGCCGTTGACGTTGATAGGTACAGGGCAGCTGTTGGTGGTGTCGTCGACGTGGGCGCTGGGTATCACTGGCACGTTTTTGGGAGATTACTTTGGGGTCCTTATGGACCATAGGGTAGAAGGGTACGTCGTTCCTTCGTCGCTGTTCTTTATCGTTGACGCGTACTAGATTTCCGTTCAACGTCTTGAATGACCCCATGTACGTTGGTAGCACCATGTGCTTCCTTGGTGTGGCGTTGTGGTCAGCCTTACTTTCCCTTGTCTTTCCTGAGCCTCCATTAAACCTGGATACAGGGAATCCTCCCCTGCAGGCCTTTTCATCACACTCTACGTATACATAGTCTACATTATTGCTCTGCGATTCGAAGGGTGCGCCGTCTAGCCTTACTGCAAGATTTTCTGCTCATTTCTTGCATTCCAGGCCCTTCACTGACATGATATACTCAAAACACGCCGAGGACCAAGCCAAGGCGTCCAAGAAAGATTAATGAATTTATGACGCGACATACCGACTCTCATCAGTCGTATTCTAGATTTTTGGGAAGCAGGCTGGTTTCAACTCCTGTTGGCATGAATATATTCCCTAATATCACTCTCTTGGATTCCGTACATACACCACAGAAGTATAATGTCTGGCGTTGTGTATGAGCTCACCATTTTTATTTGACTATCGAGGATGCGGCTTCAACAATCTGAACAAACGTATTTCACAACGCTAAGAATATAATACATCATACATACATGTCGAAAACTGATACACCGAAAAGAAAATGGCAGATGATCCTACATGCACTCAACTCACATTCATATCCATGTCAATGTCGGCGTCAGCATCAGCATCAGCATCAGCATCAGCATCAGCATCAGCGTCGGCGTCAGCGTCATCGGCATCGGCGTCAGCGTCAGCATCGGCATCGGCATCGTAGTTAGCATCTTCCGAAACTGGGCGCTCCTGGCCTGCATCTTTGCTCGTGCTAGCCACAGGTTCTGGATTGATCAACTCCATTTCTTTCTTCTTTTCACCCTCAGTGTCACTTTCCATCTCATCGAGCGCAATTCTGCATGCTCCATTTAATATCTATCCCTCAAGAGAAAACCAGGACGCACCGAAACGCTTCTTGGCACTCCCGCAACTGCTTAGTACTTTTCTTCCAGTTCTGTCTCCGCGACGTCGGAGATATCATATCTTCGTCCAGTTCTGCAATGCACTTAAAACCCAAACGCCAACAGCTATAAAGAAAGTCGCCTACCTTTATGCTCACCCAGCATTTTAAGATGCTTCGCTGTCATAAATTGCCACGACTTTTCCTTGTCGAAGAAATTGACCGTATAAAAGTGGATATCATCTTTGATTCGCTTCGTCTTTTTGTACTTTGCCACAAACTCCTTTTTCCTATTGAGAATTTTCTCCGGTAGCTCTGGATGGTCCTCGTCGTATATAACCGCTGGCCACCACGGGTAGCTTCCTACAAAAAAGATATCAGAGCTGATATAGTGAAGATCAAGATGTCTCCATACCAGATTTTGCCCAGACTGAAAGAGAAGAAATGATATGAGTCTACTAGAACTTAAATTGTGGAAGGACACGAAAGCTTACCCAAGGTACCGCTTTCCAACTTTTCACCAGGTTTGAGATTGACATTCCCAAGGGTACGATCGTAAGGCGGAATCGCTTCGCTAAGCGCAGCCTTCCGTTGCTTGTTCTTTGCACGACGAGTATCGGGTGTGACAATTTCCTCAACAATGAAGCCACCCCTGTCGGGGTCTTCGATGACGTTGTAATTGGGCATCCGCTTGAGATCGTCGACATTACGACCATACCGATCTCTGACTTGACGGGCCTCTTCAATTCGTTTCCGAATCAGCTCTTGTTCGGAATCTGAAGGCGAATTAACACCCTTTGCTGTTTCCTCCGGCGAGTCGGACCTGGCCTGCTCTGGCTGGACCTCGTTCGTCATTTCGGCAATAGGAGAATCCTCGGGTACAACAGTTACCTCTGCTGGAATATCACCCTCTGTCCCAGTATCGCCATCTGCTTGAATCTCAACCCTGTCGGACGCGTCCACCTCATCCGGAACGGGAACTTCCGCTGGAGCAGCATTCTCCATCTCAACGTCTTCTTGTTGACCACTAACATCTCCAGTCGGTTCAATGTACTGTACTGCTTCTTCCTGGTGAGACATAATATCATCTTCTGTTTGTGGATATTCCGGCTCAATATTCAAAGCTTCCGACTGTGACTCCGGCACAACCTCAGGTAGGTGAATAGCGTCAGTCGGGGTGTCGACGCCAGCCATTGGCGTATCATGGTCACCTAGCAGGGCGGACGCAGCATCGCTTTGGGGAGTAGCTTCAATTTGGACCGTGACTTCTGCCTCTGGAGACTTTTGCACTTCGGCTTCTGGTTCTGTGCTAACATCGGTGTCGACCTGGCCACTCAAAGCAGCGTCTGATATATCAAGAACTTCGACCTCTGCCTGGGTTTGGTCATCGTCGCCTTCACGGTCCTGGATAGGATCGGCATGGACTTCACTGTCTTCTGGAAGGGTCTGAGTGCCGACATGAAATTGCGTGGCGTCCGCTAGAGGCTCGGTATCAACTACATGAACTTGTGTGTCCACCTGTGGAAGTTGAGCATCAATCTCGTCGGCCTCAGCTCCGCGGACTTCGTGAATTTCAAGTTCAAGGACCTCGCTGATCTCAGGTTCAAGGGGTTCCTCGATCTCAGGTTCATGTACCTGGTCGACCTCGAGATGAACGGTAACCCGACCGACCTCGGGACGAACCTGGGTATCGACTGTTGCTGTACAGACCTCAGTATCGACATGAAGTTCGGCATTGATCTCTGCCTCAGCTTCAGGTCGAGATTCGACTCTACTATCAGGTTCGACGTCATTCCCAATTTCTGTTTCTTCGGAGGTAACTGCTTGATGATCAGTTAGAACATAGGCAATTTGCTCTAATTTGATGCCAGCCGTACGATCCGGGGTGGCGGTAGGTCGGGTGTCCACCATCATGGGCTCATCCCTCACCGCTGAAACAGGTAGATCAATAGGCATAGGGTTCTGCATATCTTCTGGCAACGGAGAGAAATTTCTGGATCTTGATAGTGAGGGAGATGTCGGCATGTCTGGAGGTGTTTGTGAAGAATCACGCTGTGGCGATAGAACCGTTGGTGTAAGTGGTGGTTCTGTTGTGACGTCAAGAGGTTCTTCTGATGGTCCCTCCTCGTGTCCTTCAAGAGCTATGTCCGGTCTGTCTTGTGGTGACCCTGCCGCAGACACTTCTTCAGGAGTCCTTTCTTTCACATCGTCCTCCGATGGGGTTTCTGCTGGCACTTCCTCTTCGACGTGTTCTATTGGAGTGGTTGGCAGATCCTGAGGAAGGATGTTTCTCTCCATGCTTAGCGTCAGGTTCTCGGATTCGCCCGTGCTGAATACGCCCAAAGAAGATTTCGCACGACCTAGAGAATAAACATAGTAAGCAAATTTGGGCGGGCAAGCGAGTCAAAATGACACGCACTCTTTCTCCTTTGCTGGGCTGGGAAGAGATATACAGTTAGACAAAGGTCTGCGACACATACGAGATACAAAACATACACTTCTTCGATGGCAGCGGTGCTGGCTGTGGTGCAGTCAACGTCGATGATCGCCCGCCACGCTTCTGACCCTCAGGCAAGATCCATCCGGCCTCGAACATCAGGAATGAGTCTCTGTGTCCAACAGAATCTACCAAAAGTGGCGTGCTCATTTGCCCGCTAGGCAAGTATTGCAGAACCGATGTGGATGAGGTTGCTTTCAGCTGACCATCTGAACCCTCCTGACCTTGCTCATCCAGCTCATTATCCGTTGTATTCGATGTGGCACGGCGACTTCTCTTTGGTGCGCGAAATTCGGCATTGGCAGCTTCGAGAGCCGCTTGTTCAGCGCGCCTTGCCTCTCTCCGAGCATTCTCAGCCTTGCGATCACGCTTCCTTTTCGTGGTAGCAGGCCTCTTTTCAGGTGGTGGGGGAGGTTTTATCCGACCAAGGTTGTAACTGAAGAGAGAAGACAAGGGATCCTCTTCGATGATGTACTGCACATCATCCTGCATCACTTCTTTGGATAAGAGGAGTTCCAGCATCAGAAGGGACGTTTCAAGATCCCCAATCTCGGGTTTTGCATGCATAACATGAGCTTCCATAGCATTCATACCCGCCGCTGGATTGGTATTCTGTTCAGATTCCGCTTCGGGGTTGTCTACTTGCATCTCATCTTCTGCTGGGGCAAGTACGGAGGGTGTTGACTGTGTCGGTAAAACGTCAACCTCCATGGCGTCCGTTGCTGAAGTGTATTGGGATGACGGAGGGAGACACTGTTCATGAAGCTCCTTGAAAATGCGCTCAGCAACATCAAGAATACGTTTAGCAGTGTTGGAAAAAGGTGATCCGGCCTTGTTATAAGCAATGGCATTGTTGCAGACGAGATAAATGTCATCCTGGATTCTAATGTCAGTTAAACTCAAAGAATCAGATAGAGGTAGCACTTTGAATGCTTGGAAGTCCCAATATTCATGCCGATCCAATTTGCCTTCAATTATATTCCAGTACATGGGACGTCTGATGATGTCAAAATAGTCGGGGACCAAGAGCTTTGAAACCGGATTCTGAAAATAGCCACTTTTATCGACGCTATACATACTTTTATAAGATCATGTACTCACGACCGTATGAAGGACTCACCTTACAATACGTTCAAAAGCTGAGCGTAGCCGTGATTCATGAGGGAATATGAATTTTGACAGAACATCTTGAATGAGGTGTAACTGATCAAGTTTACGCATCTCTCGTTTGTAGCTCTTGACGGACAGCCGCTTGACATAGTCAAGATCCTTGCGCAGACGTTTAAGCATCTGCCAATAAGTTCAGATATAAATATAAAAGTAAGTACTGAGCTTTACCGTCTTCTTCTGAGTTTTTTCAGCGGTAGTTTGGAACTGATTTCTTGTGCTAGAAGGCCAAGCCTCCAAATGTAGTCGCTTCAAAAGGGGCGCCCCTCTCCTTGCTTCCCTTTTTAAACTCCAATACTTGCACACGAGAATGATGAAATCAATCTTTTTGCGCACGTTGATCCTCCCGATATATTGGGCGATCCTGTCTACAATGATCCATGGAACGAGAGGCGCTCCCGTCTGAAAAGCCTTGGCATGGGCACGGGCAGTGTTAGAGATCTTCTCGACACTCTGTTCTTCTTCAGTTTGTGCTGTCTCTCGAGCAGCTTTTTGTGCTGGCTGATTAAGAAGGTGAGTGATTATAACAACGACCCCTGCAGATCACGTACAGTAAGGTGTTTGTCACAGTAGCATCTGAGGGTTCCCACCGGTTCGGAGCCTTGAAGATTTTTCATGGGAAGCAGGAATTTCTCTTTCCGAGCGCAAGTAACATGGAAAGGCGTGTAACAGTTTTTGATGGTACATTGTATGCATGCTCCCGTTCGAATTTTGCACACGCTACATTTCTGTGATGAACTGCGTTAGCGCTAATGAAGTCAAGGATAGTTATGTTGATAGCACCAGTCTCTTCATCCTGTCCATGAGCTTGTCCTCGAACGCGATCGTTGGATCCATGTAAACCTCGTTTTGGACGGTCATCTCTGGAATCCACATGGCACACAGAAGGTGAACCCATTGCCCATGGTCAGTCATCTTGAACGCGCCACCCTCATTGGGACATAGAAAGCATTCCTGAGAGTCGATATCAGCAAGAAGTATTGGAGAGATATGCATGAAACTGACGACAGGCGTTTCTGGGGAGGTGCTACATTTGCGACATAACCAAATGCCTTCGGGAATGTAGGGAACACCATAGCATTCTAAACGTATATCAATTTCAGAAAGGCTTCGGATAACAGAATACGCGCTGGCGCACCTTGATGCACAGCCAAATTGCATCCGTCGCAAAACACGATGGCATTGCTATTCTCGCCCTCTGCATCGTCGCATATCGCACAAGTGGAATCTTCTGAGGGCATATCGAAATGGGGTTTAGGTATGTTTTTGGTCTGATAGATCAAAGTTCAATATCCACGGCAACGCAGAGTAGTGCAACGCATACCAAATTGTACCACTCTTTCTCCAACCTGTCCATAATAATCTCAAATGTCTCGTAAGAAACGGTGTCGACCCCCATCTTCTTCCTATCCACGTTCACGGCAATCAGCCATTCCTCGTCTATCAGATCAATGAGTATCTGCAACCCCCAACACGAGTAGCATATACCTTGTTCATCCATATCATACTCGACCTGGGTGGCAAGGTCCAATTCCAATGGCTCTTGGGACGATGTTCAGCATCGAGTACGTTAGTCATTACCGCGAAAACGAACCAATATGACGGACGTAGTGGTCAGGTCTTTGATAGTGCGACAGATCGTTGACTGAAAACTAGAATTTTCAGCAGCAGTTGACAACAGAAGACGCGTGAATTTGGCGTACATCCATAAGCCTTCATTTGGTGGTCGTGGACGCCATTATTGGCGGGTTTTGAAGACTCTTCGACTTTTTCGAACTCTGCGACAGGTAAATCCAGCGGCGGCGGTTGCATTGGTGCCACAGATTCCGAGGTTTGATTACCACGCGCCATTGTGGGACGACCAATTGGGCTGTGTGGAAGGCGTTCTGGTTAGACAGTCACTCAATTGGTAATGGGTAGTGTTTGCTTTATAATCAGTCCAAGGTTATTTATGACACATTAATGGAATAATCAATTAGCTGTTGGCATAAACATCAAGACTGTATGGGTTCTATTCCGACCTCGGTTATCATTTTTTATCGTACTTCCCTCTGGTAATGAAAGAAAGCCTTACCGGTGCAGTGACCGAAGTTGACATACACTCACTGTCGAGCAAAAGGATATCCCTGAATAAAAACTTTGCCATATATACACTAGTGGTCTGCTTGTTCTTCCACGACTATCCTCCCAACCAGCTTAACCTCTTTCCTCACCGCTTCCTCAATGTCCTCTGTGTTTCCACAACATGTTTGTACCATTCCAAATATTCTGATTTCTCTGACTGCGTCAAAAGCACTTCCAAGCCATGCCGCTAGGACTCCAACACCAACCTTCACTTCCAGCAGCTCCATTTCCACCACCTTCACAAGTCTCAGCGTCAATCGTACGCCATTCGATGGCCTAGTCTCGACTCTTGACAGCCATCCCTTATCAACCCGAACCCGTATGATCACCACGGGCCTGATTTCCTGCTCTCTGAAACACTCTCTCATCACCCTCAACACCGCACCCGTCCCCTCCCAATCCAATCCTCTTCTTGGTGTGCATCTGGGGAACGTCCGCACCTCCTTCAAACTTGGTAGAGACCCTTGCACAATGTGTAGGAGAATCCTCCACGGAGCCTGGATGCACTCCAACTCCGTCAATTTCGGAACAGGCGCAGATGGCCCAGGTATGTACTGCTCCTCATCAGACAGCACGAGTGTCTTTAACTCGGGTAATAGTGCGAGAAACGCGACGAGATCATCAATGACGATATCTGGGCACCCAGCGACACGCAGCTCTTGGATACCCGACGCGTACTGAGCGACTGTGGGAAGCAGCGCGGTCCACATATGTCCAGCAAGTCTGATATGGGAGATAGTCAAAGAAGTAATGACAGTCAGAACGGAGAGCGCCCAGTTGGAAAGTGGAGGGAGTAAAAGCATCGAGGATTGGATGTCCAAGGTGTGTAAACCATTAGGAATGGTGGCTTCGTCAACGAGGATAGTCGACGTACCCTGCTTGACGCGCCGAAACGTCCAATCTGGCCCCCGGACAGCCGTTCGCCTGGTGGTCAGGACATTCGATGGGTAGCCTCGTCCTGCGCGAGAGAATTGATAGGCGTAGTTCATTACTTTACCGTCTATCATACACAGAGATGTGCACGATTTTTCGAGCGCCAGATTGAGGAGATCGCCAATGGCAGATGACCATAAAGTTAGCAATGTATCTGTAACGTTAACACTACCATTGTTCCAGTCCCTGCCGCGAAACCTCAACGTTATCTTATTGACAGACTTGAGCTTCAGGAGAAGACTCTGCAGCCGTCTGACGGTTGTAATGATAGCAGCCGGGGAAGGCGCTTCACTTTCCAGAAGCGCATCGTCGAATGTGCAGAAGAGATGGTGGATCGATTGCACAAACAGTGCGACCCGAAGACCAGATATCGCATCTGGACGCGACTCTGTGAAGTTTCGAAGGGTAAATCTACATGTTTCTGTAGGATGACTGATCCCAAAGCGAGACAGATAATGCGTGAGACAAATATCGTGCAGGCGTCTGCACGTAAGAGAAATCGTGAACAGCTCTGGAACTTGGTCATCGTCAAAGTGTTCTCTGAATATCTTGTATAGAAGTTCGTTGGGAAACTCGAGTAGGGGGAATGGCATGGCTGTTCTTATCTTGTACACCTTGCATGAGTGAAACTATTTAAGCTGCTCGCGTGATCTCCGTCGCGGACCCTCGATTTGGTTACCAAGTTTGGAATCTGGTACCTTCATGAACTGGATGATACTCTCTGAGCATCTATGCATTATGCAAGTAGCAAGGGGAATATGCCTGTTAGCAACCCTTCATTGCGACCACTGTTGTACGGTTGCATAATTAATGAAATGAAAGTACTAGTATTACAAAAATTTATTATTAAGTAATTTCTACCAAGTACTTTACAGCCATAACTTACAAGCCAAGTTCCTTACCACCCCACTGGTAGCTGAATTTCAACGGATCCTCCGCTAAGGAACCCTCGTCCTGACCACCATTGACATCGTCATGAGCCTCGCCAGACAAAAATCCCATGTGCTCCGCATGACGAGGTCTCCGCATGGGAACACCTAGATGTCTGCTAAGAAGCGACAGGACATGCTCGGGATCAATGTTCATGTCCTTCCCACTCGATCCACTTGGCTCAACAACCACCGCCGCATATGTCTGAGAAAGCACGGAGGCTTCCTCGAATATAGCCATCGATGTGAAGCTGGTGGGCATGAACTCGATTACGAGTGTCCCTCTTGCGGCCCAACGATGGTGATACATCGCGCCTCCGTGCGGACCGATGACGGCCATAACATTGTCGTTGAACCATTTGAAAAGGTCAGAGGCGGTTGCAAAGTCGTTCTCGTTAAATACTACAAGTTCTTCGCCCTTGGCCCTCTCTTCAAGTAATGTCCTGATTGCATTAAGAAGGTCCGGCTCATTAAGAACCCTACGGCCACCGTTTTTTGCACGTCCGTTGGATCGCGACATATATACGATCTGAGTAGGTCGTTATGATATGAAAGAAACAAACTGACTAAAGCCACGCACTTTATTTCGCGTTGAAGACTTCTTCATGTAATCAATCGAGAAAGCCTCGAGGGTCTTCAGCGACAACCAGGGATGCACCAATACCGCACGACATGAAAAAATCAGCTTTTCAGCATATGTATCATCTCTTTGGCTATGCAGGACACGTTCCGGACGGTATCCCAGACTTTCCCATAACTGATCTACAAAGGCACTGCCGTGTTTGCCTGTAATTACATGCGGGCGTTCTCCAAAGATGAGAGACGAGCCTTGCATCAGGACATGTGTGACACGGTCAAGATGATGCTGAAAAGAGTTGGAGTCCGGGGAAAGGACCACTATGGCGCTTTTTCGAATCACAGGATGACCAGGGACAGCGAGCGCTTGCGCTGGATCGAACGAACGGATATCTTCGGACGACACGAGGCTTCCCATACAGGCTTCTGGAGACCAACTATCATATCGTTTCGGGTGTGCGTAAGAGACATTTCCAAACACCTATAATTGATCTTTATATACCAGTTGTGAATTATCGGAGAACAACTCACGAAATTCTGGCCCGATTGACCTTTATACACAAGCCACCCACTGTCTTGCAGCGTCCCACGCTCTTTCACTCTCAAAGCGGCGTTTCGCCAGCGATCCTTGTGTTCCTCGGTCGCAAAATGTGGCTGTCGGATCTCGAACGCTGGGTATAGTAGTTCCTCAGCGTACAACACCTTTTTCGACAGTTTTTGCGCTACGCAAGGCGCGTAGTAGGCGGGCATGCCAAAAATACACTCGCTCAAGCTGAGCGGGATCCATGCAGCACTCGGAAGTGACCGAGTCCCATCTCTCGTGGACAAACGCCTGTTCTCTTCGATACGCTGACTCGCATACCCATATTGTGTGGATAGTCCGCGAGTCGAACGATCATGAAAGTTGTAAGCTGTCCCAGACAGCAGAAAGAAGATCGTTAAGACGGCGAGAATGCTGAAGGACCGCCGCACTGAAAGAAAGGCCATGTTGTGAAGAAAAGAGAGTGGCAGACGAAGGTCATAAACGTTATGAAATACTTGCGGCGCAGCAACTTTGCGCAGTTGCGGAATGTATTCTACCTTTGACCCGCCCAACGAGCTAAGTCAAGGCACCAGCATTCCATGAAACTATCGGCTCGGGTGTGGTCGATACAGAAGTCACGGAACCGCCGATTCTTCGACGAAGATGTTCGTATGCTCGGGTTCGACCACGAAGCTAGCTCAAATTTAGAACTTGCCACTATGCGCATACTGGATAGAAAAGTCGGTAGCACACCTGGGCCTATTGTCAGCTGTCAAAGGCATTGAAAGCCGTCAAGGCCTTATATGCGTTAGTAGAAAGACAGATTCAGAATGGACAGCAATGACGAGCACCGTCGCTCCGACATTCGCCCATGGGTCTACCACGAAGGCTGAAGAGTATTCGCAAGCAAGACAGTCTTTTTCTACAAGTCCGAAAAGCGGAGTCCACTGGTAAGGACAATCGAAGTCAAGAGATAGAAGAATGGAAGTAAATAGACAACAAGCTATGATCGCCGGGTCAAATGGCGTAGATTCACTTTTGACTCAATCTTATTTGTTGCCCCTTACAGAAATTCAGCGTGTTGCAGTAAATCAACACGATAAATGATCCATGATCCATCTGGTATCATGCTAAGCATTAAAGGGCTGAGCCATCATCACACCACGCTATGAAGCAAACTCTACATTTTCTACCTAGCCACAAAATTGGCGGTAGCTTAAGACAGAACATGAGGCTTCAAATTTCAATGCCCTGGGTTACTTGATTTTCCAACACCTCGCGATATTCTGAGGCAAACTCTTTGTGAGTGCTGAGGAGAAAAACAGAGATAAAACCTACATCACGAGGCATGCTACGACAACGACTCTGCTAAGCTTTTGCTAAATTAGTGCCGAAGCTGAGATCTCCTAGACCGTGGTCGGGCGCCCAAAACCATGCTTTCCGCGAGATAAGCTTCGCAGTAAGTGACAAGAAGGGCACCGGTACATACGTCTTAAGAGTGGCATGCCAACAACGCCTACAAAGCAATTGAAGGCTATCAGGTTTGATGTCACGACCGCAACAAAACTGAAGAACCATAGTTTGAGCGTCAGCGACTGAACCAGAATATCACTAATATCTTACATTTTGGCGTTGCACCAACGGTATTATTGTTGGTGTTTTCACAGCCGGCACTGCATGCCGGCTTGTAATGCTCATTGGTGCTGTTGATTTCACAGCAGTCTGCTACATCAAAAGCATAAGTGCCAGTCCAGACCTGATGGAAATGTATCACATACCTTGAGGTATTCTCAATTCCTCAGCCAAAAAATAAGGCCATTCATGACGATGAGTGTCACACAGTGTGCAACACACTGAGTAAGTTACAGAAACTATGAGTCTGCAATATGGGCCATCAGCGATAAGAAATAACGCACGATGCTAATTTCAGAGTCAACGACATTTCTGCATGCGGTAGTGTCGAAGAGGTAGATATTGATTGATATCGTGACATCTGGGGCCCCTATGTCATTAGTTCCGAATGAGAACACCCATGCGTACTGAGAAGAACTAAATTCCTCAACGCCGATACAATTTTGCCCTAATGCTCTAGAAAAATATGGTCATCAATCCTTTGGCCGTCGATATGCACATCAAAGGGCAAGATTCATGTTCGAGCCCATGAAACCATTCTTGAAGGATAATAGTGACTTACGGTTGCGACGGGGTGAAAAATGGACGTCGGATATCTTCGATGCACTCCAATTTGAAAGATGTGTATACCTACTACCAAGAAGCTAGTAAGCACGAATATGGCTGAATGGAAAAAGGCAGGTGCTCACATCTTGTTTCTATGAGAATACGGCTCGTCTAAAAGCCTCATACTCTAGCAGAACAGTTAGTAGGCAGCAACAACTTCGCATGACCTAGTAATCGTACCATGTACAGTATTACAACTGTGCCTTGCATCTGCGTCGGATCCGACGTATACAACGACCGTCAAATCGAGGGGGAGAAATCCAGTGATGGATGTTTGCCAAAGAGAGAAGCATGCCATCTGACGGTGTCAAAACTCGGCAACTTGAAGCCTGGTAAGATACCCGTCTCCTTCATATCGTGCGTCTGCATGAATATCTTTCAGGGGGGCTGAAATCCGAGGCAAAGGTGCAGAGTCCACGATCTCGTGGACCCGAAAGGGTAAATAAGGATTACCGACTAAGTCTCTTATAAACGACCGCCGGCGCCACCATAGCCAGTGTGCGCCTTTGAGATACGCAGCCTGTCGGTCATTCTGAGCTGAGAATATTAAATAAGACGTACATTGTCGTAAGAAAATGATCCAAGAAATTTCTATTAGTAGTAGTGAACCACCTCAGTCCGGATTAAAGGTAAGGAATGAGCTGCTGCGCCATCGACAACCAGTATAAAAGTAACACGTCAGAGGAAAGTTGCAGCCTCAGTATGAACGAATTTATCCACGGCAGTCAATACTGTCATATCGCTACTGCAGTCGGAAACGATGCGACGCATAGTATTGTCGTTAGCGCCTGGGCCCCGGTCCCGCAGTTGATAATCAATATGTCGCAATAAGTTATTAGGCGTACACCTCATCAAAATTGAAACATGACAAACAAAAAAAAAAAGAAAGAGCAGGCAAAATAAACTATCGACTAAATGTATCAGTCCGTCAAGGTATTAGTATGCGTACATACTTCCCATCCAGTGCAACATCTACCGATAACCCCCACCATAAGCATCATAACTAGGTGGCGTTGATCCCCCATATTGGGCGACGGGTTGTTGACCTTGCCCAAGCGTAGCTTTCACCTTGGCATACGGGTCGGCATACTGCATCGTTCGGCTAACTTTAGGACCCAAGTCGGGCTCAGGTAACACCGGGGCGAACGAACTGGGTGTTGTAGTACTGGTGTACGGCGACGAGCTATACCCAGCAGAGTATCCACTTGGTGCGGGATCAGAAAACGCTCCGTATTGGTCCATACTGGGTCGGCCTGAATATGCCGTTGACACTGGTCGCTGGGCACTTGCTGCACTGTATCGATTGGTATCGGAGAATGGGTCCTGGGCCGAGGTGCCACCGGTTGGCCGTGCAGGACGGGCGATACTGGTACTGTCATCCTCATCCTCATCATACTGAGTGACCGACTCATGGTCCATGGGAGGAGCAAATGGCTCGTCTTGAGGTTTCCTGCCTCTCAAAGGCCGGCCGCCACTTTTTCTCCATTCCCAAATCAATAATCCAAGAGAAGCCGTCCAGAAGACTGCGGAATGAGAGATCAGTAAAAAACGGAAACAAACATAAGAATGAAACACGCACCAAAGGCGAGCCATAGAAAGATGGCACCAGCCTTCTTGGTATTACACCAACCCGGAAGGCCATTCTTGAAATTGTCACCCTTGTCGGCATTTGGGTCATTGTCAGCATCTTTGCATCCGGCTTCGGTCCAAGCTGAGATGGTGACAACGAACCTAAACCCCAGCGTTAATGAAGAAACCATCGGATAATAGGGTACATACGCAATCAATAAACTGAGAGATGTCTCTGCCCCCGTTAGTATGAAGCTCACTCTCAGAACCTTCATCGCGCGCGCCAAGGTTGCAAGTTTGTCGTATTTTTCGTAAATAACAGGCACTGCCATCATTACTGACGCGACAAGTATGCCTAGAACTGTAAGGAAGAGAGTGAAGGACGATAGCCCAGCTGCGGGGAAAGAATCAGTCTCCTGCGGACCCAGTACGCGTCAGCGCCCACACTCACATGGTCCCACATCCCATTTTGCTTGGAAAGAGGCGACGCTAGCAAAACATGCCATTGCTAGAAAGTTGAAGAATATTTGGGAGGCGTGGAATACGATGGCTGGTTTGGAGATGATCATCTAGACGACGCGTCTGATCAGCACATGGCACATTGAAAGGAGCGAAAACAGTAGAAAAGGATGCGAACATAGAGCCAGAGAACCCATATGAGGGGAACGAAGAGTAGGAATACGAGTGCGCTGGTGCCCTCGCCCATGCACCTTACTGCAGATGGAGGTGAAGAAACATGAACGCTTATGTAATCGTGCAGTTGGGTTCATGTTACGTTTGGCAGACATCATGCTCAGCAGTGGGTGAAAGGAAACTGGGAAGGCATTGGTGAACGATGGCCAACACTCACGTCGTCCTCGAATCTCGCATGCCCTATCCCTCCGCTACCCAGACTCGATATCCCCGTAGACGATAGTGGTGGTATCGTATGTTTCCTGCTACCACCCGAGGGCAAAATTCTTTCGAAACCGTCTTTAATCTTGTCAAGTACGGGCATGATGTCACTGCTTTAGTGTCGGACTGTCGTTACTGTCGTCGGTGAGAAGGGCTGTTGGAAATGTCCGTCAGCCTCTCTGGCTTAGTTGTAGTGATGGTAGTTGATGAGCAAGAACGTAATTGGCGTAATTGGCGTGAGTGTGGCAGAGCAGACCGCAGCAGAATGAGGCTGCGTTTGCGGTCGATGTGTAGATTGTTGTGGTCACTGTAAGGGATAACACCGCCACGTGCCGCCGCCTATCGTCATAGCTTACATATGTCTTGTCCGAATGCGAATCAATGGACTTGAAATTATTTATTTAACAGAAACTTATTTAAAGCAAAATCCTTACAGGAATCAACGGACGCGACGCATTCTCAAGGTCCACTTATTCCGTTGCCGTGATAAGTCTTCAAGTTATTAACTCAACAAAGCCATTCGCCGTACCAGAATCCATTAATCCGCTTCAAGAAGCTGTATGTATCTGATGGCGTGGTCATTAATATTAACTTTCCCGATTCCAATCCGGTGGCCATTGATTCGGGGTCTTGGAGAAGGTTGAGTATATATAAGCGTACGCAACAGCTAACCTCGCTTTTCATCCCCCTTCTCAATTTCGTTTGTAATGTTTCAAACCGACCTCACCTATGTGCAGCATCAGAGACCTCAAGCCCACACTGTTAATGGGCGTGGCTTATCTGTAATCAGTCCCCAGATGTGGCGACACAAGGACAGAGATGACCCATTCCCGTCCGACGCTCTCAAATGCTCATGGCACAGCTCAAGCATTGTGAACGACATCATAGCCTCGTTCTCGCCGCCACCCTGGAAACGGATAGTTCATCTGCACCGTGCAAGTCCAGCACATACTTCCCAAAACAACTCGTTGCAAAAAGTACATTCCTCTAACGGACCATTAGAAATCGAGGCCGGGAAATTGAAAAAGATTCTCGACGCCATCCATAGAGAGAATGTTTATCTCGAGAAAGAACGCCGCCGACTTCAAGAACAGCTCGAGGAGCTTTTCTTGTCGGTGGCGCACAAAAATAAACAGAGGGCTGTGAGGAATTCGCAACTATCTGCCCTATTTTCGATGCTGATGATGCCCAAGACACAGTGAAACTCGAATCTTTCTTGACTGCATCCTTGCTTGTCCTAAAGTTAATTAGTGCTATGAATAATTTTCTTCTCCAGAACGTATTTGACGATGAGTAGGTTCAATAGTGCTGGATGGCATGCTACAGCGAAGCACCTTGTCATGTTTGAATTGCACCAGATTGTTTTTAGTGCATGTCCCTAAGTTCAGGACAGCCCGCAATTAGATGTATAAACTTTTATAAGGTACAGTTAACAAGCGTTGGCGTTCACACCGGTTCTAAAACAAGGACTCTGCTTGATATAAAACACCCTCTATACAGACTTGACATTTGATGGCATTTGTTGTCGAACAATAGCAATTATATTTTGGAATCCGTGCGGCTGGGCTGGGGCATAGCGTTCGTATGTTGGCTCTTTATCAAATGCGAGTTGGGCAACAGAAATCTGGGAAGAGATGATGAAATGGTAGATTAACCGCTGAAAGGGAACATACCAGAATATCCGAGGTGAGACCTTTGACAGGTGACGCAGTACTTCGGAACCGATGCATACGATACGGTGTGTTCCCCAAGAGTGGGACCAAGGAGTCAGTTGTATTCTGGTATACTTGTCAATGGTGTCTTATTGACACGGAAATTGAGACTCACATGGAGTTCGTTTTCATAAAACCAGTCTTCCGAACCGAACGCGGCTAAGGCGTCATCTTTCACAATCATCGGATCAAGGAGGGCTTCCAGAGGATGACTAAATATACGAGACACTTCGCCTTCAGAAGCGGTCAGTCCTTCCAGAACGCTGTTGTCGGTCAACAAGGCAACAACCGGGGTGACAAGCAGTCTGTGGAGCGACAGGAATGGTTCGAAGGTACACAACGTTTGGATGTGAGGGCAACCTAACGGAAGGCCGACTTCCTCGTGTGCTTCCCTATACTTGTAATCCATACGTGAGGGAGAGACATTTACCCAAACAGAAAAAAGCTCACGGCTGTATGGGTAAGATCCCGGTCTGTATCATCTACCCTGCCACCTGGCAGAGCGGTCTGTCCAGCATGAGTCCTCAATAGCTTAGACCGAGTCGTCAGCAGTACGCGCAGTCGACCAGCATCCTCGTAAAGAAGCACAAGAACAGCGGCGAGTGACGACGAAGGGAAAGTTGAACTGGCAAATGCATTGGTACTTTCTGCAACAAGGACAACATAAGGTAAGTGACAGACAGATCAATATTCTGGACTCCGTGGCTCTTAAGACGAACGACGGCGGCCTGATTCCAATCTGTCCAATCTGAAAGCGACATGGTGGTTAAAGGTAAAGAGTTCTACATCCGGTGATTTGTCAGCAATAAGTTTGATGTTTTTGTATGTTTACCAAGGCCGTCGACACTTTACCACCACCATCGCCAATGGGCGAGCGAAACCCTCTTTCATCAGGACTTCTATCAGGCGTTTTCAATTATTTATCCAATGAGGTCGATGCTTTTATCACCAATGCCACTGGAGGGACAGTCACGCTAGTGCGCCGCCGCCTTTTCTTCACCTTGAAGTCATTAAGGTTAACTTGACTTGAATTTTTATTCTTGGCAGCATCAAGACCGACCTGCTACACCACGCGTCGACGAGGCGCCCAGGGCCCGTAACACATCTTGCAGGACCAATATTGTTCAAGAGGACGAGTATGCCTCCGAGGACGACGACAACCACAGCGAGGGGCGGAAATATCGGCGCTCGCTGGCCCGCGCTAAACCTATACCGACTACCAAGAAACGCGTCAAACAGAGGGGAAAGTACATAGACAACATGGATGAAGGTACGCCTGGCGTTACGACAATAATGTCGAACTCACGTCAACTTGACAGTGCTTTCGGCATCTGAGCACTCTACTTCTCCATCTCCATCACCCCCCCCTCTTCCGGCTGCTCTTCGTCGCAGACCGTCGATTACTATGCCAGGGTCCCTGTTTCCTCGCTCACCGTCACTGGTTCCCGAAAGTGTCGATGAAAGGCATGTACGGTTCAAACCCAACGTCGTTAGCCCAACTCCTGCCAAACAGGTTGACGAGTCTGGTCCTTCGCGTTTTCGTCCGCCAATGGTGCCTTCTGTTAAGGCTGCTGTTGGTCGGTTTCGTGTTGAGCGGGACCACGCAAGCCCTTCTATTCTCCTCCCGAAAACTTCACCTCAACGCTCGACCGTCCAGCCTTTGACGCGAACATTTGCCAACCGGAATACATCCACTGATGGAAGGTCTTTGCGCGTATCTGATGATGATGATGATGATGACGATGACGACGAGCACCCTCCGCGCATAAGTGCCAGCGCAAAAGGCAAAGGCCGCGCCCTTGATGATAATGCGGATGGCGACACTTCAGGACATATTCGTGTTCGAGGTAAGGAACGGGAACTCGTAGCTGCACGGGAGAAACAGCGAAGAAATGAAAAGCGTAGAGCGACTGAAGCAGACGCTGAAGATGCGGAGAGAGAAAGGAACAGCGACAAGGAACGAATACGAATGCTAGAAGAGGAAATCATGAGATTGAAAGATGAGGTGCTTACTTTACTTTCTTTCATGTTGAATGTTAATACAGGTTATCGTACTCAGCTCTCCCGAAGGCCCGTCAATGTTACACCCTCCCTTCCTTTCCCTCCCCCTCCACCCCCTCCGCCACCGCCACCTCCGGCCTCTTTCAATACACGAGCGCCGACATTAGTTGGTACGCCGGTTTTTGTTTCAGCAAGAGCATCATTAAAACCTGCGCCAATGCCTACTGAGGCACCTATAAATCCTTCATATGCTCCACGAAGACAGGGCATGCCGACCGTCGGCGTCACACCAGATAAGATGGCTGCGTTCTTGAACGAAATGAAAACCGTGCGACTCAGGAAAGTGTCTAATGGCCCTTCGGTACCTGTGTCTCGTCATGAGAGTAGCGACTTCCTCAGAGATAGAAGCCTTTCTACTGGCAGTAGATTATCGCAGCGAATGGACAGTTTACACTCGTCTATGTCGTCGACTGCTTTGCAGCCGCCAACTCTCTTGTCTTCTATTAGGAATCGCAATGACGATAATGCTATTCCTACTGGAGCAAAGAGAAAGAGGAATAACAGTGAAAATACCCTGCAGGATGAATCGGGTGAGTGACTATCGTCCTTGTAAAACTAATGCATCTTCTCAATCGTCCCTAGATGCAGCTGTCAAAAAGCGAACTATTGCGTCTCCGTCTGATTCCAGTTTTGCTTCGGTCCCTAGCTCAACTTCTTTCATACCCACAATTGAGAACACAGCGAACACTCCTCCGTTTTCATCGTCATCTGTGACACGACCTTGCCCACCTCCATCTTCACGCATACCACCTTCACGCATACCACCTTCACGCATACCACGACCTGTACAACACGTTCCTGCTGGCGCGACGCCTTCTCTGTGTTCGGACAATGACGGCACAAGCCTGGATGACGCTCCGCCGTCAACTCCGCCCTTGGAAAATCGGCAGAGCTTCCTCGACTACGAAGTCCCGATTCGGGATGAATCAGACAATCCTGTCGTCAACATGGATGACGAAAGAGAAGAATCGCTCGCCCGTTTGCCACCTTCTCGGCCAGCGACGCCTTACAAGCCTAAATCTTCTGTGGATGTGTTCGCCAAGCGTCCGCCTGTGTCCCCACTACCGGCGCCATCTCCTCGCAAACCACGCCCACCCTATAGGCAATCTCGGCCCATGCCTGCTCCCCCACCCCATGAAGAAACGAGCGAAGAAGACCCATTGTCCCTACAAGCCTCTCAGCCTGAAAGCGATCTCGTTCCCCGCCCAGCATCCAGGCAGACTGGGAAGGATGTTTTTCTCGCTCAGGCGAAGAAACTACAAGGACAGGCTCGTCGTAGTAGCGTCGCGTCTACCTCTGCAGTATCACAGTCGTGGGCTTCTTCCGTCTCAATAACCTCTAAACGGAGACCGACTCTGGGTGAGGAATTATGGGAAGCAGATAAACGGTTATTGCTTGCTCAAGCTGATGGTGATGAGGAAGACGACCTTGAAAACGGCATTTTCGTGGGAGTCGGAACACGAAATAAGAACCAAGGTTTCTTAGCTCATGGTGGTGCTGGTGGTCCTCCAGTCTTTATGGGTGTTGGTTACGTGGAAGGCGTTGAAGAAAACGAGAGCGGTCACCTCAGGAACGAGGCACGAGACGCCGACGGTATATCCGAGGAGTCATCTCCGTCGCGTCGAAAGAAAAAGCCAACCAAGAGAAGAAAAGGGAAACGTTGAGTTGTACTGTAATATATCTGTGAATGTGCCTACGATTGTCTTATCATGTTTGTTTTAGTATATTGTTATTAGGTTCTACTTAGAATATCTTGGACTCCATGTATACGAAGTTTAGTGAGCGGGTGTAAAGAATGTATATTGGTATATGAAGCTAAAGGATTCAGCATAGATGGATATAACAAAAGAACGCATCAGAACCCTGATGAGTAGTGGACTCTCTTCATGCGAGCGTTGCCAGTAGGAGCCGACGTAGCTTCAACAGAAGCTGAAGTCTCAGTTGGAACCGCCACCGTGTTGATCGTTCGGGCTTTGTCTACGACGTGTCGGGAGTCGGTCAAGGTGGCGGCGGGGGTGGCAGTGGTGACAATGGAAGCGATGTTTAGGGACGCACAGTCGCCATTGCTAACCCAGACACCTGCGGCACCTAAAGTACGTATGAGCAGCTAAACGATATCAGTCTTTGAAGTAGATGATGCGCACCTCCAGGTGTGTCTGAATAATTTTGACGACCAGTCAGTACTCTTTATAAACACAAATATAGACTGCGACCAACCATTATAGGTCCACCAAGATGCAGTCCACAACTGGCCATCATAAGTAACCTGGTTTCCACCCACGTACTGTGTGATGTGAGATACTATTTACTCGAAGGAGAGAGTGTATCAATCTCACCGTCGTTGTGCTACTCCAAACAGCGACTCCATTGCAGCTTGTGCTCCCTCCGCTGGATGAGGTAGTGGTCGTGGCTGAGGTTGTCGTGGTCGTTGTAGTTGTAGGAGGTGTGGTTGTGGAAGTTGTGGTCGTGGTCGTGGAAGTCGATGTCGTAGTAACACCTCCTGCGAGGGCGCTCTTAACGGTAACGTCAATGCGACCGTTAGCTGATAAAACGGGTAAGCTAGAATCAGCTGGCGGAGAAGATGACACAGACCGTAAGCTTGCGAAGCATCCCAAAACATGATACCACCGAAAGAGGAATACTGGCTACGAGTCTCTGTCGCAATAGTGGCCAAGGTTGCAGCGTCGACATAGCCACTCCCTGCAGCTGTTGAGGAAGCAGGAGCACCAATGTAAACTTTCACGTTGGGGTTAGGCGAAGTAGTCTTAGCCCAGTTGTCCCTATCGTTTCATGTCGTTGAGCGAATTCGGTGAGAAGGAAGGAAGTGACTTAATCGTACCAAGTGGCGAAATTCCAGGCCTAAATTATGGGTTAGCGAACATTATTTTATGGAGAGTGAAGAACGAATTACGTTTGCGTTGTCATAGTTCTGGAGACCACACCAGTTGTTGTAGAACTGGAAACGGTCTCTACGTTAAAGAGTTTTTCTGTGTGTGTACAAATCCATGTTATTCATACCTGAACGTATATAGCATCAAACTCCGCCGAATCCAAAACCGATCCCAAGTATGCATCCGGAAAAACGCATTGTGGTGCCGCAGTAATGTAGTACCTGCGAGAGCTCAATAATATGCACAAGGGGGTGAAGGGAATCGATACTCACTGCTTATCTGCTCCACTAGCTAGCGATCGAATCATGTTCACGAAAGCCACAAATCCAGTACTGCCTCCACCCTCAATGTCCAGGTCGATTCTAAAGCCGAATGATTGTCAACTCGGAATAACTTCTCTCAACTTGACAACATACCCGTCCAACACTGCGTCTCCGAATGGCCGTGTATCACTTGATCCCCCTAAAAAGAGGTCCCATATGGTCTGCGCAAATTCCTCGGCCTGTGAATCATTGGAAAATGTAGCAGCGCCAGTGGCACCGCCAAGACTCATGGTGACAATCTTCCCTGCTGCTTGGCATGTCTGGATGTCCGATGCCATGAACTGACAGTTCGCTAGACTTGTACCGTTGAAGACAGCAAAGTCAACAGAGTTACACGTCTGGAGGCGCATCCGTACACATTAATCCGACAAATTTAGGAAGGCTGAACTACTCACATTGGCCAGGTTAATTTCAGGAAGGCCGTCAGTCCCAAAGAAAACAGTCAAAAAGGCTAGCGGAAACGTATTTATAGTGTCATCCTGCACGAGAGGCGGAGCCGTTAGACCCCAGATTATGGCAGACTAGTGAACTTACTTGACAGTAGAAGGCCAGGTCTTGCTGCCACAAAGATTCGTCCGAGCTGGTTGCGCCGTAGGAGTTCTGGCCATAGTATCTACAAGACACAAGCTCAGCTGCCGTTGGAAATAACAAAGCAGCAAAAGCAAGTACTCTACAATCTGTAAAATGCGAATGTCAGGGATATCCGAGTCGTCCGTAGGAGAGAGGACGACCTACATTATCTGTGTGAGAGATATTGAACCCAGACGCCATGAGGAAGTTTCCAGCAACGGCGAGAGCGACAGAGAGTTGGGCCAGAGAGTTCAAGTGGAGCGTCATTCTGTACTGGTTCAGACAACGATGAGGTAGAGCCTGGGGGGTATACTTCCATGAAATGCAATCCTTTTATACATCTACAGGCAGCCTTTTCGTAAGAGGATTCCAAAAGTCCTTTAGAAATCAAAAGAGAGTTGTCGTGTTCCGTTCATGCGCTGGCTGCGCAAGTCCTGTAGCTCCTCCTCATGGATTCAATCTAGAAATGAGATCTAACGTGTTGGAAATCAAGAGAGACACCCGTTTTCATGCTGCGTCGTTATCACCTGGGGCAGTCTGTGATAAAGATACGTCGAGATTAACGTGTACTAGTTTCACGAAGAGTCATCCATATGGTTACTGCAAAAGAGATATCCGTTGGTCGTGTGCTGCTCACGGGTAACCAGCCTGAGCCCGATAGTGACGTCGACAGAGCGGTGAAAGAAAGCAACCAAGTCGCCAAAGGAGAGCGGCGGCGTCCCGCAGTAGCTGCCAGTGAGCAATAAAACTTGTTCGAGTAGCCTCTATTCCTTGTCAACGGCGATGGGCGATACTGCGAAGCTCGACCGCATTAAACCGAGGATCCCACGCAGATAACCCAAGTACTTCCGCCAAAAGTGTGCATGTGCTGGATGGTGCTACCAACCTTAAGTCAATCCTTTCGGAGGTATCGTACAGTCGCAGCGAAGGTGCAGCGAAAGTGACGGTGCATATGGTAGAAGAACTGCCGTTGACCCGCAGCGTAATTGGGTTCCATATGATGATGCAATACCTTCGGAACCGGTCCAGGTGATTGTAACGATAAGAAGCAAAAATCTCTGCGACTCAAAATATTAATCCGAGTTTCATACAATAAGCATGTCTAGGTACAAGTCTACATCTATCCTGGGTCGTAATAGCGGCTCAAAGACACAGTCCGGTACAGTCTCAACAAATAACGACAGCACAAGCACAGCACACTCGCTTACCAGCGATCTTTCCTTCCACCATATCCACTGTCGCCACCGCCATAGCCGCCACCTCCTCCACCGAATCGTCCGCCGCCGCCTCCCCGACCGCGACCACCACCGCCGTAACGACCTATCAGTTAATGTTTAGCGGCTCATCATGCCCAGAAAACAGAATGTATACTTCGGCCGCCTCCGCCGCCATACATAGTCATTTCTTCGAGTTGAGGGGGTACAACTGCTTTAGCTTCCTTCAAAATGTTCACAAGCTCTCGGGCAGACTTGGCGTTGTCAGTGGTGAAGTAGGTGAACGATGTTCCCTTCATGCCAGCACGCTAGGAAGAATCGTCAGATACCATGTCCGATGAGAACCCAAAAGGAGCATACCCCAGTTCTTCCAATTCTGTGAATGTAATCTTCACAATTGTTGGGGAAATCATAGTTCTGCACAACAGGTGAACTAACATAGTCAACAGCTGACAGGAGAGAACTCACGATGACATAGCCTACATCCTTGACATCTGAAGAAGAAAGCCAGAGCCAGGATACAAGCAATGCGAGCCAATACACACAGATACACGGATCGACATGAAGTGGCAGAGAACATGAAAACAAGAGGACAAGACAGTCAATAACATGCACGGAATCCAACAGGGATAACAAGCGCTTCGAGCAATAAAACTCAAAACAAAAGGAAAACAGGGAAACACCTCGGAACCACTACCAGAATGCACAGAAAGTCCTAGGGACCACCCCAGCCCTTGATAGAAGGACTGAGGTACAACGAGTCCAGAACATAGACAGGCAAAGATCTTCTACGCGCGAAAACCGAGAGGAGATTAGTCGTGACGAGTCCAATAATGACTGGAACTCCAAACGATCCGTAACCGTTACCATACCAAGAACTACAGCAAATGTTCGTTGGGCTGAGCCTACACATGCGCGTCGAAGCACATCGAAGGACCAGGCTGGAAAGGTCAGAGGGATTCCTCTCGACGGCTACACGTGTCGAATCTAGAACGCCTGTCCAATGTCGGGAAACGCGCCCCACGATCTAAAAGTCAAAACTGTAGACGGTATCGAGTTATTGCGTTGGTCACGGCAATAGTTACCGTTGAAGGGCAGGCAGCACGAAGAACGTTGAAACCGTTTGCGACTACCTCCCCAGGGTCTCCCGATAGCGCTTGTAAAAATGAAATACGTACCAAGCCCACGGGATGCGACATCCGTGGCTATAAGAATCGGTGAACGACCGGCTTTGAACTCTCCTAGTACCCAATCACGCTCGCGTCTGATAAGGAAGCATTTTAAGTGAAAACATTGCAAGAAGAAAGATGGGACTAACTGTTCCTTATCTCCATGAATGGCCAGCGCCGGCCATCCTTCCTCCCGGAGATATTTCGTAATATCATCTGCGACACGCTTGGTGCCGACAAAGATGAGAACCTTTGCGTTTTCCGAGCTAATCTTGTCGAGATGACGTTCCAGCTTGCTTCGTTTCTCAAAGTCACTGCAGACTTCAACGATTTGCTGAATGTTATGATTTGCGGTTAGCTCCATGGATCCGATGTTGACTTGGATCATGTCTCGAAGGAAATCCTGAAGAGACGATGTCAGTGTCAGACGACGGTCAGGAATGGTGCATGCTTACATTGGCCAGTTTCTGAACGTCCTTAGGCCACGTAGCGCTGAACATAAGTGTCTGCCGGTCGGGACGAATTTGTCCCACAATCTTACGGATTTGGGGTTCGAAACCCATGTCGAGCATGCGATCTGCTTCATCCATCACCAAGTAAGTAACTCGACGCAAGTTGGTTTTGTTGGTTTCAAGCATGTCGATAAGACGCCCAGGTGTAGCAATGACAATCTCCACGCCACGCTGCAGATCACGAATTTGAGGTCCTTTGGGGGCACCACCATAGATGGCGGTATTTCGAATCCGGGAGTTGGATCTGGGAGCAACCGGAAATTAGTCACGAAATGGAGATATTTTGTATTAATCATACCCGAATTTGGTGCATTCTTGCTGAATCTGTACAGCCAACTCACGAGTGGGGGCCAAAACGAGAGCAATGGGACCATCTCCTGGAGACAGGAGCGGTTGGCTATAAATCATTGATGAGCTCATGATAAAAGGTAAACGACGATAGAGCCTACGCGTTAATGTGTAGCATGGCCGGAAGAGCAAAAGAAATCGTCTTCCCACTTCCGGTCTGGGCGATGGCAACCAAGTCACGACCACTGAGGGCCATCGGCCAGGCTTGACATTGAATGGGTGTAGGAGAAGAGAAACCTTGTGCGCGAATAGATGTCATCAGGTAATCTGGGAAGCCAACTTCTTCAAACGATGTAACAGGCCTTGGCACTCCACGACCTTGCACCTGATGGAAACAATGCATCAGCCTCGTTTTGAAAGTGAAATAAATGCAGACTGACCCTGATTTCCTTGGCTTTTCTGAAATCCTCGACGTCCCGCTCGCTACGTTGTGCTACCCGTTTATCTTCAACGTAGAAATTTTTCTCGAAATGCTCGAGTTTGGTGCTGCTCCAGTCGACAGTGCGGAGACCGCCGCCAAGATTTGACATTTTGTCGTCATGTCCACCCCCCCAACCTCCTCCACCATATCCTCCTCCACCATATCCGCCGCCATAGCCACCGCTGTAACCATTATAACTCTACGAGAGTGTCAATGGTGAGAAACATAGAAATGGAAATGGACCATACCATTGTAATGTGGGATAAAGTGAAGGATGTAGGGGAATGGTGATGGGAGAAAACAAAGAACGACAGCAAAATTTCGCTAAGCCGCGGAAGCCGATCACATGACAAGCCAAATAAGATGCACAGCCATCCGGAGCTCGGGATTCGAATTCTTCCGTTTTAATCATGCTGTCCAACCGTCTATAGTAAAGCAAGATATGCTAGAAAGAGAAGATAACTATGTGTGTATACTAGTCCCTTGTAAAGTGAAATAACGGTATATTCGTTCGCATAGCATGAAGGGTATGTGTAGATCGAAAACAAATGCAAATGAGGTATGAAGCTGCAAGTAAGCAAATTGACAAGGAGAAAACATTACATGATGATGCAGCTATCTTTCCCTCTCTTCGGTCTCTTCTTCGGTGGGACGTCGTGCGGGTATCTCTTTCGCATCTGTCTCAATAGATCCTCGAACACATCAGACACATGCCAGTTCCGTTTGGCGGACGTTTCATAGAATGGATGTTCCCACCGATTGGCAAGGTCTTGTATTTTACCTTTCTGGACTTCGCGTTCGTTGACGAGATCAAGCTTGGTGCCGACAACGACGATAGGGATGTCCTGTTGGTAGACGTGAGCAAGGCGGCGTTCCAGGCGCAGAAGGCGATCTGACAGTATCTCCGCCTTTGATTCTGTATATCTGCTGCCGCAGGTGATCGACCTCCTTTAAACTGGCCTCTTGAGTCAAGCTAGGGACGAAGTAAGACCATGTCGGAGACGGCAGTTCGTTGACTCGCCTGAAGACAAGGACAAAACCCAGCCCTGCCTGCGAAGTGGTCAGTGAGCTTCATGGATGGCGGGTGATAACACGAACCTTGATATAGACTTCGTTAAGACTCGTGAACTGTTCAGCGCCTGCAGTATCCAATATTTCTAGCTAAAGAAACATGAGTGAGCATTCGATGCGAGAGAGTAAGCAAGCACAGCGTCGTTCTACGGTGTCAGAGTGAAGACGATGGGCGCTGAACGACGACAGACACGTACCGTAGACAATTCTCCATCAAGTTTCACAGTTCGTCGATACTCCTCTAACGCCCAATGAACTCCGGAACGATGAGCCACTGCGAGTCGACCGACCTTCAATTGTGGGATCATAGTAATCAATGAACACATCTCGTATGTATCGCACTGTATACAACGAGGTCAGACGTAGCCCGCAACCAGCACGAAACACAAAAACGGGACCTGTAAGCGCGGACTTCCCCACACCTCCAGCTGCACGGGAACGGAGATCAGCAAGGCATCGATAGGCCTGCAGGAAAACGACACGGACCCCCAAGGACAACGACGTTGAACTTGCGCATTCAGACGGCCTTGACGCCCTGTGCGTCGCTAGTGACGCCAACAGCGAATCGAAGTCAAGTTAGGTAGCAGAACTGAAGTAGATAGGTAAGACAAAGGATGCATGGCCGTGAGAGCCTTATAAAAATACTACCAAGCAGCCCCGAGCGCGTCTGTGCAGGGCCGCGATTCCTTCCTCTTCGATTTCCAGTTGCCACCACACGACACACGATGTCCCGACCAAGGGTATTCATGGACTTTTCTGTCGACGGCCAGTCATTGGGCAGGTAGCCTGTCATGATTTCCCTGCCAGTGTGATTCATGCTGACGCTGCACTTATTATAGGGTCATCTTTGAGCTTTTTGGTGATACTGCACCGAAGACAAGCGAAAAGTGGGCTCAATGTTCAACCATACGGATCCTTTGTTCACAACTATTATAGCTTCAGAGCCCTATGTACTGGGGAGAAAGGCGTTTCTTCGTCTGGCGTGCCGCTCTACTACAAAAACAGCATCCTGCACAGGTGCATCAAGGATTTCATGATCCAAGGAGGAGGTATGTGCCTCTCTATCGAAATCGGCGTATCTGACCCTCCCACAGACTTCACCAAGCGCAACGGCACCGGCGGCGAATCGATATACGGAGGTATGTTCCCTGACGAAGACCTCACCCGGCCTCTGGACTCGGAAGCCTTGCTCTGCATGGCGAATAGAGGTCCCAATACCAACGGTTCTCAGTTCTTCATCACCCTGAGGGAATGTCCCCACTTGAATGGCGCGTTATGTCCCTTTTCGCCGTAGCATACACTCACTTGCGCCACAGGAAAACACGTCGTATTCGGCAAGGTCATTCGCGGTTACGACGATGTTGTCAAAAAAATCGTCGGCGTCCCTGTAGATACGAAGGATCGTCCCACAACCGCGGTTACAATCACCAGTTGTGGCGAACTTGAGCTTCGCAAAAAGCAACGTGGGTTTCCTTTTGACTGGCACTCCATCAACCTCACGTCGTGTCAAGCCTCAAAGCGTGATCGTTCCGTTTCGGAAGAAAAAGAAAACGAAGACCGCAGGAGGCGCTCCCATCAGCGCTCTCCAAGTACAGATTCAGAGCCTTCGCGTCGCAACGAGACGTCCAAGCGAAAGAAGCGCAGTAAAGACAAGAAGAAGGACGAAACGCTGTTGCAAGAAACCGAAGAAGAGTACGACGCAAGACTCGAGAGAGAAGAGAATGAACGAATAGCAGAGCAGAGAAGGAAGGAATTGGAAAGAATCAAGCGCCAACACGAAGCCGAACTTGAATCAAAGAATGGTGTACGATTCAAGGGTGTGCCTTCTCGTTTCATTCATTCTTTCGGCCTAATGACCCTTGTTCCAGGGCGAGGAAGAATGAAATTTGTTGATCCCGAATCTACATATAGGTAGGTAGCCCGTGCCAGGCATAACGTTCCGAAAAAGTACATCATTCACGATGCGCAAATCTTGTCCCTTCAACTGATCCAAGCATATTTACACCATCAGTATGGGAGCGATAATGCCCGAAATATCGCCTGTGCGAATTTTTTTTTCGAGCAGCTTCGTTCTGTGACTCAGCGTCTAGCCTGCATCATTGGGTGGCGACACAAGTTGCCAGAGGTAATCTGGACGTAAACACAGTACAATTGTTCGACCTCAAGGGCCGGATCTGATCCTCCTTATTTGGCGTCTCCTTGCACTACTTGTGTACATACACGGTTACCCCGGCCTCGCGTTGTGAGAGGAATGATACATGAAGTCACTATGGTAACTGCAGTGCTTCCTTCGTGAAACGTCAGATCAGCTGGATTTCGTCCAAGTACATGGATACTTTCGCTCAAATACTTGCCCGCTAGGCATGAGAATGTTGACCGTATAGTGAATTGTCAGATACTGGTCCTACATACACAAGGTGTGATTACGAGTGAGTGACTCTTCCTCAATTTTGTAGTTCAGAATGCACCTGCAGAGTGGTTGAGGAGACATAAGGGAACATGCTATCTGTTTCATTAGTTCCTAACATCCTGATCTGTGGATGAAACCGTTTATGTAGGTTATATCTCCTCATGTTTCCTTGGCGTCCAAATTACACTTTGAGATAGCTTTTTGGACAATATATGGGGTCATACATATATTGTAGGACATGGGTGCAAGGACAAGCGACCACAGACAATAGCCGATGTACAAAACACGGCCAGCCTCAAGGGTACCGGGAGAGAGCGCAAGGGTGAGCCGGACCTGCAGATGAACAACGTTCATTGAACTTGTTTGAATTATGGTCGTAGATCGTACAAAACTATCAATCATAGTTGATCGTGCATGCCATACAGCAATAATAACAGTGCATAAGTACTCGCACAATAAGACTACATAGAAGCATGCTTCAAACTTCTATCTCCGCCACCTGCGCCGTAACTGTCTCGACCTCAGCGTCCTCTTTTGGTGGGTCTGACTCTTGACCTTTTTTGTCCCTTTTGGCCGCCGCATGGGCAAAACTGAAGGAGGGACGTACGTTCGACGAAGGGGCAGCTGGTTTGGGTATCGCATGAGACGGCTGGGGAGATGAAGGAGTGGACGAAATCGGTGGGGTACTTTTCCTGCTGATGGGAGGACGTTCGGATGCATTCCGTGAGTTGGTGCGCGACATTGTCAGTCGCTCACGATTGTGCTCACGGTCCTTTTCGAGGCGTTCAATAACCTCTTGTTCACGCCCAGAGACATCGACCGGTCTATGAAACGAGATATGTATTAGTTGACGTTGCAGCCGCCAGACATAAAATACATACTTGGCCGCCCCGAAGGGGTTAGAGCGGGTAGATGACGATACAGAGGATGTGGGGCCAATCTTCGGTGAAGATAAGGGGCTGGGAGTACCAGAAGCGCTGCCCGAGCGTGGCAAAAGCTCTAATTTGCGACGCATTTGCGGTGTAGGTGGGGTCGAGTTTGTAGCTGTCACCAACGTCAATCTTTGAAAAGCATAACATGATTGAGCGTACGGGAGGTGCTGCTCCTGCCCTGCGACCTAGGCTTTCGCCAGTCAAAATCATCGCCAACGGGCTCGCGAGGTGGGCCCATGTCCCCACGACCTCTGGCACTACCGAACCGGTTTCCAGTGATACTGTCTTCTGATGGTTTGAATTTGCTTCCTATCGTCCACGAATCCTCCCGATCAGCGGCACCACTTGATCCCTCAAATCCTAGATCTTTTCTACGCTTAACGGGTCCATCATCCTGAGAATGGGCGGGGCGTGATGGCATGTTTGAACGCCAGTCGCTTGGGCTCTCGGAGACACTCGGTAACCTATCGTCGCTACGCGGTCCATCGAATCGACGGCGCGATGAGTCTCGCGACGGCAAGTCAGGCAGTGGCCCATCCCGTCGCCACGGATTGTCAAATTTTCCATCGTCTCCTCCACCAAAGCCAGAACGTTCTTTAGCTACAAGGATACTGTCAGATAACAGAGATGCCTATCACCAATGAAAAGGACTGACGTGGTTCGGCAACACTAACACGAATTGTTCTGCCGGAGAAATTCTGTCACACGCGACGTCAGTGTGTGTATGGACGGCATCATTATACCCGACATAACGTACAGAACCGCTGCGCGAGAGAGCATCTTTTAAACCGTCCAAATCCTCGAATTCGACGTATCCGAAACCTTTTGGTTTGTCATCTCTGTCTTTGATAATTTTGACAGATTTCGGCTACGGCATTTGATGAGTGAGATTCAATGACACGGAGCGCGGAACGAGGAACCTTGTTGGCAGCAAAGAAATCCTCTAATTCGGATTCGACCAAATCAAACGCCAGATTCCCGATGAAAGCCGTGTATGGGGGTGCAGCGGGGAGTGGGAGATCTTCGCGAGGAGGTCCAGAGACACGATCCGCTGCAGTAATCCGTGTCAGGCAAAGGGTAGAGCAGAAATGGAAGTGACGCACGTCGCGACGATAGGAAATCATCACGTCGACCGTGTCTGTCTCCCGGTCGAGTATAGTCGTCGTCGTTCCTTGCAGCGGCTGCTCAAACACAGTGAGAATCCCACCATCGCAGACGGCACGTATAGCTTACGAGCAGACGGCAGCGAGTCCATCTCGTCCGCCCATGATCCCAGGGCTGGATGGCAAAGCGCTCAGTCAGCAAGCAAATGGGCGCGGGATAATACTCACCGCTGTCGCCTAGGAATTCATTCAGCGAAATTTTCTTTCCTTTCTTCGGAGCTGCAGAAGGGAAATGGCGGTAAGAAAATGGAAGATGTGAAGGGGCGATGTGACATACCCATGAGGTTTGCTTGTCGGAGGAAAGCGTACTGTCTAGAAATTTTGCTGTGGACTTTGCCTCTATTTGCTGACATACACATTCGGATGCGGTTTCCGCTAAATTCCGGGCCGTCCCTCAGAATTTTCACAGATAATTATTTGTACAGTCCTACAGTCTTGTCCCAGGTCTGGGGAACAGGTAGAGTTCACATCTCAAAGAGTAAGGTAAGGGCCCCATATGCAAACATAGGGTATATGATATTAAGTGTGAATACAAATATCCAGAAGGCATAGTAATATAAGTTAAGCCTTTCCGGCAAATATTTTTTTGATGGCTTCCGTCGAATACGACTTGGGACGCTCCAGAGCTGACGTTCTTCGGTCAATATAATCACCAGGTTCATCAACAGAAGAGACGTACGAGCACCAAGGGCACGATCCCAAATGAGCTGTGCCACAACACCGAAAGCACGGGAGACACCGAACAGGACGGTGTAGAATTGCATTTCTGTCAAGCCATAGTGGGTCAAGAGAGCACCAGAGTGAGCATCGACATTGGGCCAAGGATTTTTAGCCTTTCCAGCCTACGTAGAAACCGTGAGCCATCAATCAGGTAAATGATGTAAAAATGGCGCCTGACCTCGAGAAGAATGTTCGGAACGATCTCATAGATTTGGCCCACAAGCTTGAACAGAGGGTCATCAGGGAGATGCTTAAGCGCAAACTCACGCTGGGCTGTGTATCGAGGGTCGGTTTTCCTGAGCACCGCGTGACCGTAGCCTGGGACGACCTTTCCACCCTTCAGCGTCGCCCAGACGTACTCCTTGACGGCATCGTCACTCGCGTCCCTGCCGATGGTTTCCTGCATCTTGTTCAACCACAGAAGCACTTCCTGGTTCGCCAAACCATGGAGAGGACCAGCTAGACCATTCAAAGAGGCGGCAAAGGCAAGGAAAGGATCTGAGAGAGCAGAGCCGACTAACTTGCCAGTGTGAGCAGAAACGTTTCCACCCTCGTGATCACTAAAAAGGCACAGTCGTGTCAGGAACGCTGGAAAAGATGTGGGAGTTGCCTACCTGTGAATAGTGATGTACAAGCGAAGAAGCTCGACAAATGCATCATTTTCCCCGAAGCCAAGAAGGGTAGCTAAATTGGCAGAATAATCCTTGGCGGGATCAATTGCGGGAAGCTTGCCTTTACCGAAGACGTTCCGGTAAATTCGACCGGCAATGTTAGGAAGTTTGGCGATCCTACAGGCGCCGTCAGTGACGTCAGAAAGATTTTCATAGCAAAGGTCACTTGCAAGTCCATAGAATCCTCAAAGGTAGGTCCCCAGTATTCCTTCTTGGAGATACCATTTTGATAGGCCTGGGCAAAGGCGGAGTTGTGATTGAGCTGATGGTTTCCAGATGAGTAACATCACGGGTCTGAAGGCGAAGCAGGCACACGACACGTACGGCAGTAACAGCCAAACTGAATTGGCTCATGGGATGGAGGGTAGGGGGGCACCTGTCCAAGATCTCTTCAACAAATTCGGGAATGGCGGCGCGCGCCGCCCAGTCTTTTGAAAGATCCGTGGCCTGTTCCTGAGTAGGGATTTCTCCAGTGAGAAGAAGCCAGAACAAGGCCTCTGGAAGGGGCTCAGAGCCACCAGGGGCTTTGGGGAGGAGGGCTTGACACTCGGGAATGGTTTTGCCACGGAAGCGGATACCCTCATCTGATAGGGGGACGGTGAGTAACGGTAGAGCCAAGAAAGAACGGAAGGGCGCGTACCAGCGTCGAGCACTGACCCCTCCCAGATGAGGGCTGGGAGACCACGCATCCCTCTGACGAAAAAGTGAGAAGATGCGGCAGAACATTGTTAAGAAAGCGCACCCGTAGAGCTGGTCGACGACTACCGGTCCAAATGACTTTTTACCGTGTTCGAGTCGGGCTTGCTTCACCTGGAATGATAACTATCAGCAAGTAGTCGCACTGTAGCAAGAAATACGTGCATTTTCCTGTTCTTGAGGAATGAGTTGGGCCAAACGCTCTTTGAGAGCACTCGATGACGGAACCGTTGTCGAAAATCGGGCCGAGACACCTGCTGTACGACCCAGTGAGGAACGGGACTATTGCGGGGGTGGGGTAAGGTCCAGAACATTTGGAAATAAAGGATACAGGACTTGCAAGCTGCAATATTGAGCGAGACTGGAGAGCCATGATGGTGGTAAGAGAGAAAGTCGTGACGAGGCAAATGGAGAGGAAGCTGGGGATCCCCAAGGCTTTGCCCGGCCTATTTAAATTCTCAAAAATTATTTCCTAATATCTCCGATGCCCCTTTCCACGTGATCGCAGCCAATCCGTCCCGTTGTCAGCCAGATCTGATTATAAGGGTCGCATAGGGTCGCATTCCAAATTCCAAGTCATTCTCTGGTTTCCAATTTACTGCATTCTGCTGCAGCACGATGGGCAAAAGGAAACGAACAGATACTGGCGAAAAGCCCGTTGCAGACACTAGTACATCACTTTTACCTCAGGTAGGTTTTCCAAGCATTCGGTAACACTGTCTTACTTTTTTTTTCCAGAAAAGATACTACAGGCAGCGCGCTCACGCAAATCCATTTTCTGACCATGCCCTAGAGTATCCAACCTCGCCCCAGAGTGTCGACTGGGGTAGCCATTACCCTTCTTTTGCCCACTCAGGCAAGGTGCCAGAGTTCGCCGACGTCGGTTGTGGTTTCGGCGGCTTGCTGATCTCTCTGGCTCCTCTATTTCCCGATACCCTCATGCTGGGTTCGTCATTCATATTTCCGTCGGCATCGCCGTCTGATCGTCGTGATATCCTTCTGCAGGCTTGGAAATACGTGTTCAGGTCTCTCAGTATGTTGAAGACCGTATCAAGGCCTTGAGGGTTGCTGCCGAGCCGTCGTCGCCGTCGGCCCACTACCAAAATGTCTCCATCGTCCGTGCAAATGCGATGAAGTTCCTGCCCAACTACTTTGCTAAACATTCACTCTCTGCGCTCTTTTTTCTGTTCCCTGATCCCCACTTCAAATCACGGAAACACAAAGCGCGTATCATCTCACCCACTCTCCTTGCCGAGTATGCTTACGTGCTTCGTCCGGGCGGCATCGTGTATACCATTACCGACGTAAAGGATCTCCACGAGTGGATGAAGTCTCACCTCGAGGCATTTCCGCTGTTTGAGCCGGTTGATGAAGAGATACTCCGAGCCGAGGGCAAGGGCCCCATTGTGGATGCCGTATACACTAGCACGGAGGAAGGCAAAAAGGTCGAACGGAACAAGGGCGACAAGTGGCTTGCTTGTTTCAGACGTAAAGAGGCCGTGCGACAGTAGTAATTTTCCGAACTCGTAGCATCCACACCATCAGCCGATTCTTACGATGCGGCGCTCACGCACAATACCCGCCAAGGTCGCACCTTTAGGTGCCTGCCCTCTTATGTTTCTTCCATGCGGCCCGATTGGCTGCGATCAAGTCGCTGTGTATTAGGCCCATCTCATGATGGAGGGTCGTACAAGGTGGTACACACGGACGCGACATTCGAAGTCGTAGTGTACAATTATTTTGCTGCAAATGGAATGCATCTGTATCAAGATGCATCATGTTCCGTATTGATGAAATATGTTGTGAGCTCTAGAATGAAAAATCAGGGGGAAATTTTGAATCTTCATGTCATTCATCGGGAGGTCTCGCAGGGCAGAATGCGGGGTAACAAATTCTAGCGATGGTGGCTGAGCCCAGAGCTGGGGCGTTGACCAGATGACTGGAGCACTAGGGCCTTTGAACAGCAAACAAAAAAGTCTTCCGGATTTCAAGATTCCCGTGATACTGGCTTTGAAAGAAATGGTCTCAATACTCATACATCTGCTCATCTTCCTTCTCCCCCGCATTTTGTGAGACCGACTGCATCGCCGAGATTAGCATACCGGTCCGTAACCGTATGGCAGCTCGCATCTCTCCATGAATAACCTTGCCAGCTTCGCACGCCAACTTGAAAATTTCTTCGAAGCGATCAACATGGAGCCGTGTCTCCATTGTGATGAGTGTCACCTTGCCTGTCCTCGGCATGACTGCAACGGTGACGTGGGGAATGTCGTTTTCTTCAAGCGCCGTGAGGTCGAGCATAGGTGAAGTCGAATGCACGCCGCCTGTCACAGCGCTGACAAAATCGAGCAATGAGATGCCAGCGCTGGCGAGAGCAAGCATTGTAGCATTGATACAGGCCTGTAGTAGACCCCCATCCTGTTGTAGAACCTGCACAAAGATATCGATCTGCGACCGTGGATAGAGATTTGTCTGCACAACAGGCTCGAACGTCGACTTGATGGTCGCCGCCATCTCGAGTATTCGTCTATAAAGGGGTGGAAAAAAGCAACGATAAATATTAGGTGCTCACCAGGACTCCCCCCCTACTCACTTGTCACCGCGAGAGCGCTTCCTCCGTTCCCCCGTGCTGAAGGAGGCAATACTGACTTCGACATTGATGTTGGCCCTGTCGTACAAAGTTTGCGACCGCATTTTGGCCTCTCGTGGGCCAAATACCGATACGAGTACCTGAGTCAGGCCATGGGTAATGATGGCAGACCCATCTGCTGTGCCCTGCTGGGACATGTCTATAGTGATGTCACGCAACTCGTACTGTCGCCGTCCGTCGGAGCGAAATCCGCCTTCGTTGAGTATTTCGATACGCGAACTCTGCATTAAAGTAAGGGATAAATTTTTTTTTGTAAAAAGACAGAAAGAAGACACGGACCATGCTTGGTTTTTCTGCCTCAGGTGACGGCGCGGAACAGACACGGATCTGTGACAGGCGCGTTTGAGTTCAGACGTAAGTGACCAAGAATAGCCCCTAATAAGTTTATCCGACTCGCAGTATTCATCTCTTTCCTTCCTTTCCACTTACCACCATCTAGATATTATTATGGAACCGGCTGATATCCAAGTGCCAATGTCGATTCTCGACACGGATCTCTACAAAGTTCGTGTCGCCACAGTCTGCAGCCGAGGCTAGCTCGAATTGACTGGAAATATAGCTGACCATGCAAGCTGCTGTGCTGGACCATTTTCCGATGATTCCAGCAGTATACAAATTTACTCTACGCGATAAACAAATATCCTTCACGCCTCACTTTGTCGACGTTCTCAAAGGGGTCATATCTCGTGGGTACCCCCAATCATGGCAGTTCCTTATGATTTCATTCATGCCAGCTAGATTTCACCGGCATCACTCTACAGCCGGACGAGCGTGACTGGCTTCAGTCTGCTTGCTCCTACTTCACCCCTGCATACATAGACTATCTCTCGGCGTACCGTTTCAAGCCTGAGCAAGTACAAATAACCTTTGTGCCCTCTGCAGAGAACAGTGAGCAAGGGACTATTGATGTTGTCATGTCTGGCCCGTGGGTTGAAACCATTCTTTGGGAGGTTCCTATCCTAGCTTGCATAAGCGAGACGTACTACAACACGATAGAAGAAGACTGGAACTACGATAGACAAGACGGTGAGTATGGATGCTATCCTTGATAAGATCTGGTGCTGAAGGTTACTGATGTTAGAGATCGCGTACAGCAAAGCCAAGGCTCTTCAGGAAGGTGGCTGTGTGTATATGGAGTTCGGCACCAGACGCAGGCGAACTTTTCACGCGCAAGATATCATGGTAAGTGCGTTGGTACGTGCTTCTGGCGAGGTGCAGGGCAAGGGACGGTTGATGGGAACCAGTAATGTGTGCCCACTGCAGTTATCCGGATCATTGATAGCCTTGGTTGACCATATGCACGTTGCAGGTTCACTTGGCACACAAATACGGTGTGGCGCCAATGGGAACAATTGCGCAGTATGCCTATCTTCGGCTTGTTGTTCTCCTCTAAGATTAACCGCAACATTTAGCGAGTGGTTCATGGGGGTTAGTCTTTTTGCTGTACTGTGTGGAACGAGACTAATATTCTACTACAGGTTGCTGCCCTGAAGGGATATGAAACAGCTAACTCCCTGGCCTTGGAACTCTGGGAGCAAACCTTTCCCAATTCCAAAGCGCTCATTGCGTTGACGGATACGTTCTCGACTGGTGCCTTCTTCGACGTGAGCCATTTTTTCTTTTGAGCATAATGGTAACTTATTCAGTCATCTCAGAGTTTTGTAAAAGTCCCAGATCTTGCTGGTCGATGGACGGGCCTTCGACAAGACTCCGGTGATCCTTTTACCTTCTCTCTGCGTGCTAAAGCAGTGTACGAAAAAATGGGTATCGACCATCGCACGAAGACCATTACCTTTTCGGACGCGCTTGATATTGACAAGGCGCTCAAACTGCAAAAGCAGTCGGAGGAGATCGGGTTTAAAGGTAGCTTTTCCGTCTCTTTTAATTGGACCCGTTTTCATAAATTCTGGATGCAGCCTCGTTTGGAATAGGGACTTTCCTAAGCAATGACTTTGTCAAGGCTTCAAGCGGCGGAAAGGAGAAGAGCAGGGCGATAAATATGGTCATCAAACTTGCTTCTGTTGACGGCAAGCCTTGTGTGAAGATTAGCGACGATCTGACTAAGGTGAGTTGCGCACTTATCTCGCGCCGGTTACCAAGCATTAACGGCATGTATCATTATCATAGAACACTGGAGACGAGGCGGAGGTACAAAAGGTGAAACGAATTTTTGGATTACCTGTTTGAAGATCAGTTTTGGCAGTTTTGTTAGATGAACACCAGACGTAAGTAGGCCATTAAACCGTAAATTATATGAAGGTAGTGGGTTCATGTAGCCTCAGTGTATCCACATAAGTAATGTGATAGAGTTGACACCATATTACAAGACTGGGACTACTTTTTCATGGGAAACTGGGCTGGCTGATTTGCGGGTCCGCGTTTGCGCCACAGCATCGGGCCGGCCTCCGACGAAACTGAACCAAACGTCGGACTTTTGTCATATGGACTCGCATGTCTCCCATTTGCCGTATCGTCGAGGATGCAAAGTACCAGACCAGGGAAAAGCGGGCAGCAAGGCGGGCTAAGCAACAGCCATGGATTGTCCTCAAGCTCATGGTATTCATCACGGCCGCTATCATGATATATGGTGCATATGTTTACATTGCGAGGTTTTGCGTTCCCGGTATACGGCGGGAGCACGCGTTCATCAGTAGAGGGGCCTCCAGTACGCCCTATTTTATATGCTATTTGATTTTTCTCAGTTTCTGCAGTCGTGATGCTGGTGGTATTCTGCCCATTGTACTTCTGGATGCTGTGGGCGTACATCATGGTGTGTCACGGGTGTCAATTTTTGTCGAATTTGACCATAGAGCAAGGTTGTAGGTTGTAGTTGTATCTCCAGGATATGCCCGTGATGTCAGTACATCTTATTACTGGGTTTCTTCGTCACTGACGGCGTCGCTGTGCTGTAGCATGTTCCAAGATCACCCCAACCACCGCCGTTGCCACAGATACCCTTTGTGCCACCCATCCGTCCCCCACCTTCGCTCACTGGACCCAATACAGACGTTGAGTCCGGAGCGATGGGCAACCCAGCCAGGATAGGAGACGGTAGCATTGGAGGCCCGTCTTACGAAGAGATGTCGATACACAATCCAAGACCTCTTCATGACAGCAACGAAACTCACGAAGGTGTAACGTATAATAACTATGCTATGAATTCCTCGCCTGTCCTGGCATCTACATCGCCACCTCCCCAAACTGACGGTAACTGGGCGGAAGATAAAGACCTCGATTTCCGGATACGAATGTCCATGATGCATATTGAACGACGACCACCTACGAATCCAGTTCTCTTACCCGCGTATCGCTACTGTACTAGGGACGAACTGATAAAGCCATACCGAGCGCACCACTGCAGCGCTTGCGGCACCGTATGTCCTTCTCGATCACCTACTTACCACGAATTCTTACCCAAGATGAACAGTGCGTGCTCAAGTACGATCATCATTGCCCATGTACGAGTAGGTTACTTATTTTGTTAACATGCTAACTTACTGTAGGGATTGGTCAGTGCGTCGGCGCGCGAAATCACAAGTTCTTCATCAATTTCAATCAGGCTACTGCTGTATTCACTGCATATACCTTCGCCACTCTGCTGACGTATACTATACGAGCCGCTAAAGCCCCAGGCGGCGACTTAGACGCTCAACAGATAGTTGCCATTGCGCTGTCAGTTCCCCGTTTATTCGCGCGTGCGTGTGTTAAAGTTTATTATATAGGAGCGCTCTTTTCTTCATTTTTTCTGCAACGCTGTTTGTTACGCACGTCCGGCTTCTGTATCTTTCACAGACTACAGTTGAAGCCATGTATGACCGAAGCATGAAGGAACGCGAAGGGCATATACTCAACGATGCTTTTGGTCTCTGCGGGTTCATGTGATATTTCCATACGTTCCGCCCGGCCGGCCTTCTAACATGTTGCCTTTATAGTGAGAAAATCCGTGTGCAACGTTTGTGGGACGCAGAGTGGGGACGGATAGGAAGAGAAGGTAACTTGTGGTGGTTAGGTTCAGGAAGAAAAGGCTGGGAAGATGTGATGGGGGATTGGTGGGTAGGATGGATATTCCCTGTTGGACGAGGGCTGTCGGATGGACTGAACTACACTACCAATCCCAGATTTGACGAGACAGGAAGATGGAGGAAGCGGAAAGAATGGCCTGTGGGGTTGCAATGATACCGAGACGATTATCTTATTTCTAACCATGGAACATTAAAGAACTTATTGTATGTGTACAGATAGTTTCTACCAGTAAGCAAGCACCTGTGACGATATTTAATCCGAAAAACACTATAATAGCATACAGTCAGTGCCTTCTGCATGTAGTTCTCAGCCATAGTTGCATTTCAGGCTATACCTGTTCTTCGCAACGTCGCAGCCTCTAGAAAAACATCCGCTTTCTTCCAAACCGTCCAGCATGACAGATTGGGCCTATTAAGAATCCTTATGTTCGCATGACAGGCGTCTATAGAACTGCAAGCCCTCCTGTGCTTCTGCGCTAGATCACCTGTGAGAATAAGTCGACCCCAAAATCTTCTGACTTCTTTACCTCACCAGAACCAACCAATTGATTGGACGCAGAACCGACTCACACAAGGTCTCACGTTTAGAACCGTCGGAGTGCATACATATAGACTCCGACGGGAAGTCCAGCAGCAAGGTTAACACGTTCCTTGACTCAAAGAGACGTATAGAAACACTGCTGTGTGCTTGTCGGGATGGATTGGAAGAGACCTTAATATAGCGGCTTCTCATCTCCCATAATGCGGAATCTACAGAAAGATTGATGAGTCCAAAGGTCGGCGAGCGCCCAGCAGGCACCTCAGGTGTTGATACCCAACGTCTTATGCAACAGATGAGTGCTTTGAATTACAAATGCAATGTGTATAGTCTTGGATAAGAGAATGTTAGACAGGGTTACAATTATGCCTTGATGCACTCACTGTAAGAGCGTGGTAATCCGCTTGTGGCTATCTATACCCAAACGTTACAATTGATTAATGACTGATGACTGAAATGTGTGATAGAGAAGGATGATACGACAAACTCCCGAGATTGAATTCGTAGCTAGATCAGTGTGACAGTCCATATCAAAGATGTGAAAGATACATTTGCGTTTAGAAGATAGCGTTGATTATTCCACTGCCAACAGCGGAACCTGGAAGGGATCAGCATCGAAGAAACGATTGTAAAATTGACAGCAGACCTGCTCCAAAACCAACACCTCCGACGGCAGAGTGCGCCAACTAGACAGCGTTCAGTATTACCGGACCGATGAACGGAGATAGAGGACTGACAGTATTCTTCAAATCACCCCCACCGAACTTGGACTTCTTGGGCTCCTCGACGGTGACTTGAGTGGTCACCTGAGTAGGAGCCGGCTGAGGCGGTGGCGGCTGATAGGCAGGGTACGGAGGGTTGTATTGCGAGGGAGGAGGGCCGTATCCCATGGGTGCAGGTGGTCCCAGAGGAGGCTGGTAAACCGGTGCATTGTTGTAAGACGCTGCTGGGGGAGGATTGTAAGGCGCTGCCTTCTCAACGATCGCAGTATCTGGCGGCAAGCGCTCGACATAATTCGAGGGAAATAAGCCTTCGACGCCATTGCGCCGTCCTGTCCACCAGTCAGCATTGGCTTCTGAGACTATTTCGATAATGTCGCCAGCTCGGAATGAAAGATCGTTAGGGTCCTATCACGAATGAGTATTCATAAATGAAACCGTGAAAGGAGAACGAACGCAACTTGTCTGGCCTCGTTGTATCCCCAAATTGCCCTGGCCTTGGACACAGTAGTAACAGGCGGCGGATTGTACGGCTGGGGAATCGGTGGTGGTGGCGGCGACCGTACTAGCAGATTCTGGGCAGACCTGGTAATATTGTCTACAGCTGGGTCATGAGGCAACTTCGCAATGATATCTCTGGCATCGCCGGAAGAAATCTTGTTCTGTGAGACAAGAAATTCAATGTTCTGCTTTGTCTGGGACAAAATATGAGCAAGCAAGGCAGAGGAGTCCATGACGGTAAGAGACAAGGTGGTCGATGGGCCGTCGGCCGTTTATTACATAAATCGAGGCTGCGTAATAATCTTATTTAAATAATCTACCTATTTGTGCAGACCAACCTCAACTTTTGCGCCATGGATTCCAGTCTTCAACACGATATCTTGTAGGTAAAGACCATTGCACCCGTTTTTATTTCAACCGATTGAAAGAGGGGTAGCCATCCTAACCCCAGATGTAATGCAGTTAGACTAGGGGCTCCATCCACGAAGTTAACTGGGGAGCCCTTTGCAAGCCATCCACAAATGTCGATTTATATCTCTAATATCCCTTCGATACTGGCATATCTCCGTGGTTCAACAGAAACGGCGGACGCTATCAACTGTTATCCAATTATGACGCTCGTGTGGATATAGGAACTATGATTATCTGGAACGCTCGGTGTGAGAGGGTCATCAAAAGGGAGGACTCTAACTTCTCATCGGATTCAATCAAAAATTTGTGGGCAAGAAAATTAAACAAACGCCTTGAACTTGATTGCTTGATGACTCATAAACGGTTCGGAAAGAAGGCCCTTCCAAAGGACCTAGTTTTGAAAACTTCGTCGGGGTCAGTCCAGAACGAGAAAAACCTTCCACTAGACTGGACGGAAGAGAGCGGGGTTTTAGTGGGTACAATATTGTGAAGGCTACGTAAACGAGGTAAGTATAGACATAGAGGAGGAAGAAGGAGGAAGTGAGAGCCACACAATAAGTCCCAGGTCCCACACTGTTCGTGCATAAAGCATTTCCTCGCGGTTAACGTTCACTATCTTCTAAGCGCACACTGACATGTCGGCTTGGTTTGAATCCTAGGCTCCCCAAGGCTGCATGTTGGAAGCGACTGTGTCGCCGGACCGCCTCTGCAATAGCCTCAACCCAAAAAAAAAAGGAACCGTGATATTGGCTTTGAACAATGTCTCCAATGTATGTAACCAAGTTGGGGGGACCTAGAGGTAAATGATCTGGTCACTTGGTAAGAAAATCACTGACAGTGTCCTGCTGCGAGGGATTATGAATACGTGTAGAATCCGGTGATGAACAAATAGCACCTCTGTGAAGAAGGAACAGTGGACGAAGAGCTTAGAACTTACCACCTCGTCGTTCCCGCCCTCGTAGGCGTTGCTGGCCTTCTTCCTTTTCCTTTATCTCCCTTGTCGGTCCTAGTGTCTCTTTCAGCGGTATCTTCTGCCTGTTTCTTCGTTCTCTTGTTTCTCGGAGGTGTCTCCCATTAGGATAAAATGATAAGTCGGGCATGTCAGCGAGAGCACGCTTAGCAAAAAAATTCGTGGTCGTCGAGCACAATCTGATGATTGATAACGCGCTGCGATATGCAAGGGTTATTCACCATTAGTGATTGGAGTACGCATTTCTGCCGATTGTGATACTTCTGGTCTTGAGCGCATGAGGACATGAGACGGGAATAAAGCATCAAACCATCAGATGGATCCAGACCTTGCAGATGTACATTATTCCTACATATATATATAATCAGTTACGCGTGGATACACTCATATTTTATACAATAAGCATGGTGAATACACTTTACGGCCGTGTCAAGTTCACCCTTCCCTCTTTACGCGTTTCCACTGGTCCGACCGCCCACTTAAACTTGGAGCTGCTCGAACGTAAACGTCAGAAGCACAAATGTATAACGGTTGAACATACCAGAACCTTCATCCATCTCTCTCTTAATTCTGATCCGCGGATTAACAGTTGCCCCTAATCACGCTGCTCAGGAAACTGACCGAGGAAATATATAAATGCCGACCGTAAGCTCTTCGTGGGTCTCTCGTTCTGTCATCGTTGAAGGACTGATCTACTGGTTCGCGTTTGACCGAGACCGTTGGTCTATACTCGTCACGCCGCCTATCCTTGTCATGTCGTCTCTCACCCTCTCTGCGCTGTTCATTATTTCTCCTTTGAATATCATCAACACGGCAGTCTCGCTGGCGCTCGTATCTGTCTCCAATCAGTCTTTGGCGCTCCCAGTCTCCCCATCTTGCTGTGTCATCATCGATGCGGCGTCGCTGGTCCGTCTCCTCTCTCTTTCCGGGTAGACACGAACTTAAGAAATCATCAACTTGCGAAGTCAGAGGAGCTCGCGTCATGCTTCGCCGACCGTCGTCCGGTTCTTGCTTAACTCGCGATGGCAATGGATTCGAAGGAAGTGTTTGGCTTCGTTCCCTTTCCCGCCGGAATTCTTGTTCCTCGCAACCTACGATGAAAATCAGTCATATGTCGTCTGTTTGAAACCAACCAGGCGAACTTCGACCTGCGCCTTTAGGCACCAACTCATTGTCTACAGCTGCACGCAAATGTAAGTCATCACCAATAATAGCGGCAACATTAGATACGTACGTTCAAGCTTGACTTGTTGCAGAGCCTGGCTTGACTGGGCTTCACGCCGCTCCGTTTCCTCTCTTTGGATCCTCAAGAGATCAGCCAAGATTCTCCGGCTTGCTTCCTCGTTGTCCAGTACTGTAGCTTGTCAGTTTGGCAATTTCTCAAAAAACGGGAGGCATACACCGGGATTGCTCTTCCTGCTTTGCGCACGGCAAGTCTACTCTTCTCCCAGGGACTTCTTCATAGAATGTGGTAAAAACTTTCATCGCCAATGATTAAATTGTATATAAAAACACTTACGACCCGGGACTCCACTTTCTTGTTTGACGCGTATGGGTTCCTCGTCTTGTTGGCGCATCTCGGGTAACAGAGGTGTCTCATAAGGCTGCCATCGCTCTACGCGTCGTTTTTCCTCTAATTCACGACTACGTTCCAAATCACGGACCTCATCCATCTGCTCGTCCTCCTCTTCATAGGGATCCCTTTTGATCCTCGTCTGGGAGACATTATCCTCCTCTTTGAAGTGCATACCATTAACCGGATCCTCGAACTTGACAGGAGAGCCTTCTATTTCATGTTTGACGTGTTGCATCAGCTCGTCTTCTTCCTCGTATGGATCGCGTTTGATCCTGGGTTCCGGCGTAGGCGATGGTGAGGCCACTAGGGAAAATTGAGGAAGAGATGTTGATGTCACCACTACAGGCGCGTCATTGCAAAACGCGTTTACCGGTGCAGCTGTTCCCCACGCATCAGTAGATGGAAGTCTCAGAGACCACCTGGCCGTCCTCGACAGCGGTGCGTCAGGGAGAGGGTAGCTATCTCCGCGCCGACATACAAATTCGTCCGTCAGTGTTGGGGTATCTTGGATAAAATGGTCGAACTCTACAGACGGAAATGTCAAGAGAAGATAGGGAAAGAAGGGCGAAAAAGCGCACTTTGATCTGGATCACCCCACGTCTTCCAGTCATATTCATATACGGACACGACGTGGCCTTGCCAAGCATCAATGGCCCTTGGACACCGAAAGAAACGAGATGCATGATGTGCGCCCAGCAGGCGGCGACCAAGCTCAGTCAACTGTCTGTCGTTGGTACCAGGGATGATGGTGGTGAGCGCATTACCGCCAAATGGCATGTCTACAAGGACCTGCTCCCGGCCTCCCTCCGACGTTCTCCACATTCCAGTAGGCGAGATCCCGCAGGCACATTCTACCCAGCTTGCCAGGTTGTTATGGAAGCCCCGCCATTGTTGCGGGCTACATCGGGTGAAGCCTCCCGTAGGAACACCCCAGGGATTGACAATGATGAGGGCGTGTCGATCCGTAGGCACGGGGTATTCCTTCAGTTTTTTGAGACTCTTCTTGGCCATGTTTGGAGAAGTCTAATTCATGAAGAAAAGGGTATTGAATGAAGGGTATCGAAATGTAAGGGTATGAAGATGGTGGTGGTATGCTGCACGATGCAATCCCTTTAATCCGGCCCTCAAGTGACAGTGATCGTAATCGCGTCACGCCTTTTCTGTCTCTCTCTGGCGAACATCCATCATCTGGATACCCCCCCTCGGTAAGCAGACGCAATTTCTCTCTTGATGCCCAGCTAATGGTGTTGCATGATACCAGACCGACTAGGTCGTTGTATGCAGGACCAGACGTGGTCTGTGCTCAGTCATCGTGCAGCCCAAACACTGATGACATGATTACCAGAATGTGTGAACGTGCTCCTCTCTGCTGTCCCAAGTACTAATGTACTCTGTCAGACTGATGTATTCTCGGTGATGGAATGTGCTCAGCTCAGACAAAAGCTGTGTACACATACAGTCCCTTTGTGAGTGCCTTCTCCCCACGAAGAGGTCCGTGCTGACAACATGACTTGCAGGGTATACACATCAATGGGGAAGTAACGACTTCATGGGTATTACCACTGTTGTCGTCAGAGGCCCTGTGAACCATGAAGGTGCCGCATTTTATTCTTTGGTCTCTCGCATCCGAATCTCACTGCTGGTCTGCTCACAGGATCATTGAGCCATTGCATGAGCCTGCTCTTGTAAGTACTTGTCACCGGTCAAAGTATTCAATTTGATCATTGTTATTCCAGAACATTGCGTTAATAGCAGCGGCTTGTGAGTAATAAATCAATTACCCCAGATCATCATGGCTATATTTTGCCCCTCGGTGCGCATGGATTCCCCATTTTCTTTGGGTCAGCTAATGGTCTGCGGTCTTCAGATCTCAATATCTCGATTGTTGTACAAATATCTTCGACCTTACTGCATATGGAGGAGTCGTCGATTCTGAAGTTAGGATTGTACGTCTTTCTTCGTGCGTATGTATCATGTTTCTTATGTAATCCCGTACAGCGTGCTGCATCCTGTGATACTTATTCTAGTCACAATGTCCTTAATCTTTTTTGGCCGAAAGGATTGAACTCATATCAAGTCCTTAGAGTACGTCATGTTCGTTCGTTCATTCGCTACTCTACTTACTCTGGGACAATCAGGTTGCTGTGTCACCCAGAGCTCTTTCAGGGACCTCATTAACTTCGACATTCATTGTTGTGAAAACACCGATGGTGCCGTAAGTTGAGAACCAGGATGTGAGACTTAACCAAATTCTACCCACCATCAATGTTCATCCCTTCTTCAGTTCCCGCGACCGGTCGCGGTATCATTCTGGTAAGCAAGCCTTCAACACTGCGGTGTTGTAAGTTTATGTGCGTGTTGCTGCTTTTTTGTCACTCATAATGAAGCTGATATTTGGAGGAAGCATGCCGGCGCGCACCGACCATGATATAGTAAATCCCAGCGTCTTCATGCCGCTGTGATCAGCACGCGATGTGGGTTCCGTTCTTTTCTGTTTGGCACACAATGTTCATACTTTTCTCAGAACATCGCGAGTTATTGAAAATGAAGTAACCCAGGCCATCTTTGAAGCGGCATGCCCCGTTTAAAGCTATCGTCAATTTTGTAGCTACTGAGGAAATGCAGAATATGCTTCATACAGTGGTGCGATTAAGGCAAAACTTCTTATTGGGGCCGCTTCCACCGCTCCGTGGCAGGTAAGGGAAACTTGTTGAAGAGACATTGATTCTGGAATATCTACCATCACTGGGTCCAATTCAACTTACCAGCTGCGCAACATGCCCAAGAAACTCACAATTTGTATGGGCTATGTACAGTGCGCCGGGTTCCAGTGATAAACCCGTTATGAATGGTTGTGCGGAAGGTTTCGATACCGAAACTACGTAGCCTTTACAATTTGGGTACTTGCCTCATGACCACGCTTTCTTTGGTTTGCTGAGGATGCCTGTGTTCCTGTGTCTGGCCGTCCATCAATAAGCCGCTGTTGTTGTTTGTCTCCAACTTTTGGCATCGTTTTCCCAGTCTTAGCGGCCAAATCATGTAGAGCCATGTTGCACAATTTCTGTCCGAAGTTGTTCGTGAATTCACATCAACAAACGCTACCATATGCGCTCAGAAGGTCCTCGACCGAAGCTTGCCCTCAAGTTCCCACATTCTGGATCCTCCCACGCAAGATGCTCATCTGACTACAACGTTCATAGCAGTGGATAGGTCCCCTCGGTATGTACATATTCTCTGACCGTCTACCCCATACATGGAATAACAATTCTACTTCAGATCGTCGAGATCGTTGTATCGGGCCAAAGGTAAGTGGTACAGCAAATTTATCACTATCATCATCGTTTGACTAGCGCATTATACAGTTTTGGTCTTAGGTGTCTTCCTCCGGATGACATCGAGCACCAGCTGTGGGCTTTCCATTACTTGCAGTTATCGTTCAAGACTCAGAGCACCATCAGATCGCTGGTTGCATAGGTTCCGCGTGCTTTACGTAAGTTAGTACCTCCGTCACTTGGTTCGACGATGTTCCTTACCATACAGACACGGAATTTCGACGCAACGTCGTCGACCCGCACCTGCATGCGTACGTTTTTTTACGTTTCTGTGAGTTCGTCAGTGTGAGCGCTAATAATCACCACATATTTTCAGGTAGGTGAAGTTCTGAAAATCAAATACCACAGGCCGAAGATTTGAAGTAGCGTACTTGGCATGTATAGACAAGAAAATGTCACTGAATACTGCTTTGAGTCAATTTCGACATTCTGAAGTGATTTCTATAATGGTAAGAAATGAATATGCGTGAACTGGGATTGTGCCTCTATGAAAAGTGTCCGTGCGGCCGGTGGGCCGACCTTTTCCTTGCCTGCCCTAAAGTTGACATTGATCTACTACCGCGGACCTTTTTCTTGCTCTTCAGCAACCACAAACGTGGAACTCCCTCGGTGCGTTCTTCTCTTTCGTTTCAATCTACTTGGTGAAAGCTGAACATCTCTCAGATCGGGGTCACACTTGATCGTTGTAGCGAACCAGCGTTTCACGGTAAGTATCTATTCTCTCATCTGTTCCTTTATCAAACCCTTTGGTAGCTAGTTAGCACCGGTTACAGCTTACGAGGCTGTCGCCGTGTGGAACACTCGGTGTGCGCCTGCTCATTTTATATCTCTCTTTCTTTACTGAGTAGTAACAGGGTTTAATTGCGACCGCGGTGTCGAACGGACATTCGTCGTCCAAAATTTGGAATACGATGGCTATAGCTCGCTTCGGTATGTTTCATTTTTCCCCTTCTGTAGCACATACCTGACTGGGTTTCAGAGGAAGGCGGTGGTTTACCTCCTCGATTGCGTGTTGTGTGATTAAAAATCAATTAACCCAGGCCACCATTATATGCAGCACTTAGCCTTTGTCAATTGAATGCGTCTTGCTTGCCTATCTGATGAAAGTCCACGCAAACTTCTTAGTCAAAAGGAATTGCGCGCGCGATGTCCTACAATGTCGTATAGCTGTATTTGTACATTTACAAAGGATGATAAAATGTACACGGTACGGTACCTATGCAGTACTCTCTGAAACCAAACAAAGTTGCAAGCACAAAAATTGAAAGTATGGATCGGCGTGGCCTTCCCTCCATGTCAATAAGCGAATGACAAGATTCAAAATATACACCAAATGTAAGCCGCCAAATAGCCTGAAACCCAGAATGAAAATGCAAACGGAACAATTAATCAACGTGGTATACCCTCCATTTCAATGCTCTCAATAATCTCTGCCAACCTCCTCATGCCTGCAGTCCCATTGAGTGCAACATTGCTCAAGGTTCCCGGCAGAGCCCTTGTTGCTGCAATCTGTCTCGGACTGATAGCACCAGTAGATGGAGCGTCAGGGGCCTTCCTCACCTCAATGAAGAAATGAAACGGCACGTCTTCCTTCTTGCACAAGCACATGCCTAAATGCACCTCTTTGAGCACCGGGTGGGTGTCTTTGAACTATCGCACATGCCCACCTAGACCAATACTTCCAGACCTCCTTACCCCGCGGCCAGTACGACGACAACTACTCTGGTTTTCATTACACAATTGTCAGAAATTCGGGCGCGGCCCTCCCAGCTACGCAAATCTTTGAGCAAGGGATTCAGCGGGTCGACGAGCTGCGTGCTCTTGATCTAGCGAAAACGACATTCTCTTTCAGAACGTCTCTCATGAATTACGAGCGTCCGTTGGTTTTTAGCTGAGTGTCATATGCCGCTAATCTGTCGTGTCATAGTCCTCTCACTCTCATTCACGGGCCATGTCATGATGCTCTCAAGGCTGTCAACAGAACTCGATTCAAGCTAATATACCGCGCTAGCGGACGATTACCTCGGCTAGTCAATTCGCTCATGCTGTTCTCTAGCGCCGAGGCAAGGAGATTGCATGTAATTCGTTCCATTTACGCTGTCAAACAGAATCGCTGAATATTTCTCTTAGGCGCGCTTTTGTCCGGTCAGGTTAGGTCCAGCAACAGCTGATATGGCTTCTCTGTTTCGGTCTGCTGTTGAAAAAGCAGGGATCGGTGCGTATGTTAGTTTATTTGGAACGCATTGGCTGATTTCCCATCAGATTACAACATCACATGCGACAACAGTGCTGATGAGCGTATTGCATACGTTGACCTTGGAATGTGACAAAAAATTGTTTTCAATCTTTTGTCGAACGCTGTGAAATACACGAAATCGGGCTGAGTGCTATAAATACAGTCAAAGACCTATCTCAAGAGTTACGACATGATCCTAGACGCATTCGCCTCGACCTTACATACACGTCTTCCGAAGTCATTTTGAGTGTCCAAGATACGGGCTGTGGCATCCCGGAAGATCAGTTGGATAAAATCCTTTTGCGATTTCATCCCGTAGAGTCTTCGGATGGAAGAACTATTGAAGGTGAGCACAAACAAAAATAATATATATACCATATCATTTCATGCTCTTGGATCAGGAACTGGAATCGGCCTTGCCCTGACCAATGAGCTAGTCAAGATTCATCAAGGCATGATCATCGTCCAGAGCATAAAGGGTCATGGCAGCGTTTTTACTGTAAGAATACCGCTTGGATGTGGCCATCTACGGGAGAAAGATGTCGACCACGACTTTGATATGGCACTCGCTGGAACTGGCTCATATGCAGCCGGTATTGTCGAAGAAGCGGCAGCTTGGTTGGGCGAAGACTCAGATACGTCGTCGCAGTTGAGTCATGCCTCTTCAACGGATGTCATTATGGGATCCGAACGGTTCACTGTTCTATTGGCGGAGGACAATGCTGTAGGATATTTACGAATGTTGGCATTGGCTTGGTTTATTCTCATTGGCTTTTGTAGGATGCTCGATCTTACATAAAGTCGATTCTCCTGAACGCTGTTCAAGATGTTGTCGATGTCTCTGACGGTCAGGCTGCACTTGATTATATTCATACGCAGGAGCGGCCAGATCTCATAGTGACTGACATCATGAGTTAGTTTGTTTTGTCTGTTGCTTCATCGCCATCATTCTCACTGCCCGGCCAGTGCAACGGATGACCGGAACTGAATTGCCTCAGAAATTAGCTGAGGACCCAGATCCTGATATTCAGGCTATCCTTGTCATAGTCCTCAGCGCAAGTACTGGGTCTGAGGATCGACCCGATAGTGTATTTAGGGGCGCTGTGGATTTCCTACTGAAAGTTAGTTGAACAGTCTTTGTCATGCGAACCCCAATAACTGAAGTATAACCCTATGTAGCCGTTCATCTCGTCCGAGTTGCTTAACCGCGTTAGAAACCGACTCCATGTGCTGAAACAGAGGCACGAACTCGAGAAACAAGTACGAGATCGGACCTTTGAGCTCAAGGTGACGCAGCAGCGCTACCAGCGCATGAGTGAACTATCGTCTGTGGCCATCTTTGAAACAGAAGATGTGGATCATGGTTTGATTACTTATGCTGTGAGATTGGCTTCTCACTGCGGACTCCGACCATCATGCTCACTGTTTCTTGACAGAACGAGCAATTTTTTACACTCACTTGTTAGCCTCGGACTCTGCCTTTGCCATTAAAATGCATCATAGACCGGTTCGTTACTGATTTACTCAAGCCGTAGCATCTTTCTGAAATAAATGCACTAGATTGGCGCCGGAACTTCAAGAGGCGGCTACCAGGGCTTGTCTCGATGCTCCCATGATTAATGGAGAACCGGTCCAGTTTGATGCTGTGTAAGACTCTTTTTAACTTGATTTTTTTTTCTTCAATTCTAAATCTTTTCTCTAGATTTGAAAACGGGAAGAACGCCTTTGTTGAGGTTATAGCGCTCAGTGATGGACGGCTACGTATGCGTATCGCTTTTGAATCGGCCTCTAGCTAACCCAGGTATAGTTGGTACACTGACAGATCAGACGGAGCAGCGGCGGGTGGCTACTGAGCAACTGAGTGAAGAGCGTGCGAAAGCGGACCAGGCAGTTCGACGACGATGACTGCAGGCATGTATCATTTTAAAAATTTTCTACCATTTGACTTATTAACTCTGTTACAAGAAACATTCATTGACATTGTGTCACATGAATTGCGAAATCCGCTGAGCGCTATTGTACAAAGCGCGGAACTTCTCTCGTGCGTATCTTATGCTTCGAACCATCTCATAAGCTAATATCCATACAAGGAGTTCTATTGCTCGACTGCAGGATATCCTAGATACATTACAGAGCATGAATAGCAATCATGATGCTGATAAATTGGTTCGTACTTCATCTTATAGCGGGTTGGCTTCCCTAACAGGCTATCTGCAGTTCGAGGAGAGCAACGTTGAACTCAAAGATACGAATCACGCGGTCTCTTCCGTTGCGCTTTGTGCCCGTCATCAAACGATCATCGCCGCGTACGCTATATTTTCCGGAGCTGATTTGCTCGATCTAACGAGTCGCGTATGTTAAAATGATATCCTTGCCGCTTCTCGACTATATAGCAATCTTTTAAGCGTAATCCTACCACGTTTCACCTACTGGAGGAACTTCAGGTGGGCAGTTCCTTACACTTCGCTCGCGAGTGTCTTCAACGGTTTAATCAGGCTACGTTGGACATATACTCCGTGCAAGCTGCAGCGCAGTCCATCGATTTAAGATTGACCATCCGTGATGATATCGAGAGAGAAACCTGTATCATCGCGGATCCCACTAGGTAAGCCCAAGTTTTGTTCTAGACGAGAAGTATATAAGTGACGGACGCCTCGATTAATTATAGGTTCTGCCAGATACTGGTCAACTTAATGTACGAAACCATCAAACCCATGGGTGCGCAATCATAAGATGTACACAATGGCACCAGGACTGCATCGCGTATAGGATCCTCTCATCCTCTGCATTGGAATAGCTGTGGACAAGGATTTTGTGCCCTAAGGGAGTTGCAGCCGACACATGCTTCGGCAAAGGGTTAATGACCTTGCTGGGACTTAGAGGAAGAAAGCTCCACCACTTGGGGGAGGCTATAGGATGCCCAGGCTCAATACCAATCGACCCAACGAGTTTGAGGTGAGTAACATCAGGTGCGAGCAGAAAGTCACTGTTGGTTTGTTCGGAGTTTGTGTCTACCTCTGAGGAGCTTGAAGCGCCGTCAGTCGATGTTGTCTGATCGGTGTAGCATAGAACATAAGGAAAATCAGCAGCATTCCCTTCCAACGCATCTAAGACAGCCTTCCAAACATCACGAGAGGTTCTGGCTGGAGCACAGCGTTCTGCTAGAGCCCGGACAGCCTTCATACGGCGCTCCGAAAGCACCTTGTCCGTGGTTTCCATACGACTAATTGTAGTCAGTGGCTCAAATGAAAAACGTATCCATAAAAGAAACCCATTTGTTCACTATGCCTCCTACGGTTCCATCCTCGACTTCCACGGGAATATAGGACCACGTGTAGTAGGTTTCGACAACATCGGGCGTGAAATCATCTTCAGCCAGCACTGAACCACGCGCAAGCTCCTGTCTGGGTTTGGAGTCAAAGAAAAGCAAGTCATCCGTTCTGCTGACTGGTTGTCCTTGATAGACTGCGTCGAAGTGTTTTGAGAAAGTTTCCGAAATCTCGCTAAAGGCTAACCTTGCGTGTTTCCAAGCATAAAAGGATGTTTCGAGGCAGATCCCTTGGCCCATACTTCATTATAGAGAAGTATGCGCTCCGAACCCTAGAAAATACATCTATGAGCTGGTTAACGAATTTCACATGGCTGGAAGGAGCGAAGCTACGCACGATTGTGACGGATTCAAGATCATTATGGACACAACAGACCTGAGTGACTGAGGTCAGGCATACATAGGCCCGAGCGGTGTCGACGCCCAGTCGTAATCAAGAGTGAGCCGTCCCACTTCTGTCGAACGGAGTTCAGGAGCAAAGGCAAGCATAGGCAGCGACATCTACACGGAGACTCGGTACAAGAAACAGACGAGAAACCAATCGCACGTACGCCAGGTTTTAGGCCAATCGTCGGGGCAACGACGACGCCCATAAGAATCATCCATCGTAACGATTGGAGCTGCAGCGAAGCGCAGAAAATGCTACCGTCGGCGAAAGACAGAGACAAGGGGCTCCCGTCCGTCTTGGAAGTACACGAGAAACGCAAAATGGACCGCGCTAGCTCCTGTGCACCTTCTGCAGACAGCCTAAGGATCCCGTCGGAAGCAAACGCATCGAATGCGTCCAGACCGGCCAGGCATCACGTTGCCACCAGGCACTGATTCCAAGTCGTACACCGCTGCAAGGTGCCTATAGGAAGCAACGACAGTGCCGGCAGCAGTGAGAGTTCCTGCAAGGACCTCATGGTCAGGGAGAGAAAGATTCGTGTCGTGGCGGGGCGAAGCGCTAAGCTTGAAGCAGTGGACTCTAGAGGAGGAGAATCACTTTGATTTGTAGTAGGGCTGGATTAAAAGCGACTCTGCTGTCTCACCTCAGTCATCCCAACACGCCTCCTTTTCCGTCAAAGAAATTTCTACGTCTCACGACAGCCTGCTGTAGTTTTAAAGTTTATCATTAAATAATATTGATAACGCTCAACATTGAACTATCCTTCAACGTGAAATACCATGTACCAAAGTACCAACCACTAACACCACCATGATAGAAGCCCTACAGTAAAATTTTAGTGACCCCTCTAATCTGCGTCAGGAACTACACAAACCTTGTCCTCAGTTAGCTCCAATGAACTGATATAATATCCGTCTTACGAGTCCCGATAGATGGTGAGGCTCCATCTGGTATGTACTCTGCAAAGAGATGAATATACTTCCAAATAAAAGAGACACAACGCACCATGACCATCGCCATTCCCAGCGCCGACAGCTACATCCGATCAGCAACAACATGTAAATATAGTGAGCTGACATACCAAAGCTTCTCCAGCTTTACCTCCCTTGAACCCACCAGGCACTTTGCCTGTCGTGATGTTCCAGAAGCTCTCCAGAGCTTTCGGCAGGACATACATTGACAACTCCGCACGCCTTTTCTTCTCTTCGATAAGCAGGCTAAGACCAGTTGCGAGACCAGGCCACCAATACGCCGCCCTCGACATAAACAAAAAGTCCACCAGCCACTGCGGTATCTTGAATATTGATCTAGGTGACATAGAAGTGAGGAATTCGTGGATGACGCGTCGCGCACATACGAAACCTGAAATGGCTCTCATCAGTCAATCCAGGTGAGTGTAACGTCAAGGCTATACCTTGGTATATAACAACATACACCCCGAGGAATGTACAGCTTCGGGCAGTCCCGAAACCTGCTTTCGCGAGAATCTTTAAGGGATCTTGTATGAAGGCTTTGGTTCGAAATAAGATTGGGGGCAGAAAATGCAGAGCGCCATAAACAGGTAGCATAAACCTGGCCACTGCAAAGAAACGAGCCGAAGGCACGTCCCAACATGACGACTGGCCAGGATGAAGAGCTTCGCAAGGGCAATGACAGCCTGCCTCAGACGAGGCTATGGAGTTGGGAGCACCGAGGTAAAAAGCTTCTTTCTTTGCCAGCAGTGAAGCAGCATTCTCAGGCGTGACCTTCCATCTCTAAGAGGAAAGGTCAGTATGCGACGAGAGTTGGAGAAACGTCACAAACGTTACTATAAAGAATCTTGTCCAAATCAGTCGAGTTAAACGTACGCGACCGCATTAGATCGTAATTCATGTCGACACCTTCTTTGGGAACTTGTGATGCTCTGACGATCCTACGATTCACTTAAGGCATAAGAGTCCGGTATGACATTTGAATACGTACCAAGCGCGATACGATTTGGGTAGTGTATCAGGTCGCATAAACGAGGCATACAGGACCTGCGCATTACTGAAGAGATGTCAGCGTGGCAGGAAGGAGACCCACAAACACGTACATCAGCGCAAATAATATTACATCTCCAAAGGGTATTGTGATATTCCTGGCGGTAGTATATGCATTGAAAGAGCCCTGCAGACCACGGACAAACATCTGCTGAGCTATTGTAACTCTCCTTCCACGAGTCTCAAACAATACAGCCAGCCCGCCGGCCGCAAAACCAGCGAGAGCTGCATGCCATCTTCTCGTCTTCTTACGCACCAAAACCTGTTGAGCTTGTGTGCTCAGTGACAAGCGTTGAGAACGTCGGCGGTGGCGGGGAGAGGGAATAGGGACTTGGACGGTATGCCACGCTGCCTCGTCATCATCGAAGAATGGATTAGATGGGAACTTAACTGTAGGCATAAGGAGAGGCAAGGCATTGATAAGGAACTTATAGACAGAAGTAAATGTCCCAAGCATGGCAGCGAACCGCCATGTATCTCTTCCAAAAATGGCACGACCAATGATAGGAAGCCGTTGTTTTCTTCGAGAAGAGATTATTTCTTGTTGGCGATACCGGCGACAGCTAATACTTACTTGGGAATCGAGCGAAGCCTGATGAAGACCAATATCAGGTTGAACGCAGCCCGTATGTTGAAAGCGAGAGCACCAGAGCCTGCAACTAATTTCAGCTTCCTGAGGTCTAGCGACAAAGGTAATACGCACGTATTCCACCGGTAGCTGCATGCTTCAGACACCCACCCAAGTCATGCAATTCAACCACAGGCTCTCCCCTAACACGCCATACCATCTTACCCGCCTCCCGCAGTCGCTCCTGGTGGTTCGCCAACGCGACGAGGTTCTCAAACGACACCATGGCCCTCCTTGTCGTGAAAACGTCGTTCGACGGCGTAGGGGGGGTCGAGTCTGTCGAGGATCTATTCATGGTAGATAGCGCGATCCGGAGAGGCACCGGGGTGCCGGGCGGAGTCGAGTATGGCGTCGTCGCCTCGCTGCTCTCGGCAGAGCCGAGGTCTCTATCGTGATTCATAGCGTTAAAGGAAAGGACACGAAGGTCCTGGAGGAACGATGGACACCGCGTAGGACCATGTGAATTCCGAGCAAATAACCTGACCTATGTACGTCATCATTCAGAAATGTACCGTGATGGATAAGGACGCCTGGCAGTACCCTTGTTGCGGCACTGGAGGAGCAGGGGCGTCAGCGTCGTCGTCGTCGATGAACGTGAAGGAGATCGATTTCAAATTGAATTCCACTTTAGCCAGCATCCACTGGCAATTCATTTTGTTCAGCATCAGCTTCTTCGCTTCCACGAAAAGCAGGTCAACAAGCAATTGACTATTAGAATACTCACAGATATTTATGGCCGTTGGGAAAAATCGAGAGGATCGTACGATGTGTATAGTCCCGGTTTTTCTTTCTCTGTGTCTTTGCTCATCTCGTAGTGCCAGTATCCGTTGTTCTCGACAGGATGAATACAAAACAACACTTGCATAAGGAAGATTACTGGTCTCTGAACAGCCGAGGGAAGTTCGGATAAGATTTCATTTGCATTCTAAGTATTCCAATTGATGATCACAATATAGCTGAATAAAGCCTTTGCTCCATCTCTGGACAATGTTTTATAGTCATAGTTGAATAGTACGACCTCCGTGGTGTCTACGATATGCTTGCGACGTCTACTGAATTCTCTTGTCCACGCGTTTGATTGAAGGGAGCCCGAAGCGATACTGAACAGCAAACTTGCTGTGATCATCCTTCATACAGAGCGAACTTAGGCGTCTTATTAGTGAAAAAGCTTCGAAAATAGTATCGGAAGACTTACATAACTACGAAATGTGAGTTGCAGTCAAAGACGTATTATGTGCACTCACAATGGGTTCCAGTGAACATGTAATAAGTGCCCAGACCCTACATATATTCGTGAGTTGAGGTGAAATGGAAACCCTTAGAGTTCTTACGGTCAAGACGTGCCACCAAGCATGTCCTTCAAGCAAAAATGCCAGCGGCCATCCGATGGCAACCTTAAATCTTGTTAGGTCGTCGCAGAAAATGTTGTCTAGGTTCCAGATGAGAAATCCGAATACGAAAAGGCCTGCACCGTAGCCAAAGATGCCTCCGATTTGTGACTTCTTGTCATCAGGTATTCGAAAGCGCACTTCCGACCATTTCAAAAGATGTCTGATCATAAAAGCAGTACTAATTGCAAGCGTTCCGAACGCGACCTGGTGATATACTGGATTGCGGTAGACGATACTGAGTACGGAATTAGCCAAAAAAACTAGGGAAAGACTTTCATCAATGCTCACTAGCTCCAAGTGAACAACACGTCGAATGCAATGCTTAGTACAAGAGAAGTTATGCTTTTACGCAAAGTTATGTCAAAACCAGGGCTGTCGTCGTACAGGAACCAGCAACTTCCGGCAGTGACATAGATCATGGGGAGTTCATCCAGGAGTTGGTAGTGATACAAAAGCGTTGCGTGAAATGCGAGGCTGCCAAAGCCAATGAGAGCGAATCCCTGCGACCGGCGTCAGGAGCGGTGATGATGTGGCAGAACCAGATGGCTTACACCGAAACCGACGATATACCTGGTCGGCATGGATGCACGTCGTGCATTGTGTGCTCCGTAAGCAGCCAGGAAGATGAAAAATAGGTTGGAAATTGTGTTGGCCATTTCAGCAATATAATAGGAGAACTGGTAGTTGGCCTAGAGACGACTGAGGAAAACCGCGACGAGGAGGAGTATACGACGTACTTCGCACCAGTCGAGCGTGGCCGTCACTGGACCATGATATCCATCCAAGTTTACAACAAGAGTCGAGCTCGCCATGATTGGTGATACACAAAGAATACAGGGTGTTAAGGAAAAAAGACGAAGCGAAGTGCCGAACCGTTTGACCGCTCACGGTCAGGGACCAGGGTTGCATACTAGAGGTCTAAGCTTTTCATTCTAAAAATACTATGCCACCGGCGATTGGTACCAAAAGTCAGCTATAATGAGAACATTCTGTCCCAATTCATGCACGCTAAATATAGTCACATCGTCATCGCGCGATCATCATTCCCTCGGCCCCTCGACATCGACACTACTTACCCGCAGCAACCATCATGGTTTTCCTTCCCCCACCATCGTGGACCGAATTCGCCTGGCCCCTGCAGTTCTGTGCATTCGTGGCGGCGGCAACATACATCGCATCCATTGTAACGGCCAATGTATCCCAAGTAGGTTTATGTCTCTTTGCTGGAGCAATTGCTCGAGTATATGCGTCTAGGTTGACCGTCTCTGGACATTTCTTCCACCCCTCTATTCTGCCTACTTCGCCTTGCTGCCTCTGTGGCCCAAGTCAGTTCAGCCGTTTCCATTGTGTCCGTATGTTCCCCGTGAGCTCGTGGCGGTCGCCAGCGACTACAGCCCACGCGCCGTGTTGATGCTAGCGCTCGAAGTTATCTGGATGTTCAGGTTCGTACTGCCAGCCCATCCATGACTTGCTAGCCTTTCCTGACATTCGTTGTTAGGCTCAGCTATAACACCTACCGTCGCGGTCTGTTCAGCTTGAAGGACGAAGATTATCGATGGGCAGTGCTCCGTACCCAGCTCCCCGCGTGGTTCTTCCAAGTCATGAACTTGGTTTTTATCTCTGGAATTCAGAACGTACTCCTTCTATCGCTTGGTATTCCAGCATACATTGCGGCAGTTCAGCAACCTCACAGCAATCTCGCTCTCTCTGACGTCGTCCTTGCATTATCCAGTCTTGTCATGCTTTGCCTTGAATTTATAGCTGACAATCAGCAGTACGCTTTTCATGCCTATAAACACTCCTATCTTAAAGGCACGGGTGACTACGCTGAAAAGAAGCAGTGGGTCGGTGCCCGTCTCAACTGGATTCCAGCAGATGCAAAAAGAGGATTTGTGACTCGTGGATTGTGGGCGTACTCCAGGCATCCAAACTTTACATGCGAGCAGCTTTTTTGGGTAAGATTCCACGTAGCGCCTGCACGGTGACTGTCCTCACATCGACCTTTGTCCTAGTGGATGAATACATTCTTCCCTGTAGCCGCCCAGTTCCCTCTGGACATTCCCCTCTGTTCCTTTTCTCGATGCGTTGAAAACGTCTTCCACATCTACGCATACCTTACTACGACGCCCGTAGCAGAGATCTTCAGGACCGCATCATCATTTTGGCCTCTGCTTCCAGCTGCAAGCTTGAGCTTACTTTTCATTGCGTCTACGAAATACACGGAACAGATTACGAAGTCGAAGTATCCTTCGTATACATTCTATCAGAAGAGAGTTGCGATGTTTGGTTTTATCAAAACAATGGAGATGTCTTTATATTACAAGCTGAGGGGAGGGGAACAGAAGAAACAAATTGAGAAGGAGCTATGGGGTTCGGATACGGGAAAGGTCAAACAGTACTAATTTTCTTCTTGGGTCCTTTCAATATTTATGTTCTGTATTGAAGTAGTAATGAAAATATCAGAAATCATGTAGCTGTGTACTCTGCTGGACCGGTGCTGACCAACGATCCGTTGCCAAATTTGGTCAGGGACCCTTCTCTCACCAACCATCATGACCACCAATATTCTCATCTCTGCATTTGCCCCCTTCTCGTCATTGTCGTTGGCAGTTCCGTTGTCGACGTCTATTTCTTCTGTTCTGCCCTTGCTTGAAGAAAAATACCCTCTTCTTCCAGTGGACTCTCTTCGCCTCTCCACCCATTCTGGGGCTGCTCTCGAAGACGACGCGCCTCTTTCAATACTACTCAATGACTCTACTTTCTTGACACTTCGTCTTACGCCTCGGCTTCTCGGTGGAAAGGGAGGTTTCGGGTCTCAGTTACGGGCGGCCGGCGGCCGTATGAGTAGTCAGAAAACAAGCAACAACGATTCCTGTCGGGATTTGAGTGGGAGGCGACTAAGTACTATAAAGGAGGCGAAGAAGTGCGTATATGTACCTTTGTTCAGTATTATCTCGCTAAGAGTCTCTTTAGGTTGGCTGAGTATCTTGGGGCAGAGCCTGAGCGCGCCGCTGCAAAGGCTGAAGCTCAGAAGGCAAAGCTGGAAGCTCTCGAGCGTAAATTAGGCATCGAGCCAAGGAAAGGATCCAGCAGTGGAACAAGTACTCCAGGACAGTCCGAACCTACACCTCTCGCAGGCAAGAAGCATCGTTTTGACGACACGGAGTACTTGGAGCAGAGCAAAGAGCTGGTAGATGGTGTCAAGAATGCGGTGTCAGCTGGTAAGTAGCTTCGCGCGTATCACTTGATTTTATCTTACAATGGTCATTAGCCCTGCTGAAGAAGAAAAAGAAGGCCAAACTGACACACGATAGCTCAGCAACTGACAAGTCTGTGAAGGCTTCCGCTACGGCTGCTGCCTCCAGTGTTGAGGCTGTAGGCGCCTAGTTTTCTCGGGGGGGACATGTATTTAGTTCTGTACCTTGTTAGCTATTCAACTCGGAGACTGTTATTTCCTATTGGGTTGATCTTTGTGAGTGGGCGCAATCGTTTCTGGACTTAGGATTCACTCGCTGGTAACTTGTCAGTAATACTCAATAAATTAGGACTGGGTCGAACTGTGGCAGTGCAAAGGAGGCGGCCTTTTGTCCTGACCCCTGACCAAAACTGTTGACTTTGACAAGTCCGTGCTTCAACTTTTCCTGAACATTGACCGCCGGAACACTCGAAGTTTACCTTGTTCATGGAAATTCATTGTACTTTCATCCCTGATTACTAAAGAAACTTCTGAACGTTGTTTGCTAAATAATCAGAGATCTGAATGTTGGAAGATACCTGCTACATATGGCAAGTTGCGCAAATTGGATTCGAAAATCGATGCTAATGACTGCCACATTGTCAACTTGAACAGGCATCTTTGCGCGATCCAAGTCGCATTCAAGTCACATAATGTCTTTGCCTAGGTTTCGACCATGCAAATCAGGGCCCAGTTTACGGCAGTGGTCAAAGTCAATAGGCAAGCCATTGATGTTTCAACCAGGCAAAGACAGACCTCACCATGCATATAAACCGCAGCCTGAATTTCCAACGTCCTCTACCTCATTCCACCTTCCAGCCTTCCTCAGAGCAAAGTCTTGAATCACAATGTCTTTCTTACTCAAGAATTCCATTTCCCAACCAGTGGATCTCGACGAGACAGTCTTTGACTCTGGGGCATCTAGAATGCACATCGGATTGTCATCTTCAGCTCCCTCCACCGAAGTGTACTACAGCCCCACCGGCGAGATCGCGTTTGCCCCACCCTCTGTTGCGGAAAACGTGTTCATTTTCGGAGACCCGATGTTCCACAGTGATTTCCACCTGGACGTCACGAACGAACTGTCTTATTTCAATTTCTGCTCGCCCTCACTCGATCCGACTGTCACAGAGTCCGTCGGCCCCAGTGTGTCGAATTCCGCGAGTCTCACTCCGACTCACCTTGGGGGCACGGACGAGGACGCCGAGCATGACCTGGACCCAGCATACGGAAGCCAAAATGGAGGAGCTTGCGATCCGATGGAGTTTCGTTTCAAAACTGAAGACGCGTCGACTGCCACTTTGTTTTCTCAGCCACCTCCTTCGCCAGAGTTCCATGACGACTGGAGTTCGTCTACCTCTAACTCCGACCGTTGCACTTCTGTCGGCCATGAAAACGCCGATTGTCATCCCACTGTCGAAGTCTCCTCGGACACATCCTGTTCAGACGGCCACGATTCTGACTACAAAGACCCTGCGACTGGCACCCGAAAGCGCGCGAGAACTGCGAATGCTGCCCAGCCCAAGAAAAAGGGCGGCAAAAGGTCCAACTTCAAAAAGTCGTCTGAGCGATGGCCTTTCCACAATCGGCCCGTACGGGTGCGTTGCCTCGTTCCCACATGCGACGCCGAATTGGGGTCGATAAACAGTGTCATCGATCACTGCGATGAGGAGCACCCCGTGATTGAGAAGAAGCCCGATGCCGTACGGTGCGCGTACTTTGATTGCAAAGAGCGGGCCAAGAGTGTGGGAGATATGAGGAGGCATTTCTTGAAAATGACTCACGAGCCGCATCATTTCAAGTGCGAAGCATGCCAGAGGATGTTCACAAGGCGGGATCCCTTGCTCAGGCATATGCGAAACTTGAAGGGCAGGTGCAGGAGTAGAATGTTGAAAAACGACCCCGTTAGGAACCGAAAACTGAAGGCTTAAGTGACACAATTAATGATATATGGCTACCTTCATTTTTTATATGTAGATAGAGTTCCATTTATTCGCCACATTTGTTAGAATTTTAGATCCTATATAATTTTATGCGTCTTGTTTTTGCTATGCCAGCAGTTTTTATACAGTAAGAGGCCACTTCTCCATTGAAGCCATTGAAGTACAGTGAGTTCTCTAGTAACCTCTCTATCACTTACTACTCCGGCGACCACATGAATGTCCAGCATCTTTGTCGATTTGCGTCCTCCATGTATTCTGGTGAAAACCATGCGCCCTTCAGGCACTATAGCTCTGCAGGTGAATAAGCATTTCGACTCCGAACCTGTATCCGATTGAAATCGAATCCAGGTACCCCATACATATTTGTATATCGTCACTCCTTCCTTCACTGTTCAGTATATGTAGTACGTATCCAGACTAGAAGAGTAATAGGGGCTCAATGCTTTCATCCGTAGGACACTGACCCGTTGGAAAACATCTATTAACTGTTGAAATGCCGGCGCACTTCTAGAGTAATAAAAGAATTTCCAGCTAGAATAGTCCCGTACTACCCAATTACCTACGTCGTACGGAGATCACGTTCCGACGAGACTGAAGCACTTTGTGTTTGGATTATAGAGGTATCTTCTATTATAGATATTATACAGGTGAGAAAAGAGGTGCGAGAAGGCAATTTTGAATGGGTAGATAAGGATCGACATCATATACAGGCAATAAAGAGTGTTAAGAGACCTTGGGATGCATCGAAGAGTGACTCAATCGAGCCTGCATGTTGAGCTCTACATGTCAGACAGTTAATTTCGTTGCCCCAAGTTGCTGGCTTAGCAATTGCGTTCCTAAGAGCGTCATTCGCTGCCGTTTGCCCCCAAGTTCACTCTCCAAAGCGCGACCAGAAGTCGTCCACTCTTTGCGCTGCTTCTTCAATGAGGCCCCAGGCTCGTCGGGTTGTTGCAAGCTGGCGGAGAGCGACTCTTGGAAGATGTCATTCCTTTTCGCAGTGACATGTCGTTTTTCTCGGAGGCTATATGGAGAGATGTCGGAGTGGGTAGGGGAGTACAGTGGCGACCTAGATATCGAAGGAAGCGAATGTTTTCGGGAGGTGGAAGACTTTTTGTGATTGACTTGCTTTTTCTTCAGCAAAGACCGTATGGGACAGGCAGCGGCGGATCGGCATCTGGTTGGAGACATGACATTGGAAACTGTGAACGTCGGCAAATCATAGTCTGGCTCTTCCTCCTGAGATAAATGTTCGTAGTCACGATCCAGGTCCATGCCGGTCCCAAAGGCGGAGACATAGGTAGGCAGTAGCAGGGCGGAGGCTGTGGCATCACGACAAAAGACGCGTGGGTTCATAGTTACACCTTCGTTGATAGCACGAGGTACTCTTGAGAGATTGGAGCCCGAGAACTCCCAACTGAGGCCAGTGGACATGGTTGTATCAACGGGTTGCAAACAAGTGGATGCAGGGGGAGGAAATATCTGTGGACAGTAGCCCAATGAGCTCTGGGTCTTTATATATTCAGCATATTGCTGTGAAATGTCGTTAGAGCGATGCGTAGAAATCCAATTACGAGATACACACCTCTTCGGGCAATAAGGCGCGTACGCCATCACGTTCCACCGCTTCGACATCGAAGAGACGACTTGTCGAGACCAAACTACATGGAATGTACGCCGTCCCTTCGAGTCCCCGGCCTGGATGCGTAAGATAGACGAAGGGTTTCTTGCTGACGACAGGAGGAATGTTGTGGTGTTGGATGAAGTTCGTTCCGACCGGTTGGTCCCAATCAAAGTCTAGGTGCTCGGGAAGCTGGGCATCCGATGTTGTGGAGCCTGTATCATGGGATAAATGTGCGATATGCTGCTGCAGATAACGTGAAAGAGAGTTGCCACTTGAATCCCCGTATTCTGATGTGGGAGCTCCGAAAGATCCCTCCAGAGAAGGTGCTTCGAGTGCCTTGAACATCTGTTTCATGTCCTCAGCGATGATATTCAGGCCGTCGTTAGCGAAGGTGGTGTTGTTTGCAGGACGATGCGTTGAAAGTCGTGTGGTGGAAGATAGCTAGGTTTTTAGCACTCAGGAAATATATATGGAGTGTGTACAATGCCACGCAAAGTAGTCTGAGCGCAGGAACGTACGCGTAGAAGTTTGCATTGAAAAACGACGTCAGATAGCCTAATCCGACAATGTTATGGGGATTTTTGTCCATTGGTCCATTGGTCTGTGAGATAATTTGATCTGAAAACAAAAGGGCTTGATTCCTCCTTTTGTAAAGCGTGTCACAAGCTACGGACAAAAGTGAATAAAATCACGGTCACGTGTACGACGTGAAAAGCTTGTCCCTATTTCTCCTCGTTATGCCGTAGCTGTACGGTGTATATAGGCTCGTAAAATGGGTTTTTAAGACAAGCACCAAGGTGCCGCTGATATGAAGAAAGGAATCGTCTGCCGTGGCCTCGTAGGTGAAGAACCTTGTTATGAGATCGGAAGCCCTTCATTGATGCTTTGAAAAACAACTTTGAAGTCAACACTAAGCTGTGTTATGGAAATGGGAAGTGTCAGGATGACTTCGTGCTGCCAAGAATAAAACACAGCACTTCACGAGTATGCCAAAGCAGATAGTCGGCACTTGACTCAGTGGCAGCTGTCGGAGTCTGAGAATTCAATGAGATGGAAGGTCATGACCGGAGGCAGAATACCAGCTCTTCCCACTTTCCAGAGACCCATGGAGAAAACCATGACGCTGTGGGCGCCTCTCGGACTGGGTCCAGAGTCCATAGGAAGACTACAGAATATGGTATTTAGGGTTGACTGATTAGTCGTCTTCTTGAACACTCAACCATGAACCTTCGATATAGCTGCTGGCACTATGAAAGGTCGACGTACGCCACGGTGTTGCACGCGTTGAAGTCAAGAAAGCCAGCCTGTTGGCAGTCATACTGACTTGAAAGAAGACGGAAGTTATCGACATGACAACACATGTGGGGTAAAAATCTGTGGCCGACGCAAGGGCAGACGTGAAGGAAGAAGAAAACTGGATATCAAGCGGAGTTTGAGCTTCTCAGTCGGCACCACTTTTCAGAGGACTTTGCACTCATGTTCAAGGGTGACGAAAAACTTCAAGTTTAAGGACTCTACGGTAAATTTTTGGAAGTGACCTTGGCATGGTAGGAGCTCGGGGAATCCTGATTGGAACCCCGGCCTCAAAAAACAGTTACAATCAACTTCACGAAGTCCGCGATGTAAGTAGGTAATATATTCATAAATGAGTGATGATCCGAAATACTCTAATATGCATTTAAACGAAGTAATAGAGGAGATTGGTACATGTATAAATATCCTTCACGAATCATCGGTGCTCAAAGCTCAACAGGTACCAGTCTCCTTCCAGACACCAGCTTGACCCCCCGGGGTATCACCTTGCGTCCACCAAGAAGCAGTCCAAAGCATTCCGCCTGTAGAACTGGGTCAACATCTACCGAATAATCTCCAACAAGGGAAAATCCCACCATAAGATACTTGGTTGCCGCCGACATAGACAGCTGTCTTATCCCATGCTGAAATGCCAGAGCAGCTTCCGCTTCCGCCCGTAGGTGTCGGAGTAGCGCTGGTAGTAGTAGTGGTGGTGGTGGTGGTGCTCGTAGGAGTGGATCCGCTCTGTCCCATGTTGTTCCTGATATTATCCCACTTGCTGTTCGGATAGTTGATATGGTTCTGTGTCGTGTCGAGGCTGCCGAGCACGCCAGCTGCGGTGCCAACGAGGGACTCCGAGCCCACTTTGTCCGTCGACAGCTGAGAAATGAATGTCAGCTTGAAGCTCCCGAGTAGTAGCATACTAAGGAGATTATAGCACCAACCTCCCAGAACATAGATCCTGCCATGCCGTTGTCGTTGATATACTTCGTTTTCAAGGAAACAATATCCGGGGTATCGTATGAGACTAATTCCTTCTTAGAAGAGTCGTACGAGTAGCTTGTAACATCGGTGAAATTTTCGTAGACCTGAGCGCCAGACACTGTAATAAAGGGTTAGCCAAAACTAAGGACACTGAGCCGTAACATACGAGGAAGGGTGTCATATGAGTAAATACCGGCCGAGATAGTCCCCGGGCCAACCTAAATAGAGAGAACTCGATGAAATGGGGAAAATAAAGAGCCACAGGCCACGTACGCCGTTGTAAGGCTGGCCAATTCCAGCTGTGTTCTCGAATGACCGTCCGTACAATGGCATTCCCATTGTAATCTTACTGATATCCGCACCCGCAGAAACAAAATGCTTGACTGCAGCATCGGTGTTCACCCCTGTACGAGTACCGCCATAAAGATTGGCTTGGTTATCCGCGTAGGTCAACCAGGAGCCGGCATAATCATACGCCATCAGGTTCCAGTGTGTTACGGCTTTGTCCATCTGAGGAACGACAAGGTTGGCGTAATTGTCTGGACCCGCAGAGACCGCTACTGATAGTTGATATGGAGTAGTGTCATTCTTGGACGTAGCAAGACCATCGAAGGCAGAGCGCAGCTCGGTCAAGAGGTCGGCAAAGCCTTGGCCTTCGGCAGAGCTGGAGGGGTATTCAAAGTCGATGTCACTAGCACATAATGTTAGCATAGTCACCTCATCGATAGAGGTATAAAAAAAAATGCTGACATGCCATCGAAACCGTAGTCCTCGATAAGCGTTACGGCGTTGGAAACAAAGGTCGAACGACTTGGTGATGAGGTGACAAAGGAGAAATGGCCAGCCTGTGAGTAGGTCCAACCACCGATAGAGAGAAGGACTTTGATATTCCGGTTGGCGAGCTTGATGAGGTACATCTGCTTCAAACATCCATAAAGGTTGTTTCCACTGTCATTCCAACTATCTCCGTCATAGTGTTTCTAGTAAACCTGAGTAAATAGCACACAATGAGCAGGTTGGTATCAATTTACCTGTTCATCGGCCCACGAGTCGGTGAGTTTAACGGCTCCTGTAGATGGATCGACATCCGCAAATGCATAGAGAATGTCTAGTTTGCATAAACGCCTGTCCGTAAGTCATTCAGAGCAGAATGTAATGGAGCATACGAGTCAATGTATTCGTAACAATATTTTGCGGTTCTGCAGAATCACGTCAGATAATTCCACGTCAAAAGCAATGCTAGAGTACTAACGGAAATTGGCTGCGTAGATACCCCAGTTGGTGAAGTACGCCATGGATGCCTTGCCAGTATCGCGTTTCTGGATACCAGTGTTCACCTTGGGGTTTTCTTCTATTGCGTAGGTAGTCGGGGGCTCCTCGTAGCTGGGGGGGCGATGCATGACCTGGGACGCATTAACGACGGCCACCGTAAGGCAAGTAAGAAAGAAAAGAGAGCGCTTGAGTGTAGCCATGATATAAGGAATGTGAAGAGGGGTATTGAGCTCGAGGAGAGCAGTGGTTCTCCATACCTCTCAAGGTGTCTCTTATATACGAATAACAGATAGCAGTTCCTCGGGATTAAGTCGTAAGGTAGAGAGAGGCCCAGTCTAATTCAACTCAAACCGTCTTCCTCATGCTAGGAGCGGGGACACACATTTGGAGTAGATGAGTCTGTGATACATGCCGAGCCTCGAGAGGGCTCCGAGGATTTTGATCAGAGAGAGACGCATAGGAGCAGTTTCACCACCCAGGAGATGGCAATACGAGAGTTGACGATAGACACCACTCAAGACACGCGACAGAGAAGACAGAAGTCGACCAGGATGGAAATAAGCACTCCGATTATTACCCAGAAGCTCAGGGGAGCCTTCTGTTGATAGGCCGGTCACTGATAAAGGCCGGGAAGAGAACGGGCACTCACAGAATCGCATCCGTCGATCCGCATGGAAGACAGAAAGAGGCATCAATTAACAACCGCTCTGATGATTCGAAGGATGGTAGCACGCGGTTGTTGAGGGAAGGAGGACCGATTGGTCCAGGTCATGAAGAAGCCATGGCGGAATATCGTGAAACAATGAGGACCAGAATCGGAAGCGATATATAGTCATTGCGTCCAATCTAGTGACAAACAAATGAGGCTTCCATGCGGACATTGGTATTCAGACATTCAAACAACACTGTGAAAGTGTCAAATCCAAAGCGATTGATTAAATGCCACGTAGCGGAATTGCTTACAGTGCAGAGACGATCATACTGCGATACAGGCAACAGACAAGAACACTGTCCATTCGTCCAAGTCGGGCCTATAAGTTAATGGTACTTGATGACTCAAGTTCTCTTTGCTTATACCTCTGCGAACCTTGTGGACCTCGTACGGTGTGATATCTTGTGATAACGATTGAATGCAGCCAAGCTGCATCAGCTGCTGGAGTCGTTATCATTTGATCGGGAACCCCCCCGGAAGACACGAGATACAGTCTACTTTTTCGCAGTGCAGGATCTGCGCCGAGAGGTTGCTATCTTAAGTACTTGAGATCAATTTCGGACATGTACTCATCTCGATATCTAAGTATGGCTCCAGACGGGACGCATATTCCTTCTGTCTCTAGATTGGAGTTGTTGTTAGTCGTGGAGTCAAGTAGGAAATGTCGCACCATCAGTTTTCCGAAACAGCGTTCAAGGGAGTCTGACATCGTAGTGAATCCGAACTGGCTTGATGCAGGACAGGAATTCTATTATCACATAGTCCTTATCAACTGTCAATTATCCTGAGAATGCTGTTCCACTTTGTAAGTAACCATCAAGTTCTACAACGACGGAAAAGTAACACACACAAGGGATTGTCCATCATGAATAGATTTTTTTCTTCGTCAATACACTACACGGTAACACATTTATCGAAGGAGTTTTAAACCCTTCCACCAGACATACGTCGAGACGACAGCCAAGTTCAGTACAGCTGTGCCAAGTTCAAGCTGAACGATCGCGTAAATCCAAAGTGTAGTGAGTGGTGGAACCTATCCAAGAGGTAACTTACTCGATGACAAGTAGCGACAGGAACGAAAATTCCCACCTGCCTAATGTTGACATATAAGGAACCACGACTGAGCAGATATACCGTCCTACACCCAATACCTATGGATGCCAAGAAGAATCCAATCTGCAGCCTACGATGTTGCTTGTATCTCATCGCTGCAACTCGTTAGTCCTTCCACTGAGAGAGATCACACAACGCACTATAGAAGATGAGTAGAGCCAGTACTATCGATATCAGTGCATATAACGTGTGGTAAAGCGTAGAACAAACATACTAGGAACATTCGATACCATTTGTTCCACAAGTACATTCAACCCCGGATGTTTCCCATACTGGTACCGGATGAGTCTCACCCATCAGCTCGTCAGAGCAAGCAGTATCGACATCAAAGCGCAGATACACACATCTCCATCATGAGTAGCAAGAATGAGAATGGGACAATCATAGCAATAGCATTGAATATTTCTTCGGCGGCGACGCCTGGCCCATCTGGAGTTTGAAGATCCTCAGATTCTTGCATAAAGTGCCAGTTCTCTTCCTTGGGAAGTGTTGACTCTCGCGCCACAGAGGGAGGAGACTCGGAGTCCTTTGCGTCGACCATGTGGTAAAATGAGAAAGAAAATAGATGGCTGTGTAGTCGGTAATTTCCCATTTGGGCACGAAGGCGCGCCTTTTTTGAGATCCAATTTCATTTGTGCTTTTTGTGTAAATATCTTATACGCGGTTAAATTACTAGAGTATGAGCCAAGTTATTGAACATGAGACGGCATGTGAAGTGTAATGTAGCAGTAAAAAACGATGATAATGCTGACTCCATCATAATCATATAAACGTTATGAATACCCTCGTAAAAATAAATCATGTTTGCTTGACCAAGCCAGCGTCATCAACTTCAATTCGACCGGTACCTAAAGGGAGAGAACTTGAACTGAACAGCCTACACATAAGGGATAAGCAAGAAGACATACCCCGGACGAAACCTTCCTGGTCCTCATTTGACAGCTCTTCGAGTGTCCTGTTCTTAGTCTCAGGAAGGAGGAGTGTTGAGAAGATACCCGTCAGCATGAACAGGGCGAAAATTTCAAGACTGAAATTAATTGTCAGACACCTTAGTCGCTTCCAGAGAGAGTCCAACTCACATGTGCTTGACAAAATTGTTTGTGCCGCCGATGTCCTTCAAACGGGCGAATCCAACTTGTGCAATGATGGCACCCAGCTTTCCACTTGCGGCAGAGATACCGTGCGCTGTTGAACGATAACGAGTTGGGAATATCTCTCCAGGAATGACGAAAGTTGTTGTATTAGGTCCAAAGTTCTGGAAGAAATTGGCGAGACAGTAGAGAAAGACGAAGGCATCAGAAGCTGATTTAGTCTTTGTGAGAGCATCGTAACCGAAGCCTGTAGCATTTTTTTTTGTAAGGTGAGAGATAAGGAGCAAGAGGGATCCCGACATACCCATGATAACGAAGAGAATAGTGAGCATGATGAAGCCCATCAATTGAATAGGCTTACGCCCCCATGAGTCGATGAACAGGAAACAGACCCAGTACCCGGGGATGAGACCGGCTGCGGACAGAATCAAGTTTCCGACGGCAATGTTCTTCAGGTTGTCGTAAACCTTCTGCGACCCGCTGGTCAAAGGAGTGCCGAATCCAATGGCTTCGAGGATGATACTTGAGTTGAGACCAAGGCCGTAGAAAGCAATCTGAAAATTATAAGAATTTTGACTGTGAGGGTGAAAAGGGGGAGAGACTGACATCAAGAGCGAACCACGAATAAGCAGTGCCAAGAAGAACCTTTCCGTTCTCCCACTTGCCGAAGTGTGCCGTAAAGTCAGCCCAGGTAGCTCTGGGTGCTTCCGCACGTTGAACAACGGCGTCTGGATTCTGATGAAACGTGCCCGTGGTCAGAACATTTGAGATATCGGCGGAAGCTTGTTGGATGTTGCGTTCGATATCCATGGTGAAACGTGGGGTTTCTGGAATGGTCAAACGGAAGTAGAGGGCGATGACACCAGGGACGCAGCCAATTCCGATGAGGAGACGCCACATGTAGTCTACATGGTTATAGTTGGGAGGGGTATCATGGAGAATAGAGTTCTTGTAAGCAGCGGTAATGATCAAAGCCACGAGGGCGGCGGCTAAAAATTGAAGGTCAGTGACTGCCTAGAAAACTTTGTTGAAGTTTGGGGGGGAACATACAAAAGTTACCCCATCCTTGCGAAGCGAAGACTGCGTTCATCATACGTCCACGAATTCTTGTGGAGGCGAACTCTGAGGAGATGATAGCACTGAGAGGGTAATCACCACCGATACCTATGCCCATCTGTATTTTTTACGGATAAGAATTGATATAAAGGGAACATGAAAAAAGACGCACGAGGAATCGCCAGACAATAAGAACACCGAGGATGTTTACTGCATGACCGCTTCCTGACACTGTTTGACCAAAGGTGGCAATGATCATAAGAATTAGTTCGACGCCATCTAGAAGGACGTGATGGGTGATGAATAGAGTGGGCGCCAGAAGAGATAAGAAAATTAACTGACACATGCGCTTCCTTCCTAAATGGTCGGCAAGCCATCCGAATAAGAGTTGACCGAAGAGGGTACCAATGGGAGTAGCAACCTTGATGCCAAGGTCCTGGTTGGTGTTGAGTTTTTGACCTGTACTGAAAGTTAGGGAGGGGAAAGGAGGAATGTCAAAGGGGTCATACATACCATGACCGTAGACGTATCCAATCATAGTGGCGCCGATGTTGATAGCAAAGATGTCATAGCTGAAAGCGAGAAAGTATTAGATTCATAGGGTAGCAGTAAAGAGGGGTGGGATATTAACGTACGCATCTGTGAAAAAGCCTACACCTGCAACAGCACAGACCTTGACATGGAACCAGCTAAGAAAAGATTAGATATACCGGGGTAGGGGGGGGGGGGAAATAGAGAAGGGACACATACGAGAACTTTGCATTGTCGACGTCTGCGAGGGCAGCACGACGGCGCTCGTCGAGGACATAGCCGGACTTTGTAACGGGGGGGAGAGAGCCATCAGAACCCTTTTCTGAAGCCATTTGGGAGAGATGGGAAACTTGGGGCGCTAGATTACGACCTTTTATTGATCCTGGATATATGTCTAACCCGCTTATGGAATCCGGCGAGACTCACCACCGACAGACCACTGCACGTTCGTATGTTTCAGCCAATCAACGATCGTGCATACAGACCGCCCACACCGATCAAACTGATCCACCTGCTAAGGTTCACTCAGATCAAATCAAGGGACCTTCTCGGGCGGCGGCTGTTCCTGGACTTGTCTTGGCGCAAGCGTGCCACAGAGATGCGCCCACCACTCGCAAATCACGAAAAACTAGTAAAAACGACACCCAGGAGGGGGAGCGGGTTCCATTCATTTTCTCGTCTTCCAAATAAGCGGGAGTATTTTCAACATTTCTTCGCACGTGCATCCCGCGACGGTTGCAGTGCAATGGTGCGGGACAGACCAATATGGCTAGCACCACGTGGTCTCATCGTGGGAAGCGGAGCATACCCGGGGTATGGTTCAGGTTATGTCAAATCGTCTACGTGCCCTCGCGCTGTACAAGGAACTGCAGAGGCTAGGAAAAGATTATCCAGATCCCTCGTGGGTTGCTGGTTCATTCGTATTGGATGCGCGCGTGTTGAACACCATCTAGATACGATTTCAAAGGCAGAGTTCGGAAGATGTTCGAGAGTACGCTATGATTCAGCTATCCGTCACACCCTTTGCCTTGGCATTCGGCTGCTGAAGATGGTCCTCAACAGAAAACCGAAACCTGACTGACGATGCAGAGATCGAGAAGGCCATTAAATTTGGTGAATACATTAAGGAAGGCGGGTCATTCATCAATCAGTCCTACACCACCTCAACTCAGAGTAACATCTGCTCAATAGAAACCCTCGCTTTATACTCCCTCAGAAAGTATAGGCATCTCAAGCGAATGTATCCAGACCCGATACCCGGTCCTAGCAATGAATGAGCCCCCCCCCACCCCTATGGCCTGATACTATTTGCTGCAAAAGATGTGGACTTGGATATTATATCCTATTATTGTGTCTCGGTACTTTAGAAGACAGGTCAAGTTTATAATAGGTACTTGCTGCTTCCAATGCACAACTCAGCCGCGTTACCGAACACTTCAATTCCCTGGCTATACGGGGTCTCGATTCAAACAACCTTTCTTCGAAGGCTGCTATGCCGCAGTTCTACACATCCACGCTGCTCATGATAAACGTTCGTTATCATGATGTCAGCAGCAACTCCCATGGCCCTGGCACTATCAGCTACATTTACTACGTTGCATCGTCTCCTGATTCCCGATACTACACTGCTAAATTTACTTACCAGCTGCGCGCTAACACTTGGTGTCTGATGATATCTACTTTGGACTAGGGACTTTGTCACATCAACAAATCTAACTGACAGTGATTGCGTCTACAGCCCTCGCACTCTCTTTGAATCAAACACCTTGGGTGATGTATCGATATGATATTATATATATCGAATCTCGTTGTAACTGCCGTAAGATATGGTTGTCAGTTACAGGTCACAGTTTGATCCCATAAACAGCACCTTTAGAACTACGTGATCCACTTGACCCCGTTTGGACAGTGAACATTTCAATCTGTACAGGATAAAGTCACAAATGCATTCCACGAGGGATTCGTATCCCAACTGCGCCAAATAATCTCGTCCAACATCATTCCCGATGTTAAATTAATGTCCCAACGATGTCTGTAGACAATGTCAAGGCAAGTCGCAGCGGTATGGCGGTAATTGCCATTTTGGGACTGTTATCACGTGCTGAACCGCGGTTTGCTCTGGAATTTCATTCAAGCGTGCGTGTATTGACGTTCTTCCTATTAGTAGTATCTGCTCGCACTTTTCTTGCTTTTCTATTTCGTCTGTCGCTGCTGCAATTAAACGGAAAGACTCTGTTTTCTTGCATAGTCCAAACGAGGTCCGGCTGCGCATGCTGACTTGCGTCGTCATCGTAGTGCCCCTCGCACTCAACTTGACTCGTTGCAGCACCAGTCCATTTCTATCGCCATGTCTTCCAATGACCCCCAAACCTCGATAGAGAACCTTCGGGCCACCAAGGTAACCTGTTTATCTTGCTGCCAGTTTTTTTTTTTCTGATCGTCTATCGCAGCGGAAACTAGACGAAGCTTTCCAACACCTTGACGATACTGTTCAGCCTGCACTCAAGAAATCCAACACGAGTCGCTCCATATACTCTACTCTCGCCAAATACGGGATAATGTCCAAAGGGAGCGCGAATCAAGTGCCGTACACTTTATTCCCTCATTCAAGTCCTGACTCTACGCTAAGATTAACGCAGGCAGGCAACATACAAAAATGCCCCCAAGCTCTCAGCTATCCTCACCCGTGCTGCCACAAGGATGAAAAAGTCTCTTCCTTCCAAATTTTCTGAACCTCGCCCCCCGTTGACTATCTCCTCCAAAGAGGACTATCGCCCTTCATCGATATCCTCTTTTCTAACGCGATTGTCCACTTTCAAACTCGCCACATATTCAAACAAACCGCCTGCCATAGATCCAGTGGCAGCGTCCAAGTGTGGTTGGGTGAATGACGGAAAAGACCGGCTGGTGTGTGGAGTTTGCAGCTCTTCATGGGTATTGGCTAGCAAAGAGGGCATGTCGCGAGACGCAGGTGTGTGATACTCTCTTTCATGGTGGCTCGAGATCCTGACTATCGCAGCCAACGCCCTCATTGAGAAGCAAAAGACTCAGCTCGTTGATGCGCATAAACCAGGGTGCCCGTGGCGGATGAAGCAGTGTGACGGTCGGTCGAAACATTCACCTTTACCAATCTATACTGACAGCAGGCTCAGCATCTATTTATCGTATACCTCTTCAGTCGCCGTCCGTCCTATTACGCGATATCAAGGCAAATGCTACCTCCTTTGATTCTCTTCTCGATGATGTTGAAATCAAGCACCCATTAGTCAGTCCAATTTCCTTCCTGCTTCGCATTTTTCATCAATAACGTAACAGACATCCAACCAACTTACATCACTACAATCTACAATCAAACTATATACCCTATCATTGTCTGCAACTGTATCACCAACTCAAACAGAACCTCCCTCGTCTTCTACGCCGTCTGCTATATCGGAGGAACCATCGGAGAAGACAATATTAGTGTCTCTCTTTGGCTGGAGTTTAGCTCCTGCAGCTGAGCGACCGGCATTGACACGAGGCAGCACTTGGGCCCCTCAAATGCCGCCACGTTCGCGGGAGTCCTCCGTCGTCCCTAGACAATCGCCTAACTGGCTAAGCGTCGGGCTTTCGACCACTCTGGCCCCTTTAAAACGCGATTCCGACACGCTTCTGCAATGCAGCCTCTGTCAGCGACGTATAGGACTTTGGACGTTTGGATTGCGGCCAGAGTCTTCAACTTCTAGTCGGGCCCCGACACAACGATCCTTTGATCTGTTGAAGGAGCATAGGTCTTATTGTCCATATGTCGTGCGATCGACGGTGATACCTACGCTTAGTCCTCAGACACATCTAATGCGTCAGACAAACTTGGTAGGAGGATCGGAGGGTGCTCTGGAGGGGTGGCGTGCTGTTGTGACGGTTGTGTTGAGGTATGGGATGGCGCAGCGATCGCATTTGACGAGTGGGAGAAGGCCTTCGGAGACTCACGAGGCAGGAGAAGGCGAAAGAGAAGTTGTTGATGGCGGTATCGAAGCCATGGTGGAGGGCGTCAAGGCTCGGGGAGTGAGTAACTCGGCATCCTTGTCAGGTAATGAACTAATCTTGTTTTAGGGAAAGGATTTACTCAAATACGTTCGAGGTCTTCTGGGTTGACATTTGTGGAATTTTACATGCTATTTGTTTTCATCGGTATTGTTGATTAATCCGTCTCGACGCCAGCACCGACAAAATCGGGCAAAGGTAAGAAGTCGCTTATCTTGAATATAAGTATACAAGTTGTTCTTCAGATGCTTCGATACCAATTATCATGTCTGTCTCTACCTAAATGCTTTTGCCACATGCTGTAATTGTGGGATGTTTGCCGGTGCTCTGACCCTAGTGACTGACACGCAGAATCTTGCTGGTGCCCTATCTCGTTTCCCTTGTTCGACTTGGATGCTGCACTTTCTTAATAGTGGAGCGATATGCAGTCTTATACTCTGTTTTCATCTGGCTCCCGCGGGCTTAGCTTAATTTGATTGAGTCTTGGGGAACTTGGCTCGGAAAAGCCCTGCTGTCAAGTCTGCCAGTTATACCGATTTGTCTCTTGACGTGAGAAGGTGCCGTGTTGTACTCTGTGGTTCTAAACACCTATCTATCATTGGGTCCTTCGACAGCGTGCCGTTGGATTTCTCTGTGATGCCTGAAAGTATCAACTTCTGTAGCGCCTGCCTTTTTCTTTACCGCTTATCAGGTACAGCTAATTCACTAGTCAGCACAGACGTGGGACTACCGACAATACAGAGAAAAGAATGGCTATGCCATTCGATGCTGTTATTGCGACCTACGTAACTCTCAGGTTCGAAGATTGCTGGATCCGTGCGCAGTTTGCTTCAATCCTCCATGACCATGTCTGAAAACGTGTCTCTTCTCCGCGATATTGAGTCTGAAGCAACTGTCATCCAGGAGTAAGTTCTCCCGATACAAGACGGCCAACACGGGCGAGCGAGGTAGCGAAATTACTGAATGATTATCTTGTATCGCCCTCATTGTTGAACATTTAGATGGCAGCCCATCCTTGACTTAAAGGCTGCCTCTGCGCCAAAGGTTTCTATTCAAGATGCTGACCTGTTGCTAAAAATGAGGTCGAACTGATTCAAAATTCCCACTTTTGGATGGATAACATCTTCCCTTAGGCTCGGTTATGCCTGCCCGCTGGAAGCTTCAGATCTTTACAAGCTGCCAGACAACCCAGTTGCTGCGTATATCGGCGACCAAATCACAGAATCGTTCGAAAAGAGACGCTCAGCTGCGGCAGAATACAACTGTCGTCTGCCGCACGGTAACATCAAGCCTGGCGTAAAAGAGTTGTCGTGGACCCTTTGAGGAAACCGCGCCGAGCTGGAGAAAAATATAGAGAGTAAAGAACGGTCAGTGCAAGCCCAGTCTCGTCTTTGCTATAAATGAAAGTGTAAAATGGTGGTCCTGGTCTGCTGGTATCTTGAAGGTACTTGGCGACACCAGATCCCCTTCTCGTCAAGGTAGACTGCTGCTTCATCGCGCAAATTTTTTTATCTCTCATTTACGCAGGCCATCATCAATTTCGCCACGGATTCTTATACCGGTCATCGGAAGGGCGACTATGTTTTCCGTTCCACCAATCGGTAAAGGCATTGGCTTGACCTTTGGTTTACTGGGATTGCAAATCGTTGCGTCACTATGCACGCACCACTACTTTTACTAGTCTGCGTCCACAGGCGTTCTCATACGTCGCGGTCTAATCAACGCGATCGAAGCTCCCGAACGGTTTGATAATGAACTACATTTCAACGGATGTGCATGAATCAATGTTTGCGCAGGTTTTTTCCATATGCTATGGGTTTGATATGAAACACAAACCGTTCGTTTATTTATTATTGTCATAGGCTTGGACCGCCCTGATTCAACTGATTATGTGTCTTGTCCTTCTTCTGCTGAATCTGAACACCAGTGCTTTGGCCAGTTTCGCGTTTTTCGTGCTTGCAGCTCCGGCTCAGACGATGGCTATGAAGAAAATGTTTAAGTTCCGGGCGAGTGGCATGAAATGGACCGATACACGTGCCAAACTCCCCCAGGAATTGCTTGGAGGGATGAAGGTTGGCAAGTTCTTTGCATGAGAAATCCCTTTTGTGAAGAGAATGAGGGAGTTTCTCAATGACTCGTGTTTAGAGCCTGATTTCGTGACTGAAATCGGTGAAAAGATACAATGATTCATAGCGTCGATTGAATAATTTCTGACAAAACCCAGGGCATCTCCTTGTCAGGGGGTCAGAAACAGCGTTTGAATATCTGTCGTGCCATCTACTGCGATGCGGATATCCAGATCTTTGATGTGATTCGACTTATAAATTGTTGGCTCTTTCAAAGTGTCAGGAATTCGATACCCACTTGCAATTATTCCAAAATTCCAGCGGAATCTTCAGGGGAATATGTGATCGGTTGTCAACCACACTAGATGACATTAAACTTGCCTCTAATTGCTTCTAAGAACGAATGTTAGAGGACCTAATGATCATCGTTCTCCGTTGGATTCAGGTTCGTGTTTAGCTATATGTTCCTGCTAACTTGACGCGCCTAGCACTTATCATGACCTGCTGAAATTTGGAGGTCGACCACATGAAAGAGCACTTTTTACTATATATATTCAAGGTTGGCACAGTGCTAGTATCGCAGCGTCCTACTTGTTTTAAAATCTGACTGCGACATTACTATGACTTTGAATACTGCTTAAACTTCCGGTGAGTAACAACAGGCACAGAGACGTATCGGTCCTCGTCGACTCCTCGAGGCTCTTCGGTATGAATGTATATGCTGATTCAATGAGTATAGGTCACTGTTTGGCACCGTGATTAAGATTTTTGGAGGAAGAAGAAATTTATTCCGGTCGATTGTGTCGCTGAGAAGGAAACCACAAATCAGTGCTACGGTACCGAACACTCCCCAGGCCAAACTGATTCAGCTCAGCCCCCGTAAGGGTGCGGCCTCTAAGAACAGGGGCAAACAACAAATCAGGCGAAAAGTTACCCTGTGCATAGTTCGTCAATCGCACACCATACTGATAGTGGTGAAAGTAAGTACCTCAAAATACAAACGGTATCATCTTCCATAGAGCGGTGACTTTGTCCTCGCCAAACTTTTCAACATACCATTGCCGAGTCGTCTCAGCAGTCGCACCAAGATTGACTGCGACAAACACGAGAGCGGCCAAGATTGTCTTGTTGAACATTTGCCCAGGTGGAGCAGCGATTCCCGCGAGTGAAAGATAAATCAAGCACTCAGCAGTATAGTGTGGACAAATAATGTATCGGAAGAAGGGATGCGTAGGCAGGGAATACTTCTTCAAAGAAGCAAGGTGTCGATGGCATTTGTTCTGCATCCAGGACGCAAACAAGAACAGCGGCAGAAAAGTGGTTGTACGTAGGCTGGGGGAAGATAGTGCGAGTTCAGGTGGTGTCGAACGAAGGGTTTCTAAAGATGGTGTCAGGATCATAACAGATGGATAGCCTATATGCACTCACGGATACCCTCCACCCACACGGCTAATCCCATGCCTGAGTAAAAAGCCCAGCCCAAAAGCCAATGCACGAACCACATCTTCGCGGTGGAAGGCTTGGCAAGACATATAGATTCATAGAGACGGCGACATCCCTGAGTAGACATCAGAGCCCACGTCAGCAGTATCTGCTCTTTGGTCATCGCCTTCGAGAGGTCAATCTTTGGTGCCAAGGCCGCAACGGCTGAGAACAAGCGTCCATTGCGGAGAATCTGCTGGGCCCAAAATGCAGATGAGGAGACAGAAACGACGTAGAAATGAGTAAAATATCGATGAGGGACCTGGAGTGTCGCTAGATAGTCCAAGAATGCAGAAAGCGAGCATTTAGGTGACAGCTCCACGCTCTGTTGCGATACTGTTCGAGATCCGTAGAGCAAAAAACGTCTCCGTAGCGGTGGGACAGCATTGACTGCTAGTACCTGATACTAGTCAGTCAAATAAAAGTGAAGACAAAAGGAAGACATACCACGGACGCACCGAAGAGAAAACCGCCTCGTACGCCTTGTACTAGATCGACTACCATGACAGGTACTGCGAGAGAGCCAGCAGACCTGGACCTGCCGTATAAGTAGTATACATATGGTCGCTCTACGTCAGGCATGTGCTTTTATTCTTCCGCTACCATCACGGCCCGTGGCGACGACGGCAATGGACAACAGAATCACAAGTAGCAACATGGTGGTACAGGTAAGAGCGTTGATTGTGATCTAATAGTTTGGAACTCTTCTTCGGGGCTCTGACGGTGAGAAGCACAGTGCACAGAGACAGAAACCATGAATACACCTCTGTATCTCCAAAATGCTACCAAGGCAGCACCGGCGACGAAGATACGAACATCAATTCTTGCGACAGCACTCGTCGATGCTCTGGGAGGCCCAGCTGAATTTCAGACTCGTTTTTCTTTCGATGTCATCGACTCCATGATCCCCAATGCCAATTTCTCTCTTCCTCCGGGCGTCTGGACGGATGATACATCCATGACCCTCTGTCTGGCACAGTCACTCGCCACTTACCGTCCTAACATCTCAACACAACCTGGAGGATTTGATGAATGTCACCAACTAGCAGCATTCACGGACTGGTGGAAGCGAGGGGTGCTCTCCGCCACTGGCATATGCTTCGACATCGGCAACACCATTCGCCGGGCTCTCACTATCTATTCCAACAATCCGACAAAGGAACCGCTGAGGCGCATCCATGATCAGCTTAGCGGAGAGTTCTCCTGTGGGAATGGCAGCCTCATGCGCGTCATTCCCATAGGGTTGGCATACTGGCGCGATGAGACCCAAGCAAGGGGCTACGCGCGAAGAAGTAGTACTTCTACGCATCCCAACGACCTTTGCAAGGAAGCTTGCGAAGTTTGGACGGGTGCTATATGCAAGATCATGGCATCCACGACGACCTCAGAGGATCCCGATATTGCGAAGCTTGACCTGCTGTCATATTTCACCACTTTTCCCTATTCCCATCCAAAGTTACGGGAGCTGCTTGCTCTTCCTTCGTTCGCACCCTCGCCTCCATCGGCAGCGGAAGAACTGGAGATTCACTATCGGCATTATCATCCTCTCATGAAGCTCATTTCAGAGTGTGAATCCGAGGCCAAAGACTCCAAACTTCCGTTGTATCTGCCTCAGCCCACGACACTCCCATCCTCTGGTTACGTTGTCGACACCCTGGTCGCGGCTCTTTATTGTTTCTTCTCCACCAATACATTCGAGCAAGGCGCTATTGTTGCCGTGAACATGGGCGACGATGCTGATACTATCGGGGCGGTTTACGGCGGTCTGGCGGGATGCTGGTATGGAACTGAGCCGAGTATGGTTTCCGATACATTTTGGAGCGCAAAGGTAGAGAAATGGTATGAAAGTCTGGTTGCAAAGGATATCATTGCAGATGTTTCCGAGGCACTGGTCACATTCTCAAAGGGGTTAGCGAAGTGATGAAACACGATGTCAATTACGAGGAATGATTCTTTGAATTTGGTATAAGAAGCCTGATAATCTGGACCAACAAAATTCAGAGGTGCAAACGGGACTCTTGGCTCACTCAGAGGTGCCCTTACTGGCAATTTAAATGTATTGGAACCGCAGTAATCACAATCTTTCACTGGTTAGCTATGACGCCGTAGCAAGCCGCTGTGTACAAATATTTTTCATGCTTAGTATACTAGTCAAATCACAAATCTGCACCTCACCAATCGAATATTGAAGATATCATGAGCTTGTCACCGTAACACACTGGAGCAGATTGGAACGACTAGAACCTTTGTGGTGATGTGGCCTGGAGAACTGCAAAGAGCAGTGCTAGTACATAGCACAATGAACCTTCACACAATCCTTTGTGAGTGAACTAAGCGACGATGTAACAAAAATGTCATAATACCCGTTTTATTTACTCATTTTTGGTTCTGAGTCGCTGACGGGGCAGGCTCTGTCAGAGGATTCTCTTCTCGAGCTTGGTCCAGTAGACGATCCAATCCCTTTTCTTTCAACGCTCTCTGAAGAAAGTTAGTAAAGGAAGCAAACGGGCTGAAATGCATACCTGCGTGCATTCTTTGTACTCAGCCCATACTTTCCCACACTTTGTTTCGAATTCCTCCGCCTTTTTACGCGAATACACCTCCCGTTGTTGTTGGGAAGCCGACGCAGCCACGGCAGGCTCGAGGTATCCTTCAAACCAAGAATTGAAACATGAATCGTACTCACGTTTCAATGGAGTGCATTGAGGGGCCAAGCTGTCTGCCATGTCAGAGAAACTTAGACTCGGACGCCCAAGTTGAACGCGTCGCGGTTCCATCGGCCGGAAATTCCCGAGACATGCTGGTGAATTTCCATATCTGGTCGTCGCCTCGCGGTTCCGGTCCCTGACTCGCCTTTCTTCCTTGCCCTCGTCGAGGAATCTCTTCCTTGTCCACCATGGACGGAGACAACTTGACCCCCATTTCGCGCCCTACGATTGTCTCCGTGAAAGTAGACTCAACAGTCAAGGAATGCAACTCCGATGGATTTAGCGTGAGTTCTTCTCATACCTTAAGTACAATGGACCTGACATTGTCTGCTTCCAGTTTCCGACATTTCGTCAGCTCAGAAAGCTGGATCGTGTCGTTCTGTGTGCAGAAAACCTCAATGTTGGATCACCGTTTGCGTACCGTCTTCTTGCAATCGCCAACACGAAGGGCTGGTTTGCAGCCGCCACAAATACTGGTGCGTGTCGACGCGACAATTGAACATGAAACTCTTTTCACGCCACGTATGCAGGTCTCATCCTATCGCCACTGAATGAACTCCAAAAAACTCTTGAATCCGATGATGCTCAGCCGCTCTTCAAGGCCCAAAAGACCATAGGCCTTCCAGCGCAACCTATAATTCTCGCCTTTGCCTGTAATGAAACTCGATTTCTTGTTGGCCTGGCTCAGGGAGAGGTCCTTCTCTATGATGTTGACAAACTTTGCTCTCCCGGATCTGATGACGCTCCATTACACGCACTTCGCACCTCCAACAGCCCTGCGCGTCAAATCGTTCCTAATCCTAGCAGTGATCCTGCCTTAGCTGATTATATAGCCATCGTGCGTTTTGACGGAATAGTGGAAGTTGTCAACATGCAGTTTCAGTCTCAAGGCGGGTGGACAGCAAGAGAACATGATGCTCTGCCGGTAGCAGGTATGGTGAAAGTTGTTGTAGTCTCCTTTCATCCTAATGATATTTCAGCGTCCTGGTCTCCAAAGGGCAAACAACTTGCAATTGGCTTGCGACTTGGAGATATCTTAACCTACACCCTGAACGAAAAGGCGACGCCTCAAAAGTATATTCCACATACCGCCCAGAAATCTACTTTGGTTTCACTAAATTGGCTCCCGGGCGGATTTACATTTCGCACAAGCTATGCTCCATCTAATCCAGAAGCGGACGTTTCTACGCAACATGTTGTACATTTGGATACACGCCAGTCTACAGTGACGATAACGGACCTCACACATCCCTTTCGTCTGTCTGAGCGACTTAACCAAGTTGCTCACGTCGTCGTGCTTCCTAAATGGGATGATGAAAACGTCAATGTTGAGAGCACAAAGGGCCTTTTGGTAGTCGGGGACATGTCCTCAACTGATTTCGAAATTTTCGGGCACAACGGTAATACCTGGTATTGTTATTACCAGGATAATCCCCTCTCCATTCCTCTTAACAAAGAACAGGCGGATACTGTCTTGCTGTCCCTTGACGTCGACCTGGTGAACGAAACGGGAAATCCTATCATGTATGCCTATCTCAACGATGGGACAATACAGGGTTGGTATATGGAACAATCGAAGCTTTATGCTGGGATGGTTGCTGGAACCGCTGCTGTCCCACAGTCATCCGGTCAACTAGTATCCTCTCAGCAGAGTTCGGTATTTAGCACCCAAACACAACAACAGCCGGCTTTTGGACAATCTTCTTTTGGGCAGTCCACTTCGTCGCCATCTTCAGCATTCGGCCAAGCATCCTCAGCCTTTGTACAGCCGTCATCTTCCTCGTCAGTCTTCGGTCAGTCGTCATTTGGACAATCTTCAGCTTTCGGGCAAGCTTCATCAGCATTTGGCTCCTCTGCCTTCCCTAGTTCTTCCACTTCTGCTTTTGGTCAGTCATGTTATGGAGCGTCAAGCTTTGGAGCGTTTGGCTCTGGCACAGGTTTTGGGACATCAACTGGCACTGTGGCCAACCCGCCCAGCCAAGAAGTCTCCATGGCGGATACTGCGCCGTCGTTCGGCGGTCTGTCGCTGGGGGGCAACGATGATTCGAGGTCTAAATCTGCATCTGGCGGAGGGATGTTCGGCTCTCCAGCACCGCTGCCTCTACCACCGGATCACCCCGTTAATAGACCATCTTCTACCACTAGCTCAGACTCTTCTGGTTCAACGATAAAACCAGCCACAGGGTTCGGTGCTTTTGGAGGCGGCGGCGCACTTGGTGAAAATTCTCCCTTTGCCAAGGCAAGCTTGACCCCATCCACGTCCCCTTTCACGACTGCATTTGGTAGCAAACCCGCCGAATCTCCCAAGTCGACTTTCGGACAAATAGCCTTTGCGAAACCTGCAGGAAGTGACGCGCCGAAATCTGCGTTTGGGCAGCCTGCATTCGGACAGCCTACGTTCGGACAGTCCGGCTTTCAGAGGCCTATGGCGCCTCCAACGTCTGTCGCACCAACAAAAATAAGTGGCGGCTTCGGTGCTTTTGCGTCCGAACCTTCCTCATTTGGTGCTGTGTCGGGGACGTCGATGACAAGTACGTCCTCGACGAAGGCTGCAGGAAGCTTTGGCGGGTTTGCCTCGGGAGGACCCTCTGCCTTTGGTAATACATCGTCGTTAAGAAGCACAGCCACAGAACCGCCAAAGAGCGTAGAGGATGCCAATGAGACGCCTAAAGCTCCTGCGGTTGTTGGCTCCGGTAGTAATGCGTCCTCCACCCCGTCGCCTTTCGGAACACCGAGCAAGCCCTCACCGTTCGGAGGAAGTCCATTTGCGTCAGGCAGCTCACCCTTTGGCCCTCAGCAGTCTCCAGCGTCCATAGCGTCTCCACCGAACAGTCCACCGTCTGCATCATCTTCTACACTGTCACCTTTTGCCTCCGCCTCTCAGCCAGCACCAATCACCGGGGCATTCACGAACCTGAAGTCATCCGCATTCCAGCCAGCTGCGGGGTTCGGCGCGTTTGGGGCTTCCAGTCAGGACACTTCCTCTCCATTTTTTAAAGCAGCCGCAAATCAGGCACCGACTGTATCGGCCTTTTCAAATCTTCAAACTACTCCCACCGAGCCGCCCACCACCAGCTCTACTCCGAGCTTTGGTTCCCCTTCAGCTTTAGGTACTCAGAAGCCTGCGTTCGCGCCGCTGTTAGGCACCAGTTCGCCCACCTTCGGCTCGCCTTCTGCACTTGGGGTGGCAAAGTCAGCCTTCCCGCCTTTATCTTCGTCTCCTTCAGCATCTCCTACTCCTGCTAAGCCTATCGCCGGTGGGTTTGGTGTCTACGCAAAGTCGGCGTCACCGTTTGGCAAGATTCCGACGCCCCAGTCATCATTTTCTGATACGTTGAAGGATAAACATCCTGAGTCTAACGAACCGGACAAGACTTCACCGACGCCTTCTACACAAGTCAAGGAGGAAGTTTCCTCAACAGCCGAGTCAGAGACGAAGAAGGAATCTGATGTTTCCCAAACGCCTACACCTGCAGCATCTGTCCCTGCCTCTTCTTCTCCACCTTCCACTGCAGAGAATTCACTTAAAGTTAAAGATAAAGAACCGGCCAAGGAAATAGACAAAGAACAAGCTGAGTCTTTTTCAACGTCGTCAGAATCCAAAGCGCTGTCAAAGGACGTTTCATCATCCTCAATGGCCAGCTCCTATGTCGATGTCTCGCAGGAAGACACAGTTGAGAATGGAGATATTTCCGATGATGCTTACCGAGACGGAGCAGAAGATGATGATGACGACACAGAGTCGTTCCTCTCGGAAAGTATCAGTTCTACTGCAGGAGAAGACGATGATGAAGATTATGTACCCTCAGATGAGGAGGCTGAAGAGGAGCGTTCGCCTACGCCATCCCGAGTACCTCTTCCACTGTCACGCTCTCAGTCAAGCACTCCTCAGCCCGAATCAGAAGTACCGCCGACAGCATCGCTGTCGATGGAGACTAGCCTCGCGGCTATTAAAGAGGAGAGTACTACTTCGCCAGGCTCTCCTGAAAAGCGGCCGTCCACCGTGCCCCCGCCCACACCTGCAGCAGCATTGAGCTTAAGAAGGCCAAATACACGTCCTGCACGCAGTTCTCCACTCGCAAACGCTGTTGTAGGAGGCGATGAAGAGGAAGAAGAGAAGAAGGAAACTCCTAAAGCCGTTGTACCAAAGCCTCGTCCTGCTTCGCCCAAAGTACCCTTTGGTACACTACCATTGAAGCCATCTATAGAGGAAACCGCAACCCTTAGCAAGGACATGCGACCAAAGACCCCGCCGTTACTGTCCACAATCGGAGGTACTAGCGGGGGCCTGTTCGGTAACAAGTCAGCGCCTGTAGCAAAATCGTCATCTTTGGGTTCGACACCGGCTGAACCGTCTCCATTCGTACCGCCTTTCCCTCCTCCCTCTGGTGTGATGACAAAACCGTCTATGCAACTGCCACCACTTCCAGGTGGAAGTCTCTTCAGTAAACTACCTGCGCCTGGACCTACATCTACCCCACCGGCAACACCCTTCTCGTCTCCTCCTGCGAATATGTTTACTAAGTCACTTGCACAACCCGCGCAACCTACTCCCCCCTTCCAGGAAGGAATGCAGCAAGAGTGTGCACATTTATGCAGAACCATGGAGGAGGAACTGGGAAATGTCTGTCATTCTCCCATTATCTGCAACAATTTAATTGACTTTTTCTTATCAGCTCCAACAGCTCGCAAAAAAAGCTTCCTGTGAAAGTAAGGTGCTGAATCAGAAGACCGGTGGATCCCGTTTGAAAGCAGACCTGGGAAATCCAACCCGTTGGTATCCCGCGGATGCACTGAAGTACCGCGAGACACTTCTTAGCTATACAGATGACTTGGAGCTTCTGAAGGAAGGTCGAGAGGAAGCCAAAAAAGTTTTGAGAGAACTAGGCAGCGGGGTTGTCAAGGGTCAGTGTATTATTGTCTGTGAGTCGTTCCGATATATTTACCACCACTGTAGCAAACACGAGAAAAGAAGAGATTGAGCGATTTAATCGTGCAAAAGAAGATGACAGTTTTGCGAGAATGCTGAGGAGCCGCACTTTGGGTCCAGAGCATCTAGAGACTCGGGCACGTCTGAGAGGGGAGTTGATGAGAAGAAAAACGGAGGTATCGAAGTTGGAAGATGTACTGAAAGAATACAAGAAGAAAGTAGCCTCTATGAAGAGCTGTAAGGGCGTCTTTAGGTGAGTTCATTTCTGGCTGATCTTCGCATTCGAACCGAGCATTTCTTGTTCATAGGGCTCCGTCACTTGACACAGTCAATAGGACGTATCGAAACATCGATATCGCAATTCAACAAGAAAGAGATGCTATTGATGGTCTGGCACAGAGATTATCAAAAATTGACCTAAACACTATGCGGTCGCCTTCTCCACAGAGAGATGCGCGCCTCCCTAAACCCCCTTCGCGTCCCCATGCCATAGTACCGCATGCGGCGGTGACGACTGCCGCTGCCCTGAATGCCGAACGATCTGCCCAGAAGCTGAAGCATGTACTACTTGGCTTGCGTAAAGAACCGTTATTAAATCAGCCCAAAGCTAATGTTCCGACTCCTCCGGTCGCATTTTTATCAGCGTCCCAAGCTAGCGGGTCGGCAAAGGATGTTGTGGTTTTCAACACTCCTATTAAGATTGAAGGACCATTATTTGGGAAGAGTGGTAGTATCGATAGCAACTCATTTGGGACGGGTTTTGAATTCCCTGATGACGATAACAGCTTCCATCTAAGCACGCCCGTGCCTACTGGCCGACGTGGAGCAGGAGGAGGAAAGAAACATGGAGGCGGATTTTTCAAAAAGAGTCCCAGCGCAGCTGCGACACCGCCAAAAGTACCGAGCTTTGACTGGGGACCGTTACCTGCTTTTGACTATGGTAAGTCTGCTGGTAGTGGTGGATCACCTTTGGTTATGGGAATCAGTGGAGGGCCTCAGAAGTAGCTACTTAATAACAACATATTGACAGTCTATTGTTGTCGCTTTGAATTTTGTATATACCTCTGTATCACCACCGACTATTGAACAACAAAGCGGCTTGCTTCGTCCTTAAACATAAGTTGAACATAAGTAAACATTGATGCTAGCGCAATTCAGTTAATTGTAGCTGAATAGTCGCCCACACCTTCCCAGACTCTGTGTGTGTGAGAGAGAGAGAGAAAGAGTGATTAGTAATATATAAAAGAACACAAAATGTGAATAGCTTGCAAACGATATCGAGACAAAACAACCTAGACGTACTTTCCGAGATCGTTTTGATTATTTTTCAGCCGTAGTGGAGACTAGTAATCAGTGACGCCCATGTGGACAAAAGGTGGAAGTATAAAATGCAAATGCTGGTAGCATTATATAGTTCGCTATGTCTAATGAAAATGACTGGCAGGATCGCGAAAATGTCGGTATAAATCGATGACGAGATGAAAGAAGATGCAGTAGCTTAAGTGTCACCAATTTGCCGTAGAGAATGGAACACTTTCGACCTCCTGCTCATATTCGACTTCCACACGTGGACCCTCTATAAAGGCAGTTAGTATGTACCCGTTAAAGGCTACGTGGCACTTACTTCTGGTCTTTTTCTCTGGTCGCTTACGCGTAGGTTTCGACGAGGATGGAGGCGGCACTTTCCGTTTCCCGAGAGACGTCTTGGGCTCGACATTTTCTCTTGACTCGCTAGCGGAATCGTCGTCGTCATCGTCGTTTTGTTCTTCGGAATCGGAATCGTCATCCTACATTGCAATTAATGGGACCCGAGTACCGCAACGTAAATGAATACTCACAGCAGCTTCCTCTAGATCACTCAGACCATCATCATCTTCATCCCCGCTGATATCACTGACAAACTCTCGGTCACCCCAATCATCATCCATTTCTTCCTCAAGGTCTTCCTCGTCTTCTTCATCCGTTTCATCTGCTAGCATCTCCAGCGCATTTTCGGCGTCTTTCGAGCTCTCTCCATTCTTTTCTCGGTCAAGGATGGCCTGCCATACCGTCTCGTTGACGTTAAGTGGTGCATCACCGTATGCTTTTGATTTCAGACGTTCAATAAGTTCTTTTTCAATTGACCGTTCCAGATGAGCCGCAGAAAGCGCCTTCCTTTCTCGAACAGCTTCTCGACGATCCAATTTTTTCTTTACACCGATGAGCTTAGGCCTGGAAAACCTGTGAGTCGAGAAATACATGTTTATTGGTTGGAATAACATACTGTTGGCGTAGCTGCAGTCGGCGCATTTTGATGAGATACTGCGTGATTTTTGTTACACGCTGCTTGCATTTGTGAATGACGAAATTTGGCCAATACATCAGCTCACTGTCGATCTAAGAAGAATTAGAGAATGCGAAGAGGTCCAGAAAGTCCACACCTGCTCAAGAGCCTTGGTGTAGTTATTCGACAACTTGACTTTCTCCCACATACGTGCCGGCGAGTGTGCACGCTCGATGGTCTTCATGTACAGATATAGAACACCTGGACGCGAATCGTAAGACCGAAAGTAAAGAACCGTCAGATAGCGCACCTTCTTTCTCCCGAATCGTTGCATACTGAGAGTTCGCCAAAGGACAAGATTGCCGGTTGCAGAACCCAGTTACATTGTATTCGTTTCGACAAAAATTTTGTGTCGCAGTTCTGGCGAAAAATGAGCATTTTGAAAAGCCTGGAGACTGGAACAACGTGCTTGACTTTGTAGGAACAAAATTGATTGTTGATGACAGACCATATCACGTCGTCGCTTTGCATGGTGGAAGGGCAGTACGAGATACAGAAAGAATCAAAAACATTTCAGCGTTGCTTTGGCTTGTTTATTTCTAAGGTGGTCGGATACGGGCCGGTCGCATGTACTTCAAATATACTAACATCATGGCAGTCAAGGAGGATGTCAAAAAGTTCAACGGCCTCCCTCGGCGACCACGCATGCCTTCCGGAAACTTTCTGAACGAATGGCACTTTGATTTACGATTTGTTCATTGCCTGCAGCCCCCTTTACATATCCTGTTCTTGGTGCAGCCTGGCAGCACCTTTGCCCACTTTGAGTTCCTTCCAAAAGATAGGACAAAGGGAATGATCTTCTTTCCAGAGACTGCCAAATAGGCTGCACCAGAAACCGCAAAGGCCTTGATTCATGCCTTTCTTAGCGGATTTCCCGCCTCACCCGCACACGCCATGTCTCCAATGGCTCCATGGAAACTTACCACAGACGACCCGAATTCCTGAAATTGGGAATTCGTAAGGAACTCGTCTCAGCTCAGTGGGGGCCACATGCCCTGCCCGCGAGAAAGTAATTATGCATTCATTTTTGGTAACCTTTGAGGGCATAAATCACTCCTTCTGCGGCCCAGGTTCGCCTTCTTCCACAGTCCTTCCTCCGTTTCCTATCGGATACAAAGCACTTGATCCTCTCCCCTTGATTCCCGACAGTGTTCTACGTCTTGTAAATCAGGACACCACTGCGCTCGAGCAAGGAAAGATAATAGCTTATGCTCAATTACGCATAGGGTGTCGTCCTTGTGATGCCTCGAAATATCTCGGAAGTTCTGCTGCAGATGAAGAGATGAAGACTACCATAGCTTCAGTTGACGACTTACTCAAATCACAACCTATGAATGTCGTGAAGACTAAAGCAAACGGAGGGGACGCAGAAGGTGCACTAGATTATGGACTTAGGTTGGTTCTACTCGTGGTTATCTCATGTGATAGAATGTGCTCGACGATTCGATCTGGACTCACGCATGGATGCGGGTGCTCGCCCAACCGCTCCCTCACCAGGCAATACTTAATGATGGCTGCATACAGTTCCAAGGGATCCGACATCACAAAGGCAACCGCCCATGATGTCCTTGTAGAGTGGTACAGTGTACCTAGCCCGATGCCTCAACGGTATCTATGCGCCGCTACTTGGCATGCCAACGAGATCGTGAAACTGTTTCTCAAGCGGCCTTCACCGATGGCCTTCAAGTTCGCCTTCTATGTTATAGAACCTCAGCTGAACACTATTCCAGACCTCGCTTATCCATGCCAGGAATTACTGGGTGTGATGAAAAGACGGACAGCTGAAGTTGAGAAGAGCCAAAGTTAAAGTGGACCACAAGCGCCTGGAGTCTCCCAATCGGTACAGATGTGACCATTGGCTGCGGTATACAATCTGACTGTGGTCGTATGCTACGATAATGCATGTCCTGTTTCTCTTTTACAATCAATTCCTTTCCTACAACCAGCATCTAGGTTCCAGAAAATGTGACAAAGACAAAAAGCCACATTATTGTAGTAGAAAGTAAATCGTCTGTTTACATCGTGATTTATCCAACTGACATCCTGAGTTAGGTGTGTGAGTACCACCGTTTGTCCTAGTCTTGCCCTGCATTCATCTCCTATCGCTCTTCATCGTTACAGAGAAGGAGGTACTGCGCACTAGATTCTTGGTTATATGAAACGTCCCCTGATCTATATTCCTTTTCCCCCTAGGACTGCAGAAATCACAAGCCCATCTGTAAATCTGGGGCACCCTGCTCGGTAGGAAGTTGGAAAAGAGATCGAGGATCACGGTGCGGCTGCTCAAGCTCAGAGGTCGACTCCCCTCCTTCGTCCCAATACATTTGGGATTGTTAGAAGAATGGAGGCCAACATCGGGCCTACGGGAGAACTGGAGATGACAAGAAGCTGATTATGAACCAATTCTTTTTTGAAAAAGCACTGCAGATTGAAGTGAACGATTTATGGAGTTCATGGAGTACCAGGGAAATGTCTAGCAGTTAAATAAAGCCAACTTTAAGGAATATAGCCTGACAACAACAAAACAACGATAGCAAATCAAAAGGGTAAGTGTAACAGTTCCATACTACTTCAAATATGCTAGTGTGATCTCCTAGAATTTAGGCTGTGATACCCATTTCTGAGAAAGGCGTCCCCAACCTGTATATGAATACGTCACTACCTCTATGATTCCGGATGAAGGAACCGAACTTACAAGCTAGTGGGTGGGTCCTTCAAGGAGTTCCCCTCCGCAATTGATACCAGATATACAATCTACGGTGTTGTTATCATCCACATAAGAGAAGGACAGGTCACGACGGTTTGACCCAGTCTCGTGAATAGACTACGGCGCCGTGGAATTGGGAACCCCGCCAGTTTCCTTTCAGTTGTTGATGGATACTGGATCCGCGAACTTGTGGGTTGGTGCCGAGCGCTGTCGATGCAACGATGGTGGCACTTGTGTACGTGGTTGCTTTTCGTAGTGCGCCTGTCTCTGGTAAGCAGCAGGGCAATCATTCATTTCTTGGTCCGCACTCGAGCAAGTCATTTGTTGGCACAAACGAGAGCTGGATTCTTTGGTACGGTACAGGATATGTTTCCGGCATTCTAGCGCGCGACGACGTGTCAATCATGGCTTTGAAACTTGAAGTACACGAGTTTGGCGTTGCACAAAACGAAAGTGCGGATTTCTCCGCGTACGAGCGTGTGCTTCATCTTTTTACCCTTTCGCCTTCGTTTCATGTTTCAGAGACAGCGGCACAGACAGTAAGTGACGGTCATCCCGAAGACCTTCACTGATGATACCTCAAGCGGCCTCCCGTCAAAAAAACACCAAATGTAGTCGAAGCGCTCAATAAAACCGGTCAGATAAAAGATGCAGTGGTGTCATTCAACATGCTGCCGACGGAAAGGATGATGGAACCGGATCGGTAAGCTGTTCGTATGATGAGGATTCACGCAATCGTTTTGTAGACGCTTATTCTTGCGAACCCAAGGTAAGGTGGACATAACCATACGCAGCAATTCTGACTTGCCTGATAATCCTTCTCTGCATTAGGACATAGCTTCGATACATCAACGAATTCCCGGGTCGCGATTGGACCAAGGCTCGTGGATCATTCCATACGAGACTAGTGCCACAGTCTCTTTCGTTATTGGTGGCAGGGAGTTTGCCGTGCATTATTGAACGACTGACATCCTATATCATTAGCCCTATTCATTAAAGTCAGTTGGTCGGCGCACAGGGATGGTCGGAACTCGCTTACTGAATCGACAGATTTTCTGCATAATGTCCTCTATCTTGGTATGGAATGCGAACAAGAATGCGGTCTCTTAGAAGTGATTGAAGCAGAGGCTACCCTTGCATGAGCGCAAGATGTTGGTCGCCCCGGTTCACATGTTGTTGGTGTATCTGAATGGAAATAAAGTGCACGTTAACATCCAAGCAGTAGAATACACTCACGATGGTCAGACGACTCTCGCCATTTGCCAGCAAACTATATGCCCGCTTGACTGGTATCGAAATGGCGGAACTTGGACGCGATATAGGTTCACTAGCAACGACTGCGACAACGAAAAGGCCGAAGACGGAAAAAAACATCATTTCAATAGGACATGAATGTGCAACAAGTAAGGAAGGCAATGGCGGGAGGCAAGCAGAGAAGCAGCCAAATTGATGCTCATTTTGATTCGGATTCGCGATCAAAAGAAGCCGATCTCATTTAGCCCTGGTAGGCGCCACAGTACATATCCGGTTTCCATCCAGCTGGGTCGATATTTCGACTGTTCGTTATGCCAGCGCTGTAAAGTAAAGCAGGAATCCCTGATTTGATATGCGAGGGTAGCTAAGAAGATTTCCCATGGCACCGGGTTATATAAAATGAAGATCTGGTATAAATCTAGACGCAAGTTCATCAGTCCAACGTAAGCAGTGAGCAGAATCAGGGTCGTACATTGTATGTTCATTGTAATCCATGTTGCAGTTGTGGTGATACACGTTGGAAAGGCCTTGCGGAGAGAAAACTAGAAAAATAAACCAAAGTAAAACCAACATACAACAGTCTGCACTGTGGAATGGAAATTCGTTGTTATGTGTCACTATTGGTACTACGTACGTTGAAGGTATGCTATGTGTGGAAAAAAAATGCGAAATGCCATCATAAAATAACTGTAAAATGAGATATGCAATGAGAGCTAACGCCACTCTCGCGGTTTCTAGTTTTCCAAATTCTCACGAGCCTCGAAGATCCATCCATGCCTTGAAGTCTGAGACGAGCGACGTCGCATGCTGACTAGAACTGTCGCGTAAATTCCGAATGTATGTCGGAGAGTTGCCAGTTGATAGTACACGTAGATGCAGAATTGAGACGTCCAAAGAGAGTTGGGTTGATCGTGACGAGGTAATTAAAAACGTGCATTATATCTCATGAACGGGGATGTTCAAAGAGAAATAAGGATGGTTAAGCGCTTCTTGAACTGTGATGCGCTGAGCGGGATCGAATGCTAATAGCTTCTGCACCAAATTCAAGAACTGACGATTGATAGCGTTAGTCTGGGGTATGACCTCCTACACACCCATAACAACGTCAACAACGTTCAGATTATATGAAAGAGAATCGTACTAACCGAAAGTGGTCTTGTCGCGCGAACGTCCTTCTTGCTCTGTCTCGAAGCTTTAGGCTTAGGCCAGTCTAGTTTCGAACCTTCCTTGAAGAATTCAGGTTTCGTGCGGGCACCCTGCCGAGAAAAGCGCTCCGGCATCTTGCCCATGACCATCTCCATCATCGCAAGATGTTCCAGATTATCATGGGTCTGGAAAAGGGCTATTCCCGTGAAGAACTCGACAAGAATACATCCAAGCGAGTACGCATCACAGGGATAGGACCAGCCTAATCCTTTAGCGGTTGTTAGTTCTCGGTCTGGAGTAGATTAACAATCACGGACCTAGGATGATCTCTGGCGCTCGGTAATGACGAGTTGAAACAACTGTCGAATGATATTCGGACTCAAACGTAGCTGAACCGAAATCTATGAGACGAATATCCGTGGATTGCAGTATACGCTTAGCCTTCGAGGGGGCGTTGCGCTGGGAAGGTTGTAAGCAGGGTTTCAGATGCATAAACCGCAAGACCCACCTTTCCTGGCACAGGAACATGTACCACCTTGTAGTCATTATGCACTAGTAGTATGTTTTCGGGTTTCAAGTCGGTGTGAACAAGCTTGAGATCGTGCAAGACTATTAGTCCCAAGTCAGTATATGACGGAACCAAAAATAAAGGAATCTTACATGCGACGCTTCCCAGTAATTGTCGAGCGAATGATTGAATGTGGTGCCGAGGAAAAGGTGCAAAGTCGTTTTCCTTAAGAAAATCGTACACACACATTCCCAGGAGTTCCGAGACCAGACAGATATGGTTCCGATGGTCGAACCAGTGAATCAAATGTATACATTTGCTGCAGGAAGTCCATTAACATTGGTGAAAGTGTAAAATCAAAGCGCTTACTTGCGGTTCAAAGGATCGCGCTCCTTGAGCTTCTGCAAGACACGGACTTCGATCTTACTAGCATCACGATACTTCTGTATGGCTCGAATAATCTTGATAGCCACTCTAGCATTGGTTTCAGTATCAACGGCCTCAACAACCTTCCCAAAGGTGCCCTGCCCAAGCAGTTTCACAGTACGATCTAAAACGGTTACATCAGTTCCCCCCCTGAATGAGTGTGAAAATCAGCACTTACAACGTCGATAGATGATATCATTGGGTATGATAATGTAATGACCTTCTTTGTCATCACAGGAGACAGATCCCTTGGAAGTCTACGTTGAGAAAAGGACCATGAACACGTCATTCAAAAGTATAACTTGAGTGTGACAACTGACCTCATCCGTCGCAGCTGCGCTTCTAGTATCCCAAGATTTAGTCTGGGTGAGAGCCTGAGAATGGTGGCCGCTTGCTATGACCTTCTTGGCAGGTAGCGCACGGACCTCCTCGAGATGGTCCCGCTTCCGTTTCTTCGGTGGAGGAGCGACGATTGCGGAAGATGAACTCGCCGATAAAGCCTGAGCTTCTGCAGCAGCTCTAGCACGAGTCCTTATGGGCGCCGAGTACAAAGGAGGCTGGTATGAGGCAGAAAAGGCACCAGTATGGGTAGTTGCAGGTGACATAGTAGGAGGGGGCGGTGTATCCTCAATAACGATGACATCCCGCAGCTTCCCGTCGTTGTCTAGTTCCTGCACTTCGCTATAACTGACGGTATACTGATGAGCACGTTTCCGTTTTCTAGTGACCACTGGAGGCGTAGGCATGACGCTGGCGGTGTTGGGATTAACGCCATTGAGGGCCTGAAGCGAATATTGGGAAAGCATTGTAGGCGGCAGCTGGTGGAACGCAGCCTGCATCGTCTGGGTTGCTGTGAACGACGTGATGGCAGAGAGAAAAAGCGTCAGCAACTTCGGTGGGGCAGAGTCAGTTGTAAGTAATCTCTCCGTCTGTCTTGTTTGGTCCTCTCGTTTACGTAAGCAACTGCAACAGGCGAATCACTAAACGGACTTGGCGGCAATTCGACATTCACGGCCAGGTCCGTTACCCGTTCCCTACCGCTCCCTATGCCGCCTGTAGTGTTCTTACAGCTCCATGGCTGCAAAGGGAGTCCCTCTGTTTTGTTCCCAGTAAGAAATCTTTGTCTACCTTTGCTAGGCTGCCGGTCTCGCTATCTGCCGGTCTCATCACATTTGGAACGTCTCTCTAGTCATATCTGGCCCCGGAACAGGCCCTCACATGCACCAGGATCTGTTTTCAGCAACGGCACATTATGTGCCACAAATATATCAGTGTCATCATGAATGTCATCCAAGTACATATATGGTCGTCAATGGCAATGTGGGTGATATACACGCGATTCGACTTCCACGTAACAGCCCTTTTACTGGCAGTATCGTTCGTATACCCCGTGCATACACCACGCATTTTGCGGGTCACCTTCAACGGCATGATGGTGGGCGCGTTGTTCACACGCCACCATTTTTTCGCCTTGATCAGGATGCTATGAACCTGCTGCACTGTGCACCTGCAGCTGCGTTTCCTATTGTCACACCTATAATACATACATACATACATGTGCGGATGCTTCGTCGTAGCTGTTTATTCTGTCGGCGGGACACTCCGAGTGGAAATATCAATCGACATAATATCCTGACGATACGGAAAATTAGCCAAACTTGAATCGAAGAACATGCAGAAGACTGACCAATCCTCGTTCCTTGAGCTCAGCAAGCGTAGGCATCATTCCCAGCCTTAAGAGCTGTAAAGCTTTACTCGATACGGGGTCATTTTGCATGCTGATAATAAAAGTAGGCCGGGCGTCAGCCTCGATCAGCAACGGTACGGTAGTGTATATACACACCTGGCCACAGCGGTGATTTTACCACCCTTGGAGTAGTACGCTATGAACTAAAATGCATACATCGTTGTCTACATTTGAACAGGAAGGGGGGGGGGATACCTACCTTCAATTCTCCTGGGTCACCGACAATAGTGACATCGTCATGACCGGCACCATAGCCACCGTACCGGAGTTGCTGGCCCTCTTCGTCTCATCAGCTGGGTGTCGGCAAGCGGAAGTTGAAACCTTACGTGCGCTCCAAAAGAACGGAAGCTTAGTGTAAGGCCGAGGAGTACCAGCAATCGACCTTCCCAGCACTCGACCTTGGTTTGATGCAACCTGGGAAGTGAACCTTAGAGGACATGCTCAATGTCAACAAGACCAAACTTACATTCCAATGCTCGATGCGAGCGAACGTCACGACCCGGCCTTTTTGCACCACTGGTGCGACTGCAATATCACCTGTGGGATGATATCAACGACACCCCCTTGAAGTTTGAAAAGCGACGATCATCACCAATCGCAAACACCCCCTTCACTCCAGAAGGCGTTTTAATAGCCCGAAGATACTCATCCACCTTGACAGAACCATCAGCCTCCAATTCAATCAGTCCCTTCAAAAAGTCCGTGGCTGGGACAACTCCGACCCCCATGATAACAAAATCGGCAGGCAACGTTTTACCATTAACAACAACGCCCGTCACCAGTTTGTCATTGTCTTCCTGAGACACGATCTGTTCGACTTTGCTAGACATATGGAACTTAACACCTTGAGATTCGTGGTACTATCAAATCGTCCTCAGGAATGTGCCAAGGCAATATAAAACTGGCGAACCTTCATAAGCCCCTTCCCAACATCCTTACCTAGCACGGCCTCGAACGGATACTCTTCCATTCCAATGACATCGATTGATTCCAATCCCCGTTTGGCTAGTGCAACAACAATTTCCATGCCAATGAAAGAGCTGCCGATGACGACGAGTCTCTTTCCTTTTTGCGCAGCTGTGATGTGGATTTCAGTCAAACATAATTCCTGGTTAGAAGTATCAACTTGCCAGCATCGACCTTTCGCGCGTCTTCGACAGTCCTGAATGTAAATACGTTCTCGAGGTCTGCACCTGGGATAGGCAATCGCCGAGGAGTTCCTCCAGTTGCAAGAACTAATTTGTCGTAAACAAGCGAGTCTTTGCCATCAATAATGACTTTGCGATTCGTGAAATCGATTGAGGTCACAGTCTGCGCTCAAGTGTCATGAGCCAGTAAGGGTCAACAATGAAACTTTACTTACGACTCCGGTCCGAACGTTGGTCCCAAACTTGACTTTGAGTTCCGCGGCATTCTTCCACTCGAGCTTAGATGGGTCTGTAATTAGTGCTTTGCTCAATTTGGTTCTGAATGGACCGTCAAATGACACCAGAGTAGTAGGGATCAGCGGTACCGGTCGATTGGGGCATGTGGCTCTTTGGTCAGGATTGTGATAGGGTACTTATATCCATTCTACAAAATATTCAGGATGCCAGCCACTCATTAGAAGCGGAACCGACCTCTCGCAAACTTTCCACGAGACTGAAAGCTCCAGCACCACCACCGACGATGATCGTTCCTTTTCCAAGAGCGTCGAAACCCGTGGTAGACAATTTGGGAGGCCTAGCCATCTTCTCTTTGAGTGTATATGCGGGGTTCGCACTGACAAATATCTTGCCATCTGCGACGCGGGTTTCGAAGGAATGAATGCCAGCCGGCGCGGGTGCATCCTCTATTACAACTCTGATTTAATAAATTAGAACGCAGAGAACGATTCGAGACACACCAATGTCACCGGAAGAAACATGAAAGCAAGCTTCAATACACGCGTCAATCACGAGGTCTCTGCAAAAAGACGGTTTTATGCACCTCCATGCCAAGGGCTTTGAACATACAGAGACATCAGATTTTACACGTCGAGCGGAAACGAGGAAATGGCAGACCATGTTACTTTTCCATCATAAGTGAGTACACCTTTGGCAAGAGGTGCCCCGTAATGGGTACAGTAAGCACTGGTTGCATGTATCTTGTTTCCCAGACGAGAGAGAAGAACTTTGCCTTGCTCAAAGTCAACTTCCTTCCTAAAAACCCGACGTTTAACCTGCATGCTGCCGAAACAAAGATCACAAATTACATTTCTCCATCTTTAAGCTCGGATTCATCGAGAACAGGGAGCGATTTGGCGGACATTGTTTGAATGGGTTGGAAACGTAGAAGATGCGGAGTAAAGGCTCTGTTTGCGGGTAGAACTATATAAATGTATGTTAGTGTATGTTAGACAGAAATTCCTCCAATCAGAAGCGGCTAATTGGTCATTGATTTCGGCTCGCTTTGCCGATGTTCGACACTTGTTTGGCCGCTAGGCTCACACAACCTTGGGTTAGGGTTAGACGCTTTCGCTATGCAAGCCTCACCATCGCGTCTCAGAACGGTCTGGAAGGGCAAGGAGAAGGCTGATGACGCGCCCGTCAATGACGACTTTGACGACCTTGACCCAGTCATCACCTATCGACATCTGCTGTCTCAGAACCTTGGCATTCGAGACCCCCTTCGTGTCATCGCGCTTTGCGACAGCGACGCCTTCTACGCCGCATGCGAGATGGTATTCTTTTCCTCAAAACACAAACTTTACCTTGCTGACGAAGGTCACAGGTGCGTTTGGGAATAACCGACAAGCCACTCGTGGTTCTGCAGTGGGAGTCTCTCATCGCCGTGAACTATCCTGCTCGGAAATTCGGCATCTCACGAATGGACAAGTTAAAGGACGCTAAGCAACGGTGTCCGGACCTCGTGGTTGTGCATGTTGCTACCTACAAGGAAGGACAGAAAGAGCCAGGCTATTGGGACAACGTGGATTCAAGAACGCATAAGGTGCCCTGCACAAGTTCGATTGCTCCGCAGTATGTCTGCTGACCATTTTTCAAGGTCTCTCTCGACTATTATCGACGAGAGAGCATGAAAATTCTTGGGATGTTCAATGAACATCTTCCCGATGCTGAGATCGGTATGGATGTCTCTGTTTATCCGTGAAAAATGGCTGAACATGTAAATAAGAGAAGGCCTCTATTGACGAAGCTTTCATCGACTTCACGAAGCCCGTTCGACAGATTTTAATTCGGAGATACCCATATCTCTCAGTCATTCCTGCCGATTCTCCTGATGGAATGGATACCCCGCTTCCGCCGGCCCCATCCATATCCTGGGACAAGGCTGGTTTCCTCATACCCATTGACCCATCTACGCCCGTGGATCAAGAACCGGGTTCCCATGCCCCTTCGAATGAAGAAGGTATACAAGACACCTGGCATGACATCGCTCTCTCTATTGCCGCTGAATTAATGGGCCAGGTTAGAGAGGACATAGAAACGAAACTGGGCTACACATTGTCGGCAGTATGTCGAAGACTTTCCCCATTTTAGGAATCTGATCGGATTTTACTCAGGGCATCGCGAGAAATAAATTTCTTGCAAAGGTTATACATCAGTTGTAGCTGTTTCCGAAGCAATCATCTGACCTGACTGTCCTTCAGCTTACCGCATCCTATCGAAAGCCCAACAGTCAGGTGCGCCCGGCCTGTATAGCATCGTGAATGGGACTTTCAATACTGACAAATGCTATCCAGAGCATCCTGCGTAATGCCGCCATTCCGGGTTATTTGAAGCCCATGGATTTTCAAAAGGTGTCGATGATTTTCTTTGTCAAGTGCCGAGCTTAAAACCGGTGTAGATACGGTTCTTAGGTGGGAAACTCGGACATGCTCTAGCGCAAGAATATGATGTCTCGAAGGTGGCGGATTTACTGCAAGTCCATTGAACCCATTGATCCGTCTTTAAATGAATTCATCTTCTGTAGCCCGGTCACTCTAGGCAAGCAGATTTTTGAGAGCGAGGTTCTTCTTGTTTATGGGATTGTACAGACGAAATGCAGCAGAAATTTGGCGAGAATGCCATTTGGGTCTACGAGGTGCTGCGGTGGGTGCTAATTTCTTTCTTGTCCGCAGTGATCAACATGTTTTATTCACATAGTGGAATTGATCGTTCTGAAGGTCAGGTTCATGATAGACTGTGTGTCAGCCGATTATTCACGATGTTAGAATAGTCAAGACGAAATCCATTGTCAACAAGAGCATGCTAGCTTCGAAAAATCTACCGAAACCTATCACTAAGCCATCTGAGGGACACCATTGGATTCGGGTTTTGGCCGCAGAATTGACCTTGCGACTTAATGATGCAAGAGAGGCCAACCCTAATCTTTGGCCAAAAACTCTGGTTCTTCATGCCCGCAAAGGTTCCGCTCAAGATATCTCACACCGTAACTTTAACACTTAGAGTCCTTTGCAGGATATGAGGCTTCCCGTTCCAAACAGGCCCCGTTTCCTTTTATCCGACAAGTCACCGTGGACGTCATCGCAGCTGCCGGAGATAAACTATGGGAAGACCTCGTCGGAAACTCTACATCTATGAGAATCACAAGTGTTCAACTCGCATTCACTGGCATAGAGACCGCAGAAATCGGACAGCAAAGCATTGTCGGATTCTTCAAAGCTGGTCCGAGCTCAAAACGCGGACGAGAATACGACTCCCCCGTACCTGTTACAGAGCTTCCCGTCGATCAGTCGTCGACTGCAGCGGGACAGGCCGTAGCCTTCACATGCTCGCGCTGTAATAAGGATATTCTGTTCCCCAGTACTGCATCAGTGTCGGAAGAAGACCAAACCGATCTACTAGCCACCGTACGGATGGAGCACAGTGATTGGCACTTTGCCCAAGACCTTGCAAAAGACCCTGGTAACCAATTACATGCGCCTTTGAAGGAGCCGGCCAACAAGAAGACACGACGGAAAGAATCACCTAAAGGCATAGAGAAGTTCTTCACCCGAAAATGAATCTATCGTTGGAAGGGGGACTTGCTGATGGTCGTGAAGACCGAATATATCGAAGATCCATGTAACTATCAGCACATCAAGATCAGAAAGGGTATCATAGGCTTCGTATTCAGGTTCCTATATTTGATACAATTGCTTATTACTCGATAGTTAAGGTAGAGAAATCCAGAAATATGCAGAACAGATGGGTTTAGTGATTTTTTTTGTTCTTCTCGTCAAGCTAAGACCGTTAGGGTGGGTGCCGACGCCCCCCAGGCGTTGAACAAGAGGACTTAGTTCCCTGCGGCATCTCCAATTGAGACCCAACATCCCTCACCCCTCATTTACTTCTTTCGTCTTCAACTCCTGTCAGCACCAAGAGACCTCAGCTGTACCTCAGCTACCTTTTCCTCTCTCAGAGAAACGACAATTGGTCATGAAAACTGTCTTTGTGATCTTTCGCCGAGCCGTGCCGGTTTTTGGTCAGGTCACATACAAGGTCGAACAAGAAAGGGAGGTCTAACACCTTTGCAGATTGGGGGTACAGCTGCTAAGAATATAAAGGCATTGCCAAAGCCTTAGCACCATTGTCCCCCCTAGCAATATGAGGAATCTTTTGAACTTAACTCCGCTTCCATTTGAGGTATGCAAAAAAATCGGTCTCAATCGGGAAGTGCCGTTATTCTATATTACGATCATGCCTGTACCGACATCACTTTCTCCCTTTTCTCCCTTCCTTCCTTCAGCCTTTTTTTGTTTTTTCCCTTCTTTTGGGCCGGTGCTCCTCAGATTCTCTAGCAGGATCTTCGACGAGAAGAGGCGCAGGACGACTGTTCCGTCGTATATCACTTTCCTTGCGCTAAGGGTGCTGGACTTCATCTTTCTATTCGGATCAACCGTACGGACTTTGGACGATGGCTGAATACTACCCTCAAACCTATCCCATTACGAATAATGAACTAGCGGGCGTCATTGTGCGTACTGCTGCAAATTTCAAACCTATATTGATGTATTGACTCCTAAATACGCTTCCTTTGCAGGTGGTGAATGTTGTTGCTGTGCTTTCGACTGTAGCATTGTTCTCTATCATACTTCGACTAGCATGGCTTTGCATCCTCCGTGTCACACGACGTAAAAACATCACTCACTCTCGAGAATATGTCTTCTTCAATACTCAGCTTGGGTATTATGCTGCTTGCCTTCTTATCGCAAACATGTTCAATAGCGCTGCGGGTCTCATGGGGTTGCCGTTTTTGTTGGCCAGACATATTACAGAAGGTATGATCTAATAATCTCTTTTAGTTTATATTCCAATCGTGGTTTGTCAATAGGCGGTCTTTGCACTTCACAAGGTAGCTGCTATTCCTTGACCCTAATGTCTCTGATTAACGTCATGCTTCATTAGCGATGGTCATGCAGTTCGGGAACGTGTCTACTGCTTATTTTACCGTCAGCATCGCAGTACACACGTTCAATTCTCTGGTGTTACGGAAGCGTCAATCCGTCGCCATCTATTCAGTGGTGATATCCTTGGGGTGGATCCTGGCCGGATTCATAGGTATCTCTAACCATTTCGTCTCATAGCAACCTTTCTCACTCTGTCCAGCTGCTCTTCCCTTAGCTCTTCCGCAAAGCCACGGGCCCATCTATGGCGAGTACAATCTGACCTGCGGTGTGAGGGACAAATATCCAATATCACAGTTCTTGCTTCATCTGTTACCGGTACAACCCCAATTTCATTGGTTACTTGCGTCTGTCTAAAGGCTGCTTTTTTCTTAGATATTCATTGCTTCATTCTTTTCGGCGGTGCTATACTCTCTCATTTTCCTTGTACTTCGCGGCACGCTGGTCATCAAGGGCGGCGTTAAGCTCACTCTCAATCCAAACGAGCGATGGAATGGTGAAAGTGGCGAAAACTATCATCGCTTCATTGCTGGCGTTGCCAGGAGCATGCTCTGGTGAGATACTTTGTCTCCATTTCAGCTCTTATGCTCAACATCTTCATTAGGTACCCCGTCGGTGTGTATAACTAGTTAATCATCTTCATTGAATTCTCATATTGTTCTAGCGTACTGTGCTGTTCTGATTCCGTACTCCGTCACAAAGCTACTCATTCTTTCGGGCTTTAGTGTGCCATTCCAGGCCCTAATATTTGCCTATGTGTGCTGGTTCTTATTGGGTAAGTGCTTTTCATGTCGCAACTAGTTCCATCGTGACAAGTTGCTGCAGGAGTTATCAATGTGGGGCTGCTCTTCAACACGTTCAGCAAGTTGTATCCGGTATTTGATACCAAATTGTTGACTAGCGCCAGACAAGATATGGAGAGTTTCGGAACCACTGAACAGCTCAAACGACTCACGCTCGTTGCCGAACGGAAAGCAGCACCTGAAGAGCTTCAGGAGAAGGTCCATCAGTATCGTTATCCGGGTACTCCTTCTTACCCTGAAAACGTCGCGAGTGTTCAAAGCTTCTATGGATATCCCATCTCTCCGCAACGTGTTTCACCTGTATCTCCGTTCAACGGCAACAATGCTTCGGATCACTACCGGCCATCGCCCGTTCCACTGTCACCTCCCTCATCCCACTCTACCAGTAAACATTCACGGCAAGACTCGGCTGATTCCCTGCTGAAACTGCCCGTTCCTCCTCGCAAGACGCCTTCGCTTAACTCACCGCCTCCTTTGGTGTCCCCCAGCTCCTTGCGTGCGCTTCAATCAATTGATCAGGGTCGCGTTCTTAGTCCATCGACCAATCGCTCTTTCAGTTCACATGTTGTCCAGTCGACGCATAAGGCCTCCGGGTCCGGATCCTCCTCGGTTGGCTCGGTTGGCTCTGAGCTGGATATCGCTGGTTGGCTGGTTCAACAACAACCTGGCGGATCCATGCATCAAGGGCTTCAAAGGAAGCCTTCACTTACAGCAGTAAGGACCACATATCCGAGCCCTGTTGCGGTCAACCAACGTCCCCGGCCATTTCCTTCTACGCCAAGTGAAAGCACGACAAGCAGTCCAACAGGCAGCATCAGGAGGCCCACTTGGAGTCCTGTGAGCCCAAGCCCGGCACAGTATGTCGCGAGAAATATGAGGCCGGTACCCTTGGTTGGTCCTCCTCCCATGGGTCGCCACGGCAAAGTCTCTCCTTTTTGAATTCGAGGTAATCGCCGCATGCGGGTCATGCGAGAGAGGAAATTCGTGTAGCGTAACTAAGTCCGTTTGACACGGCTTCGAGCGTTCTGTTATATGTATTAGTACTACAGAAGTTTGTTGGTAAGAAAAATCGTCGCGAAAACAGGGGCTATTTGGTTTCCTCCTTTAGTTGAAACACCGGCCATGATGTCAGGAATAAAGGTCAAATACACTTTGACTATGTTCCACCATGCAAGCCATATGGGCAAGGTATCTAGGGTGCAGCACCGAAAAACTGAGGCAAGGAATATTTGATGGCATGTTGTCTCTCGTTCTTGCACAATATCTGACTGACAGGCCATTTGCAGCGGTTCATATGACAGCTGCAGACATACCCAGTCGAGCTCCGCGAACTTTGTTCAGCTTCAACACTCGTGAAAACATACGGCAATTCCTCACAGGATGTGACGCTGACATTGGTGGCACCTCGACGGTGCACTTTGATCTCGATGAATCGCCTAAACACAACGCGACCATTGGAAAGGCAGCTACGGGCGTGTTTCACGGCGACATGCGCCTAGCGGTGAAGCCAGGAATGGAGGGACAAATAAAGGGAGGATACGCTGCTATTCAGAGCAAGGTGCTGTTCTCTTTTGTGCCAACTTTACCCGAAACTAAGGCGTCCCAATAGCGCCGCCCGACACTCTTTGGCGACATCCTGGAAGAGATCGAATATCATTCGTATCTCGCTCTCCGAGTTCGCGTCGCTGGAGACCCCAGTACGCACAATTCCTACTTTGTGAACGTACAAACGGATAGTATGGTTCAAAACGATCTCTGGCAACATCGGCTCTATTTTAAGCGGAATGACAACACTTGGGAGGACATTTTCGTGAGTTTCACTTTGCGCCGCATAGGGTTAACGATCATTTGAACCTTCATGCAGATTCCATTTGAAAACTTTGTTCGCACCAACTACGGCCAGATTGCGGAAATAAAGTCGGTCATGAACCGCAGAAAACTTCGAAGTATCAACATCTCACTTTTGGGAGGACACAGCGGGGTCTCCGGAAAATACGAGCTTGGAATTGACTCGATTCGTATGGTGAATGAGGAAGATGTGAAGTATCCGCTTGTCGGTGCGTATTCTTTCACTGCCAGAACCCGCTCTGTCACTCACCTGTCTCAAAGCCAACCAAGTCAACGAAAAGACAAATGACCAGGGAGATTCGAATTGGAAGGATCTTTACTGATGAGACCGGGAGCATATCCATTGATCTCACATTTACTTTTTTAATCTAAATTGTATTCTTAGCGAGCCGTGAAAGAGGATAACATATGGGAGATATGACACAGGTAAATCGTAATCATGACAAGAGTCTAAAGATAAGTATACACAACCATTTCGCTTTTAAAGAGGCACAGTCAAACTTGTAAAATCCCGGGTGAAGCTTGAAGGCTGCTAAAACAAAAAAAAAAGGAATAAGACCAGCAACCAAGTCGAACGCGACAGATAGGGAATGCAAGAAAAAGAGAGAGGGGAGAAACCGAAGAGAATCAAACGACCACGCAGCCCGGGCAGCACCCTGTAGTTCCCTCTTGGTTTTCCTTCGTACCGTAAGGGCCAGGGGTACTTCCGCCAGGGCCCGGCAACATCCCAGGTCGACCAGTTTGTTGTTCCTGCACCGGGCCACCAGTTAATACGCATGAGGGGATATAAAACGCCGTACTTTGTTATATTTCCTGATTTCACGGACGAGATTGCTGAAAGCTTCATCGACGTTGATCCGCTGCTTCGCGGACGTTTCAATGAATTTACAACCAAAATGCTTGGCAAGGTCACGGCCCTCTGCATCAGTACATGAGCATAACGGAGTACTGAGGGTGAAAGACGCGTACCATTCATGCCGACCTGTCGTTCGTATTCCAAGTCGCACTTATTAGCCACAACGATGACAGGGAACGTGTCTTGATCTTTCACCCGAAGAATTTGTTGATGAAAGGTACTTATTTCTTCGAACGAGTTTCGAGATGTGATGGAGTACACCAGGAGAAACCCTTCGCCCGTACGCATGTACTGTTCCCTCATGGCACTGAAAGAAGCACCCCGTTAGGACCGAGATCATTTACGTGATAGTGCAAGATGTGATGGAAGCGGATAAAATTTCTCTGAAGAAAAGGGTGAACGAGAAGAGAAGGTGGCGGCACCGAATGGTGGATGGAGAGTGGGGGATGGAGGGTCGAAATTAGATCAGACACGAGGCTCACCCATATTCCTCTTGACCAGCTGTATCGAGCACGTCAAGCAGTGCGACCTCATCATCAATCACGCACTGTTTGCGGTAAGAATCTGCACGCTGTATTAAACAACAAGAAGGCTTGATGCTTTTGGGATACTTGCCTTCGATAGTAGGATCATATTCGTCCACGAAATGACTTTGAATGAACTGAATAGTCAATGCTGACTTTCCGACACCTGTTACAGTCAATCAAGGTGCTGCTAGAATAAAAGATGGTTCATGTACTCACCACCACCGCCAACTACGACCAGCTTGTACTCTCGCAAGAACTGGGCCTGCTTGACCCCCCATACCCATTAAGTTAAAGAGACCAAGATAAGGATGACATCACGCACTCTGGTCGCCATTCCGCGTTGATAAATTCACTGGGATATACAAAGGATAAAGGGAAAGAGAAGGGGAAAGCAAGGTGAGTGTGCAGAGGAGGGGATACCGCACCAGGGTCAAGTAGTCAATGAAATGAAATGAAAACACGACCAAATACGATCAGTGAAAAATGTTGATGTCGCTGTGTTCGGCCCGCCATGCCGCGGCATCGTACAAGTACACCTCTCCTTGTGCTCCCGCATATATTGTCATCCCTGACAGCATTATTTCAGTTCGAATATCCTGCAACAAAATACTCTGGATTAAGAAGGTTATATCCCGACAATATACTTGATGAAATCATAAATCTCACGCCTCTGGACTGATCGTGGGAACGCCTGGCTCAATTCGCCTCAGCCTATATTCCTCAAGGGCCTTTATCGATATCAGCCAGTACCTGGACGAGCCTGGGCACCAATATCCGCTGTGCTTGTGCCAGAATTCAAGTCCAGTTTTTGGACGACCTTATGACTCGTGCCTTGGCCATTTCACGCTGAATTCCGAGGCATCCGCAGACTTTGAAGTATGTAAATAACATTAGGCTGTACCATCCAATGCTACGGATTCGGACTCATCCAAGTCAATCATCCCAGCCTCCAGACGACCGTCTTTTTTTCGTTTCACTGCGATAGCTTTTCTCCTTCCTCCGACGCTCCTTCGCCGCTCGTTCTAGATTAGCAATGTGCTTCTTCTTCTCTTCTGAAGTTTCGTTCTTGATCAAGGCCGATGCTGTGGTCAAGACCACATTGTGTAGCTAGGAACAGAAATGAGATACCTATCCTTCAAGATGTGAATCAACGAAAGCGTACCTTTTCCAAGCAATCTTCGACGTTCTGTGATTGAGAACGGTAAACAGTAGACGTGATCATGATTGATTTTGTGGAAGATACATAGTGAGCCTGTGAATGTTGAACAACATTGAACCCTGTTCGTATGGACTGATGCCATCAACATACAGATTTCTTTAGGCCTGGTTGAGCCCACAACGGTATCCATTCCGCATCAATAGGACAGCGTGCAGTCGCCTTGGTGTTGACCTTGTTGACATTCTACAATTTGACACTTAGAACCCTATACAACGAATATACGAACCGTATAAATCGCACACCTGACCACCTGGACCCGAACTACGCGAAAACGACAGCTCTACAACATTTCTGGGTAAAGTAATATTTTTGAATTCAGACAACCACGAGCGGGCCTGTGTACTGTCTTGCGATGTCTCCAAAATAGAAATACTAGGCGGAATGGGCAGTGAATTTTTTCCGTGATGTGCTGTTCGAACTTGACACAGCCGGGGTACGAACTGTTCTCCCGTAAGGAGATGGTTCAGGACAACCTGTCGAAAGTGTAGTTTGAGCATCATTCAGCACCCGTCCTACGGTGACATGTTCGAGATCTCTCCTTGATGAGTGTAAAATACCTCGGCTATACCGGTCCGATCGCAACGGATGTGGGACCGGAGAAAACCGAACCCCTCATCATCATCATCATCATCATATTAGTTTAGACACAAAAACCGCGCGTAAGTAGCCACCAATTGTCCCACACAGGGAGGAAGAAATCTTCCCAGGCTCGCGCAGCCCACACAACCACGAGAAGTACGTCGATGAAAATGATCCTATTACAGCTATTTGGTGAGAATTAAGACCTGTACTAGGAATAATGCAGTTTCGTCTGTCCGAAAACTCTAAATACTGGCAGTAATGCTCAAATTCAAGCCTCCCATGGCTTCCTTCCTCCAGAAGCGACCCACATACGACAGGAGTAGTCATTCGGCAACGCTTTACTTGATCGATTTCCTCCAGTAAGGTCTCGACTGACCTCTCTACGGCTACCCCGGACGTGGGCCCAAATGTTTCAATATGACTAAAAGCAGGCATCCAACCGGAACGCCCATTCGATCCAGAGGCCGAATACTGGTCAGCAAGATCCTTCACTTCCTTTAGTACATCTAGACTCATCGTCGAAGAGCTGAACATGGTAGTGTTTCCGTTTAGCATCTTGGCAGGAACTTGAAAAGCGCCATTTTAACTGGAGCCTCCAACCGAACCAGACAATGAGCTGTCCCCGACATCGATAACGGAGAATGGAGCCCCCGGCTGGAACAAAGGTTTATGAGTCTTCCAGTCCTACAGAAGTCTTGCATAATGACGTGTTCTGGACATTCAAAATGATGCTACAGACCTTCTTTTCTGTGAAATCATGTGCTGTAATAAGCAAATGATTTATGGAACCAGACTCACGACACCTAGATTCAAATCAATATACCACTTTCGAAAAGGGAAAGGATAGAACGTAGTTTTTGCTGCAGTGATACGGTTTCTTATCTGGATCGCATTTCCCTGAGCCTGCGGTGTAAAAGATGAAGAAAACACCACTAATGGAACACTTGCATGCAATACCGCAGCCAGCGGTCGCGCATCTGTACCGGTTAGGGGCGCGCCATCCGTTTCTAGTTCATCTTTACCTGTTCTCTTTCGACTTGAGCATCTTGTTTTGCCAGCGCTCCCCATATTTCCTTATACTGAAGTCGCAAATCAGCAGCACCCCCGGCGCCTCTGATTGGGGTATCATGATGTTTTGGGCAAAAAACAGGGCACCAGGTGCGCTCTTTTTCGGAACTAGCTTCACGGGCTCGTTAGCGTGCCAGGCGGTAGCTTGAAGGTAACAAGACCGAAAGTTCGTTTTACAATCAGTGTACCATTCAATAAGGGCGCAATGTCCTGTAAACCTCAAAAGAGCGGGGGCATCGGTGTCGAGAGCCACCAAAGCGAGATAACGCCTATCAAGCACACGGTTAGGAGGACAATCATAACCAGTCCTAAGTCTGAACTCATGTTAGAAGGGAGGAAGAGTAGACCAAAGATACAGACCTCAGGCCATAATCCAAGGCCGCCTCCACGCTCCCCAAATCAGCTTCAGCCTTTACCGCATGTTCGGGCTTCGATTCGAGCTGGTGATGAATAATCTTAACATCTTTCATCACCGTTTCATACATGACAGGACTGTCGTACGGCTGGGACATATCCTGGGGACGACAATTCATGCACTTTTGAGCGTACGCCATAGTTTGTCGAGGACGCTGTCGCCGGGATCAAGGACAGCAGCAGGGAGTGTGAAGTTATGGAAACCAACAGACTGGGGTGTTTGGAATGCAATGGAATCCGTTACGTTCAAACCGAGCTGGAGCTTTTGCGATCTGAAGAAACCGTCGAAGGCTACATAGGCCATCTTCATATTGAGAGGTGATACTGATATCTTCCACAGGACTTGCAGGATGCCTAGTTTATTGAACTCCCCGCCAACGGCAGATGCAAGATCTACATCATCCGTAGTCAGCTCCCAAGGAGCCAAAGGCGGCTTTCCTGCGATCCCAAAGCTGGTCAAGAAGGCACGTACCGAGGCTTTGTAACCTGCGCATCTTCCCACGAGTCACGAGATGCGACGCGTTGCGCCAGACGATCACGATCATCGTCACATTTCCTCAGTCAGGGAGTTTCAATGAAGGCCCGGATTCTGCATAGGTCATAAACGTCGTCAATCATCATTTGCTTTAATGAGGCATAACATTTTGACGGCATCTTCAGCGTTAATGCAAAGTTGGGCATAATTTATTTATCCGTTGCGATTTGTCGCACGTCGGGCCTTCGGGCTTCAGCTCCCATCGTTAACAAGAGGACTACTTCAATCACGATGGAATAGACACACTGGTCCAGGAAACAGATGCGACGTCAACAGCGTGCCGAAGGACCGATTCATGTGTTCAGGACTAACAAGATTTCCGCATTGTATTTAAACCACCAAGTTATTATAATACCATTATACATCCATTTTAAACTACTCTATATAACAGAGGGAGACAGATTAAGATTATTTATTCAACACCCAGTAGATCAAGCCAGTTTGGCCAAGGAAAGTTGATTCTTGTCCACATTGGTCGAGAAATAAGCTGACTTCAGGAAAGTATCGCCAACCTAAGAAAACACCTCCATTCAGTGACTTCCCCTGTGATTCAAACACACGTCCACGTACCAGCCATTCCCCTTGCCCAACATTGCCAGAGGAGATTCCTGAAACGCACATACCAGTGGGGTCGTTGATGTCCAAAGGTGCGAACGCGAGGTCCCTAGGATCGATGGCAAAGGCTGTACCTCCAAATGTCAAAGCAATGCTGGCGTTGGTGGTGCAAGGCACAAGGAATCCACCTTGTCCATCCGAAGTAGCACCGTCGATGTTACTGTGGATCGTCTCTGCATCAGCAGCGGGCACGATGAGCAGAGTAGTGCCAGTGTCCAATATAGCTGCCTGGCCTTCAACTTTCAAGTCAGTGCCGTTAACAGACACAGCATCCAAGGCAGCAATCCAAAACCCCTGTTTGCTGATGTTGTCCACAGTGACCAGGGTGTCTGCTTGGAACTTAGTCTCATCAAGACCACTGTCAAGATGAGTGAGATTGAGTCAATCTAGACAAAGAAAACACACACCCGAAGGTAATTTCTCCATCATTTTTTCCATCCGCAAGACGCGAAATCTTATAGGAAGTGATAGCCTCGCTAATGAGGCCGTTCTTAGCAAGGGACTCCACAGGCGTCAGGAAATCTTGGTTAGACAGTGTCTTACATGTTTGTGGTAAGAACCTCAACGCGTAAGAATGAAAACATGAAACATACTGATTGTGCGAGGCCCATGAGACCATCAAAATCTGTATTATCGGAAGCGAAGTCGACGGACTCCACTTCAGCAATGCCAAAGCTATGGCTTGTCAAGGCAAGGCCTGCGATGGTAACATCATCTGCAATCTTAACGCCTGACACCGAACCGGTACCGTAAGTGATATTCCATTGTTCGTTGAAGGTGCTGAATGAGCTAGACCTCTGCTCGCCCAGGAACGTATGGTTTCCCTATAAGAGGACTATTAAGCAACCTTGACTTTCAGAACGAACATGATACATACGCAGTCTCCTCCACCTTCAGCCTGGCAGTTGTCACTACCCACCCATAAGTCAGCCGATCCCGAGTCCATAAGGACCCTAAACTGGCGGGGAGGTGTTCCGATCTCGATGATGGAAGTATAGCCCACATCGTCAGCCCTACACGAGTATACTCTGGCTTTCAGACTCTACACATATGGGAGGATCAACTTACAATATATCCAGCCCTAATGAGTTATTAGCGGTTGGTGTGTTCGCGTCGGTCACGCCTCCGTTCAAAAGAGCGTTGATCTCTGCATCTGTAAAACGATTCGAGGCAGAGGCAGAGGCAGAGGCGGCGCTTGCAGAGGAAGTGGCAGAAGAATTGCTCCCGTCCTCGTGCAAGTTGAGAGTAGGTGTATCCAAGCTTTCCACTGCACTGTGAACATACGGATTGTAACGTTTTTGAAGTTCGGACGTGGTTTCGTTAGGATGGCAAGCGTGCACACGTTTGTGAAGACTAGCTCGAAGTTCTTCATCCGTGGGACCGATTCCAGAGTCCGACATAAGGGCAAGACGTCGATGGCCGCGGTTGATGTGCTGCTGTAAGAGCTGGAGAACTGGTTTACTTTCAAGCACCTTTGAATAAGGATAAAGAACGAACCACTTGTGGATGAAGATCAGTCCGTCGTTGTTGAAGCCTCGTTAAAGGAAGCGTCAGGATTTTGTGTTTCTTGCTGAGAGGCGCAGCCTCGACATCGCGAAGCGTGAAAAGGAAGAAAAAGAGAGTGCAAAGAGAAAGCACGAGTTTGGACAGCATCATTCAGCCCAGCAAGAGAAAGATGTAGTTTGACGAGGAGAATGCCTATCCAGAGGATAAATAACGCTCAACCAGGAGCGAAAGGAATGAAGAGAGAAAGCAAAAGGCGATGAGGTGGCCAACAGTAGAACCCTTGCACTTTATAGTCGTCCGATCAAGCATGGCGAATAGAGAACAATACGTATTACGTAAGGGTCTGACTCGCAAAGAACAATGAACTCTTGGATGTCACTATTGTTGCAACGTATTGCTCATGCTGATACTGATAAGAACCTATTAAATAAATAATGGTCTTTCAATCCCCTATTAATATATTGGCAATCCCAGAGAGCCTAGTTGTGACATAATACATATCTGTAATCCGAGGTGGCTTAAAAGTTTAAACAAGCTTTGCCAAAGAAACAGAGTTATTGTTGACATTGGTACTAAAGTATGCATTCCTCAAGAACACATCACCAACCTCGGTAAATCCAAATTAGTCAACAAAGTCTCAGACAAGCCAGAAAAACAGAACTTACCAGCCACTCATTATTAGCTCCGACACTTCCAGCAGAGATACCGGAAACACAGTCGCCCGTAGGGTCATTGGCATCCACGGGTGTGAACGCCAAGTCTTTAGGGTCGATTGTGAACTCTTGACCACCAAAGGTGAGAGCTACGCTGGCGTTCGTGGTACACGGAACGGTAAAACTTCCCTGACCATCTGACTGCGCACCAGAGATCAGTTTATGAACGGCGTCAGCGTCACTTGTGGGCGCAACAATCACAGTGGTTCCGGTGTCGAGAATAGCGGAACGACCGGAGAGACCAGTATCGGTGCCATCAACCGAGATAGAATCCACAGCGCCTTCCCAAAAGCCTTCTTGGCTTTGGTTGTCTATAGTGACGAGAGTACTAGAATCGAACTTGGAAGTGTCGAGGGCACTGCGCTTTGATGAACCTCATGATCAAGGTCTGTCGTGAGAAGAGACTCACCCAAAGGTAACTTCACCATCATTGAGGTCGTCAGCAAGTCGGGAAATCTTGAACGATGTGATCGCAGCGTCGATAAGGCCTGCTGAGGCCAATGATTCAACGGGTGTACTTACACCCTGCTCTGAAAGCGTCTACGAAAATCCAGTCAAGACGGCACTTCGGAGCGAAAAACAATACTCACGGATTGAGCAAGTCCCATCAAGCCATCAAAAGGAACCGAATCGGAGGAGAAATCAACAGTTTCGGTAGTAGCGACACCAAACGTATGTGCGTCCAAACTCAGACCGGCCACAACCATGTTGTCCTGGATGATAGTGCCCTGAACCGCACCAGTACCATACGTAACTTCAAATTGTTTGTTGGAGTCCTTGAATGAACTGGAGCTGGTCGACCCGAGGAACGTGTGGTTACCCTAACAACATCTGATTAGAGTCGATGAAGGATGGGGAAGAGCGTGTACTCACACAGCTTCCACCGCTCGTTGATTGACAGTTCTCTGCACCAACCCAAGTATCAGCGGATCCCGAGTCCATGAGCAGTAAGTAATCCTGTGGAGGCGTGCCCATCTGAATCGTTGCCAGGTAACCAATATCATCACCTCTGAAAGTAAAAGAAGATTAGATACGGGTCAATGTACATAATTAACAAGCCTCACTCGATGTCGAGTCCAAGTGAATTGGCAGTCGTCGGGGTGTTCGCGACCGTGACATCACCAGAAATAGAAGCTGAGGAAGTAGATGCAGCAGCGGCCGAGCTGACCGCAGCCGTTACAGCAGTAGCTGAAGTAGTAGTACCCTTAACGGCATTGTTGTTGCTCCTGGAAACACTTTATTAGTATTTGCAGAGAAGCTGCGCCCGAACGTTCACGCACTTGTTATGCTTGTTTCTGGTAACGACCGCATTGACACGACTATCTTTTACTCCTTCCCTGTTGAAACGCTTGGAGTTCCCAGGAGGAATGAACCTATTGTACCGTTTGTAGACTGGATCATTCTCCAGCGATGCGACCCTCCTTTCGAGGTTTCGCCGAAGTTCATCGTCAGAGGGACCTTGTCTGCCAGTCATTCGGGCAAGACGACGAAGAGCACGATTGAGGTTTTGCTGGTGAAGCTGTGGGGGGGGGGATAAGATTAAAGAGGCCCAAGAAAGATTTGAGATGAAACGTACGATTTGGGGATGAAGATCTGAACGTTGCTGGATGCGTTTGAGAGGGAGTGTAACGCTACCGCCGCGCTTAACGATCGGGTGGGCGTCCGCATCCTGAGCGGACAGCGCAAAAAGAAGGCCTGCCAGAAGCGCGTAGAAAGGAAGACTGAGATTCATAGTAGGAAAGGAGAGGCGGAACGATGGGAATGTGAGGTAGTGGTGAAACGGAAATGAAAGTTTTTAAGGTAAAGCAGTCAAAGGCCCAGCCTTAAGGAAAACAGACAACGCCACTGGCAAAAACTGGAAAGGGGAGAGAGAAACGAGGTCGTAACGAAGCACAATCCTCCATCATATAAGTACGCGGGACCTGAATGTTGCGGTGATCGGCAAACAATCCCCGATTAGTATTTTTCTTCCGCCCAACGGAGGAAACAAAAAAAGATCTATTCAGTTCCCGGGTGAAATGGTCCAAGACCTGATTAGGCTGCGCACGCCATTGAGTCCCACAAAAAGATTCAGAAATAACTCGCCTCGAAAAGACAATGCTTAACCAAACTTGGAGCATGGTAACTGCGGAGTAATCGCGAAATTACTATGGGTGTTGGGCAGGTAACGACCCGGCGCCCGCATGTCCATGCGCAGCCGTGCATGCACATTCATTGGGCTAAAGGTCAAAGGATCTTCTATCAAGAACAAAGACTCAGCAAGAAACAAAGCATCTGGTTGAATCAGATGTTTGTTCATAGGATGGTTACACACTATTAGACTGTTCCGATGATTGCGTCGTACCCAGAGTTTTACATGAACTTGTTGGAAGTGGAAACAATATTATTTTACACATCAATATCAAAAACTGCTCTATTAGAGGCGGGACTGAGCTGCTGCGTCGTCGAGTTGAGGATTCATCGGGCGTGATTGTTTCCGTATCATTGCCAAGGTGTCTCGGTATAGATCAGCCTGCGTAGTGTAAAGCAGTGTATCAAAGTGTACTGTATGGAACCCATACCTTGATCAATCCCCAAACACCGTGTCGCGCGTTCATACCAACTGTTTTTGCTACTTCTTCTGCTTTAGCCAACACATCAGCGGTGTTCCCGGAGACTATATGATCTACAAGCCCCGCCTCCAAAGCCTCTTTTGGCGTGAATTTATGGCCTTCTAGTGCTATTTTTCTATGCAACCGGCCATCACCAACTTGGGCACGAAGAATGGCCGCGAAGGAAAGAGGCCAGATAGCACCAAAGAGGACCTGATTATAATTGGTTAGCCCTTGAAATGAGACACCATATACAACTACCCCACCTCATTCATGCACATCCATGCGCGTCGCTCACTACCATCAGTCATGACACGGTAGTCGCATACCAAAGCCAGCATCATTGACCCAGCGAAACAATGCCCGTTAATGGCGGCGATGGTTGGAACTGAATTCGAGAGGTGAGACTCAAATTGTCACACTGATTCATCAAACCACGGATACTACGAACTTGGGAAAGTCAATAGCCTCGAAAGAAGGGGATCATATGTAACTGTTGAAATGGATCAACATCTTATCATCTCAATTATGCAGATGATCACCTACCCGGGAAGAAGTTTAGATTCGCAACGACACTGGGATAGTCAAGACCTAGGACAGAGATGAGCCGGGGGCTGATATCCTTCACAAACACACACCATTGCTAAAAAACTTGTCCTGGTTTCTAGCACCAACAAATATCAGTGCTCCCTTGGCGCCTTCCGTGTCCTTGTTCTGCTGAGCGGTTCTCCACTGTCCGCGCCAGTCTCTTTCCACGGCATCCAGAGCAGGCTTGATACCATAGTCGACCATTTCAAGAGTTAAGCGGTTGTCATTGGAATGGTGTAGTTCGATGATCCAAAGGGCCTCATTGGCTGTAAAGACGCGTCAATGCTTGCTGTAGAAGCCTTTAACTGCTTACGGTGTGTAAGGGTGATGAGAGGGCGATGAGTAGGCAAACTGAGTGGGTAGGTCATGGCAGGAGAACGGAGAGCGCTGGCAAGAGCAGGCGAGTGGAAGTAGACCGGTTATTACTCAGGACCGACATGTGATTTGTCTACTGAGCGAACGTGTACGAAACAATATGAATCTGAGGCAAAAAGGATTCGCCGACACTGGAGGCCTTTGCACAACAGATACAAATTCATTTCTTGCCTCCTGCAACCATGGCCTCTGTAACGGACGAGCAGAAGGCTGCTATCAAAGGTGCTTTCCCTATCCTGTCCCCCTGCAGCGATACTGAGTAGAAGAACAGCCAAAATGGAAGCACGGGAAGAGCACATTCGTGAATCATGGATCAAAGCGATGGAGGCTCGTTTGGTGCGAGATGAACTCGAAAAGTGTCACAGATCAGAGGGCGTCAACCATTACGAGAATTGTAAATGGCTCGTAGATAAATACCTGGTCATGTTGAAGGAGAACAAAGTGTGTCTTTAATTTGTCGGATTCGAAACTCGTACTCATTCGACGCATAGGTGCGAGGGTACAAGCATATAGACACTATGTGATTCCAAAAATGAAGCTTTCTGACCATATCTACTTGTGAATGCAATCCTTAATTGTCGTCGTTAGGGTAAGGTTAATGCTATCGTACAGTATGTCCTCTAGGCTCCTACTACTCCCCTTCCACCATCGCAGCCGTATGGTTCCAAAGCTTTTCTCTCTGTTCTTCATTCCCAAAGTACCGCTTCTTTCCCAGATCCTCGCCTCGGCTGCCAACCCTGAACACGCCTGCGGCCTTTTGCAAGGTCCCATGCCACATGTACTCTGCGCAATCCTCTGGCGAGATTGCAAATGGGTACGCTAGCCCCATAATGAGCGGTGCAGTGTATCGGAACACTGCGGAAGGTGATGCATATACATAGTTCGTTCGCACGGCTCCGGGATTGGCGTGTATGAACGAATGGAGGGTATACCGCTGTGCAAAGCCCTGAATGCACATCAGTGACCAACGCCAACTATGAGGGAAACGGATACATACCTCAGACATCAAATCCAAGTACGTCGGCATCCGGAGCCCCACTTTTGCGGCAGAATAACTCTTTCATATCCAGGTCATTCACATCGATTCTCCCTCCATTTCCAGGTGACATGACAGACACCACCTTGGACCCACCCTCCTTCAACGAACCCATTAAATCCTTCACAAACTTCCATTTCGCATAATAAGTGACCGCCATTTTCTTGTCCATTCCCTCTTTCGTTTCCTCCCTTCCCGATATAGTGAGGTATCCCGTCGTGAGGACGAGAAAGTCCACCTTCTTTTCTCCAAGATGTTTCTTCACCTCCTCTGTAGCACTGGCGACATTGGACATGAGGCTGGCGTCACATGGGACGAATTCGTGGATGGGTTTCACTGATGAGGATGGACGAGGAAACGAATCGATGATTTCCTGCGCAGCTTTGGCGTTTCGTCCGACAATGATGATGTTGGCGTTGCCTTGGGTATGGGAGGCGAGTGATTGGGCCATTGCTTGGCCGATTCCGGCGGTACCCCCAAAGAAGACGGCGGTGGGTGCGGTCAAGGAAGAGAATATAGAGGCGTTGGATGCTCGTATACTGGCGATGGACATGGTGGCGGCAATGGATTGACTTGGCGGATGGAGGAAGTTAAGTATGCAATTTCTGCTGGCTACGTGACGCGTACTCAATTGCGTGTCCGTTCGGCACGATAATCGCAGCCAATTGAAACAGAAACCCGGCCGGCAACATCGCGCCAAGTTGCCGCCTCTTCTACTTGTGGCTCACCGGATGCGCAAGAAAAATAGAAAAACACACGCAGCTTCTCGATATACTTTCAGGCTTCTATATACCGGATCACTTCTGGCGTAGGGCGACGAACTCATTTGCGAACCCGCCTCAAAGGATCTATGTGCAGTACGAAGGATTATCTCCTACGTGAGGGACATTCTACCGTTGCCGTTTTACTTTTTGCGCAATGCTGCGAAGGAAGAGAAGGGTGCCCGTTATCAACCATAGGCACGTTGTCGAACAGTGCAAGGATAGAATATCGCAACTGACATTTGTACGACATCGCCTATCATAATTCAGGGCTAAAAGAGTATATATGTACCACCGAAATCAATTGGAATTTCTGCAGTTATAAAAGTCGGTTCCGTAGCGACCGTCACGTAGTACTGTGGACTCTCGTCGACACCGTCCTGTGCAGCTTAGCGGTGATGAGGAATGACCTGGTATCGGCCGGCAGTTTTTTTTTTTTGTTCATGAGTCAGTCGATCACCTCATTATTGCCACCACCACCACCTACCCATGAGCTAGTCTCTTTCTGCAGTGTATCTGTACCATCTAATGTCTGGCTCCTCTACCCCGTCAACCTCCTCGTCGCCCTCCTCGTCGCCAGCTTCATCGCCGCCGACAACGCCCCCGAATCTTCACCAAAACACCATCGATCCTTCTGCTCCATGGCTCATACAAAAGTTTGGTGGAACCAGCGTTGGAAAATTTGCTGTCAAGATCGCAGAAGACGTCGTATCGTGTGTTAGCATCGTATTTTCGTTATGCTTTGTCTTACACTTATGAAGGAACTACATCGACTCGAATAAAGTCGCTATTGTATGCTCTGCACGGTCTGGATCTACCAAGGCGCTAGGAACGACGAACCTCCTCCTGCGAGCCGCTTCTGAGGCACTGGTCCGTCGAAAACCTGGCGGAGTCAGTACACCAGGAACTGGTACAGTCACACCGATGCTTTTCGGCCGAATGAAAGATACGTCGCAGTCTCCGCCTATCTCTCCGACAAGGAGCAGATCCTCATCAGATCACCAGCATCAGACCTTCAACTGTCTCGCCCCGTTGGCCGTGCCCCAAGCGGGCCAGGAATTGCCGGTTTACAATGTTACAGTCGATCTCATTCGCCAGGAGCACCTCAATGCCGCCGGGGAGAGTATTAGGGATCCTGACATCCGAAAAGAGCTCGAGGCTGAAATAGAGAGCGACTGTGACTGGCTTCGGAGTTTTTTGTTCGCATCGCAGGTAAGCAAATCATCTTTTCATTTACCATATTTTTTTCCCCTAAGGATGCCAAGGTCATCGACGAAATCTCTCTTCGTTCCCGAGATAGTATCATCGGGCTCGGTGAACGTCTGGCTTGTAAATTCATGACAGCCGTACTTAGGGATCAAGGCATCGACGCCGAGTATGTCTCGCTCGAGAACATAGTACCGGAGATGGACGAGGATGGCTCCTTAGATCAAGCCTTCTACGACCGCCTCGCCATCGCCGTAGGCGAACGCATCGAACTATGTGGCCAGCGCGTACCCGTCGTCACAGGTTTCTTTGGACCTGTTCCCGGTTCGTTGTTACGACAAGTCGGGCGGGGTTATACCGACCTGCTTTCCGCCCTCCTCGCCGTCGGCGTCAAAGCCTCAGAATTGCAGATCTGGAAAGAGGTCGACGGGATCTTCACCGCCGACCCGCGCAAGGTGGCCACAGCGCGTGTGATCCCACTCATCTCCCCCGATGAGGCGGCCGAGTTGACGTACTATGGGAGCGAAGTCGTGCATCCCTTCACGATGGAGCAGGTCATCCGGAAGAAAATTCCCATTAGGATCAAGAATGTGGAGAATCCGGCGGGGTTGGGGACTGTTATTTATCCAGACCCGGAGGAGGAGGGAAAGGAAGTCCCAGTGGCGAGACAATCGGTTACAGAACATGATGTCTTGGGTAAGGAGAGCAAAAGGGCGACTGCTGTGACCATAAAGGAGCGCATTATTGTGCTGAATGTCAATTCCAACAGGAAGAGCGTTTCGCATGGGTTCCTCGCTGGGATTTTCACCACACTCGATAGATTTGGAGTCGTAGTGGATCTTATCAGCACAAGTGAGGTGCATGTTAGTATGGCTATCGAAGATGGGTTAATCCCGAAAATTATGGATCGTCTCGTTAGGGAGCTCCGCAAGAGCGGGACGGTGGGCTCATATACTTATTACTTCGATGCATGATTCTGACCTTCTAGCACAGGTATCCGTGCATCAAGATATGGCCATCCTTTCCCTGGTAGGGAAGCGGATGCGCAATATGGTTGGCATTGCGGGAAACATGTTCACCACGCTTGCGAAGGGTAATGTTAACATAGAGATGATAAGCCAGGGGGCTAGTGAGATCAATATTTCATGTGTCATCGAGGGAAGGGATGCCGTTAAGGCCCTCAATCTCATACATCAGAGCTGCTTACAGATTCCGCCGCCATCGCAAGGAAGAAGTGGGTTCTCTGTTCCCTATACACTCACTGCACAATGCTGACGATGTATTGCAGTAGGACCGTGGCTATTCTAATCGCGTCGTATCGAAAAGTATAATTTCGATATAGAACAGTAGAAGAAGTTTTGGGGAACGATTTATTGGATTATAATCGTGATATTTTGTATGTGCGCTGAGCATCAGCTGCTTGCCCTCACACTCTTTCGTAGATACCGTTCATGTATTGTTCTCGGCTTCTGTAACCCGGATTCTTTCAACCACACAGATTGAAGTCAACAAGTTGCTGTATTCATACAGCACTAGTATACCATTCTACCACTGAGATAATTCAACGGTACGACACCGGGCTGGCCAATCGGTAGGAAGGCTCTTCGTACTGGGACGAGACGCGTCCAACACCACGATGGTCTGAAAGTCGCTCAGTACTCTTGCGTGTTATTCCGTTAGGAACCTGGCCGTACGGCATTTTGAGACTCGGGATGATAATCAAAATAAGCATCCGGAAAGATATCTAATTCTGGTTCAAGTAGCAAGAGGCAGCAGTCTTGAGTATTCCTCACCGAGTTCCGAGTGCCTTCCATAAATGGTCGTATTGAGCATATTACTGACCTTATTGAGATGATTTTGAAACGCGGTCTTCCCTGTATCATCCAAAACTGGCACAACGTAACGATCAGGGCGTGAAGCACAAAGGTAGAAAGTGTATGTACCTTCTCTTGCGGTGCTCAAGAAAACAACGAGATCGTATCCCTCCAAGTGCTGGTCTTGTCCTCCATATCCGCAAAGTTGACATTTATCGCCGGTTGCAGAGCTTGTACAGCTATAGGTATTGAATCATGTCGAAAGCCGGCAGTCGCGGTGTACACTAGTGCTCTAGCTGTTGCCCACAGTACTCGAGTTGTATATGCCGATAAGAGGTGGCGGTGGGAAGCATAGAAGTGAGAACAGCATGGTCGAAAGAAAGAAGTCCATATCAATGAGAGATCATCTCAGTAAGTACGGACAAATGCTCCATTAGATCAATGTTGTATTTCCGAGCATACCGGTTCTTATTCGTAGAATAGACTCGAATACAATGATATATCCTCCATGCTGAGCAGTTCTCAACCTCACTGTGTAATTCATTCACCTGTGGAACACAGAGGGCTCGTTCCCTCCTTTGAGGGGAGGCATCAGATCCACTACACGGCTTATAATTCCGGGACAGGCAAATGTTACCCCTGAAGAACATAGGCAGCCCCTACTCAGTTAGCTAGTTGCAACCTCGAGATGGTGACGATGAGACATCCTTTGTAGGCAAAGTCTCTACCCTTGAAGCCTGACACATGGATGTTTGCGTCGAGCACGTTTTTACTTAGCATGTTCGCTCAAGTTATTATTCAGTCGCCCACTTACTACTCACCCTTCACAAACGTGTGTTGACATCACTTGAACGCCTTCAGTTGTTGTAAAATTTTCTTTTATTCGCGTCGTAGGGTGCCTGCACGATCTCATTCGCAGTACGCCTGTGTAGACCCAGTCTCTGTTCAGAGTGGACTCACTCAAGTTCGAAAGTCATACTTCAACGACGTACATTTCAATCCACCTCCTCAGACTCGACAGACTGGTCCACCGGTCCAAATTCAGGTCCAACCTCCAACCTCCCCATCTCCACAGTAAAAGATTCAGGCAGTTTCTCTTGGCCCATAACATCAGCTTCTGCGGCGTCTCTCATTCCCTTTAGGAATTCCGGACTCATGGTGGACGAGCTGATCATAGTCGTTCTTCCGTTTGCAAACTTCATGGGGATTTGTATCGAATCTTTCGCACTTCTTGATCCAATCGAAGACGGACCGTTGACATCTATCACTGAGCAGGGGGCTCCTGGCATGCAAAACGGTTTATGGTTTTTCCAGTCCTGGGGTTTATATATGTGAACTCAGTCCTTGCGTAAATGGTATAAGCTAACCTTCTTTTCTTTTGCCGCGACATGAGATAAAGTAAGCGGAAATGTGATAAAAATCAATAATATGTGGCGATACTCACGACACCTAAATCATATCAGTCAATACAAAAGCTCGTAACAAAGATAAGGGAGGCATACTCTCTGCCACAATAGTAGGGCTTCTTGTCTGCGTCACATTTCCCAGAACCTGAAATGTTTATTAGAACCATATCAAGAGAGAAGGTGGAATAGATAAATACATCGAGAAAATACATGTCCAGAAACGACCTGAATCCCACAACCGACAGTTGCACATCTGTAGCGATTTGGGCGAGCCATACGTTTCTGGTCCATCTTGGCCCGACCCTTCTCCATATCCTCGTCTCTTTTCTGAAGGGCTGACCATAGCTCCTTGTATTGAAGATACATATCAACAGCATGCTCTGCCTGCGGTTTCATAACATTCTGAGCATATATCATGGCAGATGGAGAAGTCTTTCCCGGAACGAGTTTCACGCTCTCGTTGGCATGCCATGAGGCTGCCTGAAGGTACCGGTGACGGAAATCTTCACTGCTTTCCGTATACCAGTCAATGAGGGCACTGTGGGCGACGGATCTCATCTCAGTAGGCGCGTTCGTATCAAGAGCGGCTTGTACCAGGTAACGTCTCGTAAGGGCGCGGTTCGGAGTACATTCGAGCCCAGTCTTGAGCCTACATGTCAAGGGATAAAAAGGTGATCGCAACCAATGTGAGAGAAAGTTTATACCTAAATCCGTAATCCAAGGCAGCTTTTGGGTTTCCAGCGTCCGCCTCGGCTTTGACGACCTTTTCGGGTTTCGACTTGACCGTGGCCAAGACGTCGTCGATTTCTTTCATAATTCTGGCTCCCCAGGTGTGGTCGACAGGTTTAGAAAAATCTACGGGAATGCAGTTCTTGTGCATGTTAACATATGCAAGAGCGATTTCTAACGAGGATGAATCATCGTCGCTCTCGCGGTGCCTACTTGCCGCCGTTCGCGATACGGAAGAGGGAGGAGTGAAATTGCGAAACGCGATAGATTCCGGACAACTGACAGCCGCAGACGCTATATGCGAAAAGTTCATGTGGGATTTGAGACCTTTGAAAAAGTCTTCAAAGGATTCTCTGGCGATGATCGCGTTGGAGTGAGAGACACATATTTTCCACAGTTCTTTTCTGACGCCTAGTCTCTTGAACTCGGCTCCGATAGCAGTCGCGAGATCAGTATCCTCTGTCGTCAGCTTCCATGGAGCCAAAGGAATCATTCCAGGATTTCCAAAGGAGGTTAGGAAAGCACGAATCAAGCCTCTTGCAACCTCCGGTGCAGCTTCTTTTCCCGTCTCTGGGAAAAACATCATTGGCTTACTGCCAAGCATCTCGGTGTGAATGAAGTCGCTCTCGGGTTGCACTATGAAAAGCAAATGAGATGGTGGATCAAGATGGATGAAACGAAGGTCAAAGTGCCATTCATTGGCGACACGGCCAGAGGGTGGGCGAGGAGTACGAGGAAGTGCATTGAACTTAGCGACGTCCTGCTGCGACATGGTTGTTGATGTGAAGCCTGAGACCGTGACTTATTATCGTCGAGCAGACGTATTTTCAAATAAAAGTTAGGGGTCGGCCCGGATGTCTGAGGAGTATACATCTACATGAATAAGTGCATTACTTTCGGCCCTTCCGTTTCTTCCCATCGGTACCACTAGTCTCTCCACCGCTCAACTCATCGCCACTAGCTGGCCCACTCTTCTTGGTCTTGTTTTTTCGTAAATGATGTTCCGGGATCCATTCCTCCTGATAGCCTCCAGCACCAGTAGCAGTCACAGAACCCACGGGTGCACTGACCGAAGCAGTTGTGCGTCTGGGCTTCTTGGATTGGGGAACGAAAGAGAGGTATGCAACGTAGGCAATTCCGCCGAAAATGAGGGACACCACGAGGTACGTCGTTAACCTAGATTGTTATAAGACACGCAAGTATTAGTGCTTTTGATCTGACGTACAATTTGAAGTCAAATATTGAGATCTCGGGCTCCACAACAGTAACGATAGAGTCGTAAGCGGAAACTAAGTACTTCTCGTCCTACCTAGACTTTAGGAAAGCATGTCACTAGTAAGAAGATACTCACCGCAAACGAATGTTCTAGCCAGATATTGAGGCGCAGATCTCCGGGCTAGAACGAGGCTATCAGGCAAACGCGCAGAATGCAAATTCGATCAGTTACTTTAAACCTGTATACTTGTTAGTATACTGATCTGACATCGATGCTACGCCACGACTCACTCGCTATAGAAAGTGAATGGAAGCTGGAGCTTGACACCCTCAACAAGTATGAGGCCATAAGGAACGGCCGTAAGCTAGGCAGACAGAGTTGGTCGATACATCAAAAGGCGAATTAAGTCCAGAGCGTACATTTTTCACCAACGCATTCGTATCAGGATGGTGCACCGAACCTGACATACTGAGCAGAGTAACATTCCGGTCGGATTTGTTTTCAATAGATAACAGAATTAGATTCTTCTCCCCATTTACAACATCTGTCTCGTATTCAGTAAAACGAAACAGGTACCAAAATGAAGAATGAGGCATACGGGCGAAAGGATTGTCGTCTGGCCATGATGCCACGATGGAAATTTCGGGTTCAGTGGGCTCCTCCGAAGGGGCTAGCACAGGAAATGAAGAATGATTTCAGAATGCAATGTGGAATTGTATAACAAGGTACGCACTAGACTGAGACAAAGCCACCTGGGCCAAGGCCGCAACAGAAACAATAGTTCCAAAGAATGCTGAAAGACGCATGATTCCAAGCCAGAAACCCGAATTTCTGTGTCTGCAACTGATACCACGACGTTGAACAAGCACAAGCTGTTTTTCGCCACGTCCGTCCTTCCACGTGCAACATCATGTGGAACTGCGGATCAATGTCGGAATCAGATCCGGGCCACCACCCACAACCTTATTTTTCTCTAGTATTGACTCTGCAGAGATTGGCATGCCGGGCCTTAGAATAGAGGAAGAAAAAGATATTTATCTGGTTGTCGTATACAACAGCAATATCGATACATGTATGGTACAGCCTTTCCTAATTCAAGTAGGGTGCCCTTTCCGCTTCAACAATTCCCGAGCTGTCTCCTCTACATCACCAGTAGTATCGGGCAGCCAAAACGCCTAGAACTAGGTCAGCGCGAAATGCGAAACATGGGCTGAGAAGGACGAACCAGTTCAGCACCTGCAGAACACATCATGGCGAACCGCGGGTTGAATTTCACGCATCTCGATGGACCTGGATGGCCTTCTAGAGACGCCAATGGTTGCAGCCGCACAGGAACTGCTCTCAAATCTACCGAACCGCTCTTTTTGGGAAGGTTCTGTACATCCCAGACATGAACTTTACCATCTAAGCTGCCGCTAACAACGTAACGACTGTCGGGCGTCCAGCTGACTTCTTCCCCGCTGCCGCCCTTCGCGGGTTCGATAGTAGGAGGTGCTGCTGTTGACCGCCGTTCAAGACCTATATGCCCTTGTAGCTTGGCTAATAGATGACCTTCGAAGGCATCCATAATATAATGCGCATCACCTGAACAACCGACGAGAATGTACTTCCCATTTGATGAAAAGGACAAAGAAGTCATGAAGATGGGCCGAGGTGGATAGCTGACGAGAGATAGAGTTGGATCTTCCAGAGTAATGACAAGAAATGGCGCTTTGTCGTAGTTAGCATGGTCGTACAGCAATATTCTGGAATAATGATTGACGGCCACGGCGAAGACAATACCTGTGGAATCATAGGCAACGATGGGTGTTGAAGGGAGTGAAAGTAGGCCTCGACAATTCGGACCGCGAAGATCCCAAAGACGAACAGTTTTGTCCATGGATCCTGACATGAATCCATCGTCTACCGGAGACATTTCCAGGGAGATGACTCGGCCTTTGTGCCCCTTGAAGTACTGAAGATACTTGTTGTCGTGCAGTGAATGATATCTAACGGTGTCATCTTCCTTGGTGGATGCATGTATTATTGCGGTATTTTTGTGGGTAAAACGCGGGAGATCTACCCCATACTTCTTGGAAAAGAGAGTTTTTAGTGGCCTGGCATCCCAGCGTGAATGGAAAGTTAGGCTTGCGTGGACAAGGGAACCCACTTTCCACTTTTGCAGTTGTACAGCCTGAATGTTTCGTCCTCTGCCGCTGTAATCACCTGGTCCCCTCTATCATCAAAACATATCCCTGTTATATGCCGTGGGCCTTGGTTGCCTGGACGCGGTGGAAAGCTGGGCGACGGTTGTGGCAGGCTCTCGACGGCGCCTTTGTAGATCCTGGCCGGCTTCAATTTGGTCTGGATGCGTATTTTTGTGTAAGATTCGAGAAAATATCACGACAGTAGAGCTGTATCACCATGAGATTATTCGTGAGAGATAGCGGGGGATGCTGCTGGGCATTGCTTGTGCTCGCTTGGGGCGCCATTGAGGCCGGAGGACAAAGAGATCGGAGCTTCAATTTTTTTGCCTTCTTTCCACCATGAGCGACGGCGACGAAGTGGCGAAACTATGGAAGGTCAACCGGACAATACACGAATTGGTAAAGGATAGAGTAAGAAAGCGTCCTGCACGGCAGGGACAGGCCACTCATCACCGTTGCAGGGCTTCCAGGTATCCGACGACGAGATAAACATGGACCTCCAAACCTTCAAGGAGAATTGCGTCAGCCAGAGCGGCTCAGTAGAGTGAGTACTACGTCTCTGCTCCCTTTTCTTTCCTCACTTTCTAGCAGTCGGAGCCAGCTGAATTTCTACACCAATTCAACGTCAAATTTCGAGGACCAAATATTCGTATTTTTTTCCGATGAGAAAAGCGTAGGAGTAAAGTCGATGCGGAAGTACGTATTCTTGCGGGCGTCCACCTTTACCTGCTGACAAGCGCATATAGACTCATCTCCATTCTGGAGGAGAAATCTATACAACGAGGCGTTATCGTCTTCCCAGGGAACATGACACCCACGGCCCGCAGGGTTGGTCAACTTTACCAGGGTCCATTCCATTCGCTTTAACTTTGATTTAGGTTATCGTGGCCATGGCCTCACAGTATCGCTTAGAGGAGTTTTCCGAAACGGACCTTCTTGTCAACATCGTGCATCACACTTTAGTTCCCCGGCACGATGTCCTAACCCCCGAGCAAAAGAAAAATCTACTCGAAAGATAGTATGTCTTTAAATCAATTTTTCATTCGTGTACCTTACCTTTCGGTGAATAGCCGGCTCAAGGAGACCCAATTACCACGCATACAGCTAGCAGATCCAGTTGCTCGATACTATGGACTTCGTCGAGGCCAAGTCGTCAAAATCACTAGACCGAGCGAGACAAGCGGTCGATATGCAAGCTATCGCATATGCTTTTAGGTTTTTACATTTTTAATGTGAGTGCACTAGTGTTTCATTCACGTTTCACCGATTGCCTTGACCGCTTCTGTAGACTATTTTTGTTTTGTTAAACCAGCATGTATTCTAATTTCTGCTCGATGGGTGTACAACAGAAGACGTTTTATCCATCACCGTACCTCAACCGAGGTACCACGGTCGCAATCTCTAACAGATCTTACCCCGTTAACTGCGGTATTGTCGCTGTCTCGTGGTACGTAGACGTAGTTACTAAGTCCGATCTAGGCTGGCTTGCACGCTCTTCCTCTTTTGCAGTGAAGCCGCGCAGATAAGTCGAATCTGAATCTAATCGCTTCTGGGCAACATTGGATGCCGAGGGCGACCTGCTCCTTGATCACACGTTAAATGACAGACTTTGTATACTCTTTCTCGCAGCGCAGGGCACGCATTCATGCGTATCTTAAAGAACGCGACGTCAGGCATGACTTCCATTTACTCTCTGAGCGTTTAGATCTCATTCCTTCATTTCCGCAAAGTTTACCGCGCGTGATCAGCCATCTTTTTGCCACCCTGTGCCACGGCAAGGGCAATGCCAAATACTCGTGGGGTGGAATGTGTTAGCCGACAAGGGACTATATATTTCCCTGCTTCAGGGAGACTTGCTCTTCGTCAATAAATGGAGCATATGATCGGTGTTTGTTCGACTCACCAAATGTTCACCGTATGATGGACCTCATCCACTGTTAACCCATTTTCCAGAAAGCTGTCAGTGTCTACCCGATTTTTTACAGGATCACCGGTTTCTAAACTAGACGGGATACATCGAGGTTTCGGTCATTAGATTTGCAGCGTTCATTTTCTTATGACCAAGCTGCCTGCGATGTCGCGATTCACGGCCAAGTCGTTGGTAATATGTGAATCGAAATTGAATGTCGGACCGCTGTTACATCAGGTTGATATTGTCCAAGATCCCTTTAGACATAGATGCCATTTACCTATGCCTCCTGGACGATCGGACTGCCTAGCTTGTCCCTCATTCCTCGTGTTCTTACACGGAAGCAGCTGTACTGGTTATGCATAATACGGATAACGATCACAGTTGACGGCCCGGTCTTAAGTACCGATCAATATCAAAGTTCGGTTCGCTCCTCGTGGCTCAGTATTCCTTTCTCTGCGCATTACAGCTCTAGGATAATGGGCCGTATATTCTAGGGTCATTCAATGGCATGTGTAGTTCTATTTTGGCCCGTCTACGATTTACTTATCCCGTACGTAAGGGAGCGGGTATCCACCGGAATGTGCCAGCATATCACAACGTGCGTTCGCTCACACCAAGACCCCTTAGGCCTCTTGCAGTTCATCGCCTTGATTCCGCCGATGCCCGGCGTTGGTTCGAATGTCTTTTTGAACCATTTAGCAGGTACGTTCTCCTCCGGGCTACCGAGACCAAACTGAGCTGGCTGTTGCGTTTAAGGAAATCTCTGCATACATATCTGGTCAAGATATATGCTAGTACCCTGTTGTCCACAACCATCACCACGTTGAGAGCTTGAGCATGGCTTCACTGATCGCATTTTTCAACTGCTCACGGAGAAAGATACCGTGCGAGATTGCCTAACCTAATCAGAAAGCTTTAATTTTCCTTGGAAGCCATTACCTTGGATTCGAATTGCTCATCATGGCGATTCATGACTTGGTTGTCGATCTGACGGTTGCAGGCCGTGTAGTTCATTGAAGACACTGTCGGCGGCCTTCATGTCGTCTATATAATTTTTCTGCATCGAGGCAGGTGAGCATCAATTGTTTGTCAGAAAGTTTTGTCTTAGACGATGTGGGATTGTTCCGTCCAGGACCGTTAAGTGTATGCAACTACTGTCATTGGTTAATCCTAGTAAAGAATTTACCTCCATGGAGAGCGTGCACCGTAACGCGCCCTACTGCGCTACGCGATCAAGTCAGGTTCGAGGCCTTCAGTTTGCTATAAAATGCTGCCTTCTGGAACCATGGCCGATATTGGTCCTTCCAACCCCCCCTTCCTCTACCATCCATGTACTCCACCAAACAATTCTACCTTCCGGATCTGCTTGCTCTAAGCCCTTTAAAGGGTGCAACCAACCCTCATTACATTAAAGCCGGTGCTGAATCCTCTCGATGGATCAATAGCTATAATGTTTTCACCGACAGGAAGCGCGCTTTTTTCGTGCAAGGTTGCAACGAACTCCTTGTTTCGCATACCTATCCATATGCTGGCTATGAACAGTTCAGAACCTGCTGTGATTTCGTGAGCATTTTCTCAAATTTCAATGCACGCGCTGATGCCAATACTGCAAGGTTAACTTGCTCTTTGTTGTCGACGAAGTGAGCGATGATCAGAATGGTCATGATGCTCGTGAAACCGGTGAAATCTTCCTCAAAACGATGAAGCACGGAAAATACAGTGACGATGCTGTCCTGTCCAAGATAACGCATGAGTCAGTCTAGATCCTAATTGGAACCGTTACGATCTGACCAAAATGACAGTTTTCGGGAACGGTACATGCGTTTAGCAGGCCCTAACACCGCACGAAGATTCATGCAGCATTGCCAAGATTATATTGACTGCGTGTCAAGGGAAGCTGAGCTCCGCGAGCAGGGTGAAGTTTTGGACATAAATTCATTCACCGACTTGCGTCGAGAAAACAGCGCTATTCGCCTCTGCTTTGGACTTTTTGAATATGTCCTCGGCATCGATCTGCCTCAACAGGTATTCGATGACCCGACATTTATGGAGGTCTATTGGGCCGCGGCGGATCTCGTCTGTTGGGCTAACGTGAGTAAAATATTTCTCCGATGCGTCACAGTTTCTTACTATATCTCAAGGATGTGTATTCTTACAATATGGAGCAGTGCAAGGGCCACAGCGGAAACAACATCGTGACAGTTCTCATGAAAGAGAAGCATATCGACCTGCAGCCAGCTGCTGACTACATTGGCGAATACTTCAAGGTCTTGATGGATCGTTTCATGACGAAGAAAGCGGAAATTCCATCTTGGGGACGTAAGGTGGACGCGGACGTTGCTCTATATGTCGAGGCAATGGGCCACTGGATCCAAGGAAATCTCGAGTAAGTGGCTCTTCGGTTCACGGTAAATCAGATTATTGACATCCGATTTTTTTCCTGCAGCTGGAGTTTTGAAACTCAGCGGTACTTTGGTGCCGAGCATTTGCGAATCAAAGAGACCCTGCTCGTCACTCTGCGCCCTAGGGAATTCCCATTAGATTCGGACTCTGATAGTGATTATTAGGCCGTCGTGCCCTCCGATAACGGACCCACCCATACAAAAGCTTTCGATTATTATGTATCCATTTATTATATCTTATTAGTATGTTCTTTGTTTATGTATGATAGCATCTTTATGTAGTACTTACCAGCACGTATTCGATAAATAATACAGCGTTCTCGGACCTCATCAAAGCATTCCATTCTATCACTCACTGACGGTGGCGAAATTTAATCATGCCCATGGCTGTCTCGCAGACAGTAAGTATTGAATACTGTAGATGACTGGACGGTTGCAAGCGCCCCAATCCCAGGACAAATCATATTACAGAGAAAGCCTGTGCCTGAGTACCCGGGCTGAAGCGAATTCTAATAGAGTTCCAGCTAGAACGCGCACATCATCCCTAGTTGCGCATGGGTTATTATTATATACGCATTACGCCCAAGGGAAGCTTCCGTTTTGACGGTACCTGCACTCATTATCGAATCCCAAGAAGCAAGTTACAAACGCGGATGACGCGTCGCTCGTAAGGTGACCATCATTATTAGATAGCTACTTATCAGGCAGGACCCCTCCATTTCGAAGGTGTAGGAGCCGCTATAACGTCGTACTTGCACGATATGTTGGACACGGTAAACCGAAAATATCATGACGCACTCGTCAGTAAGTAGACTGAATAATTTATATCCTACACATTAGCTATCTTAAAGGGAATCGAAAAGAAAGATCAAATCTAAATTCTCCCGCCTACACGTACATCCATCTGCCTAAGCTGTCCGCCCATTGCGACAACTCCGGGACCCCCTTCGTCTGGAAGATAGGGCACAAATTTACACCGCCTCCTCCTGGGGACGGCGTCTCAGGTGGAGTTACCTGTCCCGGAGGAAGGTACACAGCACGCCCTGCTGTCCGATGCCCACTGTAGGGTGACAGAATACCCAGGCCGCTGCCACCAACGGACGTAAGGTACGGGTCAAACTGATGTGAAACGATCTCATCAAGCAACGCCTTAAGCGTCTCTTCCTTAAAGTCTAAAAACTACGATGTCAGGCCCTGTGCCACTTGAGCAAAAATAACGCCTACCATCAGGGATAAGAGTAACGGCACAACCGCCTCCACCAGCGCCTGTCAGTTTCGTGCTCAAACTGTAGGGAGCGGCACCTGTTCTTGATCTGATCAACTCCAAGGCAGGGTGCGACACACCGAGGGAAACTAGGTGTTTATGGTTCTCATGTATCAGAGCCTAGAAGGTGTAAAATGCTTCGTTCGACCGAGAAAAAAAGAATATGTCCCACCGAAATTGCAGACAGAAGTACCTCGCGAGGCATCTCAGGGTCAGCAAGGGCACGCCGGGCTTCGTCACTGATGTTTTGAATGGAGTTCAAGAGCCCTGTAACCACTTCAGGTTCCTGCGAGATGACGAATGAGCGCTTGCGCCACTGCCTTGGGTTCTCAAACAGATATTCTCACATCTATCTTCTTTTGGCCAACGCCAGCTACCAGCTTCTTGGTATCCCTCGGCACCTTTGAATTCGTCAGCAGGAATTTAAAAGATTTGAATCTGTAGGGATGCAAAATTTAACCAATGCGTCCTTGAGTGAGGGCTAGAAGCGTACCCTGCGATGCCTTCCATTCCGCTCTTCCTTTCAAATCCTGGTCTGGTATAGGCTAGAGCACCTCCGAAAACAGCTACACTGTTATCCACCCCACTTGGGTTGCCATGCAGAATTTTTTCAGCCACAAACGCCCATCGGTTGATCTCTTCAGCTACAGATGGAGGAATGGCCCGTCGACCTTGATGCGAGATGTGAATGTGCTCTGAGGTCGTCGGAGCCGGAAGAGGGGGGATGCTGATACGTTTATGAAGGAGCAAGAGGGCAGAGGCCGCACACGCAGAGAACGACGCTGATGAGCCTAGTCCTGCCCCAATCGGCAGAGTGGAGCGTGCAGTGAAATTGAAGGATGGCCTAATCACGATTTGTGAGTGCCTGATATCACCGGCTAACCTGAAGATCATACCTCACGTCACCTCTCGTCAGCACGAGGTACATGTACAGGAACGCAACGCTCGCGGCTCTGGCGTGCCTCTGGGCTTCGGTGAGATCTTTCAAAGGACCGGTATTTAGTGCATCGACTAAAACTTGATCTAAAATCTCGGGATGCTCCTCATCTATCGCAATGGGTTTAACAGCATGCCACGGGAGGTCGTCGATTGTCCATTCGCAGTAAAAGTTGTCAATGTCGGCAAAATGGGCGGAAATCTTTCCATCGAGGCGGGGCGTGGTGAGTCCGTAGCAACGGAGATCCACTGACGCGGCGATGGCGGTCTTGATAAAACAGACTTAGCAAGAAACATGAAGGGAAAATCGGGACACTGACCACTCCGTGAACAACGGCGTGTTCACCAAATAGGATGACTTTGCCGGGGGCACTGACAAACCACTCATGATCACCGTCGGTGACCTTGAGGCCAAGCTTTCCAACGGCGCGACTGATAGCATCGTCTTCTACCTGCCGGACTTTGACGTATTTGTTTTGGGAGATATCCAGCTGTATGGCGCCAGCGTCGATGAGGGCATGCTCCAGATCGTCTAAGAGATCCGATGGGTCTTCAATGCCGACACACAGACGAATTAGGTCTTCGGGAAGTCCGCGGGCTGCGCGAGTTGCCGGGTCTATAGATGCGTGGCTAGACAAAATCTCGCGTCAGATAGTGCAGACAATGACAATGAATCCGACCTGGACATACGACATCACACAAGGCATACTGATCAAGCTGTTAACGCATCCGAAACTCACACTGATTCCCCAAAGTCGCGTACCGCCAACGATTTTCTCGCTTAAACCTTTGTCTCCGGTTTCGAAGCTCAAAACCGCGCCATTTCCGTCGGCAATTCTTTGGTGAATCTCACGACCGGGGTGGTCGGCCAGTCCAGGATAGTGTACTACGAAACCTAAGGAATGGAGATACGTCGCGACTTGAGATGCGGATGATTGTTGACGGTCCATCCGAACGGCTAGCGTCTTGATGCCACGGAGAAGAAGGAAAGAGTCAATTGGAGTAAGTGCATTGCCAACGGCGTTGATAGTAAATGCGATTTGCTGCACGGAAAATGAGTAAAAAGGACGAAAAAAACTAGCTGGATACGCGCTTTGGCTATGTCGTCTCTATTGCAAGTAATGACGCCGGCCATGAGATCATGGTGACCACTGAGATATTTGGTTGCACTATCGTACACAACATCTGCTCCGTGCTCAAGTGGCCGTTGCAAGTATGGGCTCATCATGGTGTTATCGACGACTATTATAGCGTCGGGTGCTCTTTCCTTAATGTCCTTGCTGATCTTGGCCAAGTCTGCAATCTTCAACAACGGATTGGTTGGCGATTCTAGAAGGACCATAGCCGGTTTTTCAACATTTATAAGGGCCAGGAGGGTGGATGGGTTCGTGGTGTCGACATGATGCACGGTTACGCCGACATGAGTTCGGATGTATGTCAGCAAACGATTGGTGCCTCCATAGAGGTCGTCGCCGGCAATGATTTCGTCGCCCGGCTTGAGTAGACGCAATATAACATCTAGGGCCGCCATTCCAGAAGAAACAGCAAAGGCATGAGCAGCCGAGGATATTTTGGCGATATGGTGCTCTTTCCGGGCCAGATTAGAAGCATTATTGAACAACGGGTCACTGGGACGTACCTAGATGGCTTCGTGTAGGATTCCCGCTCCTTGAGTAGTCATATTCGCCGCCAACGCCCTTGAATGTCGCGGTCTGGTATATGGGCACGGAACTGCTCCCAAATTGGTCCTTGTTGCTGGGGTTCTCGACTGTCGCGCAGAGAGTCGAGAATCGGTAGGGCCTTCTGGGTCTGAAGGGGGACTCTGGTTCTGGGGTGGGCAGGTCATGGAGAGGAAGCTTGGACGGGGCGGCAGACATGGTGGATGAAGGTAAAGGAATGACAGCGACACACAAACAAGAAAAATGGTTCGGTTCTGAAAATTATCGAGCCAGCCATTGGTTGGTATTGGGTCTTGATTGCGTGCTTTGTCGGACTTCGGACCCGGTTTCACCTTCCCCATCCATCATCATGCCTCCAAAACGAACAAGAGAGCACCGTATGTACCCTCCCTTTTTCAACGAATTCACTGACATCACTGCTGCAGACGTGCGCCAGACATATGTCAGTACTACCACTATTGATCCTCGGGTCGTCGCAGAAAGAACAAGGAAACATCTCGACCAATTGGAAGTATGTGATCTTCACTCAGGCTGGTGGCTCTTTCATGACAGATACACGTCAGAGATCCAACTATGCCGAGACGAGTATAATGTCCGTCACCGGCGACGACAACGAGCCAGGCAAATACGGCAAAAGTCGCGCCAGACAAATTGTTTCCGATAAAAGAAACCTTAAATTATTGGGTTCTTCACCCGCCGCGACTAAAAAGAGATCTACAATGAACGTTCGCTCTGCTCTGTTATATCCTAAAAATCTCGCCACCCTGATTGAAGAATCCGTGAGCGGCCCTTGCGTAGAAATGCCGGACGCGTTTCGCTCACCCATTTCGAATAGGGCATTGCATCACTTCCCGCCTCTACTCCCACGTACTTGACCGCCGAGGCTCCTGCACCCTCCTATCCTCCCCGACTAATTTGTTCTGTCTGTGGCTACTGGGGTCGTTACAAGTGCCGGAAATGCGCGTTACCTTACTGTGATCAAAACTGTGAAAGCGTTCACGCAGAAACGAGATGTGAGAAGCGCGTCGTCTAGCCTTTCGGCGGCATATTACGCCTTGCTTGCACGTCACCCTTCGCACCACGCTGACCTTCCGCTTGGTCTCTGCGACGACGTATACCCTCGGAGACCTTTTACGGACCTATGATCTGCGCATGCACGCGTTTAATATTACAACCGTGCTGTATTCTGACACGTATTCAGTGCCATCATAGAGTATAGTTACTTGAGACTTACCAACCGCAAAAACAATCCAATATCACGGGACACGGGACACAAAATACCATATATGCTCGTTGCTATACTCCACATCACACGCCAAATCACCGGGGATAATCAGAAGAAGGACCGGAGGGACCGGATCAAGAAGAAAGGAGAACCTGTACCTCCAACGCATCTTAGTAGATAGTTTACTTGTGGCGGTTAATCAAAAAAAAAAAAAACCTGAGACTTACTCCTTGGGTAAACATTTACTCGTCTCCGGTAGCTTGGGTTGGTTTGTTAGGCGATCAGGAGATTTACAGCCCGCTCAGGTAAGGATATCAGACTTGCTTTGGTCTTATGGCAAACATTGTGCCAGATATCAATCCATTATGTAGAAGTACAACATGGCACCAGTAGAAGCAGTAATCGCCTTCATTTTTATTCACTTCGTTCTCTTGAAGTGCTGGAATCCCTCTGCTCCCGGTGCTTCCTGAGCAGACGATCTAAAGCTTCCTTCTGGCCAACGGCCAGCTCTCCAGACTGTATGCCGGAATGGTATACACGAAGGAGCGAATCAACGTCATCCATGGACTGCGTTCGGACGTCTGCAAGCTCCTTGATCTTGGAAGTGGCATCCTTGATCTGCGAGAGCCATGAGCTTGTCATTACGCGCACTTAAGGGTGAAAAACATACCTCATCGTCGGTAAGGGTAAGACCGAGCTGCTCTACACGCGACTTGACGGCGTTCCAACCGGTAAGACGGTGTCTGGAGATAGTCTGATGAGAAAGAAAATTTACGTGCAAAAAAAAAAAAAGAAATGAATCACCCGATAGAGACGTATCTTGTCAAACCAAAGTCCTCGGGCTTGAGAATCTCATACGTGCTAGGGTTGTTCAAGATGGCCTTGGCGTGAATACCAGCCTTGTGCGTGAAAGCACAGTAACCACTGCAAATAATTAAGAAATGGTATATGCACTCCAATTTTTTTCTCTCTCACGTAATGGGATTCATGAATGGAATGTTGACCTCGACGGCCTCGGCAACCAAGTTCTCAATTTCACGAAGCATGGCGAGGTTATACTTAGACTTGACATACTCCGGATTTGCGGCGTAAAGGCAAGCCACGAGACCGCCTAGTGGAGTGATTCCAACACGTTCACCGATTCCAAGAACGGCTGAAAGTCATTTCGATAATTGCGACTGTCCGAAAGAAAATGCATAAACGTACAAGTATCGATGTGCGTTGCACCCGCCTCCAGAGCAGTGTACGCATTGGCAATGGCTATTGCGGGTAATAAGATCGAGATACAGCGAGCGGGGCATTGCAAACCTACCCATCCCAGTATCATTGTGCAGATGGATTTCAATGTCACATCCAACAACGCCCCGCAACGTCCTAACAAGATCATAGACTTGTCTTGGGTTCGCACAACCCACGGTATCCGCAATGCCAACACGGTTCACCCCAATCTTGTCGACGGTCTGGTATATCGATAAAAGATCAACGAGATCTGACCGGAATGAATCTTCTGAAGAGAATCGAACTTCGATTCCCTTGGACTTGACATAGTTAATGACCTCAATGGCGGCCTTAGTGATGTACGCCATGTCCTTTCCATGGGAAAACTCCCGTAGGAAGGACGAGGTCCCAATAACGACATCGACACCGTCGACGCCTAGTCGACGTTCAGACGACTTAGAAAAGGAAAGAAAATTACGGACTTACCAGTCTCAACAGCAATTCTAGCATCGTCCATATGACACCGAATGTGTGTCAGAATCTTGGCCTTGAGACCGAGCTTGCAAATGGCTTCACAATCCGCACGGGATTGCTCCGATGCGGCGGGCGATGTGAGCTCTATGTACTCCACACCAAAAGCGTCGAGCGCCTTGGCAATGGCGATTTTAGTTTTGGTATCAAAGAAAGCATTCGCAAATTGCTCCCCCTCTGTCGGAGGAGTCACATCAGATCATTAAGAACGCCTTGGTTAACAACGAACCTCGCAAAGTGCTCTCAATAATATTGAAGTTGGATATATTTGAGAGAAAGTCAGATGCACGAGGTGCATAGGGATTTTGGCGTTCTTTTTCGAGCCGTTGAGAGTGGCCGTTGCGGTTCGACGACGTTCCCCTTTTTCCGTTGGCAGACGCCCCATTTGGCAAGGGAACCTCAACCATTTCAGAACGGTCGGAAGAAATATTGTCTCCGTTTTGGTGGGGGCACATAATGGTAGTTTGTAGGGGAGATGTCGAGAAAGGATAAGGAAGTGATGAAAAAAGAGAAGGTTAGTTATAACAAAATTTCTGATTCCCGCCGAGTCATTTTTTAAATCAGAACCATTTCGTCATAGAACATCACGTGGAGATAGGGCCAATCACAGTGGTGCCGAATAACCCGAAGGTGTGTCGGCCAATACTGATCACCCATGTTTTACCCGCAAAAACAATCAGATTATAGCGACGTACAACGTTGGGAGTACAATACATAAAGCTGAAATGAGTATATACTTGTACGAGTCAACAGTGAAATGCTAGATATCGGAGTTCTTCATGCAGGAAAATAGCACAATGACAGAATACAATGTGAATGCAAAAACAAGAAGAATACGTTGCGAAAAAAAAACGAAACTGTCCGTTGTTATGATATTCCGAGCTTGTGGAACATTGCGTCTAGAGTTTTGAATGCGACAGGCTTGACAAGACTAGGATAAGCCGTCAACGAAGTAGCAGGCTGCGGCAATAGGGAAGGACATACTATCCATCAACGCCCGCTTCAAAAGCTCTTCGTTTGTCCTCGAGGGATGACATTCCCGTCAATGCAAGAATCTTCGTTGGATGTCGACGACGGTTACTATCCGTTTCCCTAGATTCGAATTGACGAATCTCCGCTGTTGCGCCAACACCTACACAAAGATTAGATGTGATCATGTATATAGGAAACATTCTACCATCAAGCACGGGCATTGACAAGTCTAAGAGTACGACACTGTTGTGTGTCAGACTTTGACGGAGAATCTCGACTACTAAGAACTCACTCAAAAGGTCCTTCTTGTTGATACACTTTAACCCCATCGCGACCATCTACTGCATCCCGGAAATCATATCCTTTTTTTGCTAACCATTGCGCACTGCAATAATCAGCATGCAAAAAGAAGAGAAGTAAGACGGAATATGACATACAGTAAACTCCGTAGTATACTATTATCTTCCACAACCAAGATTCTGAATCGGCTCATTCTCGTCTGTATCGTACCAACAGACGACTTAAGCAATGTTCCTCCCATCCCGACGCTGATTGTCGGCGAAAATGTTTCGGACTCGCTCATATTTTCTTCCTCTGGTATTTGCTCTGAACTGGATCCTACCGTGAATCTCTCCCGGTTCATCGCCTGCCCCTTCCAAGACGACGATGGCAAAGGATGGGCAGTAATCGATCTCGGCAGAGTTGGCCTTGAGAGCTGAAATTTACCAGTCTCCTCAGAATTTCGCCTCGTAGAAATCGTTGACATCGACGGAGAAGACGTAACCCCATCAATGTCCGCGTCCGGGTGCAGCAGTTCCTTCCGGTAACTAGAGTCCACTTCAGGGGATCGTGACTGAATTTTCAGTGCATGAATACAAAGCTTGAGGGCGGCTCGAAGACGAGAAGGACCTCCCGGTTTGTACAGTATACGGCAAAATCCCCCGATCCGTTCATGGTCGCTGGCAACAGACAATACCTTGGAGCTTCCCCGCGATCCAGACAAAACGATAAACGGTCGCATAGTATCGTGCTGTTCCGTGGCTTTGACAACAAGATCCACGTCCTCATTTAGGATCACGATATCGCCCAAGTTTGATACGTCTCCTCGAACTTCAAAACCCCAGGAAATCACATATGACCTCATGACGCTTTCAAGAAGCTGGACCCCACGATGATCATGTCCGAATCCAATCAGTGACACAGAAGCGGCATGGTCGCAGTCATCGAACCCAAATGATCCCATGTCCGCTCCGACTGCCCCACTTCGCTCATCTGTTACCTCTGCAGGGAACGTCACTTTGATCTCTGTGCCAACACCTTCGTCACTCCAAACATCGACTTTGCCGTCCACACTCTCAGACCGGACGATACTGTGCACGATGGCAAGACCCAACCCAGTTCCTGTTTGAAGGGGGTTCTCTTGTGAAAACGGATGAAAGAGGTGGTTCTGTTATGAGTCAGATGGGCTGATTCTTACTTACAATAGATCAGACTTACCTTCAAGAAGCTGTGGCTTATCCCCTGTGTAACGTACTTCGTTACTACGATTCTGCGCGGACATAGAACGATAATGAAACGTGCCTTGCCAGTATCCAGTACAGAAAGTTCGACCTTGATCTTGTTGGAAGGTAGGTCTTCCGTACGAGGGAGTTGCCGCAGACCAACATGCACGTAGCCGTCCTGAAAGTGTTATTAGTGCCGTAAATCTCAAAAGGAAAAAGGAAGCTACAGTAGTAAACTTCAAACTATTTCCAAACAGATTCATCAGAACTCGTCGAATACCACCCTTCTCGCATTTGAGTAACCATCCCTACAGAAAAGATAGATGAGAAATCAGCCTTTCTTGGCGGGGAGAGGGGGAGAATCGAGGATTGTACACACCCTTTGGCGATGTCCAATCTCGATAACGGTCTCGACATGCCTGCTTCTCACGGATGAAGGAGCACCTTCCTCTGTCGGCGGAGAATACACGCTGCCAATACCAGTGTCCCCGACAATCGCTTGACGAGCACGGTGCCCAACCCAACAGCCATCTACGGCTTCTTCGACCAGTTGCATCAGATTGACCCTGCTCAGAAAGTGTGAACATTAACATCTTGCTGTTTAAGACCGCCTTACGTTGTTGGTACAATAACGTTCTCCACTCCTCCCGACTTGGAGTTTCCACTCAGCTTGGTGAAATCTAATACATGATTGACGGTCTCAACCAAAGAAGTTCCACAAGCCTGTATTGTTTGTAAGAAAGATGTTTGTGAATGACTGAGATTGCTCTCGTCAAGCAACTCGGCGGCAGCCAAGATCTACGCAGTGAGAATTACTTCCAGATTCGAAAAATGCTAAAAGATCACAAACTCCATGTAACGGCGTCCGAAGTTCATGAGATATGCTGGGAAATACGTAAGGGGCAAAGAATACATCAAAGGGAGCGACTCATACTTAGAAATAAACAAGCTCTTTGCCTTATCAGCCAGTATCATGCGTCTCTTGAGTACCGCAGATAGAATAATGACACCTGAAAGTATCAGCAGTGTGTGGAACGCATCCAGATATCTGCACGTACCTATTGCTCTCAAATAAGAAAGCTCATGTCCTTCCAACTAACAGGACGATGAGTATCAGCCGACGGAAATGCAAAATGACTAGACTTACAAATCGTTTCTGGGAATCAGACGAATTATATGCGCACAAGAGAGCGAAAGGTCTTTTGTCAATGTTGAATATAGGTACAGCTACAGGACGATGTTAGTTATCTGTCCAGAGTGACAAGAGGCACTTACTTAACGCATATCCAACCCTCGTCGGCAGGAACCCCCTCCAACTTGAATCCACGATGCCTTCCATAACTCTTCCCTCTGGCCATTTGTCGAAAAATCGGCCTAATCGACCCCACTCCTCCCCACTCAAACTTCTAACTTTCGTTTCCATCGTCGGATCGCCATAGTGCATGACGACGCTCACGTTGCCTTCGCCGCCTGCCAATGTGGAATGTGAATTCGGAGGGGATGGGGATAATCCCATGTCCGGCGACAAAGACGACGACAATTCAGAACTATGACCATTCATTTCCAGGTCTCCAGGCATGAAGACTGGAACATTTGTGTTCATATCACAATGGGATACGTCCATAACAATAACGCCTTCTACATCAAGTGTTCGCTGTACTAAACGCGCAGCGCGAGAATAAACTTTGTCCATGGAGCCGGAGTGTAGAAAAGATCGGTGTTGATAACTAGAATACCGCGGACGCAAAGGAGGTCGAGAAGAAGGTTCTGCTGAAGATGGTCTGGTGCTCGGCGTGGATGATGAAGGAAACTGATGCGACGAAGAGCTTGGAGAGGATGGCGGATTGGTAGTAAGTAAGCTGTCTGCAGCATGATAACCGGGTGGAGCTTGACGAGGGATTTTTGGCTGGTCAGCATGGAGAGACAAAGGTATGGAAGATGTTGGTATGGGTGTGGATGATGATGAAGCCGGAGCTGATAACGAGGGCACCGGGACCATCAGAGGCGATGCTTGCCCTGGTGAGTTTTGGTGCCGTGGTACCTCATTTTCAACGTCGATCTCTATGCACTCCCGGCTAAACTGTTCCATCTGTATACAAAATGAATGAATTTCAAACTGAAGGAAGACCAAGTGAATATTTACAGATTTCTGAATCCGATCTCGTATCCTGAGTTGTATTTTGTCTCTCCATAACTCCATCTCACGCATTGCTATGGCCGCGAACTCTTTCAGTGTGTGCCGGTGTCTTGGTGTGAAGTCATCTCTAGGCGAGTCATCGATGACGACGAGGCTATTTCTGGTTTTAATCAACGCAAATGACACCTTCAACATAACTCACGTGCCGACGTTGTAACCATCTTGCGTCCTGAGCGGCGCACCTGCGTAGAAGCGGATATTCGGTGGGCCAGTAACGAGAGGCTAGATGCTGAGATTAGAGACGCGCGCGAAGAGAAAACATATACAGACATTCGACACAAATCTCCAGTCAAGCTGGGCGTCTAGAATGATCATTGGTTCATCATCTCTGAATGGAAAACTGTTAAACAGAAACAACAGACATAACAACCGCCCACCGTTGTAATATAGAGTGTGCACAAAAAGAGCGCATTCGCGAGCATGGTGAAACCTTGATCCCCCCTACAATAGTACGTATTTCAGCACATTTACACGTCCACAGATGCAGACCAACACTCTGATTTGAAATATCTGCACCGGGGCGGTGAGATCACGGGAAGTCAGCAACAACGTGTAGGCAACTCACTGGTCATACGCGTCAATGAGAGAGATAAATACTCCCTTCGTGTTGAATACTAATTTGGCCAAATGAGCTATTCGATCAAAGTTGATATCTGACGCAGAATTCCACAGATTGAACTTGTATAAAGCTCTCCTCCGTTCTATCTCATCCGGGGGATCTGGCGGTGTAAAATATCCGAGTTCATTGTACAATTGTTCGTCGTTGACCGTACGCTGAGCCATGCTCGCTACATGTGCTGCTGGAGCCAGCGGACCCGGTAGAGGAGCGGAGCTCTGTCGCGTTAACGTCGCTCTCCTTGGCGGCGTAGTAGATGTGTATGATAGAGGTGCTGACAACGGATTCTCCGGAGCTGAAGTGGCATGGCTAAAATAATCTGTTTCATCTTCTGCGGATCTGTGGTCATCTTCGGCAGCACTGACACCCTTCCAAAAGTTCTTAAGCATGATTTTCCTCGTCCCGCCTGGGGTCATGACCAATTCATTGGGAGAATCATCGGGATGTACGCCTGGGACGACAACAGACACGCCTTTCATAGGATCTGTGAATTCCTGTTCTGGACTGGGAAGAGCCAATGGCGAAAGGTTGACGTTGGTGCCTGCCAAACGAAGCGTAGCGGCAGAGACGACAGATGAGGCGGGGTATTTGGAGGACGCCAGAGAAAGATATAGATCAGGTTTAGCCTTTGGTGATGCTGTCGGGGAAGGCACGGACGATGAGGAGAAAGAGTTCCTCAGTCTGTAAGCAGAACCGGAATTCCTCCCTGGTTTACGAGTTGGGATTGTCGTAATTTCGATTTCGTCTGGTTCATGGACGCCCTTGGGTGGATTTGGCGTCTTGTGTGGGTCCCATCTACCCCAGGAGTACGCAGAAATGAAGGTGGGCCAGTCATAAGACTCTTCGGTCGTTGAAGTTGCTGGCAAGGTTGGGGTATTGGCTGCGTCAACATCATCCTCGTCCTCGTGAAGGGTTTGCATACTGTTGGGAAGAAGAACGACGTGATCGCTGGATGGGGCCGTCGATGGGCGCTTTGTCTTCATCCAGACAGTGGTCAGTGCGGTCCTGGTGCAAGACTGACAGCTCCACTGCTGTAAAGGGAAATGCCGGTCCATCAAGAATTGTGATGTCATCAGCACTGGATACCTAAATTCGGCGAAAATTCGGTCTATATAAAAGATCGTCACGTTGAATAAATTCGTGCATTGCTCTTGCTTGTCGCATGGCAGAAGGCGGACAATTTGAGGCTAAATCTACTTTGGCCTTGCTTCTCTTCCATCTTCGGAAGTCACGGTCTGATGCCAGCCGGATCTCGCATGTTTAACCCTTTTATTAATGTGTTATTATTTATCCGTCTCTCTTTCTTACCCTCCAGCATGCCTCGTGGTGCAACCGTAAGTCTTCTCCTTTTATATGGCATTCTCGTTTACACCGCTCAATCAAGGAAAAGTCTGTGCATTTGCAAAAGGTACCCAGCATTGGTGCGCAGTGTACCGTATGCAACATTCGTATCCGACGCAAGGGTGACATGCCTAGGCACATGCGTATCCACGCACAGGACAAGTCGAAATTGTAAGAGAAGCAACTTTTGAACACCGTTAAATGAAATCTCACCTTTTCTTGCAGGATGCATCGGTGCCCGGTATGTGGCTTTGAGAACATGCAGAAATCAAATGTCGACACCCATATCCGAACGCAGTACGTTTTATTCACATCTTTCACCCCCCTCCCCCCCTCCCCAATCTTACAAACATTGTAGCACACGGCAGAAGTCCCAACGTTGCCCAGACTGTATCTTTTCCACCTCCGATCCTGGTTCTCTGACGCGCCACCGTAAACGGTTGCATGGTTATGTTCCAAAACAACGCCAATCGCGTGATGCTCATGGTAGAATAAATCATGTAAAGAAAACTATCACACAGACTGCGCCGCCACCGAAGGCTACCAGTATTCTCGCCTCTGATTCAGACCGGGACGACGACACGGTCTCAATGCTCTCTGTAGAATCAGAAGATGATGCAGATTGTGATCCGGAAGAAGCCATGCGATGATATTAAGAAACCGGGGAGTACGCAAGTTATGCCCGATCATTCGACTTTCGGAGGGACTAACAAGACGTTCTGATGTTTTGAATAATGTTGGCATTTCATCGTTCTATTCACGATTATCTACTGCTCGCATCTATAAGACTATCGGACGGTCGTCGACAGATTAATTATCAATGTGCGTCTATTGCATTTTTATGTACTAGTGTAATATCCTGACCATCCTTCTATGCTGTTACAGTTACACCACAGACATCATATATCTCGCACTGTACATATTTCCACACCTAACACTATCATCACAAGTACCTATTTTGCATCCATCACTGGCCTTGCCATCTGTAAAGGTAAGCATCCACCCATCCTAAGCATCTTCACCATATCTGTGTGGATGCACCTGCTCACGTGCTTGATTCGACATTGTGACAAGGACAAGACAATATTATACATATTCTAAGCTGTTTCATGTTTTGTGATGTCGCATCCTCTGCGACGACGATCTTTTCTTGTAGTTGAGTTCCTTGTTCGTTGTCGCTGCTGTTTTTATGACCTTGGTACAGGCGTATAAGGACATGGCAATATGGCCTTTCAAAAACTCGACTCATATTTGATATTTCGCTACTGTGTACTCCACGACGCTTCCGAGTCTTCAACTTCACAGTTCGAGGCATAGTACTTCCCCCATATCAACAGCCCTTACAGATGGCAAGAGACCTTCCACTTTCCACAGATATACCACTGTCACTCTACTGGATACCGAACGAATTACGTTCAATGCCGTCGAAATCATGCCCGCTTAATTTACAATTGTCTCGTGGACATTGAGAATCTGATCAACGAGGAGAGGCATCCATCACTCTTCCTTACAGAAACTTAATCTACACGATCACTGTTCGCCGAGGGCTTCAGACGCGATTGCATTATCGATGGCACTCTTGCTGATGTTATCCGCCGTTGGCTCCAGAGATTGCAACTTCGGATCGTGATGTGGAATGCGGTTCGAGATTGGAGCGACAGTTGGCTTGTGCGCACGACAAGTAACACTAACTTTCATCTCCGAGTATATGATTTAGTAACGGTTATCTGTTGCAGCCTCAATGTCTCTCCTATCGATAAGTATGGGATTATCAAAATACGATTCGAGAATTACCGCGTGTACGTCTGAGAGTCAGTGTTCCCGCAATCAATGAGGGTCATAACAGGCAGCTCCGAAATCGGCGAATGGCTGCCATTTTATATGGTATATTTCAAGGTCTTCGTTCCCTTTTACACGGTCGCCTCAATCATAGGAATATCCTAGCACGACTACTCTCACTAGACGTAAAAATTTCTGTTTACTGAATATCTTGTTAGGTTTGACGAAGAACTATATGCCCGCACTTGGGACCCCAGAGCTAAATCTTTTCTGTGAGTGCTGCATGTTCATCTAGTGTCTAGATCTGAGAACTCCCCATAGTCCATGGCTGAGAAGATCTTCGGAGTATATGTGAAACTGTGGCTTCGGAGGGGCCGAGTTTTCAACAATACACTACGATGAGATACCATCTATTATAAATACAGATGCACTTCAATCAGTAAACTCTAGAATTTCATCAGCTGCGCCGCGTAGGAATTGGGACCATGTCGAACTCGATATTGACCGCCTCTTTTCTCTGTCCCTGTACATCTTGTATGTCCTTGAAACCTTCTGTTGGGGCCCAACACATTGCTCCGTACATCGCTATTTCGATTCCACCTTGATCATTCAAGAAAGGTTCTATTCAGCCACACATCAGCGATGCCTCGTCTACCGTCACGAGCGTGCACAGGTACTCGCACATCTTTTCCAGCACCATTCTGATTATGGCAAGATTATGATCGGTTCATACAGGTTGATCTTCAGAGGACCCCATCGCCCAGGATTCATCCACCACATGAGTAAAGGGTTATTAGTCGAAGCTGGCACTTTGTACGACTTCAGGGAAAAAGACACTCTACCTAGGTTTGGAGAAAAAGTTTGGTCGTTGAAAGACATCCGAGACGTATCTAGCACAAAGATGACGTCAGACGTTGCGGAAAGGATAAGTCTCCAATAAGTTTGTTCAGGCTGTTTATCGTCTTATATGGGCGAGGTGGCACATCGACACTAGGCCCAGGTGGAGGATGAGTAGGTCTCGTTCTCGACATCAAACGAAGCGAAGGCAGGACCATGTTCACCATCTACACTCGTGTGATTCTACTATGTGGCCCTCATATCACAGGCGAGGCTGTCGAGGCAATCCCGTTCCTGATATTCTCAACAACGCGATTCCTACCCCAGCTATGAATGCACAGCGCCCATCTACGCAACTACAGCCTGGTACGGACTCGACGCACTGAAGCTGGTCTATCTTCAACACGATCCAGAACAACTGTGGAGGGTTCATTAGGCAGAGTTCCATTTTTCACCATTCTCAGTCGGAGGCGCCCATGAGAGATCGGTGAGGTCGCCTAAGATAGTTCAAAGAGCATGTCGTGCAATGCCAAGCTCCTCAGTGGTCTCCCTGATTTGGGTGTTCAGTCCTTGCGCTTAGGAAGCTCCGCAAACGGTGGTCGATTGAATGCGAATTTTATTCGTATAACGTCGATAGTATGTGATCCCCGGGTACTAGCCAGTACAATTAGCTGGATTATATTATTCTAATCGCGAACGTGAAAATGGTATTCATTAGTCACTTTCGTGCTTAGAAGCAAGCCTGATGTCATCTATTGTGATCGACGACCGATCACACATTCCCCTGAAAATCCCACTGGTCTTTTGGTATAATTGTGAGGGGGTGTCAAATTCCTGAAGCTTTTGTGAGCCAACTGGATTAAGAGTAACGAACAACTTACAGCAATCTCTCCAGCATCAAGAACACATATACGGTCGTATGAAATGATCGTGCGCAAGCGATCTAAGAATCACGATCGTTAGCTTGAAACTTTCCGGCTGGAAAACGAGCTGGCTCACGAGCTATGCATAGAATCGTGCGATCTTGGAATTCGTGGGTAATCGTGTCTTGGATATTTCTGTCAGTTTCGTAATCAACAGATGCTGTGACGGATGGCATTAGCCTCGGAACGAGAAGAGACGCGATTAGAAAGACGACGCACCTGTAGCCTCATCGAGTATGAGAATTTTGGAGTCCTTAACCAGGGCTCTCGCAAGTGATACCAACGACCGCTGGTAAGGGCAGTCAATACTTCGGCTCCGCCGTGAAGATTTGAATAACTACCTGTCCAATGGATAGATTTACGCCCTCATCTTCAATGACAGTATCGAGACTGAATCTGTTAATTGGGGTGGATAAATCGCCGTTCTCATCCGCGACCGGCTTTGCCGGCGAGTCGACGAGGTACGATCGCTTCAACGCGTCCCATAGTTTGGCATCGTCATGTGAATTGAAAGGATCAAGGTTCGACCGGAGGGTTCCAGAGACTGGGGGCATTAGTGTTAGCAAGAGTATGTACGTGTATGGGAAAGCACACCGTACATAATAGAGCATCTTGAGGAATAATTGACAAACCTTTTCGCAATTCCGTCAACCCGACAGTGGATATGTCAACGCCGTCAATACGAATTGATCCTGAGGAAAGCTCGACCAGTCGATACAGGGCTGTCATGATCGAGCTTTTGCCTGCCCCAGTTCTATAAGAGGCAAGGCTTCAATTTAACAGCACGGACATACAGGCAGCCTCCTTACCGTCCAACGATACCAATTTTCTCTCCAGCTTTGACGGTCATGGAAATACCTAAAAACAGAAAATAAATATGCGGGGAACGACGTAAAGGTATTAACTTACCCTTGAGGACAGAGGGAAGTCCAGGCCTGTAGCTTAATACCACGTCCCTTAATTCTACATGGCCCACAGACGGCCAAGATTCAGGAACCTTGTTATTAGGTACCACATGCGGAGCCTCCTGCTCAATTTCCGTCGCATAGTGTACTACTCGCTCCACCGAATTCATATCATTTTCGACTTCTGCGCTTTGCCGGACAAGCCATCCAAACCTGTCAAGATAATGAATTTCAGGTTCGATACCGAACAAGCTTGTTCTTTAAATTCAGGAACTTACGCTTGCTGAACACTCAAAATGTACGAGAGTGTAACACCGGTTTGGGCCGGAGAGATACTGAATCTTGTCCCAACAGTGAGTATCGCAACAATAAAAGTTAGGAGAGCCCCCAAAAAGTCCAAACGTATACCCAGCCAACGCTAAAGGTTAAAATGCAATAGGCATCAATTAAACGTCGCTCTAACATAATGACTTCCAAACCTGGTTGGTGACAGTGAGCCAGTAAGCTCGATTTTCCACATCGATCCGTTCCTCGTTTTCCTTGAGGAAGCGTTTAGATTCGCCATATGCACGGATAGTTGCTAAGCCCGAAAGTGACTCAGAAAAATGAGAGTACAATGTAGATCTCAGTACGGCATCTGTGTCGCAAATGATCAGTAAACACCGAAAGCGACAAATGTCAGAAAGATTACCAAGTCGCTATAGGAGGCGTAACGTCAGCATTTTTCATCAGAGTGAAAGAGCCACATACTTTCAACTCCCGGGCACTCGCTCTATAGAAGGCGGCCGCATAGATGTAGACAATGAGAATGAAAAAGACAGCAATCAAGAACCATGGCAAGATAATAGCTATCAAGATGATGGCACCCAGGATTGAAGAAGTCGTTCCCGCGAACATTCGCAGCGCATCTTGAAGAAGGACGTCAAAGCCTGAGATTTCTCAGAGAATCAGAACTCTCACCTCCCAGAAGATTATCAATCATGTCAATGTCTGCATGATCCATCACTAATGGTATTGAATGACGAAAGAGATGAGTATACCTTTCGAAAATCGGTTCATGATCCTACCAAGCGGTGTAGTCTCGAAGAACGACATAGGCGCGTGCATAATGCGGTCAACAGCTAGCTATAGGAACGTAGTCAATCTTAGGTTATCTTACGGATGACCGGCGACTCACGCTATGCAAACGCTGACTTGCGAAATACGTCAAAATAGCAAACATACTTCCCATGACGAAGAATGCAAGTGCTTGCGCCACACCTAGCATAGCATATATGCCCATCTACCAACGCTTCGTCAACCCTCTTTCGCTACATAAAGTGCAGGTAAGACTCACATAGAACCCTTGTGGGCGAGACCATTTACTAACAATTCGCGCGAAGTCAGCACACCTCGAACTTCCAAAAGAAAGGACGAGACCCACTCTTCTTCCCAGTATACCAACCAGTAAGACGCCATCACCGTCGCACCTTGGACAAAGACAAGGGAGAAAAACAGTATAGGTAACACGACACGCCCTCTTCCAGCGTCCGAGTACTGCTTATACACAGACCAACTAATGGCACCAGTATTCCGCTCCTCCGCTTGCATCAGTCCAGGCCCGGGAGTAATCTTCTTCTTAAGATCTCCTTCAGACACACTCTCCTTCCCGATGCCTTCGATAGCGTCCTCTTCCTCCTCTACCTCTTCTTCTTCTTCCTTCTCCTCTTTACTCCCAAACTCTTTGTAGAATTTTGAAAACTCTCCATCTTTCTGCATAAGCTCATCGTATGTGCCTCGCTCTGCTATATGCCCTCCCGCAATCGTAAAGATGTAATCCACCTGAGGAAGAAAGTGCAACGCGTGAGTAACCAATATACGCGTCTTTCCAGGCGTGGTGCTCCGCAGCACATTATTAAATACTGCCTTTCCTACATGAGCGTCAAGAGCTGACAGAGGATCCTGTTAAATTGGTCAGATTCTATATCATCGCTGAGATAGAGGTCGAATCACATCAAAGATCTGGATATCTGTATCGCAGTAGATGGCGCGACATATATTCAAACGCTGTTTCTGCCCCCCCGACAAGGAGATGCCCTGGATTTTGTCAGAATTATTCAGTCTGGAATCATTCCAACGGGACTACAGTACCTTTTCACCGACTTCAGTCATGTCGCCATTAGGTAGCATGTCAAGATCAGGTTCTAAACACGAGTCTTTGACGGCCTGCCGATACTTGTCTTCCTTGAAGGGCCGACCAAAACAAATATTGTCTCGAATTGTCGCATTCTACAACTCAGTGAGTGTAAGGTTAAAAAACAAAATGAGGAACTCGCTTGGATCCATGCACTCTGAGGGCAGTATCCAACACTCCCGCCGAACTTAATCGTGCCCTTATCCCCATTTATATTCGGGACTCGCCTCATCTCACCAATCATACCCTGGAGCAAAGAGGTCTTCCCGGCACCCACGGCGCCAACAATTGCAACAAGCTGTCCGCGGGGTATTCTAAGAGAAACGTCCTTCATCTCGAAGACCTCATCAGCTGATAAAGGGTCAGCTTCTAGCTTTCCCTCTTTCTTCTTCTTGTCTTTCTTGCCCTTCTTTCTCTCGACTGATTCTGGAGGTGGCGCATCCCAAGTGAAGGAAACATCTTTGATTTCAACGGCAACATCGAGGTCATCTTCACGATCAAAGGTCTCCTCCAGTGTTTCTGCTTCAAAGACGGCATAAAGACGCTGGGTAGCATTCTGAGCGTCGGCAATGGCCGAAAAGGCTACGGCTGTGAGCATTGTTTAAGCACATACAAGGTAAACAAACGATCACAAGTCACTGACGAAGGAACATCAGAGGCAAACGAAGGAGTTGAAATAGGGTGAGAGAAGCGAAGATGACAGATGCTTCAAGCTGGTGTCCAGTCGCAGAGTAAGTAACAAAGGCCAGCACTGATGCCAATGCAGGCATAGATAGAGCCACGGCATTGTTGGCAGCCCTCACGAGGAGTAACGAGCGAACGAAGCTTCCCATAAAATCAGAACAAAGTTCTATGAGGTGAGAAAATACTCACGACATCTCCTTCTGTCGAAACTCCCATATTCTCTTGGCAAACGGAATTTCCCATGCAAAAAACTTGACAACCTTCATGCCTCCAAGTAATTCCTGCAGGAGTTTGGCACGTTTATCGGTCCATTTCATGCCACTCGCCCGGAACCCAAACATTTTCTTCATAACCATCGTCTGAGCCGGAGCTGCAATGACGAAAAAAGCGAAACCAGCCAGAGCACTAGGGCCCAGGTTCAGCAGAAGAAGAACGAGACATATGATCAGTTGAATCGGCGCGGTCCAAGCCTGTGACAAAAATAAAAAAACGAACGGTTTGTGTTTCATATCAAACCCATACCATATGGAAAAAACCTGCGCAAAAATCGATTCGCGACACGTCCGTTGAGATGTGGTTCATTATCAAGCCGTTCGGGAGCTTCGATCGTGCACGCGAAGTTAGTCGAAGGGACCGAGCATAAATTGCGTTGATTAGACCACCACGTATGAGAACGCCTGTGGACGCAGACCGATAAAAGAAGTGGTGCGTGCATAGCGACGCAACGACTTGCAATCCTAGCAAACCAAAGGTCAAACCAATGCCTTTGCCGATTGGTGGGATGGAGGCGTAGTCTCCCGCCCGGTGACCAGTATAAGAATCTGTGGCGAAATTAATGATGGCCTGCGCAAAGACGAGACTGGGCTTGCACTGACCGTCCTTTTCTCTCCATTTCTTCTCCCGCTCGGCGCGGTATCCTCGAAGGGACCACCACAACGCTTTTATGCCGGGCTTGACGTCACCGTTCTGCAGACGACGGTTGTATTCTGCCGCGGCCAAGCGCCTCTTTTCAAAGGACGCGGTGATATGGTCACCAATGAACGCTGCTCCTCGGTTGTCTTGCAGCTTGTAGAGGTCCGGAGCCTCCAGTGGACGAGCATAACCGAGAGCAAGCAGAGCAGTAATCCAGCCGAAGGTAAGAACTTGAAACCAGTTTGCCTTTGCCTCGGGCAAAAGTTCTGCGTCTTGGATGGATGCCTTGGGTGGAGGTGCGGTCACTGGAAGAAATGGTATGCGCTGCCATCTAAGCAATCATCGATGAGAGTGATATTGAATGATTCAATCAGCGATTGCCTTACCGTGCTCGCTGGTGGTGACCGTCGTGTTCTGCAACAGTCTTTTCGGACTTGGTCTCGCTGTGAATGGACGCCTTGTCAGACATGGAAGACACGAGAGTGCACACGTACCCACCAACTGGAATGTTCTTCTGTTCTATATGTAAGTGACTTTATTAACCGTACTCCCGTTGTCGGTATGGTCATCATGCTTACACGATGTCATTGTCTTTCTTTCGAGACGTAATCTCACACGGCACAACTGATTACAGAGGGTGTAATAACAGAAAAATGGTTGCCGATATACGGTTGAAAGAACGTTGGGGTGGTCTCCGCCGGGCAGACTGGGGAAGAGATAACGGTTCAGATCCGTCAGATTCAGCCTTGGTGCCTGGTTCAATCACTGTCGGCCCGGAATCTCCGCAGGAACTTGGCCCAAACTTTCTCCATGCCCAACGTCCTCACCCAGTTCGTCTAGCTGGACGGCGAAGTGAGAAATATTCTACCAAGTTCTCGGGGCGCAACTCCCTATTTGTCCTTATCTGCAATCTCAACCGGTTCACAAGTATCCGCAGTTACAAGGCACTGGCTAACATAACATGCCCATGCCCACGGTCGAGATAAACTCTGGTCAACTCACACTGTCGCTCGAATTCTCTATCCGAAAGCACTAAAGTTACTCACCATGCTGGCTTTTAAGTTCACCATCTTTGCCGCCGACCCGGACGTTCTGAAGTCACGGTCTGCTGACATGACAATTTGCCGTACGCGTGGAATCCCTATCTCCGTTGTGATTATATATGCCTTGAGCTACTCGTATAGGCTACCTCGGAATTCCGGATTCGTGGTATTAATTACCGACAGAGTAGAAGACATAAAGCCACCTAGACAGCTGCAGCGTTCTGTTACGAACACACAAACGACCTCGCTCCAGCGCAAACGACTCGAATAAGATCATTGCTACAGCGGGGGCATTCTGAATGTCCTCTGATATTCGCCTTCTGAACGTAACCCTTTTACGACAAGTGGCCAAGTGATTCCTTCGTACTCCAGTCTGCAGACCTTGCTGACAATACCCTGTTCATATGTTGTATTGCCAAGGTCTATAGCTCAAAGATTGTAAATTTCAGTTGACAATCGATTCGGTAAAAATGGCATACTTCGTCCGTGGTCAACGCTCGTCTCCATGGGACATTGTGGCGCTCCACCGCTACCACTGGTCGACTGCATTACGGCGTCCAAACCTAAAAAAAAAAAAAATCGATATCGGACGTCCCGCTGGTTAAATCCGTTAAGTAATTGTTATCGATAGCAAAGTACAGTGAACTGAAAGCGATGCGAATAATAAATAATTGGCATGTGTGTGGGGATCTAAAACCAGGACAAATACACTGAATAGTTTGATAGATATGAACAGATGTGCGAGTGGATCAGGAAAATAAAAAGGTCTAGTCCGCTGTGAATACCTTTTTCAAATAGTCGCCGGCTGCAGCCTTCACGGAAGGGTCGACATTGGGGTTTTCCAAGAGGGCCTATAGGAAGAAAGTGAATACAGTCAGGAACATGGTCAGAAATGTACCCACAATGGCCCTATCAGCCTTCTGCTTCAAATTCGCAGTCTGTTTTGTGTGCTCAAACTCTGCCTGTTCCCTCTCAATCCTCAGTCGCTCCAGCTCTCTCCTCTGGGAGCTCTCTTTCTCTTCTCTTTCTTCTCGTCTTCTCAAGTAATCCAACTTCATTTTACCGGTCTGAGTTTGTATCTGCAGAAATTGCATAAATGCATTAAGCATGCCCTGCGAGAGTGCAATGTTGCCATGCGGTTCGACGGCAGTAGTAGTTGTGTGATTAGTGTGACTTGCATGAGGGGATAACGGTATTGGCGGTGGCGGTGGAGGTGGAGGTGGTATGGTTGCTGGGCTCGGAGCTGGGGGGGCGTTAATGAATGTTAACGGTTCGTGCGAGCTACTTAGTGCTGCGAGGTTCGAATCGAAGTCAATTCCAGAATCATCGACGTCTACGGGATCAGGATCATCACCGACAGGTCCAGCACCGTTTGCCGCCGAGCCAACACGCTGAACGCTGGGACGCGTGGTCGCTGGATCACCATGCCATCTGTGTTCCTCAGCATAATGAAATGCGAAAGCTCGAATAGACGGCTTACCGCGTATAAAATAGCTGATACCAGCCCACACGATGCCAATGATCTATTGTTCTTGCGGTGATGTTGCCGACGTCACATCCAGCTTTCTTGGCGCCCTGAAGACGTCTCTCGTACTCTTTGAGGCGGTCGGCCTCACTGAGGCCGTTGATGGATACGATGCCGCCGTTAAGCTGGTGGGAATGCCATGACTCGAACGCGTAGATCTGCTTGAATAGATTGAAATTGCGTTCATAGCAGCCTTTGAGCGCCTGGTAAGTCTTCTTGCTGCCAAATACCTGGATGGAACACTAGAAGGAGTGAGAGAGAGGAAGAGGTGACAACGGTAGCATACACCCACCTCTCGTAGACACGAGTTCTTGGTAGCACGGAGTGAGTTCCAGTGATCATCCTGGCCCGAGCCCATGAGCCAGTTGAAAAGCTTGGACTTTTCGTCATCAGTCCAATGCTTGGCGCCCTGGCCGCCGTCGAAGCCGTCGACAACGGAGTCTTCAGCATCGCGACGACGTTTCTGCAAAGAGAGCTGCTGCTGGGCGCCGTCGATGAGCTTGCGCTTGAGAGGCATGGTCGGGGATGTCTGGCTGGTGAACGACGAGGACGAGGACGCGCCGCCGTTCTGTGGATGGGGATGGTGTGGATGTGGGTGAGCATGTGGGTGGTGGGGGTGAATGGGAGACGGGGACGGGGAGATACGGTAGTCACTGGAACGCTGTGGGTGGTAAGCTGACGGGGGCAAATGGGTGCCCAGAGCTTGTCCGAGACTCTGGTGCGACTGGAAAGGGGCCTAAAGCAGCTCAGCAAACCATTTCAAAGAAAATCAAGGCTCCTCTTACTGAACCATCCAGTCCTCCGTCCCTGCGCGAGTCGCTCGGCGTTATCGTGTACTGCATCGAGCCAGCCTCACTGCCAACATCGTGGTCAGTCCCTGCCAGCGTCGTCCAGGTCGCACCAGGCGACGGCAGAGAGAACGGGAGTGACTTACTTTTGGGTAGCCATGCTGGGTTGGATCGCTCGACCGTCCTTCAACCGTTCAGCTCGTCGTTCAAACTGACCCAAGACGAGTGGTTCGCCTGTGCAGCTATTGCTTTTCCACGCCACAGCCAAACAAAGTCCTACTGAGATTAATATCTAATTTATACTAGGTCGTACTGCCAACTCTTCAACATCCGGGTCATAGTCTGCATCTGCATCCTCATCTTCGAGCTCCCCTACCGTCTTCATCCCCACTCCTACCACAAATAGAGTATCATCACTTGGGACACTTTGCCGACTCGTCAGACTCGTCAAAGGCGTGCCGACCTCTTCACACTTTACGTCATCCTCATGCTCACCTTCCGCATCATCTCCATTCACCACTACTGGCCGATCTCCGGGTAACGAAGAGACAATTGCAGCCTCCGCCAGAGGTACGGGTTCAGGTTTTTCAACTTGAACTGTCACCTCGGGTCCACGCTCTGGAACCAGAGAGTGAACTTCCATCGGTTCCGGTAGAGGAAATGCAGGGACTGGCGCTGATGTTGCCTCCTCAGTTCCAGGCGACGCGTTCATCCCCTCCTTCGCCGTTCGTTGCCGCGTCATCCTTTTCCCAGTTCCCGGAATAGTCACCATTAACGCCGCCGCTTTTTTGTTCGACTTCGCAACCTTCTCTCGTGGTTCTTCTGCTCTCTTGTTCTCGCTCTCAGGGGAATTTGTTCTCGGCGGTCGACCACGACGTCTCTGTGAGGCGGGATTGTCCGCGTTGCCATTCTGTTCATTTCGACGGATTGGTGTCGCCACTACGGAGCTATCAAGACCCCCGTTCTGGTTATACGCCTCCGACATCTTCGCCACCAGTGACTCTGGAAACGACTCATCATCAGCCCCGTTCCCATTGGAGGTGGCGCCCCGGCTTTGTCGACGGTTTGATGCAGCCAGACGGCCCAATGGTTCGACCATAGGCACAGGCACTCCTTCAGCAGGAGGCGGAACAGGTGATGCTTCAGGGACTCCGTTCGACTGCGACCCGGGCTCGGTTGGCGAGGGGGAGGGTGGAGGCACATCCATATTATCAACCTCCGACGTCTGCTCTTCTTGGATAGGCACTGAAATAGAAGCAGCTCCTTTAGCCACCTTCCTCCTCCCAGTCACCTTCTTCGGAGGCTGAGATGGCGTAGGCGTAGTAGACTTTGCTTTTGACCTCGCACGAGTCGACCTTTCTACCACGATATCATCCGCAAACAGGTCTACTGGAGAAGATCCAGCCTCCGTTCCCATTCCTGGAAGATCATCCGCCGGGGTGACATCGTCGTCGAACAATGCCAGCCCAACTGCCATGGATTCAGCAGCTGAACCCTCATTCTCCATTACCTTGTCACCATCAGCTGCCACCTTTACCTCCGACTTGCTCTCCCTTGTCAGCAAATAAGGACTCCACTTCAACTTTTCGGGCTTCAGCTTTAACTGACCCTTTGACTCCCAATGGCTGATAGCCCGGTCCACTTTCTCAGCATCCCAGTGAATTTGGTACCGTAGAGGGGGAATGAACGGTCCCTTGGGCTTTGGCTCCTCCTTGGTCATCGCTCGATGCAGTCGCCGTGCAACATTGTTCCGCGCCCCACCTGTCTTGCGTCGATTGATCTTAATAGACTGTCCCGGAGAAGGTTTGGCTACAAGGTTGTCCTCTTCGAGCACCGTGATCATATCCTGCTGAACAAGCGTGTTGTAGACGTCTTCTATTGTCATCGCCGTCGCTGCGCTTATATCTATAAAAATTGTCAATGACCATCGCGAGTCTACCGATTTTTTACCTTCAAGCCTCGGGTGCGCAGGTCCGTTCTCGAGATATCGCATCAAGGACAGCGTCCAGTAGTTCTTGTAACCCAATGCGCCAAGACTAGACAGTGGCCTTTCTGGAGAACCCACCCGTTGCTCCTTCTTAGATAACAAATAGCCTGAAATGAAAGTTAGCTTGCCGCCAACCCTCAAGAAGCTACGTGACGTACTGAAGTCAATGAGAAAATTACCCCATCCCTGGCGTTGGCGCGTCGGAAGCGTCATTATACAACTAAGGTTGTAGTCCTTAACGCTGCACTTCTCCTTACTAAAATATCCGATGAACCGAGCCCCATCGTCATCCACCTGTGCAACCACATAGAACAGGAACGGCTCGACGTCATAGAATAATGATTTATGATCAAGGAACATCTTGGAAAGCAAGCATAGATTCTGGCAATAAATCTACGAGGGCACGGTCAAACCAGACGATCGTGGCTGCAACACACACGCTTACTTTGTTCTTTCGTCCATCCACCTCGAATAACGAAATATCGCCATCCCTGTAAATCTCATCGCCGGGTGGATGACGCGCTTTGCATTTCAACTGAAATGCGAAGTGAAATTAGGAGCATGTACACGAAACAAAGCGACTTACCCGATGTCGGTTATATCCAAACTTGCTCTTCATATACTTCAAGCAAAACTCACATATCCACAACTTCCCATCGGGTATGCAAGAATATTCCTCAGAAAATGGCGCATCGTACCAGGTCTTGACATCGTATCCCCCGATATGTATCACTTTAACGCGTGGACCAGATATAGGTAGGAGTGGCGTTGGGATTGAAGGGCCCGGAGATGCTGAAGGAACAGATATCGGCGCAGTTTGGTTTGCTAGCGCTGCCAACCGCAGACGTGTTGGATGTAATACAGAGGAAGAAGATTCCGCTTCTTCAGATGCTGATGTTGGTGGCGGAGGCACTCTCGCAGCCAACTTGGCCTATAGGCAAGCTTAATCAATTTGCCGGCCCCTGAGAGGAAATACATACCTCTGCCAGTTGGCGTGTGCGATCAAACCTCTGTCTATCCGACCCATCTATCGTCGTCTTCATCGTATCCCTTTGCTCTGGCATCAAGAAATCGTCAAATAGTCCTTTATCCTCTTCTTCGCGCTCCTTCCCCTTTCCTTTCTGTTGAGTGGATAATCTAAAGGTTAGACGTGGAAGACCAGATATCGGCGCTGTTGCAGAGGAGACTTCTGTGCGCCTTCGCTTAGGCTGACGAGCAGATAGAGTAACCTCATCCTCGGAGTAATCTTCATTCCTTGACTGTGCAGCTTTCCTCTTCGTGGGTCTCTTATTTCTGACTGGCCTTCCTGATGCAAAGGGCGTCCCCAGGCCCCGCTCAACGTCGACCTCAACGTCAAACTCGGAGTCGTCTGTGACCACGGCAAGAGCCTTTCCTTTGCCCTTTCCCGTACTTCGCGCTTTGGCACGACCATTCTTTGAAGCCACGTGGGATCGCGACGACGATGCGACAGATGGTTCGCGGTAGGAAAATGGAGAAGGTGGTTGTTCAAGTGGAGGTTCATGATCAAGATTTGTTGATGGCGTCTCGACAACCAGAAGCACACACTTGGGACAATACCATGCACCTTTGGGGTCTTCTTTGACGGGTGGGTCCATACAGGACATATGCCAGCCTAGCCGAAAAGATATCGTCAGTGCATACATAGCAGGAACGTCGAAAGTCACCGAATACCTCTATCACACAGATCGCAGAACAACATTGTGTTCTACGAAATAGTGAACATCGCTTTATTCGGACAGAAACAAGGGCACGTACTCCTCTGCTTTTCTTCTGACATATTTCACATTTCTTGCAGTCCGGGCACGCCCATTTAACGGAGTAGAGAATATCAGGACGGATTAGGACAAAATTCTTCATGCATGAAGGATGAACTATTGCAACAGCATGAGCTAGCAGAAGATTAGGGAGCTGAAAGGTACTTGCCACTATGGCCACACTCGCCGCAGGAAAGCATGGGCTCGGGAGCGCTGCGGCTGTTTTGGTTATCATTTCCTTTGCATGTGCGGCATACTAGTTCTCGTATCACCTCCTTCCTCCTACGTTTCGTGGGTGGTGGAGAAAGGCGGGTCTGGGTTTCTGGCACGGGAAAGTAAGACGGAGGTGGCTGAGCAAACGGGTCACCTTGGGGCCCTTGCGAGTACGGGAGATATTCTTGTGACCCGGGAGTGAATGTAGAGTTCTATAGAATGTATCGAGGAACACATTAGCAATGAACGGCTGAACTTTGAAGAAAACGATCAAAATACGCCAGAACGCGACGCGCCTCGACCACCGACTTGGATATTGTTAATGCAACTCACATCGACAGCAACTGAACTCTGCTCAACCGAAACATGACAGGGCGCTCTCGCTGGCCCGCCTAGCGCAGGATCTATAGGAATATCGTCGAAGTTGCTGACGGGGGTGCCGCACTCAATTGGGGTCTCTCCATCCAATACGACAGCGTTGGAGTATGCTAACCCTTGCATGGGATGAAGAATGTAAAGAATAACGCCTACTGCGTGTCTTGAAAGGAATGAAGACGGTACAAGGGAGCTGCACAACGTCGTTGACGTTCCCAAGGTGTTTGTCCTTATTTGTCCTGTATGCGCTAAAGTAAGCGGCACTGTTCGAACGCAGCGGCACCTTTTCAGGCTCAGGCTTGACTCGTACGGGCCAATGTTTGCGACTGCAAGAAAAATTTAGTCGTCGACTCCTTGTAGTACGATAGTCATCAGTGACTTCGGTCCTTCATTGGGGAGCCATACACTGCTGGGAAAGAGTTCAAGATTTGTCTGTCGTAAGACAGATGGTCAGCGGGCCGTGTTCGTACCAACAGCCTCTGTTCTCACCAACGCTGCATCACGACCGGAGGAATTCACGACTCACGGGGTGGAACTCGTTGCTAGAATATTTCGAAGCTACCGCTTGGATGCGAGGCTTAGCTTCAGGCATATCAAGAAGCCACAGCACTCAGCACTATCTAGTTGGCGCGACTACTTCCGACATCAAAGAAAAAAAAAATTATCAACAGTTTCACAACTGAATACATTGATGCATACTTACAGCCTGCGAAAAATCACGAAGGAAGTCGGTGTCAAGGAGTTGTTCTCCATCAGGAACTGGTCAAGAGCACGGAATATTACCTGCTCCATGGCTTCGATCGAGTGCGAGTCGTCGCGTATCTTCATGCAGCTTCTCAACATCGGTGACTATAGGCCTACCCCGGGCTTTACTCGCCCTGTCGAACCTTAGGTACATTTTTGAACGAAAAAATCTAAAGGGGGAAAACGTGAGATGTTGGACTCACCCTCCTGCGAAATGATACCACGCGGCAGGCAAGATTCCAAGAAATCTATGAAATGACTGAAAGGCACCGCCCACCATTCCGAGAAACGATGGCGTTACAATGGACCCAGTTGTAATGAAGCATTACAGTCTGGACCTATCATCAGTCATCCCGCAAGGCATGACCTACCTACCTCTCGACAAGAATTCAATGGATACCGCAAGTCCAGGTAATCAAAGGCGTCACCTTCGCACTAATGAACATGGCGATTCATGATCAAGAACGAAACGTAAGTACACGTTGATCATGACATCGATGCATCGATGCATCGGACGTCCATGGTACGACAAACGCCTCAGAATGAAGTCAATCAATGGATAAGTAGTGGAGTAAAGGAGCATTAGTATACATCCTAACAAATATATGGCAAAGATAAAAACAGAGTTTACATTACAATGAGAATGTAGAAAAACTGAGCTGTGAAAACAATCGTTCAATGCGAGCAGCGCATGTAGATTACTGCTGTCGGCACTCTGGCTCCATATCACCATCGTCATCGTCGTCTTCATCCTCCCAATCATCTTCCGTTTGACCGAACTGATGTGTAAAACCATGAAAAAACTCGTGGCCAGCCGGCAAAGAACGGGCACGCACATCCACAATGTCACTCTCTTCAAAGTTTGCAGCATCAATAGTTTCCGGTTGAGGATCCAAATCGCTTTTCTTGGGCGGTAGGAGCGCCTCTAAAGTCTGTAAAGCTTGTGTTCGGAAAAAGGTAGGGGATTAGTGATAAATATCCCACCTTCTGATCTACATTCTTTAACCATTGTTCATCCGGCATTTCGACTTCAAAGACCACAAAGAGGTCTCCCTTTTCGTTAGGCCTCTTGTAAATAGGCATACCCTCTCCTCGCAGCACGATCGAATCGTCTGACTTTATTATCTTACCAGGAGGACTCGTAACCTTAATTCCCCGACCGTCAAGGTGTGTAATAAGTATACGAGAAAATCCAAATAAGGCTTCCGAGAGTGTGATTTTGACATTAGCAAGGAGGTCGTTCCCTGACCGTTCGAAAGATTCGTGATGTGCTGCATGAAGGACAAAGACTACATCGCCAGTGGGCAAACCGGGCTAATTTTGAAGATATGAATCATACTACGCCGAAAAGACCAAACATGAGCTACCTCTTGGTCGCCTGCGCCAGGTAGTACGATTCGTTGTCTGTCCGTCATACCTTTCTCTATGAAAATTTCCTGGCGAGTTTTTTCGTGCACAATTTTCTGGCCTTTGCACTTTTTACAGCTAGAAAAAAAAATGTCAACGAAGATCCCAATAGCCAGAATGATCGTTTTACCTGTCCTTTGATCTGATTTTCTCTCCCCTGCCCTCACAATCGTGGCATGTTGCTCTTGTAGTTCCGATCCGTGACGGCGAAATCTACAAATATCTTTGCCACAAGGTCTCACACTCCATTTATCTGTACAAACCTGGTTATGGGCAAACGTCCAGCCCTTGCCTTCACATGTGGTGCATTGCCTTGGCTTTGCATTTCCTCGAGTTCCGGTTCTAACCGCACTGTCAACAACGCCTCCAACGCGAAAAATGGACGTACCCTTTACATATACCACAAACGACATCCTTCTCCATATTCATTTTCACGGCCTTCCCATTGTAGAGATCTTCAAGTGTCACGTCATATGAAATGATAGAATCTTGGCCTTTCGTCCGATGGCGACTGGCGCCTCCACCAAGATCAAACTCAAAACCGGAGCCTGAACCCGAAAAGAATTGGCTGAAAATATCGTCCATTGCAGCGGAACCGCCACCACGCAAACCCGCCATGCCTCCCGCGTCGTAGGCAGCCCGAGAATCAGGATCATTCAGGATATCATAACTTCCAACAAATCATGAGGGCATAATCACAGCGGCAGGTAGGTCTGTGACTCACGCAGACGCCATCTCTTGGAACTTGCGACTTGCTTCTGGATCATTGATGTTCTAGTCGAGCAAAGGTTCATCGTGATCTGCATATGGGGATATTATCATACCTTGTCCTGCATATCCGAGGGTTGAATGGTATGAACTAGTAAGGACGATACTACATACCGGATGATGTTCTTTTGCCTAATGGAAAGTCAGACCAAGATATAGACATAAGCACGAGCACACAGATGCACACCTTCTTGCGATACGCTCTTTTTACATCGGCTAGCATGGATAAAAAGGTGAGCAACCATAATCCTTGGTTCAAAGGTCCGCACCTTGGTTGGCATTTGGAGAGATTCCTAGGAGATCGTAGAGCTCAGTATCTGCCGGCACTACGAAAGACATGAGAATATTTTACTGCTGAATAAGCACGGCCATACTTTGCGGGATAGGAAAGGCGGAAAAGGAGGAGCGAAGAGCTCAAAGGACGCGCGCGTCGTGCCGTGGGTCGGCGTCTCAAAAAGCGTGGGAAAACCTTTTTTCCCTTAAAAGCCGTCCGGCATTCAAGTCCAACGGTTTGCCACTAACGTCGACCTGCGAATGCGTTTTCAATTTCGTGAGTATTTTAACTCCTCTGTAACAAAGTGATGCCTTTAATTTATCTACATTGTCCAACTTGGACTGTATGCTCTGTGTGACGAAGAAATGCGACTGATCTCAGTTTTTTTCATCATTTGACTGTTCATTCTTACTTACATACCTTCTATCTCTACAGGTCGGTTCTTTGTTGCAGGAAGGGTTTGATAACGGGGATGCATATGTCATTTTGCGTTGGTTTCTTTTGTAGTGCTTCATATGAAGGCCCTAATTCGTGTGAATAGAAGAATGAACCTTTATTTTGAAGCTTCGAAAACTCTTGACGGTCTAGATGCAAGAATAGGGTCGATCAAAGGAGTTCTTGCTACGTTGCCTGAGAAGGACCGCAAGAGGATCTCCGCCTTGGTTATTGAGACACTGAAATGTATGGGCATCTCAGCTTTACCCTGAAATCTGTCTGACGCGAAATCTGCAGACAAAGCTGTACTAACGCAAGTGATAAATGAGACGAATCTTTTAAAGGACGAAAGAAAGAAGATAACCTCTATGAATCTCGCTCTGGTTCTTGTTCATGACATTTTACTTGCGGGTGGTATTCAGGCTGGCGACGGCCCCATCAAGCAAGCTATTCTACGCCACAAGACACGTCTAAATGGCGAATTCCAAAGAATAAAAATCAAGCGTGGCGCAAGATCGAACCTTGAATTAGCCCACAATGGGGACGACCGAGCAGGTGAGCGAAAATATCCCATTTAGTTGTTTCCCATGGAAGAGATGCTAATCGACATCGACTTTCGCATCGCTACAGCGCAAATACCACGTTACGTGAGGGTCAATACCCTGATTTGGACGTCGGATCACGCCATGGACGCGTTCATCTCCAATGGCTATAACCTCATGGATCCTTTTACATCCAGGCAGGTGTCATTAGTGTCCAGAACATGGAACGCTTCTTATCGTAATCCTTAGTCGGGGCTTTGCTAAGGATGAGCATATCCCGAATCTTCTCCTGTTTTCACCCCAAACCACATTCCATGACGACCCTGTTTACAAGTCTGGGAAGATCATTCTCCAAGACAAGGCATCCTGTTTTCCGGCCGTTGTTCTCTCTCCACCCTCAAGAGAAGACGTCTATGTAATCGATGCAACGGCCGCGCCGGGCAACAAGACTTCTCATCTCAGCGCGATCATGGGCAACAAAGGGAAGGTGTATATCTTTCACCACATGGGACAGTTCCTCCGGCTAATTGGTGCTTAGCTGTTTGCGTTCGAACGGGACCGAAAACGATTCAAAACGCTCCAAATGATGTTATCCAAAGCGGGTTGTCAGAATGTCGAGGCTCTGAACCTCGACTTTCTTACAGTGGATCCTCAAGATGCAGCATATCGCAAGGTCACGCACATGTTAGGGTTTACCAGCTGAACAGGTACAAATCTAACCCCTTGTAGTCTTCTAGATCCCTCATGTAGCGGCTCTGGTATAGTTAACCGCCTTGATCACCTCTTAGAGACAGGTGAAACTCTCTTCATCCCCGATCGGTTATATTTATCTTAGTATCTGGTTGTCAGAGGAGGAAAGCAAGTCCGAGAAAGACGAACGTCTGACAAAACTGGCCGCTTTTCAACTCGTGATGATTAAGCACGCAATGAAATGTAGGTGGTCCAATTCATTCTGTCATTATGCAATTAAAATTTTGACTATTGACAATACATGATAGTTCCCGCAGTCAAGAGAATTGTCTACTCGACCTGTAGTGTCCACGCGATGGAGAATGAGCACGTTGTTCGTGATGCTTTAAAATCGGAAGAGGCTGAAAGCAGCGGATTTAAATTAGAGTCTCTAGAAAATGTTCTTCCGCAGTGGAAGCGCAGAGGCCTTCCGGATGAGATGGACAATCCTGGTATGTCATTCTCAATGACTTATAAATTTCACACTCAACTTTCAACAGGCGACGCTGCTTCATTGATACGCTGCAGCCCTGGTGGTGATGCTACAAACGGGTTCTTTGTCTCTTGTTTTGTTCGGCGTGACAGGAACACTACCAACGACCAGAAACGAAGATCAGACGAAGAGCTCAGTGCTGTACCACGGAAGAAAAAGAAGAAAAAGAATCATAATAGCTAACACATTTGTACCTCTGAATCGATCGCACGCATTTTGTAAAGGACATATCATTGGGCTACAGTTCAAAGAAGAGAAAACAGCTGAAACTCTGCTGCTTGAAAAGGTCTCCGTTAGTAGGGACGCCGTGTCTACGCTCCCAAACAGCCGCGTCGGACGAAGTACACCTACAAACTGTTCCCGCGTGCGGCATCACCCTGTGAATAAAAAAGGGATCGATGAAATCTGAATGTAAAATGGATAGGTCAAATGGCCTCTTCGACCGTGGAAAGCTGAGCTAAGAAGGTGAGAAGAATCGATGTTCAGTGCTGCCGATTGTCAGAATGTGAGGAATAAGATCAGAAGTTTTCGATTAGCTGGTTTGTTGAGTATATTGGGCTTGATAGTAAGACGCGTAGTTCGACGGATAATCTTGAGATTGTTGAGGATAGCCTGAAGCCTGTCCATAGCCCTGCCACTGGTTTCCATACCCAGAGGATGCTCCCCCATATCCACCGCCGTATCCCTGGGCGCCCGGGAAACCACCTTGCGACTGGTTCTGAGGTATGTTGGTTACCCAAGCTTCTGGACGACGCCAAGGTGGAATATTCGTCCCCCCTCCGGTGATATCGTGACCTGCACTGGGTGCGGCCCAGGAGGGTTTCGAAAGATCCACGCCGGGACCACCTGTGCTTTCTCCCAGCTCAGCCATCAAGCTAGCATATTCAGAATCGAAGCCGCGGCTGTTCATGTTAGGCGCTGGAGGAGGCGTGTGCATCATCGGTGCATTGGGATCTTTGTTGACGGTACAGTCACGAGCCATGTGGCCAGCGCTTCCGCAAACGCGGCAAATAATGTTGGCAGTGAAATTCCGCTGCTCCGGACAGTCGTATTTCCGATGGCCGACACCTCCACAATTTTGACAGACTTGGTTCTCGTCGTCACGGAGGGTACCATTGAGCGCCGCAAGCTCACGAAGTTGGTTACGCTTGTGGTCATTCTGTCCTTCAGGTGTGGAAGCGGCCTAAGACAAAGTTAGTCAATACGACCTAGAGAAAAAAGAAAAAAGAACATACTGTCTCAATGACCTTATTGATCATTTTTACACAGGCCGCCACCTTTTCTTCACTATCTCCAAGAATGAGGCAGTGAAGGTCCTCCTCAGCATCGTCTGCATACTGGTCGGGACGTGCTTTCCCTTCCTTGACACTACCTTTTCCACGAATGCTGATCTTCGCCCCACTCTCTCTTTCCATTTTCTTCAAACTGTTGCCACGAGGGCCAACGAGTAGGCCGAAGAAGTTGATCTCGGGGAATTCTTTGACGGGAATATAGACTTTGTCGGAAGGGCGCTGTGAGCGCTTTTGTTGCTGGTATTCAACGGGAGGACGGAAGTTGGGATCATTCTTCATGGCACGATCGACGAGTTTGATACGTTCGTCTTCGAGCTTTTTACGGTAGCGTACTTCGCGGGTATTGGTCCTACGACCATGAGCATCATACGTAGGAGGAGGGGATGGGGATCTAACGAAAAGATGAATATATGCACAGCATTCAAAAGGATATTCGAATTTGCCTCTCGCGTTCAGGGGGGATGAAATCATTTAATCGTAGTTTTCTGTTGATTTCTTCGAGCCTAAGGTGAATAGCATAGTTGTCGAGCTGAGCCTGAGACACGCCAGCGGCAGAGATGGCAGTTGGAAGACCGGGGATTTCTGTTTTGACTTCGCCCCAACGACTTCGCCGCTTGCGAGGGGCATTCGGGTCGACTAACGTGAGTAACAAACAGTAATAGGTTAGTGTTAGTACAGGTCAGTATCATGAGCCTAGCCCCAAACTGGGCACGATGGAAACGCAGAGTCCTCAAACGGTGCATTACAAGGATAGGAGTTACCGCGATTGCGCAGAATGACGGGCTATGAGGTTAAATGCGAACGACAAAACTTACCTCGTGGGTCGCCTGCCGGGGTCTCGTCTCTGCTGCGTTTTCCAGGACTATCGTGGTCTTGATGTGGACGGGGATATGCTGAAGGCGAAGGCTGAGCGAGCTGGGGAGGAGCGGCTTCTTCGGATGGAGCTGGTCCAAAACGCCGCCGCTGTCCGAGTGGAACTGAAAATCATTCAGAAGCCCGAAATAAGATAAAAATGCAGTAAAGGAAACTTACCTTCATTAGTACCAGTTATCTGGCGAGTAGCAGGCCTCCACATTCTATCTTAAACAAGAAAAGGGGAAAAAATGCGAGAAAGATGGTGGTCGTCGACACGAAAAGCAAGTTGTTTGCTCCTCAAATGGAATTCAAACTCCGCTGCTTATTCATCACGCCGTCGTCATTGGCGGGCCCGAGCGCCTTCGTGACTGTGTTCTTGTCTCTTACATTCACGCCGCATTTCTGCTTTTCAACAGTGAGTCGAAATGTCAGGAAAACGATTGGCCGAGTGTACGTTCCGGGTATAAGCCTAGGCATTCGAACCCCAATTTAACGATCTCTATCGTTCATTAGCTCCTGCTGGTCCTTTTCAGCCGTTAAAACGTGTAAGGAGAGACCGTGACGAGGTCAATTACCTTGATGTCACCAATGAAGACGATGCGATTCCCCCTTCTCCTCCGGATACGACCCTCGTACCTCGCGGCGCCACCATCAACTTCAGCGCCTTGACACGAAAGCTGGCTCAGACAAGAAACTCAGCCGATTCAGCTGTTGACTTATCTTCCCTGGATGCTCATCGAAGGCAACAGAATGTCCTTGTCTCTCACATCTTTATGGAACAGGACTTCTCGTGGCTTCACCTGAAACATGATCACGCTTCCCGGCCACTCTGGATTAGTCCCGACGATGGCCACATCATCTTAGAAGCCTTCTCACCTATTGCCGAGCAAGCACAGGACTTTCTCACCGCTATCAGTGAGCCTGTTAGCAGGTACGTATTGATTTACAGTACACTTAGGTACATGCGTGTAATATCTTTTCACTTCAGACCGGCTTTCATCCACGAATACACTCTAACTCCATACTCACTATATGCGGCTGTATCTGTCGGCCTTCAAACTGAAGATATCATTGAAGTTTGCGTGCATTGCACTTGTTTGAACTGTTCTCGCTGACCAACTGCCCGAAGGTTCTTAATCGCCTTTCTAAGGTATGATGTCGTCGATAGGGAGGTGTTCATGTTTTCACCCTTTGTCCACAGGTTCCTGTCCCTGACAGCATCATTTCCTACATTCGTGATCGAACTCTGAGTTACGGCAAGGTTAAACTCGTTCTCAAACACAACAAATACTTTGTCGAATCGAGTCATCCCGAGACCCTTCAATTATTGCTCAAGGACAGAGTAATCCGAGAGGCGCGCATCGTTTCTGCCCAGACTGATACTAGTATCAAAGCGGCTACTTTTACCACCTCTAAAGCTCCCGTAAAGGGGAATCTGGTTATTCCGGGCACCAAAGAAGCTGAAAAGAAAAAGGACGAAGGTTCTAAAGTCGGACCGTCTAACACCGTTACCTCCGCTAATCAGTCTGATGCTGATCTATTTACGTCCGTCGTTGGAGTTGATGGAGGCGAGTATCTCAGATCGGCAGCTATATAGTCGAATTTTGCAATTGACTAAGTTTTAGACGAGATCGACGAGGACGACGACAATGTCCATGCTTTCGAAATCCATGATGCAAAGATCGACGTACGTCTTGCCCATTTCATCTCATTCACAAAGCTTATTTTGTATATGTAGGATGTCAAGAAACAATGTACAGTACTAGACTATCCTATGCTCGAGGAATACGATTTTCGAAATGACACCGTGAATGCGAACCTTGATATTGATTTAAAGCCCGCCACCGTGATCCGTCCATACCAAGAGACTAGCCTGAGCAAGATGTTCGGAAATGGGTATATATTTTCCGTGAATTAGATTCTCACCGGTATCTGAGTTTTTTATCGCTTAGTCGTGCTCGTTCAGGCATCATTGTACTTCCTTGCGGAGCAGGGAAGACCCTTGTGGGAATCACTGCCGCATGTACGATCAAGAAGTCTTGCCTGGTACTATGTACTTCCTCGTGAGCCCTTCGCCATGTTATTCATTGAATAATTTCTTATGCGTCGTTAGTGTGTCTGTCATGCAGTGGAAGTCACAATTTATGCAGTGGTCGAATGTGACTGACCGCCAGATTGCGGTATTCACTGCGGACCAGAAGGAGAAGGTGCAGCTTGTTCTTTCCGCGTCCCGCTCCTGAGTCTGAGAATCTCTCCAGTTTGCTGGCGAAAGCGGGATTGTTGTGTCGACATACTCTATGGTCGCAAATACCCACAACCGCTCCCATGAATCCAAGAAAATGATGGAATTTTTGACCTCTCGGGAATGGGGTTTCATGCTCCTAGACGAAGTACATGTTGTACCAGCTGCAATGTTTCGTCGGGTTGTCGGAACGATTAAAGCGCATTCCAAACTTGGTTTGACCGGTAAGCCATTGTCCTTTTTCAGAAAACACGAAACTCATTGTCTGACTTATTCAGCAACCCTTGTCCGTGAAGATGACAAGATAGCGGACCTAAACTATATGATCGGGCCCAAGCTGTACGAAGCGAATTGGATGTCAGTTGCTTACCATATGTCCATCACTCTGGTTAAATTGTTTAATGACCGTTTTCCCTTTCTAGGGATCTTGCTGCCAAGGGACATATTGCGAATGTGCAGGTATTCATCAAAACATACCTTAATTTTTTGAAATCAAAGATCGCTGAATTCGGTCCATAGTGCGCGGAGGTCTGGTGTCCAATGACACCCGAGTTCTATCGTGAATACCTTCGGGAGCAATCTAGAAAACGCATGCTTCTATACTGCATGAACCCCAACAAATTCCAGGCGTGCCAATTCCTGATAAAGTATCACGAGGATCGAGGAGACAAGATAATTGTATTCTCCGACAATGTTTTCGCATTGGAGGTAGTGTCATTCCCGAAGTCATCGACAGTGTAGATTCACCACGTGTCTAGGCATACGCGAAACGTCTGGGTAAACTGTATATCCATGGTGGTACTGGACAGGTTGAACGGATGAGAATCCTCTCTTGGTTCCAGCATAGTCCCCAGGTCAACACCATCTTTCTCTCTAAGGTTTGAGGCTTCCCTTATCAACGTTCTGGCTATTCATTCTATTGCCGAGGACAGGTCGGAGATACATCTATCGATTTACCCGAAGCGACATGTCTGATCCAGATATCATCCCACTTCGGATCGCGCCGGCAAGAAGCACAGCGCCTAGGTGCGAACATTTTTCCTACAAAGACTTCCAGGGATGGATAACTGTATTAAATTTCTAGGGCGCATATTGAGAGCGAAGCGGCGGAATGATGAAGGGTTTAATGCCTTTTTCTACTCCCTCGTATCCAAGGACACGCAGGAGATGTTTTACAGCACGAAACGACAGCAATTTTTAATTGACCAGGGCTACGCCTTCAAGGTGATCACACATCTGGATGGGCTCGAGAACCTACCCGATCTGGTGTACCGAACGAAAGATGAACAGATCGAGCTTATCCAATCAGTGCTCATTGCGAACGAGACTGACGCGGATCTGGGTACCGACATTCGTGCTGGAGAAGGTGATCTTGCAGGTACGATTACCTCAAAGGACTTCGGTCCGACAAAATTCCCGGGCGCCCAGCGCACAACTGGATCACTGGTCGCATTGAGTGGAGCGCAGCACATGTCGTATGTCGAGCAAAACAAGTCCGCGAACAAAACACTTGCACGTGCAGCGGCCCCTGTTCCGCAGCGACATAAGGTGTTCACCAGACGCGACAAGGAGATGGCGGCCGCGAGAAAGGCAGCGCGAGCATCAGGGGCGGCGGGTCGGACAGGATGATGATGATGTGTCGGGGCCTGGAGTTGCCTGGTCGGGGTTTCGAATGTGTGCAGGGTTGTGTGTTCTGGGGAGTTCTCACGTGTAGATTCGGAAAATGGGAAGAGTTCCGAAGCGTCTTTGTCATGGCCTGCCCTGGTGAGGCTAATGTTGCTTATCTCGGCATAAGAATGGGCAATGCATGCATGCGGGTGACCGCCCGTTTGAAGGCAACGAGAGGAAGCTGTCAACACAATGCAAAGCTGCAACAGCAACAGCAACAGACAAAGTTGCTAAGAGAGCACCGGTATGCAGACAGGGGGCGGGGAATTTTCATTTATTGATAGGTCGGTTCAGCGGTCCAGGCCGTTGCGATCGAGAGGACCACCAACCCCCCAACCCAATCCAGTTACCTTCCTGGGCTCCGGTTATGTTGTCACAGCCCCGTGACGCAGATTCGACTAGCCCGATGCGTCGTCGTAGGCGGGTCCTTTATATGTTCATCCGATCCTGCTTGGTGCCCTTTTGAACTCCCATTCCGCTCCCCATTCCCCTCTTCGTCCCTTTTCTTTCTTCATGTCTTCAAAACGCGGTCGCAAGCGAAACGACAACTTGCCCCCCAATCGTGCCAGGGATGTCCAGCGGGCCTTTCGCGCACGACGCGCTGCTCATTTACAGGTTCGTAATTTCCCTTTAGGGAGAATTCAAATTTTTCCATCTTATTCCTAATACTCATTTGCATTTCTGCGGAACAGGCTTTGGAGCAGAGAGTGACTGAACTTGAGGAGGAGAACAATTGCTTGCGCCAGGCTCTCAACCTCCCGCTAGCAAATCGTCCCGCTCTTGGGAAGGGTCCCACTGGCAAGGATAAGCCCAAGACGTACGAAATAAATGCAACAGGCACTTCTATACCGCTGCGGTCCAGTCGGGATTCCTCCAGTTCTCCTGGTTCGACACGCGCTAGTTCTCTTTCGCCTGGTAACCTTGCCACTACCGTCCCTCCGCGTTCCGTGACGGAGGTCGAGGGCGGTTCATGGGACCAGACACTCATGATTAACGACCAGCAGTCTGACGTCCCCAGCTCGTCTGCCTCATCCTCCTACCCTCTTCCCCCCATGAATCCCCCTCCAATAAAACAGTATACGTCGTATACGAGCCCCATTCCGACGTCACGAAATTCTCTCCCCAGTAGCGTGTATATCTCCTCGCAAAACAGCTATTCGCATTCAGCCGACCGACCTGTGTCCTCGGGGTATACGAACAGCGGGGGGTTTGTTGTGCGTGATGTGCGAGATGAACCTCGCTCTCATTATTCTTATTCGCCGCAATCTTCCTTTCATGACAATTCCATGCCGTCCCAGAGCCCTCCGAACACCGCCCCACCTCTGCATTCATCCTCTTATCATTCACCACGCGAGACGTCGCTTTCTTACCCGCCCCATCGACGCTCATTGACAGAGCCTCAGCAGGCGTTTTCGATAAACCAGGCATATCCGCACTTGCCAAATCCTGTGCAGCATGGGATTCGTCTTCCTTCCCCACCAAAGCTGCAGGACAGCAGTCATACCCATCTGTCTCGGAACGCGTACGGACCTGACGGTCGTATCAACCCGATTCCGTGATGACCCTTAATGTCTGTATGCGTCGCCCCTCCCCCCCATATTTATTGACTCGCGGACTCGTTACCATACCAGGCAAAGAATGATATTTTGTATCGCTATCGCATTTGACACAGGGCCGACTCGTATATACTTACTTGCAGCTAAGTAGAGATGTAAAACACCTCGTATCCTATACCGCACACATTACCTACCATATCCCTGGATAAATCATACCGGTGACCCCTTTTCCGCCGGAGTCGACGGAAAATAATAATTTTTCACGGGCGCCATATGACTGCATCCGCCTGAGATTTAAAGCTCAGTTGTTTAGTCTTTGCACAGTGGCGTCGGCATCACGAAGTGAGACAATCAGAAGGCCACGTGGTGGGACCGGACGAAAAGATTATCAGGGCGATTGACTGGATGATCACAATTTGCTGTTTCAGGTTTGAACTCCTTCCGGAGATCCGCCAGCGATATGTCAGCAAGTCTGCACATTACAGAACATACATGGCTCGATGCATGCGCCACATCGCGAGTAAAAGTACGTGTAGATCAAGGTTCCGATGCAATGCTGTAAAAAAACATATTTTGTTTGTTTTGTTTGTGTTACATGTAAACATCGGGTAACGACCAAAAACTGCACCGGCGATAAAACACTATATATGTCAAAATGTTCGATCATGCTGCGACCGAGAGGGGAAAGGGGGCGAGTGGGTACCACAGCGGCATGGCAACGTGTTGGGCTCGAACCGAATTTACTCAGAGTTCAGAGTGCACCAATCCACTATCCCATCGGACCCGTACTTCCGCTCCAGCCATTCATTGGCTGCCTTGAAATGGCCGTTACCAAGGAACCCCTTATGCGCAGAAAATGGAGAAGGATGCTGTTCAAGGTAGAACGGAATGCTTCGATGAGAGAATGAACTGTTCAGTACCGTGGCTTGGACTTACGGCGCTCGTCAGTATCAGGTGCTTCGTCTGTATGTTCAAGAGAGAGGTAACCATCAGCTAACGGGCTTCCGCAAGAAGCATGATAATGCATACAGACCTTGTCAAGCTTGGCCACTCGTTTGGCCGCCCAAGCCCCCCAGGCCAGAAAAACAATTCCTCGGCCGAGGCCCGTATCGGCTTGAGCCAGTTTGCTGGGCAGGTTGGCACCGCCATATTTATCGATAACATCGACCACTTTATCTGTGAATTGCTCCCACCCCTTCTCGGAATGTGAACCTGCTGTGTTGGCTCGAACGGTAAGGCATGTATTCAGCATGAGGACGCCATTGGTTGCCCAGGCTGTCAGATTTCTGCATTCTTGCGTCACAGACCTGCGGGAGTCAGAGAAAACGTGTAACACTCACCCATGTTTTGGGGGAGTAAACTCCGGGTATTCCGCCTTAATTTCTGCATAAATCTGGAAGTGTCAAGTCAGCAGACGACATGGCAGGTCGAGGCTTTTCATGAGGCCTACGTTTCGCAAAGAAGGCGGAATTGTGACTCCGAGAGGTACAGAAAAACACAGCCCTGTGGATCAAATATTTTTCAGACAACGGTTGTGTGACTAGGCCGAAGGCATCGTATGCACCATGCGCTTGGCCACGGCCGTGATAGGGGTCCTGCCCAATGATCACGACCTTGACCTTTCCCAACGGCGTGTTCGACCACGAGTAGATATCTTTGGCTAAGACCACCGCGAGGTGATGTAAGGATGTTGAATACACACTAGATAACAAACACACTCACGGGGTGGGTACACCTTAAGTGGCAGGGGGCTATCGTTAATCCCTCTTACGCCTTCTTCCCGTAAAAACTGTTTCAATGACAGAAAATAGGGTTTCTTGATCTCATCTTTCAGTAATTTAAGCCTGTAGCATCATCTAAGGATCCACGCTGAAATTCATGAATTGGAAATGCGCCTACCAGCTTTTTCCCATGGCCTCACATTCGAGTCTGAGCAGACCTCGCTGCTCATCGGTCAGAGACTCTTGGAATGCTGACATGGAAAACGGGATGGAATTCAGTTTCTGAACACCAAAGCCTTTTGTTACTTTTCCAATGCTGCTCATGCCCTGACGCGTCGAGGAAGCTGGCGAAAGTTTCAGCTTCTTCGCAGAGGGCTCGGAAGCATTTTTTCCTTGTGAGTTCGCGAACATATCCATCAGGGTTCGCTGCCGCTTCACGGAAGTGGAAGCTGTCGTCGTCGTTGTCGCCGACACCACCGAAGTGACAGAGGGCTTCTCGTCGACACGGGGGATATCGAGGTCTTCGAGATAGACGAGAGATTCACGGGTAGATTCGTGGGATTCCATGGCAGATAACAAGAAGTAAGGGAAGACAGATTGAGGTAAAAGGACAAGGTGTGTGTCGCGACGCGTCGGTGGCGTAGAATCCCAATTTGGAGGACGGCCATTGCCGGAGCGAACTGCAGCCACGTGTTTCTCTTACCCAGAGCCGTCGTTGTCAGCATTCACACCCTCTGCAAATGCCCTTCGAGGGCTGACTTCTATTTACTTCTTCAAGCGACATCTGCCAATCTGCCTCGTTCAAGGTCATCACCGTCTCCACCATCGTCCACCCAGGCTCCTGGACGGGCTGATTCCGTCCGTAGGATTGCCCAAAACAGCCGGACAGTTCGTAAGAGACCGACCATCTTAGTCAATACTCCCAGCACTGCGGTCAAGCCTTCGTCTTCATTGGATTGGAGTACGAGCTACCATGCCGGTTCGTCGAGGTGCATGTCGGTGGTATCGTTGTTGTCGGTGGCTCACCATTGAACAGTGCTGCGTCGCCCCGCGAATCAGACACCGACGACGAAACAGAAGACGAGGGGCCCGTACATTTCCGTGGGCGGGCATTTTCCCAAAGCAGGCGGACTACCACCAACCCGCCCTTGAAACGGATATCTATATCTCGGTTGAATCCTTCCCCAGAGGGAGGCTCGCCTGGAGCGCCTCAAGTCCCCGTTCCTTTCACGCGTTCACGATCCCCCGTCGTTATGCGGTCAACACCCGTCAGCGGAAAAGTCAATCCTCAGCGCAATACATCTCCTGCCGTTTTTGTGAACACAATGACTGCTGTACAGGCACCATTCACCCTATTTCCCTCTCACTTAGAACTACACGCTCGATTTCCCATCTTTCCTTGGTCATGGACGTTTTGTATCGAAAGTAGAAAAGCGGGAGAAAGCTTCCTAATTATCGGATCTCTTATTTATGCACTCTCAAATTTCTCCGACTATCAACCAGCAGCATCTTCTCAATTATCTCTGTCTCTATACAACTCATGGATTCTCACAGGTCGTTGTTTCCTCTTCCTTCTTAGCCTGTTCGCTTGCTCATATTCGTTTTTAGAACTACAAATGCTCATTGCTATCTCATTACTGTACATCATGTGGACTCATAGTACAATATCAACGGGCACGCCCACGCTGAAGCATCAAGCGTTCAATCCCATCTCAGTATCTATGTCTCCATCTGTTCCACGCCCTGCGGATGGTCGTAGCCTGCGACGAAACCCCTCTTGGAATTCTTCGGACAAATCTGATTTCGCGTTTCTGTGGATGTCTGTCCCAAAGAACTACCGGTGTGTTTTATTTCATGACCTCAATCATCTTCTTAATGGGATGTGCAGGGACGCATCAGATGATGGCATTTTAACTGGTCTATTGTTTGGGCCCCTCATTGGAAGCGCTCTTCTATATTCTTCCTTGACCCAGTTGTCATCGCCATCACCTATACTTCTTCCATCTACCTGGCGAATCGAACCCCCTGCCCAACTCAGCAATTCCAAGGGGTCGTATAGTGTCCTGGAGGCGCTAGTCCTCTCCCGTTACAATCTCATTGATCTATCCACGCTGTGTTCATCGATTCTCTTGTTTCACGCATGTACCTCAAGTTGGTTGGAGACTCGATACCTCAAGCGACGTGATGTCCCTGAGGGCGAGCGAGGGTCTGTTCCGCGGAGTGAGGGCTTGAGGTCGTGGTATTATGTGTTATTTACTGTAGTTGTCAGTCTAAGCAGTTTCACAACCAAGATCGTACTGCAAAAGATCGGGTGTGGGATCTGGCTCCGTGAGTCAATCGATTGATCTCGATCTCTAGATTCTCACTTCGTCTTTACAGATATAACACTATTTGAAGTCATTTTAGGGGCGCTATTTTATCAGTTCACCCTATACATCTGTCTCCGCCTAGCGCATCGTGTTTTTACGCTGGGAGAGCTCGGTCTTGTCTGTTTCGGTGGGACCACCCTATTAATGGAGTTTGTAAACATCAATATATCTAGAGTGAGCCTGTCTCCACCTGATTTGCGCTAACGACTTACAACTCATTCCAGATATGGCCACTGACCACGCCCTTCATAAAGACATACCGTCTTCCAACGCCTCTTCTCATTTTTCAAATGGCGCTTGTTGCTGGGTCGCTTCTCAGTGGCTTTATGTTGTCCCCCATCCTCGTGCTATCTCGCCATATAGCCCAACGACCAGTGCGTCGCATGCGAAAGCCAAAGGACAAACTCCGGCAGCGTCGACTCCTTGCATTGGGATTCTATGCTGGACTGTTCTTGATAGTTGTAGGCCTGATCGGCTTGTGGACCCGTTGGTGTCTTGGTAAGCGTGATCCATGGCTTTGGGTCATCTTTTGGTTATTGGAGGGCAAGAATAAGTGGAGTAGACCTGGGCTCTTGGTATACTGGGCTCTCTTAGGATCGCTGAGTGTTGCCGGGTGGACAAGGCAGCTTGCCAGATCGAAGAAATTCCGGGTATGGAATACGAATGGGGACAATTTGGTAGTTCCCGGAGCCGTCCTTACCACCACCCCGCAGCCTTCAACGGAACCGACAGTCGCAAATTCAAACGGGAATCCACTTCCCTCTCCGCCAATACTGGCGTCTGGAGGGTCTTTAGGTCAGATCCTCACTTTGCGGCTCTCTCACAGTGCTAACGCTTCGTCGATCGCAGCCACTGATCTCTTGGATGCGGCCGATAAGCATGTACCCACATTGAAGTTGAATGCACGGCGAAAATTCTTTCATGCGTTGGCTGTTGTGATGTTCACTCCCGGTATTGCATTTGATGTACGATTCTGCTTAGGTACTGTTTAGCCGTGTCTCCTAACACCCATTTTTCCACAGCCGGCCTTCACCCATCTCTGCTTTAGCGCGGCCTTTGCGCTCTTTACTTTCGCTGAATACGTTCGTTATTTCGCCATCTATCCTTTCGGTGCGATTGTGCACCTTTTCATGAATGAGTTCCTGGACCACAAGGACAGTGGTACCGCGATTTTGAGCCACTTTTACCTCCTGACAGGATGCGCTGGAAGTCTGTGGCTTGAAACGTAAGTATCGTGCCTTCCATGGTACTATGTGCTGATTGGTCTATTTTCAGTCCATCGCGACTCCTACAGTTTACCGGAATTCTTGTCCTTGGCATCGGCGATGCATTGGTATTTCGCCTCGCATTTCAAAATAATTTATTGTTGAACTGCTGCCGTTACAGGCTTCGATCGTTGGCAAACGAATTGGTCTGCATCGATGGACACCCACGACCTCTAAAACTATTGAAGGCAGTCTGGCGTTTACCTCGTCCATCGTTGTATGCGCCTGGATATTACGACTCTTTGGATTTGTCGATCCTTTTTCTGTAGGTTTTATGCTCTGCAGACCGCTGTACGTCACTGAGGCCTCATAGACCAAACGATACCTAGCCTTGGTGAGCATTTCAGCTGTCTTGGAGGCTTTTTCAGACCAGAACGATAATTTAACCCTACCGTTATACTTGTGGAGTATATTAGTATTAGCGGATGCTTAGATAGGTAATTCGGCCCAGACGTCCGGTTTCCTAGATCTCAGTATACGAATCTTGGAAATTGAATAGAAGGCAGGAAATTTCAATAATCCTCTTCCTGTCCCCTTATGTGTCGCGCCGATCATCTCAAGTGAGGCCGATCAGTGAAATAAGCGTGGGCGCGATCACGTGTATGGCGGATTAACCGCGATTACGGTGGACATAGTAAGACATAATACTAAGGTAGGGTCCTTTTTGTCGTAACCTAGCTCAGAGTCTGTGTCCTGGTTGCTCTCCTTAAAATTTTGCAACAGTTGACTTTACGAGGTGTTCTAATGTACCCTCAAGATACGGTACCCAGGGTGCCCTTCTGAAATATATTCTATTAGTTTGATTACGCTTGATAATCTTGTACTTGTAATTACTACAGGAGTAGGAATATATAAGTACAATGTCTCTCTCTTGAGAGGCTAATCTAATTCTCTATACTGTACTCTCCTCTGTACTTTCAACAGATTATAGATCCCAGCCATAACTGAACTACTTATGTCACTACACACTTCACACTCTCTCATACTTTATGTACACATATAGAACCACATGGATAGCCAGTCCATGTACAGAATTGACCCTCTTAAGGGCCTGAAAAATTACTTGACTTGGTAGTCGACAAGTTGTCCCGAATATGACAGATCAAGTTGACTTGACCGCCTGCTCAATATCGTCAAACGATATGTTGCTCCGATCGCACAGCCCACGAAATATGCCATCTTCATGTAAAAATAGATTCGAGGGACTGTCAAACTCCTGCAGAAATTGGTCTCAGTCTGACAAATGTGCATGAGATGTAGCAATCGTACAGCGATTTGCCCTTCTTCCAATACCAACACACGATCGTACGAAATGATCGTTCGTAGGCGATCTGAACGGAATACATTGGCCACGATAGTCAACATGAGCAAACTTAGTACATACGTGCGATGCATAAGAGAGTGCGATCTCGAAATTGGTGCTGGATGGTTTGCTGAATCTTCTGATCCGTTTCTACATCAACGGAAGCCCTGTAAATGACGGTCAATATGACGGTCTTATATCCAGATAATACACAGACGTGGCCTCATCCAAAATGACTATCTTAGTGTCTTTTACCAGGGCGCGCGCCAGACTGAGCAAAGACCGCTGCCCTACGCTGAAATTCAACCCTTCTGGCTCTACGACTGTATCCAAAGTGATACGGTTCTGGTGAATTTCGACTTCGGTTGTCGAGCTGTTGGCAGTCGGTGGATGTTCATCTACAAGAAAAGAACGCTTGAGAGCATCCCATAATTTTGCATCATCGTATATCGAGAATGGGTCCAAGGTAGATCTTACGGTCCCTGTAGGTTGATTTCTCTGGGTAAAATTACATTGAGAGAAAACCGAAGGTACAGACCGCTGAACAAGATCGGCTAATAATGAAAGAAATCAGCGCTTCAACAACAAAGGCAGGACGATACCTACATCCTGCGGGATAATCGCCATTTTGGAGCGTAGGCTTTTCAGACCCATCTTCGAGATGTCGTCCCTGAGGTTGTGAAGCATAGGTCATCCAGGACATCATGTTCAGCCGAGACCTACCTGTCGATGTGTATCTCACCGGAATACTCTACTATTCGCAGAAGCGTCAACATGAGTGACGATTTTCCGGCACCTGTCCTTCCTACAATGCCAATTTTTTCGCCGCCCTGTATATCTAGTGTGATACCACGGAGTACCTGAGGCATACCGGGTCGATAACTCATCGCGACATCGCGAAACTGAATGCTACCGTGAGTCAACTGGGTAGTTGATTTGTCTGCATCCGTCTGATAAGGGGCCTCCTGGTCAACAACCTCTCCTTTGCTATAGCTGAGAACTGGAACAAATCAGTACGCTCACATCCACCCGAGATTGATGTATTCTGACCTCGTTCCACGGCATTCATATAGTTCTATGATAGTGAGTTGACTCTTCGACTGTAAATGTTATGCCAAGTTACCTCGACTTCAGCGGATTGCCTGGTTACCATACCGCATAACTGAGTTAGCGTCGCTTGACATGAATAATCAGAAACGACAGATCGAATCGGACATGACAAGTAACACTTACTTGAATAGGTCAGCACCAGGCCAATCTCGGCAGGACTGATTCCTGAGACACCGACGACAGCGAATACCGCTGCCTGGATTGCATGATTAGCATTATCAATCAGAGTGGTGAGACGGGACGTACGCAGAGAACCAGCACGGCACCTAGAGCGTCAAGCCTTACGGCTAACCAGCTTCAAAAGAATCAGAGTTCAGTGGATGAAAACATTATGGATCACTACCCACCGTTGGTTGGTAACAGTTAGGATGAGCGCCCGGTTCTCAAGATCGATGTAAAAACAATTATCATTTAAAAATCGCGGAATCTCTCTGTATGCTCGAATCGTAGGTAGGCCTTAACAGTGCCGGTCAATAAGATCAATCAAAATGAACGGAGCATTTACCGGTTAGGGACTCGGAAAGGTGTGCATACAGAACTGAGCGAAGCATGCCATCTAATCTCCTCATCTCTCGGGCGCTTGCGCGATAGAACGACGCAAAATATTGGTAGCCAAACGCAATGATGAACACAGCGATAACTAAGAGGGGACAGGATGAGTCGCATCCCATTGAGGAATCAAGTTCATACGGACTGAAATAGTGTTCAAGAACAGTAATGATTATGACGGCCCCCATGACGTTGGACATAGTAATCACAACTATATGCGATTGAGGACAAATCGAACGGCATTGATCATAAATGACGAACATAATCTCATGGACGCTGAATATGATCTCAGCAACACCAAAAAACCAGAAATATGCTTCACTTACTAGGGAGCTGATTATCAATCGCTAGAGGCCCACCTGTGTCAAAGGCAGAGGAGAATACTACACAGATCTAGTACTTACAGTCAATGTCTTTGCCAAATATTCCTAGTATTCGTCCCATTGGCTAGTCGATAGTAAGCATCAGCATTCGTGACAATGGATTTCAGGGCTAGCTTTACCGTTGTGTCGAAGAAAGCCATCGTGGCATGGAAAATATTCCACAAGGCGCTCTTGTGCAGGTTCCTTGATATAAGCGATGACATTATGTCGATGGATATACCCCTTCAGTATTCCCATAAGTAAAGGTTGACTTCAAGCAGGAGGAATATGGCATACAACAACATTGTAAACAGAGCCTGTGACAACCCGAGGCCTGCATAAAGGACCTGGTAGAAGGAAAACGGACGGTCGAAGGCGCTTCCAAACTGTCAGTCTTGTTCGGATCGTGAACGAAAGAATCAACTCACTTCGCTTGCCACCAGACCAAAGTGTAAGAACTAAGAATTTGGCTTCCTTGCATCAAGATGAGTGCAAGTGCAACAAAGGGAGCACTGAGAAAACCTCCACCAGCCGTGAAGTAACTTCGGTAAACTATAGTAAGAGAGTTAAGGTATATTTAATACGATTGCAGGGTATCATATACTCGCCTGCCCATGGCAGCGATCCAGTTGTGCGTCGTTCTTTTACCATGAGTCTACCTTCGAGCTTGCCTGTACCCTTACCACTCGCTTGAGCAGACTTCGACTTGATCTCCTCCAAGCCGTCGTCATCGTTAATATTCGATGTCTCCGAGGAAGCACTGGTTCCTCCGAATTCTGTCACAAGTCGAGCAAAATCACCATCGTCGGCGAGAAGTTGCTGATACGTTCCTTGCTCGATTATACAACCGTTGTGTAAAGTGTAGACATAATCGCAGTGAGAGAGGAAGTGTACCGCATGCGTAACGAGTATCACGGTCTTCCCTTCTTGGACAAGGGGAAGAATTGCTCCGTGAAAGAGGGACTTCCCGACGTGAGCATCGACTGCTAAAGTCAGCAATATCATACTCGGCGGTGTAGAGGGACTAACCGGCGGAAAGTGGGTCATCAAACAAAAGGACATCAGCATTATAATATAGGGCTCTCGCAATGTTCACCTGGACAAAATAATGCTTCGCTGATACCAAGTAGAGACAAAGACTCACTCTCTGCTTTTGTCCGCCGCTTAGATTGATACCCTTCTCCCCGATCTGGGAATGAAAACCTAAGACCAGAGTGCGCAGATGCCGAGAAAGAATATACCTCGGTTAAATCTCCGTCCGGTAACATCTGTAAGTCGGGAAGTAGACAGGCCTTTTCGACTACTCCCCAATACCTCGCTTCATCCAACGGCTGTCCAAAGAGAATGTTATCTCTCTGGAAGGTTGTCAGGACCTTGTGTGAAAAGGAAGGCATGGGGAGGAAACTCACTAGAGTTGCATTTTGAATCCAAGCTGTCTGTGGACAATATGCAACCGGACCTCTGAATGAAAGGTCGCCAGATATTTTTCTCATTTCGCCGATCAAACCTTGAAGTAGACTCGACTAGGCGCAAAGATGTCTTGATAACACAAACCAATTTAGATATAATCTTACCTTTCCTGAGCCAACTCGACCGACAACGGCGACTAAACGTTTTCGTGGCACCTCCATATTGATGTTGGACACACGAAACGGTTGATCAGCATTCTCTTCAGTCGATATTCCGTCTTCCAACTTTGTGAGGTCATTTTCGGCAATGGAAGAAGGTAATTCCCATTCGAACGTCGCATCAGATACCTTTAAAGCCGGCCCTTGTTGAGAATTTACAACAAATGAATCTTCTGTCATAGTTTCTGCATGGAATATGCCGGATAGTCTTTTAAGCGCGTTTCGAGCATCTGCAGTTACAGACAGCGCTCTTGGCAAGAACATCATGGGCTGGCGCAGTAGCTATTGAAAGTAACTATATCAGTAAAGGTAATTGTGACATTTAGAAACCAAACCAACGTTGAAAAGACTCAAAGAGGCGAAGATGATCGCAGCATCAAAAGACGCTGTTGTGCTAGTATATGTCACGAACGCAAGGGTGGAGGCCAAGACAGGTATTGAATATGCAAACGCTGTGCTGATACGAATCGAATGAATAACCATCTATAAAGCACTACATAAAACACGTACTTTGCTGATTGGGCATGGTGCATTTGGCGAATACCCACCAGCTCCTTGTTTCGAACGTTGTCGATGCGTTCCAGAAGCGGTTCTTCATAGGTGAAATATTTCACAATTCGCATAGCACCTTTGACATGTAGTTCAGCGAGATTCAGAAATTAAGGCATGATACTACCTAATGCCTCCAAAAAGGTGTTTGCCCGTTCATCTGTGAATTTCATAGATCTTGAACCGATGGAGAATCGATGCGCCATGAGACGCTCTTGGACTGGGGCAACGAGGAGGAATAGCAAAAACCCAGCCAATACGGAGGGCCCCAACTATACAGAACAATCTACTTGAAAGCCCATGAAGTCGAGGTATTTCGAACACTTACCTGAACGAGCAAGATGATCAAGCAAACCATCACTTGAATTGGTGCGGTCCAGCCTGGAAATGCTAAATACCGTCACTCAGATGCCGGGGATATCCCACATACCTGCATGCTGTACAAACACTCAATAAGGGGTTAAGACCGCTGAGAAGTTGGACCACTTACAAACCACTGCGAGGCGGCGTCTATCCTACTGACCTGTGAAGTGTGAGGTTGAGGTGACGCAAATACGGACACGGGACTCACATCAGTGGATATGTGGTTGATAATAGCAGCGTTGGAAAATTGAGTTCTAGCCTTCCCTGCCGACCTTCATTGAATATCACCGGAAACGAGATCAGTAATTGCCTACCGGTCAACACCACGCCTCGTTTATAAATAGAATGAATGAGCGCTGCACGCGCTAACACGCCTGTAGTCATGGAGCGCCAGAAAAACTAGAAGAATTGTCCAAAGAATGTCTACAGCAAGGTATTTATTGCCTCACCTGGTGCGATGCAAGGCTTGTCACAATTACGATGCAGAAGAGTCCTATGGCCATCCCTATTCCACGGCCAACATTTGGTGCTTCTGTTCCTTCGGAACGGTCAGCAGCACGAGCTTTGGCAAAATTGATGATAGCCTTCATGTATATTGTTAAGCGTCGCGAACCGGAAAAAGAGAAAAATTTTATCGACCTTGACAAGGAGAGGCCCCATAAGTTGTGCTGTGTCTCCTAAAACCTAAGAAGACGATGTCCGGTTCTGAACACAGTTGAAATTAGCCTACAGACCTTGAAAGCACCGCCAATCCAAAACATGCTACCGAATACATCATTGAGTGCCCATGCCAGACTTGGGGTTTGTCGTGCCGAAACAGTTTTCCAATGATTTTCTAGGAAAATAAGGCGTTCATGGTAGTTAACGCCGTACGTCAACGACCGCGCCATCCAAAACGCGCGTAGCATGATGCTCGGCCTCATTTTCCCAGAATCCAACATCATGTTCCATTCCCGAGCGCGTTTTACTCGACGATCCCATGCGGCATCTAATTGCTCTGAAAGAAGTCCCGACTCTTGGCTGGAGTTTAACTTCCAAAGATCAGGTGCTTGAAGGGTCCTTCGGTATCCTAGCACCTGAAAAAGAGGCGTTCAAATCACAGTTGCAGACGCGGTTTTAACTTGCTACCATCATTGGCGTGATCCAAGAATAAGTTAATTTGGATAAGTGGGAAGCATCTTCAAGCGGGATAACCTGAATACCTGAGAATCGTGGAGTCAACTGATAAGAAATAGACATACGGGTGCATCAGCCAACGACGTTCGTGGCGGAAGAGGTACTTGATTGGGAAGCCTAAGTGAAGTAAAAATCAATGCCTTGAACTAGGTGTGCATAGAAAGAGCTACCCTACCATAACTGCCACCATCGCTTTCTTGTTCGAAGTTTCTGCACACCAGCATCCAGATCTAGTCGAATCGATGCATGACGCGCGTCTAGATCGCGGCCTTTGGTCGACTCTGTATTCTCAGCCTTCTCTTCCATGACTGATGGAGCAGCGAGGCGAGATACGATGCCTCAAGACTGGGGTTCCCTTTCTGCGTGCACGGTGTGCGTTATATAGCGTAAGAAAAGAGATGCGTGCAAAGGAGGTGACTGAGGGAGAAGCAGTGGGCAAGAACCGGGGATGTCGCGACCCGAAGGACAAGTACCACGAACGTGAGATCCTACAAGATGTGATAAGCGATAAGCATAAGTAAGCAGCCTTCCAAGTGTTGGCCATTCTGGCCATGACCAATTCCAAAAATAGCATTCTGATTACCGTACTCAGATAGTTCTCACGGTACGTGCCTGAAGTGCGACATCATCCACTGAAAATTACCTTGGTCTGTGCCTTGTCTCCTCCCAGGGCATTACATGAATTCTCAAGTGTATTGGCTTTGGATCTTTCAAGTTTACTTTGCCAGATATTTCTTCCAAACCAACCCCTTACACTGGTTGCATTGCTTTCTAAGACTTCTAACATCGTGCTGCCAGTTCCCCGACTTGAACTTCATAATCTGTCTTCCTGCATGAACAATGCTGATCGAAACCTTCGCCTGATGCTCTCACTGAATGCGTCCGGTTCTCACCGGATTAGCTTCGGGAACAAATGGACAAACAATGTACACTTACCCGTGTACTCCTGCTCACGATCCAGGATCCCGTTATGAGCAAGGGGGTGGCTTTCTTTTGGAGCCAAGAGAATAGTGGCTGTCTCTTTTTGCATGCACCCAAGTCACGAGAAGTCAATTCGCACTCAGTCGCCCTCCCGGTTCTATATTTTCTCATCAGATTCTCTTCCGCTCCGCTACCACTTTTCATCGGAAGCTGTGTTACTCACGACATACTGTTTCTGAGTCCTCTTTTTGATGCTCCACAGCCGTTCATCGCGGCATCCTCCTGGTCTTTGAACAGGGGGAAAACTGACAGGTGGCTCTTACTGCAAGCAGACAACAACGTGCTAAAAGATTCTTCCCGGGTTGTTTTTCAACCTATCCCATAATTGTTTAAGGTGCCTATTGGCACAAGGCTATCTTACGGAAAACACCAGGTGAGCTATACTATACACACCTCGGACGCAGAGTTGATATATTTTTCAGGTTTCACAGCGGTGAAAACAGTAATTTTTCCCACGTCAACTAAAAAAAAACCTGCTTTTCTTCACCACTAGTGGACCATGGCGCACTGCATTTGAATTCGCCATACAAAATGGATCGCCACATATTGCCAAATGAGGTCTTTTTCCAATTCACCACTAAGAATTCGCATCCTTCCGCGATAATCCTTGATTAGCCTGTTTCAGCAGACTTCCGGTATCGATTAACTTTCTCGACATTAAATGCCGACGCTGGTTCTCCACGTTTTCTTGGCACCGACATCGTGTCTTCTCAAAGCTGTTTATGGAATAGCCGTCTAGTACTTAGTATTTTAGGACAGTCGAAAAACGTCAGTGCTGATCCGTGATATTCTAATCGTGTTGCTGATTTAAGTCGTGGTTTATCGATCCACCATCAAGGCCGTATCTTTTCAACAGAAATGACATGTGCGTAAGCAGCACTTGGCTTCTTTCCCGCAGTTTTATGTTTAGTCCTCATTCATACAAATAGCTCTCCTCATTGAAGCTAAGGTATACCCCTCATCCAACAACATGTCATCCCAGACAGTGAATACCGTTGTCGACGACGCTGCATTTGCTATTTCCTCTCGTCTTCTGTCCTGCCTAGTAACTGAATCTTTGCTGCGTGCATTTTATGTTCCTTTTGGTCGTGGAGATCGCGCCACTGGGATACTCGTTATTCTGGCCACCACCTCATTGTCAGAACAACCTGTCATCAACCGAGCTCTTCAGTCGCGTGACATTTTTGCCATCGTTCCCCTTCGCAACACGCCGGTTCTCTTCAATGTCGAGGGGGATAAACATGGTCGATCTGTCCGCCTTGTCGATCCCCTTGATATGTTTCCCGAAATTTATGAGCTTTCCCAGAACTCGAACAGTAGCAGAAATGTGGGATGATGCTTACCTTGCCTTTTTCTCACTATTGATTTCAATCCATAGGACGATCTCTCCAGGATGGTGAAGGAAATTTTAACGCCTCCTCACTGGGATCTTGGCCCAGTGGAACTGGCTAAAATGGATCATCCATCGCATCTCTGGAGAAAGTTCGTAAAGGACATGGTTGTCCAGGATGCCTCCATTGAAGCAGAGATCCTAAGCTCCTTCCACTGGCAGTGTAAGTTTGCGGGAGCAGTACGCCGTGCCGCGTGCTAACGAAAGCTCAACAGTGGCGTCATTCAAAAATCCACCCGCCTGTCCAACCCTGTCGTCTGCAGCTATCGATTGGGAACAAAGCCTGGTAGCCGGGCATCCAACCCACCCAGTAAGTACACACCAATGGCCAATGATCACGCTGGCTTACGAACCTATTCAGATGCACCGGGCTAGAATGATTCCATTGAGTCTCTCCGACTACGACTGGTACAACCCAGTTATACGCTTCGCTCGTGTCCCTCGTTCGCGCTTGGATATTGAAGGACCATTCGATGTCATGAGCCGGGCTCTAGCCCAGAAAGCGGCCCAACGGGCAGGGAAAATGTTAAGCATCGATGACACAAGCGTTGTTGTTCCTATCCACGAAGTTCAAATTACGAACATCATTGCGAAATTTCAGGGTGTCGATATTTTACCCCCGGATATCAGCATCCGGGCTCGTGGACAGGCCAGCATCAGGTCTGTAAATTTTCTACTGGAGCTTACTCATTGGCTTAATTTAGTTTCTAGAACCGTTGTGATGTCGGAATTACCTGGAATGGCGCTTAAATTATCAGTCGGAGTCAAGATCTCTTCCTCTTTGCGGACGATATCTCATTTTACGGCCAACTTTGGTCCCAGATTCTCATCAGAGATCGTTCCCAAGCTGGTAGTCGATCATGAAATTCTTTCTGTCGAACGAGAGCCCGCCAGCGCTGTATACGGCGGCGTGGACCCAGAAATTGCTAAGCATTTCACAGCAATTTTCAGGGAAACATATCGACCTGCACATGGTGAATGTATAATAGTCTGCGCAGCTTTGCTTGAGGTAGGCCACAAGGGCGTTTCTGCGGGTGTTTCTGCCGTGGAACACCTATTCCACCTCGATACTTTCGAAAAACGGGTTAAATTCTTGGAAAGGTGAGCTTGCCTTTTTTCCGATTATTGTCATTCTGACATGTAAGTAATAGATACATATGCCTTGCCTGCAAGGCATTGCTCCCCCCGCTGATCCACAATGGCGTGGCATTTGAAGCCCATGCGCAGAACGTCCTCGCACGGTTCGACATCGAGTCCGGGAATTTGCTTGGTTTCGTCGTTCGTGACCTTGGGGGCCTGCGAATTCATCCGGGTACATTGGCCAAATCTACTGGCATCGATTTCGATTTTTTACCGGGTCATTGTGTTGTTACCAGCACCATGGAAGAGGCCTACCCTAAATTCTACCACACCCTCATTCACAACCACTTGCAGCGGCTGATCCGGCTCCTCGGGATGCATTACAATGGCTGTGGATGGGAAATCCTTAGACGTCACTTGAACGCAATTATCCCGGCCGACCATGAGCTGCGTAGGGTCTGGATGGATCCTGGGAGCGAGACCGTTTCTGGAAAATGTTTGATGAGGATGCGGCTGCAAGGACTGTACCGAGATGTGGGTTTTTTTTTGGATTTCTGTGTCAATGGCCTGACTGTCATACAACGTAGATGGTGTTCAGTCCTTTCCCGAACATGATTCTTTACCGCCCTTCAAACCTTGGGATGGATTGCGAGATGCCTGGCGAAGAAAATTGAAGACCCTAGATGCGCTGTAATCTAATCAGTATATGTGATGCATGACATTTGTACATACGATGTAATGAGTCTGGGGTTCTTGACAAGTTCTTCAGACGGAGGGGGGTATCTGATAAGATGGGAGAATCGGAGGACGCTTATCTGATAGGATCAACCAGGCATTTTCCGTGGGAAAATCAATTGCGCCAAAGAGTCATCGATGACCACCGAAACACAGCGCGACGAACAGCGTATCGTCATCAACGACCATATCCCTCAGAGAGACGACCATCACCCACATAGACATGGCTGGCAACGAACTCGGTACTCTTGTCGTCGTTGTTCTCAAAGCCCGAAACTTGATAGATAAACACTCATTCTACAAGCAAGACGTTTATTCGCAGCTGATCTTCAACGGTTAGTCTTAACGCTTGATCAGTTGGCTTCATCTAATCCAGCCAAAGGAACGACAAAGAAAACAGAAGTCGATATCAAAGGGGGTCAGCATCCTGTTTGGGACGCTGAGATCAGATTCCCAGTTATGAAAGGTACTGCCGACAAGTATCGGAAGCTAGAATTGTCTTGCTGGTCGAAGGAGCCTAGAACAGACGAGCTGCTTGGGCAAGCGAAGATTGACATATCAGAGACGCTGAAAACCGGCGAGTTTGACGGTAAGCGACTGTTTCAACTGAACATTAGACATCGGATTGATGCGATATGCAGACTGGGTTTTGTTGGACATTGACGGCGTCCAGCGAGGCGAAGTGTATCTGGAGATCACGTATTACTCCAATGCGCCTCCGCCACAGACAGCTCCTGTAACAGGTCCGATGCGGACACCAGTGGCAGCTACCCTCGCACCTTCGGGAGGCGCTCCGCTAAACAGAAGGCCGTCGAAATTTCCTGCGGCTGATAGACTTGCACGACCAGCTTCCTATTACCAGGTTCCGGCCGCTTTGAAGCCATCGGTTCCGGGCAGCAGGGTCAGTCTTCACAGGGATCAGAATCTGTACACTCCTTCTGCAGAATTGCACTCGTCTTCCTATTCGCCCAAAGGCCGTGATGCTGCACTTCCGCCTTTGCCTGAGGAGAATATCGGACGTCACTCGAGGGTACCCTCTCAACCCCAGATAGTTCCGCCTTCGCTCCGTCCTGGAAGTGGTTCGGCGCCCAACTCACGCCCACCATCTGACCATTATCCTTCATCACCTCCGCCAACACATACAAACATTGGATACGCAACTCCCACCACCAATCCGTATGGGAGCGTCACACGGCCGTCAAGCTCAGCCGACCAGTTCCATCCTACCTCACACCCGACAACTGTATATCCACCCTCTACCCCTGCTCCTTATGGAGATACCCTAGATATCGCTTCTCATCACCATACCCCGGCTCCGTATTCCGGCACACCCTCACATGTCCCACCCAATCTCCCAGCGCCTCCCAAGCAACACAATCCCTTGTGGTCCGATTCTGAAATACCCACACGCCCGGTCTCATTTCCACTGCCGAACGTCGGACCGCCTCCGCCTCCTTCATCGCAAACATCGGCAAGTTACGAGTACAATTCGCACTATCCCGTAGCGCAAAGCGGATACCTCCAGGCACAGCCGTCCTATCGTCCGCAGTCAGCAAATGACCGCAGTGGTCTTCCTGATCCGTATCTGATCGCTCGCTACCAATCCCCCCTTCCTCTTCCACCGGATGCCCAAAACTTTAAGACCACGCCGGACCCGCCTTCTCCTGCACCCTCCCGACCATCGCCCCCGGCTTCAGCACCTGGTCCTGATCCGGCTCGTCTCCAAGCGCTCAGAGCTGCGGAAGCTGAGGCAGCTCGGAGAAAAGAACAGGAAGAGAAGGATATGGAACTAGCAAGACAGCTCGATTTGGAACTGAATCTTTCACCCTAGAGGAGGACGGGGATGCCTGGAAGTTGAAGGCGAGCCGTTGTACTTTACAATAATTTTATAGGTATATCTAAGCTATAGCAGGGTTTGACGTAGGTCAACAGTATACAAGTGTGTGATAAATGAGGTTACGATGACTGGAATATTATGCGCTGTCTGCTTGCATCGCACTTGCAGTTAATCTATCATTATGTGGCATTGTGCGCGTCGTAAATTTCTCGGCACTCAGTTCTCCATGCTGGACTTCTTTTGAGTGCCGCAAATCAAAGAAGAACGTTAAAATATAAAGAGTAAAACCGAAAGAGATGGTCCATTCAAGGACGGCTGATGAATAAGCGCTAAGACTGACAATAAGGCATGAGAAAGAGACATACCTCCGACATTAGAACTCTGGTACAATGCGACCCCGAATGCAAAGGCTAAGAGAATAAGGATGGCAGCTATGATAGCTTTGGCGAGATATGCTATTTTCAGTGTCCTGACATCTGGGAAGTCTCTGTTAAGCCATCGGAACTGTGGCGAACCGTGACATCAGAACCGAACCACATACAATACGAGCGCAGGTCCCACCTCAATGACAGTAAAAATAGCACTAATAGCTACACCAAGTATGAAGACGAGCAAAAACACTCGGTGAAGGGACGTGTGGCGCTTTGTGTCGAAGATAGATAGAAGAATGAGTCCACAGCCCCCAATGAGGGAACCAAATATCGACAAGGATCCAAACACGCGTTCCCTAGTATGCATATGAGGCATTAGGCTAATAATCGATGAGTTTGATTGAAAGTGAAGCGATAACAAAGCCTACCGGCCAACATGTCTTAAGCCGCGCTCGACACATAAGGATAGGAAGAAACAAACAGCTGTTATTGCACAACCAGCTACAAAGAGCGGCTTAAGAATATCGGCGCCTGACACCAGTTCGTTAGCAGATGGCTGACATAAATTTAGTAGACAGATTCCGCACCTATATCAGATATGTATGCTATAGAACCGTCCATAGACACTATGAATGAAATCAATATAAAGCGATCTAGCTTTGGAGGGAAAGAATGCACCATAATGTGGCCGCCCAGTGGCCAGCCATGTTACCAACATGGACAGCAAGGTAGCTGACGAATACCATGAGAAACGAGGAACACGAGGCAAAGCATGCGCAGGAGCCACAGACAGAACCACGTAAAGCCCCCAAGGATGGGTATCCAGATATAGACCCAATGTTGATGCTCGCCACTCATGAAGATCCAGTTAACGTTAAGGAAGAGGAATATTCAGAGAAGGGAGAACAGGAAACACCGAGGCCCGAAGAGCGGACATTTTATAATGTCGATCCAGGTACGGGTCGTCATTGCTCTAGGAAATACAAGTATATCTTAGACTCAGAAACTATGCCTTGGAGCCACCAGCACCACTCTGACCAGATGTCGCCGACGGAAGTTTGCACTGGGGCAGTAGAGGGAGCCGAGAAAAGAAAACGAGAATGTCACGTGCCCAGAAAACTTGAGGAAACCGAGTCGCGCTCAGCTTGACCCTCTATCTGTACCTTTGCTAGGAAGCTTGAATCAACGAATGTTCTAATTGTCCTTGCTGAAGTGCCTGCATGGAGCATAGCACTTAGCGCCAATTTTCCTACAATCTTGATTCTGGGTTAGGTGCTGCAGTCCTGAAATCACGGTCACGTATGATTATACATTTCATGACTGGATGGCCTCCAGCACACGACAAAGCTGAATGAAGTCAAGACATGGTGCTTACGCAAGACCCGCATCACCAATTAGCGTTTATCCATCAATTCTTGAGGTCCATTCAAAATAACAGCGCTTCACGTCCACCCTGAAGCCTGTTACGATCCTCTTAACAGTGGTCTTAGGTATGCTCACGCACGGATTATCTGATACGCACCGTGATGGAGCTAACTTTGTGGTCAGCTCCGTGGACGCCTGCAGCACCCGCTATTCAAAGGCTGACCCAGATTGCTATATAGTGGGGGATTGGAAAGCCTCGTTTCTTAAATGGCTGTCTCTGTGTGCCGTCGTTTTTGTGGCTTTACGCCATCGCTTTCTTTGGTGGCCAAAGTTAGCAGAATTGGTGGTCGCAAACAGGGACTTTCTCCCGGCCCTCCGGCTGTGCTTTTACGGAGAAATTTGAATATTTGCAAGGTCCATTACAAGTGAGCCTCGGAAGTCTTTGGATGAATACTTACCAAAATTAACTCGTTGATTCTACACTATCTACTGACCGAATATGGCAACAAAGCCTGGCGTCGATGATCGTTGCTACTGGTCGACTCTAGCCTTCGGCAGTGGAAGAGTAGGGCTTCAAAATGTTGTTCCTTATTCCTACGACTGGATGGCTGCTAGCGCATATGCCCTAGGATATATTTTGCTATCAATTCCTTGGCGTGTCCTTTGTTCTTCTTCCGCCGTGATCTTCTCTGACGCTTGTTATAGGCGCTCAACTCAATGAATCTCATTTGGGCTTTTCAATTTTCTCTGTCTCTTGTGCCATCACTGGCGCGCCACTTCCGGTCAACATTTTTGCTTACGAAAAGGTGTGTTTCCTTGCCGTATAGTCAAGGTATACCGGTCTGAATGCCTCATTATGCAGGAAATAACTACTGTACCCTGTCAAGTCACTCCGCGCAGTGACTCTAAGGCAAAGTTGATCGAGACAGCTTTCCTCGATACGCCGAAGATAGATTCGTCAGATTCGAGGATGATATCTCCGCGACCACTCCCACAGTTGACGTGCGTCTTCTTTTCATGTAACTGAATATCAGAACTCGGGAAAGATCCAAGAGGTCAGAGTCTAGCATGGCTATGACAGCAAGACATCATCTTCAAGCAGCCAATCCTTGGTGATGAGCACTGCATCGGTACCAGTGTCATTTGGATCAGACATCACACCGGTACATTCAATATTACGAGAAAGTTTCGAGATATATCCACCAATGGGACAACTTGCGTAACGGCTTCATAAAGCTAACTAGAATAACGGAAATGCGATGCCCGACTCGCATCTCTATATATCTAGCCCGACTGTTGTTCGGAACTAACTTCTTTGCTCAAATGACCGTCACGGAGTGGTCTGTCTGGTTCTACGTGTTCGCCCTCCTTGTTTGGGCGGCGCTGAGATTGAAGAGGATTGGCAGCCGTGAACCAGGACTTCCTCCAGGACCTCCGACTGTGCCTCTGCTAGGAAACTTGAATGTCTTCCCAACAGAATATGCGCACTACAAGTGAGCCATGACAACCTAATGTCCGGGGAGAATACTAATCGACTCATCTACTCCAGGTTCACGGAATAGGCGAGAGCTTACGGCGATATTTACTCAGTACGTGGACAGTATTCAATGCCTCTTCATCGGATTCCGTTCTAAATCTTACCGAAAAAAACTTAGCTCAAGGTCGGACCTGATACGGCGATCGTTATCACAAGTGCGGTAGCGGTGAAAGAGCTAATAGACAAGCGAAGTGCTTCCACCACAGATAGGCCACCACACTACATGGCTGACGTCGTCGCCGGTGGCGTGAATATGGTGTTGGCAAGATACTGTAAGAGGGGATCACCTGATAGAAGTTATACAGACCTTGATATGATCCTATTGAAGCGGACGTGTGGAGAGTGCTTCGCAAGAACGCCCACACGATGTTAACTCCCAAAGCTTCACTCGAGCTCCTTCCCATCCAGAGGGCGGAGGCTACTCAGCTCATGTATGATATATTGCAAGCGCCTGATGTTCGTCTTTTAGTTTCCCTATGCGGCCCGTCGCATCAAAGTCGAATGGCTTTATACCAAGCCTTCTACATCCGTGTTCGCCGATATTCCAGTTTTGTCATACTCTCCATAACCTATGGAAAACGATGCTCGCGCTACGAGTCTCCTGAGGTGACATTGTTTTTGAGGCACAGCATTTATGGGAACTCGTGCTGGAACCCGGAGCGCATCCTCCTGTAGATCTCTTGCCTTTCTTAAGGCACCTTCCGGGAGCATGGAAAGACCTTTGCAAGGAAGCTAGACAACTGCAGCGCAACTTGTATTTTGGTTTACTCGATGAGTGTCAGGCAAGGTTGCAGAATGGCCAGGCAAACGGGTGCTTTATGGAAAAGGTTTTGCAGAATCAAGAACTTGGCTTGAACCGTGAGTTGGCAGGGTAAGTATCTTCAGTATTGGTTTGACTCCTACGCTGCGTCTCCATAGGTACCTTGGAGGCGTTCTCATTGAAGGCGGTTCGGACACGACATCTTCACTCCTGCAGTCCTTGATCCTGGCTCTTATGGCATTCCTTGAAGCCCAAAGAAAGGCTCAAGAAGAGATGGATAATGTTGTCGTCGATCAAAGGTTGCCAACGTTGGATGATTTTGCCGATCTACCTTACATACAGGCTGTTGTCAAGAAGGTCCGTTTACTTCACCAACACATCAGTTCCCTCATGTATGTTTTTCTTACAGAACCATCGATTCAGACCAGTCGCTCCCGTTGCTATTCCTCATGGTACGTTGGCAACCGAAGAGGTGCTGATACCTTCGTCCCTTTCTCTCATCCCTAAATCGTATTAGTATCGTGGATATATGATACCAAAAAGCGCAATGATATTTGTGAATGCATGTAAGAGTTCTGATCTTGACGATGGACCTCACTTTTTGATTCCGAGTACGGGGAATATTCCATGACTCAGGTAAGGACATTACGCATGGCTGAGAGCCATCAAAGTCGTAGACCTTTTTAATAGACGTGTACGATGAACCCGAGACCTTCAATCCAGACAGGTACTTGTGAACAGAGCATGGAACGAAACCGGGTGTCGATGATAGTCACTTTTATTCAGCTCTTGCGCTTGGAAGTGGCAGAGTAAGTCTTCTTCGATACAACTTATATCTCTCATAGTACTATGAATTCAATAACGGATATGTCTTGGGATGCATCCTGCCAGCAACTCCTTGGTAAATCAACCGTTTATCTTCTGGAATGAATCATGTTTGACTTGTGTAATAGATGCTCAACACCATGAACCTTATCCGGGGCTTCCAGTTTTCTCCTGCGACAGATTCTGTGACCGACGCGATCGTTCTGGTGGACATCACTGATTACGAAAAGGTGTGTCTATTCTGCGCATTCTATGATCTTGCCAGAACCATTATTACATAGGGAATTCTCACCGCGCCTCGACCGTTCCAATGTCGAATCACTCCACGAAGTGACTGCAAGATCAAGCTAATCAAGAGAGCGTTTCTCAATGCTGAGGATGTATTCGCCAAATTCGAGAGTAGAATAACAGCAGAAGATAAGGAGTACGTAAAGAGATACGTGTCGCGCGTCATGTAACCGAACGAAGAAATGTAGGAAATGAGAGTGATGCTGGAAAAAGACTCTGTTATCTTGAAGGTCGCTGTAATGGGACGTGGATGATGCGCTTCGCTTGTTGGAATATGACAAGACGTGGCGACCCGCCGCATAGAGACCATATGAGGAGCGGAGGAGGAGATGGAATAAACAAGCAATTAATGCCGAGGAGATTTGTGCTCGAGCGCAGAATAACGGCAGATACAATAATGAGTGTACCGCGGGTCAGGTGATATATATGATCACAGTCGGATCGCTTCAAGCATTCATTAAAGACGCTGCCATGCTAATAATATGAATAGCAAGTGCCAAATGCATCAATTTTAAACATAATGAATGAATAGAAGTGCTATCCCTGAATCATAGGCGTTCGGCTAGGGCAAGAAGTCGAGTGAAAACAGAGGGGTACTCATTCAATTGAGCGGAGATTTGACCAATGCGACAACAGAACGCCTCTCGAATTAACGCCATGTCAAACGAGTAGTCTATTTTGTTCGTAAGAGGACGGACAGATACTTTCCTCTTCATAAATTGGCTCAACAGTCTGGAGATAGTAAGTATAGGACCACCGGATCGGAGAAGCCTTACAACATGTTTCGTCGGCAACGATCTTCGTATCGGGATGCCAAGTCGATCTCTTGTCCACGCTAAGACTACTGGGGCAGATAAGCAGTTCACCTCTGCGGCGGGAAGGCGGGTCCAGATGACGGCCGCAAAGACATTCAGGTCGGGACCCGGCGCTCAGACTAAAAAAAACAGTAAAGCAGGAATACGAGAATCGGATGAGAAACGGGACGGACCGCAAGCACACAGAGGACCAAAAAGAGTAAAAAGAGCCGCATGCTTGATGCAATGAGTCACCGACACAAGACAGCGCAGTCCAGCCAAGTCCGTGATCTGAATCGCTAATAGATATCCGGCAAACATTGCCAGCACACAGAAAACAAAAAAAAATATCAGGAAGACTTGCAATGACAAAAACAAGTACCCACATTCGGTGGAAAACAAAGCACGAGAACAGCAAAAGCATGGAAAGAACTGGAAAGAAAGGAGAACACAGCCACCATCAGGGAAAGACCAGGTTATGTAATCCGGGATGAAAGATACGAGGTATAAATAGGCGAGGGCCCAGGTTAAGAACCCTTTTTACCCCTTGATGTCCACGTCGATCGCTTTCACCCCTTCATTCACCTCGTCTTCCTGTAATAAGCGTCTCTTTTCATCGTCTGGCATTACCACTGCCACCCATCAAGACGAGCCACCCTACAAGAAACAGTGCCGAAAAACGCCAATGTCCGGACTTAGGAGAACGCACTCATTCCTTTCGCTGACGGACTTGCCCCAGCAGCAGCAAGACCAACAACAGTCACCCTACCTACCACAGAGTAGAGGCAGGTGTTGTGAAAGGAAGATGAGCATATCACCAGCAGGGAGGGACTTTCGAGCGTGTTTGGAGACGTCTATTGCTTCGAGCCTTGCACCTATAAGCCACCCGTATAGTGGCATTCAGCAGTCGCAGTCTTCATCGCCAGAATCGATCCCGTCGAGCTCCTACTATACCTCGGCGCCACGTGTCTCTTCTCCCTTGCGTCCTTCGCGGCCCCCTTCATTCATCTTTACTTCATCTACCACTCCTCCTCGCAAAGGCAAGTGCGAGCCGGACCTCCATCGCATCGCCATCCAAGCATGCATGCGTTCGACTTCCGACGGGCTAAAAGTCTTGACAATGGGCCCCCGACTGGCCATGAGCATTGTGCATGCGACAAGGGAGCTCGAACGCATGGTTACGGAGCGCGGGCTGGAAATCTTTGACAACAGGCAGGAGGAGGACATTATTATGACTGACTCTACAGCAGAGCCGTGGATCAACATGGAGCGGACAAGCGATGATTGGGAAATGGTCAATTGCGACCTGTAGGCCCACCACAAGGCTCAACGCCGCTAGGCTGACTCTCGGACTCCTCGGATACCTTCGTTTCCGTCTTTTTCAAGGAACATTCATCTGTACTATTACACACATCTCGGGTATCATTATCTATATTGTTTTCTTACTGTTGTTGTATACATACCAATTGCTACCTTGCATATTCATCCTACTTACCCAACTAATCCCACGAATTTGTTACAATAATCAAATAAGAATTTGGACATTACTGAATCACAATGGTATGCGTCCGCAGCCACAGCCAAACTCCGTGCCAAACTCCGACTGAGGGCGGGACCCATGCCGTTCCGCATTTGAAACATCCCTCGCGGAACCTCCCTGTTCCGCCATTTACTACGGCGGAGAAACCACAAGGGCCCGGAAGCAAACTCTAAAACTTTTCTTTGACCGCATGACTACGCGTCCAACCTTGCATTGTTTTTTCGTATCCTGAATGCGCCACATCTTGTGGAGCCTCTGTTGGCCTCTGCCGCTCCCATCGTACCTCTTTTTTTCTCAGCCCTGAAAAATGACCTTATATTATGATGTGTCGCCAAAGGCACATGGAAAAGGGGGCCCGGGAGTGCGGTCGATAGGACGATCAACATAGTTCGATACTAAACAAACCGGACTGAAACGCGTAGGGTCGTTACCTGAACTGACCTAGAACGAGTTGCTACACCCTATAGTACTCCCAAGCCCTTTCTTCGCTGCAACAATGTATCAAGCCGCCTCTGGCTGCAGCCTGACCGCTAGGCATATTCCATTGTAGAATTAGTCGATTGATCGATCAGATCCTCTAGTACTTCACCGTCTTCACCCAACACTTCACCTCTTCACTGGTTTTCACACTTTTTCGACGAATTATATTTGAAGGGAAAACTCGTCGACCCTGTATGTCTCTGACATCCGTCTCTTCCAACACATTGATTTCCTCTGAGTTCAATCATAACTATAAAGGACGTATTCGTTCGACCACCCAAGTTGGTGCTGGGTTAATGACCGCTTTCATTTTAATGAGATGTCACGTCGTTAGATCAGATCTTTTTTGGAGGATTCCACTTGGAAAGGATTTACAACATATGCGCTCAGCCCTACTGGAGAGACGATGATTCTAGTGCATGGTGAAGTCCATCAAGGAGGTCAGAGGGATGTGGCTAGTTTAGTCTACTTGGATCAGGGTTCTGGATGGTGTAAAGTTGTCGTGCCTTCTGGCCCCTCTCACGCCTTTATCAGCTGCAGTGGTCACTCATATGGGTCCATAAAGTCAATTACAACTTAGTACCTCCGCGGTTCCTTCCTCGCTGGGTGGTAACGGTGCAGTTTTTTTTTTGGCATAATTAGTATCGCCTTCTTGAAGGGAGAAATAGGGCACCACGTAATGTATCTCTGGTAGTATATCGGTTAGTACACGCGCCTGTCATCGGTAGCTTGCTTCTGTACGCGCGAAAGCTGGGTTCGACTCCCAGCCAGAGAGATTATTTTTTCTAGTCGCGAATTTGGAGTCCGTGACGAGTTGACTCGCTGCCGCAGACTTACAGTGCCAAATGGTCACAGCTCTGTTGTTCCTGTTTAGTGGCTAGTATTTATGTAGGAACTATATCTACCTATCATTGCCTGCCTTGTACTCAAAGGGCCTAACGAAGACGTGTTGTATTCTTTGAGAACAAAGGATTTCTTGTGGCACAGCTTCTACTTAAGAAATGTGAAATCTCTGTGGACCTTCTTCAACCGCACATTGCTGTCACTGCAGTACCGCAGGTGTGTTCTCCATTGCTGTGTTTTTTCTAATTATGCGAAACTCATCCTCGATTAGTAGAAACCACTCTCACGACTCCTCCATCCAGCCCAATCAACTTACAAAGCCATGTATATCGCCAAGAACGACAGAAAAATACAACCGCGCCCCGTCCTTTCCGGCGACAGAAATCTTCGTCCATGGCCCAAGCGTCACCTTGAGGCATCGACGACTTCTCCTCGCCCTCTCAAACGTAGGAAGACGGCTCCGAGTTCGAGGGACGGGCCACACATACTACATTCCTACACCCTACCACCCACTTCTTCCCCACCGTACTCAGACGCAGAACTGTCCTCCGATGGCTACGACTCTGAATCTTCATCCACTCAGTCCGATGAAACGGACGAGGAAAAGCATATGCTATCGGAGAGTGATGAGTTTCTGCTGGGTGCAGCGGACACAAGAGAGGAAACTTTCGGACACAATCCATCTGGCAGTAATACAGAAGGCAATGATGCCGTGGCCATCAATTCGTCACTACGTCTGACGAACTCACAGCCTGAGACGGCTAGCGCTGGGACCACGGAGTCGGAAGACGATCCTTCTAGAAATGCGGGGAAGCGTTTCGTGGAACGTCGGAACTCTAACACTCTGCTCGATTTTTAGCACTCCGTCCTTGTTATTCGATTGCCTGTTTCTCTCGTGGTGAAAAAGAAGCTGTAAGTTTTGTTACGATAGTAAGCGACTTCATTCCTCAGGCGGATCTCTTCCCGAGGTCAGAAAATAACTATCCTCGATTATCGGAGAGTACCACAAGTAGGTGTCTGAAGATCTAGTAGAGCTGTGTCCGATGTCTATGTTACTGCCATGACTTGTTCAAGCCTTGGCATTGCAACTTGCAAGAGCCTGCGGAGAACCGGACGTGTCTGGGTAGAGGGAAGCCGAGGCAGTGTCAACAGAGGCTCGAAGGATGTTATACTGGCATCAATGAACTAAACTCATCTGCTCACGGCAACAGATATGGGAAAAGGTGTCTATGACGCATCGAAGAGTGCAGAGCAGTAGATCGTTTCAGTTAATGGGCGTCAGTGATGCGGCGAAGATACGAGCAAAGATGTGGGACTGATTTGCGGGGGTTCGCATGCTGTACCCACTGGCCATATGGAAAGCGGAGTGAGGCGCAATAGCACCGTGATTCGGCATTACTGTGAATGATCCGTGCTAGAGCTTGGTACAAAGCATATTTCTAATATGAGAATCGGGTGGCTGCAACATCTAGACACCATCAGTTCCGTCGCATACTGAGTCCGGTTATCCACCTTAGAGTGGGGATATCCTACATCTCCGCGTGCAACATCGCAGCGCTCAGTGGTAGGTTCCGTTCTCATGTTGCTTTAGAGCACTAGTGCCCAGTGTTCGCCAAGATAATTTGTTTTCTCTTTGTAACATCCTGTCTCGGTTCGATAAGAGCTCAAGGCTTCTCGTGTCTAAGCATATTAGCATGGAACTGACAAAATTAGCACGTACTATTTCGGCCGTTCGTACGCAATCCCAATCCATAAGATAAAAGAAGTCTTTGGTGAACTTTAGGTGACCGTATGAGAAACGTGTAGTACTAGCTGTTACCGTGCTGTTCGCCAGGCAGAAAGTTTGTCGGCAGACATTGGTGGTAGCTAATTTTAAGATCAAAAAATTGACCGTTCGTGGGCCGGCTGCTTTTTCTTTCGCTATGTAATTGCTTCGGCCAGTGGTCACCCTTCTTGCGTGAATTCTCCCGCCATTTGAATATGGTGCTGGGCACTCGGTGCTGTCCCATTCCTTTCACTGTCCATGCAAATGACCATATCTGTCGCCAGCTTCTCGACAGGCGGGGATGAGCCAGCCTTCGGGCGTCTATCTTATCCTTCCTTTTGCCTTTTAACACAGGATCACCATGGACGATACGTTAGTAGATATGCCTGACCCCCGAGAAAGTAAAGATGAGCATGACTCTAGCGACGCTCCTGCTGCAGAGATTCTATCATCCTTTCCTCTGCATAGATATCGCACATCTCTTGGGCTGAGAACAGGTCCAGAGCACACAGGTACTCATGGAAGAGGTCTGTGTTGGATTTGATTGTCGCATTACTTTCCTTTACAACTTCCACTGGATTACGAACAAAGAGATGCTGAAAACATAAGAGGCGAGGAAATGAGTCCATTTGCCCGGATCTGGAGGATTTTCCTGAATGAATGCGCCAAATTTGACTCGGAAATGGTCGATGATTGGAGAGGCCGCTTGGGTGTACTACTGGTATCCGTAAGTATCATTTCGGTCTCTAAACATTATTGTTAACAGTGTTTAAGCCGGTCTCTTTTCGGCTGTCGTCTCAACATTTGTGCAGACTTCCCAAAATCTCCAGGCTGACTACAGCGAGGTCTCTGCGTCGCTCCTGTTCGAACTTATCAACGTGCAGCGTGCCATTGCTAATGGAATTTCTGTCAATGCTATTCCACGCTTCGAAATCACTCCTTCCACCGTTTTTACACCGAGCACTCTTGATTCATGCGTGAATTGGCCGTTTTCACCAGTTTATCCCTCAGTCTCAGTACCGCCTCGATAGCCGTTCACACGAAACAATGGATATACCATTATGTTTCTGTGCCCTCGGGAACCCCGAGAGACCGAAGTAGGGTCCGTCACTTTCGACACATGGGATTGAAGAACTGACATGTGCCAGTAATCATCGGACTGCTTCCCGTACTCATGCATGGCTCCCTGGGTCTTTTCCTACTCGGGTTGGTCGTCTATCTTGTACCGTTACGCATCGAGATTGCATCTACGGTTGGTGCTATGTCACTCCTTACAATTTTCGCATATCTTACCACGACCTTTCTCCCTCGCTTCTATGTCCAATGCCCTTACAAAATGCCACTGCCTGCTTATGCGTATCCTTTTTACAGTCAATTCTGTCATATGATCCTCCCGAAATTTTTTCATGTCCCAGCACCACCATCATCGACTCCCATCTTATCCATGAAAGATGCGGAAGCCCTTGCGGTGAACGATAATACCTATACTACAGATGCTCGCGCATTAGCTTGGCTCTATTCTATGTCATCCAACCCAGTTTTGAGGAGTATCTCCATCCAGTCTGTGAGTGCCCTTTCTCTCAAATCTACAAGCACGCTGAAAAGCGAACTTGTAGATATCGCGGCTTTGTGCCAGGAAGGAATAAAGCAAACTTTTGAATCTGAATGGTGCCCAGACAACCAGGATATTATGGAGGCGAAGGTCGAGCGGTTCCTCCGCGCATACCTTCGCTTTCGAGTGGAACCAGGACTCGTTTCGTGGCCCTTTGCTCGCCAACCGTGTCTCAATATCCATACGCAGCTCGTGTCCTTTGGCCTTATTGACCGGGGCACCTCTGCAAACTTGCAGACAGCCAGTTGTCAATATTTGCGTGCCACCATAGTAGGCTTCCCGAAGGAACAAGCGCAACGCCATCAGCCCATTGTTTGGGCCCATATCTTGAAAAATGTTCTCTTGGAAGGTGCCAGAGGGCTGCTCTGCCCAAAGAGCAATCATTTTGACGTTCACTTGTACCGGAAACTGTTCCAGGCCTTTCCTACTAGATTTTTGGTCCCCCAGTCGGGCCGAGTCTCCCCTCGCGTTTCGAAGCCTCGTGGTACAAGGTATTGAATGGGAATTCTGTCCACAAATCGAAATTCTCGATGTTCCTGGCTGTGACTCTCCTGTCTCGTTCACAGACGCCATCCATTCCTGCCTTTACCCATACCTCGCCAAGCTCTTAATCGAGCATTTTACTGGAGGGAACAGTCGCTTTTCGTTGGCAAGAATCGCTGATCGCAAACATCCCGTACAGATGCAGCTGTTGTTGGCAGTGTTTGAGCTGTCATGCGAGCGCGCGTGGATTTGGAACGATGCTTGGTTAATGGTTTCCACGGTCCTCACCTGTCTTCAACCGTACCTCAAAGACATGAATGCGGACGAAACAGTGTCTCGTGCCAACCCAGAAGAATGGACTACCGTCTTCGAAAGCCTCTGCTCAGTAATACAGTCCGATGCATTTGGTACGATTGATAGTCACATCTCTTGGCCTGACCAACGGTCCATTTTCGAGAGCTTCACGATGTGTCTTACGAAACTAGGCACCAGATAGGAAGATATTCCGTTCTGCACCCCATCGCCGATATTGGCACGCAAAATTATCCAAACCCCTCCTCGAAGATCGGACGCCACAGAAACCAATGCGGGCTGGACAGATTTTTTCTCATCGACTGATTGCGCCGTATATGTATGGGACATTCGTGCAGAATAAGTGTTTTGATAAAATTCGAGGGACGCCTTGGACCTTTCACTATCTGGTCGTGGAAGCATATATTGACGGCCTCGAGCATCTATCCGACGAGATAGATAGGCAGAGCGCCACGCAGCACCTTCTCGCCACCGACAATCTTCTTGTTGTCTTTAAAACTGTTGCTGGATCTGGGGGTCAGAGGAATGTTTACAGAAATTGGCGAAGATTCGACCAAGAGATCCTGTATGGGAGGAAGTCTTCGAAGTTTTTGATAATCGCACAACAGATGAAGAATTTTGGATTCCATACGTATACGACTATGAGGGAGAAGGTACCTGGGAACGGTTTGCTCAAATGGTTGCCGATTTTCGATTTTCTCTGACGGGATGTCCGTCATCCGATACCGGTGAAGACTCTTTTCGGGTAGGTTACCTTGGGTTTTGTTCCTGCTGACGAGTTTGCATTGACAGCCTTCACATATAGATATTCCCTGAGGAGCCACTGACCTCCCTGCCTCCTCCTGGCCCTAGTAGATTCTTGTGGAAATGGTCGTTCTGGAGACAAGGTCATGGTAAGGCGGACAAAACTACTGGATGGGTAGAAACAGTATAATCACATACAACAGTCCAAATATGCAGCAAAAGAACGTTCAAGTAACAGTCTTTGTATTTGTGTTCGCTTCTACTTGGTTTGTGCATCTTAGCTTTACCTTCGACGGTTGGTGTTGGTACGTCGTCAAGGCGCAGGTAGTCTGCGGTCAAGTACTTCATTTACTTCGTGTCGCACCCAGCGAATCTTTGTGGCTTCTTTCTGGATTACGATTTAACTACTATGCTCTTCCTTTTCCCTGAGAGGGCTGCAGTCCAGGAGAATCGTACGCATAAGTATTTACTCCCTAGGCTATCAAGGACACCGTTTCTTCAAGCACCTAGAATCTAGACCTCGCGCTCCTGAGATATGGAATTCCATCCTTACGGGCATAGGACTGGAAGGCCTTTATGTAGTAGGGAACTCCAGACCTGTTAGCTCGATATCCTGAATCTCATTTTCGTGATATCATTATGTATCGTTAATGAAAGTGCCACAGTATTTGTCAATATAATAATAGTAAGAAAACTTGCTCGGCGTGCCTGTTTTGCCTGCCAGTGATTGCAAAGCTTTGTAAAGCAGCTAGGCGATACTCCGAGCTTTCGGACCTACTTACTGTATCTTACTAATATTAAAGTCGTTCCGCATGTGTAGGATAACCCAGAGCTATCCAGATAGCTGATGACCGAGCATGCAGGTCCGCAGAGGGGTTGGTCTCTCATTCGAATTCATCTCTTGGATGTTCCAGATGCTCGGCGATACAGTCTTTCTAGGTCGTCCAGCTTCAACTGACCGTCAGCTACGACGAAGCGGGTCCATTTCCATTTAAGTTGGTCAATTTAGGCTGGTCAGTGATTCTGTCAAACGAGCTCCGTCTTGCAACAATACCCGTCCTTTTCCAACGTTAGAATATCACGTCGCGTATCAATTGCAGTCTTAGCTTTATCGACGGATGACTTCTGTGCTTCAGACAGAATAGTCCGCTTTGTCCGGCTAAATAAAATATAATCTACATCCAACCAACGGCCCAATCACCATCTTCCCATATAATCAACCAATCTGAAGCCAGCGCCTATATTGATCATTCATCACGGCTACAAGACTTGACATCCGAAAACATGTACCAGAGCCGAACCAAAGATGAACAAGGCTAGAAATTTAAAAAAATGTTCAAGTAAAACAACAAGCAGAAGATGAAGATGGCTATATGTGAGAACGTAGAAGTCGATATGAGAAGCTTTTAAACAACAATTGCAGCATGAGTGATGTCGTTTTCGAGCATAGGAGCGAAAGGCGAAGGCGCGGCAGATGGAGAACCGCAGTCAGCAAGTTTCTTGAATATCTATCGGAGAGAAAGGCATGAGTGCCCGAGTGAAAAGAGTCGATGAAAAAAGTACTCACCCTGACAAAAACCTCTGAGGACTGACCGCCATTTATCTGCCACCTTCCATCGATAATTATGGCCGGAACACCATTTAACCCTCTGGTCTTCGCTTCTTCACATAGCTTGTTTACCTCGTCTTCAAGTTCATCGGACAGGAGGAATTCGATGGCCTGGGCGGATGATAAGCACGATGTGGCGAGGATATTAAGAAACCGCGAACCTGCTCCTTGGGCATAATATTGACGGTCTCAGCAATTTGAGCAAGGACGTGGACATCGGCGATGTCTTGGCCTTGGTCGAGATATGCTTTGAATACACCACAGAGGAAAGGAAGTTGTAGGTTCTGGCCGCCGAGGTGATACGCTTTCCTTGACATCCGGTGGGCTCTCGTAGATGCGGAGACGACGCCATCGAACGTGCTAGACGCCAGCTTTGAGTAAACGACCGCAAACCCGCGACTCCCGACTCACATATTAATTTTCCGTTCTTCTGCCCACTTCAGAACAGAATGCTCCGCAAAGCTCTCAAACGCATCCTTGCCCAAATGTTGAGTGAAAAAGGCGGCTCTGCTAATTTTGGGTGTGTTTTCGTTGAGGATGCTACGAGGAATGAGCTGGAACGGTCTGAACTCGATATCGAAGGTCAGTGGAAGCCGGAGCACAGCTCTGCAGTAGGAGACGGCGCTGAGTAGTTCATGATGGCCTATGTAGCAGTTCGGGCAAACCTGATAGCAAAACTTGAGAGGACCTCGAGTGAAAGTATTTTGCAGCATACCAGGTCATTGACGACAGTTATCTTGAGAACACGATTGGTCGACATTACCGCCCGCAGAGTAGTGACGGACTGAAGGCCTTGAGAAATAGAAGATGAAGTATAGGGGGATAGCAGGGAAAAGTTGATATAAAGGGGAGGATACAGTCAATGGCGAAGGAAAGGCGGGATGACCATCAAAAGTGTATTTAGCTGGTAAAGTGCTTACACAGGTCCCTGTACCGGAATGGGTCGCTTACTCAATCGCTTGGCTCTTTGACAAATCATCCGTCACGTCTCACATATATTGATAACCACCTGCGTCTGAACGGATGCCGCTACCGGATTATGTTACTAACGCTGAGCTGCTCACTCCTGCGGCGCGAAATCGGGGTATATACACCTATTAGCAATAACTATTAGTATGTGCATGATTCGGGTGTCCTGGCGTGCGTCAGAGTATGCTGAGCGAGCTTTATAACACGGAAATACTAAACAAGGCAAAAATCGGAATTCGCGGAGATTCGTTTCATTATTGTCAAGGTGCGGAACTTGAACATTGAAGATAGTATGTCAGCGAGGGAAAAGACCACCATGTTAAGAACTTCCTCACCAAATGCAGCCTAGTCCCAAAAACTGTCGTCATTGTCCTCGTACTCAAGACCAGATGGCCATGCCTCCACATAGTCGCACTTGTCGATATTTACCATCTTTTCGAGGCGTGTCAGCTCATTCTTGGAACGAAGAGCAGATCGGCTTCGATGGTCAAGACGCAGAAGGCGGAATGCGCCACTCTTCTTCACTCGAGCCGTGATTGAGCGAATAAGCAACTCGATATGTAGAGGTTCCATGTCTCGTATGGAAAGTGTCTCCACTTTCTTCCAAAAAGCCGGTACGCCATCGTTTTCAGCTTCGTCGCCTGTCCACGACAATATTAATAATACCGAAATGACAGCCAAGTCACAGTCGATGCTAGTCAGCGACGGAAACGCATCCACAGTGTGCCCTAATTGTGTACTGGGAAATGAACATGCGCTCAACGTGAGAGAGCGGACATTTGGAAACTGGTTGTCACCCAAATCATCAATACCCTTAAGAACAAGGGAATGAATCTGGGACAAAGGTAATTGTGCCATTAGCATGCGAGAGCGGTCGAGTTCATCAGTGCCGCTGATACGAAGGGACTCGAGGTTTGGAAGGTGGATAGGCGTAGATTCTCTGGCCAAACCGGCTTTTAGCTTCATTCTCGACAACGAGAGGTTGATTAACTTTGCCATGGACCCAAGGAAGGCACGACACTGGTCCAAATGCAATTCGTCCATGTGAGTCCCATCGATGTGAAGCGTTGTAACATTGCCCAAGGGCGGCTGGAGAGGGCCTGAAACACCGGAAAGCCGCACGAACGATAAATAATTGGCTCCGCCAGATAAAATCCGAGGCTTTACAAGTTCGTATTGTGTTTGTAGGTGAGGATGGTGAGGGTGAAATTTGATTCGGATAGATAGGCGTTCGAGTTGCTGCGCAGTTAATGCTCGCAACTTCTTGATGACATCCTCGATCGGCGAGAAGTTGTTAGCTATGGACATGGAGAGTTCCTTGCATCGCCATAGATGTGCGGCCATAATATCAAGAAAATCTGGCCATGGGTAATTTCCGTTGACCTGCAAACGGATATTCAGCAAGCATTCGCCCGACCGGCTCAAATGAATATTCAACAGCTCCAACTTCTTTGCAAAGTGGCTATTCCTGTGCTTCAACACGATGCTGAGGTTAATGAATATCCTATTCCAGAGCATAGGAGTACCAGTGGCAACGGCCCGCCAGGTGCTAGAGACGTGGGAGGCAGTGATACCGAATGAGGACCGGTGGCAGATAGCATCTTCAGAACAGAGCATGAAGATGGAGGACAAGACCTCGAACGGAAGGACGGAGATAGGCGCGCTGTGGTTAAGCAGCTGCTTGTGTCGCGCATGAGCAAGCTGCAGCTCCTTGTCTACCTCATTGACTTCCTGAAGTAGACGTTGCTTCTGGTCTTCCAGCTCCTTGATACGGCTCGTGGTATCTCTTAGTACAATCTCTCTGGATTCATCACCTGTCGAGTAAGGGTAAGCGCCCACGATGGATGTTGGCATATGCGTGCAGAACCGCGTACATTCCATGACCGGTGATCGTCAATCTGGAAGACCAGAACGTTGCCAGCATATCAGATTTTCACCCTCAGAGAACGCAGACAATGCCACGTCGGTATATGAATGTTGGACACAAATGACGATTTCCGTCGTGGGGCCAGGTGCTACCTATACATAGATAAAGCTTTATACATCAAATTTTAAGAAAGAAAGTTTTATGGCTCACGCGTTCCAGTACCCCAACTGCCTTGCCCAGGTCGAGTGTGGTGTCACTGTTGAGAATCAGTGACGCGGCGCTGCGGTTCGGTACGATTTTGATCCGGCGGTTTGATCCGGGATCTCCACAGAGTGCTTCAACATTCATCATGATACCGGCATGACTCCCAAGACCATCCTTACGCGACAACCATAACAAAGAACGCTCATCTTGACAACCATTCCTGCATTGTTATCGTTATCGTGACATAAATTATTCCTGTAAACTATTATCACCACATGGAACGAACAAAACAACATCCCAAGTCCCTCTTTGTCCGCCCAGCTGACAGCTTGAGCCAGCTCGGGGAATCATATAAGCCCCTTCATCAACACCACTATTCTCTGCCCGGAATGTCTTCCATCTCCACCAAGAAGAACTCCAGCTTTTTCTCTCTGACATTTCCTTTTGGCTACCAACTCAATCTCAAGACTGCTGTTAACGGCATGCTCTCAGTCAAATTCCGCAACCCACAAAGTAGCAATGCTGACTCTCTCGGTGGCCTAGATAGTTCTACCGAGACGATTGACGTCCTGCAGGGATCTGGCGCCAATCGGTCTCCCGGCATGAATGATAGCCAAACTGTACGTCCTTTTCTCTTATGAGTGGCTCTTCGATGTGTTGATCCTCATCCTCATAGATGTATGACACTGAACCCATAGCAAGAACCCCATCTCCGGTTCCTACGGAAGTTATTGAAGATGACCCCGAAGACATCGCCCGGACGCTCAACAGGAACAGCATCAAAGTACGCGATTATGCTTATGTAGCCACTACCAAGCTTGTGGCAGAGACTTTTGACGCTCTCACCGGTATATCTGAATACGAACTTCGTTTGAACGATATAAATCCTATGCGGCCTCACATCAAAGGGAAAACTCTCCACCGCTTGCTCGAGACTGGATATATTTCATGGGAAGAGACGTCGACGAGGTGTCAGTCCCAGGATCTGTCGGCGTTAGCAGAATATCGTGCTAGCTCGAGGGTGTCTTACCCGTGGCGAGCGTTGCCTTTGAAGGAGGAGGGTGAAGTGAAGTCCTGGTCCATAGAGGAGCGGCGAACATGGGTGGCCAAGTCTCAGGTAGCACTGGCAACAAAGGCGTCTCTAAACCGTTATGATCGGTGTGTTGTGTATGAGCGCGCTAGGTTGGAGCGTGAGGAAAAGGACAGGCAGGTGATCGAGGAAGTCATGCGGCGGCATCGGGAGAGAGAAAGTGCCAATGCAGAGGCGATGATGAATAAAAGGACACTGGATGATCACGAGAAGGAGCTCAGTCCTGGCAAGAAGCAGAAGGTTGCCCATGACCCACCCATTGCTCTGCCATTACCAGCGACGGCACATGCGCAGTCAAGTTTGACCCCGTCTACCCTTGACATGGCGGTGGTCTCTTTAGCACCACTCATCACCGATCGTTGTGGCGCAGGGAAGACCACTATGTCATCCGGCTATGAACCTAGTGACCCGATGAGGCCTGGTCCTTCTGTATCACTCCCTGTAGCTCGTCGAGGGCTCGGCAGGACGGTAACATTACCCAGCATCGATCATGATTCTCTGGGCGTCTAGGTTTCTATCGCCATTTTTTTCGAGCTCGTTGTCTTGTCCCTTACTCGCCATTCCTCTGCCATAATTACGGCTATACGGATTTTGTCAGACGAATGCCCCGTCCTAGGTTGTAGGTCAATTATATGTAATGCCAATGTATCAGTAGCCGACGTTGTCCGTACTGTAGCCCTAGCTTTTGTTAGTTGAATAATTTATCATCCCCGCCTTGCAAAAGATACTCGAGCACCGCACATCGATCCTGCTCACTCAAGTCGGCAACAACGAGGCAGAAAGCCAGTAACGTGGCGTCAAGCTCGGGTTCGTGTTCAAATATATCAGTGGGCAACAGACCATCGAGTACGGCAGATCCGTATGTCTAGATTTCCAACTTCGGCTCAAGGGACGCAGAGTGATGGCCTCGGGAAGGCTCAAGGAAACAAAACTGACTCGGGAGGGTGCCTCTTTGGCGGACTCGCTGAACGACTGGAAAACGGGAATAATTAAAGGGTTCTATTCAAGGTCAGGCTGATGGTTGATGGTATCCATTAAAATCGTGTTTACCTGCCATGACGAAACAGGTCGGTCCCAAAACGAAGGGGATGCAATGCATGTACGTATTGCGGAATACATGCCCTACTTTGAGGAGAAGAGGGAAGCCTCCCACGGTTCATAACCGTTGGTGTAGTGTTTGTACACGTTTCTGAACGGCGTTACTAGGAGAAGTCTTTTGTAAAGGTAAGCGCTTTCCTTGATGGTGCTGATAACGGACAGATTATGCACCAAATTCAGTATGCCTACGCCTTGTTTACAAACTGGAAGTTACCTTCTGGTACGGATTCAGGAAGGCCTGAGATCGACAGGATGCGAGATCAGAGGGCCGACCGGTAGTGACGATAAGAGATGGAATCGGAGCATGGTGAAGACGGTAAGGTGCTCCGGCACCAGTTTAATGAAAGCAAGTTAAACTTTCTGCGCAGGCTGACAAATTCCGGCCTCGGCTAGACCAGGAATATGCCACAAGGGTAAGCCTGAGAACAGAGTCTCGAGGCGGACGTTGTTTCGCTGAAAGTGCCTTGTCCCCGTACTAAGCGCCGACAAGGATGGTCGTTGTGGAGAGATAAGAGGACCCCGGGGGTACACCTTATAAGTAAAAAGGTTACGTTGTCGAGCGAGCTGAGAAGACCGACCAGACCTGGCAAATTTTCATATGAATGAAGCATAAGCTGGTCGAGTATAATGGCAGTAGAAAAGAAATGATATAATCAGTCACGGCAGTATTTTAACGGAAACATCAGAAGAAGGGCGCCGTTAAGGAAAAAAACGGCTGAGGGAGCCTCAAGACGGACGGACGACCTAGGAGTGTATTCATAAGTAAGTGGTGAGGCCATTGCACGCTTGTTGGACCAAAAAGTAGAAAGGCAAAGGCAAGGACCATTGTTGGCGGCGGCGTCGGTGCGACACAATAGGAGACAAGGAGACGGCCGGCTGCCACGTGGAGGAACGGAACGCTCTATATAGAAAATTCAGGTCCTCTGTGGCACACCTTTTACTTTACCACTGGGCTTGCTCCCAGCCATACCCTTCCCTTTCTCTTCTCGCTCGCCATTGCCCCATATCGTAGCCCACTATGGCCACGCCCCATGTTATTGCATCTTCATCTCCACACCTTTCACAATCATCAACGTCGAATGGAATTGTAGGAAGCCACTATCGGGTTGGAAAGAAAATTGGGGAAGGATCGTTTGGTGTCGTGTTCGAAGGTGTGTATTGTCTTCTTGTCATACTCGACTTGCGTCGTTGCTGCTTGCTATCCAAATCCTCGTTTCAAACCATGGGCTACGTATCGTCTTGGCGCTTATACGTGCCCTCTTCTACGACCGCCCGGGGAACTGTGCGGCCAAACACGTCGTTCTGCGGGACTTTTCTGCTTCGTCTGCTGACTCTTTGCTGCTGTGCTGTTCCTTCTGTCATCGCTGTTATAACTGTTATTGTGCATCTCAATACTAACTAATCGTCCGTGATGTAGGCACCAAAATGCTCTCTAATACCCCCGTCGCCATTAAATTCGTAGGTCAATTCACCGACCCATGTTAGCTGTCTCTAACATGCTCTTCGTTCAGGAACCTCGTAAGTCCGACGCCCCGCAACTTCGAGACGAATTCAGGTCATACAGGACCCTGAATGGCACTCGTACGTCAAACGGTTCTTTCAACGACTTACGTTTCATTCATTTGCAAAACTACAGCTGGCGTTCCACAAGTCCATCATTTTGGTCAAGAGGGTCTTCATAATGTTTTGGTTATCGACCTCCTTGGACCAAACTTGGAGGACCTTTTTGACATGTGTGGTCGCAAGTTCTCTATCAAGACCGTTTGTATGGCGGCTAAACAAATGGTGAGTGTGTGCAGGACGCCTTTACATTCTGAACCTTGGCCTCGTCTCTCGTACCGTTTCCGAGGGTACCATCAACGAAGGCTACTCCTCATCACACATGTCACATGCTAACATCAGCCGTTTCGATCTAGGTTACTCGCGTGCAGGCCATTCACGAGAAGTCTTTAATCTATCGCGATATCAAACCAGACAACTTCTTGATCGGTGTGCCGGGCACCAAGACAGCTAATACTATCCATGTTATCGGTACGTGAATTCTGCGTCTTCCCCACTTTTTTCTTCCCGTCGATGCCTGTCGGAGGCACGAGCGGCATGTTGTTTGTCATTCTTCTATCTTGGGCCATCTGTGATATCACCGAAACTCATGGTATTCTTAGACTTCGGCATGGCAAAACATTACAGAGATCCAAAGACAAAGGTGCATATACCTTACAGGGAGCGAAAGTCACTGTCTGGCACCGCGCGGTACATGTCAATCAACACTCACCTCGGGCGCGAACAGTCAAGACGTGACGATCTTGAATCGCTTGGCCATGTATTTATGTACTTCTTGCGAGGTGGTCTGCCATGGCAAGGTCTGAGGGCGGCGACCAACAAACAAAAATACGAAAAGATTGGAGAAAAGAAGCAAACAACGGCTATAACGGAGCTTTGTGAAGGATTCCCTGGTAAGGTTTACTTCCCTTCACATGTTTCATTCAGATAGCTAAGTTATTTTGCAGAGGAGTTCGCGATTTACATGAACTACGTGAGGAAACTTGGGTTCGAGGAGACTCCCGACTATGATTTCCTACGAGAGCTTTTCACCAAAGTCTTGAAGACCTTGGGTGAGCCTGAGGATGGGGTGTTCGATTGGATGCTTCTAAATAATGGTAAAGGCTGGGAGGCTAGCAACGTATGTCATACAATGTTGTCTCGTCGTGGATTCCATATTAATATGTCTTCAACTAGTCGAGCTCACAACACCTTGCTCAAGCTCATGCTAATGCAGCATCTCCTCATGCTCATCGCGAGCATCGGCGAGACCGTGACCATGGCCACCGACGATCGCGCCAAAATGCCGACCCCAATTCTACATCACCTCTCGTTCTCAGTCCTGCTCCAGCGCATGTCAAGAGCAGTAGCCGGCGACCCGCTGCACAAGAGAGAACCAACTCTGCCCGTGACATTGGCAGCGTTCAACTTCTTGCTCCAACAAGTCGACGGACTAGCCAGCAGCAGCGGGAAGCAAGTGCTCTTGCAAGCGTCGGTATTCCACCACATCCTTATGCCACTGCTCCTAGCCCAAACGGATATCGTTCCGGAGCGGGACGCGAGTACGGACGACATTCACCGAATCCGAATGGGCTTGCTAATGTCCATCCCAATGGTTCTGAGTCATTCCTGTACAACCAAGGCCAGGGAAAGAACGGGACTAACTCGCGAGATGGAACAACAACCGGTGGTACTGGTACGCGAGATCTGCATGGACATGCGGGTGCCAGAGGAATGGCTGTGTACGATCGCGATCAGATGGTGAGGGTTGGGGAGCAAGACGAGGATATAGGGCGTAAGAAAGGCTTCTTCGCCATGTTCTGTTGTCGGTGATGAGACGAACTGCTGCGGGATGGCCATTTGTTTCATGCCCGTGTACGTGCCGTGTGGTATCTATATATTTGGTGCGCTTTGCTCTTTCCCCTGCATGCAACGTTTAATAATCATCGCGTAAGGTTATTGCACGTAGATGACGATTACGACTGCTCTAAAACATACCCACCTAATAATTGTTTCGCCAAGTGCATCACGGTCATCCTCATTCACGATCTTTCAAGTCTGTTATCGCTTTCATATAGCACGGTTCTGGGTCTGCATCCGTAGTGTAGTTAATCCTTTCAAGTACATGATGATCTGGCTCTCCTTCATGAACTATATAACTCTATATGTAGGGGATTGCACGTTATTTTCTTCCTTTAGTCTCATTCATCATTGTATTATTTACCATCATCCGTACTGTTGGACACGCTGGAACATGAATTCATGCATACCTGCTTGCTTTCTGCGGACGGTTGTCTTATTGTCACACATAGATGTCACTAATGTTACCCGCAAAGGTAGAGCCGTATCTCACCCGCACTTCTATTCTTAATTTCGATGGCCGATAATGCTATCTCTGTTTCACGCGAAGTATCCGCAGACCTGGCTCGGGCAGCGGTTGTTCTTCAGGGCATGCAATCACAGTCGCGTTCCTCCACCCTTGGCGTTCCCCTCAATGTTCCCCCGGCCCTTTTCGGCGCTGGCGGACCAATGTAAGTGCAACTACGCACGTTCATGACTTTTCTCACCGACATATCGCCAGGCTGAAGCAATTCGATGAATCTGCTGTCAACAGCAGGAAGGGATCCCAGGCGCCGACCCCTCCACAGTCAGTAAAGGGCATCGGAGGCAAAGGTGCCTTGTTCCTTCTCAACTAGACAGCGCCGATTAACAGACGCTTCATTCTGTAGTTGCCAAACCTGATTATTCGGAGAGTAAAATTGTTGTCGCGATGGTTAGACCCTAGGCGCTTGTTCCTTTATCGATGAACCACGTTGACTCCCTTCTTTCCCCTTTGTCAGGTCGGGCTTCCAGCTCGAGGCAAGTCCTACCTCAGCAACAAGCTCATGATATATCTCAAGGTACACATCGAATTCCCCCGTGATAGACGGGGCGCTTCTGATTATATCTGACACAGTGGCTCGAGTACGATGTGAAGGCATGAAACCATTCATACACACTGGGGCCGTGCCTGGTTTTGATACCATTTGTCCAGGTGTTCAATGTTGGACAGCTTAGGCGAACACGAGCAAGACAAAAGGCACAGCAGTGCGCTTTCACTTCCCTCTCATTGAACCCTTGGTGATCTTGTCTCAGAAGCGGAATTAAGGAAGACCATACAGCTTCTTACTTTAGTCACAACAATGCCGAAGCGACCCAATTGCGGGACCGTTTGGCGGAGGACAGTCTTGAGATGCTTATCAAATGGTTGAAAGAAGGGGGTAATGTTGGTATTCATGGTGTGTTCATTCATATACCTTTGTGCTAAGCCTGTAACGGTAAAACCTACAACAGACGCCACAAACAGCACACGAGCCCGTAGGTTGGTTTCTGTCTTCCCTGAGTAATGTTTCAAGTCGTTGAACACGTTTTGACGTAGGGCCAAGATCCAGGCCCGCGTTGCAAAGGAGAAAGGGATGATCCTTATATTCCTGGAGTCTGTTTGCGATGATCCTGCGGTTATAGCCGCCAATGTGGCTCTGAAAGTCAGTTCGGGTGATCCTGACTACAAGGACACGTCCCCGGAAGAAGCCAAACGTGACTTTCTGCGTCGTATCGGTGAATACGAGAAAGTCTATGAGACCATCACAGAGCCCTCCTTGTCATACTTGCGGATCGTTAATGTGGGTAAGGAAGTGACACTATCAAGAATCAATGGGTATCTCTCTAGTCGAATCGCTTTCTACTTGATGAACCTCCATGTCAAACCTCGAAGCATATACTTTTCGCGGGTACGTCTTGTCCGAGTCTCCGGAATTGAAACGTGGCTGATTGCAATCTTTCAGCACGGTGAAAGTCAATTTAACGTTGAAGGAAAAATCGGTGGGGATGCACTCCTTTCTTCTCGTGGAATGGAATACGCAAAAGCGTTGCCTGCGTTAATAACGCAGAGTGTTGGAGATAAGCCATTGACGGTTAGTGTTCACGATACATGGATCGTCCATGCGTTTTCCTGAGGCGATAAATAGGTATGGACATCTACGCTCAGACGTACCATTCAAACCGCCCAAGATCTTCCTTACCCGAAACTTACCTGGAAGTCCTTGGATGAGTTGGACGCTGGTGTATGTGATGGGATGACGTATGCAGAAATTGAAGTGAGTCTAAAGATAACACCCTGCGCGGATTCGTCCATTATCCTGACTTGTCATAGCAAGAGTATCCCGATGACTTTGCTAATCGAGACGAGGACAAATTTAACTACCGTTATCGAGGCGGAGAATCTTATCGCGACGTTGTAGTACGACTAGAGCCTGTTATCATGGAGCTTGAACGTCAAGAAAATATCTTTATCATTGGACATCAGGTACGTTTGTGCGCCTGAGTTGAGTAATCTCAGGAAAAGCTTATGACAAATCAGGCTATTCTTCGCTGCTTGTAAGCATGCTGATCTGCGCCGCTCTGGTTCGATTCAATAAACAGCTGATGTGTTGATGTGTAGATACGCTTACTTCCATCACCTTCCGCAAGTAGATCTTCCCTATATCAAGATACCGCTGCACACCGTGATCAAATTGACCCCCAAGGCTTACGGCTGTGACGAAGAGCGGTGCGTGGTGTATAAGCTTTGGACTTTTGTGGATGACGCCTGATAACTCCGTTGCAGCTACCCGCTTCCAATCTCCGCGGTTGATACCCACAGGCCAAAACCGAAGTCTGGCCACCAACCTACGGTCCACGTGTCGTCTGCGCGACAGTACTTTTCTGAAGACGTGAAAAACTAACGTCACCCCAAAAAGTATTTTGGGGATGCATAGAGCTGTATCATACATGTCTGGGCCATCGGACACTATACACATCGTACTAGTAGCTTTTAGAACGGTAATACTGGGTCTCGTCCACGATAAGCAGACAGGGAATAACACGAGTCGTGCGAAAGGCTGCTTCCTTCGAGTCTCGACTGATGGAGTTTGAGCCTCAACGACAGGCAATACCCGAGATATTGGCGGGAGTTGTACGAGCTATGGTATTTCGCGGCTTGCTGCAAGGAGTGCGCGGACATTCAATATGTAGTATTCATACCAGTTTCCCCAAGAGAGTAGTGTGACGTGATCCAAGTTGCCGCAGAAATTGAATTGGGGCAAACTGAATAATTCCAGCGGCCTTATATACCAGCTCCCATGACCACATCTGTCCACTCTCGTTCACCCACTGCCCTCACTCTCCCCCCCTCAACGACATGTCCTTCAGCATCGCTCGCTCTCTGATATCCAAAGCACGCCCTCTAGCACAGCGCTCGCCCGCGGCGACGCGCTCGTTCTATTCACCTTTTGCCGTTCTCGGATCGTCGTCAGTCACAACGGCACCACCACCATCTACCGAGGGCTGGTACGAGAAGCAGACAGAGCAGTCTCCAGACCCCGATGCGTATGATGGACACCGTACCTATATCGTCTCCCCCGACACATCTAGTACCCCGTACCATGTCCCTTTGGGCGCGTACCCGGTCTCCTCACCTTTCACGGAAGAGTGCTATTCAAGCGGCGCTCGATTCAGCTCTTCTGGTAATGGGTTTGCGCACCCAATGACCACTTGCACTGCGCACGGTGCGAAGAAGGGTTCAGAATGAAGGCGTTTGATATCAGCGGCCCGAGTCGGTCCTAGGTCAGTTATTATTCCTTGAATTCCCCTAACTTACACTTACCCTTCTTTCTTGAAAGCATTTTTTGAATCTTGGAAGTCTTTTCTCTGTTCTGTTCATGGTTGTCTTTCTGTATCATCAAGTACTCATTATCTTCGCTGGTGTATTATTACTACATACGTCCTTTCTTTCCAGTGCAGACCTACGTACAATCGTGTCGCTACTTTCCCATATGTCTTCGCACCAATTTGAATGACTGGACGTTGAATAGGAAGGGTTGCTATGTTGTGCAACTTTTCATCTTGTTTTTCCGTCTGTCTCCGTTTGTGGTTCGGGGTCCGTACTATTTTCATACATCACCTTTCTTGAGAAGAGTGGGGCTAAAATGTGTTCGCAGAACCGACGACAATCTGACAATCACGCGCCAGGTTTTAGGACCCAAGAACTGTACTTTCCTCTTGGTAACCGCGCTGTGTTTCTGGAAAACACGATCTTCCACATGAATACACGGTAATACTCCGGACAATCATCTTCGTAGACTGGATATCATTGAATATCTATATGAATCCTGGTGCGCCCTGGCAAATTTGCCTCCCTGCTGCGTATAATTTCATTCCTTTTTTACCAATAGTATGATTTGCATCCGGGCCTTACGTAGGAAACGGTTGAAAAACCTCACGAGGTGAACAAAAGAGCATCATCTCTTCCATTCACTCCCTCCAATCCTCATGATCATCATCGAACACGCAGTGTTGATGATGCTGACTTGGTCTCTGCTGCCTTCGATCTCATATCTGTTCAGTATTATGTCCGCTGACAACACTGACGGTGCTACTGTTGTTGCTGAGGCATTAGAGGCTCAGAGATGTACCGATCCGTCTATGCGAAAGGAATGGCGCGCGCTGTCTTTCGATGAGAAGGTTGATTGGATCGCCGCGGTTAATGTGAGTGTAAACCTTGAAGTATCAGCATATCTGATGTGAACCTATAACCAGTGTCTCTCGCATGTCCCTCACGATCCCAACGTAGCAGGAACTGTAGATCGGAATGTCTCCCAAATTCCGGTCTTGACCAACGACAGCTCGCTTTTTGATGGTAATCACCTCGTTTACGATTTGTCGTCCTAGGATTATTTAATCGACATTATTTTGTAGACTTTGTCTATCTGCAGTAAGTCTGGCTACTTTTGGATATGCTTCGTTGCTGAGAGTGTCAAAGCATGGATCTCAATATCAAGGTAGATTATGGCTTGACTGATATAAGATTAGATACTAGTGGTCATTGGTACTGTTACAGATCCATTGGACGGGCTACTTTTTGCCCTGGCACCGACTGCTCACATTCAAATTCGAGCGTGCATTGCAGGATTATTGTGGTTACATCGGAATGCAGCCGTATTGGAACTGGACCCAAGGTAAATGGTCTCTTCAACGGTTCCGCACCCTTCGTCTGATGGCAACGGCCTGTTCAGATGCATACCGGGTTGCTAACTCTACAATGTGGGATGACGACCCTGTTAGTGGGCTAGGCCCTAGCACTGGCGACGAGGGCAATGATTTCAGCTTGAGCAAGGGTGGATTTTCGAACTTGACGCTTGCTTATCCTAGCGAACATATAGTCCGGAGGAATTTGACTTTGCAGCCGTTCTTGGTGCTTGGAAACCCTTGGCCGGATAATCCCGATGATACGCTGTGCGTGCTTGAATATTCCCAGCGTTTGTTTGATCTGAACAATATGCAGGGATTACTATCAGTATGTGGATTGGATGTTCGCACCCGAATATGTGCAGAGCATGGTGGTGGACAACGTTAACTATACTGGTGATTTCAAGGCGTTTCAATATTTCCTGGAAGGACCGAAGGTGCAGTGATGTATCTGAGCTTTCATGTCATTGTGTTGAAGAAGGCCCACGCAGGGACCCCATGGACCGCCTCATTGGTAAGAAACTTGAATATCCTTGATACCCACAGTAACCCTCATCTTGAGATGCAGGCTTCCTGGCGGTGACTCATCCAGTCTTTGTCCTGGAAACTACACTGAATGCGGCGTCGGTGGACCTAAGTGGTCTAACAACGGTGAGTATAGAGACATCGAATGAACGGTTTTACTAACGGCATTGAGTGCAGACCCGCTCTTCTATTTGCACCATGCTGTATGGATTTATTCATGACTTGGATCCCATCATCACGCTCACTCCGATCGCCATTCCATAGATGATCGACAAATTGTACTGGGAATGGCAAAATAAAGATCCGAGCAACTTTTACGCTTTCGAAGGAGGTTCGGTTCAGAGTATGAGCACTTGGGCTGAATACGTTCAATACCCTAATGGTGCTGCTCCTTGGCTGAACGTAAGAAAAAAACTATTGTTGGATTACCTCAATTTAATGGTTCGCGACAGTTGAACAGTACCATTCCTGGTGATGGTATGTGGGACGCGGAAAACATCACCATCTGGGACATAATTGACATCCAGAGCGGAATTCTCTGCTATGACTATGAGTGATTTCAGGACGTAGAAAGAGAGATTAATTAGATTTTTCATGCGCTGGCATCCTTCAAATGACAAACATGTTTGGAAGATGAAACTTGGTCTGGGAACATTGTCTAAAGTTGAAACACCGAATTTAGTAACCGGTCCGATCATTTCCCACCTTGCTCAGCTACCGCCATGCACTCAGACGATATGCAAGTTGATGCTGCGCCCAATGTCGTGCGCGTCCCAATTCCAGCGCTGCCGTCTGTGCCGCCGCCTCCAGACTTGTATGACAAGCACCGTGGCACAAACATACCTATTGTCATCGACAACGGGTCTACCACTTTTCGCTGGGGCTTTGCTGATTCAGAGGCGCCTAGGTTTGGTCCTAATGCTATATCCAAGTACAAGGAACGAAAGACAAATAGACCTCTTTTACTTTTCGGGGAAGCCATCGACGTGGAAAGTGGTGCCAAAGCGCAGACGAGAACTGCTTGGGAAGGTGATATCTTGCTGAACTTTGATGCTTTGGTGTGTTCAGTTTTTGGTTCCTTGCAAGAGCAGTGCGTTGAACGGGCTTCGAGACGTAGGAGAACGCCTTAGATTACGCGTTTGTCAATCTTGGACTCGATACGCCGACCGTGGAACATCCTGTGTTAATGACAGAAAGGTTGAGCACACCGTTGCATTCAAGGGCTTGTAAGTGTTTTTTTAAATATCTCGGGTAGTTGTAATGAATGCACATGCGCTTACTTTAACAGTGACTTCGGAGCTAATGTTCGAACAATATTCGGTCCCAGCCTTATCATATTGCATCGATGGGCTGATGTCATTCTATGGAAACAACAAAAAACCTGGAACCGACAATTTTGAAGAGGATGGCCTGTGCATATCGTTTAACACGGCTTCAACTGCTGTGATGCCCATACTAAATGGGAAGGGTATTCTGAGCCATGCAAAACGGTACGTTATGTTACAGTCTGTATGAATTTCTCTACCAACGTGCGATCAGAATACCATGGGGATCTCTTCAATCCTCAGAGTACCTTCTGAAGCTAATCCAACTCAAGTATCCCAATTTCCCGACGCGTGTCACAACAACGCAATCTAATGTAATCTCCTGATGCATCTCTGCCTGTTACTGCTGACCTCATTTGAAGTGGATGCTGCGAAACTTCTGCGATGTATCAACGAACTACTCTATGCTTCTCAAATCTTTGAAAGATCCTCTAAAATTACGTGCATCGGAGACCATCATACAGTTCCCCTTCGCGCTTCAAGTAGCTGAAGAAAAAACTGAAGAGGAACTGGCGCGGATTGCGGAAAAACGGAAAGAACAAGGACGAAAACTTCAAGAATTAGCGGCAAAAACGCGAATGGAAAAGGCAAGGCGTCTATCTTACATGTCGTACTTGTTGCTGATATCGACATATCTAGTTGCTACAGAAGGAGAATGATCTTCAACACTTACTGGAGCTTAGAGAATCCAGAGGCGAAGATGGCAAGAGAGAATGGAATGTAGGTGACCAGTGATCCTCCTTTTGTCTGTACCTCATCACGTGTTTATAGAATAAATTGTCTGCCGAGGGTTTTGACGATGACTCTCAGTTGGATGACACCATCAAAAAGTTGGAGTCTGGTCTCAAGAAGGCAAGAAAGAAGGAAGCTGCTGATGGTGGAGATGACCCTATAGTTTGTCGCGCAATACTTTCCTTTGCATCACTGACAATGGTATAGGAAGAACCTTCTTTCCCGCTTGTGGATGTTCCGGATGTAGATGTGATTGTTTTTTCTAATGCCTGTCCACTTTCTTTTCACCCGTGTCTGTACACAGCTAGATGAAGACGGCCTCAAGGAAAAGAAGAAGCAAAAACTGATCAAGGCAGGCTACGAAGCGCGTGCGCGAGCAAGACGCGAAAAAGAGCGTGAAAAAGAAGAGAAGGAACGCGAGGAGAAACGGGAGGAAGAAGAACGTGAAGCAGACTTGGGCGGGTGGTCCAGGAAGCTGCGACAGGAACAGGAAGTATGTCCTGATGTACTATTCCATTGCCCTACCTTGTGCTTACCTTGCTTATGTAGGTTCTGATGGACCGGATTAAGAATCGGTCGAGAAGAAAAGCTGCTTTGAGTGATAGAAAGAGTGCCGCCGCTCAGGCGAGGATGAAGAGTATCGCAAACCTCGCCGCAGATGACAGGATATCAAAAAAGAAAAGGAAAGGGGCGGGAGGTAGGATTGTTTAGAATGAAATGTCTTCGGACTGACATTGCTTTAGAGGATATGTTTGGTGCTGATGATGCTGACTGGGCGATCTATCGAAAAATAGTGAGATTGAATAGTTCCGCTTTGATAAGCCCTTAACGTATCTGTCAATTAGAATACTACTGCAGCTTCGTCTGATGAAGAGGAGGACTTGATCCAGTTGCAGTTAATCGAACAGAAACTTCTAGCTCACGATCCCACTTTCACGGCTCAACATACGCACGCGTCAATAACGGCCCAGCGATCTGCACTGTTGACCGCTTTCAAACCTGTCTATGAGGAGGGCGACGTGGAGGGTACGTTTATGGATAATCTGTAACATGTGTCTTACATGAGGAAAACAGGCAACACACGGATCCATTTGAATACAGAAAAGTGGCGAGTCTGCGAAGCCTGGTTTTCACCGGGGATTGCAGGCGTCGATTCCGCAGGCGTCGGGGAGGTCATTCAGAACATCTTGTCTCGATTCAGTGATGCCGAAAAGGCGAGGCTCGTGAAGGCAAGCTTTCTGCTATGTAGCTGCTGGACGGGTGCAATTATTCATTACCTCTAGAACATATTTCTCACCGGGTCTCCATCGCAGTTTTCTGGGATGATACCAAGGCTTCATAACACCTTGAGGCCTCTACTCCCACAGGACATGCCCGTCAACATCGTGAGAGCAGCAGACCCATCCCTAGATGCCTGGAAAGGCATGTCCTTGTTCAGTGTAACCTCGGAATTCGAGAAGACTTGTTTTACCAAAGCCGAATACGAGGAGTATGGGCCAGAGAAGATCAGGAAATGGTGGGGAAGTAACTGGAACAGTTCGTACTTATAACAAACGCGAAACTCTTCCCTGTAATTTTACCGAGCTTGAATTTCTTGGGCAAATGCCACACTTTCTTCCCTTCCCACAGAGGGCACCCTCTTCAAGTTGTTCTAAGAAATGCTCAAAACCACTGTTGTTGCGCAGTAGATCTAGGCCGTGTCGGCAATGCCGACAGCGTCCTGTATGGGCAGGACGATGTTACATATAATATCCCAATGTGATCGCATGTCCATTATTCGGTGGACGTACTTGGTTCAGGGACATGACTCTGGTAATCTCAAAGCATGAGAAATTCTGGAAATTCTGTCTACAACCAAGCCTCAGATCTTACTGGCACTTACCCTTGACGTCCTGTAGCTTCAAGTTTCAGAAAATCTCTTCCGGCGCTGACTCTTCATGATGCACGATGATCCGCGTCTCGTTGGGCACCTCGTTCACACACTTGACAATCCAAGGATGCCCTGAAGGAATACCACGTTCTTGGCGATGAAATGACATTTCTGTAGTCTCCCAAACTTTGATACCTACAGGTCGGATGTTTATATACATAACTCACGGTAACGGTTTTCATACGCTCTGCGTTTCAATATGCAAAAAAAGATAGGCTTATTTGCAATTTCCTAGCTTCATTTTCGCCTGCGCGCGCCGTCTCAGCGCCTTTATACATCATTATCAGGGCGCTTGTCACTGACCCTCCAGGCATGTTCTTTCTCCGCATGAAATCACCAGTGATTGTTTCTCTCCTCCTACGTTGACCGTCGATAGATATCGATTATGGACCGATGCCCCAGTTATTCGAAAGCTGATATCGATATAGAGACTGGTGCTCATCAGGTGCGTCACTTCACAACATCGCCGTCGCGTTTTTTTTTCCTGAATTGCTTCCAGTACTTGGCCCAAAAACAAGGAAATACTAGCGTATCCCCTCCTCCATACGAACATCAGGAAGCCCCGACCTACAATTCTCTGACAACTCCCGCTCCTATGTCTTGCCCGTTGGTTCAGTATCTTTGTCTCATTGGATTTTGTATGTCTAGCGGCCCCCCCCCCCTCTCCGGCGCCCCTCGATAACCTGAAACCTTGCAGTATGCCCCATCTTATGGGTAGTTGGAGCTCTCGTACTTGTTTCACCTCTTCGTAAAATTTTCCTGTGGATGTTCTCATCTGAAACGGAGGTGGCAATTCACAACGAGGAGGCGAGGAGAACGCGCAAAACAGAGATGAAATGGGCAAGCACCTGTTTGATTCTTGTCAGCCTGTTCTGTCTAGTTGGAACAGTTATCTTTATGGTTCACTTCACGGCTAAGGACGCCAGCTAATGGTGTTCCGCTGTTACCAAGTCTATCCTTAACATGGTAGTACTGTGCTTTTGCATAACAGATTTTATTAAAGAGAGGGCCTGGTGCGTTTAACGCACTCAGGTTTATTATAGTAACTATGCTACCTACACCTGATCACCTATCTCACTACATTCGTTGACTTTCATACTGTATATCTTTTACCAGAGGGACCAAATGAGCAGCAGAATCATTCATCGGAAAACAAAAGACGCCTATAGCTAAGATTGCTACTGTTGTGAACAAAACATATACTGTACAAGCGCTACTTTCTGGGGCGCTTCTTGACCTCCTCATCCTTACAAGCATGCAGCATTATCTTGTTGGGGTGTCCAGGTGTCATACCTGAATGCCCCTTGGACCAGTCATAAGAAATGGCGTAGGCAAAGATGTTTCCGTTTCGATTGAATCCGGTGCAGGAGATCGGTCCAGGGAAGTCCTTGCTGATCTCAAATGCTAAAGCAGATGTTAGTAAAGAGGATGTAAAAGAGAACGACTAAATTACATTTGAGACGGGTGCGAGCGTCTTTATCCCAGAAGTGAATAGAACCATCGGAGCCTTGGCAACGACATGAGATGAACTTTTGTACAGCAGCCGGAAACCTACCACATGTCGAGAAGGTTCCATGCACCGGGTGGAATGATATATCATTGACGGCAAAAACCATTCCCTGATCCTTGGAATTGGGCACTGTGTCCTTTCGGTGACATTTAAAAGAGAAGTTGCTCCTATATATGTATCGTCAGCAAGCTTGGTCGGAAATAACAGCGAAGACCTTACCCGTTATCCTTATCTTCCACATATCTTTGAACCCAGGTCAGCGTTTGAAAGTACATAACGCAGAACAAAAACTTACTGGATAGCCACCCGACCTTCGATGCTACCAACGGCGAATCCCGAGTTTTGGGATGCTGTAAAACAGGACACGACGCGTGTTTGCCATTTCAGAGGCGATGGCATGGTCTATTATGTGTCAATTGAAACATCGACATTCTAGGAAGGTCACAAAACCTTGTATGGCGTTGTAGGATTGTTGAGGTTAAAGACTTGGATGTGACGCTCAGCTGTTCCGACGACCAAAAGAGGGTATTGGACATCAAAGCTATAGCACCGTTCCGGGAGTTGAACTGATGCCACAGGTTGTTGAGCGCGGAGGTCCCAATACTGTACCGGGTCAGACGTCACGGCAACCAGAACACGCGTTCAAGAACGTACTTTGATCGTTTTATCCCAGCTACCGGTGGCTAATACCCCCATATTCGGTGATTCAACCCACCGCACGACCTTGATAGGAGCATCATGCTGAGCCACTTGCATAGCTGCACCCGTCGTTACATCGAACATTTTAGCTTGATTATCAGCTCCACCAGAGAATATTTTATTGCCCTCCTGTTCCACCACATACTGTGTCAACGAGGAGATCAAGTAGAGAGAACACACGACATACCTTGTTCCAACAGACGTCTAAAACTGGACCGTTATGTTGGTACATCGCCTTCCCTTGCGTTTGGCCACTTGTTCCAACTTCATAGACCCTTACCTGTCAGAAGAGGGTGAAATACGCGACCTTTTAGCAGAGTTACTACATACACTATTATCCCAGCTGCCAACGGCCAGATAGTCTGCTTGTGAAGAGAAGGACAAAGATGAAATCGAATCTGGTGGGGGGTCAGCGACTTCAAGATCCTTGTCGGTGCTAGTGCTGTTTGCGGCAGTTGTGGACGTCGACGCCCCAAAGAAGGAAGACATGGCGAAGCAGATTGCCTGTGTCCGAAAGAATGGAAAGGGAGAGAGGAAACAAGCAGTGGTTCAACCAATTCAAGGTCAGTCGGTGAATATCACACGTGTGACTGTGACATTGTGCCATTTCTTTTTGCTCTCTTTCTTTTGCCGTCTCTTCATTTATAGTGGAATATACACAGTACGTTATCTGAAAGTACCCGTTTCTTTTCATCAACTGATGTCTGATTATCTCCCCCAGCCGTCATTAATGGCTGAAGTCTCAGAGGCAGGCGCTTCAAACTTACCGAAAGTTAGTGATATTTTTTTCGCTGGAATGAGAATTGTTGACATTATCTAGTATTTTTAGGACAAAACCAAGGCCAAAAAAAGATACTTGAAAAAGAAGAGAGAACGTAGAAAATCCAGGAAGCCGACCAAAACTAATGAACGAATTCTTCAAGAGACCTCGCAGGATGAAAGGGAGGACGACGAAGAAGACGTTCAAATGGATGTCCCTCACGAAGGGTCCCAGAAATCCTTAAAGCCATCTAAGAAACGCCAGAAAGTTGAAGCTGGGCGAGAAGAGACCCTTATGGATGTTGATGAAGAACAAGTTCCTACTAGGCTGAGCATTCCACCATCTGTTCCTATTACAAACCCAGGAACACTCCCGTTATTCCCTTTGCCTACTTTACCCGATTTTCCCTCACGCCGGGATCTTGCACTTCAAGGATTGGACCAAGCTTTGGTGGATGCGGAATTTATAGATTCATCGACGAGTCTGCCTGTTCCGCTCGGCGGCGATGATGATGGCGGAACTAATCTGAGCGAACGGTCTCGGAAGCGGTTGCATGAGCTTGGTATAGCTCATCTATTTGCCGGTATGTCGATTTATGGTTTCTTCACTCTTGAATGCGTCCCAAAACTTTGTACTGCAGTGCAAACATCGTTACTGCCTTTTTTATTACCCAAGAATTCAAGGAAACGGGCTTTATATTGTACGTATAGTCCTCCTAGAGATGTTTGTGTTTCGGCTCCAACGGGGAGCGGGAAGACCCTCGCTTATGTTCTACCTATCGTGGAGGTAGGTCACCAATCATATACAGCATATCTTGACTGATCGATTGAATCGTTAGATCCTTTCTAGTCGAATAGTGACGCGTCTTCGAGCACTCGTCGTTCTCCCTACTCGCGATCTCGTGAACCAGGTTAAAGAGACGTTTGAAGCCGTAGCTAAAGGACGCGGGCTGAGGGTCAGTGTTCATTGTCCTGCTTTTTTTTTACTTTCTTAAAACAAAGAAGTAGATTGGTACAGCTACTGGACAACATTCCTTCTCGCACGAGCAGTCTCAATTAATTGCCGATAGGTCAGTCAAGTAAGTGCCCGTATATTTGAGGGAGGTCAGCGGTCCGATCCCCATGTCAGTCTCCAAGGCGGTTCCAGCAAAGTTGATGTCCTCATCTGTACACCCGGTCGATTGATTGACCATATAACTGACACACCCAACTTCTCTCTCCAGCACCTACGATTTTTGGTTCGTTCAGAGCTTTGCTGTGGCTGATGTTCTTATCAATAACCACTTTACAGGTCATTGATGAAGCAGATCGTCTTCTGGCGCAATCATTTCAAGATTGGCTTGCTCAGGTATTGTCCGCGACGCGACCATCAAAAGCCGTCCGTGGAAACTTGTCAGGCTCGCTAGATTTTGTCACTCCGTCTCCGATTCTATACCACAATGCAATCGCTCCCGCCTTTCATCCGTTCCACTGTTCTATTCTCGATGGACCGAACTATATATACGAACAAAAAGAAACTTCTTGCCAAAAGCTCCTGTTTTCTGCCACGTTAACACGCGATCCGTCAAAGATTGCCGGATTGGAGCTTCGAGATCCCAAATACTTTGTCATTCATAGTAGCCGACCCGAGAAAAATGCAAGCTCTGGCCTCTTGGACATAGTCATGGAGCAATTCACAATGCCAGAATCGCTCACTGTGCGTTCATTGTTTCAAGTGTTCGGTTTGCACTTTTTATGACTCCCCTTTATTCAGGAGCACATGATTGTGTGCGAGTCGTCCCAAAAGCCCCTGTACTTTTTCTATCTCGTTCGTGAGCACAGTGTACTCAATTGTCTTGTGTTCACTAAATCCGCTGAGTCCACTACACGGCTGGTTCGTTTGTTCGAGTACTTTGAGCAGTCTCGCGCAAACAATCATGATGGTAGTTATAAGCCTATTGTCATCCGTCCGTACTCGAGCGACCTTGGGGCAGCAGAGCGGAAGTCTGTCCTGGAGAAATTCAAGGCCCAAGAAATCCAGATGTCGGCCATTTCTCTGCTCCTATTTTCATCTCATGCTCATTATCGACAGACTTGTATGTTCGGATTTAATATCTAGAGGAATCGATATCCAACATGTCTCTCATGTTGTCAGTTACGACGTCCCTGTCGATATTCGTAAGTACGTGCATCGTGTAGGCCGTACCGCTCGAGCTGGACGCCATGGTGACGCGTGGACATTGGTCGAAGAGCAAGAGGTTCGCAAGTCTTGCTTTTTATTATTGAGTTTTGTTACTTTTCTCCCGATCCAGGCACGATATTTCAAGAATATGTTGAAAGATGCGGACCATCTGGACAAAGTTAGAAGACTTCGGGTTTTGGACAAAAACCTCTCATCATTATTACCACATTATGAGGTATATCTTTCTGACAGGTTTTGTGCAAAGCTAATGCTTTTCATTGTAGAGGGCCTTAGAATTACTCAAGGAGGCTTATTCGAGATGAGAGGAAAACTGTTACCTCGACACTACACTTGTTTAAGGTTATAAAGATGCAATTGTAAGGACATCTTTGCAACCATTTTCCTTGCAGTGCAAACTGATTTGCTAGTCGTGACCACGACAAGAGCTTTTCTGTGAGTCATGTAAGTCGTAACTTGGCTGGGTTCAACAACCTGTGGATAATAAAACCCTCAGATAGTAAGTATATAATACTTGTATCCTGAAGCGAAAGGAATAGATGCATCTCCCGTTACTTAACTAACGCTAAATTACGCCTGAAATGAACGAACATTATTGCGTGCGTAGACTCGAACCAGTCCTACCGCCAGTTGATGAGAATCAATCCTATGCTAGCTCTGTTGATCCACTGTCATCGAGCCCGCCTTTGGCCTGTATGGATCCGCAGCAGCAATGTCCGGAAGGTCACCCAATTCGTCGATAAGAAGTAAAGACGTGACAGTTGTCGTATTCAATATGATGGCTCCAAACGATGTGACATAGAGAACGTTAAGGACATGAAGATTTGCGTTCTGCTTGAAATCGCCACCGTCTACAACGTCGTTGATGGCTGAAAGTAGGCGTGCAGCTACTGCAGCCAGCAGGCTTGTCTATCCAGTACATTTAGCGGATATCTTCTAGATATTGCGATGGAAATACGAAAACAGCGGCCCTTGAAGTATGCGAAGAGGAAGCTAAGCCACTAATGTAAAGGATTGATTAATGAATGACCTTTGGGTAACTCGGAATTGGAAGAGCCCTACCTGTGCCTCCGCGCCTTGGGGTTTGACGGAGAAAGATGCGAAATCTGTAAGAATTACGGCAATTATATGACAAGACTCAATAGGCGCCAATTGTTGTAGACGCTGTAACACCAGGGCACGGAGGAAATGTGATCCCAGGCATGCATAAAAACACAACGTGTGGAGCTCTTTTACTCAGAATCATAATCCCTGAAGAGCTTAAATGACAAGATTTAACAGAAGATCACAAAGCAAGGTCCTTCTGCTGGACAGAATAGACGCCTGACGAGCTGTGACCACGGAGAGGACTGCGAGACACGAGAAAACAGACGCACGAGGTCGGGAGGTGGCGTGAAATATGAACGTTTAGAGTACCGCCGTTTTGAGAAAAAACCTTCCGGGCCGTCGGACTCTGCTGACGAAATAAACATGCGCCAACAAACATTACGCGTCACTTCACGCGCCAAGCTGACCTTCATCTAATTCACTCTCATGTCGTCTTCTGAATCCACCTCCAAGCCCGTTGAATCCAAAACGGAGAAAGATAAGGAGGAAGAAAAGCCAGAAGAAAAGCCACAAGTTAACACACTTGGTCTGTTGGAAGAAGACGATGAATTCGAGGAGTTCGAGACAGCAGGTACGTCCAAGCTCTCCTTTCTTCCGCGTGTTATCCAATTTTTTTTAAAAAATCACAGATTGGGATGATTCCCAAACGGATATGGTGCATCTGAATGGTGCGACTCCCGGTGCAGTAAAGTCTGGTGGTGACAAGCTCTGGGAAGATAATTGGGACGATGACGATATCGAAGATGAATTTAGCGTGCAGTTGAGGTACGTGGCTTGATGTAACATCGACACGCTCCTCATTAACCCCAACTATAGAAATGAGCTTGCAAAGACCGAAAAAAGCAGTGGTAATGACATGGAGCAATAGGCAGCCCGGGGCCCCACGCCCTTTCTTAATGTACAATCACATTTTACGTGAAGCTGATTCATCGATCCGGTCTTTCTGTTTTGAATGGAAATTCATTCAAAAATTCTAGGATTTTGGCTCACGGAAGAGAGGAGACTTAGAGAATGGGAAAAGAAAAAATCAACTGCGTAACGCCTACGAACAATAACCTCAACTCTCCCGCTTGCATCTCTTGCATCTGGTGTATTATTGCTATGTTACTCGTTCCACCTCCCGCTCATAACATCACGATTACACTGGAATTTTCTTCTCGTCTTCTTCAGCTGTCTCCGACGAAATATCGCTTCCAACTCCCAATCCCATCTGCGAAGTATCATAGCCCCTCGATTCCAAGTATTGTCGGAACTAAACGATTGTCAGATGACACACAAGAGACTGTTTCACCCTACTTACAGCAATGTCTTCCTCGACCATACCATCATGGCTCAAAGGTTTGATGAAACAGAAAGTCACGATGGCGCTCAGGATAGCAAGACCGCTACCAACCCAGAAAGGCCCTGTATTTCCCCTGGTCGTGTCTTTACCGCCGAACGCTGCAATGCTCCGTCAACATTTTGCCCCGGTAATCAAGGATACAAGGATACCGTCAATCATAGGAGGGAATGCTGAATGTTTTAGGATCAATGTTTGCCGATTGAAGAACACTTTAGATCTCACCCCATATGCCAACGAATGCGCCGACTTTCCCGGTGGCAGCGGCTATTCCATAAAATTGTCCCCGGATAGCCGTGGGACTCGTTTTGCTTGCCAGGAGACCAATGTTGTTGCCGGGACCTATCGTCAGTGATCTGAGTAAAATCTCGTCGTAGGAGCTGTCGGTTCTTCTTACCAAGCTCTCCAAAGCTCAAGAAGATGCCATAGACGACCTGACATGATCTAAATGAGTAGTACGTTGTGGAAATGTTGCGAGGAATCTCACGGCAAATGCAGCCACATGTGAGGCAAGCCTGAACGTTGATCAGATATCAGTCACTCTATCACGGCTGACCTACTTCTCATAGCATCCGCTCATGATGAACCCGATTATGGCCTGTGATAGGAGTCCCACAATCTGCCAATGAATTGTATGTATGTAGCGCATGCACCCACTATAAGAACAAACATACCATAGTCCATTTTGGCCCAAGGAAGTCGACAACGAAGGCTCCAAGGATAGTTCCTGTTGGAGGTGAGTGACCCCGAACTTCTGGACCAAGCACGTCGTTTTACCTGGGATGTAGAACAGGCTGCGCGAATGGTCAAATCTAGAGATGGATAGAGGAGAGGAATAAGTACTTGATTACAACGTTCCATCCAAATACGATGCTGAGCTTCTCGGACCCGCCAGTAATGCTGGCATGTTGTCAGCCGACTAGTCACGGTTTTGAAACAGACGCCTACTTGTTTACCACGGTGGAAGAATATAAACCGAACTGTATACTGATAATTCTAGCGGAAAAACGAAAGGGGCGATCTTACTGACAGGATACCTGAAAAAGGGTGAGAAATGATTTAATGATCCAGGAGAATACAGATACTGACACAATAAAATCATATAAAAACCTAGTAGTTGTTTAGTAGGGAACATGGCTGTTGAAGACTCATACCAGGTGAAGGAAATAGCGGCCAAGGAAACTCCATAGCGACGCAAGACGAGCATGTAAGGAATACGAACGCGCTTCATTGAATCTTTCTTGTATCTCTGGGGTTCGTCCATCCGAAGCCGCCAGATGAAAACTGCCAACGCAGGGACGACTCCGAGCCCCAAGGAAAGACGCCAAACGGCACGGAGGTGGTTTTCGCCGAAACTATGCGATTGTGACACTCAGCGGGGAAGAAAGAAGCTCAAAGCCTGGAAGATGCCTACATCCAGTATAGCACCAAGACGACGAAGGCGGAAATCACGAAGCCGAAGTCGATCATGGAATCTGCTTGAGCGTCAAATAGTGGTGCATGCTGTTTCGATGTGCTCACTGGTCGCCAATGTAAACCACCGATGTTGGGCATTTTTGCTTATGGTGTCTTCTTCAGAGTTCTCTGAAGCAGCCACGGATCCGCAAGGATACTCGGCGCCGACACCAATACCGAGAAGGAATCTGAATCCAACTGTCAGTGGGGAAGGATGAAGTGAGACTGATAGGATCAGAACTGACCGGCATGCACAGAGCATACTTAGCATTCCATCGACGCTATGATGGGCGCCCGAAGACGCGGCGGACAAACCTGAGAAAAGGGCGACAATACCGGTAGCGGCCATCTAAAAGCGGTAGTCTCAGTCGAGGTACGCAGGTCGGGCATAAGGCGGACTAACCATGCCGAACTTGCGTCCAATTTTGTCGGATAGATAGCCTGGAGGTATATTGATCAGATACCGTGAATATATTTGACATACGACGCACCGAAGACGAGCATTCCAACGACTGTACCAGCAAAAGCCAAGCTGCTCACGAGCGTACTGTAGTTCTTGGCGTTGATCACTTCGGTCCCATAAATACGCTTGAGAACTGGCGACTCTTGAGCGTCAGTTCCCTGTCAGAGTAATGGAGATGCACTGACGAGTGTTCACTGTTGATTGCGGTCAGTGATGAATGGGCTCACTGAAAGGATAACAGGCTCACCACTTCCGATAATATTATTGGCATAGCCTTCAAAATATGGAGTCAGTCAACGTGGCCCGAATACAATAGGAAATCCATACCGTCGGAGAACAGCGCGGTTCCGCACCTACAGAAGACATTTCAGCGCTTCATAGAGGAACAAAGCAGGCTGGACCTACGCGAAAATTAGGGAGACACTTTTCAGAGGCGGCATCTTGAGTCTTGACTAACTCGGAGAAGGGAAGGAGAAGGAAAGTCTTTAGAAGGTACGGCCCTAGTTTTGAATATGTACTGATACATGATGCATGATGATCAAAGCATGCTCCATCAACGGAAGAAACAGTCTTTCCTTGTGCTCCTCTAGATGTACTAAGAGCGAACGTGTGTGCTGCGTCGGGAGTTGCAGCACTATTCCGGTTATGCGCTCCATTCAGCAACGAGGACTAGCTTTCCCCATGCGTTACCAAGCATATGGACCTACGCTATCATTGGACTCGTGGCTTGAACATTTATGGGTGTAACATGTTCGGTTCCTTATCAGATACTGTCCCTGTCGCGCCTATCCTCGTCCGATAGGGCAAAGTCGCAGCGGTGTTCTTTATGGCACGAGGACGCGGCGTACCATGTGAACCAGATATCTCGAACCTGTTTCTAATAAAAGTAGCTGGAACTCGATCCAGGATGTCTAGCAAAGGTAGTTAGTTCACCATCAAAAACCATAGTCACATCGGGGTCATTTGCGGCTCATATGAATCCTGCTGTCTAGGCTGTCGCAAAACGACGGGGTCCCTAGGCCTCTGGATGTCACAAGCTTTCTAGTACCCATGTCCCAAAACGCCTCACTAATACTAATCCTACACCGTCATCACTGACCAGGACGGTGGGAAGACCATCTATCAAGTCTACACTCAGAACGAACCTTCGACAGCAACATTTGTCAAAAATACAGCCGGGGATGTCATAGCCTCATGGGAGTGGAGAGAAATCCGGTCTGATATCATAACTCTCGGTGGCGCAAGTCCTACGCCTGTCAGTTCGTGGTCGAAGAAGAGCATTGTGCCTTTCAAGGAGTACGTATATTTGCAAAAAGCTTGTCCTCTATGACTGACTTTCTTGGAAGGGAAATGGACCCGGACTTTTCTTTGAAGTGAGTATTTATATACTTGCGCACTGTGAGCCCCTAGCCTATCTCGCTTCTCTAAAGCTCTATCGCGCGGACGATAAAGTATAGCCCATTGTCCGCTTCCAAAAATCCCGACGAGCCGCAGACTCAACCCATACGCCCACTCAGTTGATCTTTGATGAACGCGCCGAAGAGATTAGAGACCTCGTTGTGATCTCGTTCCCTGTGCTGGAGAAGAGTCGAAGGAAAACAGAGAGTTCTACCATGAATAAGGCGCATGTTCTCACCCAGCCAGCCTTTGCGGCTCTAGGATCTACAAACTACGTACTCAAGAATGGAGGTACCTAATTATGCTGTCATGCTATGAACCAAGAGAATTGAAGCTCGTAATTTGCAATAACTATTTGAGTCGTCTACATACATACATTCATTCTTGCCAGTGCGACGACTACCACTACTTGAGATATATATATAATACATGAAAATCAAACTCTAGACTAAACGATCAACACCGGATCGTACCGTAAGTGGAACTCGACCTACCTATGATGCCATTCTTTCATTTGAAAATTGGCACTTCGAACATATCCAGTCGGTCTGAACAGTCATGAGCATTTCAAACACAACAGTTATGAACCATACCTTGTCCATTAGCATAAATGTAATCTTTCTCCTTCTGCGCAAGATGCTTCAAGTAACTCTCGGTCTCATGCGCTGACACAGCGACCTTGGGATTACTGAAAGCGCCTCCACGGACAGCAGCTAGTGTAACATGATAACGGGACGTGCGGTTGGCCAACATCATCCAGGAGATAACCTCAAGGATCCTCTTCAAACCAAAATCAAAATCGAACTCACATCAAATGGCGAAGTCGTCGTTCCTTCTTCGTTGTGTCCTTCGATTGATACCCTGTCAGGTTTCGGCCGGCCAAACAGTAATCCCTTCAGCTCAATGGGATATCCATGGTAGTTGAAGTGGATTGGCTTGTCCTCGGTGAAAAATGTGTTAAAGGCCTCTTTAGACAGTGCATGGGGATGCAAACCCGTAGCCGCCAGGATCATCAAATCTGTCACGTTCACGACGCGGACCCGAAGGTCAGGAGCATATTTGCGAAGGAGAGCGGCAGCTGCGATGACTTCAAAGGTAACTTCGACACCAATACCGACAAGAACACTACGGTGGAGCCTGTTGAGTGACGTGAAACGAGCAATAGCTAACGCTGACGTACACATCAGGATCTACGCCATCATCAACGCTGGCGAACTTCCAGACTGAGGCACCGGCAACACAGTGCTGTTGAATATAGGTGTTTAGAGATGAACACTCATCTAGCGTAAGTACAACTTACTCGGTCCGCTTCTTCGGCTGAAAGCCAGACTGGTGTGGGCTGCTTGCTACCGACCATCAGGTTGACGTAGTTCTTGGCCCTAAGGCAGTGGGAAACCGTGGACAAGAAGCAATTGGCATCAGGAGGAAGATATACGCGGGCAGAGATAGACTTGAGATTAAATACAGCTCCAATGAATGACGGGTTCTGATGAGAGAAGCCATTGTGTTCTTGTCTTGTCCATGTCGACGTCTCGAGGTAGTTAATAGACCCAACATCTTGTCTCCAAGACGTCTCAGCAGCCTAGGAACAATAATCTCAAAAGGAAAGGAGCAAGTAACGACGCATGCGACGCACCATCTTTGCGAACTTGGCGTATTGCACCATCATTGTGTGCACGATACCTAAGAAGGCTTCGTAACTCGGGAAGAGACCAGTTCATCCCGTGAGTGTATATCCTTGGAGCATACCTTGACAGGTGTGCTCAGACAGGATCTCGACAACTATGAAGGCCATGAGAAAAATGCCATCTAATACTTGATATATGATAGCACTAACCTCGACCGCCGCTTGCTCTGGAAGCGATATCCCATTGGAAATTACGACCACTTTTCTCGAGAACAGCATCAAGTTTGTTGGAGACAAGTTCATCTGGAGAGAAAATCCTGAACGTGGTGGGATTCCTAAAGAAATGAAGGTGGTGAATGGTAGATTTACAATCTCTTGACCTGTAACTTGCTCATTGATAACCTCCTTCAGAAACCTTCTAACAGCCTTCATGCAACTTTCCTGCGATCCCTTCTCTACTGCGAGATCGCTCCATTCAGGAAGATCGAGAGGTATGTATGCCTTGTAACTCTCCTTCTTCTGACCGAGCTTCTTCTCGGAGACTCCGGGAATAACACTGAGGATCTCGTCCACAGGGGAGCCTTCTGCATTGAACAGTTCCTCCGGCTTGTAGCTCTTCAACCATCTCTGTAGCTCTGCAAGTTCTTCTGCAGATGTTTTAGCGTTCGGCAAGGGAACCTGGTGAGAGTGGAAGGATCCCTCGATAAGTTCACCATGGAATGACTTGGGTCCAGCCAAACCCTTGGGGGTACGAAGGATTATGACAGGCCAACGAGGCTTGACGATGGGAATACCGATACGAGCAGCGGTTTGAATCCTTTTAATCTCTGCCAACGCCCATTCCATAGACGCAGCAAGATCATTGTCAATGTTGTCGATGTCAGAAACGATGCGCGCTTGATAACCATAACCGCTGTCCCAACGACGAAGTTAAAATTGAGTAAAAATGAAAAGAAGGAAAAACGGTACGTGAAAAGGGCAGTCATCTCCTTGTCATCCATCGTTCCATAGATGGTACGCTCCGAAATCTTGAAGCCATTAAGGTGAATGATTGGGAGGACCGCGCCAGACTCGGCAGGGTCGATGTACTTGAATCCGTGCCACGCTGTGGCAGTGGGGCCCGTCTCAGCTTCACCGTCACCGACGACAGAAGCCACGACCAGTCCGGTTTGTCCATGACTGCTCCGAAGGAGACACTGAGCGCGTATCCCAACTCCCCACCTTCATGGATAGCTCCCGGAGTCTCGGCGTTGATGTGACTAGAGAGGCGCCAGTCAGGGATGAAGGTTGAGAATGAAGAGAACAAATCACCTTGGGAATCCACCCGGAGCGCTGAACTTTGAGATAAGCCCTCTGAGCCCTTTGTAATCTCGGGTATATTCCGGAAGGAAGACGCTCATAGAGTCTTCGAGCCATAGACAAGACAAAATGGCTGGGGCACCATGTCCTAAGACGCGTTTCTGATGAGCAACAAAATAATAAGAAAAGCGTGTAAAATATTTCTCTACCTGAGCCAACAACATACAAGGCTTCCAAGCCGGTCTTCCGAATGATTCTGTTCAGGTGAGCATACACCATCACAAGACCAGGACACGTTCCCCAGTGACCGAGAAGACGAGGCTTGATGTTCTCGTATGTAAGAGCCTTCTCGCAGAGAACATTGTCCTTCAAGAAAATCATTGCTGCGAGTAGGAATAAGCAATCGTCAAGACGCGTCGTGTTGGCTCACCTGCTGCAATATAGTCGGCTGCACGCCTGAACTTTTGAATAGCGTTCAGTTCCTCGGCGGGCAGGTATTCATGGGTGTTCAGTTTGACGCTAATGTCGAGAAACACATCAGGGAGCTGCGAAGGGTCTGGCAAAGGATTGGGTTGAAACAAGACTTAGCCGGGCATCGCAGTAGAATATGAGGCAGATAGTAATGGAAAAATAAGAATGATCCATTGAACGGAGAGGCTTTATAGCAGCAACGTTTAGCTGGAGAGGTGATATCATTGGAGGAAAACGCAGTGTAGTCTAATTTGCCGAGGCCCTTCCATGGGACCCCGGATACTTTGGCCACGGGTTAGCGAATCAGAATAATTCCTGCACTTTTCTGTATTGCCGCTACTTTTATTGTATAACGACCCTACAGTGGACGGATCCAAGTAAAGGTATCGATATCTGCTTGAACATTAAATAAAGGCTTCCGGTGCGGTTCCTCCCTATCTCAGTTCCTGTTACATACTGAATCGTACTATACTCTGACTCTGACCAGGATTGTATAGGACCAAGCTTATTAAGATATGAACTGATCAGTCTAATCAAGGGCTGACGTTGAGATATCATTACTTTTGGTCCGGCCCCAGGGTACAATGTGCCATCAAGTTCCGCCCTCTGTGTACGTGCGTCCGTACTTAGGACTACTACTTACTTACTTGGCCTGGATCCTCCAACCAGCTCTTGCACCGGGTTTTCTATTCGTTTCTCCTAAGTCCAGGCCAAAGCCACGGTCATCCAGCAATTTATTTCGTGGTGTATAGTGACCACAAGACACTTCTAAGCATTTAGGGTCGAGCGGTTTCGTGAATCAAAAGAAACGTCGGTCTCCGAGTTCCACAACAACCATGGTTGATATCACACCTGCTTCGAGAACTGGTCTAATCCTTTCTGCTAATGCCGGTTCTTCTTCGCTCAAGATATCTCTCTACGAACTCGTGGGTGATAATGCAGAATCACCCAAGTTGCTCCTGACTTCGTCGATCTCCAATATCACTACTCCACCAGTCAAGTTTTTGTTTCAACCGCTGGAAATCTCCACGACGTGTCGGGTCAAGAACGAGGAAGTTCCGACCATTACAGAGCATGCATCCGCCTTTGCCCACTTCCTTGAATCCCTCCAGAGTGAAGCGGACATTGACAAGGACAGAATTGTCCAAGTCTGCCATCGTGTCGTTCATGGCGGAGACTATACTGATGCCGTCGTCATCAGCGACGGGACTTACCATCATATTGGAAAGCTATCTGACCTGGCACCCTTGTATGTATTTTTACGCAATGCGTGTTCATTTACTAATCTCAAGTTTTACACAGACACAACGGAGCCGCTCTTGCTGTTATCAAGTCTTGCATTTCCGTCCTTCCCAAGACGAATTCGATCGCGTTCTTTGATACGGCTTTTCATCGTTCCATTCCGCCGCATATTGCGAACTATGCCATTGATCAGGCAATCGCGAAGAAACGGGGTCTAAAGAAATACGGATTTCACGGTCTCAGTTGTACGTAGAGGTTCTCCCCTTACTTTTAAGTGCTCACACACTAGTAGATGCATTCATATTGCGCGCAGTCGCGCAATTTCTCAACAAGCATGTCTCACTTTACGTAGTTGCGAAGATAAGCTGATTTTCACAATTAGCCGCCATCCGCGCTCAATTTGATCATACTCCATCTTGGGTCTGGCGCGTCTGTGTGTGCTGTGAAAGAGGGGTGTTCTTATGATACATCAATGGGTTTAACGCCACTCAATGGGCTTCCGGGGGCAACTCGTTCCGGTGCGATTGATCCCAGTCTCATCTTTCACTACACCAACAAGGCGGGAAGGATAAGTCACGACCCCAAAGTCGCGACGCAGCTGCACGTTACTCAGGTTCGTTTCTAACGTGCGATCATTGCCCATTAGTATCAACGTTCGCGTGAAATCGACAGGCCGAACACATCTTGAACTCCAAGTCGGGGTGGAAATCTCTGACGGGAACGACTGACTTTGCGCTCACAACCAGACGCTCGAATGAAGGTTCTCCTGTCGACCAATTGGCTTTTGATCTCTTCAGAGATCGTGTCTTGAACTATATCGGCTCTTATCACTTGAAGCTTGGAGGCCAGGTTGACGCGCTCGTTTCTTCAGGGGGGATCGGAGAGAGGAGCGTCGAACTTAGGAAGGCTATAGAGACCAAGTTAGAATGCCTTGGTTATTCTGGAGTGGGGGACGCCAATGAAGACGCTAATCATAAGGAAGGCGTAGTCATTGACGTGAGCAGGGGTGACCCAGAGACCAAGAAGATCTTGATATGCCGGACAGACGAGCAGGTAGGCTATTTCTCGTAAGCGGAACTTTACTCTGCTAAAGTGCCTATACAGTTCGAAATGGCAAGACAGTGTGCACAAGGTGACAAGTTCTGGGAGCCTGTGTAATGTCGCTCGTTGTGACCTGCTGCAATACTTGCAATATAGATTCTAATGTATTGAGCGCTAATCTTTTACTCGCGTTGTGCTGAAGCCCTTCCTAATAAGTTCAACGTCATACTGCCCCCATTGTCCTGAGGTTGTACGTTGTGGTGCAGTCCTCCTTCCTCCTTCTCTCTGCGTATTTTCTCAAGGTACAAGAAAGAAGCCACGATGTGATCAAGCCTCGCTGAACCAATGTCGCGATCATGTATCATTAAAGACGCCGGTGAACCTTGGGGTAGAGAGCTGCTGGGGGGGTGTTGTCTGTGAAACTCGGCGACAGGTGATGCGTTGTTACTGGAGTATAACTATATACGCGTGAGTTGTTGCGACTAATTCAATCGGCGCATCAATGCTAACTTTCAAGGATAGACCAGGTGAGTTTCCCTTCCATTGATACGCTTTCCAGGTTTGGTCCTTGAAGGACACAGTCCTGAAAAACATGGTGGCTATCAGCATTCCCCATTGGAAAACGCGTGCGAAACACGTACGTATTGAAGGGATTCATGCTTCTCTTCAACCAGCTTGTCGCGGGAGTTGGCATGTTGTCTCCAAACGATATCATATCTGACTTGTACCTATGCCATTCGAATGAAGCAATAATGGTCTCCTCTCCAATGGTCGACGGACTGTCAAGAGGACTAGCCGCTCTTCGTACCAGGGTTAACTGATGTTTTCGCTGTTTGATAGTGTCCACGCTGTAGTACAGCTGACCAGTATTTCCATCGATAATATCTGTGCGTGTTGGATCGTCTGGTTGAAAGATGAGTGAGAGCACTGGATGAGAAGTCTCGAAGATGTCGATTGATTGTGACCGTATGGACATGAGGGCAGCTGTTTACTTGACACACGGAGGGAAGCTTTATGATAATTCTCATGTTCGAACTGAAACAGATCAAACAGCGTGATGCCCGAGCTGGTACGTGGATTCAATGTTGCTCAATCATAAAATGGGGTATTGTCTTGAGATTCGTGCGCAGCATTTGGCTGTCATTCCGAACTGAGGGAAATGAGCCTAACGAATGTAACTAACTCATTAAGTTAGGCCTAGTAAAGAGGGAGTAAACCACTGTGATGGCTAGTACTGAAAGGTTCGTCTACCAGGTTACAAGTTGTCGGCAACAAGAGCAAAACAAAGACACCCTTACCATCATATGTGGGCTTCCTCCAGATCCTGCTCTGCCAGCTCTCGTATCCGGTAGTATACATCATTCAACTCTAGATCACCCAACGTGTCGCACTCGAACGTATAATCCTGCACGATGCTCTCAACCTCGTCAGTCGGCTTACCCGGCCATCTTGATGAGACTTCTTCAGCGGTCGGTATTATCAGCGACACATCCGGGATAGTCTCGTACCCGTCCGGTTGATCGGTTCGTGTAAGGATATGACAAAACGTGGTATACAAAGCCGTGCTACGGAAGCGTTCACTGAGCTCGCTATCGGAAACATTAGCTGTTTGCCGAATGGTGTTCCAGCTGAAAACCAAATGAATTTTACGAGACTTGGTACTGTTAAAAACATACTCATCATGAATGTATATGCGCCTCCATACAGTTCTGAAGGCAGATGTTTTTCGGGCATGAGGAACATTCTATCGTCAAGATTATGAGTCTCGGACAACCAGTACAAAACGTCACATACCTGAACTCCTGCAAGTAGGTGGAGTGCCATGGCAAAGTCACCAAGTGTCTCATTGTTATCTTTAAGAGACAATGTGTCCACCGCGTCCTCAATTGACAGAACCTTTCCTTGCAATACGTTCCGAACAAGATCTTTGAATACCTATGGCAGTGGTCAAAGTATATTTAGAGGGAAAAGCTTTGCAACACACCCGCGTCAATGCTGGCCGATCAGACAGACGAGAGGCCTTCTGCTTAATGATAGCGTCTGTCTGGCTATCAAGAGACTGTCGACCTTTCAGTGTCTCAAGCACAGCATTGAACTCCTCAAGCAGGCTCTCATGAACACTAACAAAATCAAGGCCATCGTGGAAGGCTGCAAAAATCTGTTAATTGATTGTATTCTTGACACTTGATGATAATGACGAACCATCTGAAATGTCCTCGTCGGAGGGTGCTAAAGTCTCTTGTTCATGAGCAAGGTGCGACAATTTGCCAATACTGAGCATAAGCTAAAGGTAAAGAATGAGTCTATGTTTTACAAAGTAACGACTCCATCCTACCTGTTTTGCGGCCAAATTGGTAGCTTCGCCTGACTCGAGTAGTAGTGCGCGAGCCACTGCGGCGTACCTTCCGTGGCCCAAATCATGTATCCATGATATCAGCGGATTAGCATTATCAGCGAAGAACTTGTCCATGTATCCTGTGTGGGATTCGCTGAGAGAGAACAACACTCGCAATTCGCCTTATGGTCGCATCGTCAGCATTGGTCTGGCTCGGCAAACTTTCTTACCATGCTGGATATACCATCGGTAAAGCTCTGTCGCAAACTCATCTTTGTATAACTCGATATAGTTCTGGATTCGGAGCACATTGGGATTTTGCTCGGGGGGATAAACAGTCTCCCTGTGGCATAATGCTGCCAAACTTGTGAAGTCACGATATTTCTCGGCAAGAGCAAATGCGGCTGCTGCGTGTCCATTTTTTCCTATTTTAAGGGATCAGCAAGACATGGATTTGTTCCAAAGGATACACTGACTCAAGGTCTCCAGCACCTCTGGCCGCAAATGAGTGAAATTGTTTAGAAGTACCAGACCCTCCTGTTCTATGCCTGTTTCTTCGGACCTAGGTTAAGGTTAGTTGGCCCTATTACGATTTTATATTTCAATAAGATAGACCTTGATAAATAATCTAACCGTTCTTGCATACATGCAAAGAGTATGGCAGCGAGTTCAGACAGTTGTTCTGTTGTTTCATCGTCTGTTACAGCATGCCCTACACTTGTAGTCACTGATTCAACTAGTCGTGTTGTTGCATCAAACAGTCCCTGGACGACATTAATGATGTTCGGGTCGCTCGTCCATGGGTTTATCATGGGAAGATCGATGCCGTAGACGCCCTGATTATATTCCCGGTAGTCAAGTGCCGACCTCAGTACCGTCTGGTCACAGTCAACTGCTGAACAGAACTAAAACAAAGAGCAACTCACTAATACAACACGATTGGCCTCAGCTATGAACTCTCCGGTATTGCCACCTGTGGCTTGTGCGAGCTTTAGTGTTATGTCGGGTGTCCGTTGAATCAGTATCCCTATGTCAGCTACGTGGATACGGAAGAACGTCCGTATCACATCTTCGTGATGCCCTTCTTGGATATCATTCATGTAAGACAGGACAGTATCATGGAGCACGCTATGGCTTGGATGACTCGCACTATTAAACGTTGACATTTTTAATTTGTGAGCAGGGCACTTAACTTTAAGAATCATGATTGACAAACCTAAGAAAATCGTTGTGCTGTACCCATAACTGATGTGAAGCGTACAGTTTTTCGGCATCTGCCGCTAGATTTTGCCGACTTTTCTGGGATATCTGTACTCGAAACAAGCATATAAATGGAATGCTACTAAGATGGTATCGTTGCAGACCTTTCCGAGGACAGAATTGTCATTGATGAAATGTATCAAAAAGCTGAGTCGTTCCTTGCGGCTAGTCAGGTGAGCACTCAGATCATGATTTCTTTGTACCAAAACAGGATCTATGAACGCATTAACGAGAATTCCAGAGCTCGAAAGAGGAGGATTACCTGACTGCAATATGGCTTGGCTTAATTGTTCGGCACCTCGCATCAAACTTTCTTCGTCAATATCAGGAGGGAAGGTAAAGGTCAATGGGTTCTGCAGCAAGTTGAAGAAAGAAAATCCGATAAGATTGTCGCCACTCACGTTCGGAAGGGAGCCGTATAATACTGCCTGCGTCATGACAGATTTGATCGAGTTAACGGGTCCGGTCCTAGGCGAATGAGCATTCATTACTTTGGAAAGAGATAGATTGAATAAACGTACTGCAAGTTTACAGTCTTGACTTTGTCCATATCGATATGAACTTTCATCATGATTGCCGCCGTCAGGATGAGGATAGTGCTGTCTGAATGTGTGATACCAACACCCAGCGTCCGATCTGCCTTAGCTTTGAGCTCCAACCTATCTCTGTATTCAGACTCTGAGAGAACGATTAGCCACGTCAGACGACAAGGCATACGAACTGTGTTACCTGTGGCACAAAGAGCAATTGCATCTCCAAACTGGATGACCACGAGTTTCCCGTCCAGGATTAGCTGAAGTCTAGGATGCATGGGAGCACTGGAAGATGAGGTCTGCCAACGTTTCCAGCATCAATCACACAGGGTCCATAAGCATATAATAAAAAACCTACACTTTGGTACGGGACGCCTCTCACACTGTCCACAGTAAATACATCGTTGGACAGTGTAAGATGAACCAATGAATAAATTCGTCTGATTCCACCCATATCCATGTTCTTATAGACATGCTCCTCCTCAACGCCGGCATATGACAGCAAAACAACAAGCCTCCCCTGCCTGAGACAATGTGTTTAACCCCAGCCAAATACGAGCAGATCAAATGACTTGCCTGTCAATGGCAATGTCCAACAATTCCAGATCCATGTTGGCATCATCTTGTGCCACACTACTTCCAAAAGCGTCCCTCAGGGCAGCCCGTATAATTTCTGAAACCTCGTCATCACGAACAATGTCTTCCCAGCCCTCTGCCTTGAGCTCCCATAACTGGATTCTAGTGTCGATCAGAGCCCATACTTCTCCTCCGTCAACGGTTGCGCGACCAAGGGCGAGGGCACTGATATTCCCAGGTTCAGACACTAGAGGCGCTTTAGATCCAGAAGATGCGAAAAAAGAAGAATAAAGGCGGGTGAGCGACAGAGAAGATGTAGGACGCGCGAATGCGTGAGACGTCAAATGGAGGTTCCCCCCAGAGGATGTCAACATGAGTCGAAAAAGAACACCAGAGGTGGTCGAGGCAATATAGGTTTGGGGCTAGTGATAACTCTATTAAGTGAACTGTTGCTGTAGTCGATAAAAGAAGGTCTCACGTCAACGCGAATTAAATTTGTGACCAACTCATCCGGGGAGAGGCTGAGCGTAATGGACGAAAAGTGGTCTCCGCCTGCAAGACCAATGCCGATACTATCCCACATTCGTATTTCTCCAGAAGGTGACATAAGGATAAGGCCGGGTTCACGCGAGGTGCCATAGCTACTGTAAGGAATGAGGCCGTAGAAAGGTGGAGATGTCTGGTTGGGATCTTGGGGACAACGAAAGATGTAACATGTGGGAGTTCCCCTGATGGCCTGCAAAGATAAGTTACGAGGCGAAGCAAATAAAACGCGACTGGTGCACCTGTGAATGTTGCCACACATAGCACGTCTGACTCGAAGCCACCAGAGCAAACCCGGTCAAGGTGTCAATTCCACCAGTATATTCGCCACCGTAAAAATCTAGTGTAGGAATAAAAATCCTTCCAAATAAATGGTTGAAGAAAGAGCACACCTGCCTGCTTCAGCACCATCACCACTTCGACTGGTAAATTGGCATAGAATGACACGGCAAGCTGCTCAGACTTGGCTAGGTAAGCGACGCCGGTGGACCTTACTGTAGTTCTGTCTGAAGACAGGGAGTTTCCTTCGTCGATATCCATGGCAGAATCTACAGAGGTGCGCGAATCGTTGATAAAAGAGCCAGTGTCCGACGCGTTGATCGGCGTGCCCAGTCGGCTGTTATTCACGGGAAATTTTGTGTTTCCCGGAGACATAGGTGCTTGGCGGAGACGTGCTGAGCGACGCGGAGCTGGAGAAGGTGAGAATGTCGCCATTCTAGCGCGGCGGTCGACCGACAAAAGTTTTTGTTGGGACAAGACAAAACGGTGTTTGCCGATGATTGGCGCAATAGACTCGAGCCACTCCCGGGACCCCAGCTCGGTGTCCATTATGGGGTGAAGAAGACTTGGACCTGGACGCGATGGCATTGGACTCTTGCTCTTCAGGGATCATTTCACTAATTTTAGGTATATGTTGGTTATTTTCTTAAGTTATCGTATTCGCTTGCATCTCCTAAACAATGACCGTAAAGGTAACCGTGACCGTAGCTACCACCTTTGCAGTTCTGCCTATGTTTAGGCTGTTACCCAACTCCCTGAAAAATGGCGCTGGCACCAGTCCTTCAAGTGATTCGATGGCATAGTTAGTATACGTCCAATGTGTCTTGATTCTCGATACATAGGAATGTTCGGTACATCTATAACCTCATATTATAGTAATTGGCCAGCACCGGATAAGGGTATTTTCTTGCCACTAACGGCCATTCCTTACGTTTCACCTTCAGTTCTCTTCCTATCATATTATCTCTTCACCAACGAAGGGTGGCAAATAGCGGTATAATCTTTCGAAACGGAGTCCTTCACTTACCAGATAAGACGCAGTTTGTAAGTATACACCTTCAGAGGAGGACTCAGGTTCTGCCTGGACCGTGTCGTGTTTTGCTGCCTACCAATCTAGTTCCACAGATATCGCGTTGACTGCGACGAAAATTGGACAACATGCAATGCACTTAGGATTGTAGAATCGATTGGTGCGAAATTCAAACATACAACCGTGTGAAGAACAGACGTATACTGTAAAGGTGCTCCGGAAAAAACCAAAAAAATGAATGATCAAAAGGCCTATGATGAATGTGTCAGAAGTGAGGGAACGCGAAAACAACACCAGAGCAAAAGAAGCAAGGTGGCCGTCTCAATAATTTGATCAGGCGTCCAAAGTAAGCTGCAAGATGCGTTGTCCGACTTTGGACGCAAGATCGGACAATGCCAGAACCTCTCGAGGAGAAACGGTTTCGAAGTGGGAGCTGCCGCAAACGCGGTCGCGCAAGCTAGGCGCCATGCGAGATGCTATTTCCCACAGGATAACATCCAACGATGTCGTTGAATGGGACGGATACTGGGCAAACGAATCAGTGGACGTGATTTGGAAAAAGCGGACGTAAGACTGACTTGTGAGATTGGGAAAATCGGCTAATAGGCTCCTTCCCGATGCATCCTTGAATTTGATGACGAAACTGACTTGTGCTCCCCTTTCATTTCGGTCCCTAGCCTGCAGAAGCCAAAGTTATTTGAGTATGATACAGGATTTTGAAATTAGCGAACCTTCATCCTGTCCTTCCATGCCTGCAATCGTTTCGTATCATTTTCTTTCGCGGTGTGCATCTGAGAAGGATCAAATTCGATCTACAAATACACCGATAAAGGCTACATTCTGAAAATAAGTGAGAAAAGTGCGCACCTTGTAAGAGCCACAAGAAGACCAGATCGTGGTTGTTGCGGTTTGGTAGAAGCTCGTGACATCGCTGGACTGCATAGATCCAAAATCGAAGGTTGACCCACCTGATACCTGGCTTCCCAGCTTCGCGGCACCTCGCAGGGCGGTTATAGTAGCTGAAAGGGCACTGCAGTTGATATACGCATTAGAGGCAAATATAAGTATGAGAAAAATATGCACAGATTCGTCTACAGGCTTTCGTTATAGCTTCGGCTTCGTCGTGCGGTAATGGTTAATTAACGTATTACAATGCTGCACCAAGATCAGGGTCTGGAGGTAGTAGGGTGGTCTGATTTTTCCAGATAGCTCTTGGGAATCCCAGTGTCTTGGGGAGGGTCTGCACCGAATTTTGTTTAATCGCAGTCATTGTCGTAACGCGACAATATACCTTCACCGAGACTTTCACTGAGAAGAAGGACATTGGTATACTTCTCCTGCATTACAGATAGATGCGATTGGTCGAAATTGACAGATATGTATTTCATTAGCCTACCCGATTTGTTAGAAATCGATTCAGGAATTACAGCAGTAATAAAACATACTCGTGTGCTTTGGAAGTCACCGCAGGAGATCCAAGACGCTCACGAATCCGAGTCACGGACGTATTGATGGTAACCTCGGTCAAACCATTGACAGGAATAGCGGATTTGATTGCAATAACGATGAGTTCCTAAGACAAAGGCGATTTCAATACTGACATCTCAGCAAGCAGGCGTGATGACTACATACGTCTAACTGGCAGCTCTGGAACTTGGACGGAATTACTTGTAGCTCCCTTTGAATCGAAACAAGCTGAGTGTACCCGCCAGCAGAGAACTTGGCCTGGTTCCCCGCCAGACGGCGTTCCAATGCTCAAACCAGGTTATCCATGAACGCGTTATCGTCATGCCTCGCCGCTTGTGCAACATCTTCCGCCGTGACGGTTTGCGCCAGTGACTGTAGATACATGAGAGGCTAAAACTTGAGGAACAATTGCACATGTACGTACTTGGGATGCTTTCTTGGAGCAGACAGAGGATAGGGAGTCTTTGATTTTCTGGCGGTCAATATCCCAAAAAACTGCACCCTCCACCCACTCGCTTATTTCAACTGTATCTATCAAGGTTCAACACAAGAGGTGTCGGTAACCTCGGAAATAGATAAAAAAAGGCTGTGCGCTTTATCAAAATGATTCGATAGTAATCATGATACAAATGCATACTCTTCGAGAGGTTCGATCATAACGGTGTATTCATCGTAGCTGGTCCAGCTATCTTCAGTGATGGATTTTTGGATGAGGAAATCGATATGGTCACATAAGTCCCGAGACCTCGAGATCAAGGTGCAAAAGGTATGGGAACTTTGTCAAAGGTAGGAAGCACATAGTTCGTGAGCTAGAATATCAATGAGGGATTTGATCACGTCTATAGCAGGGAAAGCGACGTTATTGAGCTTCGTCAGATGGTCGTAGAGAGACATTGTGGAAAAGACAGATCCGTAGAGCAAAGTCTGAGGAAGCACAGAGCCAGCCTTTTATCAACAAGTGGAAAGCGCACTCGAAGGATATGCTTGTGACTAACAGAAGTAATTGCATGCGTAAAGGGTCAAAAGGCGCTGTACAATCAATTCGTGTTCGAAAATTCAAATTTGAGCCAAATGAAAGTCCAACGCTTCACAGAGATAGCATACTCCTTTCCACAACGGAACCATGGCAGGGATGTCACACACGCGTCTTGGAAAGCCAGGACAGGTGGAATGGATATTGTTCTACAAAAGGGAGTAATTTGAACGGGCAAGTAACGTAAAACATTTACGAAGCACACCATTTCACGATGAACATCACCTGGATTTCACTCCGATGAGGAAAACCTAATGCGCTGTATGGTGCTCGTGTTTTATGAAACGATCAGGTTTTCGTGAGAAGTTTTCGCTTTTCCTCTACCGGAAACCGGCATGCAGAGACTTCGTCGCTGGGTCAGCTTTGCCAAAAACCCTTTAGGAGACAAGTCTCTTCCATCGCCTCTCTCCCTCGGAGTGCCTCCGGCCGCGTAAACAAAAATTTTCGACGCAGTGCTGCTTACACCAGTCGCGCTCATCTTTCTCAGTCCAGTGAAATCGTCTGTTTCAAACATCATCAGATATCCGCGGGATCTGCTGTCATAGATGATCCCCATTCAAATAAGCCACTCACATTCTTACGCCCCAATTTAGGGTTATACGTCAGGCACAGAGGGCGCTGGACGTAGGTAAGCAAGGAGCGAAGCAATTGGAAGTCTCCCAAAAATGCAGGAAAGCTGTAAAAGCTATCTTGAAGGCAAACGAACAACTTAAGCTTGAGTGTGTGAGTATGGCTGGTTTTTATACAAGGTATTAATTTGGTATCCTGCAGCTTCGCGGCATCGAATAACGTATGGTAGAAGCAATAGAAAAAGATGACTATGTTCATACTCAATGTTCGTCGTTCGTCAAGAAACATTTGGTAAGAGACACTTCATGCGCGAGCAACTGCCTTTCGCCTGAAGGATTCTTCAGAAGCGTTCCTCAGTTGATAAAACCCCTCGTATCAAGGTTGACATCAGAGTGCGGAAGGATGATATTCAAAATGAATCTGACCAACAGATAATCGAAGGTTCGTAGCATTGACTAGTAAGATATCCAAGGCGGCAACTGATCCCAAGGTCCATGGGTGGTCAGTCGTCGGTTGCAGAGCAAACGATACCTTAGATATCGTCCTGCTGTCGATGAGATTGGATATCAGTAGTCCTCAATTACGAGACAATCCCCATTTCTACGATCGGTTATTGCCCCAAACCCTCCAAGGAGTCGAAAGCTTGGCAAAGAGATTCCTTCCTTTCCACAGCGTCCTTTCCGACCTAGACATCCCACAAGGAGTAAATTACCTGGTGTTGTACTGTCTGCCTGATACTATCCTGCTCCGCGCCGTTACAGTACGGAGGTCCTTTGGTAATATCTGGAATGTAAATGGGAGTTTCATCTTGAAAGGTCATGAATTTTATTGTCTTATCTATAGCACGCTAACTGTCGTTTTTCAGATACCGTTGGAGGCCATCACAAACCGGCTGAGATATTCAAGGATATCTCTCTTGCCAATGCCGAAATCATCAGAAAACCCTTGCGATCGAATTCAGGGTCCGTAATGAAGACCAGTGAGTGGTACGCACTACTACAGAGGGTGTGCACAGGTCTTTCAGAGATGAGTCAGGGATATGTTGGATAGTCGAAGCACCCGGTGAGCAGTCTTCTAATTCTTCTACCCGGATCCCTATTACAATGCCGGTACCCCATGTTTCATCAAGCACCGAGAGTCTCTCCAATACAGTCGCCAACAGAACATCTGTCTGTCCATTTCTTTCTGTGGTGTTCAAGCTATCTGACCAGATGGCTATCAGACCCTTGTTTTGCAGCCAGCCTCAGCGGTTGGCAGTTCCGTCCCAGGGATGGCAAGAAAGTCTGCGCGTGCGCCATGGTTCAAGGCATTGGTATCAAAGTTTAATGGGACGTCGTCGGCTACTTAGTGGTAGTTGGTTCAAGTTACAGTATACGGGTGTTGCCGCCCCGGCGGTCGGCTGGCAATGCCCGATATCCGTCTTGGGCGAGGCTGAAATGAGAAGTCCGGTTGTCCGGGCATACACTAAAAAGTACCTATACCTCCAGTATCTTATACATTGTCTTTGTAATTTACTAATTGTATCTGCACACACAGAGATATTAGACTGTTTTCCCCCAAGCGGGAATAAACATGATGACAGCACACTTACTGAGTAACCGGCATCTCGGTGAACCGGCCATCTAGAAAAATTCAGAGCCTCCCCGGCACGGAAGGATGAACACAAAGTTACAAATTTCAGATAAATAATAGGCATTATAAATAACTGTTTAATTCGCAGCCAATTTAAGTAAAGCTCTGTGTTGTTTTCTTTTCGGATTCTCGGCAGCCAACCAGGGAACGTCCCTTTTCCCCAAGAAATCAACATTCTCGTCTCTACTACATACACTGAATTCTTGTCCTTAATCATCCATAATTCCCCTACCCGAACTGGTCGCACTCGGACAGTGTCCCGTTCCGGTCATTTCAGCCTCGTTCTAACATCGACAAACTTTGATGTTTCCCATCCTCGTAACGGGAGGATCTACCAGAGGCGTCGACTGAAGACTGTAGCACTGAGTAACAAAGACTTGTGAGTCGTTATTACGCTGCCTCATCTATCGTTCAGGCCATGCTCATCCGTTTGTTTTGCAAGTTCAGCAATTATCGACATTTGGTTGCGGTTACTGCAAATTGTGCAAATGTCGCTTTCAGGTCTAAGAGTGATTGAAGTAAACAATTTTGTTATAGCTCTCAAACACGTCTCACAAACCGTCGTCCAAGTTCGCGGGTCTTGCTCCCGCACCTTTTGCCGGTCTCGTCTTAGCTGACAACGGCGCCGATGTCATACGCATTGACAAGTGTTCTTCGGTATCTAATGATGTTCTGTGCAGAGGGAAGCGCTCGCTTGCTGTTAACCTGAAAACTGCTAGCGGGAGAAATGTTGCAAAGAACTTAATTGCCTCAGCGGATGTCCTCATCGATCCATTTCGTCCTGGGGTAATGGAGAAGCTGGGATTGGGTCCGGAGGTGTTTGTAGCACGGGAGGGATTGAATAACAGGCTAATATATGCTCGCATTGTTGGGTGAGTTGGCGATGTCGTGTCATGATATCCAGTTTTCAAATTTCTTTTCAGGTTTTCGAGGTCTGGTACTTAAAACTTCTTCCATGGGGTGTATCGCAGTACCGACTCGTCATCTAGGTCCGCACAAGGATATGGCTGGTATATGTTCCCATGGGATACCTAACCATCACTCTTTCTACTAATGCTTTCTTAGGCCATGACATTAATTATCTAGCTCTCAGCGGAATTTTATCGGTCGGCCTATCATACTCGTTCTCATACATACTGACATATGAATTATAAACAGATACTACCCGGAACACCTGAAAAACCAGAATTTCCTCTCAATATCCTCGCCGACTTTGCCGGGGGAGGCCTTACTTGTGCATTAGGGATTCTTCTAGCCCTTATCGAGCGCAGTAAATCAGGACTTGGCCAAGTTGTAGACACGGACATGGTACACTATGACTCTTGGGTTCTATGTCCGTTTTATCTTACTTTCTAGGTCTCTGGCGTTCGATATCTATCATCGTTTCCCCTCCTACTTTCCATGGCTCGAGTGGGGTTCTTTGGTGGTCCACGAGGGACGAACATTTTAGACGGTGGTGCACCCTTTTATGGTGTATATGCATGTAAAGATGGTGGATGGATGTCTGTTGGATGCCTTGAGCCTCAATTCTTTCAAACCTTCTTGGAAATCTTCATGAAATCACTTCCGAAGAGCTTTTACGTTCAACTGGATGGCTGGGTTCCTACCACCGAAATTCAGCATAATCGAGAGGAATGGCCGAAATTAAAGCACTTCCTTGAACAAGGCTTTCTTAGTGAAACAAGGCAGTACTGGACAGCGAGATTTCATGGTCAGTGATTGCTCTGACTATTGGCAGTAGGTATAGTACTCACTCTGAATCTTGAATTTAGGGACGGACGCATGCACGGTTCCAGTATTGACACTGTATGAAGCCGGTAAATTAGATGCCTCCGGTTCGTTGATTCCACAACCTCATCCACGAGTTGCGTCGCTTGAGCAAAAACCGTCGCTTAACGGTGACATTTTGACGCCGGGCAAGCATAGCAGCGACATTCTGAGAGAGATGGGCGTTTCCGATAGTATGTGGCAGCAGCTGTTACTTGATGGAGCAATTGAAGAGCCAATAATAAAGCATAAACTGTAGCTTTGAATACTTATGTATGATTTGTGAAAGTTAAACTCGGGTTCTGTGTCCTAGATACGAGTTCCGTGAGTATATAATGAAGCGGCCGCTATTAGGTTTGTACCATCCTCATCCGGGTATTAGACGTCCGGATGCAGTTAGCACGAGGAGACGTTGGGTCGGCGAAATCACATGCAAACCGTTCCCGCTCTCCGAGTCCAAGTGCCGTGATCAATATAAAGTGTCCGTGCTTGTATCATCGCCACCTCCTCCCTTTCCGCCCACACCTCCATTTCCACCATGGCCACCAAGCAAATCAAGCAGCTCTCCAGAGAAGAAGTCGCCAAGGTCCGTCTCAGTTTATCCAGCGCTGGACGTATTGATAACGCGTAGTTTAGCATAACAAAGATGGCGATTTGGTGCGTCGATATTCTCCTAAAAAGAGTAGGGACTGACATTGCATCTCAAGTGGATAGTCATTGACACCAAAGTTTTTGATGTATCGCGCTTTAAGGATATGCATCCCGGGGGCGCTGCTGTTCTTTTTGACGCGGAAGTTGGTATGTGAGCTACGCGTAGCGTCTCGTTGCCCCCTTAATGTCAATTGCAGCGGGACAAGATGCCACCGAAGCGTTCTATGGTCTTCATCGTCATGAGGTTTTACAAAAGCCTCAATATCAGCGGTTGCAGATTGGCATTATTGAGGGAGAAGAGCCTTCTATCCATCCTCGTGCCGTCGGCGAACTTAGCAAGGTGCCATATGGAGAGCCAACATGGCTAACACCTGGTTACTTCAATCCATACTTTTCGGAGGTACGCTGTTTCTACATTATAGATTTGCTCGTCTCACTTCTCCACAGAACCACAGACAGTTGCAGTCTGCGATGCGCAGATTCACAGATGAATTTGTGACTCCTGATGCTGAGGCACGTCATTCGACCTAAGAGCATGCATTTGTGTATTGATTCAAGCATACGCACCAGATCCATGAAGAGGATGGCAAGCGACCATCGCAGAGCTTGTTCGATAAGATGGCGTACGATAACATTAGTCATGCCATCTGCTCAAACTGATCGTGTTTCTTAGTGAGCTGAATATGCACGCTATGAGAATGGGACCAGGGAAGCATTTGAAGGGACTGAAGCTAATGAACGGTCTCGTGAAACCCGAGGAGTTTGATTACTTCCATGAAGTCAGTTCTACGGTCGGCCGACTATCCTTAATATGAGTCTAATTCTCCCTGCAGTTGATTATTACTCAAGAGTTAGCACGCTGCAACGCCCGAGGATTTGGAGATGGTGCACTCACAAATGTCATATATTTCTCATATTAACCGCTCTATCCAGGTCTCCTTGGTGGAAAGGTCATCGGGTTACCTCCTGTGCTCAATTTCGGAAGCGAGGAGTTGAAGGCAAAGATCGTTCCGGAGGTATTCGCTGCCAAAAAATTCATCTGTCTCGCGATATCAGAAGCTCAGGCCGGCAGCGACGTTATGGGCTTACAAACTACCGCAGTGAAAACTGAGGACGGAAAGCATTGGATCATCAACGGTACTTACTGGTCCTCTCTCTTTCACTGAATTATATTCATGCCATCCCAGGCACGAAGAAATGGATAACGAATGCGACGTAAGCCAACGCTTTGCAAGGTCTTGCAAGCATCTGAAACGTTCAATAGTTTTGCCGACTATTTCACTGTTGGCTGTAAAACTGAAGATGGCCTCACCGTCATTCTCGTAGAGAGAGGAGAAGGCGTTGAGACTCGCCCAGTGAAGACAAGTTATTCGAGCTCTGCAGGGACTGGTTTCATTACTTTCGACAACGTAAAAGTTCCTGTTGGAAACACCCTTGGCGAGGAGGGCGGCGGAATTTTCGTTATACTCAGGTATGCAATCCGTTGTTTAACTATCAATGAGCTTGATAGTTGCCCTCTAGTAACTTTAACCATGAGCGGTGGGTAATGTGCTGCTCCTCTGCAAGAAGCCAAAGAAGTATAGGTATGGATATTGCCACTGTTAAGACGATTGATTGACTCAACTTGTCTCTAGTTGATGAGTGCCTCCAGTAAGATGGTTTTTTCTGCTAACGACCGTGTAACTAATTGTTTTCAGATGGACGTCACAGCGCAAAGCGTTCGGCAAACCTCTCCACTCTCAAGCTGTCATACGTCATAAATTGGCCGGCATGATATCGCGAGCGGAGAGTAAGAGAATTTACTGCTCACAACAGGTTCCTCACAATTGACTATCTACAGGTGTACAAAACTGGCTTGAAAACATTACATATCAGATGTGCAATATGGTGCGATCGGGGTTGATACGCAGAGATATCTGTCGAACTGACGAATGCGCAGTCTTACAAACAACAAGCCAGTAAACTCGCCGGGTAGGGTCATTCATACAACTGCTAGCATTGAATTGACTGTTCTGCGCGTCAGGCAAATTGCCTTTTTGAAGAGTTATTCCACTGCTTGCGCTCAGGAAACTGCAAGAGACGCTGTACAGATTTTCGGCGGTCGTGGAATTACGAAAACTGGTATGTGCCACTCAATTAGCTGTCCTCCTTCGCTCATCGTCATATGTAGGCATGGGTCGATTTGTGGAGCATGTGAGTAGCAAGTGTTGCATTAGTCACGTCAGGCTGATGTTAACTGTTAGTATCATCGCACGGTGCCATTTGATGCGCTTCTCGGTGGTGCTGAAGATGTATTAAGTGATCTTGGTGTAAGGCAGGCGTTACGAGCCATGCCTCAGGATGCTCGACTGTAAACAGAACATTCTTTTACCTATCTTCACTTGGATTTCAATTATTCTTTGTATCCGAGTTAATGTAAGCTGTGATTCGATAGATGTACAAAATGCATAGTACAACAGGAAGAAAACGATAATACAGACCAAGACCATATTCAAATCTGACCCTATGAATCTAATTTTTGTTGCTAATGGAGGTGCGTGTGAACCGAGGAGAAGTTGGTGTCGCGAAAGTTTGACATCCAGTCAAAACCTGCATGTGTAAAATGGATGAGATTCGGAGACAATTTGCACTTGATTAACACGTACCAGGTAAGGCGATGTCCTGCCAAACAGAAGGATCGGTAAGGGATTGCATACTCTGCAAAATGTCGTTATCAAACGGAAGAGGCGGTGTGAAATACTCGGCATCTGGAGCAAGCAACCCTTGCATTGTATCCATTTGTTCGACTGGAAGACCTGTTGGGGCAAACGGGTCCGCAACACCGCCAGGAGGAGCGAATTGTTCAAATGACATGGCCGCTTGCGAAGGAGGAGGGGAAAGCGAATGAGTTGTCGTCGCAGGCGAAGCAGGAAAGACAGATGAAGAACGACTCGCGTTATCCGCCGTGGGCATCGAAGACGATGATTTGGGCCGGCGGATCTTGCCGCGATTATCAACAACCATTGCAAGAAGACCTTTCAAGAAACGGGAGTACAGCTTAGGTCCATGACGGTCATCAATTGCAACCTCCGGCGAACCAAATAAGTCGATAACGTTTTGAACCCGGCCCCGTATAAGTTCGCATTGGTCGGCGGACAAGTAAGGTGCGAATTTCGGTTGGAGAAGCTGATAAAATGGAGAAGACTTCAACGACAGCTCCACTGAAGGCGGAAGGTATGTCATACTTTTACTAGAAAGGCTGCCGCAAATGTTGTGAAGACCTTCTGCGCTTCCGGTCCATGACGAAGATATATTCCTGGCTTATAATTAGCAACATGACCGGACCAGAGAGAAAGTGCCCACTCTGTTCGGTCCGACCCAATTCATTCACCATCACGTCAACAACATCACAAGCCGCAGTAAGGCACTTTACATTCGACAATCAATGTCAGTCAATGCAAAGACATGAGTGGACGTACACGGATCAAAAAAGGGTTTTCAACGTCGTATTTCTTGCTGAAGACATGCTGAAACCCAAAGGACAGTGCGACTAATCTGGCGTAACTGAAGGCCAGCTTGAGCAGTCCGATACGGAAATAATTTTGAGGGTCGGAAAGATCGGTCTGGTTCAGTAACGCCATCCACTTCTCTTTGAGCTCCTTAAGTTCTTCGTCCGTTTCCGTAGCGACAAGAGCGATATCAACCTCCTGTGTACATACGTCATTGTCATCCAAAGAATGAAACACCAAACAAACGGACCTTGTTCAGACCAGTTGGGTGATTGGGATCATTGTAAATACGCGCAAGGAACCTGCCCATTACCCTGAGGTCGGCGTTATAACAACTAAGGTGAATATCGAAGTTTTTCAGGTTATAGACTGAACTCTTCCACCAGTTCTCCGAATGGTTGGCAGTGTAGTCCATGTTGCTGATGATTGGCGCCTTTCCATATTGAGAGCCGGTTGATCGGTCCAAGTTAAAGCAATTGAGCCACACCCGGGTGCGATTAAGCATTTCTCGGGCGTGGTTCTCATTTAACGGTTTCGCAGTGTTCGGAAGATGGAGGTTCAGGTCGGTGGCGATTCTACGTAATCGTCCTCAGTAAGCCGAAAGGACGACGTCAAACGCACACACCTAATAGCAAGGCCAAGATACAGCCAACCCCTTTGATCCTCCCATCTCCTGGATGGGACGGGGTACAAACTCAGTAGTATATAGCCGATACACATTTCGATATTTTTCGGACCGCCTATCAAGGCAGTTCCCGCCGCTAGCTGAGCAAAATGCATGGCTTGAGGATATAGGTCGGGACGTTCGGTGTAATACCGGGAAGAAATAGCACATACTAAGAGAAATAAGTGCATAATTCCCAGACCTCGAAGGTATACAACTACTCACTAACAGTAAACATAAAAGGACTTCGTAGACACGTCCGCTGAGCCGTATACAACACTGGGTCGACAAGAGATAAGGACAGATTCATTCGTTCGAAGAAACTATACGAAGATGAGGACCAAACTAGATACTGACCGAAACCGACGTACATGGAAAAGAGTTTTTCTGCTTCAAGAGGTGTGATTATACCACGAGTCAGAATATGAGGAGCCTCGATGCCTTGACTGGCCTGAGTACTCCGTGCGATAGATCCAGGTCCTAGCGAAATAGTAAGCGTAGGAAGATCTATGGAACAGCAAACACTGACTGGTGAAGAACTCATCATTGGCCACTCCTACATTCGCCTTATCACCTCCATGTTCTTCGGCCTCCACGCTGCTACCTCTATGTCGGTTTTTTTTGAGACTTAAATCAGCCATCAACCCAAAGGGCACCGCTTCACTAGGCAAGGTTGCCAACTTATCACCAGAGTCCTTCTTCCGAGTTCCAGTGCTTGCTCGAGTGGCATTACTATCGACACTCGACCCCGACGAGCGTCGGCGTAAATCCTTTTTGCGACTTTCGATAGCCTCCGGAGTCCATCCTTCCGCATCAGAGTCTACGATAGCAAACTCGTAACCGCCCTCATCATCACGATTGACATCCTCTTCAGGATCGTGGTCCACGACGAAACTCTTAGGCAGTCCAATACCAATGAATCCTTCGAATTCTGCGAAGCTAGATCGGGCTTGGGCTATCCAAGCCTCAATCTTTTTATTTGCTTCTGTGTCGACGTTAAGATTGGAATCCGGAGGTGCGTCAGAGGTAAAGTATGATGAGGCATGGGTCGAGGACGGTGAAAGTACAGGAGAATGCAAGGAAGGGGACGGGCTATGCGACGAGATGGTATCAGACCTTGACGAGACGGGGGTTGCTTTGAGTTTCTTATTAGATTCATCGAGCTGAGCCATGAGCCTCTGGATATGCTCGGCCTGCTCGCGAATTTCATTCATCAAATGTTCACGTTTCCTGTCACAAAGTTTAGTCGTGGAAGTGTGTAAAACCCGCGAATTACTCACGGTGGAACACGTCTCTTCTTCTTGCCAGGAATTACACATTCATGTCCGCCATTCAAGCAGCGTTTGCATGGATCCGTGTCCGTCTTGAATTCGCACCTAACTTTGAGATTTTTGCATCGGGCGCAAGCGCGGCTATGGCTGGGTAAGAAGAAGTGTTGAAGCCATTTTTGTGGACGACTCACGGCTTCGCCTTAATATCGTCCTTATTCTCGCCCGTAACCTCATCGTCCTCCTCAGCTCCGCCATCAGGAAGACGCTGTCTTTTGGCTTTGGGTTGTTGGGACAAAGCCGATGTGCTACTGGCGGGGATAGAAGGATGCTGAAAGTACAGCTGCGGAGCGGGTTCCGCCGAGAACGTACGCTGCATCGGAGCGGGAGAAGTAGACAAAACGGGGGGGGCGGCTATTCGTCCAGAAGTAACGGAGCTTGGATTTGGGGAGATGGAACCGGCAGGCGGGAGAGTATATGCGCCATTGAACATAGTGAAATTGGAATCCGGACCGAGAGAAGAGTTGGAAGGAAAGGCATTGGCAAAACGACTCTGCTGCGATGAGCCGTACATTGCATCTGGAACGTAGAGGCCAGCATCAGTCCTAGAGTGCTGCCCATCATTTGAGTAGGATGACATTCGTTCTGACTGCGGTCCAGAGACGTACGACTGACTAAAAGATGTATTGGGTGCATACGAGCTAGAGAGGTTGCGGTTCTGCTGAGGCTGGATCGCATCGTAAGACTTTTGGGAAGCGTCGGAGGCCGATAAAGCGTATTCATGTTCCAACTGAACATGTCCATAGCGAGGATAATTCCAGGGCTGGCCAGAATTATAAGAATCGGACATGGTGGTAAAACGGAAAGAGCAGCAGTGGCAGCGTCACGGTCGAGATACAGATGTCGTAAGGAAAGCGGAGAATGTTGATGGAGCAGGAAGGGTAAGCCCGTCAAAGAAACCGTGAGTTACTTGAAAGGGAAAGTAAAAGGGATACCAAGTCAAACAAGTTTGCCTTCACAAGGCGCACGGACACGAAAAGGACGCCGCCTTGGCCTTGGCTAAAGTCATTCTGGCATCACCGGCTGTCGTCGGCACAGTAAAATACTGGCAGCTGTAATGGTCACGCCGTGCGTTCCGAGTCCCAGGTCCACCCCAGCCAAACGGAAAACATATCGTCCATATATCTGATAAGCAGAGTCTTTCTTCATCGCATTGCTTGGGAAAATATGATTGTCATGGTCGTTCCAGCAATTGGTCTTCAGTTCATCACGACTTGTGGCTGTACAATTTTCTTCAAGTTTCTGGAGCTGCTTAACTTTTCATGTGGTCTTCAGATGCCTCGAGGACAATGACAAGTTCCGCACCACAATTGTACATTTATTTGTCTCTCCAGATTGTCATCTGGTTTCATCTCAAACTGATCATCGGATAAGATACGACGTTTTTACGTGGAAATCATACAACTCTAGCAAGATTACAACAATGCCACGAACCTTTTGCTCAGGGTGCTTTATAAACTTTATTGAACAAATAGAGGAACGACCAACCGTACACATATCGCTATGAAGTATATTGCTCACCTCGAGTTGCAACCAAGAGGCAGAGAAAAGTAAACAACAGAAAGGCAAAAAAGTCCTCGTACCACTGCTGACGCTTCTGTGACCAGTAAAAAGATGAGTCTCGGAACAAGCCATAGCAAATGGTGGTTGGGGGGGGAGGGTTGGACGGACTGTCAAATGTTCTCCCTGTCCTCCTTCAGGCGATCATCATAAGAAATCCTCAGCACGCGCTCTCTTCTTCCCCCTCGACTCTTCGCCTTGCTGAGCTTTATCAGTAGATTTAGCAATGCAGTACTTCGGATTGTATGCGCGTAGCTCATCCTATAAACAACGGATCATCAACTGGAATCAGTCGAGACAAAAACTATCACTTGCAGGTGAGAAATTAGGGTCTTGGAACTTCAGATCGGTCTCCTTCTTGAACGACGGTAATACTTGTTTGAGAGCAGGAACGGGAAGCACCGGCATGCGTGGAGTAGACGGGGGTTGAGACGACGGTGTAGGCGGCGGCGGAGTAGCAGGGACACTAGAACCAGTTGGTGTTACTGAGGTCATGGATCCATTTGTTGGCGGTGGCGGTGGGAATGGAGAAGCGGATCCCTGCTGTTGAGGAACAAAGGTCGGTGCGGGTGGGAATGGAGGCCTGATAATGCCGGGAGGGGGAACCCCAGACGGCATCCCCGTTGGTAACATTCCCGGAGCAAAAGGCGGCATAGGGAATCCAGGCGGAGGCGGACTACAGGATTAAAAAAATAGGTAAGTAAAAGCAGAACATGAGCGCATATGTACTCACCCCGGAGGAAAGCTGGGCACCGGGAAGGGCGGGGGATATGGTGGTTGGCCTGGCAGCATACCGGGAACACCGGGCGGCAAAAATGGAGGGGGTCCGGGAGGCATCGCAACAGGTGGTCCGGGAGGGGTGGCAGTCGGAGCAGCGGCATATGCCTGAGGAGGGGCACCATAGACACCACCTGAACTAGAATCTGCTGGGGCGAGGGCCGGTTCATTGGATCCAGCACCCATTAGCGCTTTGTGGGCCTCTAGAGCGGCCTTCAACTCCTCCTCTGACATCGGACGGTTCTCTGTTTTCGGCCTTTTGGCTGGAGGCTGAGAAATAGAGCCAGCAGCGAGGCCCAACTCAATCTCTTTCCGCCGCTTGTAATCAGCCACGTCGGGCGCGGGTATGCCTTCCATCCCAAATATCTCCACTTCATAACCGTCTCTTCCTGGTATGGCGTTCTCAATTCGAGGCAGGCTGTCATGAATTAAGATCACGGAAATAAGATTAGACACTGTAACACACTTTTCGGGCTCCAGCTTGTGTACCTGCTGAATGTGCACCGCTAATCCTCCCGCAGTATTGAGTCTTCGAGGGCACATGTTGCATTTGAAATGCTTAGCCTTTTGATGTTGCATCAATACTGCAAGGAGGCTTGTCAGTAGGCCAGCAAAACTTTCAAGCATCGGTCCTGACCCTTTTCGTCTTCAAATTCTCGCTCACAGTACCAACACCATGGCCGGATAATCTTGGTAAATGAATATAGGCACAATAGAGATAGAGCAACCATCTTACCTGCTTGTTCTTCTTCTTTGCCATACTTGAGCGTTTCTGGTTAAAGGGGAACTGGAGAGAGCTGGAGCGAAAACAAAATGATTACATAATCCTTGCTTCGAACTTTCGGTTGGCCGAACCGAGTCATAACTGACCAGCTTCATTACAGAGCTCTAGCTCTAATAAGAGTATACTTACCAGTACAGTGGCATGTCTCGCAACTCTCCAAATCTTTCAACCTGGAACCTAAACATATGCTGTCTCCTTAGGTCGTTCATGAGATAATTAGACATGAGAAGGACGTACGCAGACTTGCTATAAACATTGCCCGTGTTTCCAGTAGTTCCACTTGGTGAAAGCGACAGAGGATCTATACCATTCGTTTGACAATATCCATGTACAGTGTTCTGATGCTGCATACAGTTGAAGGCTAGACCATGCAAGCTCATAATTTCCTGAGCAAGCGGAATAGCAGAGGGAAAATCAAGGCGAGATATAAGACGGGAAGACACGCTGTCGCAGAGAAAGAACCCAGAGGATTGACTCAAACTTTTCTAAATGATTGCGAGCAGGAAAGTGAGCAATTCGAAGACCTAGACGCCAGCCTTGGGTCTGAACAGCTCGAGTCCGACTGTTGGCTGTGTCATGGCGGCAAACCAAGATTCAAGATTCTAGCAACTTCAACCTTATATCCATTTCCCAGTCCTAGCTTCGAATACGTCAATATTCAGCCTGATCATCTCCGTCAAGTTGGATACATATGGTATGAAGTAAAATAACTATTAAAGTTGAAATATATCGTTTAACCCGTTTCTCAGCAGGCATTAGTTTGGTCTGGTCCAGTACTAGTACACTGTATACATACGACAGCAAACGTTCATAACTTAATCGAAGATCCCTGTGTCCTAACGGAAAGCAAATAGTACTAGGGAAGAAAAGGCCAAAGTTACCAAAGGAATGACAGAGAAGGCTAGTAATACCGGGGACACGACTTTGACAGCAGTGACACCCTCTTGTAACCACACAAACATGCAAACTTGCACAGCTAGACATGCAAAGCCAGCGCAGAGGTTGACGATCCCTAAGACACCATTAATCAGTAGACAGGCGTTCCGCGTTCAGACAAATACCAAACAAACCACCGCCAGGATGATCCAATACTGAAACGATCAAGGATGTCGATGTTAGCAGGCATCCAGCCAGCGTGCGGCGGATCAAGACTACGCCTTGCAGCCCAGATAGGTACGCTCCCGGTTTTATCGACAAGGACAAGCGAAGCCACAGCGGTCGTACAATTGAAAATGATTGAACCATATGAAAAAGCCATTAAAGTCGAGAACGCAGCCGACGGGGGTAGAGGTAGATTAGACTGCGAATACGACATAACATGGACGGAACATAGTGCTAGTTCTGCACACTGTTTACGAAAGGAGTTTAAGGCATTGATCAATTTCACTGAACGATAGCACCTACCAGGAACAGGGAGCTTTGTGCTGTGGACTGTCATGCTCGTTGGAGGGAATGTACTAATGGAGGTACTCGGTCTACGCGCAGAATTTCATATATGCATACGAATTCTTAATAAAATGATACGTACAGCTCAAGTCCATGTCATTACCGCCTTGCGCCTCGACGGATCTAGGACTGCAGCACCGGTCGACTGTGAATAAGAGCGGTCAGTGAGAATATAACAAAGGCAAAATCACGACGTGTACCATGAGTATGGCTGTCGTCCGTAGAGGGTGGACTAGGATGAAGTTCCCAAGTACGGTCTCCAGACGTGACGTTGGAACTATGTTGGCCTGTACGAAATGCAGGCCAGAGCCATGAGCCCATTTTTCTGACTTGGACATGTGTGATGAGGACTTGAAGAAGCTTTGTGGTATCCAGAACCCCTTTCAAGTGTTATATCTACAGCACGTCGTTTGCTCTTCTTACTTGCTCCGTGCCTCACCAGTTTCATCAATGGAGGTCGCCTGTCCAAGGCAGTGAACATCAAAAACAAACATAGACGGCCAAGGATTCAAATTTACTTTTCATTAAATAAGCGCATGTCGGTAGAACCATACCACTTTGATCCCTCAAACACAAGACATGCATAGGACTGCGCTTTTCGGCTACGCCTTGGCAAGCACGCTCCCACAGCATGTATGTATTCAGTTCAGCGTTGATTAGGCGATGATCATCATAGGCAAGACCGGGAAACCTGTTGCACCACTGACGTGTTTGAGCATTATTATACCAACGTAGAAAACGCACCCATACCGCACTGTTCCAAACGCGCCGGAAACGGTTTGCAAAAACCAACATAATCATAAGTATACATTAGTAAAGGCCTGTCAATGAACTATAAGCGAGGCCTGGTGACAGTAGCTGCCAATAACGGTATAGGTGCCAACTAATTGCTGACGAATGCTGAATACATGTACAACGAAGTATGGGGTAGATCAGGCTCGAGATGCATAAACTACTGCAGCAGTACGCATTGAAGTGGAAAATATAAATAAATAAGTGGGTTGGTGAGAGCAAGAAGATGATGTCCTGACGTCGGAAAAGCAATTTAAAGATGCAAGCTCTTCAGTGTGAATGTCGGAAGAGACCGATGCCAGCTCGTAACAACAAAAATACGACAATAAAGAGGGAGGATGAAGTTGGCAATCCGATTTCCTAAACGTGGTGGTGTTGTTACAAGTAAATGGACATTGGTGAGGTGCACCAAGAAGTGTGCCGAAAAGTGTGCGGTGATGAAATGATCCAGGAGACAAAGCATCAAGGGTGAACGCCGTAGACCGTTACTGTGAACGGGAAGGGAAAGAATTCGCAGCAGATTCGTCGCCACTGTAGACAGAAACGGCAGAAGATTGGAGGGAGGCCTGCAGAGAAGGAGCCCGAAGGTGAGCGTCACTGACGTCATCTCGGCCTTCGAGAGCTGCAATGAGTGAATGTATGGCTAAGTCATTTTCGATGGAAGACGTTGTGCTTGTATGGGCGTATACTGGATCTGAGGCGTGCACGTCGCTGAAAGGGTTCACAGCTCGCTCTTTGCCTTTTTTGCTACGCGGAATGCGAGGCACATCTGGAGTCTTGGAGCGAACTGGCACGGAAGATCCTTGAGCATTGAAGAAGGGGTTGCCAAAACTCCTCCTGCGCTCCGTGGGACTGTTGAACGGGTTTTCACCAAGGTCAACCGTTTTGGCCTGTTGATCATCAAAATTCACCACCTCCGCTGATTCCCAACGATGTGGCTCCGAAGAAGTCAACGGTGGAGTTGGAATGGCCATATCCAATGACGGAGACATGGAACCCGACATATGGGCTGAGCGAAGGGACAGGAAAGACTCGTTGGCTGTGGAATTCCAAGACATGGCCGCGGAATCTGCTCTACCAGCGAACGGTCTGATGGGTTCTTTGACATCGGTTGATGCCAGCTCTTTGGCAAGATTGGAATGATAAGGGGAAAATGGATGAGGCTCAAGGTCGAAATGTGGCGGCTCCTCCGTTGTGTGGGTGTACGCCGTTCGCACGCTCGGCGACTTGTTGAACATAGTGAGCTTCTCCATGGGAGCTACACTCACTCCACCATCAACTTCCTTCATGTGGTACTTACCCTCTGATTGAGGATCGTCCACAAGCTTGTCCCAGTTCTCGAGCCGGGACCGCGACCGCTCGTGTTCTCCGCGAGCATTGCGGCTCGCAGACATGGTAGGGGCAGGATCTTTAGACTTCGCTTTGGGTATGGCACATTTATAAATCCATATGCCCAATACAATAAGGAGCACGGCTCCCGCAAACGCGCCGACACAAGCTCCTATGACTGTGCCTATGGGAATTTCCTTTGTGGTTGCTGCGTCGGAGACAGTTGGTTGGGATGATGACGAAGTAGTCGATTTGGCTTTGGCAGTAGATGAGGGGGTCTCGAACACGACGGACACACCAGAGTCGACGTCGGTGGTGGTTGCTGAGGAATCATAAGCCAAAGTCGTGGCTGTAGTAGTAACATCGTCAACAGTGATCCCATTGCTGGCAATACCAGAAGCAGAGATAGCGGGTAGTGGATCAGAGGTTTGGCGACGGATATGACGATGAGCGACCATAACGGAACGATAAGGAATGTAGGGAAAAAGAGTGTACAAGCGCCAAAAGAACAGACACAAATCAAAGCCTGTAGAGCGGTTAGCAACAGACATCCTTCACTGAAAAAGAGCCCACACGAACGAATAGTACGGCGAAAAGGAAAGCAGCATTCAATGGACCGTAAGATCTGAGCAATGAAACGACGTTGTCGTCGTTGTGAAGAAGGATGATAAACTTGTAGAGTTGAAACAAATGCGGCTGTTCCCACGGAGCCGGGACGAGGCCGCCGCACCTCCGGTCGCATCATGACTGTCTGCGAAATTTTCATGCCCCTCATTTCAGCTAATTCTTTAGTAATTCTGTGAAAGAATACGAACCTACTCAGCCTTCTTTGATAAGCGCCGCTCTCGTCATCATCGTATCTATAGTAAAGAGCCCGAAGAAGCTCATCTCGAAGACAATTTTACATCTTCTATATTCCAACGTCAACATGTCAGTCTGGATTTCCTCTAGCCATCGCCTGTCCCTAAAAATTGGAGCATTATTTTCATAGCACTTAATCGTCCCGCTTCCAAATCACTCAATCTGATAGCGAACGGTAATCTCATGCTTTACGGAAATTGCGACGTCGGCAAGAAAATCGGGCGCCATAATCAGTCCTCTTACGGATTAGCGTTAGTGCAAAGCCATAGATTGTTGCGGCAATTTTGTCGTCCACACCTCACGGCCCGTTTCAGGGCCTCGCTAGCAGTGTCGATATCAATATTTTACTTACATGGATTCTTGGGACTCATTGTGTACGGTATCCACACCTTGTTGCTTTCATTAACATGGGTAACCAAAGAATACCTACAGCGAGTGACTTTGTCATCGTAGCAACTCGCAGTAATTCTTTCTACGTCATGAATGTTGGTATAAGTAAAAATCACTTTAGTAGTAATGTAAAAACGCACAGAACCGATCTAAGGCAACGAAATCATGGCGACCAACATCTCAAGAAGCACCTGATCGAATACACATTGGCGCCCCATTTTGGAAATGACCAAGAAGCCAATACTCTCGTAGAGGATGAGGGAGCTCATGCTATACAATAGATCAGTAATTAGGGAGGAGATTTTTTCAGAATGCGAGTCTGATAAGCAGTTCTTGTCAAACAATTTGCCAGTGCGAGTGGCCAGCCGGCAATGCTTGGTCGTCGGCACCATGCGATCATTTTTGTTCTCGTTAGTTCTCGTAATGAGTAAAGTGGTATCCTGACATGACTATACTACCTATGGATTGTCATGGATTCTGTTTCTTGACAGAAAAAGGCTGGCTGACTGACCTACAATATCCATTAGAAACCTTCATAATGCAGTAGATCACGACCTCCGCATCCTAAGGGTCTGTCCACCACGTATACCTGTCATCGTAGCTGACGAACCGGGCCTCCACCATTCCAGAACGATATTCTTCGCGAATATTTCCCCAAAACCAAGCATGACGCCATTGACGAACGGTAGAAAAAAGTTTATCGCTAGAGAAGAAAATAACGCCTTTACACGGGTACGCGTTGACAGAGAAGAATCGAAGATGGCGAGCGTAGCAGAAACAGGGGCTTTGGTGCCCTCTGGACGCTGTCGAATTGGGGAAGAATTCTCCGTATGCTCGGGGAAGGACATTGAGGGAAAGGACGAAGTTATGGATGAAGGGACATCCTCCCATTTCTGTGAGCCTTCACTCTGCGAGGGAGGAGGACCCGGACCGGGGTTGTGGGGCTAATGTACGCTTAGAAGGGAGGCCAGACATACACAAAGAAACTTACGACGGCTGGCAGTTCGACTGTCGCGATATCCCTGCCGGAATCAGCGACACTTGACGTAAATCCAGATACCGAGGAAGGAGCCAGACTATTATTGCCTTTGCTTCCAACTCTTTCCCAACCCTCATTTGAATCTTGCAGAGATGACTCGCGTTCCCTCACACGTATGCCCTCCCATCGCGCTCGCTCTTTTTCTGCTTTCTCTCGAGCTTCCGCAGACTGTGACCGCCACGTTTCTACCTGAGATTCATACTCTGACGTCCAGGACTCTAGGACTTGGTTGGAAACAAGACGCTCCAAAGGCTTTGGCGCCGGTGGCGTGTCTGAAATGGCAGCCTCCGCATTGTCCCTCGAAGTGCAGCGACCGTCATGACTCGTCGGGTTCCGGGGAGGAGGAGTAAATGCTTGGTTCAAGGCAGCCTGCAACAAGGTAAGACCTTGCTATATTCAAGTAAAATGATGTACTTCAAGTAAGGACTCATCTGCGCTGTCAAAAGACCTTCCCTCGTCCATACCAGAGATATTTTACGCAACTGGACCGCTGAGGTCAAGAGAAAGATGATCCGGTGACCTTCCGAAAAATTCAAAAGTTTATTCAAAATTATGTATATAAATAAAATATTGAGCGCCGGCATCGTTTGCCAAGTTAGTTCCCCTCTATCTTCAGTTCACATTCGATTTCGTTGGTAAAGCACTGTGCACTTTTTAAAATTCCTGGATACTGTTGGCTTTGAAATATCCATTTCTGCTCTGCTACATTTGAGCCTGAGTGTAATATGCCAAATGATTGTCATCATAAGCATTAAGGGCACTCACATTCGCTCCCCTGGGCTCCATATTTGATCATTTCGCATCGACGGTCGAGGACAGCATACAGACGTGCTCTGCCACTACCTAGAATCGCTTTCCCCCCCTTTTAACTGGCTGTCTCGTCCCGCGCCTAGTCTCCCCAGAAGCGGGCCCTCGTTTTAGTTGGGCAACATTTTGTTTACCTTCACTGTCCTCGTCACTGGACGACGGTATCGACTTCACCTTCTTTTGCGGTCCCACAGGTGAAGAATCAGTGTCTGAAGACGGTAGCTGGGCTGACCGCTTCTTGGCAGGCATTGGTATTGGAGAAGATGGCTTGTCTGGTTGTCGTGAAGGAACCTTACCCTTTCCCTGGTCTGAGCCATTCTCCTCTTCAACGTCGGAGTCATCGGTCACCGAGTCTGATTCCGCTTCTTTTTGGAGGGCATCAGCCTGAGTCCGATCTGGTGACATAGGTTTGCCTGATAGCATCAGAGTTGTCTTCTCTGGTATCTGAATGAAATGATGTCAACACCGACACCACAAGCACTTAAAAATGAAGGCATACGATAACAGGTGAAGGTGTGCGGGTCGACTGATGAGGTTTGGTGCCTTGCTTTGAGGACTCCCGAGGGCGTAACATCTCAAATTCAGGTTTTTCAACCGATGTAAGTATAATCGCTTGCAAAGGATGAGTACTATCGATGCATGGCTATCGACGACTTACGAAGTTCCGGCGCAAAGTTGAATGTGGCTGTAATACGGCGAAGAACTGTAGCTATGCGAGGCTTTGAAATTGCGTTCTTGATATGTATGTCCACATTACGCCTGGCAATCCGTCCAACCTTGTCGACAGCCTGAATTTAAATATCATGGATTTCGTTCAAGTGAACAAATTTTAGCAACCCCACCTTTGTTAATTCGGCGTCAGATACCTCACCGACCGAATCCGTCGAGGAAAACGCTAAATGACCCATACTGATGAGAGGGAGTATAAGATGTTTGGAAAGAATATCTGCTGAAGGTCTATAACCAAGGAAACAAGTCTCCCATCGCCACTTGAAAGACTGGTCTTCAAGAGTGAAGGCAACATCCTGGAAACAGAATATTAGACATCATTTGAGACATCTGAACAATGTATGATACCGAGAAGTTAGATTCCACGACTTCAAACAAGAGGTCTGTGATGCCCCCCAGAGAATGCGCGTTAGAGAGGAGCTCAAGGGTACGCGCCCTCCATTCTTCTTCGCCGCCCATCGAGTTTGAGTTAGATACCGGTTCCGGGCCATTCAATTCTCTCCATCGGCGTGCAAACTGAGGTCCAGAGAGAGCTGAGAGGACCATTCGCTTGATGAAGAAGATTGGTATACGGATGAAAATAGACGCCACCTTCAGCCCACACCGACTTGGTATCCGTGATCAGTACGCAACATGTCAAATCAGCTGTAGACTCGTAAAATTTCTAGAGGAGCCCAAGCAACAATATTGGGAGACTGCGCCTGGTGTACAGAGAATGGACGAACAATGAGATAGGGTATTGACTTGAGAGTATCGATTTTGACCAACCACTCCCTCGTCAGAAGTTGGTTCAAGGTATTCTGCGGTGAAGTCAATATACGTAGCACACAGAAACAAAAGTAATATGCACTTCGGATAAGATTTCCATGTGGTAACTACATATAAAGGGGACGGCTGGGACAGTCTTGTTCAAGTGTTCGCCACAGGAACAAACAAATACGCAGATTTGCCTCCACCGTCACTAAGTACGGGAGGACTCGAGTTGTAGACCGTCTTATCTCACCTCTCATCAGCCCATGTAAGCACATCTATCTGTTTCTTAAGGTTTTCTCATTTCATGTCATAGGCCCTTTCTATTTCTTCAAACCTCCCAACTTCGTACGGGCAATGGAAGACGGCGAAATTTCTGGGTTCGAAGCCCCTACCCCATACCCTAGCAATCTCAAATATTCACATCACCCTTCAATTGAATGGCCGGACGAGCCTTCTTTGATTGAAACTCCCACTAACCAGAGGATCACCCCACCGCCCACAGAAGACGTCCAAGACCGACCTGTCTGTCGTCTTGTGGTTGATAAGCCGTTCGCAGCTCTTGGGCTGGGTAGAATTGTATTGGTTGATGGGTATCCTGAGGTACAGTTTGGCCGTGACGCACTGCCTCCAGGCTCTTCTACTCCCAAAGTTCGGATAAAGCTGATGGAGGTATCAAAATTACACGCCACTGTGTACTGGGACACCCACCAGAAGGAATGGGCCGTCATTGATATGGGCTCGATGCATGGAACATATCTCCTTTCGTCTGATGATCCATCCACCACTTCACCTCAGGGTAGAGGTACACGACTATCACCCTCTCGGGCGGCTAGCATTCCTCGGAGACTCTGCAACATGGATCGTCTGACTGTGGGTGATGTTACCTTTATAGTCCATATCCATCAGAGTTTGCCTTGCGAGGAGTGTTCTCCCCGAAGTGTTGGGGACGAAGTTTCTTTGTTCTCGTCAGAACGAAAGAAGCTCCGAACGCAATCTGAAAATGGAGCGACGAAGGCTGCACATCACCCATATCCCAAGAATCCGAAGCAGGCATTGGCACTGTTAAAGCAATCCCTACTTTCACAGCATGGCTCTGGTTCAAAGTCAACAGCAGATCAATACATAGACCGGTCGGCTCGTCGACGTGCCTTCTTTTCCTCTAGCGCAAGTGATTCGCCCGGGGTGACTCCTCGCGATTCCACAATGCCAGTACCTGAATATGAACGTCGGAACACTTCAGATACTCCGCAGGATACGGAGCCTGTTTCCCGACCAGCCACACCCTTACCTTCAACAAATGTTGGGCACAGGCTGCTCCTGAAACAAGGATGGCAGCCGGGAGAGTCCCTTGGTCTTACCGTTGGAGAGGGGGTGGTGGAGCCGTTGGATGCTGGCGCCATGTCCAGTATCGGCCGACGGGGGTTGGGCATGCCTCGTCCTTTGTCGGGTAGTTCTGGATGTCGACATTGAGATATGTTATCTTCCTCTGTTTTTCATACACAATCTAGATGGCATATCGTACAGGAATAAACTTGAGGGCATGCCACTCGCCTAGGTACTTCGCGCCTCGAGGCATGAAAGAATTTATGCAAATAAATTAAAATTAGTTGCGAAAATCCAGATCAAGGTAGCGACGTGTGAAATCGTGGGAATATTTCGGTCACGTGGTGTTGAACGCAGATAAATTTGTCTGATTCTTTTGGTAACCTGAACTAGGGATTTGGATCTGCTGGTCCAAGTCCAGGTCTATCTCCACCCTCCTTGTCTTCCCATCCCCTTTTCTCTTCTATTTCCATTCACTTCCATCTCTATTCTCTACTATCTCTTCGTCGTGTTCTTCGTATTCGTTGTGTAGCTTTTGCTCCTTAAAATGGCAACCAACACTCGCGTACGTAGTGGCAGACTCGTCTCTGTCGCGTCCTCACTCATGCTGTCTTTTAGGCGCCCCAACGTACTCGTTTACCTCAGCGTGGAAAGACCGATGAAAATGCTGCAGGTCGACATATACGCCAGCATTCAGCATCGTCTCGCTTAGCTCAAAGAGAGATTAACGGTGTCAAGATTAACCTTCTTCGACCCGCCTTGGGCGAGGTCACACTGAAAGCGGTCAACCGCAAGGTATTTATAGGACTATCGCTTCGTTCCTAATGCTCAATATCCCCATCAAGGAGAACACCAGCAAGTCTGTGTTAGGTGACGAAGATGATGTACCATTCAAACCAGCCCGACCAGTTCTTAGCGTAACTACCGTTCAACGTGTCCCACTAGGTCCCGCCCGGGCTCAAGTAGCGCCTCCCGTCGCCAACGCCGTTAATGCTCGGGTACCTATCATTCACGCACCGCGTCCCCATATTCCCATTCTCAGTCATCGCCGCATACCTCGCGTTCCCCCACCACCAGTAGTAATTTATGACGAACCAGCAGAAGACGTCGAAGAAGACGCAGGAAATGATATGGACATCGAGGATGTATTACCACCTCCTGAGCAAGCACAAGTTGACATAGAGAGAGATGAAGATGAGATGAGCATTGAAGGCGAAGAAGAAGTCGAGGAGATGATAGTAGTTGAGGATAAAGAAGAAGCACAGGACAAAGAGGAAGCCGAATCTTCGCAGGCCTATGTCTGGCCTGATGCACCCACACACCGGAGATTGAAGTATGCACGAGAGGTTGAAGCCGTTCGCGAGGTCTTTGAAGATGACCCCGACTATGACCCTGCTATGGTAGCGGAGTATGCAGATGAGATATTTGAGTACATGCAGAAGCTAGAGGTGCGTTACCACAAATAACGATCGTCTGCGTAGCTAACAAATACACTTTCATAGGAGGAGGTGATGCCGAATCCCGACTACATGGACTCTCAGCTAGAGATTACTTGGGAAATGCGACAGACGCTTGTGGACTGGTTGCTGCAGGCTCATCTGCGCTACCATATGATCCCAGAAACCGTTTGGATCGCAATCAATGTCGTCGACCGGTTTTTGTCCAAGCGAGTCGTTTCCTTGGCCAGACTTCAGCTGGTTGGCATCTCTGCTTTATTCATCGCCGCCAAGTACGAAGAGATCATGGCACCGTCAGTGGATGAGTTTGTAGCAATGGCTGAAAACGGTTATACTCGTGATGAAGTTCTGAAGGGTGAACGAATCATCCTGCAGACTCTAGGCTTCCATATATCGCATTACTGTTCTCCATACAGCTGGATGCGCAAGATCAGTCGAGCGGATGATTACGAAATCCAAACAAGGACGCTTTGTAAATTCTTGGTGGAAGCAACACTTCTCGATTATCGATTTCTCCGAGCAAAGCCTAGTTTGGTGGCAGCTGTCGGGATGTACACGTCAAGGATAATGCTGGGAGGCGACTGGGTAAGATCCTTTTTGTTTTTTTTGAATTTGAGTGACCTTTTTTCTTTCCTTTTTTTTTTTTTGCCAGAACGAAGCATTCGTTTTCCACTCTGGCTTTACAGAAGAGCAATTGGTACCTGGCCATGAGCTTCTCATCGAAAAACTGGCGGAGAAAAGTTTCACTCGGCTATATCTGGTCAAAAAGTATGCTAATAAAAAGTTCTTGAAGGCGTCTACCTTCGCGATCAAGTGGGCACGAGGAATCGTCGAAGGGACTGGGTGCACAGATACAATGCTCCGTGATGACCAGGTGTGAATGTGTTTTGCCACCTACTACCTACCACATCATTCGTCTCCAACACTTTTTCATCACTTTTTCGATCTACAATCATAATCTTCCTGTCCATTAGTATTGTCTTTATCATTCTCAGGCTTTTTCCTCGCAATTTACGTGTTATTGTTTCTCTTGTATGTCATCTTCCTATCTATGCTTTCTAGACGCTTTCGCTTTCGCATATTTATGACTATGGTTGAATCCAGGCGAGATTGTCTCGGTTGCACATCTTACGATTTGCTTTGTACTTTTTTGTATTGTTCCGCGAACTTTCGTCACGCATTACATTTATCTTCTATCGGTTAATATTCTGGCTGCATCGATGGATTCTCCACTGTTTTGTATGTTCGCGGGACGCGTCGTGTACATTCCGGCACTTGTATAATCGCAATGCATGTCCCTTTATCAAACCAGATTGTTTGAAGTACCGTGCGTTCGCACGCACGAAGTGCCCGACAGCAACGCCTTCAGTGTCCCGTGGACCGGTGACGTCACTGGCACTCGGTTTCTTGACCAGCAATCGTAGATCCGGGTATGGTGATTTCACATGTAAACGCCGTGCTGGCTTATATTCAACCAGCCCCGGTCCATACGTGAAACTCTTACAACGACGTCGACCATGTCTCTATCATTCCAAGGACATACTGTAATCATCACTGGCGCTGGCGGTGGATTGGGAAAGGCGTGAGTATATGCAGTGGTCTATGAATTCGGGCTTTCTCTCACACCATTACTCCTCCCCAGTTACTCCCTCTTTTTTGCCTCTCGAGGTGCCAACGTTGTCGTAAACGATTTTAATGCTGCAGCAGCACAGAATGTCGTTGACGAGATTGTCAAAGGTCTTGTTCCTGCCGCTCAGCCTGTGGATTACTTATTAATTGAATGTGTCTTAGTCGGCGGGAAGGCTGTTGCAAACACATCGTCCGTCACAGACGGCGCAGCCATAATCAAAACTGCTGTTGATACCTTTGGAGGCGTGTCTATTCTCATCAACAATGCAGGTATTTTGAGGGACAAATCGTGCGTTATTTCTCGTCTAGATATACACTGAAGCTGTAACTTGCTACAGTTTCAAGAATATGACGGACAAGGAGTGGGATCAAATCATGGAAGTCCATCTTAAGGGGGCCTTCGCCTGCACCAAGGCTGCTTGGCCTATCTTCCGGAAACAGAAGTTCGGACGCGTCGTCAACACGGCGAGTGCTGCAGGAATCTATGGCGAGTGATCAGATTAAAGTGTCAGAAGAAAGGGTGGCTCATCTTGTAATAGGAAACTTTGGACAAGCTAACTATAGTGCAGCTAAAATGGGTCTCATTGGATTTACGAAGACCTTGGCTCGAGAAGGTGCTAAATACGGAATAAAGGCTATTGCTATCGCCCCCGTGTGTTGCAAGACTCGTTTCTAATTTGCACGCCCATCACTTACTGTTGAATAGATGGCTGCATCCGCTATGACGGAAACCATCATGTCGCCGGAGATGCTAGCTAAGCTCGGGGTATTGTATCCTCCTTTGAGATATCAATCACCATTACTGAGGCCAATCACTAGCCCGAATTCGTTCCTCCCTTTGTCGCCGCTGTGTGCCATCCTGAGGGACCAGATGCGTCAGGCCGAGTGTTTGAGCTTGGTGCTGGTTTCATTGCCGAGGTTCGGTGGGAAAGAAGTGATGGCGCGGTGTTCAAGACGGATGCAAGTTTCACACCCTCGGCTGTATGTCTTTTCTGAGGTTGTCTATCGTTGCACTCACAGGATTTTACTAGATCAAAGCGCGATGGGACGAGATTGTGAACTTTTCAAAACCTTACTAGTGAGTCATCATCAAACATGCAGGATATATCATACTTATTCCTCGACTATTCAGCCCTACATCGGTACCTGACGTTGACGCCGAAGGAAAACTCGCTTTGGCAGCAAAGCTTCCTCCGAACCCTCAATCTAAGCCTGAAGTCCGCTTTGACGGACAAACAGTGATCATCACTGGTGCCGGTGCTGGTTTAGGACGCATATATGCTCTAATGTACGGAAAACTTGGTGCTAATGTCGTAGTCAATGATGTCAGCGAAAAGGGGGCGAACTCTGTCGTTGAGGAGGTAATCAAAGGTATCGGCGTCTGCCTCCCGTCCGTCCAGTCCCTTATTGACCGATATGCATAGCTGGCGGTAAGGCCGTTGCAGCTGTAAATTCAGCTGAAGATGGCGATGCAATCGTAAAAGTCGCACTGGAGAAGTTCGGTGGCGTTCATGTTTTGGTGGCTAACGCTGGTGTTCTTCGGGACAAGTCTTTCCAAGCAATGACAGAACAAGAATGGGATCTTGTTCTTGCTGTACATCTTAGGTGCGTCTTGCCTCAAGTTGTCCTTTCTATTACTTATTGAATTATGTGCAGGGGTACATACAAGGTCAATCCTATGCTGACTCGCCGTAGTGTCTGCTCTAATCATCTCAATAGTGCGCAAAAGCAGTCTGGCCAATCTTCCAAAAGCAGACATATGGCCGCATTGTAACGACCTGCTCACAGGTCGGTATATGTGAGTATTCCATGTGCTCAAAGGTTCTTCGATCTTACTTCGGTGTAACAGACGGTAACTTCGGGCAGGCCAACGTAGGTGTTCCACCTTCGGCGTGGTATGGTTCATATTGTAACATCACCTCTAGTACTCTACTGCAAAAGCCGGTATCATGTCTTTGACCAAGACGTTGGCCTTTGAAGGCCGCAAGTATAATATCCTTGCCAACGTCATAGCTCCATCTGCTGGAACAGCCATGACAGCGACGGTATGGTTAGTAGGATATCCGGGCCACGACTGTCCTTTAACTCACAAGGTGGTTTTTTTCCAGGCCCCAAGAAATGGTGGATGCCTTCAAGGTTGGCTGACAGAACTTTCGGTGGGGTTTTGGTCAACTTACATGATTCAATAGCCAGATTTCATAGCACCTCTAGTGGGGTATCTGACCAGTAAAGGTGCGGTCTTCTTTCACATAATAAACTATGCTAATAACTGCTTGCAGACAACGAAGAAACTAGTGGTTCGTTGTTTGAGGTGCTAGGTGGTTGGGCTGCTCAAACGCGGTGGCAACGTTCTGGCGGCTATGGATTCCCCTCCAACAAGCCATATACATCTGAAGATGTTGTCGCTAAGTGGAAACATATTACGACATTTGGTAACGTAGTGGTCATTTTTTCTGTCTCGATGTACTAACTCTTATAGCAGATGAGCGAGCTACATATCCTACGACTACAACAGATGCGATGCAGAAGGTACGGCTAATGTCAAAGCACATGTGCATGATATCTGATCGGGCTATATAGGTTATCGAGAACTTTGACAATATCGAGTCGGCGAAAGCAAAAATGTAAGGTACTTCCGGGGTAGCGCATTCTATAGTCCGCGGGAAGGGTGTTTCCTTCATTGTATACTTTCTCGTACATCAATATAATCAATGTTTTAGTATAACATGTGCTTATTGCATTCATCGCGCCCGAGTATATTGTATTTTCCTATGTGTGGCCTTTGATGTCAATGACTCTAAACTAATGTTCGCACCACCATGATTCCTGCACATCGCAAGGCCCTTACATGTCTTTTTGTCATCCCAGTGATCCCATTTCCTTGCTATCGAAGTTTTGCATTGTAGCCACAAGATTCCACTTCCCTGGACTAAGAAGACCGTTTGGCATGCTTGTTACAATTGTCAATCACCCACCTGGGAGCTGCGATTAGTACAATACATACTTTCATGTATTGCATATATTCAGAGCTGCGCCAGTTTATATTTCCCAGCAGTCTTTGGTACTCAAAATCTAATCATTATTAGTGCACTTGTCCCTCTGTTCACTGACCTATGTGCACACATTTAGTAGCGGCACAGGACCCCGGTGTTCACCATATACCGGTTTTCTAAACTCTAAAACTCTTTTGAGTTGCAACGGATCAGAAGCCTAGAGGCAGACATTCATCAGCCGTTTTCATGTGATTGCTTCCTCTGCATCACGGGTCCGGTTAACGGGCTGCTGTTTGTTCTGTTACCACCATGGTTAACTTTTTGGATCCTAATCTTTTCGCCGATCCAGAGGATGCTGATATCGTCGTCGAGGCGAAGAAGATGATAGTTAAGCCAACAGAGTACTCATATACCGAGGTAAGTGTCTCTGCGTCTTTCTGGACACGGCCTCTCATTCAGTGCACAGCGCGACGTTATACTCTACAATCTGGGCGTAGGTGCTACCGAAAAGGAGCTTAAATGGACCTTTGAGGGAGACGAAGAGTTCAGCGCAATCCCGATATTCGGTGTCATCCCCCAATTTCTTGCCAGCAGTGGCTTTCCCTCAGATTGGCTTCCAGACTACAACCCTGTCGGTCAACTTTGCATACCTTCTTCGTCTTTTCACCCAAAAATTTCCTCTAGGCCAAGCTACTCCACGGTGAGCAGTTCCTCAGCATCAAGGCACCGATCCCAACCAGCGGCGAACTTGTCACTCGAGTCCGGTTAGAACTGACGTCGTTGAAACCTACTGGCTATCTAACTGAATATTTTTTTAATTAGTTTACTCGAGGCCTTGGACAAGGGAAAAGCGGCGGCTGCCACTACTATCAATGAAACCCGAGACAAACATACCGGCACGCTCATATTCGAGAATCAATGTACACTTTTTATTCGTGGTTCCGGTGGCTTTGGTGGCAAGCGCATAGGAAAAGGTGCACCTTGTTATCCCGCATTGGTCGCATTGCTAAGAACGCGCTTTTTAGACCGAGGAGCAGCTAGTGCGGCGAACGAGATACCAAAGCGGGCTCCAGATGCTGTCTTGGAAGAGAAAACGATTCCGACGCAGGGCGTCTTGTACCGGTTTGTCGCATAATCTGTGTCGTATGTCCATTTGTCGTATTCATCAAAACCGTTCCAGATTGAGTGGCGACATGAACCCATTGCACGTCAGTAGCTACTGCTACATCTTTGAAACGACTTGTTACAACTGATCACCCCAGATTCTTCCCGAATTTGCTGCGATTGGTGGCTTCGACAGGCCGATCCTGCATGGGCTTTGCTCAATGGGTATCTCCGGCAAACATGTATTTAAGACGTTCGGTCCTTTCAAAGACATCAAAGTTCGATTTGCGGGAGTCGTTTATCCAGGCGAAACACTAGTGACGTTGATGTGGAAGGAGGGGCCCAAAGTTGTGTTCTGTAAGTGGTGCATAACGCGTGCTACCAAACATCATACTGATGTCGCTCAGTAACGAAGGTGAAAGAACGAGATAGCGTCGTTCTTGCATCTGCCGGTGTGACACTAGTCGATAATTCGGAAAAGGCGAAGCTATAATTCTGGTATAATAATTCTAAGTACATGTGAGAATCACCACACCAAACCTTCTTGGTAATTAGAATGTACATGGATATTACAGAATGCAGTGAGTGTATGGATTAGGAAATTTATGCTACACATCGAGCGGTTCAATATTGTCTCAACCATTCTACAATAATATCGTAATAAAAGTCAACTGGTGGACAACTTTCCAGACTCTGCTTGGGCATCTGGCGAAGGTCTAAAGAACATAGCGAATCAAGTACATTGTGATAAGAGGTTACTAGAGGGATTATTTCCTGGAATAACAGGTTAGAGGAGGGGAACTGTAGAACAGTAAAAAACATACCTGGATAGAACCAGAACGTAACGCCGAGGATAACATATAGACCTGTCGTTAGTTTTTGAATTGAAAGGAATCTCACTGTAGAATCGAGAGCTTACACATCAGAATCATGCCCTGTTCCAGAGTCAGTCGACGGTCAGTGGCAGAAGGCATTGATACACGAACCTCTAGCCAATTAGATTTGCCATCTTGCACGACATAGTTTACAGTTAGAACTATGATTATAATAAGCTGAGTCGTACTTGCAATGACCTCAAAGATACATACCTGCGAGAAACATAGCTACAGATTCGTAGGGATCAAATAGTAATGTCAATGGTTTGCCCATGATCCACCCAAGAGTCACAATGAAGCTAAGAAACAAGATTAGCAAGAGACCCTCTGTAAGGACGAGTTAATCATGCTCACGGGATCACGAAGAGGGCGATTTGCTAAAAAATAAATAAATAAATATCAGCTAGCTTGCACAATGCGATGAAGAGAAACATCACTTACAATACTCGATCCAGCAGCGACGCCCAAACTGAGATTAAGTTTATCTTTTACGGATACTGTCACGGCAGTGACATGCTCAGCAGCATTGCCGACAATTGGAAGAAGAATCACTCCGACGAACTCTTTAGTGATCGGGCCACTGTCTGTCATGCCGTCGATTGAGTCTACTAGCCACTCAGCAGTAACTGCGACTAGCTAAAATATACCTCAGCTCTAGATCAAGTAGGATAAAACGGTCTCACCACAGTAACAGTGGCTAGCAGCCCGACGGTGACCCATAGACCCAATTGGGGTTCTTCGACACCTTCCTTTGAATGATCTGATCCACTTTCAATATCACGGTTATCCTCAGGCTGTAGCCGAGGTGCAATCGTTGCGCTGGTTGCAGATGAGACTGTACCGATCCTCTGCGTCTGCATCTCAATTGGTGGCTCAGCCTTGAGCTTCTTGTGGGCTCCGTATCGCGTGGATTTGACAATATCTTCGCCTTCGTCCGTGTACAGTGAAGCATGAGAGAAGAGCTGGAAGACCAGATAGGAGATATAAACTATCATGGGACTTAGTCTCCCGTGTAGGCTTAGAGCGATACACTCTTACTAAATAGCAGTACGATGGAAGTCTAAATGACGTCAATACGAACTTGGCAAAGGTACCGGGAGACCTACCCCATGGCTGACATTCAGGATGTCTGAGGCTTCGTCATTGTCCGTATCGCCAGCTACCGAAAAGTGGAAGGCGGCAGGTAAGAGAACAGCAATGACACTGATAGCAAGCAAAGAAGAGTTCAGCTGGGTAGCCACTAAGTGCGTAAAATATCAGATGAAGGTCAAGGAGCGATTAAGATCACGCATGAGATGATCTACATACTTTGTCCAAAACCTTGCTCTTGGAACTTGATCCCTCCGGCGAAGAAACACATGCCAAGAACCAAAACTTCATAACGATAAGATGACCGCCATAATAAACACAAGCGCTTACGAAGATTACTCAGGATAGAGCCGACCACTACAGAAAACAAATATTAATACTCAGTACTTTCTTCCAGTATTCACAACACGAGACAAGTAGTTGCAACGGGAAAAATGGAGACGGGAAGTCAAGAACTTACATGATGACTGCACGATTTGAAGTTGACATTTTACAAGGGATATTATCTGACGTAAGTAATTGAGTCAGGAAATGATTGACAACGGGTTCCTCGGGGACCTACAGCCACAATCAGTTCTACACTGCGTGAAATAACCTTCGTTTAGTGGTTATTAATATCATTGCGTCAATGACGTACGCGTTTCCCTGAAGATGAACATTGAAAGTTCTGAGAAACGCAGACGAGGCAATCTATGACTAGCACATACGAGAGTAGCATTCAGAAGTCCAGCTAGTGTCTGTCCAACTCTCATGGAGAGTTCATCGGTGGCGAAGGCCAGAAGCTACATCGGACAAGAAAGGTCACACTACCTGATTTACAACTAGTAGCCGGATGAACTTTACCTTGGCCAGGGGTATAATAGCAAGAAATGAACCTATGATGCTATTCTGAACACTCCACATGATGAGGATAGCTTTTGAACATACAAACAAAGATGATGGTGTCCTTCTCACCAGCGAAGGCGAAATGGAGAGCCCACTATGATGGCATGAGGACATTGCACGAGTATTCTTAGACAATGACGCACGGATACTGGAATGAATACTAGGAGGAGATTAAGCCCTGAAGATATGTCAGCATAAATTCGGGGATGGGGAAGTTGGTTGCATGTTAGCGTACACGAGGCTAACAATATCGATCTAATACTCTTCCATACTCCGGGTGATGGACCAATCGCTTTTTCTGGCGTAAGCATCACAGTTGTTGCTCGCACAAGTGAGAAAGATCGACGAGTCGAACGGCAAGACGTGGTCCTGTTCACGGTTTCCGCAGTCGCTTTCCTCCGGGAGGTGGGAGAACGCTGCTGAGTATGAGGTGTAGTTATCAGAGGTGTGTTCGTCTCTGTGTTAGATTCTGTGCTGATATTTGTATGGGTATTGTCGGACACTGCTTTGTAGTCGGAGCCATCGAGTGACTGCACAGTATTATTGCTGTTGTCTGTGGAGAGTCAGTTAAAAAAACATTTTCGGCCACTACCACACACCCATGTGAAGCTATGACGACGGAAGAAAAAAAGGTGTGAAAGGAGGGTGAGAAGCTGTTGTTTTTGTTTTATGGTGTGTTGACGTTGGTTAGTATGTAACATGTCATTGTGAGAATCTAGATCTGACTACTCAGCCACGTGTACTATAACCACGCGAATAATGGATCGAACGGTCTGTATTGATTCTGTATTATTCTCAAGCCTATCTCAAGTATTAAACTCTGCAGTCATTTTGTTTATGACACAGCATCATTTAACAGTACCATTGCTGTCATTTCTGTTACCGCAATTCAATTGCTATACAAGCTCCTTTACATAACTCGTAAATTGTAAATTACTTGGGCTGTTTATCAACGAGGTCAACCCTGATATGCAAAAGAAACAGCACCGTACAGCCCATCCTCCCGTCCGAGCATTCCGTATCCATGCAAGATCTGTCAGAATTCCTAAGTCAACGAGATTTGACAAACAAGGATCGGTAAACGTACCTCCATCTTTCTTGCGTGCCATCCAACACCACTGCTCACGTTTCCATTGGCTTCTGATAGCTTCTCTAACTCAACCCTCAATGGATGTTCGGGCTCCAAATCTGTTCTTAGCTGACTCTCTCCAGATTGCGCTACCCAACCAGATGCAGTGTCCACGTACCATCCCCTTCCGCCTTTGCTGCGTACAGTTCTCCAACTACCCGCACCAGCTCCTAATCCGCAAAGCATAGCCGTCGACAGCTCAATAACTCTAAGTCGCGTCGGCGGTGGCTTCGATCCCGAAGGCGCTGTGAGGCTAAAAGAAAAAGGCGGAGAACATAGCGGCCGGATGACATAGGAGTGTAGGGCGATACATGACTGGCGGGATGATCCTCGAGGAGCGCCATTCTCGCCCAACCCCGGCCTCATACCACAGTCTAATTCTGACGATGTACCAATCAGCGTTAGCACCTCAACATTGCTAGCTTTTGCCTGCAAAAACCCCGCAATTACACCGAGACGCACATCAGGAACGTGCGATAGGCCGAATGAGCGTAATTTTGGAAGGGGAACACAGGCTTGGAAGACCTCCTCGTTAATCGGTGCGCTCGACAGATCAAGGTACAGAAGTTCCCCGCTTACGAAGCAAGGAGCGAAAGAAACGACGGCCTTCAACTGTTCATGAGAGAGGGGGCAGCCAAACGTCGCGTCACCATACAAGTTGAGTTCTAAGATTCCAGCGCTAACTGGGGAGTCGATGAGGAAAGCTTTGATACTTTCTCCGGTCAGCCGTACGCATCGTGCGAGAGCGAGGGAGCTCAAACGCACAGTCGACGACCTTCCCAACTCCGCCAACAGTTCTGGAGTCACGCGAGTGCCGGAAAGGTCCAAATGAGTAAGCGAAGGAAAGGCAAGGACAAATGGTGTCAGGATGTCGGGCAAAATTGATTTAACCCCGCGCAGACCAAGTCGCTGAAGACCAGGAAAAGTCATCTGATCTTCGGATTGTAAACGTCTGGAAGAACCAGCCCCGCTCTCAAAATCTGCGTCGCTTTGAATGATATGGCACGTTACAAAGTCTGTAAGCGCCTTGACAAAAACCGCACTGACACATCCAGTCAGATCCACGGCCTCAAGGTCTAAACATTGGCGTCGCCGTTCTCTGTCTTCGTCGTCGGCCTCATGGGTATCGGTGAGGGCACGGCCACGAGAATTGCGACCACGGCCTCGGGAAGGGGCTCCGCGAAGGAACAGTTCGTTTAGAACTGCGAAGGTCAGCGCACCATCCATATATTCCGTGGCGCCAAATGTGATCAGATTTGGCATTTCCTTTGAACAGGTGATCAGTGCTGACTATTCTCTGAAGTACCGTGACATCGCTCACTTTAAGCACAGCTTCAACGCGGTCCCCCGTTACGAAGCGGCTATTTACACCCTCCTCGACAGACCTGCGCATGCCGATTGTACGGAAATGATTGAAATCAAGATGCCGTATGAAACGACCAGGACGTGTATCTTGAGGTGTCGGAACTACATGGCAAACTCTGAGAACAAAAATATGAGACACGGTAAAATAGACAAACTATATACGGCCGGATCCTGGCGCTCCATTACATCCTGGATAGCTGTACTGATGGAACGAACAAGCTCCCAGCGTGCTGGACTTTTGCTCTTGTGTCTGAAACGTCGTGGACTGGGCTCTCGAGACGCCATCGGTGACAACAAGTCGGGAGATATAATGTCCTCTGGCGTATGAATGGAAGAGAGTATGGACTCTTGTAATTTCCGTGTGGCCTCCTTGTCTGTCGGAATGGAGGATATACCAGATTTGACTGCAGTCTCTGCTGCAGCTTTAGCAGTTTTCTCCATGACTTGGTCCACAGTCTCTTCATCATACTCCCAAGCGATCTCATCCACTAATGAAAGCCAGCTGCGAGGGAGTCGAACCTGTGTGAGTTTCAGCGCGACATCCCCTGGGCAGTATCCAATTTACACACCTCTAGTTTCCGCCAGAGCCACGGCTTGGCGGCGTCATACCAATCATGATTCACGAGGCAAAGGTTGGCAAGAGTGCGTCGAGTCATAGGTTCGGACCAATTGCCAGGAGGAACTGAAGAGGGTAATGAAGTAGGCACGCCACATTCTATGGTTATGAATGGGTCAAGGGATGAATTAACAGGTGGGAGGCAAGCAGAATAGACGTGAGAGCAGATTCTAAAGAGCAATTCCGGAGGGTATTGAATTGGCGTGGCGGAACTCATTAAATGGTAGCAGTGATAGGAGAGACTGGATCTTGGTAAGGGGAAAAGTATCGGAGAACCGTCAGTGATGGAACTTGACAGAGACTGTGAAAGATGACCTTGTCTTTTTGACCCGGCCATCTTAAAAGGAGCCCATCACGTGTCCCAGGACCCAAGTTCATCATGTTGCAGGATTATTGCGTACCCGAGACTATGCCATTCGATCACTTCTTGGCTTCATATTGCTCAGGGTGAGCGCAAACGTGCAGTAAGTCGTTACATACCCAGGGCAAGCTAGTTCCCACCCCATCCACTTTTCGGCCTAAATGGATTTGAATTCCGCTGGAATTCCGCAGTGACTTAAGGTCGGCGCCCTTAAGTGGCCTCAACGGTTCTCAAAGTTTATTTCATATCGTGATTCTCCTCTTCATCCTGGCCCATCTCGTCAGATCTGGTTCCATTTCGTACAAAATAAGTACCTATGTTTTCCCAGTCCTTTAGCCATCAACGTGCGCGCCTGTAATATTCAAGGTGTCACTTGTGCCTGCGCGTAATCTTCCCAGCTGTGTTTCAAGTGCAGTACGTTGGTCCTGCCTAGAATCCTCACAGGACAGGACTACAGATAGCGCCAGTTCCGATTCTGGGAGAAACATGGCTTGTGGTTCGGCAGTAACTTTTCAGTGCTTCCTACGAGTGGGCCGACTTTATTAACGATCAGACGCCGATGTTCTGTATTGACGGCAAAATCGCCGTCAGGACGATCAAAGCATCGAAACTGTCATAAGACACGAGTATGTTGTAATTCTGTGAAGTGAGTTGTCGTTATTGTGACCATGATCGCGCCTCAAGCCCTTGATGTCTTCTCTTGTTTCCCACACCAGATGGCGCGGGGGTTGGAGCAGGATTAAGATAGCCAGGAACGTCAGCAAAAAATGTATGATCCATACCCCAAACCGATAAACTGAGAAGCAGCGAAAGCATCAGCAAGAATTCTAATAAAAGCAAACTGTTCAAGGAAATCTTCTCGGTTACATGTATGACTTGGAGAATACTCAACAAAGAAAAATTCAACGTGTCTGTTCCAAATCATGGGCATCTTTGCTATCACTTTGCTTCTCTTGAGTAGACATACGACAGCTGCTTTGCAAGTTATAAACGAGGGACAGATGAATATAGATGGACGCGAGGAAGCTAGCTGATATATTTCTACAACAAAGCATGTGTGTGAGCACGTAAATGAGATCGGAGAACCGCGTCGCGACTTAAACCAGACAGCCATTCATGAACCTTTTACGTAGAAATCGTACTGTGAAATCATCCAAACAAGAGAAGTCGCTGAAAGAGGACATCAGAAGGACTATAACTGCACGGCTGTGGCACTCTTACTTGAAACAATAACAGGACTGATTAGGCCCGGATTGACGGTCGCGGTGCGGAAGATGAGAAGCTCAGATGAAAAATGACCAAAGGCAATGAGATAGGTAAACAGCGTCAGGTCGTATAAGCTGGTAGTACGGTCAATGGACTAAATCTTACGAAAACAGTAAAATGTTGACAGACTGTTTTTCGTTGATGTTGTAGGCAGCATATGCTCGCACAACAGCAGAGATAAGGGTCCATACAGCAAATGTTCGGGCCTGTAATCCGGTCACTACGATCTAATTAGAAACTGTCAGGCATAACACATGGAAATAAACGAACCGACCACCCGAGGATATATTTTCCGCGTCAATTTGAGCGTCACAAAATTTTGGACCGAGTTAAAAACCGCGGTCACGGATATGAAGAGTTGCCATAGCGGTAACCAGCCGGCCGCCTGTGGTAGATCTGAAAAGTAATATTAGGGTACAGCAAGCAGCCAGAGATAAGAGCATCGTACATTGTTCAAGGAACATTTGCTGAAATTTGAGATGGTAGTGAGAGAGAAGGAACGGACTGCTGTCACGCCAGCTCCGGACTTTCGGCACAGGGCACGGTATCGTTTCCGCTTATGGCAAAAGCAGGATCGCGCCCTTGGCACCCTTTTCGTCGACCGTTGTTTCAGACAACGACGGACATGTCGTCGTCGCTGTCCATGGCAAGGAGCGAGCAGCAGCGTTCCCCGTCTCTTCGATCTATTGGGAGCAGCTCTAGCATAGCCAGCGGCGTCAGTCTTTCGCGTCGTCCAAGGACTCGCACTCGTTCTCGAACGGTCACAGGAGGTCAGAGTCCCCACCCGGACGCCACCTCTACTCGGGCCCAGGATGGTGACATCCCATTTCTTACCAACCAAATGGTGACCGAGCCTCAATCTGACATTCTCGGTAGTCCGCACGATTTTGATTCTCAACCACCTGTGCGTCCAGCTCGTTCACCGCATCGGCCCGTTTCTACGGACGTGCAGCTATCAGATACGATTGGCTTGGTCGAAGAAAACCACGAGAACGTTTGTGATTCAACGGGATATTCAGTTGAAGAGTCCCCTGAGACTGCGATGGTACGTTAGCTCGTATATCACACAAATTTTATCTCATTGGGCACCATTATTTCCAGCCGCGAACGTTGCAGCAGTCTTCATTACCCTCAGATGCAGCATCCACAGCTCCGGCACCTTATCCCTCGACATTTGGGAGACCTGGTCCAGAAGCAAGCGTGAATGCGCGAGACTCAATGCTATCTAATTTTACCCAGCAAACGGGGACCTCTACCTCTCTGTATCCTCCTTCAACATCCACTGTGTCGGGAACAGAGTCGCCGCCTTCTCCCCACTCTATAGTGGAAACGGGCGAGAACGTTGACGTTCCAGTCATTGACGATCTCCAAGAGTATGACGGAGACGATGTTTCCTACCGGCTGCGCTTGCTAGTCAAAAATAACTACTTTTTACCACCGGCACATTCCAAACCTTCTGCTTCCGACTTTGCCTCGGTACCAAGCACACCCAGAAAGCCAACCTCCCCAACATTCCTAGACCTTTTCCGGGTGGGAAAGTCGAAATCTAAACCAACTACACCCGTGGGTACGAGCCCGCCACCTGATATCTTGATTCCTGCACTCAGAACAACCTCGGACTCTATAACTGCTTCCGGCTACTCCCAATATGCTCGGCCACAGTCGTCATCCCATAATCCGCGTTCACGACATCACGGAAGTAGTCCTCAAGGCAGAGTCGTGGTTGTACGTGAGAAGATGTCAGACCTCGTGGGTGCGGCGAAGCAAGCAGAGCAAGATATGAAGGCGCGTGGGGTCAGACGCGACCAGGGATCACACAGAGGGAATCAGACAGTCTTCGACGACGTTATAGATCCGACGGATGCTGTAGACCTTCTTCCTCCCTCGTCTAAGTATCCATTTGCTGTTCAAGCGTCTGCCCTGCATGGCTTGGGCGTTCATGACTCCGTGGGGGCGGCGCTATTGGCGGATCGCCTTCCGCCACCAATGAGCCCTGGAATGTCTTCGCTTGATCCAGACGACGATTGGAGAAAAGCTTTACTCAAAGCGGCTGTCGGTCATTCTCTGGATAATCTAAATTTGCATCAAAGTTCACCAACGTCTATTGCCTCTCCCATGTCTGGGCCGTCGTCTCCTGCTCCTGTACATATGTTGGGCCAACGGATTATTTCCAATCCCATCATTCTGGAGACGGATATAGACACATCTTTTTCGAGGCCGAAATCTTCCCGCAGTCGAACGTCCCGTCGCGGGCGAGATCATGAGCTCTCGCCTTCCGAACACCTTCCGATTTGCAGGCCACCAAGCTCTTTACCTCTCCGGGCTGAAACACCGCTTCCTCTCACACCTCTTGCGCCACCTCCGCGCCGAATCATCAATCCGCTGTATTCGCTTTCCCAGACTGATTTGGGTGCCCCACAACAATCTCGTCCACCACCAAGACCTCCGATTACACCCTCAGCTGCTCAGGTTGTGCGAAAAAGCATGTCGTCACCCGTACTACTGGAGTCTTATGAATCCGGGGCAGGCAGAATGTTAGCCATGACTCCTCCTCCGATACCAATGGAGTTGCGAGAATCAAGGGAAGAGAGGGAATCCGATAGAGAAAGTTCTTTCGAGACAAGTAGAGAACATTTATTGACAAGCGTGCATACAGAGTCTCTCTACAGCGAATACGCGGAACGCGTTAATCGTTCATCAACATCGTTGTCAGACTACTCGCAACCTTCACCAACTGCTTCAGCGTTCCAAGACGCTTTGAACAGCATCAACAGCCACTCGCGAAGCACCCTGTCCCAAGTGTCTATCGCTGAGCAACCTGGGATTCTCAGTCGAGCTAGCACTGTTCGTGTACATGCTGTCTCACCTCCGCCACCTAGAGTCTCTTCCTCATTAGCAAATATTGCTTTATCCCCACCTCCCCGTTCCTCGTCCTTACATCACAGGATCATTCCTCCCCGTGACATCAAAACCACTGAACCGTTGCCTGTAGAAGACACATCCACCACTGACACACCGAAGGAAATTCTGGCCCCTTCACCGACGACTCCACCATTCCCTTCGCCCCCTCCTCATCCTTCTCCCTTGCCAGAACGTCGGCCTGGGGTTTTACCACTATCTCTACATATTCCTTCAAACAATATTGTCCCCGAGATTCAATCAGCCCCGCCACCATCTTCTCTGACATCTTTTTTCGACTCCATCCAGTCACAGCCAAATGCCATGGACGATCTTGACTCGTCGGACGAGAGCGATGACGAGGATGTTCGAATGAATAGCTCAATCACCCAACAACGGCCACCGGCATATGTCACACGTACACGGACGACATCCACTGGACGAAGTCATAGTACCCATAAAACACTTCTGATGCGGCTCGGCAACCATTCTACACCCTACATATCTCGGCCATCGCTACCATTTGGAGCAGTGGATCCCAGACAGCCTATTGGCCATATTTCCCGGCCATCGCCTTTCTTCACTGAGAAGATATCACGAAAGAGCGGGGAAACTAATCATCCATCGTTAACGTCATCCTTTGATTTCTTTCGATACACGCAGGAACATCCGGGTCCATCTTATGCGGACTCTTCGTCTGGGGTAAAGAGCCTGCAGGGTGCTACTCTGAGTGAGAGTGAGCATGCGTGGCAGCACAAGCAACGAGATCAGGAATCTCTGAGGCGCCTTGATGGGTTACTCATACAGCACATGGAGGCTGAGAAGGACAGAATTAAACGTATCGCATCCAATGTTCACGCATCCAATGGTCAGGTTAAATCATGATGCTCGTATTATATACTTATTACTCGTCGTTTATACCTTGCTTGTCCATTTTATACCGTTTTTTTAACAATTCTATACCCTTGACACAACTTTCAATACATGGATATGGACAATTGCATCGATTAAGGCATTTTAGGCTTAATTAATGAGTGGGTACGTACTGGAGATGATCAAAACTGTATTAGCAGATAACACAGCTAGACGAAAGAACGCTGAGTTGTGATAAGGGCTATAGAGGATTTAACATTGCAGACACCCGACAATGACGTCAACTCAGCGCTTACCTTAAACCGAGAGTAGACTTCGTTTAAGTACTGAGCTGCAATCTTGGAGCGGCCCTGAGCGACGACTCGAAGTGATCCAGACGCATTCAAGGTTGGCAACCTTTTCCTCAACTCAGGACCGTAATTTCGAGAATCATCCGTGACAACCGTACATGCGACTGGCTGCGTGCGAGACGCCAGCATCGTATCCAGGCCACCCCATCCTTCTTGCCGCAAATGAACGTACGGAACACGTAAGATGACGTCTCGCAGGTATGGCGATGACAGAGAAGATAGAACTGCCCCGGCTGCTTGAATAGCGTCCGGGCCACTGGCTGACAGGAAGATGCTATTAAGACTTGTATTGGGGCGTAAATCGAAATTGACTGTGTAGGATTGTGAGTTCTCTGAGGTTCTGCGATAGATTTGTCGCACCTTCGTCTTCGGTGCTTTGCTTATGCAGAAGAATCATAAGGTCTTCCAGCGTGTTCTGACAAGCCTGTGTATACTGCTCCAGAGCAGCACAATGCTCAGCTTTCACTCGAAAGATATGCAACGAAGAAACTGTTGGAAGGTTCTCGTGTGCAAGTAGCCACAGCATGATTCCGTCCAAAGCCGGGCTCGGAAGGTCAAGCTTCAATGCGCGGATGTTTGGCGGCAACCGTAAGGCGGAATCGATGTGAAAGCCGCTCTGGTGGTGACCATAAAGAAGGACATTCTTAAGACGCGGGAACGAGCAAATGAAGTGGACGTCAGGAGCAAGGCTACGTGACGCCAAGGTAGCAGCAAAAACACGTAAGTATGTAATGGATAAAAAACGGGATGAGATGGCGTTCCGGATCGACTCTTTGAGGTCGACGCCGTAACAAAATACGTTGAGCGTCGTGACAGTGCCGAAGTAAAATCTTTCTGAGAGTAGGTCAAGGATCCACGGGGCATCGTCTTGGACGTGAAAAGAGATTTCATTCAAGAAGGGTATAATGGTGCAGAGGGGTGATTCGAGGAGCTCGGAGAAAGACTTCGAGTCTTTGGAAGACAATTCGATGGTCGAGAAGAGGTGGTACCGGCTCGATGCAAACCATTTTTTGGAGACAAGGCTGCATGAGACGAGCATATGGCGATCTGCATGACATCCGTCTATGATCGCGTTGATAATTTCTCCAGGAAGACACTGCATGGTATGGTCGTCGTTGAAAAAAAAAACGCGCAGGAACGAGAGCGGGGTTAATATCGGTGAATCATGGAAGGCGTAGTGACGTACTGGTTGGGCGGAGATGGATCCATTCCACGCGATTTACATATTTTATCCCAGAAAAGATGACAAAATGAAAGGGTTTCCAGTGTAACAGAGATCCTGAGACAATAAAGCCACAGAAGAGTCAGAGATAGAGCGGAGTAACCGAGTCAAGTACTGCAGTAACCCGGTCTCGGGAACAAATAAATAACTGTACTTCACTTCATCAGTGCCAATGAAAAAAAAAGAGAATATTTTTCCACGAGAAACGCCTTGAACTGCCCCGCCCTGACCGCCTTGAGGCAGCAAATTTTCTGAGTCACGGCGACCTTAACGACAAAAGAGTAATTTCAAAAACAGAGCTTGTTGATCGCCGCTGTTCCATTCCTACCACCACCACTTTCTCCGGCTTTGAGAGTCGCGTTACATTTTATCTCGCCTTTTTTTAATTCAGGCTATGCCTTCTAAGTACCCTTTGCCTGACTTCGCCGGTCGCCTGGTTGCGAACGGTCGTCTTCTCCTTCTGGGGCTTCTCGGTGCTGGTTCATACGGGAAGGTCTATCGCGCTCTAGATATCGCGTCGCCCAAGCATTCCGAAGAATATTTTGCCGTCAAGTGTATGCACAGGCACAAAAGGGGATCATGACGCGACGACGAGTTCTCTGTTCATGCCGAGGTCTGGACACCCCAACATTATCACCTTTTATAAGACTTTCTCCGACGGACTTTATTTGTACGTTGTTCTCGACCTCTACGTGGAGACCTCTACGACGCCATAGGCGATACCCGTCTCCTGTGTAATAACGACGCCCTTCTCAAAAGCGTTTTTATCAAACTCATCGACGCTCTCCAATATTGTCATGACAAGGACATATTCCACCGCGACCTCAAGCCAGAGAATGTTCTTTGCTCAAAAGACTGCACTCAGGCTTTCCTTGCCGATTTTGGTCTGGCGACTAAGATGGAAGATTGTAAACACATTGGGTGCGGCAGCCGTCGAGGCTGGGTTAATTATTGCCGAGAGAGTCATCAAGAAATGAGAGTACGTCCGCTGGAGAGCAATTCCTGACTGGCGGTGCGCCAGCGAGCTGCTCAGAGCGAGGCGCGATCAGGAAGGTTCCTACAAGCCATGTCCCTAACAAGCTTGAGAGCACGAGAAAGGTCCTCGCGTGACAGAAGGAAAGTATCAAGTCTGAGAATCGCCTCGCGAAGTTCAGGTAGGGTGATTCGTTCGCCGGAGCGGATGACAAAAATACGCAGAAGGATATCGATAACGCCGGGTGAGAAAGGAAAGCGTTTCTGAAACAAGGCCGAGTCACGAAGGAAAGTGTTAAATTGTACGGCGGATGTCTTCCCAGCTTTCTATGGATAACGATGGGAGAGCATGTTCACGAGAACAATCCCGAGTGACCAAACATCACTTCGTCTTGCAGTGTATGTCGGGCTCTTTCATTCCTCGCCAATGCATTCTGGAGGTAATCAGCCGTAGAACTTGATTGAAGAGGGCAGTGAGCATACTTGGACTCTGATATGATGTGCTCCTGAGGGCAATTTTATGCCGTCCTCTTAGATTTTGAACATGTCTATTCACCCATTCCTTTTTGCCTTCTCTTGGTGGATTGTTAGTCAGATCAGTTACATGTAAACGAGCGAGGATCCCCCCCTGTGGGCCAACGGTGTAATTTTTGCCCAGTGAGCGTCATTTTGCGACACAGGCATCAGACTGCGCATACGGAAGCTGTATCTAGTCGCCGGAAGGAAGTGAGTCAGAGGCATCAGAACTAAGAAATGCGTGCACGTGGCCGTCCCAGCTGCCACTAGCTGTGCCGTACACTAGCGTACATTCTGCTTGTCTCTTGGCCATTCGCTCGCCTTCCCTCTTCCTGCCTCCATCACGACATACGAACTACCATGGACAAACTCAATGACACCAGATACTATTCCTACTCTTGGCATCAGGTTCGTGTGCAGAATTGAACGAAAGACACTGTCGCTAATGCGTCGGAGATATAGTCTCACGACCAGGTAAATCCGAGCTTGGTCGGCGCGATAATATTGAAGCTCACCATCTATTCTCACTTTCAGGCCACGGTTCTCCTCATGGTTCCTTATGATACTCTCGAAGAAGACATGTCGGTAAGCGCTTTGGGACTGGGACGACCATTGCTTGACTTGAGTGTATTCTATGTTAGGTGGTAATAGAGCGCAACTACCTCATTGCAGGTGTTCGAGGGCAGGCGCCCATTATAAAGGTTGGTGGATTTCCTAGTCCTTTATGGAGTCTTATTGAAGGATGGCATAGGGAAGACTGTACGGCAATGTCGACGTGACGAATTCTGTGTGGCAGCTTGAACCCCATTCGTCTCGCCTCTCCGCTCGAGAGCGAACCACGTCCACTGCGTCGACAGCGTCGACGCATTCATCCTACGCCTTCGTTTCTGATCCAGAAATTTCCAGCAGCTTTGCGGCGTCCCTTGAAAGCGGTCAGGCGTCCGACGCGGAAGAATTCTCTGCATCATCACCTGCCCTGTCTTCCCCTTCGCTGTCTTCCGCAGACGAGCAACGTGGGTTTTCTTTCCAGCAGAAACCCCATTCTAGCACAGTTTCTCGTGCTGTATCCCCAGGGCGCATCATTCAGAGTATAGCATCTTCTTACTCATCCGTCGAGTCGTTGCATTCCGCTCAATCTGGCCGGTTGCTGACCCTACATTTGGAGAAGGATCAGTCAATTATCTGGCCTTCCCTTGTCGTTGGACCTGTACCGGATACTTTAGCGCCTTACGTCCGCAACTCAGTCATCTTTGACGCGAGCTATGAGCTGGAGCATCAATACAACATGGATCCAACTAGCCTGGTATTGCTTGCCATGGAACAGTTCGACATTCACAAGGATCGGGAAGAGGCGTTCGAGTGTTTTTTGTAAGTGGCTACCATTTGCGAAACCCGGGCCCCAACTCATTGGCGACCCCTGTTTTACGTCTACGTAGGCGCGCTTGGCATCTTTCTCATGCTCCCACATCAACAATGAAGCTCGTGTCTCACTATCTGCCGTTGCAGGCAGAATTTAATGTTGAAGAGTGCCAGCACCAGGGACAAGCACCTCGTGGTACCACTACGTATTACCTTCAATGTATCGGCGGACCCAGAGGCCTCGCACAGCTCTACTTGGAAGCTGGTATGCTTCATTTAGATGGTGCTGCTTCGACCCTCCTGTCTTCTTCACACTCCAGCCTGTCGTCTATCCGCATTCCCGCTCGTGCTCAGATGACTGACACGGGCACGATGACCTGGAAACGAGATCGCGAAGCCGCGGGGCAGTTCTTTGACCGTGCTCGTGCGCTGGCCCCTGATCTCGATATCCCTACGTTGCCGCCGCATAGTGTGGTTGACGCTGAAGAATTGGAGATGCCCTCCATCGAGCTACAGTATGATCCGGTACCGAACGTTGACTCCCTTCGTCGTCGACGGAAGAGGGACGAGAAGGCCTTGCTTGATAACCAGTCTAAGGTGGATGACTTAGATTCCACCTGGTATGTTTACCTTCCGGGCCTTATCGGCGCTGGCACCGCCCTTGTTGTTGTGGGCGTCATTGGTGCGTTGAGCTTTTCGTGGTCTCGTCGTAATCAGGCCTCTTAGATGATATACCTTTTGTAATTTTCCTTTGTTTTCCTATGTAGAATCCGTGTATTGTATAACTCTAGTCAATCCTTGTTGCTTTGTTTTGGAACTAAACATACGGTTTCCATTTCATATTCTCCCCTTGAAATTATATGGACATTGATCCTTTAGCATTCTAATATATTTTGTGGTATTGTCTAAATAATTTGACAAAGCTCTCTCCACAGGAGGAAAGAAAGGGATGGAGAAGATGATGAAAGTCCAGACATGAAAGGCAAGAAAGCAAACCTAGGTACAAAAGGAGCGATAGTGGGACCGATGATCTCGAGCTAGTAGATGTCCGTGATATCGCCTTGAGCTTCTTCACCATCTTCGTCTGGGAGGCGCGAACATGGCGGTATTACAAGGCGCCCGATGGCGAGAGGCTGGCTCCGTCTCCAGGGTAGCATCCAGTTGAGGAATCAATACAGTATCGTTCAGCGACGCGAAAGGATCTTTTTGCATCTTGCGCTGACACGGTGTCAGATGACAATAGAGAGAGGTGAAATAGCCATTGACAACTTTAATCCGCGAGCAAGAGATCAGTATCAGGGATGAAGAACATCTCCATCTTGGAGCTCGGGAAGTGTTATTCGAAGGAGAGGGTCAAGAACGGCGGCTCTGGGTGAGATAGGAAGTGTGCGTCTGAAGTATAGAACAAACTTCCACAGTCCAAGTGCAATGATGCACGTGATCGTTAGTGAATCTTCCTCCTGTCCGCAATGTCATCTTGGAATGTCGCTTTTCTCCAACCGACTGGCGCCCATGATTCAATCAAGCGGGCGTTGATTGTTTTGAATCAGCCCTTCTCTTTGACACTTCTGCGTCGTCTCTGGACATCATCACACTGGCGTTGCTGTGCGGACGGAGGAGCCAACAGACTGTATGACACCGTTGAAAACAAGGAATCGTTGAGTGATATTCCTTCTTCCTACATACTGACACTAACGTACATAGATATCTGCCGGACCTCGTAACGGGAGATTTCGACTCCATACGAACTGAAGTCCGTGCTTATTACACGTCCAAAGTGCGCTCGCTGTTACTATTACTTGGCTAGAATTCCAATATGACATAGGGAATATCTGTCATTCATAGTAGCGACCAAGACTCCACTGATCTCATGAAGTCTATGCAAGCCCTGTCTTCTCTCCAAGTTCCTGATGAAGAGGTATCCCGCTCTCACTACGAAATGTGATTCCACAGGTGACTTTCCTGACAGAACCTGTCCAGCCATGGGAAGTTATAATTCTTGGCGGGCTTGCTGGACGTTTGGATCAGACAATACACACCTTATCCTACCTCCACAAGCTTCGCAAGGACCTTTCTAAACGAGTATTTGCCGTAACAGATGATAATGTTGGATGGGTTCTCAACAGCGTTTGCCATCTTTCTCTCACATTTTCTGCCCACTTATTTATCATACCCTAGGGAGAGCATTCTATTAGGATTAACCACTCTGTTCTCGGAAAGACATGTGGTTTACTTCCAGTAGGCGTAGACTCAACGATAATTTCCACGACGGGATTGCAGTGGAATCTCAGTACGTGACTCAACCCTTTTCGTCCTATCATCCTCATTTCATTTTCAGCGGAGACCGTGTCCTCCTTTGATGGCATGGTATCCACGTCGAACCACCTTGTTCCATTCTCAGACACAGTCTGGATCAAGACCACTAAGCCCATATGGTGGACGATGGAGCTACACGCAGAAATCACTGTCTTGTACTTTGCCGGGGCTTCAACAGCAACGGGAATGGCCGAGGAGGCCGTACCAATTCCGATAAACGGTCTCTCGTTGTCGAACCTACGCGATCTGCTGATTTCCAGGCATCCCAACACTGGTTTGGACAAGATTTTAGAAACATGCCAGTGGAGCGTTAATGAGGAAATGGTTGATCATCCATTGTCTTGCGAGCTAACAGAGGGTGCTGAGGTCGCTGTCATTTGTCCGGTTTCTGGTGGTTGAAGCTAAAGCTGGGAAGACCACTATTTTAGGTATCATACTCTAGTGCTTAACTGTTCCTTCATTGATCTTCATTGTTGCTTAGATGCTGCGTGATTAAACTTAGAGACCAAGGGGAGCAAGGCGCTGCCCATCGATACATTGTGAATGGTTATCATGACGGCTGTCGGTGTTTTCTGAGTTCATGATAGGAAAGAGCTTGCCTCAGTCCCAGCCTCCTCGTGCACACGTGTATTCTCGGAACACTCCGCCTCCCTGCAATACGCGCTTTCTACGTCCGAAACGACCATCTTGTTTTGGTTTCGCCGAATACGTTCATTGCCTTGTTCGTCTTCCGTATTCGCCTGTGCCCGGTGGCTGGATGAATGTCCGGCCTTTTGCCTTTTTAAAGGAAGTCCGGACACGCTTTACCACGCTGTAGGGCGCTCAGTCCCCGGAATAAAATGGGTAACCATTGCATCCCGGCGACATTGTTCAAATTTCAAGTATGCCAGCAACTCATATTCGCTCCCCTTGTGTTCGAATAAGCGAGCATATCAGGCCCTTTCACAATGCCCCTTCAAGAAATGCTCTTTGTCAATAAGTACAAAAGGATGCCTGACTGATGATCGAATCCATCGCTGTCCCCATTTAAGTTCGCGCACTCAAAACACATATCCAGCTTCTCTTCCTTTAGCTCTTTTCCCCCTGGGAACTTGGTCGTACTCACTTGTAGCTATGCAATCCAAAATTATCTGGAGAGCATTCGTGCTCGTTGGAGCGTGCGGTGAGTTCAGCCACTTTTTCTTTGACTATTGATGAACGCGTCTCATTGTGCCTCTAGCGCCTGTGGTAGTGTCCTCGTCCCCGGTGCCTCTACATGTTGGAGCGGAAAGCTATAATCTCGTGCGTGTCTATTTCGCGTTCATCCTTCTAGGTTGTCTTGACGTTTCTTTCAGGATGCTTTCGCACGTCGTTCTCAACAGGTAAAAGATCCACCAGTTGAAAGAGGTGGATGTCTGCGTTTCGCTTGCTTCCGTTGATACTGTTGGTGTGTCAAACCTTTCGTGCTTTATACGGCATTTTCACATTGTCGCTCTGGCAGTCACGATGATAAATCATGCCCGGACACGATTTGAACACGACTAACGTACCGACTAATTTTACTGGTTCGTCTTTTAAAACCTCGCGGATCGAGAGAGATTCTTATGTCTTTCATAGCAGAAGCACATTTTCCTCTATCACATCTCCTCATGACCAAGGGGTGGGTTCACTGCGTTGGCACGGGTGGCTAGTGCATCATGGACTCAATTGTTTTCAATCTTATCTCTTGGCCATGGCGTCCACTCCTTTCTTGGTCTCACGTTACGATTTTTTCTCATTTCATTCATTCATTCATCGTTGGACACTCCATCTCATTCATACCTGTGCATTCACTGCTGTACTAGTAGCTGAGCATAAGACTGTTGTACAATTTCCATTCGGCGGATCCTACTGTAACTACCTAGCACGCACACAAGGCACAACGAAATGTGACGTTAAGCAGCAACCGGGATCCACCCCAAAAGATGTCGACTTCAGGGCCTTTGTGCAGTATAAGGGCCTGAGCGGAGTCACAGTAGCGCGCCAGTTCGTCGGAGAAGTATCATTTCCCTTTCTTTCTATTTAGAATGTCATTCTCCAGAGACGCAAGGAAGACATCTGCCTCATCCGACCTGCTCTTTCCTTTGCCTCTACTCCACCTCTTCTCTGTGACTTGCCGACTTTCCAAGACCGCAAACGGATCTGGAGTCATGCTAGTCATGTCGCGCTCGGGTTCTGGTGCTCCTGCCACAAACACTGCTGTTTCATCATCGCCTTTGGAAAGAAGCGTCGTTAATATTGTCGAGTCGTCGGCGACCGCTGGTTCGCCCTTCAACTTGCGTCGCTTGGCTTCGATCTTCCTTCTCCGTTCCTCAATTTCTCTTTTCCTCTTCTCCACACCTTTTCCAACGCCTTCGCCGGTACTGCCGTTCTCGCCTCCACTGGCGACCATTCCCTCGACGCTGATATCCACTGCACCTTGTCCTTGTCGCGCCTGCTGCGTCTTCTCTCGCGCAGCACGTAGTTCCTCCATCTGTCTCTGCCGTGTTTCTTCGTCACCCGAAAATTGATAGAAACCAGCACCCTTCGCGCGGACTTCGCTCGAGGCATCATAATGCACTCCGAGGGGGTTGTTCTCTTCAGCATGCATTTTCTCAATTTCGGCAATACGGTCAGCGGAGGGCGTGTATATTGGGAAGTGGTTGACAGGATTACGGATTATTATGTCCCTGGGAAGTGAGGTGAATGCACGAGCACGATAAGTGCGAAAGATGGCAAACGTACTCATCTTCATCTACCTCTTCTGAAGGAGCGCCAGGAAGCAATTCTCTTGGTATCTCAGACCGCCGAGCAGTTCGTATACGTCCAAACTCATCTTCATACTCGATGATAGGGTCATTAACATCCTAGGGGGCAAAATTGAGTGACAAAAAGGGGTTGATATATGCTGGATATACATACATCCGGGGCATGAGGAACAGTCAGCGATTCATCAATATCATCTTCATCGTCTTCCCACTCAGGTGGCTTCAAGTCAAACTAAGACAATGGCCGTCAGCCTTGGTCGACAACAGAGAAAGAAATTCACATCAACTAAAAGCGTATCAAACTGCTTCTCGCTCAATCCCCCACTCTTTCCCTTCCTCAGTTTGTCGTATATCTTTGCCTTGCGTTCCAGCGTCGCTCGTGCCGAGTCAAGCGTAGGCTTGCTGATAGCCTCCAATTCGATGTCTCTCGCTGCACGACTGCTGACGCCCTTGTTCTTCCTAGCCCATACCGTAGGTTTCTGAACAGATTCGTAAGTCGAGTCTAGGAGGACTTGCGAGCGCATCACCTTTTCCGGCTTGGAGGGTTTCTTTCCAGAGGCTGAATTCCTAGCGAATTCCTCCTCCTTCTTCGCAAGCTCCGCCTTGAGGTCCAGGAACGAGCTAGCACTGATGCCCTTGGCCTTGGACTTTGCGGCGTGCGTCATTAACGAGCTCAAGGTTGGCCGAAGGGCCAATGGCCTAGGTAAACACATGCAAACACCCGCCTTCTGTCGGCCAAATATCGGGCCGCCGGCAAAATTCCAGTCTAGATCTCTTCCAAGAGCCACGCTCAATTCAGGGTAATGCCTCGACGTCAATTTTCCGTATGTATCATATCCCGCTAAATACAATCCGCCACTCACGTCATAAATTGACAGTCTGGTTATTTCTTCATCCCTCTCCGTGGGGGAACAGCCACGATCCTCAGGGACGCGGGCGAGGAACGTGAGCAATGATCACACATTGGATGCGATCGTTCAACTCGTATGGATTTATGCTGATCGTCGATCGTGTGTTTTCACCGATTACCTGGACGCGAACCCAGGCGCGCGCGCGTCTCTGGACATGTCGGAAACCGATGATGAAAACAGAGTTGCCGCAAAAAGTCATCTGCGGCTCGACCAAAAAACACAAGCTTTTTTGTGAAAGCAAAACAGGAATTTCTATATAATCCATGTACTCCTATTCTCTAAAACCTGTGTCTTGTTCACCATGTTTGTGGTCTCACCTAATAATCTGACACACCGTCCGCGATCTCTTTCTGCCTATGATATCAATTCAAGACACAAGATTTCATTTGTGAATCATCAGTGGGAAATTTATTGCATTTGAAGCTAGTTCTCCCGAAAGGATGGTATACTATCGATGGTCCTTCCATCACAGAGAGGCATACATGCACGTCTCGCATGTTCACCGTACATATAGAAAAGTTTGACACGACGAAGACGTGCGAAGAACAAAAATAGTAAGCTAAGGAAGCCTCGATTATACACAATTTCATTCGAATCCGTACCATACACCCCATTTTACTGCATATCAAGAAGAGGTGAGCGAAAAGAGGCCGGGATTACAAAATGGGGAACAAAAAAAAAACGGACTAAGGAGAAGTGCTGTAAGGTAGAATTACAAGGGGCATTGCAGTTGTCCAAGTGCATATCGATGAATCAGCGCCTACTATCGTCCCTCTCCCACTTCTCATACCTTCTTTCGTAGCTTAAACCACCGTTCGTCGTGGGAGGAGCAGCCAACGGGCTCGTGTGCGCATAGTATCGTCCTCCCCCACTTGGTCCGTCCTCGTAGCTAGGGAAGCTGTCGTTAGTACCGCCTCCACCTCCACCTCCACCATCAGGCGAGCTCCCACCGCTTCCTCCACCATTACGATACGACCGATAATAGTCATATCCCGGTGCACCTCCATAGTCATAACTCGATGCCACCGATGATCCTGCAGACCGCGGAGGAGTCGCCGAATTCTGTTCACGCTCCCTCTTGACGACATTAAGGGACAAGGAACTCTTTTCCTTCCTCCCATTACCAGAAGCCTTGTGGTGGTGCGAAGCGCTCGGAACACTTCCCTCCTTTTTAGCGCGGGAGCGGGCGTAACGGAGACCGCAGCTAAGAAGATTTTTTGAAAAAAAAAAGAGGAGTCAACACCACGAAGACAGGGGGTGAGAGGGTTACACACGCATTGCACAACTCTTTCCTGCCGCTGGGTCCCTTGCGCCATTCGGGACTACTAGTTGCCTTGCAGCTACTGCACTTGAGCACGCCTACCGGGCGGTTTCCGTGACCCCTCTGAGATTGGCCGGCTGGTGGAGGGGATACACGGCGTCTGGGTGCCGGCACAGAGTCTTCTGGGGGACTGGGCGGCGGTGGAAGATAGGTGTATTGGTTGCTGCCTTCATGGGACCTGTTGGCGTCGTAAGAGGGGTAGCACCTGTCCCAAGACGGTGGAGGAGGCGGCTGATAGGAATAGGCCGAAGGATTTGGATTTGGGTAATAAGGAGGACTGGTCGGGCCAGGGAGAGGATACGGAGTGTGGTGGTCGTAGGAAGAAGGCATGGTAGAGTTAGGGGGCGAGTCAACTTTGTGGCATGCAAATATGACGCTGCCTTTAATAGAAAGTCAGCGGTCGTGTCAGCATGTTTAGCCCCTATCCGATGAGAGCCAAGCACGCACGTACCATGCGGAATGAAGACGCTCTCGACGTGGCCGACGCCTTGCACGGGCTGGGCAGACTTGAACCTGCGTGTACAAGAGGTCTTGGCGTCGTTGTTGACGGCGTTGACGTTGATGTCGTTGGCGAGACGGGCAAACTCGCGAGTTGAGGGCGGGTCCACGGGCGGCCATGAGATGACGAGATCTTTGGCGGTATCGTTGTTGAGGATCTGGAAGACCCGTGAAGTCGACGCCGTTTGTGGTGCGCACAGGAAGAGTCGCTTGAAGAGCATCTGGACTTGCTCCGAGCTGAGTACAGGGGTGCCACACCAGTTTGACCAAGACGTCTTGCTCGTCTGGTCGTTGTCCGCCGCCGGATCGATGTCGACGATGGCATGAATGAAGCAGAGCACAAGGCCCTCGGCAGCCCAGTTGATGACGACATCGACGGCCATGTAGTTTGCGTCTACAGCGATTTTATCTGCCGCGGGAAAGTCGGGTGCGGAGCCCGCGTACCCCAGGTCGCGACGAATCTTGGAGAGCCGTGCAAACCTCACTCGGGTTACCGACCCATGTAGCGTCCGGCTCTCCAGGACGGTACCGAGATCATGCTTGGCCGACGACTGTTCGTCTGGATGAACAAACTCGAGTAGGGATTTTCCAGCCAAGGCCTCTGCTTGCTCCGCTAGGTGGTACTGCAGCACCGGGTCGAGATAGATGAACTGCAAGTCACCAGAGAGCAGCGACCAGTAGCACCGCGTGTGGCTGACGGGAGGGGACATGAAAATCTCGTCTTGGGGAGGGATTGTCGTGGTAGTCAGCTACGATCGATCAAGAGGGAAGTTTGCCTTCGATCGTCCCACGTGGCACTGCCTGATTATGTAACAGAGCCCTGTTTTTTTTTTCTTCCCTTCCATGTCCAACATCTGGATCGCGGCTGGTGATGGGGACCTGGCCCGTGTAGAGGAGCTGGTCCTGGCTGGAACTTTGCCTAATATACCAGACGAGTTTACGTATACTCCGATGCATGCAGCAGCGTCTTATGGTCACATACATGTGCTTGAGTTTTTGTTGGCCCACGGTGGGGATGTGAATATCACCGATGATGATGGCGAGACGCCTCTCTACGTAGTAGAAGACGTTGTTACCGCTCGCTGGCTCATCGATCATGGCGCCGTCATTGATAGAACCAATAACGAGGGTGTGTCGGTAGGTTGTTGCCATCTCAAGTTGGTTATATAGTCACTAAATTGATTCTTCAGCCTATCGAGTCACTCGCCGAAGAGTTTTCCCAAGTAGCCGAGTTTCTACAGGCAGAGATTGCTATACGAAAAGTGGATTAAAGACCTGGAATGAAGTGATGCCAGGGTCCCTGATCGTCGATCGCGAGTCGATTGCTCGAATGACATGTACGGTATATCTCTTTCTCGCCTTTTTAATTACTAAAGTACATGGATAGTGACTCGGTTTCCTCAGCTCGCACGTACCAGGATTTTACCCAAACTGAAACTGGTATTTGCAGCTTTTTCGTCTAGTTTCGCCCGATCGTATACCTTCAATAAAACATAGTTTGACATTGGAATGAATGATTATTTCGCCACAATTCATTATTCGTGCGGTATTCCGTAACGTTCCTGGAGATGAGTATGTTCCTTGCGACGTAAAGTAACCGTTGGGGCCGTTCCTCTGAAATGAACGGCGCAAAGTTTAAGTTAGAATCAATGCATGTGACATCGTGGCTGTGCAAGCGTTGACCATGTCGGTTTGTCTGCTCACGACGACTGGCGACACCGACGAGGGCGGATGCGTGCAGCTGACCACCGACGCCTGGCACACACGATGGAAGCGCATGTGCACCGGCACAGGGGACTCGTCCAGTGAAACGTGGCGGACCGCCCCCGCCTTTGAGCCTGCCGACCTCATCCCGACTGCGCCGCCAGTGACGTGCACGGTGCTCGTCTCCCCATGGCTCCAGCTCGACGCCAATGACGCCGGGGTACGGCACGACACGGAGATCGCCCTTCGGCAAGAGCTCGCACACTGCACGTTTCTCAACCTCACCTCTGCCATCCTCCCTGTGCCACACCTGGCGCACACCCCGTCATACGCCCGCGCGACCTATGCCGCCCTATCCTCCTCGCCCCTCCTCCGCCTCGCCGTCCGCCTCCCGATCTACGTTTCCTCGGCAGACTTTTGCGCCCCGTGGCAGACGTGGGACTCGATCCGGACGTTGTGCGAGTATCATCCCCGGTTGAGCCTCGCGCTAGACTTGACGCCGCCTCTCCCGACGCTGCTCCCGCCCATCACCGGGGCGTACGCCGCAGAACCCATCTCGCATATCATGATCTCGGCGCATTCGTTTATATCCAACGCAAAAGGGTATCCGGTCCTCCCGAAAACGACGCAGTCCCTGGTACGGGGCCTGCTGACGTCGGTGCCGACGGTGTCGTTTGTCCTGTCTCATACTGACGCCAAATTGCATGCAGAGGGGGGAGGAGACGCTTACAGGCAGTATTTACATCATCTGATACGGACGACGCAGGCGAGGGAAGGGAGCGTCGAGGCGTATGCTCGAGGGTATGGCGATTTCTTGCAGGCGCCGTTGCAGCCATTGCAGGACAACTTGCAGAATGCGACATATGAGACGTTTGAGCAGGATCCGGTGAAATATGCAAACTATGAAGAGGCTATTTATCGGGCTCTGGTTGATAGAGCAGCTATGGAGCATATGTATGTGTGTCTACTTGTTTCATAAAAAAAACAACCGCCAATCGTTCATCAGCGTTCTCTGTGTCTCTGGCGCCGGACGAGGTCCCCTCATTACTCGTGCCCTTGCTGCACTTTTACGTGCCTCTGCAAAGTCGTATACTTTGTATGCCATCGAAAAGAACCCGTCGGCGTATCTTGTCCTGCAGCAAACATTCCCACATGTGCACCTCTTGTTTGGAGACATGCGATCCGTGGAGATGCCTGAAAAGGTGGACATTGTGATCAGCGAGTTGCTCGGCTCGTTTGGGGACAATGAACTCTCACCAGAGTGTTTGGATGGTGTGGAAAGATGGATGAAGCGTGAGTTTGTTTGAATATTCGTTGACGTTTGCTCAAGGTGATTATATGCAGCATCGGCGATATCCATACCCTCGTCGTACACGGCGCATCTGTCGCCATTGTCGTCGTCAAAACTGTACAACGAGGCGCGAAACACTTCTGGGACAGGAATCGGCGGTGAGATTCCGTACGTGGTCATGTTCCAGGCAGTGAGGCGACTGAGCCCGACTGTGGCTGATTGCTGGGGCTTTGAGCACCCGCGGTTTGAGGAGGAAGGGCCGATAAAGGGAGATACACGAATGTCAAAGCGATACACGCAGAGTGCGATGAATCCGATGCTTCTGGTGCCGCCCAAGGATAATGGACATAATGTTCGGAGTGCAGAGATGGTGTTTGATATCCCAGAGGAGGGTGTGCTGCATGGGTTTGCAGGGTACTTTGAGGCAGTGCTGTATGATACAGTGGGACTGAGTATCCACCCGGACCACAAGGATGTGGTAAGCAAGGATATGCTTAGTTGGTTCCCAATGTTTTTCCCCATCAGAGTGAGTATAAAAATATTTTTATTGTACTGTACTAAACAAGAAATATTAGGAACCAATGTACTTGGCTGCTCACTCTGAGCTGCATGTGAGCATGTGGCGACTGACGGATGGTAAACGTGTATGGTACGAGTGGTGTGCAGAAGGGTATTTGAAAGGGGGATTTGAGAAGAGCAAGGGATGGAGACGGTCATCGCAAGCATCGAGCTCACCGATGTTTCATGCGCCGCCGAGTCCAATGGCTGATGCAGTGGAGACGGTTGTTCATGGACAGGTGGAGGGAGGAGGAGGAAAGATTAAGATTGGGCAGACTGGGCTACATAATGTTGGGGGTCGAAGTAGCTGGATTGGATTGTAGTATTTTTTTTTTTTATTTACACGGGCCCGGGTAGTGCAGCTCTACAGTGACCTCGATGCCCATGTCCAGCAACAATTGTGCGAGTCGAAGGCCTGTACAAATATGGACTGCAATGTGTACACGGCGGGGAGAAGAGGTGAGCAAGATTGACTCCCACCAATCGACGGCGTGCTGATCGGTGAGATCGATGGACAAGTCTGCGATTGCGCTGACGTCGAGCAGTTCACCTGGGTGGGAATTGCGAAGAACGAGTTGCTGGAGGTTGTTGGCGGCGTCGAGCATGTGGCGGATATCGGCGGCAGTTGCATTGACAACCTCGAGGCGACGGACACGCCGGACGAGACCGACGACCCAGCGGGCACTGCTGCCTGTTTTGAGCTCGACATGGAGAGTGTCTAAATCGGGAGAGTCTCCTTTTTGTCCGCAAGACCTAAACTGCAGATAGCAGTCGACGTGGAGGGTTGTGAGACGACGGAAGCGTCTGAGAAAGACGTAGAGGACGGCAGGGTCACGGATAAAGATGGAGGAGCCTGTGAGGGATATGGTGTGCACGTCGGCGAGGGAGTCGAGGAAGGGGTCAGAGGCGTAGAGGATGTCGGTGAAAGAAGCGTGCTCGACATTGGGCAGGTCTACCGGGACGCCGACGTGGGTGCTGATGGATACGGAGCGGACACACGACCGGGGAATGGCTTGGAGCCTTCTCTTGGAGTCCACATTGACATGACGGAAGAGATGGGTGCGTGTTCTGGGGAGAAAGGAACGGGAGACAAGGGAGCACGACTTGAGGGCAGGCTTGTCTAGATGGTCGATGATCTCGTCGACGAGTTCTTGTGCGAGTCGATTCATGGTAAAGGTGGTAGGTATTACAAACTCCTAATACAAATAACGGAAGCCTTTCCGTTTCTCGAGTGCCTGCTCAAATGATATCCCCTCCAGTCGAGCTGCTTCATCCACCCGATTCGCATCAATCTCGATTCTGTCTTGTCTCCTATTCTCCCTCAGCAGGAACTGCCTGATCCCTGCAGAAAGCACGGTGCTGAATGCGAGTGCAGCGAGGGAAATGGCCATCGACTGGTGGTAATCGGGTCCCCAGTCTGCTTTCCACGTGTATGAACCCATTCTAGGTCAAGGTTGGAAAGTCACTACATGGGGGGGAGAGAAAGAACAGAACATACAGGTTACCCAAATTTCCGATGCCATTGACCAAGCCAATGGCAGCTGCCCTCTTGGCCGGTGGACGGACGACGACGTTGGACACCCACACCAGAGTCATCGCGAACCCTGCCCAAAAACAAAAAGTCGTCGTGGGTTGGCGCCACCCAGGCACAACACGGCAACACACCTGTATAGCCACACGCCATCAGGAACAGCGACACATACCGCGCCCCTATGTGCATCGTCGACAGCCCGATGATGAATCCTGCCATCACTCCCCACCACCACCCGCTCACATGCATGAACCGCTCCCCTGTCTTGTCTGCATGCCACGCGTTCAAGCAGCACACTATTGCTGAAAACACCCATGGTGGTCTGCACACAGTCAGCACTATGGTCCATCTAAACAGCTTCGCCCACACTCACGCGCAGAGCAACAACGAAACTGTAGTCGAAAACCCCAATGTTGCCGTCAGCCTGTTTCTCGTTTAGCAAATATACCCAACAATCCCATTGCACATACGTTGGGAAAAAGTTGACAAAACTCAGCCCTAGCAGCTGCGCAATGTTCATGATTGAAAACGCCCATACCACCGGGTCCATCGCCGCCAGCTTCAATCCATGCACCGGAGTATCTTCCTTGTTGTCTTTATCCGCTTCCCCTGCGTCTTCTGCGATTCGCACCTGCGCCAGTCGTCGTTCTTCAGGCGACATCCACCGCGTGTTGTGCGGATAGTCGGGGAGCAGCCACATGCTCAGCAGTCCAATGCAAATCGTGATTGATCCCTTTCGACTCTCAGTCGTCGACCCCTTGCTCCCATATCTTTTCAAACTCACCTCGATGTAAAACAGCCTGATCAAATGAACATTATTAGTCATTCTCCTCTACTCTCTCAGGCCACGCACGTACCATCTCCATGCCCGTATCCCCCGTTTACCGTCCATATTTCCAAGGATACCTGCTGCCATCAACTAAGCACCTCATTAAATCACTCTTCTCACACAAAAAATGGAACCTCTCACCGATCCAAACGCATTCGAAATGAGCAGTCCAGAATACAGAATAGCAGACCGGAACGCCAACTCCTTTTTCGTGTACCAGCTCGAGAGCATATACATCGCTGTGACAACTCCTTTAGCAATCCACCGGGGAAATAAACAGGACCCACTCACTTCCCGGATAGAACGCTGCCTCTGGGATACCGAGGAATAGTCGGCACGCCAGGATACCCCGGAACGATTGCGTTACCTATCGGAATGAGAACGAGTACACACTCCAAAATGATAACCCACCCCCGTCAGCGCGCTGATCAGGCCCCATAGCACTACACATCCTCCGATATACAACGAGGGCCGTTTGATATAGTTCAGCGCCATATTCGACGGTACCTGTGCCGGGCAGTACGTCGCATATAGCACCGAAAGTATGATCGAGTATTGCAAGTCTTTTCAGAAAAAAAAAGTCAGCAAGATAATCATTGCACCTCTGGGATCCCACCTGTAAGCCCCAAATCCTGTTCGAGCCCTTTAAGCCGCGCCGTCGTGATCCCATTCCTCTGCAGCCTAATCAGTTAGCCTCAGCCATCCACCAAAGCAGTACCCACGTCAATGTAGTTCATGATGTAGATCAGGAACACCGTTGGGAGCACCCGCATGTCCAGTTTACGCACCAGGGCACGTTCCAGTGCCGCATCCCGCACGACCGGGCCAGTCTCGAATGTCTGGATGGTTTCCTTCTCCATGCTTCCCTCTACACTTTCACCCCGCCTTTTAAACGTCTCGCCCTTACTTTTCAACCCTTACCCATGATCTTCTTTTGACCCGCAAGTACCCCACATGCGGGGTAACAAGCGGTCCGGGGTCACCTGCCATTGAGAACGTGCCGACCTTACGTTGATTCTTGAACTTCGAAGAGCGCTATCGTCGAATCATGCGACGACCTATTTGTGGGCGTCTATATATGCACCAGAAGACTTGCACACATATGTATTAGTCACGTAGAATGAAAAACATGGTAAAGGATTACAGTAAAGAGAATGACGGGTGGGTAAAAGGGAAAAAAAAAAAAAAGTCGTGGTAAAAAGTCGTAAAAAAAAGTCATGACGGGTATACGCCTTTCACATAACAACACACCACCTCCCCTTATGTTCAACCTCCGAAGATTCATCCGAGCTCCCATCAGATTCATCCGACGTTTCTTCCCCTTCTCCACTAGCACTCAGAGTATCCACAATCCCCACAATGCTCGTCTCAACAACAGGCGAACTCGGCTTCGTAAACTCTCCCCGAGCATTATCCAACGACGCCCGGCCCTCTGGTACCTTGTGCAGTGCTCCACGCAAGAGTCGCGCAGAAGCGCTCGATTCCAGCCTCTTCCGCACCAATGGTACTTCCAGCGTCTCTGGCACAACGTCCGCGCTCTCATTCACCGTGTCCAGAGATCCGACCGATCTGGGACTGGTCAGACACCGAGGCGAGCAGTAAAGAAAAAAAAAAGTAAACTCACTTGGAATCATCTTCTCTGACAGGGAAGGCCTGCGCCGGAAGATCTTTCTTCATCTCCACATCGGGCGATCCTACATCTTGGGTCGTCACAGAATGAGATGGAGTCCACGGCGATTTCGTAGAGTCTGTCAATGACGACGTGTCGACGCTCAACTGTTCAATCCTTCATTAGCTTGTGAATCTAAGATATTCAGATACTCACCTCGCGAGAATCAATGATGTTCTCTTCAACAACGGCACCTCGAAGACTCGAGGCAGTGGCGATGACATCCTCATCCTTGGTCACAGGTTCAGAACCGTCATTGGACGCATGGACTTGATCGAGAGCAGAAGAAGGGACTGGCTCTCTGCTCGCCAAAGCCTCGACCTCGACCTGTTCCTCCTTGACTATAAGTTTAGGTTTGGATGCCGTTTGTTCCTCTTCCCTGGCCAGCTCGATGACCTCAGGTGGTGCGATTTGCTCCTGTCCTTCCTTGGCTGTCTCATCCACATCAACTTTGTCCTTGATAACGGGCTCGCCCGAAGCGAGTTGTTCGTCCACCGCAAGCTCGTGTTCGGATGCGATATGTTCCTCCTGTGATTCAGGTTCGTCATTGCCTGACTCATTCTCAGCCTTTGGCTCGACTGGTGCATCTTCAACCAGCGATTTGATCTCGCTCACAGCAGGTGAAACTACGGGCCCGTCCTTGATCACAGCAGACTCGGGAATGAGTTGTTGCTCTTGTATATCCTCAGCTGGTCCCTCGATAGTCTCGGTTTCCTGCTGCAGCTCCGGTATAAGTTCAACGTCAACCTGCTCCTCTTTCAACGCAGGCTGGGTGTACAATGAGGATTGGGAAGAGGGCAAGGTGTCCTCGACTGATTCCTCCTTGATCGCAGAATCGAGTTCCGGTGCGGGTGGAGCAGCCTGTAGACCACGCCTTTCTTCTGGCACTTCATCCTTGCTTGTCTCATCCTTTATCACCGGCTCGAGCTCAGATACTACAGGCTCATCCTCAACCACCACCTCAGCACACTGTTCACGTTCAAGCACAGGCCCAGCGGCTTGCACATCATGCTCGGGCTCGTCCTTCGCCAACGCCTCCTCCACGACAGAAACTTCCAGCTCCTCCCGTATCTGTTCATCATCTACCCCAGACTCAGGCACAAGTAAGACCGCTTGATGGTCGTCGCGTTGATCCCCCGCTGCTGAAGACTCGATCTCTTGCTCAGCTACGATTCGTACTTCCTCGACTTCCACCAACGCCTCCTCCACAACAGAAGCTCCCTGCTCATCGTATTCTTCCTGCATCTGTTCATCATCCACCACAGACTCAGGCGCAGGTACGGCCACTTGATGGTTGTCGCGTTCATCCTCCACTGCTTCCTCTGCTGCTGAAGACTCGATCTCTTGCCCGGCTACGATTTGTACTTCCTCGACTTCTGCAACGGGTCCTTCAAATTGAGGAGGAGGTAAAGCAGTTGCCTGAGACCCAGGTTCCTCCATCTTCACAGATATTTCGGCCTCCTCGTCAATAGCTTTTGACTCGGTGTCGACGTCCTGTTCTGATCCATCGACGTTCATCTGAATTGGCGCGGGTAAAGCAATGGGCTCATCCTCGACCACAGCTGGCTCAGGTTCGGGTACAGGTAAATCGGATCGTTCATCTAGAACATCTACAGCTGGTTCTTGGACCTCCTTCTCGATCTCATGATGCAGGTCTGGTGCGAGTGCGGCAACCTGCTTGGCCTCAACTTCGACTACAGGCTCAACGTGCTGCTCAGGCTCCGGGACAGCGACAGGCTCGTCCTTTACCACAGACTCAATCTGGCGTTCCAGTTCCGGCGCAGGTGCAGCAACTTGTTCCTCGGGCCATTTGTCCTTCACCGCAGGTTCAGACGAATCTAGGATAACTTCTTTGTCCTGTCTTTCCTTGGCCAGCTCATCTTGCACCACAGACTCGTCCTCAATCTGCTTTTTCTCGACCACAGACTTGATGCGCTGCTCAGGTTCGTGCACGGGAGCAACAACTAGTCCATCACGTTCATCGTCAGCGGGCTCGCCCTTCGCCAATGACTCCGCCGCGGATGGAACACCCTGTTCGTCGCGTTCTTCCTTGGCAACAGACTCAGGTGCAGGCAGAACGTCTTGATCATCGCGTCCATCCTCGACGGCCTCCTCCTTAACTGCAGACTCAGTTTCATCTGGCAGTAGTTCCGGTTCAGGCACAGGTGAAGCAGACTTCTCGACGTATAACTCGATTTCGTCCTCGACCGGCACATCCTCCGACGCAGGCTTGCTGTTATGCACGGGTTTGGGCGTAGACAAAGTGACTTCCTCTTCCTGGATGAGCTCGTCGTTTACCACAGACTCAACTTCGCCCACAAGTGCTTGCGTGTGAGAAGCGACGTCCTCACATCCTCCACCCTCTGTCTCCTCGACCCTCACCAATGGTTCAGGCGCAACAGTCTCATTCTTCACCGACTCGGCTTCATGCTCAAGTTCTAGTACAGCGGAAACGACCTCCTCCTTGCGTCTTTCCTCGGCTTGCTTGTCGGTCACCGCAAGCCCTGTGCCCTGTACCGATTCAAGTGAAGACGAAGCGACTTCTTTGTCATTTTCAACATTAACCGTGTCATCCTTCACAGTGGGTTCGAGGTCGTTTCTAGATTCAGGCACGGGCGGGGCGGGTTGTATACCAAGAACATCTTCAGCGAGCTCCTCCTTTACGACAGGCTCGACTTCGGGCTCCGAGGCAGATGAAATAACTGCTTGTAACTGGGATCCGTCCACAATCTGCACTGCCTCTTCCACGGGTATAGGCGAGGATACAACAGCTTGCTCGGTAGGCTCCTCTGGTGTGACATCTCCATTGCGCTTGTGCTCAAGCAGAGATGAAGTGATTTCATACCCGACGAGTGATTTAGGTTCGTCGTCAAACTGTTCGTCCTTCGCCGCAGGTACCGAGATGCGTGCAGCAGCGATGGTTTCTGCGGACTCGACTTGACGTTGAAGTTCTGGGATGGGAGAGGCGACATTCTCGTCCAGTCCGCCCTTGGCTGGCACATCTTTCTCGGCGGACTCGATATAGGGTTCGGGTCCAGGGGCAGGTGAACCAGGACCCTGTTGTGTAACTGAATACGAAGGAGTCCATGGCGATGAGGGTCGTTCAATTTCAGTGTTTGGACTCAACGAAGTCTAATTGAATTGCAAATAAGCGACGAGCTTTGCTTATCATCAAGAATACTCACTGTGTCGAAGTCGTGCAAATTTTCAAGAACAGCAGCAGTTGATGGGTGCATATGTTCAATGTCTTCCTCTGTAACTTGTTCTTCACCAGAAACGTCAGGTACCACCTACGACTAATAAGTTGATTTTAACAAGACAGCGGAAACTACTTACCTCAGTTCCCTGGGATGGCTCGATACTCGGTTCGATGATCGTAGATGGGCCGTCAGGCAGTGACTCAATTGGAGTGATGTGCTCGTCAGCTACAGGTGCCTGGGCTGCGGTACCAACTTGAACTTCAGATATCGGTAGTATACTTTCTACTTCCAATGTTGGAGTAACTAGGCCTTGCTGAGTAACAGAGTACGATGGTGTCCATGGAGAGGCAGGGCTCTCAATTTCAGCGGCAGGAGCCAATAGCTATAATGTAAGTTTAGCTTTTTTTTCGGATGTTAAAATGAGCTACTCGCATACCTCCTCCAACAAACCAACCTGCACGTGCGACTTTACATCGGCTTCAGCTGCAGATAAGAACTCAGGCGTGGGAATTACTGCCTCGATGGCCAAGAAGTTTTCCACTTGAGCACTTGCTGTCTTCACAAAAGAGGAGTCATCGTCATCGTTGGCAAGCTCAGCAACGCTTGGCAAAGATGACATAGCAGCCTCAGCGATGTATGTCTGACGCACGGCAGCCTTTCCAGCATCAATCCCCGTGGACTGGACCTCCGTAATTGGGACAGAGGCGACTCCGACGGCATCCTCAGGAGATAGGGATGCAAATAGTATGGTCTTGACCTCCGCTATGGAAATACCTTGATCTTGAACAGAGTAGGATGGTGTCGACAGAGAGGTGGGACGTTCAATTTCGGTGGAAGGAATAGATAACTGGGACTAATAAGTTTCAGCAGGTCACATATTGAACTAGCTATGTTGCTCACCCCTTCTGAAGGACCAATGGTCTCCTCAGCATGTGAATTTGCGTCGACTTCAACGTCAATATGTTTCTCGAGACTATGGTCTGGCTCGAGTGTCGAAGCAATGCCGTCACTTCTCTCAGACTGCGTCTCAATAATTGGGCTAGCGACTTGCTGAACAGGTCTTTCTACCGTATGAGAATCGCGGCCTTCTACCTCGACGACCTCAGTCACTGATGTCGATGTCGATTCGGCGATGGTGATGTCTTCAGTGATGACGAGTTTGTCAGCTGTTGACGAGACTGAGACCGAATCCCCGGGATGGAACGATGTAGTTAATGTGTTCTCAACCTCCGGCGTTGTAGAAATTGTACCTTGATGCATAACAGAGAAAGATGACGTCCACGGTGAGGCTGGATGTTCGATGTCATTGTCGAAAGTTGGCAGCTATAAGGTTAAATATCAGCGGGATAAGAAATTATGTCCATTCGTTACATCCGTTACATACCTCTTTGGACGAAGTACTTTCCTCATCAGGCGACTTGACATCATCAACGGTTTTCTCGGTAACGGGTTCGGCCGCCGGTGCTATTATCACCTCATCAGTTGTTTTAGGTTGCTCCCCAGTAACTAAAGTTGATTGCGGCTGAACGACATCCTCCTGGCTTCGGTTCTTGGGAGGTTCAGTGGCGGCCTCGACTTCAGTAGGGATGCCAGTTTGCGAAATAGCAGGCTCGCCGGCTACAGGGATATTTCGATCAGTGCTAACGACAGCGCCGTCAACCGGTTCTATTTCGTCCAAGGTTACTGTACCACGAAGCGGGCTTCCCTGGACAGATACAGAATAGGAAGGTGTCCAAGGCGACTTTGGACGTTCTTCTAGGAGTTCCGATGAGCTTTGGGTCTGCACCTCGAACTACGTTCAGCCATAGTAAACAAGATTAAATCAAAAACGCACTTCGTCAAGAAGAGCAGAGGAATCGACTACAGTGAGAGCCACAATGGGGACTTGAGGAAGAAGTAAAGGCAAGTTTTCTATCACAGGAATGTCTTCTTCAGCAGGTAGACCTGGTCCTTGAGTGGTGACACTGTAAGATGGCGTCCATGGCGACCTAGATTGATCGATTTTGATGCCTGCAGGAGTGAGCAAGTCATCGGTGTTACACTGTCAACGAAAATCAGGAAAGAGTGGATGGCAAAAGAAGTAGCATCATACTCTGGAAGAAACTGATCGTTGGTCCTGATCGCTGACTGTTTCAGCAACTTCAACGTTGGGCTCTTCTTCGGTCAGAGAAAGATTGGATACAGGGTTCACTGATATATCATCAAGGGAAATAGTCGATTCCAAGGCTATTTCAGACCCATGAAGATCGGCTTTGTCGGTGACCACAGGAGCCTGAATGAATTCAACGGCTGACGAATCATGGAGGATGGAATCTTCGACAACGGATCCCTGTGTGATGACACTGTCCCCGATCACGGTCGGTGGCTCAGCTTGATCGACAGGAGCTTGGGTCTCCCCGTCTTCTGGCGACCTTTCCTTTAGCGGCGCTACGATCCCTTCCGTTGAAGATACCTGACTGGGCAGCGCATACTGGGCGGTTGCCTCCTCGGCTGGGTTCCTTTTGATATCGGGTGCATCCCCAATTGTTGTCTCAGCCCTAGCGGCTGCATAGTTTCCATCTTCCCCGATTCTTTCAACAACAGATGCAACAATTGACAAAGGTCCATCGACGGTGGTCCGTTTCTCATCAGATACACTGTCTCCGAGGGGTTTGGCATCTGGAGGTTCCGAAACGACCGCCTCTACAACTAACCTCGCCTCAGCAGTCACCTTCGAAATGGCAATACCTTCGATAGGTGCATACTCAATATGTGCTTTTTCAGTGTCTGCACCGACAGGCGTTTCGGTATGACTTTGATCGACATCCGCCCCAACCTTGATAATAGATTCGTCCCCGATGACTGCCGGTTTCTCAAATACCACCGAGTCCGCCACGACTGGGTCTCCGCCAGATCTCCCTACATCGGTGTTTTCAGTCAAGGATGCTTTCTCGACGGACGGGATATCGATGGCTAGTGGTCTCTCACCTTCTGCGGTGGGGAGCTCATCGGCGGCTGTGAGAGTAGCTGAGGCCTGAGCAACAAGGGGTGCGGCATTAGCGGTGTGTATATCGTCGAGGGAAGCACATTCGACAGGAGGTGTAAGCACGGCAATAGCTTTTTCTGAGCCGCCCAATGGTTTGGCCTCAAATACCATAAGCTCTTGGATGGCTGGATCCCTAGATTCTGAGGTATGGAGCTCGAAAACATGTTTCTCAACCTTCTGGGAAATGTCGTCGTTCAAAGCCAATTCTGCGACAGGCACGGCTTCTACCTGGACATCGACAACTGTACCATCCCCTACGGCAGGCGACGGCTCAATAAAGGAGACTTCCTCCAGAACTTCCTCGACAGTAGGAGGGTCCGTGAAAATGCCAAGGACCTCTACTCCTTGTTCCACGGCGGAAAGCTCATGAGTAGCTATTATTTCTTCGACAATAGGACTGTCTTCCGTCGGGACCCCTTTCTTGACAGGTATCTCTGTTTCCACGGCTGACGTCTCTGTCGGTATCGCAACAGGCGCGTCAACGATGGATGCTTCCTCAACCACCTCTGCTTCAACCGGCTCCTGTTGATTTGCAGAAGCATCGTGCACGATGAGGAGTTCCACAGTATTCTTTGTGTTGTGAATTCCAGTAACAACCTGCTCTCCTGCAACCTCTTCTATTACCAAGCTATCACCAGCCAGTATGACGGCAGCCTCGTTCACATATGTTTCCTCGGCTATCGTCGTCTTCACATGCTCTCGCACATCACTAACTGGCATCTCAACCGTAGATGGCTGCCGAATGAATGGAACATGAGCAGCGTGTGCTTCGTCCAATGGTTCTACAGCCTCGATAGATTCATCCCTAGCAAATGCCAGATTAACCTCAGCAGTCGATTTCGCCACTGGTGTCAGGCTACTGATTTCCTCTTCGACCCCATCGGCGCCCGTCGACAACTTCTGAGCCGAAACAACAATCGGCACTCCCAGTGGTTCTTCAACTACCGATGTCTGGGCAATGAGACTGAGATGCTCGGCGATAACAGGTGCATCCTTCACGTCAGGTGTGCCCGAAATGATAACCTTCTCTACAGCGGGCGACTCCTCAAACGTGTCCCTCTCTTCTAATAAGCTCTCTTCCGAAGCAAAGGGTACTGCAAGGACTGTCGTTGTAGAAGGCTGCTCCCCCGTCATGGCTTGCTCTGATATCCTCACAGCCTCAATAGAGACATCCTCCGCTGAAGTGGGTCCCTCGACCAATGGTACTATCACAACTGATCCCTTTACAGTGGAGCTTCCTTCGTGAACTACTTCCACTAGCCCAATTTCATCAGTTGCAACTTCCACGATTGGGGCCTCCAGAGGGGAAGGTTCACCCGGTATTTCGACTGGAGGTAGCTCCCCTCCCTCGTCCAGCTCTTTGACCTCGATCTCGACAATGGGATCGGCCTGTACAACGGGGATTTTCTCGAGCTCATCTTTCCCAGCTTCAACCATCATAGCTTCCCCTTCCTTCACTGCGGCACGGATCACGGATACAGCTGGTGTTTCGTTCTCGATTGGAATCACCTTCGCAGCGATTGTCGTCACAAGTTGCAGGTCTTCCTTTCCTCTATCTTCTTCACCAACGTTTGCGGATTCAGCCGTGGAAGCCCCCTCTGCTGTCGGGATTTTATCCGCGACAACCACAGATTGTCCGGTTGCATCTGCACCGATTAGCTGTTCGACACTTTCCTCTTCCAGTATTGGCACTTCCGGGATCGACGCGGATGGTACGTCTGGGGCCCCAGAAGTGACGGTTGCGGGAATCGCTTCACTAACAGGTGTTTCCTGTGCTCCCCTCACTCTTTCTTCCTGTCCAACGAACGGGGCTTTCTCGATGACAACGGCGTCCCCAACCACTGCGATCCTTCCCATATCGGATGTTGTCACGACGGTAGGAGGCTCTTGAACGATATGCGACTGCACAGAGTCGATGATTGGAATGTTCTTGAGCTCCACTTCGTCTTCAGCGATCGGTGCTGCTATCTCGGGACGCCCCTCTTCAGTAACGGATTCGTCCCCGAGGATCGCTTCCCTTTGCACAGTCTGCAACCCTTCAAAACCAGTCGCGTCTTCGACAAATGGTACATTTTTAGTCGCCATCGGTACCTTGTCGGGCATCGTGGCCTTATCAGCAGACAGAATGTCTTCCAATGCATCCGGCGCAACATCATCAATGGTCACTATGTCAGTTTTGACATCGGAAGGTCTTGAAAAAACTGGTTGTTCTGGAGCGACCAATTTCACTTGGTGTTCGAAAGTGCGGTTGAAAAAAGGGGTATGGATGCCGTCCACATTGCTATCTTGTGGAGTAACGGGTACTGGAAGGGCCGATACCTCGATGGTTGACTATCAAGCAAGATTAGATCATATGGTGACATTATATGGGCGACGTACGTCAACGACATTCGCGATCTTGCTGTCGTTCTATGCATATATAAGCCAAATACACTGAGAGCGAGTATTGAGTTCGAGCAAACCTTGGCTTTTGTGTTCCCCAGAGGTTCAGCGACAACTGGTACTGACGACGACGCCATAACGCTCGTCTACACGGACACGTCAACAATAAGGAAGGAAAATCAAAAATGTCAAAGAACCGCACCAGTGCGACTGTAACGGGTATAGAAGATGCCTTCTCACCCATCCCTGGCTCCGTGGGTATCTAATGCGGCCAGTGAGAAAATACTCAGACACAAGATGATAGATAAAGAATTGCACTAACCTCGGCGGTGAGAACCGTGTCATCGACCGTGGACGCGACCTTGGAAACCATACTATCGTCTGACACCGAGAGAGACGTCTACCGAACATGCCAAAAAAAGAGTGAGCGAACAATAGACAGATAGACAACAGGAAGAAGGGAGCTGAATTTTGAAAGGTGAAGATGTATGCACCTGTTCCTCATGTATGTATGCGTTCTCTTTATCTTCCGGGTTTGCCATTGGCAGCGTTGACGCGTCCTTGGGTTTGTCCACCGTAACCTTGGAGTGGCCCTCGCCCTCTCTCTGCAGTGCCCCACCGAGGACTTCCGCTTCCTCCTTCACAGAACCATTCTCGAGCGTTATCGGCTGTAATACGGGGTCGACGACAGGAGTCGTCATCCTCTACGTCCCTCCGAGAATATTCCCAAATGGTGAGGAGGATTGCAGCGAGCTGCGTGAATATTATGTATACGAACGAGCTTGGGGGAAAATGAGTAGGCACCGTCCTCTGCGCCCTTCGCAAGAATGTGGCGGGAAGTAGAAGAATAGCGCAAGAAACTAAAAAGACTAGACCACGGGGCCAGATACCGGCGAAAAGAACCGAAGCGAAGAAAAGATCACATGGGGCACCAGGTACTCAATCACGTGTTCGTGTCCTCCACGAAAACCAAATTTAAGTATTCGCTCTCAAAATGACAACTTCGAGTTTAATGCACTCAAAATGACTGAAAGTAAGTGCCTATGAAACTCTGATGGCATTGACTGGACTGGACTATAGAGCGAAGAAGAGGATATCAAACTTGAGTAAACGTATATAGAATACTAGTAAAAGATTCGTTCCCATATCGGGAGAGATATAAGAAACGGTCATAAGGGCTTCGGGAGGGGAAAACTAAGTCCGTTATAACTAATAAAGAAGGCCCGACATCCACATTCAAGTATCGTGAGTAGGCAAAGTTAAGAGATTAAAAGAGGAGGGCCGCAAGCAGACCGCAGAAACCAGCAACACCATATGTGACGCTATTGCGAATGGCACCGCTGGAGGCACTTGTGGTCGTGGAGCTACTCGTAGTAGTCTTGGAGCTACTCGAAGTAGCCTTGGAGCTGGTGGTCCCTGCGGTAGTGGTTCCTGTGGTAGCGGTGGTAGTAGCGTCGGTGCCAGTAGCGGTGGTGGTGGAACCAGATCTGATGAACTGCGTAAGAATGATATCATCAAGACGAATATTCGCTTACCCAGAAGTCGAAGTGTCAGTGTTGCCAGTGACAGATGCGCAGCTGTGGCCCGAGTCAAAGAGAAAGTCGATTCATGCAACGATACTACGCACCTGGTACTTGAACCTGACTCCACTGTCACCGCATCAGTGTAGGCTATGGAACCTGTACTGTCTTTGATAGCAAAGGTGCTAGGGAAGAATTCATGAGGATGAACAGGAGTGCAAAAGACCATCTCAGGGACTCACATCGACGTATCAGCAGCTATATCACAGGTCCATGTGTAAGAAGTGTCGTTGGTCGCAGCGAAGCTTTCAAGCTGTGGGGAGGGTTATTGTGGTGGAATCTCCCAGAAGAAATATGCCTACGACGCCCGTGGTTTCGCCACCTTATACACATGTCAGCAAGCAGGAACGAAGAGCTGGTTTGATCGTACACACCTGGGTAAATAGATAGATAGTATGGCGAGGTACCATCGCTCCAGGACAACGCCGAGGGTTCTGCGGGAGAGAAGCGAATCAGTGTTACGCTTGATAAGGGGAGTCAAGTAGACTTACCGCACTCAGTGACACCAGAGCTGAGGTAGATAGTCAGTCTTGGTGTTGGTGCCGGCCAAAAGATGCAAAAAAAAAATCTTACGGGGTGTTGATCGTCAAAGCGTACAGGCCAGGGAGGATGGAGAGAAGAGAAGCGGACAGGACAAAGAACTTCATGGTAGTATAAGGTAAGAAGGGTGAACGAAAGTGCTTTTGGCAATGAGGAAAGAGAGGACTCGATTTCAACCCAAGGCTGGTTTTAAGAGAGAAACAGAAGATACAGAATGATCAGTTCGGCGGGCTGGAGTTTTTATAATGGCGGAGTATGAACTTATCCGGCGCAGCAGATGGGTTTGTTCAAAGGAAGGCAACAGCAGCAGGGCATACTATTACCCTTTCCCGACGCGCAGCATCGGGCCTGGTCTCTTATCATTAAGATATTTCAAATATCTTATGGCTTTCTCCCAACTGTGAACCACCATGAGTAATAAGACGCGAGAGATGGCTTGAGCACGACGCACCATGGTCAGCACAAAATCAGCATCCTAAACGAATTCATACCAAGCCGATCGTTGCCTTGTAGCACATAAAATAACACTATCCGCAGCGACACAATCTGCCCGGGCCCCGAGGCCAGTTGTGATTGACGCCGAGCGAATTAGAATTTCGACTTGCGCACAGTTCAAGCACAGTTCCGTGCAGGCTTTTAATACCATTGACTGCACTCAGTACCATGGGCATAGAGCCGGATTTTCGATGTATCGTTTTAAAAGTCAGCCCTGAGGACTGAGCATTCATTCATACATATTCATGCATCAGTCCAGAACCTGGGCCTTGTTCGTGTAAACTGTTGGCTATGAGAACTGCGCAATGCCGACAGATGGATCTTTGAAAAAGGGATAAAGAGACTGAGCGTGATGACATAAGCAACGACAGGGCGTTTTTGGGTGTCCAATTAATTTCCCTGTTCTTCTAATTACTCCTGCGATGGACTGGCATTAATTAAGTACCATGCCAGAACCATACCCATCGTAACTTACTAGTTCATGAGCGGAAGAATCAGATTCTGGGAGATCCGTCGTCAGGGCGCATTACTTGAAGCAGGGACGATAAGTTTAATGTACGTTATGTCGAGATTGACCGGACCCAGATATAAACAGAACCAGGAATTAGCTCGCGAATCTGCGTTGGCTGTACGATTCGCCAGAATGCCGGCATTCCCCAGTAGTTCTGCAAACAAAGAGGCATTGCTGAAACTATCCATCGGCGAGGAAATTGATATCATCATCATCTTGTAACTGACCTTTGTTTCTCGTAGTACGTCTGCGATCAGTGAGTAACGTATGGAACCTGTCACACCCGATGCGTCGCCATCCCGTTGCGAATACCGCCCGCAGTAGAGCAAGATAACTTCCAATTTTTGGTTTCTACGATTGAAAGCCCCTCCCCCCTCTCCCTTTATTTTTGTAAATGCACATACAATGGTTGGCTTGAGGCCACAGTAGGGAGTCCCAGACCGAAGACATTTAAGGAACGTCGGGTGCACTTTCCAGCAACAAGTACAAACAAATAATCTCATTGATCGCGGCCATGACGGAGCCTGCTATTGCGCGTGTCGTACTCCCTTCGCCCCCCTCGTCTCCTGAGCCAGAAAAAGACGAAAACGAAGAAGTCTCTTCCGACTTCCTCGATTCCTGGCCAGCAACGACTTCCGAGCTTGATCTTGTGCACTGCCGTTTAGGCTCACTTGATCCTCTCCACCTCCCTCGCTTTGCAGAGCACCTGAAACGACTATGTGTACGGCAAAACCACATATCTACTCTCGAACCCCTTGCGTTATCATCATTAATATTACTGGAAGAGCTCGATGTCTATGACAACAAGCTCAAGAACTCCGGGATAACCGCTCTGCCGGCGTCGCTCATTACACTCGATCTGAGCTTCAATTTGCTGAAACACATTCCCGATGCTCTTGAAAGCTTGCCAAATCTTGAAACGGTGTATTTCGTGCAGAACAGGATCTCACGGATCGAGCGTCTGGGAATGTGTACCAAATTGAGGAGTCTCGAGTTGGGCGGAAACCGCATACGCGTACGAGTTTGATTTTTCGTAGGCCAAATACTAATGTGGGAAGGTTAGGATATAACGTCTCTGTCCTCTCTGACTGCGCTTGAGGAACTTTGGCTTGGCAAGAACAAAATCGCGACCGTACCGCCCGGTGCGCTCACACCCCTGACGTCCCTCCGCATCCTTTCCCTTCAATCCAACAGACTGACGCGAATAACTGGAATGGACAGCCTCATCAATTTACAAGAACTATATCTTTCTCACAATGGTATCGAGAAGCTCGAAGGCCTACATGATAACGTGAGCCGTTCATTCCCTTACAATCAGAATCAACTAATAAAACGAACAGGTGAGCCTTAGCACACTCGATATCGGGAACAATTTTATCCCAGCTATCGAAGGAATTGACCATTTGACGCAATTGGAAGAACTTTGGGTACAACTCTCTCTCTAATTTAGCCATCTAAAAACTGATCTCTCTTTATTAGATGAACAACAATAATATCCCTGCTTCCGTCCTGTCCTCCCCTTTTCCTGATCTCCCGGCTCTCCGTACCATATATCTTGAGGGAAACCCATGTCAGAAAGCGGATCCTGTCAACTATCGTCGTAAAGTGATGTTGGCGCTCCCCCAGGTGACTCAAATTGATGCAACGTGAGTATATAGCATACTCAGCAAAGGACATTTTTTTTGCTGACGTAGACGATGCCCGCTTCGCAGTTACGTCAAAGCTGCCTGAACAGTCCAGGCGCAGTCGCTCCTCGCCACCTCCTTCTGACATCGTGTGTTATGAATGAGCTAGAAGCAAGACGTGTGTATCAGTGTATCAGTCATTTCAGCGCCTTCATTTGTCAATAAAAACCCTTTAGAATCGCTACTGAATAATCTACTTTGAATGTGGACGTTCACCAGCAAAAACGAGCCCCCTCTCCGACTGGGTTCCTCCTTCAATTCGGAGTTCTTGTCGTAAGTATGTCCACACGTACAGAAAATGTAATATATTAGAGTTCCGAAATCCCGGCATTCGTGCTCCATACCTGTGATCAACACGAAACCGACGAGTACTACTTATATCCAGCCTTTGTGATAGGTTTGTAATTGGCAAGTGTAAGGCCCATCTACTACTGCACTGAGAATACCTACTTCAGACAACAATCGACTTACAGAATACCCAGGATGCTGATATCATTGAACATGCTAACTGCGACTGCCCATAGATTCGTATGCTTCTTGAAGTCTGTGGTAGCTTAACGGGAGTTATGACTATAGAATGGGGATATATGAAGCAGATATTGAAAGTGCACACACTAATAAGACACCCTGATGACACATCCATCTATGCAGCTGAGGCCTGCGATCGTAAGAATAAGGTCCAGAATTCAGCTGAAAGCCAGTAGCATCTCATTCTGGCCACATTCTGATTCATAGACATCGCCGAAGGTACTTATCTGAGAAAGACTATATAATATTGCACAGAGGAACGAAAATGCTAGGGAACTGCAAGGGAATCTAGGATCTAATAGTCAAATCAACAAGACGCTTTCTTTGGGTGCGCAATGTTCAAATTCTACTGATTCTGTTGTCATGAAAGAATTTTGCTATAGCTAACGATTTAGTTACGGTAGCGGAGGTGAAAATAACGAACATCTATGTGATTCGTAAGGCATTTCAAGAACGCCGTGGACAAATGCCGCTGAGTTCGGGTCTGGGTGCGTGTTGGAGCTCAATCAGACTATGTTAAAATGGCGGGACATCGCCATCACGTTGTGCGCCGTTATTCAGACTTGAAGACTTTAGCTGTCTGGTTCTCCCCGCTGACCCGGTCACGGAGGACGGAGCAAGCAGTTCAAGGAATTATAGAAATTTCCTAGTGCATGTGCTCTACCTACGAGAGGATACGAGACCCGTTTGACGCTTAGAACGTCTGCTGCCGCAAAGCATCTTACAAGAGAGAGAGATCCGGGGAACGTGCGAATTACATTCGAAGTCCCAATACTGCGTTTGATTGTATTTATCCCATTGCGTTGAACTTGGGAGCTGACTCCAAACCTGGGTATTATGTTTTCCATCAGAGTGCTAGATTCGCAATAGCCAAAATTTGTCCAATATTGCTTATCACCCACGCGTTCAAAGAACCGTCATATACTATTTCGGGGTCCGTTTCATATCTGTTTGGCCTCCCAAAGGGAGAGTGAAATTATGGGAATAATTAGTGAGCCCTAATGGTGGATATGGTAGATAAATTTGTGGCATAAAGGCGAGGGAAGTCAAGCTTCAAAATTGTCGAGAAAGTTGAAGCTTGAAGTCCCAGGAGTAGGTATCGGAGAGATCCGGTCTGTTTGATGTGGCTGTGTCTGGCCGCGTATTTCCTATTGCGGAGTCGACAGTCGTCTTCACTGGCAAGCTTGGTGTCGTCTATCCGGAAAAACATGTCGTAGGCCATGGTGAACACATATGACACATGGGTTGCTTGTACTAGGTCACCATCAATTATTCTGATTGACTGTTTAGCATCTCTGGTGCTTAACATTCACTATCGCCACCGTGAATCCGTGAGTAGTACCACCCACTAATCATGTACGATGTCTCGGAGCGCTCAGAAGTCGCTCGACCTCACTGTCGCAGGACGAATGTTGATGCACATTCTGCCACGACTGCTGTATATGATGGCTACCCTTTTTCTGTGATTTATGACTTTTCGTCTGACCAATGAATTTTGGTCGCAGTGAAAAGGCGCACATCCAAGGACCTTGGCTGGTACTTGCCGTATCTGCTGTCATGTCAACTAACCTGGAAGTCTATGTCCCCATGAATCATGACATCCGCTTCCACAAAAGAGCCCGCATCTCCCGCCGGCTCTAGTCCAGAGGCCATCAAACCATGTTTAGGAAGATGGTGGAATCTGCGCTGTGGGTCTGTCTCTTCGCCTCGGCAGCATCATATTCACCACCAAGTCAAGCACTTTTAGACCGTGAAGTGATCTCCGGACACTTCGCAACTGTTCGCTCAGATTGCCGTCCTTCTTTGATGGCCCACTCCGCAGAATTCAGTGATTGCGCATGTTCACATTCCAAAGGAGACTGAGGCAATATGTCTGGCCGTAGCTGTTGTAATTCTATCACTTACGCTAGAGCTCTTCGAGAGTATGACTAGGAATCCGCAGGCGTATGTCAAACATCCGGAGTATCAGTACCAACTATGAAATAGGCACTATCCCGCAGTTGTGCTGAAGAAAAGAAGTTCACTGGCGTGCGTCACGCTCGCGAGTGGCTGGGAGAAAGGGATTCACTGAAAAAATAGGAAGTTATGAATGCGTGTCTGAAGCTAGTCTTGCAGCAGCGGCAAGAAGGATACCGAATCCGGACTGGAGTCGATGTGACTGGTGAGTGGGCCGACACTGGTTCCCCGGATCATTTCTTCCAAGTTACAGCAAAGCTAGAGCCCGAACTTATTCTGGCCCTTCCAAGCGTATTTTTCACAATGATGCATCGTCGAATTGACATCCTTGTGATGCATGTACAGAAGTTGGTTTCCAGTAGGTTTCAACCAAAGATAGATGCATGGCTGTACGGTGTAGGATCGAGCTCTCAACGTCTACGTTGATGTCTTCTCAAAAGATACCAGAGCGGTCACCGGGTCAACAGCACGGCTTCGAACATGCTGGCAGCCGTAAAGAAGGCCATGGCGTTCTCCAATTGATCTCTGGTCACTACATTTTTGGAGACACCATCCACCTCTTTAACGGCCTCGTCGATACCGACGCGTCGGACCTGTGAGCACGGTTTTTCGGTCGCAATAGAAATTTTGATGCATTCTAATGCAATTCTAATGATAACCCCTCCGGTAAACGCGACCTTACATGATCAGTCACTGCTCCAAGAGTCCAAGTTTCTGGTAAGTATAAAGTATTGTCTTGACTTGCAGGATAAGGACCACTGCGGGCGGCTTGTTAAGAGGCGCACCGTGACCGGATTATCCCGTGCCGAGTCCTGGCCGCGACGCGACGTAGAACAGCCAGTTTAGCCTCGTAAAGCCGATTGCGTGGCTTCTTTCAATATTTGGTAGTCAACGTCTCTCGTTACTGCAGCCATCTGAGCCTGACGCAAAACTGCCAGCTTCCCGACTGTTTGTGGAAAGTCATTGAGTTTGCTTCGTAAGGTTCCAATTTTGTGGCACTGAATTATACACGTACTGAATTCCGTTTATCTTAGGACTAAATGATTATTATCTGTCTGCATCACGATCCACTGATTCCGATAGCTGTCATCAACACGACGGAATCGGACGTATGGAAAGCCTGACTGGCGTCGCCGCAACTTCCTGTAACGTTCTTTCCAAGGTTTATGACCGCATGTGTAATCACTGGAGCACTGGATGTTCTGTGAGTTGGAATGGGTTTAATGGCCAGTGCGCGAACTCAATTAATTATGGCGTAAATATTCGTGTCTATCATTCAACTAACGGTATAAGCCATCGTCGCAAACTCGTTTTTTTACTGACACCATATGGTTGTTCTGAATTTCCTTAGACCTTGACCCCAAACTTCTTGCGGGCACAGCTCGGATATCCAGGCCGAGCACTAGAGTTTATAGCGGAGTAAGCACTAGTTTATAAAGTACCGTTGTAACCTTTCTTCTAACACCTCGAAAGAAGCGATCCCAAGCAATCCAGATCAGCCCTATGTATGCGTGAGCTATGAATACATTGGACGATCAGAAATTTCTGTTGGACGACGCCCACCGAGCCACTTCTTCCTGAAAACGCTGTCCACACGTTCCCCGCAGCTATCTCTTGTGAGATATTATGCGGAGTAAGAAGTCTCAGTCCGAGTGAAGCTGTTGCCGGCTTCCAACTTCGCTGGACTCCATAAAAGCATGTATCAACTCTAGCTAGCCATCCAGCATGTCCACTTTGGCCCCCCTCATGTCTTTCTCCTCCAAAGAAAAGGAAATTGGCACAGTCGAGGTCTTCGAGCACGCACCTAGCCTCCAGTCAGACATCGACGCCGCGTCAGGCCAAGGTCCCCAGGGGCGGATCCTTGCCGAGCGGAGGCTGGTTCGTAAACTCGATGTTAGGTTCCTGCCTATGGTAACTCTGATCTACCTCATGAATTACATTGATGTGCGTTGGTAATCTTCTCACACCGATTCGTACTTTGATGCTTGTTTCCCAGCGAAGTGCCATCACGACAGCGAGATTGAAGGGGCTTGAGGATGACTTGGGCCTTACGGGTACTGTGAACCTTTGCATGTTCGAAACGGAGTTTTTGCTAACGCTTGTATCCAGACCTCCAGTACAACATTATCCTTTCGATTCTCTACGTCACCTACAGTCCATCTCAAATTCCATCTAATATGGTAATTCTGTTTTGGAACTGGCGAAGCGATTAACTTACTATTCATGCCCAAGATTTTGAACTACGTTCAGAGGTGACGCGTCCTTCGTTAAGACAGCTCACCCCACGCTCATTACGATATAGACCTTCACTCTATATCGGAGGATGTGTTGTCGCCTGGGGTGTTGTTAGCGCACTCACAGGAGTAAGTATCTCAACATATAATAACATCACTACCTTTGATATTAGATGTCGTCAGGTTACACACTCCTTCAAGGGAATAGCTATATGTAGACTTTTCTTGGGAATTCCAGAGGTGAAAGGCTCGCATCTTCTCTTTGTTGATGTTAGTTGGTTGATGTTATACGTGTCCAGGCTGCATTCTATCCAGGCAGTAAGCCATCTTTCAACCACTTTCCCATTTTCTAAAGACCATGACTCGGCAGCCATCTATCTGCTTTCAAGCTGGTACACGAAAAAGGTGCATATCGAAAAAAAGGTCCATTCTTTCTAAAGCTCATCGTCTTATAGGAATTGGCCTTCAGGTCTGCTATTCTTTATTCTGGTCTTTTGATATCAAACGCATTTGGCTCTGTACGTTTCATCCCGCCGTGGAGCTCACTTGAGCTTGACCTTTCTATCTAGTTGATGGCAGCTGGCATCCTTGGACAAATGGAGGGAGTCCGGGGCATCAGAGCTTGGAGATGGTAGAAATATGTCACTTTATACCAAGGGAAGCCTTCTCTGATCATACTTTCTACATGCAGGCTTTTCTATATTGAAGTAAGATCTCTCCTACATTCTCGATTGTAATTCATATCATGCGTATGCAGGGGGCTGTCACTATCTCTGTGGGGTTCATGAGCATGTATGTTGCGTTCTGCGACATTTGTATGTTACTGACAGTTCTCTCTTTGTAGGTGGTTGCTACCCGACTACGTCTGTGCTGGTTCTATCTATGTTGTACTTCTACCAACGTATTGATCTCATAGCCCCGCAACACGCGATGGATGTCTCTAGAAGAACGCCGACTTGCCCAAGTGCGTCTTGCTGAAGATGCCGGCGAGGCCGACAAAGACAACAATGAAGACTCGTAAGCAAACCCCTTCGTCGGTGTGTACTAATATAACTCTGATTTACAGGGTTCTCTTTGGGTTGAAACTAGCGCTGAAGGATCCTCGGGTATATGCATTCTGCCTTATGAATGTCGCACACACTTTGGGACTGAGTTTCACCAACTTCTTTCCCACGTTCGTCCTTGATTTCTCCTTCCTTGGTACCGTTTCTAACATCCTGACATAGACTTACACAGACTCTTGGGTTTTCAACCACTATTTCATTACTTCTTTGCGCGTATGTTTCCACATAGGGCTGCTAGACCTTCAATAATCTACACGTTACAGTCCACCTTGGATCCTTGCCGCTGTGGTGTGTTTGTTCAATGCGTGGCATGCAGGTAGGACATTCTGTTACACTACGGGTTGATGGCTGACTTACCGCGGCACAGACCGAACCGGTGAACGGTTCTTCCATATTTCGGGCTGGTGGTGGGTTGTCATGACGGGTTTTGTCGTTGGTCTTTCGACCATGAATACTGCGGCTCGTTATGTGTCGCTATTTTTCATGGCTTTGGGACTCGTTGGTCAGTTTTATGTGCTTCCGACATTCACCTAAAAGCCCATCAGTGCACTTTCAGGCTCCTCTATAACTATCGTCTGGGTATCTAATTCAGTTCCCCGGCCGCCAGCGTAGGTCTTTTGTTCCACGAAATAGTTGCACTTCTCCAGCATACGTTATTACCAGGAAGCGCGCGGCTGCGATTGGCATGGTCAATGGCATCGGGAACCTGGGTAGTCTGTACGTCAATATCTGTTTTCCGCCATTTTTAGCTCAAACGCTATTTTTTCAGTATAGGATCATATACTTGGAAAGCCGTTTGGGGACCTGAGTACCACAAGTCAATGTTAATTTCTCTTTTTGCATTAGTTTTCAGTACCGCTTTGTCGTTTTGTAAGTGTCAGTCTACATTTATCATTGCCTGTCTATTCACTGCGTTCCATGCAGGTATTCGTCTGAGTCTTGTACACGAGAATAAGAAATTGGACGCCAATGACAATACAAACGTTGACAGCGCACGAGTAGAGGAAGCTGCTCGACTAGAAGGCATCACCTACGAGCAAGCCTTAAAGAAGAGGAGGGGGTTCCGATATTTGTATTAGCCATCAGGAAACACTGGTAGTATATAGATCGACAACACGCATATGCGATGTATTTCGACGCGATTCTCAAGCAATTTCAGCTTCTTAGCCGTTCTCCGGTGGCGAGAGCGCTCATCACGTACTTTATGTAATCTGAATCGTCTGTCATGCTTCTCTTATTGGGACCATATGCCGGTTATCTAAACTCTAAACTCTGCTGCGTGTGGGTACTCGCCTGGAAAAATGAAAATTATCTCAATGAAGCTTCCCTGTAACAAATGGATGGATGCGTTCACATATTCCAGTTACGTCGTGAATAAACGAATGCGCAGCAGAAAATGGAAGACAACTCGCTCATTCCCCGCCAATTATTGACCAGCCTCAATAGGCAGTGGGCAACAGGTAGAGTAGAACAACTGGGAGTAAGGATCATCGTGCTATTATAACTTCTAGTCGGCAAAGATGAATAAAACTAAATACTTGTGTTGTAGTAAACATTCTATTCTAACATACATTCATCCAATTAGATCCCAATCATGAAGCTTCACGATTTGGGGCCGGCCTGCAAGTGCTTCTACCAGCTCCTTCGTCGATGCCCACCACGGATTCTTTCCACGACGATTTTTCATGTCGGCGTGCTGCACCATATCTTGCACAGGTACCCATTTGATCGAACTGGATTGAATCGTAATGACGGCAGCCGAATCGGGACTTGCGTGTCTCGTCTTGGGATGCTGCTGCAACAGCTTGTCGTGCTCTCTTTCCAGAAAGGCCATGCATTTCAGAGAAAGACGGACCGCGCGCGCCCGGTCTGTAGGAGATGGTATGCCACCTTGCAACGTATGTCCTAGGGAAGCAGACCGGGAATCAAATAGGTCACGACCTTCCTCCTTGAACATTTTTGTTATTACATCTGTAGTGTATACCTGAGACGCGGCCTCGTTCCTTTGAAAAGTCAACAATTTCTCCACAACAAGCACGGAAGACCTACCGAATCACAAGGCGCCCTTCGCTTTTTCCCTTGACATCAAGGCTATACCTCATTTTCAAATATCTCACGTCGCGTCTTAGAGTGTCGAGGGATATGCCTTGTTCCGGAGTATACACGAGAGAAGCTCCTACCTAGATTTCATTCAGTGCTTTCTCCCAAGTTTTGGCAGATGATGATGATGACTCACCGCCAATGCACCCATGGTGGCAATGTATCCGCAGTTCCCTCCCTGAGTTTCCACCACAAACACTCTGTTACGGCTGGCGCTAGCGCTTTGCTTGATGGCATCACATGCATCCACTAAAGCGTTCAAGCTCGTGTCACTCCCCAAACTGTAGTCTGTCATTGGGACATTGTTGCTGATTGTGGCCGGAAGATGTACCAATGGAATATGAAAAGCGGGATAGTGCTTCCTCTCTTCCTCTAAAATCAGTAATGCACTGAAAGCCTCAAATCCTCCGATCATCATGAAAGCATGGAACGAATACTCCTGGAACTTTGCTGCAACCGCTCCCAGATCGATAGATGGCAATGCTCGATTTGTCCCCAGTTCGGAACCTCCTCGGGCCATCCAAGAATCGACGCCAAGCCACGACATTTCCGAGATATTGTCATCAAGAAGACCACGGAAGCCATTGTTGATCGCAAAGGGTGTGTGTCCTTGACGAATACAGTATCTGACCGCAGCACGGGTAGCGGCGTTCATACCGCCCGCGGGTGCCCCCATACTGTTATACAGTTAGCAGTTGAATTGCGCTCCTTTTGTCTAACTTACTGCAAGATAGCAACACGCATCCTCTACAAATAGAAAATAAGCGCCTATGAATGTCATAGAATTTTTTTAATACCCGCCTGAGCCGGAGGTAACCTCTTCTCGTCATCTAGTACAGACACAGCATGGAAACCTTCTAAACTTTCACGGAACTCGGGGTCTCGAAGCGACATAGCCGTCTCGAAATCTTTATCCGCGATAGATTTAGCGACGGCCTTGGTCTATTAGTTCAATGATTTGAGTATAAAGCTCAAAAGAAAACCAGCAAAAACCATGCCATTGTAACTGCCTCGACCAACGGTACCCTCGAAATCTTGTTTTCTTGCATTCCAATCATGTAAGACGGTGTTGCCGGTGTGGCTTCCAACAAGGCGTCGATTGCCTCTAAAGCTTGCAGAGCAGGCTTCGTGGCGCTTGATGAATGCTTTTGTTCATCATTGATCTGATTGGACTCACCAGGATACGATCCATAGCACACGGTTTTCCACCTCTTTGCGTATGTCCAAGCGTTGTGACCCTTGTATCAAGTCCTAGTCGTTCACTGAGTACGTCTTTGACATAGTCAGCTCGAATGGGGTTCAGATTGCAGTCATGGGCTCCTTCTGCTACAATCACAATGGTTTTTCGTTTACCGACTTCTCGATGCTGTAATGGGTTAAAATTGGCCACACCAACCGCAGTGAATGCGCTTACACGATGGATAGCGGCACACATCTCGTCTTCCCAAGGCGTGACTTTCGGCGGTCGCTCGGGAATGAAGATAAAATCAGCGCCTCCGCTAATTGCAAGAGTCAGAGAACTACAACCAATCCAAAGGAATATGGCATACCTGACGCCAGCAAGAAGAGCTAACCAACCGCAATGTCTCCCCATGACTTCTAGAACGAAGGCCCGTGAATGACTGGTAGCAGTGGAGTTGATATTGTCAATAGCCTCGCAAATCCGATGAAGGGCAGTCGGTGCCCCAATAGTCAGATCTGTCAACGACATGTCATTGTCAATGGAACCAACAAGACCGACGATCCTCAGGTGGGCGTGCATTGTGGCTTGAGCTTCAGTGATCTTGGCTATAGGCGACATGTTAACGGAGCTTCACTTGAGACGAAGAACAGGCATACACTGAGATTGGAGTTCACTGACCAAACTAGGCCATTCAGCGCGGAAAACATCCGCTCCTGTGAGGGAACCATCTCCTCCACAGATAAGAAGAGCGTCAATACCTTCCTTAATCATGTTATATGCCGCTTCCATCCGGCCTTCATGAGTCCTGAAGGCAGCAGAACGCGCCGTGCCAATTAATGTACCTCCCTTCGGTGTTCCGATCTTAACAAAGATAAAGGACGAAGATGACCGTCACACCCACCTCAGCAAACCATGCTCTCACGTCGTCCCATCCGACACGTACGATATATCTCCCCTTCAATGATCTGCCCTTGGAATTGGAGTAGTCACCCATTCCATTCTTCAGCAGGTCCCCGTCCCCAAAGCGGAGGTTTTCAACAAGAGTGACGTCGACACCTTCGGCAATCTGTGGGGTGTCCTGGATATGAGGCGGTTTGTCTTCAGTGTTTCCTCGAACGAGACCTTCATATCCTTCCCGGACAACCCACATTTCACATCCTCTGCAAAGACTTTAGAAGGTGTGATCTGACGAGAAACGACGTAAGGCCTTACTTTATGATACCAGCTTTTACAGCAGCACGTACGACTGCATTCATGCCGGCGCTGTCGCCGCCAGACGTTAGTATCGCGATCTTCATGGTGGTGGTGGTGTAGAAGAGAGCACGGCGTGAACGGATTGAGTCAGTGGTGGGGGTATCAATGAAAGGAATTCTCCCTTGTCCAACGTCACTAACGCACGTGCTTATAGCTTTGGTTTCAGACAACAGCCTCGAACGCTAGAACGAACCTCGAACAGCGCATCTAGGACATCGCATGTCCAGACAAGTTACCAGGGCATCCATCGACGTCGAATAATCGTGCCTGAAGCCCAGCTGACACGAGCCGACACGCTTTTGCCAATTGCCACCGTCTGTTTAAATTACGATCTGCCAAAACCATGGTACACGCTCGTTTCAACGATAGAGATCCCAATCCCAATCCCCACATCGACTTCATCACACCTCTTCCAGGCGATGACCAACACGATGCCAGGCAGCTCTTGCGCGCTCTTGCAGCGCAGGTGCGACCCGTGATGAAAGCCCATGGTTTCGTGATAAATAGTTTTGAAGAGGTAGGATCTTTTTTCTGTCAACCCTTCAATCTCATACTCTGTGTAGTACGAACATAACGGCGTTTTTGCAGGAAGAAATTGGAACAATGGCGAAACTGTCGGCGAGCATCGCGTCTTTTCTTGGAATATCTATTACAGGACTTCTGATTATTAACCATTCAGAACTCGTTCTTCGGCGACCTGGAGGATCATTTTTACCCACTTATTGGCTCATGAGTACTCTATGCCACGAGGTTAGTCGCCCATTTGAACGCACAAGAAGCCGTAACTAAAAATCCTCAGCTGGCCCACATCAAGGTACGCACCCCATCTTCGCATTGCATAAACTCTCCCTGATTCTTCAGTATATGAACCATGGTTCCCCATTCCAAGCACTCTGGAGACAGCTTCGCACCGAAGTTCGTAAGCTTCAAGATGGAGGCTACTATGGTGATGGTATGTCTCTTCGACATAGCATCCTGGCTTCACCGCTGACTTGCAGTCAAGGATATTGGTCTGCAGGAACGCGTCTCGCTGATTCTGCCAAAGTAGCCGGAGAAGGAATCGAACCCGGAGATCTTCCAGAATATGTGGTATGTTGTTCTAGAAACAACCGCTATCTCTTATGTCAAACTTTCATATCTCATATTTTCAGTGTGGCGGAGCTCAAACACGTTCTCGTCCGTCAGCAACGCGTCGTCGACGCTCGGCCCGGCGTGCTGACGTTGTGCCTTCGAACCATACAGGTCGACAAACAGCGAAAAGGCGAAAAGCCGGGAGTCGGATTATTTCGAAGTATGCCTTCCAAGGCGAAGGATTATCGTTGAATGATTCGAAAGGCGAAGACAGGATCAAGGGAAACGGATTTAAAAAACAGGCCGGAAGGTACGTTTCTCTATGGGACCATCATCATGCGATACTCAAATTCATCGCGTAGTATGCGTGCCCGTGAAGAGCGCGCATTGGCTGCCGAACGCAGACTGCAAGCTCTACAATCTCGTAAGTTATACCCTATAAATCACAATCCTGATCTGACAGGTTCGCAGGTTCGGCAGTCAAGGAGGAGGACATCAAAGAAGAAGAAGAGAACACAGATCGCTCTGACTCCGAAGTGGAGATAGTCTCAGAGACAGACGGAGACAGACGGGAAGCACTTATATCCTCCGAGAAAGATGATCTTCGTAACCTGAAGTCTTCATGGGAGGAATTCAAGGACGATTTTATCTTCACGGGGGACGGCAAGGATAATGTCATAGAGATTTCATCCGACGAGGAAAATGTGAAGAGAGAACCTTGCGATATTCCCGTTCCTTCGGGATCAACCTTTACCAGTGGGGTGAATGATACAATGAAGCGTAGCGAGAATAATGGTAAAGGGAAGGAGAAGGGTAAGACCACTTATTTTTCTTTGCCATGTGCATGAACTGACTGCGTTTTCTCAGAAACGCCTCCGTTAGGCTTAGGCAAACTGGTCAAGACCGAAGTCGACTTTCGGAAAAAGGAGGCGCTAGGAATGGTTCCCACCCAAGGCAGTAGACGGCTGGGTGGCCGCGTTAAGAGCAAGGAATCAGGTGATCGTGTCCAGCCTCATGTCACAAAACCTTGGTCAGATACTGAGTTCTCACCTACGGAGCCTTGGGAATGTGCTGTTTGCACACTGTTCGTGATTCTTTGAGTATCTTTAGTCAAAGCTGATCTTGATATGTCATACAGGATCAACAAACCTCGACATCTAGCATGCTCTGCCTGTTTCACACCTCGGGGAAATGATTATGTATATGACAAATACCGTAGCAAAGTGTAGAATCTGTATCTCTTACCACAACGAGTGTCACGGAAGAACGATGAGTCCTTTAAGCATGGGTATCAACTTAGCAGCGTTCCACAGGACCGATGTCCAAGGCCATAGATGACCCAAAGTTGTAATGATCAGATTCAATGTAGTTCTTCTGAATCTCGTAGTTTTTTCGAAATAGCAAGGAGAAACAATGTCAGCAGTGAATTTCTTTTCAGTAACTAGATCTCATGATTTTTCGAAATAGCAAATAATAGATTAAATGAAGGTAACAGTTATGTACGCCGAGTGGAGAGAGGTGCACGGCGGAAGTATGGCCTAAGCAGATTTAGCAGAGAACTGAACACGAGTCAGAAGTCAAAGTCATCATTAAGAAGAGAAAGTGCACGAACCTGGATTGTCAAAGAGTCTGGCTAAGGAACAACCTTGCCCTTTGCATTGATATACATCTGCGATGTGCATCTTGCTGCTTTTCGGAGAACCTAGGGAAAAGTTAAAAGGACCAAATCATAACTAGTGAACAAGACTTACCGGTTGAATTTCCCTGTACGAGTGATCCTGGGGAGAGATAGGATTTCGTGCAGAATTCGTGGTACTACTTGGGGATACTCACTGTCAACATAATTACGAAAATAAATCAAATACCCGTACTGCATCGAAGAATGGTCCTGAGAGAAGGCTGCCAAGATACAATTAGTGCGCGGACCCCAAAGTAATTTGTGATGAGACATACCCGCAGTCGGCGAGCCCCAGGACAGGAGAAGCATTGGCTGGACCATTTATGTTTGCACCAATGATGTCCGCAAACACCCTGGCGCCGGATTTGACGGTACTGCCATCATTAAGCGTCAAGTCGCGCGGCGCGACACGACTGAGGAGGGCCTGCGGTGGATCTGCACCTAAAGAGCCTTCAGCCCCCCGTTGGTCAAAAATTAAAGGACAAGAACTTACGCAATGCCGCATACACGTATTCCAAAACCTTGTCACCCCCAGTTTTGTTTTTCAATCGGGCGCTTTTGACCAGGTCCTCCCTCTGCACCTGCCGCTCCTCGTCGAGGTAGTAATTCACCACGTGCGCAACCACTTGAGAAAAGGGCGCTGCTGTGGGCACGACCGTGCAGAATGGCGGGGCGGCCAAAGCGGACTCACCGTGTCCAGGAGTATCATCGGTGTTGGTGTATACTGACTTGAGGAAGTCCAGATAATGATTCTCGAGGTCAGGAATGGCGTGGGACGAGATAAACCACGACGAAAAGGCATCGAGGTGACCTTTAACATGGTCGAAAAAGTACTTGCAGGTGGTCGCTGAGCTTTGCGAAGGCGCCAATCGTCCGAAGGATCAAGGTTGACTTGGAGATTTCTAAACTAATAGATGAGAAATGGAAAGTAGAACTACGTGATAACCCACTGAGCAACTGTGCAAACATTTCGTAGTGTTGAGATGCCGTGAAGGTGTCTTTGGAGTCAGTCTTAGCGAGTGGCAAGCCTGCCTATGAAGAAATATGTCAAAAGGTCGTACAGAGGAGAGCGTGGGAGGAAATCTAACAAGCTCTTGGCATATCCACTTCACGGGAAGCGCATTGATCACACCTCGCACGATATCAATGCATTTCTTCTCTTGGCCGAAGCTCTTTTGCTTAATGAGGCTTTTAGTGGTTTGAGTAAAGTATGCTACAGTCGACTCTCTCATAACCCATAGCGGTCGGTGGACCCTCAGAGCTATGGGTTACGAGGGAGTATGGGTTATGGGAAAGTATGGGTTATGAGGGGTATGGGTTATGAGAGAGTCGACTGTACCCATTTTTCTGCAGAAATGAAGCTTGAGACCTACGTACCTCAGTCAGAAAGACATAGCAACAGATCGTGAACTTGAAGTCACATACCAAAGATCTGAAAAGTTACTGATCGCCGAGAATTATTTGCATGAAGTAGCCACAGTTGACAAGCCCGCGTGCGCCCGAAGATTTCGTCATCTTGGGCTGATTGACTAGTATCGTCTTTAAAACCTCGAGCGTATTTTCCGTGCTCATTGATGGCCAGAATATTTTCAGCGATATTCTGTATGCAAGCGTCAGTCTGGTACGACTTTCGGAGGAACAAAGACAAACGTTATGGTTTCGACAGAACAAAACCAGAAATGCGCAGGTTGACGGAGGCATGTGCAACAGCCTGCTGTCGGCAAAAACGTCGTCCCATAGTCGTCCAGTACCGTCTTTCCTTCGCATCCGATTCATTGCGTCTTGGTAAGATCCTGGATAGAGGATACTCAGATCGAGAGAGCTGCTTGTTTTGTTGAGATTGAAATTCTTGCGATTCGTATCGAAAATGTCGTGGATGATGAGATTCGCAAAGGCAAAAAAGAGACTCGTTCCTTGAATTCATCACGACGCAATAAAGTATCGAAAACAAGAAGTATCGAAGGCATGGTCGGCATCAGGGAGACTGGTCGAGGAAATAGCTCGCAGTCCTGGAACGGTGCGAGTGTAGGGTGTCCCAGCCTTGCCCATGGTAAGGAAGAGAATGTTGTAGTCGGAGCCATCCGCGGATCGAGCCACATACTCTGTGCCAGTGGTGGATTCAGCGGGTGTCAGAGGCGCGACCGGAGTGCCACTGGCCTTACAAACAAGAGTCGAAGCAACCTCACCATGGAAATCCCAGTGCATAGAGAGCGAGTCACTAGGGCGGCAGGTTACCAACATTCAAGTTTCAACCCTGGTCGAGCATTATGCTACTACATTTATTTGCATAGTAAGTGCACCTTCGCTGTCTAGGTGTCGAAGACGTAGCATATGCTTACGATGTCTGTCTGGAAGAAGCGGGCAATACATCGCTAATAGGGTGGATGTCCTAGTGGGTTTCTGAGGTTCTGTGCTTATCAATCGGCAGAAGCAACATGCAGTGAGCGGCTTCCAGTCTCGACAAACGAAAGGGATTTGAAGACCACAAGGAGCCTCAAACAGCATTGGTACTTGACAAAGTTGAAACAAAAGAACAGATATCTGACATTAAAGCATTGTTGTATTTTCTATCGATGACTTGAACATAAATCCAGTAGGTTGCAGAAGATATCGGAGGCGAGGCAGACAGTCTTTGTCCAAGGAAAGGGCGTACAGCTGATGGTGATGCCAAAACTGGTGTTCATCTCCCTAACCACTATTAACGTTGCAACCACTGCCCCGTTCTCTGTCCATCAATGGATAGTCGTCACTGGTTATTGTGTATGACTCATTGATGAGTTTTGCAAGCGTTGAGCGGAGCGTGCAGTGAGTGCTGGTTCGTAATATTTGTCCTTGTTATGTTTGACCGCTGTCCTGGATCCCACGCCCTATTGTTGATATCCTTTGTTGACCACAATCTCCTATAACGTCCATGATGTCTATTCGCCCCTCGATGCCTTCTGGGCTCAATCCGCATCTAAAGGCGACAGGTGCGTTTTCACGATACATCTTTCTTACATCTTTAACTCTCCTATGCAGTTGATTCTGGCAACTTGCCACTCGTAAAGTACCAAATATTGAATTGTCAAGGGCAAGACATTCTCGTGCGTGTCTTCCTTTTCCTGACGCATGACGCGCTCATTGTCGGTCTGATTTTTAGGTAGGTCGAATGAAGATAGAAACATCGACAGTGTGTATTTGTCATCTATTTCATCAAGCCTTACTGACGATGAAGCCACGATAGCCGTCAGGGCACGCTTTCATCCTTCGGCGATATGACACAGGCGCGATTAGTTTGACCACCATGTTTCGTGCTGCGTTCCCAACGGCTTCTGAGCAGGAAGAAAAAGAAGAGATAGCGTGGGTTAAGGATAACTTCGACCTCACAGGGAACAATGGATCATCCCGGGACACGACAATCACACGTCTAGCGGGTACTTGGGTTTCACCAGATTTGGCTATGTCTCTCGCAGAGTCCTACTCATTAGGTGGACTCATTAACGTTGTTGTCAATGCTAGGCCGGATCCTGGTGCCAACTACCGGCGATCTGGCAAAGGCGCTGCCACTAATACCTCCACCGTTCCTCGGGCCACTCCCGCCTCCCCCGCGGAAGCATCATCCATTCGACTTTCTTCTAAGGCCCCTCCATCTCCCGCTCCCGCCCCTAATCCAGCAAAGCGCCGGAAAGAGTCATCACCTCTTCCGGCCAAATCCCAGGAGAAAGCGCCCACCCTCAGACGATCTGCTCGCACTAAGAGTCCTGCACCCCAAGTCTCAGCTGTCCCGTCCAAGTCTCCTACAACGAAGACTCCTAGAAAGAGCACTCGACGAGAACTCGTTGATACCCCGGGTGGATCGGAACAGACTGTCGTGGACGAAGAGGGAGATGCAGTTGAAGATGTGATGGGATCTGAGCTTCATCAACAGGATGTTGCTGAGCAGAAGGCTTTGATCGAAGGACTGAAGGCGCAACGGGATGCGCTCAAGACGGAGACTGAAAACGATATGGATGTTGATGTCAAACCCAAGGGCAAGAGAGGTCGGGAGGAGGAGGAGACATTGAAATTCGAACCAAAAGAGCAAGAGACCGAGCCTCGGGTCTTCGCTACTAATACTAGGGTCAGTCGATGGAAGATGGAACCCCAGACCAAATCGATGGCTTGGGGGGTAGCGGCATTTTTGTTTGGCGCTGGTGCTGTGTAGGTGACATTCTTTCTTTAGCCAATTATAATATCTGATCTCGTTTCTACAGAACGTTATTGCCCAGTCTTTTTTGATGATTTATGTTCGTCGTTTTGTTTCCTTCCTTCTGGTATTCCTCAGGTTCATAGTGTATCGTTTACATTGATATATACACCCCGCAATACCGCGGGTCCATTTCCTTCTGGTTTATTATATATCTGATACGTACATTTAAGTTTTCACTGTTGTATAAAGATGTATAAACTCATGATAATAAGGCCCTATTCTTCTTGCCCAGCGATTCAACAAACTGTTCTAAGGTTTGGGTTCAAGCAAGAGCTGGCCTGCAAACCAGCAGTCCTTCCTCGGCATACAACCCAGGAACATACAAGGCGCCGGTTGTCGAATCTCGCAGACCGGTCGTAGAAGACGAAAAGCCGACGCCGTTGCTCTGAAGTAAAGTCACGACCTCGGAGCTCAGCGTCGCGGGGACCCTACTGCTGGCAGGAATTGGCGCCATCACATCGTAATTGAGCGGTGGCTCGGTCAAATTACTTTCGCTGGCACGCGGTGTAATAGACAGTACCCAGCTTGGCGCGTGCGGCACCACGCCTTTGACCACTTTGACCAAAGTCAGAAAATGAGGATGGCCCCCGACAATCAGGGAATCATTATCGTCAAAATCGATGTTATCGGGGCAGAATGGAACGAGAACACTTTCTCGAAACACTAGTTCATTGGTAGAGGTGTTTCTCGAATACATCATGATTTGACTCAAAGATGTTGATGCGATGGCCACTTGGGCACCGGACGCAGAGATGGCTACGCCATTTGGAAATGGGATGAAGGGCGCCGTGACTGCGTGGGTCTGGATCGGAAAAGGAGCTGTTGCATCAGAATCCAGAGTGACATGGGCCACCCAGCCAAGAGGTAATCCAAGGATGGTCTCCATGATAGGTACGAAGTGGCCGATAAGGGGCCATCGGCGGGTGATAAGATGGTCATTTGATACATAAAAGGAATTCGGAGAGGTCAGAGCGAGAGCATTGGGAGAAACGAAGTAAGGGGACGAAAGTGTGCGAACATGGGTTGCGACGGTTGGAGAGGATGGCGAGATGACGAACTGTTCAATGAAAGTTCGTTGACGGGCATGATTCACGATGAAGAGATTAGAGGAATTGCCAGCATATGACGGCCAAACCTTGACTCCCAAAGGATGGAAGTCGTGGCCTTCCGGATAGTTTTCCAATGTGATACGTTGAGGCTTTATGGATGCAGAGGCAGTGTTCCCGAAACCAAAAAGAGAGCTTGGCTTTTCCGTCGCGACATTTTCGTTAGGCGAGTAAAGCCAGAGAGAGCCGTGGGGTTCGGGCTTGTGTAATGGGCCCATCACCTAGGTAACGTGACTGGGTCAGCCTGACAAATGCCAGCGAGAAAGGTCGTCGAACTCACAGTGTTCCACTGCTTTCGGCCCGAGTCACAGGTGAAAAGAACTTTTCTTTCTTCTAGATTGGCTTCGTTGTCTTTGAGGTCCCAGAAAGTCACATCCTCACAGAACTTGAGAGCGTTGTTCTCAGACTCGTCGTTGAGAGTCTCGCATTGAGAGCTGAAATTGCCGCCGTGGAAGTAACCATCGGGAAATGGGGACGAAGTAAGAATGGAATTCCGTAGAGTGTACTGGCTTCGCCAGACATAAAAGCTCTGAAGAATAATGAATGATACGTCAGTTCGAGTAGGACGAATTTACCGTCAAAAGGACGAATATGGCAAGTTTACTTCGGAATGCCATCAGGGCGAGGTGAGGCAGTACTGGCAGTTTGTGTTTCAAGTGCAATGAGGGTACGACTGGGGGACACCTAGGATCAAATGGACCGCTTGAAGGAAGTTTGGAACAGCAACGATGCGGCCATCGGCTTCTGCATCAGATTACTTGATGGCCGGCAGCTACTTTCGTAACTTTCCACCGTGATCATATTCAAAATCAGTTTTCCTTGATTGTTCGCACGTCTTTGGCTTGTGTGCATATGCACATCACTTTGACTATTGATTCCTGCATCATCTTCATCTTGACGTTCTTTGACACAACTGTCAGAGTGCATAAGGTCTCCGACCGTGCAAGGTTCGGACTATGCCTATTTTTACTCCATCTCCAATTCGTCAACCCAATGCAGTTTGCATCTCACTCTGATTCCGAGATCCGAATAACTAAAGCCACGGTTCTCTTAAACCCACAGCTACTCCGGAGTGAACTCTGTTTCCCTTCGATACCCCACAGCCATGGATATTAACGATACGTTTGGTATGCGTTCAGACACGACGATGCTCATCAGCGCTCATAAATCCTGTAGGTGCAATGCTTATTGGTGCGTTGGTCACGATGGTCACCTACGGAATTACAACGTTACAAGTTTGTTTCTGCCCGCGTGTTATAATGCATTGCCATTGACAAGCGGTGCAGGCGTATTTCTATTACATGACCTACCCGCAAGATAGTAACGGGGTAAAATCTTTTGTTCGTCGGTTACGTCCATGACTTGTGTCCTCGTCATCATATCTGTTTTCGTTCCCTCAGGTGGGCTTAATATGGTATGTCGATATGCCAACGGTTTTCGGTCAACTCACGTTGTTCACTTCAGGACTTTGGACACAGTTCACGTCGTATTTAGTGAGTGAGAATAACATCCATTCACGCCTTCTCTGAGTTCGGCAGTGTGCCATGCGATACACTGGTATTTGGTCGGAGCGCAAATATCTTCATTGTGACTCGTCGCGCTTACTCTAGTCAAGATTGCTGGATTCGGAAATCCCGCCTATTTAGTGGAAGGAACATGGTCAGTTCTCTGCCTCACTTCAACGCTCAACACTTCTGATGACAATCAAGGTCTCTCTTTGTGAGTATCATTTGTAGCCGAAAGTCAGCGGTATCTGTGACGCAAATTTGACACAACTAGTCCTCGATCATGATCAATGTAAGTAAGAATCGAACCTCGTCACATTTACTCATCCTTCTCAGGTGATAATAGGATTCCTGGTGCAATGGTCTGTCCTTCGCTCATCCCTTCTGCTCTGCCTTCAAACTGTAATATCTACAACTTAGTTTCTTCACTCAACGGATACACCGGTGTACGCTCTCGAACCTGCTCTCCTCCCAGTTTTTCACTATGGTTTCTCAGTGTGTCCCGAACCGTACAAATGGTGGATGACATCCGTGGTCGTTCGTCCCGTCCCTACTTAAGGTTAATTCCGGAACTTACATCCGTTCAGGGCTCAATGGTCTTTGCCCATTTTTGTGAGTCCAGCTTTTCTTTCATATTTCCAAATACTTACACTGGGCGATCTCTAGGTTTTGGCTTAGGTGAAATTACCGGTGTCTCAGATTATCCTTCGGCTAACAACCCTCGATTTGGCAGAAACTGTCGGTCAATTGTAGGTGTACTTCCTTCCGCACTAAATCCTGTCCTTACCTTCTTTCAGTTTCGTCAGGAAGGAATTCAGCAGACTCCACGAAGTGAATGTAAGCTCTCCTCTCCTGACGGAGTTCATTTACTTAATGGAAGCTGCCAGTTTGTTGCTGTGTTACCGTTTGGCGCCACTGCTATTCTTTCCGATATTTTAATTGCGATCGGTTTATGCCTTCTACTCGAGCGGAGCCGAACGGATTTCGCAAACACAAATTATCTAATCAAGACTCTTATTGGATACGCGATCACGCGTTGCCTCCTGACATCGTGAGTCGCAACGACAATCTGGCATTTGAAAATGTACTTCATAGGCGCCTTTAGTCTTATGGCTGTCGTTGAAGTCATCGTCGTACGTTCATGTCATTTTGAACTGGATCTCTCAACATTACTCATCCTTCTTCTCAGTTCGTTACCAAGCCTAACTCCTTCTACTCCTTCGCTATTGACTTTGTTATCGGGAAGCGTACGTCCCCTAATCACCCCTCAACCGACATGTCTCATTTGATTTTAGTCTGGTCGAACTCACTGCTAGCATCGCTTAATTCACGAAGATCTTTACGGGATACCTTCAATAGAAAGGATAGTGGCTCCATGTCCATAGGTTTCCGTGTAGCATCGCCGGAACTTAGCGCAACAGGCGCTGAACCTGGCCAAATCAGTCTCGTCCGGGTGAGCCATAATTCATTCATAGGTGCCCCGTCTCGGCTCGCTCATTATTTTCCGAAGATACCGAGACAAGGCGAAAGCAAAAGTTCTGATGAAGAAAGTGGTTCATGCACCGTAAGTCCACGACGCATGAGGCATATAGCCTACCGAAAGGAGTAACTGATATCTTCAAACAGAAAATCAGTACACAAGCAAGTCGACAGTCATCGGAAGTTCGGTTTAGCGTGGTTGATACACAACGAACGAAGTAACGATTATACCTTTGTTGGTGGAAGGTGCGCTAAGAGATACCAATTTATCACGACGACATCCTTCTTGGTCAAGTTGGTGCCAGGCAAAGGATATGATATATATTTCTAAAAATGTAGCAGTGTTTTTTCGTAAATTATTTTTTCTGTGGATTTTGCTTACAAGTATAAATTATGTCAGAGGTAACGGGCCAAATTCAACAGATCCAAACAATCTTTACGTCGCTTGACAAGCGACGGACCTCTGAACTCATGGCCTTGTAAATGTGTCCTCATTGCCTGAGCCGTCTTCGTTACCATGTCGTTCGTGACATCCCGGTTCATTTTTGTATTCCTTCTGGTCCTGAACGCGGTTCTTCTGTCACGGAGCCGCTACGGCCAAGTTTCAGATGTGTCACTGATTCGCGGGGAGAACAGTTTAGTCAAGCGGATTTCGTTGGAATTGAAGAATCTACCGGCCTCACTAGATGAACCACATACGGACGAGGTGATTTGTTGTACTATTTGCGACGTTGTTGTAAAATAACGATGACCTTAGTGTCGCCCTATTGCGTTCCCTTCCAACCTACAATGTACCCATGTCGAGACCCAATGCCCAAGTCCAGGAACATTTCTTTCCATCAACTACCTTCGAGGTTACTTTTGTGCAGAACCACAATTACGACTGCTCGTTTTCGTAGGCCTTATTGTCTGGCTTATTTTCCTCTTCTCCACCCTCGGCATCAGTGCCTCAGATTTCTTCACGCCAAACCTTGCTACCATCGCCCAGATGCTGGGACTTGACGAGAACGTTGCCGGGGTGACGTTTTTAGCATTTGGGAATGGCAGTCCGGATGTCTTTTCGACATTTTCAGCAATGCGAGCTAACTCCGGAAGTCTTGCCATCGGAGAGCTGCTAGGAGCCGCGTCCTTCATTGTTTCGTGCATCGTTGGGTCTATGTGTATCATTAAGCCGTTTGAGGTGAATCCGGGACCTTTCTTACGTGACGTGGGATTCTTTACCGTCGCGGTAAGCTTTCTCTTGGTTATCTTGTTGGACGGTTACATCCGGCGATGGGAGGCTGCAATCATGATTGTTCTGTATCTCGTCTACGTCATCTACGTCGTCGTCGGAACGTGGTGGGGACGAAGACGTATTATGCAAAGGCTGAATGAAAGCTTGGCACGTTCAGAGTATGCAGATGATGCGACACAGCAGCAAGAGCCTTACAGGGATGACCGTGAGTTCTGTATGCCCTTTGTTGAACTCACAATAAAGTTCAACTGCTGTAGCCTCTTCACCGTCACCAATGTTATCGCTTCCGTCACCGCCGTCTCAGCGAGTTCGCGCTATATCTGCTCCAGCCCCTCCGCGACTACAAACCGACCTTCCTCCAAGACCTCATTCTCGTTCACCATCACCATCCTCCTCATATGGTCATGCGCATATGCCATCATTCTCCTTGGTCGGGGCTCTCGAGTTCCGCCAAGTTGTGACGTCGCTTCGGCATGAGGCAGCCAGTTCGTCTTTGACCATGTTTGAAGGTCAGACACCCTATGCCGGAGGCCATTACCATTCCCACTCTCGGTCCCGACCACGCACACCCAACAGAGAGATCGATCCATGGGATGCAACTCTAGGACTACCTCTTAACGAACGCCCACCTCAGCTTCTTGTGACGCCAGCCACCTCAGAAGAAGCTGAGGAGATTCATGAAAGTGCTCGTTACTTGGATAATGTCTCTCCTTCAATGACGGTGTCGCTTCCGTCCATCGCACAAACAATATCTGATACTGAGACGGACTCGCAGACGTATGTCCTGCCATCTCCTTGGCATGGCATGCTTTATATCCTAGGAGAGATATATCATACCCTATTTCCATCACTGCATCGTTTCCGCAGCCAGACTGTGCTTGGAAAAGTCGCGTCTGTTTTTGCAGCTCCTGCTGTCATGATGCTTACATTGACGTTACCTGTCGTCGTAACTCCTTACGGCCACTCCCATCGTTCCTTAGAGAAGACACTAGGAGGTGATCATGATCTAATTGACTTCGAGGAAGAAGGTATCGAGCGAGTGTTAATTGCCGAGGAGGAAATACAAGAAGAAATGCATGGTGTCTCGTTCAACAAATGGCTCGCAGCTGCCCAATGTGTCCTTGGTCCACTGTTCTGTGTTGGTGTACTTTTTAGTACGTTCGTCCGACTCATTACCTATTGTACCATCTTATTGGTTTCTTAGGTGGAACTGCTCACCTTCCATGGTTGTTACTCGCCGCAGGTGTCACCGGCTTCGCAACGGCCATCTTAGTGGCTGTCTTCGCGGAGAACGGAGAGCATCCAACGTTCCGGATGGCACGCTGCTCTATGGGCTTCTTTGTTGCTGTGGTGTGGATAATGGCCATCGCTGATGAAGTCGTCAACGTCCTACAGGCAAGAAAAGCATTCATCATCTACTGTTGTGCATCTACATATATCTGGCTTCCTTAGACTTTTGGCTTTCTTTTTGGACTATCGGATGCCATCATCGGTTTGACCATTTTTGCTGTGGGCAATTCAATGGCTGATTTGGTGGCCAATATGAGTGTTGCTGTAAGTCTATTTTTTAATGTGTTCGTTCTTTCCGGTAATGATATTCCTTACCTAGGTCTTTGCCCCCATCATGGGCTTCTCAGCTTGTTTTGGTGGACCGATGTTGAACATCCTCCTTGGCGTAGGCATCTCCGGGATGTATATAACGTCCCATACATCAGAGCCCTACAAGCTAAATTTTGGAAAGACGCTCTTGGTGTGTACGATAGGACTGATAGCGCTGTTGCTGGCGACGCTGATCGTAGTGCCATATAACCACTATGTCCTGTCTCGTCCATGGGGCATATTTCTGATACTCTCTTACATGGTTATCATGATTATCAACGTTGTTGTTGAGCTGGAAGAGTGATTTCAGGGCTACTCTATCTACGTGTATTATGTATAATATTTACACAGCTTTATAGCTTTGCATTGCACAGGATTTGCACTGCCTCAGATTGATATAAACAGCTCTCTCACATCTGTAACGGCACCATACTTGGACCTTGCTAAATCGTCGCTGTAACCTCGTAGAGTATGTCACCAGCCCATCGTCGCAAGAGTATCGATTCATCAGACTCAAGCTCCAGCTCAGACTCTGATTCCTCCTCGCACAAGAAGTACGGGAAAGTGAAGAAGGACAAGAAGGATAAAAAGGTCAAGAAAAGCAAGAAAGACAAGATGGAACATAACGGTGCCCCAGGATTCCCTCCGACAATGCCCCAGATGCCTCAACCCCATTTTGATCAGCTGCGCGCCATGTCGGGTGGCTACCAGGCGTCCATCCAGCAGCCCCCCAGCTCCGGCTTCCGTATCCCATTGCATTCGTCCTCTGCATTTCCACAACAGGATCATGCCGGACCGCCCCCATGCCATGATCTCGATGGATCCCCCGTCTACATCGGTTCAGCCATCTTCGATAAATCCGTTCATCCATGCAAGATCGGACCTCATCTTCATGTCCCTTGCTCAGTCGCCTATGGCGGCAGCGAGGTGGGCCACAAGGGGCGCTATGATCTCCTCCCATTCACTCCCGATACCATGGAATTTGTACGCACATCTCAAGGACACGTCCCTGCTGGCAGGAGGCCGATTGAGGGTGGCTATGAGGAGGATGGGAGTCCATTGTACCATGCCGTGGCCATAGTGAATGGAATCAGAGTACCAGGAAAGACGGGCGCTCACTTGTATGTGTCCAATTTTTTGGAAGTTGCAGCTGGCTGATTTCTTCTTCCTGTAGAGGCGGATGCAACGTATCCTTCGGTGGGGGTGAGCATACTGTTAGAGACAACTATGAAATATTGTGCGTACATGTGCCTTCCTTTGAAGATGATTTAACAATATGTCGCCAGGTGCTGGAAGTACTAGGCGGAAGTGTATACAATGAACGCATCCCGATTTTGAAAGTAATTGTATATAGAACATAACGGGACATGTAACGAAGGATTTATTTCAACGAAATGCATAGCTTCTCAGTAGACACGTCCAGGACCAGGGTAACAAATAGAAAGCCACTTCCCGGGCCTTGTCACACTCATACTTGAAATTATTGAGGCAAGCTGGCTATGCATATACATGTAAAGTATCACTACTTAATTCCTCTTGCCTTCTTGCTGATTTCACTTTCGCAGTGACCAGCCGCTTTCCACAGGAACTCATAGAGTGAATCATTGACAATCTCGATGATGATCCCGTTACTTTACTTGATTGCTCCCTCGTTTGCAAGTCTTGGGTACTTGATATCAATATCAAATTAGCAAATACTGTCCGGGTAGAGTTACCGCGATGAGGATAATATCCGAGACCTTGCCTACATTTTGACCAGACGATGCATGCATCTTCACAATTGTTTTACAAATGGCACTTATGTCCCACAACTCATTTGTTCCCTCCACCTTAGTCTTGACATGGATTTTGCTTGTTTCTGCCATGCTCTGCTGTTGTCCCAGATACTTTCAGAACCCCAGCATGTTCAGCACCTTCGACTTGACATGCAATATCTCTGCGAAATTTCCCCCAACATTAAGGCTGCAATACATGGCTTGCTTCAATTGCAGTCACTCACTCAACTGGATATCAATATTTCTCTAGCAGATGATTATTACGGTCTGACTTCTCTCTTGAGCTGGACTGCAAGCTCTGTAATAGAGCTGAGGCTCACCAGTACAGGCACACATGGTCTGAATGTGACATATCTATAACCCTAGCATGGGTGTACAAAAGGCAGCACTCCACACCTTATATCTGGATCTGTAATGAGCATGCCACAGACCTCTGATTCCAATCCAACCTTTGTCATCCAACTCCACATTTGATTGGACTCTGTTAGGAATGTGCCAATAGAGCTAAATCAAGTTGATATTTGAACTGAGTATCTACAGTGGTGGTACAGGGCTTATATACTAATGGTAGCTAATTCCAAGATGGAGTCTGATGGGCTTCAGCACTGTCTACTTGCTACTGAAGTTGGACTCTAGAAATCAATATGTGAAGTTGAGATGTGAAATAAAAAGTGGATTGCAAATAGAGTAGCATATGGTGAGCATGTGGAGTCCAGTGGAGTCCAATAGTGACTTGGTGGGCTGAGGGTGGAGTTGAAGTGGGTGTGATGTGGAGGCTGGTAGCATGCATATAACAGACTCCATCAGACTCCAGTTTCCAGTTTCTATTTCATATTTCATTCTATATTTCACCTACTAATTTTATCTCTTTAATTTATCACACTTAGATTCTATCACAGTAGTAAATATGTGTCTAAGAAAGTGAAATGTGTTCATAGCATCTAGTAGAATACACTGTTAGATATAACATAGACTACAGAATATTGGCCAGTAAGATATACAAAGTAATACAAGTAGATACTCACCCTCATACAGCACAGCAATAAGCAGAAACATGGTGAGGGTGCTCAACAGACCATATTCAATATATATTGTCCATCCCAATATAAAGAGGTATTGAGCTTAGCTGGCAGGATATGACAGAGCTCCTGCTTGCTAATCCAACACACTCTCTCAAGCAGAGCAAAGTCCAAGCTCAGTAGCAAAGTGCTCCATCTTGGCTGAAGGTAAAGACTTAGTGAGAGTGTTGGCAACCATGTCCTCAGTGGGACAATAAACAAGACAAAGAGAGCCTTCACTGATGACCCAGTGAATGAAGTGGAAGTGAATGTCAATGTGCTTGGTTTGAGCATGATACTGATGATCTTCTGAGAGTGCAATAGCAGACTGATTGTCTGAAAATAAAGTTGTAGCCTCAGTAATCAGTGAGAAAACTTGAGAGAGCAGACTGTGAAGCCAGAGTGCCTTCTTGTTACATGTATGCTGCCAGCCTCTGCATCACTCTGACCAACCAAGAACTCAATCACCAAGTTTCACTGGACTCTGCTTGTTTCTCATTATCTACTACAGTTGACTATCTCACAATGCATATGGTTGGGAGACACCAAAATTGTATGCATTTATAGATTTATGCAGAAGCAAAATAGCATGTGATGTGACATGTGATTTATGTGACAATGTCATTGTTGCCCCAAAATGCTGTCAGTGGCTTTTGGATCAGCTTTCTATGCATCTCCTTGAATAATGCTTCTCTCAACTTCCTCAGCTGTGGTACTAATCCACTCTGGTCACCTTGTAAAACACAAAATGCCTCCAGCTTTCAAATAAGCTCAAATCCTTCTCTTGTAGTTATCAAGGTCTGTTCTTTCTCACTCTCCTCTTTCTCCTCTTTCTCCTTATCATTGTCAATGACAGTTATTTCCCTATTTTCTACTGAAATATCATGCTTGACAGCAGCAACAATCTCCTCATCTGTTGGCATTGCCTCAAGATCTTCAGTATACTCTTCTGCAATAGAGTTAACCATCTCTTCAATGGTTGAAATGAGACCAAACATGTGATTTTGTTGTTTCAATTCAACAAAGTGGTCCTTCAATATTATCTCTGCTGTTTGGAGCTGTTGAATGGGGGCAATTTGGGAGGGAGGTGTGTTCATTTTTAACTGTGATAATGGAGCCAACTGATTGACTGCCTCAAGTGCTTTACCAACATTGTTCTCTGCATTCATAACAGCCATAAGAGCAGGACACCAGTCAGCATCAGCATATTGGTTTCCAAGCAGATTCTGCAATGCCTGTTCAATCCCTGGAAGCATGTATTTGTCTGTTGAGGCAAAGTCATAAACAAGATTCTATGCAGATCTGAGAAGTGAGATGTCTTAGAAATTATTGGATAGTGTGGTGGACTGTGACTCAAGTGTATTGTCAGGCATTATACCAGTGTGTTTCCAGCAGTTTGCTATCATTTCACTGCTGACATTTGCTCAAGCATCATGAGTAATAGTCATAGCTTCAAGAAGATCAAGCTTGAAGATCTCAGACTCTTCAAGATCATCAAGGTCAAGTGCATGGATACACATGGCATTCCAATAATGTGCTTTAAAGCAGTGGATAATACCAGCATCTAGCAGCTGAACATATAGAGTCATGTTGGGCTCAAAGAACTTCAGCTTTATGTTATAGAATGCATAAGCAATAGAATGCTCTTGAAAGTTGTTCAAGATCAGCAGAACCTGCCATATCTCTCTCTTCATCTTTAAATCAAACATCTTCACCCACTCTGTAAATATTTTGCTTGTTATTCAGGTCTTCTTGTTATTCTGATAATAGAATCCCATTGTCATTAGACTCTTTTTTTTGAAACACTATAGTTGCCTTGACTTTTCAATGAAAACAACTGGCATCCACTCACTCCCATCTGCATTTACAGTAAAACACATGATGATATGAAACTTATCCTGTTTCTGTCCACTTATAGGACCAGATGCCAAGATATGATCTGAGATAGCAAAGATGATAAGACCAGATTCATTAATATTCCATCTGTTCTGCATTGCATATTTTACCATAATGCTGTAAAGGCACACATGTTCTTTTTTCACTATCACTATATCCACTGAGCCTGCTTCTCCATGCTGCTGAACCTTCTGAATCTTTCATGCCTTGCAGAATAACCTCAACCATCCCTTTTCTTTCAAACACTGATTCTCTGGAATATTCATCAGATTTTCAATTTGATTTTGCTTCTCTATCAGCATTGCACCAGTCACAGTCTCACCTTGGAGCTGCATGTTCTGATACCAGAATGCAACAGCATGCTCTACATCAGATCAGATGACAATGTAAGACTTTTTAGATGATAGTGCATTAGGATTCTTGTTTGCATGCTGTTTGATTTCTATACAAGATGCTAGTTTCCATGAAAGAGTTGGTTGGGTAAAGAGCAGTGCACCTTCCTTTTGATTTGTGAAATGTGCCATAATATCAGCATATTGATGGTAAGAATAGTTATCAACATATTTGAATACTATAAGCCAGTCTCCTATTGTGAGGTGTGGGCAAGAGATTTGCTTTGGAGGCTGAGCTGATGATATGTACATTAGGACTTTCTCCTTCTGTTTTATGCACTCATATAGATTTTCAGATTTAGCATATAGTTTTCATATTAGTTCAGAAGTGTTAGACCCAAGTTGCACATGATCAGAACATGTGATAAACTAGTGCTGTATCATATTCATACAGTCATGCTAGAGTTCACTTGTTTGTATCTCATAATCAAGTGCTTCAAGGCCCCTATGAATTGGCTTAAGAATGAAGTAGTAGAGAATAAACTTTAGCTTAAAGCTGAGATTATACAGTGAGAGCTATTCTACTTATATACTGTTCATTCATTGAGATAAATATAATACTATCTATTGTGCTTGTCTAAGTTTTTGTGCTCATTGTTCTTGGGTATTACTACTATCTACAAAAAGATTGTTGTGCATCATCAAGAGTTGTTATTGCATTAGAAGACAATGACAGGCTGTTAGACCCAAGTCACATGTGATCTAAGACACATGATAAACTGTCATCACTTCACACTTTGAGTGATATGGCAGAGTCCACTGATGTGAATATAGATCATTATGCTTCAAGGCTTTGATGATTAGCTTAAGAGTGAAATAGTATAAAGATAAACTTTAGCTTGAAGCTGGAGTTATACCAGTGAGAGCTATCCTACTTATATATAAGCATCCAGTATAGCTATAAATATTACTACTAATTGTGTTCTTGGTGGTTATTATGCTTGGTCTCCTAGAGTGTCATTACTGTCTACAATAGTATTATTGTACATTATTGGGCAATGCTGTTGCATCAAAAGACAATAACCAACTGGACTTATTGTGCTGACTAACCCAGTCTTACAGTCCTAAGTGCTGGTGTAGATGCTCTGACTAAGCACAAATAGGAGTTAATAGCAGAAAAGGAATGAAAAATCATAACATTACCTCCTCCTTAAGATTATTATCCCAATGGCTTAATTTAGAGATAATTCATAGTCTCATATAGCATCAGATACCTCTATCTGCTTTTTGTTGACCTATTGGTTAGATTCTGGACTATAGCCTTTCCAACTGACAAGATAATCTATCATTATTGTAGTTTCTCACTCTACACACCTTAACCTTCCAGAGCTTATGATTTAATATTTGCTTGATTTTATAATGTTCTTCATCATTGATAAGGTCAGAGAGAGGTGGTAGTGGCCATTTCTGATTGGAGAAGGCAGACACAATGAAAGAGGTAAGAAGAGATTCATTGAACATATCATGAATCTTCCAGTGTAAAGGGAGTTGGAGTTTGTAGGCTAAGGTCTTGATCTTTGTGAGGATCAGAAAGGGACCTATATATTTGTTGTCCAGTTTATGTTTAGATTGGGGCAGATAGAGATTGATGATATTCAGTCAAACCTTATTATTGATGTTAAAGATGTGTGCTGGTTTTTGGTGTCTGTCATACTGAGCTTTTATTATATCAGCTGCTCATTTGAGAG